TATTTCCTACAACCCCTCTAGTAGTAAAATGAATTTATAGGTCGCTAGCTTATAGGAGGTACTCCTAAACCCTAATTAGTATAGGAAGTATTATTTCTAAATGTATACTAGTTCTAAGAAGGAGGCTAACTAGAGTAGTTTATAGAATAAGAATAGAAGGCTTCTATTTTTCCCTAAAAGACTACGAACTTCTAGCTATTATAATATATATTCCTATACTAAGGTATCTATATTATTAGGCTTCTAATACCTACTTAGTTAAGGCCTATTATAGTAAACTACTATACTAGATTATTAATCTTACTCTTATAAATAGATGGGGGCGCCTTCTAAACTATAGGAACTACTAGTACTACTAGCTAAATAGCCTATAAAAGAGTATAACTTTAGCCTAATATTGCTACTATTATTAGAAGAAACGTAGGCGTTTTAGGAAATAAAATATTCTTAATCTTTATAGTCTTTATATCTTAAGCCCTATTAATTAAAAGCTTAAGAGTAGCTAGTAAATTTACTACTTCTAGTTATTTAAACACCTAAAAGAACTCTTTAATAAGAATTAACTTATTAACCTTCTCTATCAACTACTTAAATTAGAAGAATACTAGATTATAAGTTATAAACTTATACTACTTAAAGAGAGTTTCCTGGATCTTAATAGAAAGCTTCTAAAGAAACTAAGTATATTATAAGTATTAGTTAAGTACTCTATTATTAATATATTTCTAGAATATAATAATATACTTAAGATAAAGACTTCAAGGTTAGTAACCTTAGTCTTATATTTAGAAAGCCACTTAATAAAGAATAGTTAGGTTCTAATACGCTATATAGAGTCATTATTATAAAATTCTAGCTTAATATACTCTTTAAGTTTAGCCTAATTCTTATTCTTCTACTTCTCTATCCCCTTAATAGTAGCTTATAGCTACTTAGTATAGAAGTCTAGAAGCCTAGAAGCTCGCTTCTTATTAATAAGATAGTAGTCTCTTATAATAGTCTTATACTAATAAAACTAGTACGTAGTGTTAATACTATTAAATGAAGGAAGTTCTAAGAAATCTACTATAGGTATTAGTATCTTTAAGGCTATTAGATAAGATTTAAAATAAGAAATAAGCTAATTTATAGCACTCTTTATATTAGAGGGGGATTCTATAGAAGGGGCTCTATCTATAGAAATAGCTATAGGCTTTAGAGTTTTTCTAAAAGAGAGTATAGGTAAAGAAGTATTCTTATTATTACTACTTAATAAGCTAGTAGTACCTCTAGCTATATAGATTTAGGTAGTACTAAGTCTAAAAGATAGAGTAGATATTTTTAAAGATAACGAATGTATTAAATAAAAAGCCCTAATAAGAGTAAATAGAAATTCTTTAAAAGTAAGTAGTATAATAGTAAATAGAACTTAAAAGCTTTCTATAAGAATATAGCGCTAATAGGTTATAAAAGAAGAATCCTATAAATACTTACTAGCTATTTTATAGTAATCTCTATAGCTCTACTTCTATTTACTACTTTCTAGATTTTAGAGATATCTTCTTCTAATTAAAGTTTTATTCTAGTTAGAATATAATTCTATTCTTTTATAGAAGTGGCTCTAAACTATCTAGAACTTCTTTATAGCTATACTTAAAATAAATAAATAAAAATCTTATAGAAGAGGTAGCTTTTAGCTCTTTCTACTAGATACTATTTTCCTAAATATATATTCTATTATTCTAAACTATCTATAACCTTTATAGCTATATAAGTACCTTTTAGATCTCTATTTAGTAGTTATATCTAAGTCTATATATTAATATTAGTTACTCTAATCTAAACTAAATCTTTTCAAGGTTAATTGAGTACTTATATTATAATACTAAGTTAAGAGAGTTCTCTTTCTAACTATAGTCTTAGCGCATTAATACTCTATACTTAGTAGAGTCCTTAGAATTCTTAATATTATTATAATACTAAGTTAAGGGAGTTCTCTCTTTAATTATTATTCTAATTATTAATACTCTATATCTAGTAAAATTTTTAGAGTTCTTAATATTATTATAATACTAAGTTAAGAGAGCTCTCTTTTTAATTATTATTTCAATTATTAATACTCTATACCTAGTAAAGTTTTTTAAGTTCTTTATATCTATAGTTTCTTACTATAATATATCTATAGCCTATATACTATTCTTAATACAAGTTCTAATTCTTATAATAGCTCTTAACCGCAAATTATACGCCTATATATTATCTTATAAAGTCCTCTAGTATAGTTACTAAAATATTATAAGTAAGAGGTTTAAGTATAGACTTAGGTAAGTAGATTATATATATCTATAGAGATAAGATACTAAGATAGAACTATTAAGACGGCGATAGAATTATAGTAATAGGTTATATAAGGCTAAATAATATATAGAATAAGTATAGTATTACTTAATACTATAATGTAACTAATAATTAACTATCTTAGTTATCTTTCTAATAAAGAATCTTAAACCTCTATACTTGCACCCTATACTAGCTCCCACGTGATAAACCTCCTGCACTACTATAATAGTACTTAGTGTAATAATTTAGCTATCTACTATTATATCTAGAGTACTATATTAGTACTAGTAGTAAGAGAAAGTATAGAGTATAGACTAGCTGTAGTAGAACTAGACTTCTAACTCTAAGCCTTAGAGTAGTACAGCTAAGTATAGTATATAACACTAGGGCAACGAGCTTGAGCGCGGTAGCGCCACGTGTTAGAAGATAGAAACGCGGGCGCGCCAGGTTCTCGACTAATCGATACGAGCATCGACACAAGGACGGCTTGAGCTCTGCATGCGCCCCTGACAGGCTGCAGCCCTAGCTTGCCTACGACAGCTAAGCATGACTTGGTAGTTTAGCCCGTTCGGACGGAACTAATGGCGATCGGTGTCCCCGCAGTCTGGGGCAGCAGGCACAAGCCCCGCGCACGGCCTAAAGGTTGCCTGCTTCCCACTGTTCACTTCGAGGTTGTATGCCGGGGACCCCCGCGTAGCCTCTGCTTCTCTTCTCCCTAGCTGCAACCTTCGCGCCAGCGGCTTATTGACCTGAAGGCCCGTCAGTTTCGTCTTCACTCTAGCCCCATGGCCGCATGCGCTTCTCAACGCTCCATCCGGCGAGACTTCCTCCCTATCCCACCCCTCGTGCCTCCGCCTTAACGAGGCCAACTTCCTCTGCATCTCTGCCGCATGTTACGAGGCCCTTCCTCTTCTGTTCTGTCATCCAAGGAAGCCGCATGGCAAGATGCGCACCTCCGACATCGACGTCCTTTTATCATTTCCGCTACCCAACTATGACAACCCGCAGACAAGAGGACCGGCGCTTGTGATCGTTAATTCTACCTTCATCTCGTTCGTCGTCATCGCCGTAGCATTACGCGTATACACGCGCCTCTATATCAAGCGCTGGTTTGGATCCGATGACTACCTCATCTGTGCCGCTCTAGTAAGAACCTCATGCTATGCGTGCGAACTGGCCTTCAGTATGCGACTTGGGCGCTGTTCGCCGCGCTGATCGGCACGCTGTTGTTGCTGATCGTACCGTCTCTCCGTTCACCGCTAACGCTGTTGAATACTCAGGTATCGACTGTCACCCTAACTATCATTGTCATGCTTGCCAACACCCGTTACTACTGGGACAGACATGTTTGGGACATACCTTGGAACGCCGTACCGGGTGCGCCTGCTTGCATTCCCAAGCAGACAGCCCCACACTAACCTTCTACCGCGCGTGCAGGCACCCTCAAAGTTGCCTTCGCTGGTAAAATGACTTTCATCTTCGCCGCAACCTTTGTCCGCATGTCCCTACTTCAGTTCTACTACCGTCTGACCCGGCAATGTAATATTCGCTGGTCTAACTGGGCCTTACACCTTACGCACGCCTTCAACGCCTGCATTTGCGTTGCCTTTGTCGCCCTCACCATTTTCCAATGCTACCCCGTCTCCGCGTACTGGGCCTTCCCGCTACAGATGAATAAATGCTTGCCCGAGGGCCCAGTTACACTCGGCGCAGGAATCGTCAACTGCGTGGCGGATCTACTAGTGGCGAGCCTGCCGATTCCAATTGTGGCCCAATTGCAGATGCCTCAGAGGCAGCGGGTGGGCGTGGTGATCCTACTAAGCTTAGGCTTTATAGTGACGACGGCGGGAATTGTAAGGACGTATTTCATCTGGAAGAGTTTGATGAATTCGTATGATGAAACGTGGTTTGCTTACCCGCTGTGGATTGCTGCGGTGGTAGAAATTGATTTGGCCGTGGTAAGTTTTCTATCCTGCTGTTCAACGAAAATTCATCCCTGCTCGCATGGAACCTTCAGCAGTCATTCCCACAACTCCCGACACTGACTCTCAGCTCACACAGATTTGCGCCTGCGCCCCTGCCATACGCCCACTCGTCACTATATATGTGTCACCCATATTTTCCCGCTTCTCGACCCGCCTGTCGAAACGCCTCTACGCAATCTTATCCTCCGGCCATGTATCCTCTCCCGACGTACCTTCTCCCGATGGGCCTTCTCCCCGCGTGTCCTCTTCCAGCGTATCTTCTCCCAGCGTATCATCCGTCCGTCTGTCCTCTTTCCGGCCAAAGTCCTTCCGCTTATCCTCCCTCCACCTAACTCCTTTTCGCCTCTCCCTGCACTCGCCTCAACCTTCCCACGCTTCTTTCGTCAGCCCGCCCACCATGATGGAGCACCCGGACACTTGTCCAAGTTTCGAGGATGAGACTAGAGCAGGAGGAAAACCTCTGCTAGACGCGAAGTTGAAGCATGTGGAGTTGAGTCGACTGGAACGGGAGAAGAAACGACAACAAGAGAGACGGGAAGCTAGGCACCGCGAGGGAGGACCACGGTAGACGGTGGCAGGAACGCGGCATCTCAGTTGAGGACGCGCAGGCGTCGCCGCCGAAAGAAGGATCGGAGTAGAAGGTTGGACGTGCCAGGCCGGCAGGGAAGACGACGACAGCAGCCTCGACGACGACAGCAGCCAACCGTGACTGCGAAGGAAAAGACGATCGACGACTCCACGAGCCAGCGGAAGGCACAGTCCGGCTGGTAGCCGGAGAGGTGTGAGACCTCATGTCCCAAGACTCATGCCGGTTATCCGCGCAGCGCATCCCTGTAAAGCCGAGCGAATGCTCTATTCAGATGCACTGTCGTGGCTTCTCCTCGCTACGTCTACGAGAGACCGTCGCAGTTGGCCTGTTGTCGAGCAACCGCACTGCCAATATTGCTGCTATCACAGCATGGGACCCGGTTGACTCGGAACGAATAGAGTGAGAAGTCCTTGCGTACCTTTGATGAACAGAAGGCCGCAGGCAATGATACGCAGAATTCTCTTGCAAGGAGACCGTCATCCGCTTTCAGAGGTTTCTCTTCTTGTACATGCTTTTTCTCTTGCAAGCAAACAATAATATACTTCACTTTCTACGATTCAGCGGAGAGCAACAAGTACAAGAAGTCTCTCAAAAATGAAAAAGTAGACCGAAAATGTATGGAATTATTGTTTAGCGTATAATATAAAGGGAAATGTACATAAGGACAATATATAGCAGGCAAGTTGATAGTTAATAGGATACAGCAGCGTGATATTCCGGAGCCTGGAGCTTAGTTCTTTTGAGGCTGCAGAAGTGGATAGCGTTAATATTCTTTAGCGTTCGGTGTATTACAATTCTATTAGACACGGCATTGGAGTCGAATAGGTAAAAGCTAAACGAGGTACCCTTTGTGTAGCAAGCGTAAGTGGAATAATTTATCGAATTACTCTTCTAATATTACTTAAGAGTAAGAGCAATATCCGTAGCACTAGTGTAGGTTGTGTTACGATTCGGCTACGTAGTCGTTCGGAACACAAGCAAGAACCTCCCAGCTAGCTCTCTATGCGATGCCTGAGCGCCCGGATGGTGGCTGACAGGTTCCAACATTGCAGCCCCTTGAGCTCGGCACTCAGCAGGCAAGGCGCTGTTCACCGCTTACACTCCAGCTCGCCGTTCCCAGAACTGCTCAAAGGAGGTTCCCATGTTGCCCTCAACAAAAAAAGTGATATAGGCCTCGAACTCATCTGTGTCGACTGCGTTGAACTGAGCCTGATCGAAAAAGAATCTAGAGTCTGCCGGGATATTCCCACTTCTCCAGAAATGACTAGGCTCCGCAGACTCGTCCTCGTCCTCGAAAGAGTCGAATTCGTCGGGATCAACTCCAACGAACTTCCAGCCGTCCTCTAGCTCTGTCGGTTGGGTGTAGATTTCGTCCTCGCATTTGTAAATCTCTTCCTTGTTGGCATTCAGGAATAGGTGAACTTGAGCGACGAAGTCGCTTAGCAAGATAGGAGCACCGTCGAACTTTTCGATGACTAGCGGCGCCGGTGACTGGTATCGATATTTCTCTTCTTCAGTCTCATCCATAGAGTACTTCTCCTGACAGGCATTAATTTGTACAGCGATCCTGGCGACGGGAGGGTCTGCTATGCTCTCGGATCCGATAGCATGGTCCGTGAAAGGAGTGAGCGTTGTGCCGTCCCGCACAGAAATATCGCCCAGAGGACCGAAAACATTCCAGTGCAGTCGATCAAAGAGATCCTGCCGAATTCGGTCCGGGCTGGCATGGAAATTCATCGCCGTGGGAAGATTAGGATCCATTGCGAGGGAAGGAAGTTCGCAAACAGGTTGGTGGCTATCACAACTGACTACCCAGCCTCGTTTCCGCTGTCTCCCGGTAATTTCTTCCGTCCGCTCGCCCTACGGTGGCGCTCTCAATCCACTCTTAGCGTTGGTTCCTAGATCTTATGCAGCGGCACAGCAAGCGACCTTGGTGGACACAATCTCGACCAAACCTGAGCCCAACGGTCCGGAGAATGCCAGAAAGACGGTATTGAAATACGTCCTGGACCAAAGCATCAGAAAATGGCCGCTCGCACATGAATGCTAAGGCACAGCACTGCCGAGGCCTTCGAGAGATGAGCTTAAGGCCGTCATGTGCAAGACCAAGAGCGGACTAGCACCCAAATTGCAAGCGGAAGATCTCCGGACCCACGACTACAAACTACGGAAATTCAGCGGTCAATGCGCTGCAAACATCGCGAAAAATTCTGGTGAAGAGAAGCTCCGAAGAGGACCAGACTAGCGAAACACGCGCTGCAACCCAGCCGTGAGCCTCACAAGACTCCCGGTTGATATGCAAATGAAGCTACAAAACCGCACTGTTCCTAATCAATAAATTCGGCGCCAATATTTCCAAGAATCAAACCCATGGCAAACACGAAAGAAATGCTTTGTTTTGGAAACAAGTTATTGCTAACTCTGTGTTTGAGCATCTACTAAAGTTGTGCCCGGTCCCTGCCTAGCGAGTTGTACGCGAATCTGATTCGATAACTCAGTCATCTCGCTGAGCTCGTAGATCTCCGATACATTTTTCAGAGCTTCGCCTCGATCCTCCAGCCCATGGAAAAGAAGTGCAATCGGAGAGGACTTCCAGACAGATTGAACGCCACTGCGGCCGGTTTTGAAAATTGTCGCGAGCAAGAAGAGCAGTACTACTGCTTCAATGGTAGCAGGATAAGCGATCCATGCCCAGCGTACCACAAGAAATGTCTCCAAAGAGTAAGACGTCCCCACAAAGTATTGCATGGGATCGCTCTGCTGACGGATGACGTTCGTCATCACAGTTGCGATGTTGGCTACGGCTTGCTCGATGTCTACAGAGCCGTTGTTGAGAAGACTTTGCAGAGTTGTAGAGGTGTATCCGAAGGCGTATGTGGGCACACTATCTCCTCTCCGGAATCCTGGCCCAAGGATCGCGGAGCCAGTGTACAGGAAAGCGAGACTTTGGCCGAAAACATTCAACGAGTCTTGACTTATCACAAGGGTGGCATTTCCGGGCAATCCTGCAGCAGATATGGGTGCTTTATAGACCCCATTTGACTGAGTAAAAGCAGACGCGTTGATGTAGTGCGTGGATTGCACCATCTCAGAGAGCGTTCCATTCGTGATAGTGCTGTTGAAAGTCTTGACGCACATGAATACACCACAACTCATGGCAGTAGTAGCTCCAACCTCGATTGTAGACGAGTCATTCGAGGCTATGGTGTAGTTTGTGTATAGCGCTGACACGTTGACAACTTCGAAGGGTCGGTTGTTGTAGTTGTTGGACGTGACATTCAAGACGGTGTATATAGGTAAGCCTGCCGTGGAATTGTAGCGAACGCCTGTAACCAATGTACCGTTCAAGCTGGCCGTCTGATTCATCAAGAGAGTATAATAGCAAGCGTCCCCAACACAGGTCGTCGTAACTTGATCGTTCACCACGGTGCACTCGCTACAAGCAGCGAGTGATGTGTAGCTCTCAAACGTACAGTTTCCACTGAGGCACTCAGGCTCAAGGGCAAAAGATGGCAAGATTGTTTTCGAGCTATTGTAAGCTGTGAAAGCAACAGCGGCCAACATGTTCGAATCCGTTGGCGATACAAAGTTTATATCTGTCGTATCGAGGATGAATTGCTGGCTCGTGTCCGTCACATAACTGTAGCCACGAGGCATCCGTGCAGAGCCCGAAGCGATGGACCGAGAAGGGAAAGTAAGCGCCTGTTGAGTAAGAGAACTGAAGAAAATGGCAGCTAAGGAGATGAAAGCTCCTGTTGACGCCAGATGCCGAACGTGGAGTTTGAGCAGAAGCTGTACAGAGCCCCACGGCGAACCTCTGGAAGCGTCGTCGAAGCTGTTGAGATCGCTGAGTAAGTGGGGCTTGCTGTACCAGTTCCAGCGTAATTGGCCAAGAGCTCCTGAGTTTGCTGCTATGAACCCCAGCTTTGCTACCGTCGTCAACAGTGCGACGGTTGTATTCATAGTGATACTCCCCGACCAGTCTGTGAGAGGATGTTCGTCGTAGATTCGTAGGATGGTAATAATTGCAAGGACGGTCACACAGGAGAAAAGCCAGCCAAGAATCTCCCACGACCACCAGTCATCGAATAGTCTGTTCCAGATCCTGCTTGTCCATGGCTTGTCATGCTTTGACGTGACATGATCTCGGCACGCGTGTTGCCATTGGATGCCATGACGGCCTTTTTGCTTTGATCGTCTACTGTTTCCCTTGGCATGCTCCTCGCGAGGACATAGCGTGCCGGACGTAACCGCATGGGACATTTGAGGTATGGTTCTTAGACTGGATGTCCCAACTGGGCAACGAGTTTAGAAGTCCTGGCCGTTCAAGCAGTGCACGACCTTCTGCAAACTATCCTGCCTCTTTGGAGAGACTCTCGGTGAGACCACAAGAGAGGTGTATACGTTTGATGCGTAGCACTGGATGTGTGGGGGAAGATGTACGTTTGAGGTTGCGATTTGAGTTATGGGGTTAGTGACGCGGTGGTGGGTCACCACTAGCTGAGTCAGCCAAGCTCTGGTTAACATTGGGTTTCCAGCTCGGCATCATTCAGATAGACCAATCCGAACCAATCAAGCTCCTTGAACAAGCATCCTTTGTGCCTCCACCCCTCACACAGCGGGTGCAGAACACTAATCTATATTGGAACCTGTGCGGGGTCGACCTGCAGTAGCGTTCGAAGGTAGGAACCTAGCGCCGCCAAACGCGTACGGTAAGTTCAGAGCGAGCACGGAAGATGCTCAGTAGTAAGGCCGAGACTAGTCCAGCTATGACGATACGTGCGGCATAAATCAGGTACGCGAAGGCAAGCATCTATTTTTTACTTTGTACCCACTGTCTTATCTATGATGGCTGCAACGAAATCTGATTCACACCCTCCGAAATTTGCTCCTCCGCCGTCTGCTCCGCCCTCTCCCCCTTCCCCTTCTCCGAGGCTTCGACACTCTTGTCCTCCTCCTTCTTCTTAGCCTTCTTCGCCGCCTTGGCAGCTTTGTTTTGCGCCTTCTTCGCAGCCGCCTCCTCTTTCGCTTTCCGTGCCTCTGCACCACCGAACTGCTCTCGCCACTCATCTTCCTTCTCTGGCTTGATCTGGGAGAAAAGATACGCGGCTTTGCCAATCTTGTGACCTGCGGTGATACTGGTGGCTTCCCAATCATCTGGGATGATGAGGAGGGTAGTGTTGAGCTGCGCGAGGATCGAGTCGGCGGTGCCGGGCATGTACGGCGCGATGAGACTGGCAAGGAGATGAACGTGATTGAGGGCCATGCCCACGACTGCAGCGCATTTTGCCGGATCCGACTCTAACAGCTTGTTATCGAGCCTGTTGTCTTGCAACAGTCTGTTGCCAAGGTAGGAAACGTTCATTGCGGTTGAGAGCGCAGCCTTCAGCTTTACGTCGTCCATCTCCTCGATGTATGTCTTCAAGCTGGCGTTGACATCGCGCTTGTGCTGCTCAAAGTATTCGTACTCGGCATAGCTGTAATCCGGTGCCACAGAGTCGTACTTCGCGTTGACGAACTTAATGATCCGGTTGCAGAAGTTACCCAGGTTCTTCAAAAGCTCGTTGTTGTTCGCATCAATGAAAGATCTCCAGGAGAATTCCGAGTCACCGGTTTCGGGTCGAGTCAAGAGGAGATAGTAGCGCCAAACATCAGCGGGTATTCCGGTTTCGCGAGCATTGTTCCCGAACACGCCAATTCCTCTGGACTTCGAGAATTTGCCGGACTCGTAATTCAAGTACTCGGTTGTGCTCAGATGATGTAGCATGGTCCAGGTGTCACCAGTCCCAAGTTGTGATGCAGGAAAGACAACAGTGTGGAACGGCACGTTGTCCTTGCCCATAAACTGGTAAAGCCTGACATCCTTGGGGTTCCTCCACCACTTCTCCCAGTCCTCAGTGTAGTTCGCGGTAATGCTGACGTAGCCGATGCAAGCATCAAACCAGACGTAGAGCACCTTGTCCGAATATCCATCAAGGGGAACTGCGGTGCCCCACGAAAGGTCCCGAGTGATACCACGGGGGCGCAACCCTTCTGCGAGCCAGTGTTCTGTGATAGAGATTCCGTTGTTTGACCACTTGCCCTGAGCACTGGACTTTCTTGACCACTCTTCTACAGCAGGCTGGAGCTTGTCGAGTTGTAGGAAGACGTGCTTGGTTTCTCTCGGTACTGGTGTGGCAGAGTCGAGTTTACACCGAGGGTTTATCAAATCTAAGGGGTCGAGCTGAGACGGTTAGCGAACGCACGCTGGATCAGAGAGGTAGGCTTACAAGATGACCGCACTTGTCGCACTGATCGCCCCGCGCGTCTTCGTATCCGCACAAGGGGCATGTCCCTTCAACGAACCTGTCCGCCAGAAATGACTTGTGGGTTTCGCAGTATGGCTGGGTAGTGACACGCTCCTCTAGATAACCGTTCTTGTATAGCTTCAGGAAGATGTCTTGGGCGATCTCGGTCTGTTGTCGCGTTGGGGTCCGTCCGAAGATATCGAAACCGATATTGAACCACTCATACACTTGGGAGTGTAGTGCGTAGTACTTGTCGCACAGCTGTTGCGGCGTGAGGTTTTCTTCCAGAGCTTTAGTCTCGGTCGCCGTTCCGTACTCGTCTGTGCCACAGACAAACAATGTAGGGAGTCCTCGGGCTTTACAATATCTGCTGAACACGTCCGCCGACAGGACCGAGCCTATAATGTTGCCGAGATGTGGGACGTTGTTGACGTACGGCAACGCTGAGGTGATCAGGATGTTCTTCTTGCCTGGCTCCGGCAGTATCTTCTTCTCCGAGCCCATGCTGGGCGAGAGGTCGCGTGTGATAAGGGCCTGGACTGCAGGACACCCAGTATCGGTGGTCGAACGTAGGTGAAGAGCGGCGCGTGAGCTCGTGTGATGCCGAGTGTTGACAGAGGTATTCGAGGTTTCAGTGAGGGTTGTTGCGGGATGTGAAGCGATACGTATGCTGCCAAGCTCGTCTCAACTCTTCTGGAGCCTTCGCTGGGCAGCTCTGAAGCAATCGTACTGTAGAGAACGAGCGTGAGTCAGGTATAAGTTTTGGTACTGTCCCAAGCGTCCAAAGTGGGCTGTTGTCCCTGACGGAGATCTGCGGCGAGTGCCCCGCGCTGCATTTCCAAGCCGACTCACCAGCCACAGATTCCGACGCCTCTATTGCTCAAACACATCTTCAAAGTTCTTTATCAGTGGCCATCGCAAGAAAGCCATGGAGCCAGATCCTTTTGATGGCCTTCTTGACCTAGAAGAGAGGTACTACCAGGAAGGCTATGCTCTCGGAGTGGCAGATGGCTCGAAAGCCGGCCGCATCGAAGGCCGCGTCTTTGGTCTCGAGAAGGGGTTTGAGAAGTTTGCTGCCATGGGTGCACTGCATGGGAAAGCGGCTCTGTGGGCTGCTAGATTGCCACAGATGCGACAAATTCGAGCTCTACAGGATTCATCCATTGAACATGAGCAAGTCAAAAAGCCCTTGAAAGAGCCGGGTGGTCAGAATGGGTCCGATGCCGGCAATGTAGAGGCTGACACCCAAGAGGAAGATACCCAAAGGACCCCGCAGGCAACGGCGATCACACTATCACTCCTTCCAAGCAATCCGAGGCTGGAGAAGCACATCCAAACGCTGTTTGCTTTGACGGAACCCGCCAGTCTCTCTACACAGAACACAGAGGACGCAGTATCAAACTTCGATGACCGTCTCAAGCGGGCAACAGCCAAAGCAAAGGTCATTGAGAAGATAGTCGGCGAGGGCAGTGTTGAGTCTGCTCTCGAGGGCACCGACGCCCTGAGCAACGGCGCGTCCGAGAAGCGCAGCGTCCGCCTCGCGCAAAATGAGAAGCCTGAAAGCAACATGGAGGACTTTGGTGCCAGTGCTCACCGCGCTCGGTCTTGAATAGTTACGCTCTAGATCTATCACTGTATCTGAGCGGCTGCACCATCAGTCTAGTTGGCTACTACAGGTAGCGGAGAGCCACAATGGAACACACATGCTACTGGCATCTCAGGACACGCTATTCGAAACCGGACAACTTAGAGGCACAAGACACGTTCATCTTACTTGAGGTCTTGACGGTCGAACGCGATCCAAGAAACTGGAGATCTTGACCCGTTCGTCAATGAGGAGACCACAGACTGCAACTCGAGCGTCTCCGAGCCCTGTACAATGTGCTGTAACTATCCACTTCGCCTTCCATCTTGTAGTTGTAAAGTTAGACATAGTTCAGTGGGAACGGTATAGCCAGGGGAGCCTATCGGCTGAGCTGGAAAGTAAACGGTGTTTTAAAGAATACATTGCCACGTGTCCATCGCTTGACCATGTGATTTCCAGTACAGATATGACTGTTTAACATGCATGCCCTGCCTCAAACTAACATCCTCTCGATGGCTTGAGGCGATTGATACAATCACGTGATGCGCGTTCCGGAGTGGCGTAGGATGACGGAGAAGCTCGCGTCTTCGCTGCCGGCGCTCTCCACGCGCGTCGCCGCCTGTTCAGGTAACAGCTCGAACCCAACCCAACTTGGCCTCACGACCTCTTCAAATACTACCTCACCCATTCAAATATGACCGTAACACCTGACAAAACATAGCAAAATGCCTGCGTAAGTGATCCGGCGCAGAGAGCTCAGAGCTCAACGCTAAGACTGGCAGCAGACCTGGAGACCAATACCGCGTTACGAACGGCATCGGAGCAAACCCATTCGAGGAGCGACCGCTGCGCCTCAACGAGTACACAGCGCAAGAGATAGCGACCCTGCAGAGCCGACTCTCGAAACAGCTTGGACCGGAATTCATATCTCAACGGCAGGGCGCAGGCGGGGCCAAGGTCTCCTACCTCGCGGCAGAGAAGGCGATAAACCTCGCGAATGAGATCTTCGGATTCAACGGATGGAGCAGCGAGATCAAGAATGTGCAAATCGATTTCGTGGACGAGTCGCAAAGTACCGGCAAGATCTCCCTGGGACTGTCGACCATCGTCAGGGTAACGCTGAAAGATGGGACACACCACGAGGATATTGGCTACGGTCATATTGAGAACTGCAAGGGAAAGGCTGCGGCGTTCGAGAAGGCGAAAAAGGAGGCGACTACAGATGCGATGAAAAGAGCTTTGCGGAACTTTGGCAACATCCTGGGGAACTGTCTGTATGACAAGGAGTATCTCAAGCGGGTTGAAAAGGTCAAGGCGCAGCAACCGAGGTGGGACGCGGAGAATCTACATCGTCCCACGAACATTGCACCTGCACCTGTTAAGGAACCACCAACACGGCCACCGTCTCCGGAAAAAGAAGCAAAGATTGCGCGGGTGTCTAGCCTACAGTCGAGTGTATCGAACGGGACAGATTTTGGAGAAGAGTTCGGCGGGGATGTCTTCGACGAGGTTGACTTCTCAGAAAGCCATATCGACCAGAGTATGAACGACTCTGCGTACGTTTCAGAGATACAGGAAACCAGAGCAGCTCCACAGATGCCAAAGGCTATACAACAGGTGCACTCGTCGCTTGCTCCGAGGCAGCCGAACGCCGTCCAACCACAAGGACACCAGGCAAGACCACCTGTACAACAAAGGCCTCCACAGACACCGAATGGCCAGCTCGCACGACCCCAGGTCAATACTAACCGCATGCCGCCACCGCCGAACGATGCACCACACCTTCCTCGACCTCAGCAGCAACGTTCGGGACCTCAACCACCAAATCAAAGTAACAGCAGCAGCAGTCTGCCTCCGACAAGATTTAACTCTCCCGCACCTGATTCAGCACCTCGGACAAACGACCTTAACCTACCTGACACTAACGCCCAACCCATCAACGCACCTCCGATCGGCTTCATAACCGGCCGCGCCGCAGAGCTCCTCCAAAACACCGAAGGCAACGGTCCAGCTCCCATCCCACCCAACGTCCCAGCTTTCAATCCACATGCCGAGAGCCCATCGCTCCGCCGCACGAGTGGTGTAAACCACAAAACATCCGCGCCCATCCCCCGTGACATCGCCAAACTCGGTGCTGCGGGCCTCACCAACGCCACCATACAGCAAGACGGCGGCCAGCCGAAGCCCTTGGCCCCTCTTCCAAATGTCAGCGCGCCGACTGGTGGTGGCCCTGGCAATGGTGCTTTCGCCGGTCGTCCCAACTTCATCAACCCCAACGCAGACATGAACAGGCGGATAGGAATGCCGGGCGGAGGCGTGCCAAGCCCGCTGGCGAATCGGACGTCATACAAGCCGCCGGGGCCAGCGGGAGGGAAGAGGCCGCCGGAGGCTATGGCTGGAGCGAGGCCGCCGCTAGCAGATGTGAGCAATTTGCCCGCTGATGGGGGAGGAGGTTGGGTGGAAGCGAAGAGGGCGAGGGTGGAAGGGGCATGAGGCGGATTAGGTTGGGTGAGACTTTCATCGATATCCTGTTGTACTGGGTTTGCTGGTGTTCTGGCTGGCGGGCGCTTTGAATGTTGTATCTTTTGGCATGGTATGGTAGGGCTCCGTTGCGGGCTGCAATCGTTCCATCAAGCTTCAATATAGAGATGACAAGGCTATCACGAAACAGACTGCATTATCGAGAATGACCAATTCTCGTGAAGCTTCGTTTGTCAAGTGACTGCTGAATCCAAACGCTAGTATACAAAGAAAAAGGGTCTTCATCGTTCATCAGATACCGTCGTATATTACGATTGTCATCACGCGCCCACCGACACCACGTAGGGTTTGCGGCAGGCATAAGTGCTTGACTCTATTTGGTGTGTCATCACCTGAACGGTACGAAGATGTAGAAAGGGAAGGGAAAAGAGCCTGGCTCGTTTGACCGAGCAATGGCGCGCGCCTCCATCTGTCAGACGAGGACAGTATGAGAGCACCCAAGCAGATCCAAAAAAGTAATGAACTCCTCGCATCAAGAATAAGCCCCATCGAGTTACCCCCCGTCCTCCACGACTAAAACATAATGCTCCCCCGTCACTGACGGAGAGAGATCACACTAGGCGTGCAACACAGCTGACGTGGAGGTGAGAAGGCAATCGCATAACTATCGACTCGACGAAAAGACCCTCAAGCCCGTCCTTGAATCCCGCTTACCTAGCCACGGTACCCCCAACACCTCCTGCCTTGCAGAACAGGACCTTCCCAAGAACCAAGCCTCGCAGGAACAGCGGACTCATATCTTCGCCCATAATGCCGTCCTACTAAGCAAGGGGTGAGAATATCCACGTGCGCAAGAGAGTGCAAACGGTGCAAGGCGCAGCAGGTGCAGGAGGAACGGGGAGGCCGCAATGCTTCTGTGGCGGGCCGTTGACGGCGGCGCCTGCCTTGCGGCAGGATGTCCGGGGACTTTCTCCAAGAGCATGAGAGAGGGCGCAGCGAGACGCCTCTGGTGTGAGCTCCTAATGCGATTCTTTGAGCGAGGAGTTGCAGATTCAAAGTGGTCCGACAGAGAAAAAAAGATAAGTAGCGGCGAGGTCGGAGCGGGCGAAGGTGCCGCCGACGACCCGCCAAGCATCAGGCCCGTGCACCGCAGGCAGAGAGCTCTGACAGCTTTCGAGCTTGAGGTGCCTGGTGGACGCGTGTGGAACTGCGAATATAAAAGTCGGACATCCAGGCCACGAAGGCCCATCCAACCCACTGTCAACGCCTGCACTACGTCTTCACACGCGCTGAACCCCACAGCTTCCGAAGCACCAGCATCACGTCCACGTCGCAACGCAACATCAATGGCGTCCGGTTTCAGTTTCGGTAGTGCCTCATCAGCAAGCAATCCTACACAAGGAGACATATCTAAAGACGCCACTCTCCAAAATGGACCGGAAGACAGCATATCAGATCTTGCGTGGGCACCAGTCACAAACCACCTCGCAGTCGCGTCATGGGACAAGAAGGTTAGGATATATGAAATTGACGACAACACCGGGCAAGGGGTGGGAAAGGCGGCGTTCGACCATGAAGGACCTGTTCTGAGCTGTGCGTGGTTTCAGGTACTACTCCTGTGCGCGGCTTGTATGCCGAACTTTCCGAGCGTGAACTTCGTCTGACAAACATTCATTAGGATGGTACTAAAGTCGTCGGCGGCGGCGCGGATAAAGCTGCTCGCGTTCTCGACCTGGGCAGCAACGGCGCACCAGCCATGCAAGTCGCCGCGCATGACCAGCCTATCAGATGTGTTAAGATGTATAATGACGGCCGCAACGACATCCTGATCACGGGTTCGTGGGACAAGACAATCAAGTATTGGGACTTCCGATCACAGCAGCCCGTCGCGACCCTACAGCTACAAGAACGCTGTTACACCATGGACAGGAGGAATCAGCTTCTCGTTGTGGGCACTGCAGATCGGTATATCAACGTGATAAACCTCGAGAAGCCCACAGAGATGTACAAGACGATTCAGTCGCCGCTGAAGTGGCAGACGCGGGTAGTCAGCTGCTTCACGGACGCGTCCGGGTTTGCGGTGGGAAGTATCGAGGGGCGATGTGCGATACAGTACGTCGAGGAGAAGGACTCAAGGTATGACCTCTCGCCGGGAGCTCCTTTGATCAGTTGGGAAGCTAAACTCACATCTCTTGTTGCTAGCTCAAACTTTTCCTTCAAGTGTCATCGCGATACCGATACGACTCAACGCGACGTCTCAAAGGTCTACTCAGTCAACGCAATCTCGTTCCACCCTGAACATGGCACCTTCAGCACCGCCGGCGCAGACGGCACGTTCCACTTCTGGGACAAAGATGCCAAGCACCGGCTTAAAGGCTACCCCAACGTCGGCGGATCCATCACAGCGACGGGCTTCAACGGCAAGGGCGACTTGTTCGCGTACGCGGTCAGCTATGATTGGAGCAAGGGCTATGCGGGAAACAGCCCGCAGTATCCGACGAAGATATGTTTGCACAAGATCATAGGAGATGAGTGTAAGCCGCGACCGGGTGGGAAGAAGAGGTAGTCTGGGCTTGATAGGGAAGGAAGGACACGATGAAGGCTGCTAGCGCTTCTCTTGCGGCAGGGAATGCGCCTGCGTGGAAGTTCGAAAAACATTCGCATGGTGTTCGAGGAGTTCAGGGACCTCACTGTTGAAGCTTTCAGCGCTTGATATACGAGTCCTGGGGCTTCGTATGAGAGTCAACCATCGTATCCATCCTGTGGCTATTTTGCTCGGGGATATGGACATGCGGATTGAGGGGATGAGCGCTCGCAGGCTAGCTACACCCTGGGGTTGAGAGGTGTGCATGGGGACTACGCAGGTAGCTTAGACACGTCCATGAAAGTATCATGAAGAGAATCCACCAGCCAAGCCATGATATGCACTCCAGCCTCCTGTTTCCCCGATTGGTAGTAAAGTGGTAGGTCCTGAGGTGTCGGGTCTGCAGCACCTCTTGCATGGCCTCAAGGTACCTAGCCTATCATGCAAACCCTGATCGTGTTCTGCATAAGTGGGCATGTGGAGTGCAGCGCTTGGAGAATAAGATGAGCGCTCCTGTATTTACACAGATACGACACTCACGAAGCACGGCATGTCCCAAAGGGAGTATCCGTTGCGGATGCGGAGATCAACCGAACTTGCCCGGGCGGAGGAGGCCAAGGGCAAACATCGCGACTTCGATGCCTCGATCAGGGTCCAATTAACCACTGTTCACCAGAATTGTTTGCAATCACACGAGACGCCAGGAACCGTGATCGTCGCCAGCCTTATGCAGCATCTCGTGATCGCGCGTACCCTGGTGCTTGCATGGATCCGCGGGCCGTCAACTTGTGACGAAGCGGATCCCTAGAATACCAGGGCAGACCGAAAGGAGCCAATTTCGCCGAACTGTTTTGGACTGCAGGCTTGTCGACTGCTACCGAGACCGCTCCCAGTGCTATGAAGGAGCCTACGCAGACATTCGATACGCTCTTCTACCCTCCGATCCTACCTCCGCCGTTACCCTCCTCAAATCCGATCCTAGGCCTTGGGGCGGGACTCCAACAGCCGTCGCTATGGTTTCCAGCCCAGTAAAACAACCGAGCGTAGAAGGGCGGCAGAGGAATGGTATAACGCCGAATGGAGTGGTAGGACAGGTCAATGGCGACGGGAGACAACGGAACGGCGTACAGGGGAACGCAGCTCCAAGCCCATCCAAAGCGAGGAAAGCAGTATCGACGCTGCCAGAAAAAGACGTCCAAGGCTCGAAAGCAGTGCAAGATGTGCCCGGCCTTAAGGACTACCAGTTGGGCGACTGTCTCGGGAAGGGAGCATTTGGCTCAGTCTACAGAGGGCTCAATTGGAGCACGGGTGAGACAGTGGCTGTCAAGCAGGTCAAGCTCGCAGACCTCCCTAAGACGGAACTGAGGGTCATCATGCTGGAAATCGACCTGCTGAAGAACCTCAATCACCCGAACATTGTCAAGTACCACGGCTACGCCAAGGACTCTGAGTTTCTGCACATCATCCTAGAATACTGCGAGAACGGCTCTCTCCACTCCATCTGCAAGAATTTTGGCAAGTTTCCGGAGAACCTCGTCGCCCTCTATATGTCCCAAGTGCTCCACGGACTGCTTTATCTCCACGAGCAGGGTGTCATCCACCGGGACATCAAAGGGGCCAACATTCTCACCACGAAAGAAGGGTTGGTCAAGTTAGCGGATTTCGGCGTTGCTACCAAGGCTACTGGTCTGAATGAGTCGAGCGTTGTTGGTACGCCTTACTGGATGGCCCCCGAGGTCATTGAGCTTTCGGGCGCTACAACTGCTTCAGACATCTGGAGTCTGGGCTGTACTGTCATCGAGCTACTCGATGGCAAGCCGCCATACTACAAGCTTCAACCAATGCCGGCATTGTTCCGTATTGTCAATGATGACCATCCGCCACTACCAGAAGGCTGCTCTCCCGCTGTGCGGGACTTCCTTATGCAGTGCTTCCAGAAGGATCCCAATCTGAGGGTCTCTGCTCGAAAGCTGTTGAAGCATCCGTGGATTGTTAGTGCGAGGCGGGCGGACGCTTTGATTCCAAGCAAGCCGACAAAGTACGACGAAGCTGTAGAAAGTGTTAAGCAGTGGAATGAAGCCCTCAAATCGCCAACTGGCTCTCTACGGCGTACGTCAGGGGTACGGCCGATGTCAGCCAGTCCGATTCCTATTCTCACTAAGAAGGAAGCGCTTCCGCAGCTGACGACACCCGCGCCTGTGAAGGGTGTACTGAACATACCGAAAACAAGGCCCAATCCCGATGTTTTCGCTTCGCCTGAAGTGGAGGAAAGCGACAACTGGGATGATGACTTCGCCTCTTCGATAAGTCCAAGTGCGCTTCAGCTGCCGCACTTGAGGCCTCATGACAATTTCGCCGGACTGCTATCTTCAGAGAAGCTCAAGGCATACGCATCTACGCCCTTCGATACCGTACTAGAGGAGCCATCAGGCCCCGAAGACCAATGGGACGCCGATCTGACGGTCAAGAGTCCACTCCAATATACGCACACTGATCCGCTAGAAACTGTGAAGCCGAGCATGCCGGCGAGGTCAAGGACAGAACCTGCACCGCCAGCTCGGCCAAACTCATCATCGCAGCGGCGCGGATCTCAGCCGAAGACACAGATTCTGCATGGCGCGCCCAAGGCGGCCGCACCACCTACCAAAAACCGGCTTGCTTCCCTATCGCGTCCTTCGGCACAGCTTTTTCGAGAGAACTCTATAGAGGACTACTCCGACCTTATTGCTGCCGACGATGCAGCCTTCCAAAGGAAGGTGCAAGTTCTGAAAGCCCAAGAGGAAGACTCTTCCACGCCGAAGCTGTTTCATCCGTCCGACCTCAAGAACGTGCCGCGTTCAAGCCGAAGCACTAAGAAGGGTGGCAGCCTCAGAGGCCAGCCCGTGCATATTGAAGAGCCCAAAGAGCAGACACTGCAGCGCTCAAGGTCGGCCGTTGAGATACAGAAATACGCCGAGGATCCTGAAGACGAGGACTTCTCTGATGTCTTTGGTAAGGATGCGGTGGCCTTGGCCAAACCCGACAGCGACAGTGGCTCGGAACGAAGCACTCTCCGTTTGATGAACTCGAAGCTCTCAGGATCATGGCTCGGAGACGACGAAGACGATGACGACCCGTTCGCGCAGCTCGAAGAAGGCTTTGGGGACTTTGACACTGAGGGTCAAGTCGCGCAGCAGCGTTACGCGAGGCAGTGCGGCACTGTCGAAGGCTTAGTCGGCTCATTGAAGACCATTAAAGAAGATGATGATGCACTCGATGAGATATCCGAACAGCTGTATCACGAACTGCTTGAGTCACCGGACATGAAGAACGTCATCATAAGCTCTCATGGCATGTTACCAATATTGGAGATCCTTGAGAAGTGCAAGCGGAGTGACATCGTCTCGAGATTGCTTAGGATTGTCAACATGATGGTCCTGGACAACGTTGAGCTTCAGGAGAACCTCTGCTTCGTGGGAGGGATTCCAATAATCACGAAGTATGCACACAAGAGATTTCCGATGGACATCCGGCTGGAAGCGGCGGCTTTCGTTCGCCAAATGTACCAGACCTCCACGCTCACATTACAAGTCTTCATTGCTTGCGGTGGGCTTAATGTGCTGGTAGAGTTTTTAGAAGAAGACCTCGAGACAATGCGCGACCTAGTACTAATCGGCGTCAATGGTGTTTGGAGCGTCTTCGACTTGCAAGGACCGACGCCTAAGAATGACTTTTGCCGAATATTGTCGCGGAGCTCCGTACTGTATCCGCTGTCATTGGTGCTATCTAAAATCATCGACGAGGAAGGAGAAGTCGCCGAGATCGTTGAAGGGCGCATCGTCAACATCTTCTTTCTCTTCTCCCAAGCGGAGAACCACGTCAAGGAAATCGTCGCAGACCGCATGGTACTCAAAAGAGTGCTGCAGGACCTCAAGCGCATGTCGCCGAATCACCAAATTACGATGCTCAAGTTCATAAAGAACCTTTCTATGCTAGCTACGACTCACGATGCGCTTCAGAATTCGAACGCCATCGACGTGCTTACGGAACATCTGGAGTGGAGCATGAAGCGAGCGCAATCCCGTGAGATCTCTAACCAGATCCTCAATATCATGTACAACCTCTGCAGGTTGAGCAAGAAGAGACAAGAAGACGCCGCACTCAGCGGGCTTGTTCCTCTGTTGCAGAAGATTGTGCAGACAGAATGGCCTCTTAAGGAGTTCGCTCTGCCGATCTTGTGTGATATGGCTCATTCCGGCAACTACGCGAGGAGGATGCTGTGGGAGAATAAGGGCTTGCAGTTCTACATCTCGCTGCTTTCTGACAAGTATTGGCAAGTCACTGCCCTTGATGCAATCTTCATCTGGTATGTTCTCACACCCTTACACTCATCTCACATGCGCTAACCACAGCCCCCAGGCTCCAAGAAGAGACCGCCAAAGTCGAGCAACACCTCCTCGCCGGCTCCTTCAGCCAAGCAATAGCCGACTGCTTCGCCAACCCGGACGCCTCAACCGACGCCTTCGAGAACCTGCTCGAGCCGCTGCAAAAGCTCCTCCGCCTGTCCCCTCCCGTCGCCGCCTCCCTTGCCAGCCCCGAACTCTTCACCCGCCTCGCCCAGAAACTAAACAGCAAGAAAGCAGTTGTCAAACTCAACCTCCTCCGCATCATGCGCAGCATCTGCGACGCCCACGAGGAGCAGGGCGCCCTGATCCGCTCATACGGCCTCTACGACGCCATCGCCCGCATGGCGGACCATGATCAGGCGCTCCTGGCAAGAGAGATGGCGAGCGATCTTATCAAGTCCGCGGACGCGAGTATGAGGCGGAGCATTGATGGCGCCAAGATGCGGCCGTCAATGCGCAGGTCGAGTTCCTCGACCATGACGCCCCCACCGCCGTCGCTATTCAGCAGCCATAATATGCCAATGGCTATGCCGAGTTCGCCGCATGTCAGAACGTCGGGTGTAGGAGCCAGCGGGTTCTTCGACAGCGCCGCGTTGCTGGATGCGCCGCGCTCAGCCGCTCGCGCGCCGTCGTATAGGCCCAGTAGCCGCGATAGCAGCTCGGGCTCCACTAATGGCCTCGGTATCGCGGCGTGGGGCAGTGCGGCGGGGTCGTCGACGAAGAGTCGCTTACCTAGGACGAGTGCGGCGACGAGGCCGAGTCGGCTGAGTATGGCAAGCTCGTCGGCGGAAGGCAAAGACGAGAATGTCACGCCCACGCATGCGCCGGTTGGGGGCTTGGGCGCGGGAACGGCGGCGGCAGGGAGACAGAGTGCAGCGATTAGTAACAGGAGGAGACGGCCGCAGAGTTCGGGGACGGATGGGTCGAGGTGGTCGTAGGAATGGTCCAGTGCTTTGCTGGGCCGTTCTTCTGATTTATGGGCTGCCGGTGTTTGGGGTTTCCTTTGTCGGTGTGCGCATCTCGTTGTATGGGTTGGCGGGGGGTTTCTAGCGAGGAAAAGCATCGAACTCCAGGCAACATAGTAGAGCGTGCATTGCATAGCATTCGGCGTTTGTTTGGCGTGTTTGTGGGGTTCTGGGAGCAAGTCTACGGCCTCGTTGCGCGTTGGGTTCATGGTCTAGTGCATGATAAGGTTCAGTTGTTCATGCGAGCGTAAATGGATCACGGCACCAGTTTGGCACTGTGCCCGGCTATCGGATATCAGTGCTGCACGTTTTGTGTATAAGACGACGCTCCTCGTGCCTAGGAGTGATGTGATGTCAATTCTCGCAGCGTTGACGCAGTGTCATGCGTGCACCTGACAGCATCTGTAGCATAAGCCCAGCTTATAGCTACAAAACGCAGACAGATATGAAAGATTTGCGCCCACACTCCGCCCTCTTCCCAAACCAATAGCGAAGCTTTCTATAGGACTGTACAGACAATCAGTCTTCCTATGACACAAGTGCCATACGCCCTTTGATACACTTATCCTCTACCTCTTTGGATCCTAGCAGACCTGGCCACCCCGACAGACACTCGCTCTATTCCCACCTTGGAGATCTTTTTTCAAGCACCTCACCGCACGCCATCGTTCCCCAAGAGCCCCAAGGGCCGTTCCCCCTACCACGGATCCTCCCTAACCCCCCTCTCCTCCAACTCTCTCGCCCGCCTCCTCCTCGGGCTCTCCTCCGCATCCGCCTTCTCATCCCCCCTCGCGCTCTCCCCCTCTTTAACCCCCCTCCCCACCCTCCTTCCAAGCATCCTCCACCCCGCCCACCCAACCCTCACAAACCCCCACCCGAGCCCCACTACCGCGCCCCCCAGCACGCCCCCCGGCGCCACCAAAAACGCAGCCGGACTCAGCAATGTCCCCACGACGGTGCCTGCGGCCGCGGCGGTCAGGGACCCGATGACGGCGTATTTCGCGTACCGCACCAGCCGCCAGAAGATGAAGACGGCGATGTAGCGGACTGTGCGTAGGAGGGCGCGCGTGCGGAGGCGGGTGGGGCGGTCGCGCGCGTCGTTGGGGTGGAGGAGAAAGGCGATGTTACGTTTTGCGGATGCTAGCGCCGACGACTCTGCGGCCTTTGTGGTGCTGGGCGCTTTGGTTGTAGGTGCCTGGCTCTCGGGGATGGCTGGTAAAGAAGCCATTGGAGGGGATGTGGGCGACGATGGGGTCGTTGTTTGCGGTGCGGCCGGCACCTTCGTGGTTGCGTATGCGCGAAGCTTGGGGCGGAGGGTAGGCGAAAAAGTTAGGCGGCCCCGCTTGGGGATTTTCCCTATCATTTGCGGTAGGGAGACTGCCAAGCGGAGCCGCTTACTTTTTCGTCCGCGCCCTGAAGGTGAACATCTGGGTGACGTCATACATCACGAGCATTGGCAGCTTCGTCCGGACTCAAAGCACTACAAGGCAGGTATTGTAGGTTAGGGACAGGTAATGATCGTTTCAGGCATTTTTTGTCTAATTCAAGTCGCCAACAGCTCAATGCCGCCAACCAAAGGGTCTCAATATATAGACTTGGCTACCATTTTAGACACCTCCAACGCACCATGATGCATTTGATATACATGCTTTCTTCTCTTCCTTTCTCCCGCCCGCTCTTAGACAGTCTTTACTATACAAAAGGAATTCCATCCATGAGGACTTCTGCGCGACACGCGCGGTTAGGTTAGAAAGCCCACGCTTAGCTCATCACCATGCCTCTGAGGCCTGCCATATCGCCCTCCTTGGCGGCGATCTCGAAGTAGCCGTAGATGATACTAAACAAAGGTCAGTACGCGCTGCGAGTGACTTCCGACTAAGTCATAGACAACTCACGTGACAGCCAAAAGAATACCAGTACCCGAGCCAAGTGCACCCAGGAGATCGCTAACAACAGACAACGCGCCGATGCAAGCTCCACCGAAAGCGGCAGCGGTTGGGATGACCCTCTTCAGCTCCCTGTACATGCTTTCTTCACGATGACCAGCCATGACAAGACCCTGCTCCTTAAGCTGCTTCGCGACATCCCGGGGGCTGGAACCAGAAACCTCGATCCAGGTCTTGGAGAAGATCGCACAGGCGGCCAACATGTATGCGATGAAGACGGCGGTCTTAAAGGGGTCGAGGAGGGCCTCCTTGAAGTTCAATGGAGGGGACATATAGTATGCCAGACCGGAGGTAGCGAAGAGCTGGGAAGATCCCTCGCGAGGCTCCCAGACACCGAGAAGGCGGATGAGGAGGTTTTCAGAGAAGCGGCTGTATAGCATCTGGATGGCGTTGTATTAGAGTTACACCCCTACGCAGCAGAAGGATGATACGGCTTACCTGCGAGATGAGGAAGACGTTCGAAGAGAGAGCAGACTGCAGCATGATGGGCATGTTGCTCGTGTAGAAAAGCCTGACGGGGTAGCTACCACGCATGCCACGCTGCTTTGAGGACTTGACGGGGATCTCGACGCGGAAGCCCTGAAGATAGATGACTGCGCCGAACACAGCAATAGTGGCAATCAAATTCATGATGTTCGGCAAAGACTGGCGGTAGAAGGCTTCGCGAAGTGCAAGCTGCTTGTTAGGCCACGTGACAAGGAGGTGGAAGAGAGCTGCAGGTAACCGGTCAGTATGCGAAGTACAAGAACAGCATAGGAGTGTGGTATGTACCGATGATAGCGCCTTCGAACTCAGGACCGCGACCGGTGTTGATTGTCCTAGTGGATGTAAGCAACATGTCCCGTAGATCTCCTTTCTAGTCACGGGAGGCTTACGTCGGGCTAAACGCCTTCCAAATGATTGACTCGCTAAACCCCCAGCGTTAGTCTAGAGCACAAATTCGCCGCTGGGTCAGGCTTTGCCAATGCGTACCAGATATTAGTGGCGATGAAAAGACTGATGCCACTGCCCAATCCATATCCCTTCTGCAGCAATTCGTCCAGGAGAATGACGATCAGACCAGCGATCATCAACTGAGTGACGAGCAGGATGCAGACACCGGCACCAAGATCGCTTGGCTGGCCATAGAGACCGGTCATAACGAAGATAATGGCCTGGCCGAAAGACAAGATGAGAGCAAGGAGCTGTTTAGTCAGCGATGCCACGTGATCCATGGAAGCTGGATCGCATACCTTCTGCGCTGTCTGATAGAGTTCCCTGTCGCTCTTGAGATCCAAGTTGACGTCGATGAGGTGAGTGCCAGCCAAAAGCTGGAAGACCATGCCCGAGGTGACTGTTTGCTTGTAAGCCCGGAGGTCCAAGCATCGCTTTGCCAACTCAGAACAAGAGACGCACCAACTGGGGTGATTCCAAGTTCCATCAGCGTTCCTCTGTTACTCGCCATCATCATGCGTAGCCAGTACAGCGGGTCCTTCGAAGGCATTAGCGGGGGCTTCGTGGCGAGGCGGTGTGTGGATCTAGAGAAAGTGTGCATACCGAGCTGTCCGATGATACGCTGTGGAAATGTCAGCATCGCCCAAATGGGGATGGAGCTTCGTCGAGGTAGACGTACATTCCGTAAAGTGGCATCTGGGACATGACTATACGCAGTCAGACATTGCCTTTACGAGCGCAAAAGACCCTCTTTGTGACCATGGGACGAACCCAAAAAGGCCAGAAGAACCACACCGGTCCATACTAGCTTCTGCTCATTGTCAGATGGTGAAGGCGATGTGTATACGCGCGTGCGATTCTGACCTGGTTGAATGGGACCTTCGTTTCGGGCAGCGACACCTCCGGGATGAACTGCACAAAGGGCTTAACGAGATCGAGGAACCGTACTGCACGAAGCGGCACAGAGAGTCAGCTTCTCTCCTTCAACATGCAATGGCTCGCAAGCTGGGGTTGCGGGGAAGTCCTGGGGGTAAGGGGTAGACGTACGGCCGCTCATCTTGGGCAGTTGGCGCGAGGAGGTTGCGAAAGGAGGGAGGAGAAAGGAAGGCAGAAGGTGCTACTGAGACTTGCTCGGCGCCTTTCGAAAGGTATTGGAGATGAATGCCGTCTGCTGTGCGGTTTGAATTGCTTCAAAATGGAGATACGTGTCGCTACCAGAGAGCTAATTTGTGCATTACATAAGCCATCGCCGAGGCTCGCTGTAACCTTAACCTGAGCCTCCTTTCCACGTTTCTCGGACCCCCTTATACCACCATTGACATCAATTCATGAACTATGCGGCCGTTATTGAGCTCTCATGGTAGCGTTCTCTTCTGTCATGATAATCTATGTGATTCTTGTGCAAGATTGGACGCAGATCTTTGGATTCGTTTCGCTCTGAGTGGAGCGCATGAGCCCTCGATGACCAGACCGGTCACTTAAAGCACTGGTCCCCTCGGAGAGTTGCATACATGCTGCTTATATAGGTTTCCATTGCAATTGCTACCAGGATAGGCAGTCCACATTTCGCGTCCGTCTTCGTACAGACTACTTAGAAGCAAGCCACCCCTCAGAAAAGATCATCAAGCGCCTTCTCGGAATCTTTTTTAATCAGATCGGTCATGCCCTGTCGAGATTAGCAGCGTTGTAACGCAGAGAACTCGAAGAACCTACATTGGGCATGATTGGGTTGCCGTGCGCATCCTTGACATAGCGAAATGGCATTTCCGTACTCTCATTCTTGTTAATCTTGAGTTCTGGATGATCAACGTATGGTATCCTCTCCAAAGACACTAAAGGGTCTGATTAGTATCGGCCGCAGTGGGAAAGTTGTTTGCTTTCACGAACTTTTGTTTTGCACCACCATCCTGGTTACCCGCACAGCGGTATCAGTGGTCATCTGTATGGGACCCAATCTCCTGCCTTCGAAGCCCTTCTTGCGAAGCTCGGCTGTCCGGTCTGTAAACTCTCGTCAATATCAAGAACCCCGGTAGTAGGTCACGACCAACATGCCTCTGGGCGGGTCATCACCTATACTGGCATCAGCCGTGCAGTTCCAACACATTATTACTCTTCATTCCTACCCAAAATTCCCCCGAAGAGGAAGACGTCGAAGCGCTCGCCATCCTCTGGGCTCAACTCCGTCTTTGCTGCAGGGTCAAGGAGGCATACTGTCCCCTTCTTGTCCGCATATAATGTTTCCACACTCTGGTGCTCCACACGCAAGCCTTGGGCATCCTTTAGAGTCTTCGGCAGTTGGAGACTCTCTGGGACTGAAGAGAGAAAGAACTGAGCTCCAGCGTTATAGGACTCTTGGGCGATTGCCTTGTACTCCAGAGCTGACCACTGCTCGAGCTCTGGGTCCAGATGCTCTACGACGTAGGTCTTCATGCTTCTTTCCGGTCAGACCGACCGAAAGCCGGCACTACTTGAGTCCCCTGCGAAACGTTTGACAGAGAATTGCAGGATCGGTTCCGTGGGCACGGCACTCGCCAGTGGTGATGTCCTTGTCAACGTCCCCCAGGCTGGTCAGGTGCAAACTGCGTGATTTAGAGAGTTGCTTGGCGGTAGGAAAGGAAAGTTTTGATAGGATTGATGGTGGAGAATGCCGGTTTCTTTGGCTCCGGTCAACAACCCGGCAGCCGCGCCGATCCGAACCGTGAAATTTAAGGGTGGATATCTGAGTGAGAAGACCACTCAAACAGGTCGAGATGCGGGATTATGCGAGTACGACAGCTGGGACTATGACGTCTGAGTTACAAGAACAGCGTGATCGATGATTGTAATAATCTTACCTCTCGAACAAAGCTGGAGCCTTCACGCTGAACCTGCAGGAGATTTTTCAAACGCAGGTTCTCAAGCGAGTGGTTGACAATCCGCGTGACGTTCGACTGGAAACCTTTGTCCGAATGAGCGCCCTTCCGTGCTGATCACCCTACCACGACAACAACAACAACCCTCAATCGTCCAGCTTCTACAAGTACCCGAAACGTAGGAATACACCTCTGCGGCAATTGAGCACCGATTGAAAGCTCTTGCTGAGCTTGGGAGCATAGTGTCCACGTCTCCGCAGCCCGCCGGTGTTTTACCTTCAGACCAATATCCCTTGACCCCACCATCCAGCATCCGCCGTCGAAGCAGGAAACAGCTCCACGAAGGACAGCTTCAGCTGCTGAACGAGACACATCAGCGAGACTCCCACGTCAAGCGTGTCGCACTGTGTACCAGTAACGGCCCGTAATTACAACCCTACGATCGGTGTCGTCACACGCCTGAAACACCTCGGGCGTCCACTGCTGCTTGTTGAGTAACACCCGGCAGCGGGGCGTTTCCACGTCGACCACGCGCAGCATACCAAGCAACAGCAGCTCGCGGTCCCCACAGAAGACCTCCCACACCACAGCATCTGACTCAACGGCTAGACCATTTGAGCCAGAACAACTTAAGGGAACACAAGGACCCGAATACCTCACCATCGGAACAAAGCAGAGCATCAACAACACGCTTTACAGCTCCTCGGCAGCAATACCTCGAACTGAGAAGGCAAACGTCGCACACAGTCTCCAGCCGCACACCATGAATCCTCACCAGCAGAACAAGGTGGACATAAGCGTAGGTTCCCCACACAATTCCAGAGCTCTCAAAGTTTGCCGAAAGGGAACAGGCTAACTCGCCGATTTAGTCCCTATCGCCCGACGAGCAGCGGCTCTTCCGGCTCTATGGCAAGCTTCCCAACAAGAAGGACCTCCTACAGAACAAGCTGAAGGTAATTCTCCTTACCCTCCTTCTCCGTCCTCCCTCGACCCCTCCTCCAAAACTCCATTCTCTGCCCCCGAATTCCGCCCCACCTCCCTAACCCCCACTAACAGCCTTCCGCCAGGAACGCAAATATTTCGACAGCGGCGACTACGCCCTCTCCAAAGCCGGCAAGGCCTCGGACATCGGCGTGACCCAGATCGGGCGCGAGCACCCGAACCCAGAAAACATCCCGCACTCGTCTCTCTCGACGTCGCCGCACTCCAACGGCAGCATCTCGATGCCTGGGGGGATTACTCTGCCGCAGCCAGGCATGGCGGCAGGGACGGGGGCGCTGAGCAGGAGTCCTGTGAAGGAACGCGAGGGCAGCTTTTTGCAGCGGCAGACTAGTGTTGATGAGGTGGAGGATGGAGAGGAGGAGGAGAGGAGGGCGTAGGTGGGGTGGAGGGCGTGAGGGAGAAGAGAGAGAGATACCGGCTGCTGCAATGGGTGGGGAGATTGTCGGGGAATCAACATGGATCATACGGCTGTTCTCTGCTGTGGTTGCTCTCGGCATTCGTGCTTTGTGCCGATCGTGGACCTTCCTTTGCTGAGGCACGACGTCAGACACGCGAGATGATGAAGTGGTGTGGGCTGGGCGTTATGGGGTTTATCGATTTGTCTCGAGATGGCGGCTTGGTGTGAGGGCCATGATGGTTACGATTTCTGCTTCGGCGCCCACTTGGTCTCTTCCTTTTCCGGGTCTCTCTACATGTATCTTACTTGCTTCTGGTGTTCTGATGTTGCTACGCCCGTATACGGCCAACAATATGCAGTAGCTTTATCGATCAATGTCACTGGAGTCTTGAGAACACATTGCGTGAGCACTCTGAACTTGAACTAGGAACTGAAAGGCCATTTCCAAGGATCAACGAGGTCGGTCCTATGTTTCCTTTGCTCTATTTCGTATGCATGTCTACTAGCTAGTAATATTGCAACTCATGGTCTCTGCCATCTCTGGATTAAGCCATGGGCTATCCCTGCCCAAGCCGAGAGACCGGTCGATTCGAAATCGATTGGGTCAAGTGTCATGCATGCAGCATCATTTTCTCATCACTCATGAGCCCCTGGAAACCCGTCTCACCGCCCTCCAACCACATTCAACACTCCCCCATCGACCGCCAAAATCTCCCCGTTAACATAAAGATTCTTAGTCAGAAACAGCACCGCCTGCGCCATCTCCTCGTCACTCCCCGCGCGCTGCGCCGGCACATGTCCCTTCTCCTGGATCTTCTCAGCCGGCAGCTCGCTCTTCTGATCACCGCCTGACTCGCTGGTCGTCATCTCCGACGGGAAGTAGCCCGGCGCGATACTGTTCACCCGCACCCTGATCTTCTGGAACTCGGCACTCATGAGCTTGGTGAGGTGCACAGTTCCGCCCTTGGCGGCGTTGTAGGAGAAGTGGCCCTGGGAGTCGCGCATTATGCCGCTCATGCTGCTGATGACGATGACGGAGGCGTGAAGATGGCCGCGCTTCTTGGTGGCGGCTTGGAGGAGCGGGAGGAAGGCGACGGTGCTGAAATACACGGCCGCGACGTCCGTGTTGTAGGTGTTGCGCCAGTCTTCGAACGTCTCGTTGTCCCAGAGTTTCGCCTTGAGGTCGCCGGCATCTTCGGTGTCGGGCGCGGCTTTGGTGCTCGTGATTCCGGCCGCTGTTAGGAGGAGATCGAGGTGATCTTCTTTCTCGGAGAACGCTTTGACGCATTTCTCGAGGTCGTCTTTGGAGGTCACGTCGCAGGGAGTGAGAGGGATGATCTGGCCGTTGCCTGAGTCGGTAGGGCTGTGCGACTCGGCTGCCTTCTTTAACGCTTCTTCGCGGCGGCCGATGATGTAGACTTTGGCGCCTGAATGGAAGTCAGCGGGGGCCTTTTGTGACCGTACAGCGAAGGAATCGGAAAGGGGACGAGCGGACGAACCGTTAGCAGCCAGAGCCTGAGCAGCCATCAAGCCAATGCCTGAACCGCCGCCTGTGATAACGCAGACATAGTCCTTGACGGAGAAGAGCTTCTCGACTTTGAGATCTGATGTTTGAACCATTGTGAATGACTTGGAGGGCAGAGAAGGATACGACTGCTAGATGTGCTGTATATATGATCAATGGAGACTTGAAGGTGGGTCGCAGTTTTGGTCGATTTTTGCTCCACCATTTATGGCGGAAGCTCTTTCTGGTGAAGTTTCCCATGAGAGCGGGATGACGTGTGAAACGTCCCGCGTCGATCCAACGTTCGTCACTCTACCCACGTGACCCGATCCTGAGACACACGGCGTTGGCAGTTGAATTCTGAGGAATGTGAAGCTGAACAAGGCACCTAGGCAAAGGCAGCACACACTCTCCGATTGACAGTGGAAAATCATTTGGGTTGGCGCCCGCACATCCCGCACCTGCAGTAGCTCTCAGCTTCTATGATCGTCTTGCCGCGATTCGATTAGTGCTATCTAGGGATACGTCTGTATATACAGTCTTGTTCTCTTAGTGAAACCAGATCGTCGCAGTAAGAACATATATCCAGGTTCCACTGCTCTGCGTCCAATGGGTCGATCTCCGTCTCCACCGCGGTCGGACGTGCTTTGAAGGCAGATGAAGTAGGGAGCTGCCGCGCATGGCAGCTGAGGGGATCAGAGTCCCTCGAGGTGGGAGGTTGATTTCGACGGTATTGCCCAGCTTCATGCTGGAGCCGCCGGCAGTTTGCGTGATGTCAGTAGTGTCAACCGGTGGTTTCGTGCCTGCGCTTCAGGCACCGGTTGGCGGAGGATTACCCCTGGTTAGAGGATTGCCGCTTCGAGGTGAGCGAAGCTTGTGCATGCTTCCCTGGTATTTCTCTTCTTTTCTTTCCTTCTTGCACTGCTGAGCTCAACAGTGGACTCCCTTGGCCGCTCAATCCGATTTCCAGTGGCTCGTCAGCCGAGTATCGTCGTCCGCCTTTCCGAGATACAACTCGATAGCGTAGAGGCCCATCGTGCAAGCCAAGTTGATCCACCTCCAAAGGTTTCCTCCAGCATCGCCCCCTTGGCTTGTCCACCACTCTCCTGGCCCACCTTCGCCGCTTGTCGAAGCGAAGTGCTGCATCAGTAGGCTGGTATAGACCGCGATCAAGATGCTCGGGCTAAACCAGCTCAGGAAGCCAAGTGCTTGGCCGGCTTGGTCGTCGTCATCTAATGAAGGCTCTTGTGACAGCGCACGAGCTCCCGAGGCTTGGATGGCGGGAATGATGCGGGCGGCCGAGTACATGACGAAGACTCGGTAGGCGAGCGATATGATGACGGACGGTGTTATGGTCATGATGGCGGCTACGACGAAGTTGAAGGCGGAGTGGATGGTCGATGGTAAGCTGGACAGCACGTGTACCAGCGTCGTGTACGATGCCATGATCAGCGGAGGAAGCGGAGGTAGCGCGGGTTGCGATGGAGGTGGAGGGGACTCCATAGGGTGGGATGGCTGGTAATCGGTGAAGATCTGGTATATACATAGTGTAACGTATGCGAACTGTGAGAGTTGTGCGGTCAGCCATTGTTGAGGTGGAAGCTGGGTATTGACATGATCGATGACCCACTCCGGCTCTCTCTTTCATCGAGAAAGCCGGAATGCAGAGTCCGTCATCCAGGTATACGTACCAAAAGAGAGCTTTCAACTGGATTGCCCCTTCCACTGCCTATGCCCCAGGAGCAGAGGAAGATAGCGCAGGTGATGGCCGCGCCGATCAGTATGGCATCGACGTTGCTGATTTCCGGGAACGTGGTGATCCGCCAGAGGAAGTAGACAGAGCTGGAGATTATGGAGGCAGAGACGACCAGCAGCCCGATCTAAGGCAAGAGTTAGCGGCAAGTCTCAGTAGACATTTTGCAAAAGACATACCATCCAGCTATCGCCTCTCTCGCGATTCACTAGCCACCTTGTGATTTGACCACAAGCCTGTATCACCAACAGGCTGCAAAAGCCCTCCCCAACCTGAAACACCGGGGTCGACCAGTGCAGTATTTTGTCCCAGCCCCCTATCGTGACCGTTTCCACAAGCCCTCCGCGACCGAACAGCCACTCGCTGAGAGTAGTATCCCGTGCTCTTTTGAAGTCGAACGTCCTCCGCACCCATCCAGCGCCATGATCCGCATCGACCGAGAACTTGTTCAGGCTCCATATCACCAGCGTCGGGATCACGAGCCATTGCGTCCAGGCAATGAGATGAATCAACGCCCGGCGGTATTTCGAGTGGTCCGGTGTGATCAGCCGTAGTGTGGAGTAGAGGAAGTAGTAAGTCGCGAGGGATAACGAGAAAGCTAGGCCACAGGTCCTCCCGCCGACATCGAAGGCCAGGGGCACGGTGAAGATGACGGCAGAGAGGAAGATGATCGAGGACAGGACTCGCGTCAGCCACATCAGCACGTTTGACGCTGAGCTCGCGAAGGAGCGTGCTCAGGCTGAGTCGATAGCGGATACAGCGGAGGCTTTCCGGCACGCAGAGCACGCGCACTCGGCGCGGAGAGGATAGCAAAACTGGCTATCAGACACCCGACGGAGTATATACGGCCACGGTATCCGTCTCGATATGCAGGAGAGGTGACACAATGAGGCGGCGGCGGCTGTTGCTCGCTGTCGGGTGGCCTTGGCGGGCTCGTCTTTCACGTGCAAACCGCTGGTTCGAGGGTCCCCGGGCCTGCTCAGAGCTGGTGCGCCTCGACTGATGGCGGTGCGGTTGAAGTGCTGGCCGCTGGTACGGTGCCCGGCTGGTAGCCTCGCTGCGTTTCAGGCACGAGGAAGAGGTGCTCGTGTCGCTGTCGCGTGCTTCGTCCAGGATGCTGCAACCCCCACACAGAATGCAGCTGCAAGCCAAAAATCGCTGGAGAGCGATGCCGATGCCGGTGCTGCAAATCGACTGCAAACGAAGGTCTCAAGCACTCGAAAGCTCTGGATGGGTTTGAAAGGGAAAGGGAAAGGGGAGGTAAAGAGTAGCCAGAAGGGGCGAGTAGAATATGACAGGTGTACCTTCTCTACGTAGCAAGCACGACTGGGATGCTGCCATCTTCCAAGGTCGAAATGAGCTACCGCCCGCCCTCCACACGCCAAGCTTCACCGTCCGCCAACCGAGCGCGGGACGTTTTATGGCGGCGGCAGGAGCTTTTCTCGCGAAATGATTGTCGACGCTCATCAGCGTTCAATTGCTCACCGCTCACCACAGTTCAACTAAGCAACACTTGCATGAGTATCCCGGCGCGTTTCTGTCATTACAGACCTTTCTTGGCGCCTCTCAGACCACAACTGCGGTTTACCACCACCACCCGCATGCCCACCCACCACCGCCAGCAATCCACTACAGAAGATCGCTCCGCAAAGCGCCTCAGAATGTCCGGGCCCGTTATCGGCACGCACAGCGGGCACTTCCACGCCGACGAAGCCCTCGCAGTGCACATGCTGCGCCTGCTCCCGACCTACCACGACTCCCCCCTCATCCGCACACGCGACCCCGAGAAGCTCTCCACCTGCCACACCGTCGTCGACGTCGGTGGCGAGTACGAGCCCTCCCGCAACCGCTACGACCACCACCAGCGCGAGTTCAATACCACCTTTCCCGGCCACGGCACCAAGCTCTCCTCCGCGGGGCTCGTGTACCTCCACTTCGGCAAGGCGGTCATCGCGCAGGTGACCGGGCTGGATATAAACAGCGAGGATGCAGAGGTGCTGTACCAAAAACTCTACGACGACTTCATCGAAGCCTTCGACGGCAACGACAACGGCATCTCCGCGTACGACACGCGCGCTCTCAGCACCGCAGGCATCAAGAAGCGGTTCGAGGACCGCGGCTTCAGCATCGCCTCCGTCGTGAACCGGTATAACCACCACTGGTCATCCTCCGAGGAGGCTCAGAGCAAGGAGGAGCAGCAGGCAGCCGAAGACGCGCGTTTCCTCAGAGCCTCGGCCTTCACAGGCGAGCAGTTCGAGCAGGAGCTCACAGACAAGTTCCGCGCCTGGCTGCCCGCACGCGCCGAGGTGCGGAGGGCGTTTGAGAGCCGGCAGCAGTGGGATCCCCAGGGCCGGATTATGGTGATACCGTACAAGAAGGAGGGCGTGCCGTGGGCAGATCATCTTTATGCGCTCGAGGCGGCGGATAATGTTACGAATAACAACCACGCGCAGGTGCTGTATGTGCTGTTTGCGGAGAACGGCGAGCCGGATAGCAAGTGGCGGATCCGTGCTGTGAGCGTGGAGGGAGGCGGGTTTGAAAACAGGAAGGACTTGCCGGATGCGTGGAAGGGGGTTAGGGATGAGGAGTTGGATAAGGTCAGTGGGATTAAGGGATGCGTGTTTGTGCATGCGAGTGGGTTTATTGGGGGGAACAAGACATTTGAGGGGGCGCTGGAGATGGCGAGGAAGGCTGTTGAGGCGTGAGAGGAGCAAAGGAACGGCATGTGGGGCGTTGCAAGAGGTTGACAAAAGTGTAGCGGCGGACCGACGCCTTCCTCCCGGTCGGGTTGGCTACTGCCCATGGTCGCCAGAGCATATGGAGTTCTGTCCTCGTTGTGGACACAAAACAGCCGGATGGGTGCGGCTTGGAAGGAGGTAATATCGACCTCAGCACTGCAACCTTGGGACTCGACCGTGCATGCTTGTGTGCAGGATCCGTCTCTGGCTACGAGCACTCACTGGGTAATCTTGTTTGGCCACAGCGGGTGTTTGGTCCGTCCGTAATGATAAAGTATCACCACCTAGAACGATAGACTTTACAGTCAAACCATGTATCTCATAGACCAATGCAGCGCTTCAAGACGTGACTAACTCATCTACGGTGCCGTCGAGTGTGTGTTCTATGACTGCGTCTTCTCTAAAATTGAGTTGTGTGTACAACTTATGACAAACAAGCCTGACAACCCCAGACTCATGTATGCTTTAGTATCCAAGAGATACGCACACATTGAAACCAAAGTAGCGTGTTTCGAGTGGATGTTGACCCGTATTCGGGAGAAATATGTGCGCTCAAGTGATTGAGTTTCCCACTCATACGCTTTCGTGCTGCAGTTATAGTCAGATATACTGGCGACTGTGAACGTTGAAAACCAAATTACAGAGAAGCGGTAGGAATTTCAAAAGAACAATACTGGTCGTTATAGTAGTCATAAAGTTACAGTCCCAACGAAGCGTTTTTGGCTTCGCTGTTTCGGATTTGCCTCTACGTTGTGGTTATAGGTTGTTGGTCCCGTACTTAATTACTGGGGGTCTAAAAGGCCTCTGAATAAAGAACTGAGGGAATGGGCAGAAGTACAGCGGACCCGTGTGCTGCAATCCAACAAGGCGGTATGCCCATAGGATCAGGCAAAGAGAGATTACTCTTGAACTTTTGGGCAAAGCGAAATTATTTGGGGAACATGTACATCTCGGAGAAGGCCACTTCGATATTCAGACCAGCAAGAGTTATATTCCTACTCCAGACGCTCTCAAGGGGCATCCACCCAAGCATTGCGAATCCAGCAGCTCTGCTCGTCGAGCTCATTTCTCTCCCTCCGACTTGCTCAAAGTGCCTGGGTTGTGAGCAACCGGCTTGCCCCGCTGGTCGGTGAAGAGGACCTTTGATCGTACGCCTCAGCACTGATTATGGAACCATGTGCTAACAGAAGAAATCGTGGAGAGAAGAGACCGGGATATGGGACGAAAGTACAACACAGGGGCTCAAAGTAGAGGAACCCAACGCAGCCGCGACAAAGAGAGAACTAGCTCACCTTGGGCGGATTCTTCACTCCCTCCTCCTCAGCTTCTTCCTTGGTCGTCACGATCTTCTCGACCTATTCGCTATCAGTCACTTGAGTTCATTGAGTACAACTGATGACCGATGAAGTCCTAGACAACGGTTGTGTGTCGAGAGACCAGGGGAAGCATACATCACCTTCGTGGCGCCCACCGCGATATTTGGTGTAGACGTGGTCGCCTTCGTTAATGGGCTCGCCCTCTTTGGACTTCACTTGGTCGGCCATTCTCGCAAAACACACTACGAGGTTGACTTGGTCTTGTTCCTGCACTTGTACGGCTTCTTGCTTTCGACTGTTCAAGTGTTCCAAATGCAAATATCGTGGGGCACATGTGACGTTAGCCACTTTCCTTTGGTGATGCCATCCTTACACAGCGCATCATGATAATCACCTTCATCACCAGACACTGTGTGCAGTCATCGATATCGCATTAGATGATGAACGTTGCTCCGTGTTGATATGATTTTTTATTTCTGATCTAGAACGAAGACGAAGCCCAAGGCGAAGAACCGCAGTATTTACAAGAACCCGAAAAATGAACGCGTCGAAGCAACACCAGATGATATTGCTAGAGTTTTTCTCGCGGAGAAGACGCCAGCCTCTCCCAAATCCCTCTCCACAAAACAGCGCCACATGAATGCCTGTGCATTGTCCCAGAATGCGATCATGAACAATTCGTGCAAAGCGCTGACCGAAGCAACGCTAGCTCAGGAATGATCGACACGTCGAATCTCTCAGAGACTCAGAACATGATTGACTAGGCGGCTGTGCGCTTAGGAAATGAAGCTCCACTTGGCACCACTGACGCGGCCGTCACCGAAGTTGGTGACGGTGTTGAAGAAGCCGTTGGACAGGTCGAGGTCGCCCTCCTTGCAGCCCTCGCAGCGGTCGACGACGGTGGCGACGTGCGACTTGCCGGCGTATTCGATGCTGACCTTCTTTCCGCAGATGGTGTTGTGGTTCGGGTTGCCGTCGACTTTCGTCGCGTCATATAGGACGTGGCTGACGGCGACGATGGGCTCGGTCGACCCGGACACGATGCCGCAGGAGCCCATGCCGGTTACGTACCAGGTCAGCTGACCGGTGTAGGTGGCACCGCTGCTGCTAGTACTGGCAACGGCGGCCTTCTCGACTGGAGCAATAGACACGACTGGAGCGGCAGAGGAGACGGGCGCGACGTATGTTGAAGAAGGAGCCTCGGTCGTAGCGGGAGGCGGCGGCGGGACATAAGTCGACGAGGGGGCCTGAGTGGTGGTAGGAGTCTCAGTGGTTGTCGGGGCCACGTAGATCGACGAAGGGATCTCAGACGTGGTAGGAGCGACCTCAGGGGTAGAGGTGGTTGGAGCCACATAGAGGGTGGAGGTGCTCAAAGAAGTTGTCTCGACGGTCGAAGTCGAAGTGCGAGTGCGCGAGCGGCTGCGGTTCGGACGGCCGGTAGCGTTGACCCAAATGGTCTTGGTGACTTGGACAGTCTCGACAACTTCGGCGGTCTTGGTGACCCAGACAATGTCACGCTTGGCCTTCATTGGCACCGCGGAGACGGAGAGGAGGAGGGAGGAAAGCGCAAAGATGCTGATGTTCTTCATTGTGAATGATTGTAATTGGTCGGTTGCTGCGATAGCAAAGTGGGTGCTTGTAAAAGCAGTAAAGAATGATGGTGCTTGCGAGCGACGGTGCGGTCCGGCTGGGGAATGAGAGAATTGTCTAGCAACTCGAGTTTTGAAGTTCGCAGGTAATTGCAGGTAATTGACCGGAAGCCTGAGGCTTGATGGACAAAGACTGAGCTTCAAAGGGAAGGATAATGAGATGCTAGATCCCACAAAGAGCCAATGAGCGTTTGGGTAAAAATGAATGTAATGGACGACCGCGTGCAAGACCTCAAGCCTGTAGAGAGCGAACAGGATGTAGGTGGGAGAGCAACGGGTTCTTGTAGGTTTAGGAGATGGCAAGAAAAATGGTGACAGCGCAGCTGGGAAGGCATCGGGTCAGAAAAACGAGCAGGGGCCCATGTTTTCTCCCATCACAATCACTCAACGCCAATCGGATGGCCTGCAGGCTTCAAGGATGCAAGACCCAAAGCCATCACATCCCGCACGCCCAGAGACGCCAAAATGATCCGTCGAGCTGCCGGCCGCTCTTCCCTACAGCCCTGGCAAGCCTCTGATTCAAGTCTTAGCGGGCTTGCCCGTGCATGAGTGACTAGAGTTTGGAGCTTTGATGACAAGTGTTTTGAACTTTTCTTTGTCCGGATTCAGCGCGACATTGCCGTGGCTGTAATGATTCCAGCTGGAGTGTCAGCTCTCTTTTTGGCTCTTTCGCATTGTTGATTACCCCGTACCTGTCAGACGGTAACACGCGGGAGGACGGCAGGTTCAGCCCGCATGTTAAACGGCTGTTTCAAACTGTCCAGTGTAGGTTAGACCACGCAGCTGTCTCGGATCCCACTGCAGCTGACAGTCAGCAACACCAGCCGGCTGTCAAGGTTCGATTGGCGACGATCCTCAGGCACCGTCCAGGGCCGCGGCGCTCTTAGCGTCAGGGGTGGATCTCGCAACGCCACGAAACCTCGTGTTGAATCTCCTGGAAAATTTTAAGCGGCCCGCTCTCAACAGCAACGAGTCGGTTGCATGTGCCACGGATAAGTTATTCGCCATGTTTTACGAACGTCACACACGTGGCTCTGCTTCGCTGTCAGAGACGATTTCGCCAGCGTCAAAATTCTGCACTGAGAGGATTTGGGGGCGACGACAGGTGTCGCCCAGCTGTCGCCGGAACGCTGCACGATGATGGTCCTCATTTCGCAAATGCGACGGCGTGAGGTCCAGCTTACGACCGCCTTACGAGCCTTTGTCGTTCCAATTCGTCCGGTTTTACTTTAGGCCAGTGGATCATCCAGATGCGTGAGTCGCTCATGCTGTCTCAGCGACCGCAGTTGCATTGCGCGAAAGTCAATGCAAGCCTGGAGTCTTTTCTGCCCAGTCACGCATCACGGCAGATAACTCCCCAGCGACTCGCCGACGCACTCAGGCGCAGTGGGGTTCGTTTGCGCGATTTCTTCCTCGTGCATGTCCCACCAAAAGTCTCTTTGTTTTTCTCTGCTTGTTCTGTTCTATGACGAACCCCGTGCAGAAAGAAATTACTTGTGGGCCCGTTCGTCGATCTCACTGGACGGCTGCAGCCCTAGGCTGATGGTTCCTTGCGGCAACGGCACGGCCTTGACATTTTTCAAGCTTATCGCAGCCGAGTCGCAATCGATACGTACCCATCTCCACAACTTCCACGCTCTGGATTCTCCAGCATTCGGGAATGACCGGTAGACCGCCTTCTTCCGCACGCTGCTTATGAACGGCAGTTCGACGGAAAGCAGTTCTTGACGAGCGGCGGAGGCATCGAGCTCCGCAGTAGTACCGGCGCGGTTCAGTTGAAGACGGCGTTCCTCCGGCACAATTGTCTCCATGGCGGATCGGACTGACAACAGGATGACACCAAGAGCCCGCCGTCAGGCTTGCCAATGGGCCTTGCGAATGGGAAAGCGGTGCATCGCTCCGCGGTAACCCGGAAGCAGCAGACGAATCTCCAGTTCGCATTTCTCTGGCCACCAAGAACCATCCACGTTTACCTCGGTGCAACCATGAGTCTTCTGTGTTGGATGCATCGGTAACAAGCTCGCGCCTGGACACAGTCGCGGCCATGGTGCTTCGAGACAGGGCCATGTTCCTTTCCTGTCTCTAGCCTCTTTGCGGACCGCATAGGATCGTCAATGATTACGAGGCCTGTGGAATCTGCGACCCTTAGTCTTGGCGGCCTTTGGGCATGCTGTACGACCTCTCGAGTTCTAGAAACCTTGACGCCGCGGTAACTCTATCCCCTCTTAGATTGCAATGAAGATCGAAGTGGCTGTGAAATCGCAAATGTGAACGAGCTTGATTGTTTCGAAGTCGGCGAAATGGGCGGAAAGAGTAGCCTTGGCAACCCGACGCTTGGTGGGGTCACGTCACGTGAAACTAGCCTTCGTCGACTCTCACGACGTAGAAAGTGATGCACCACATAAGGCATGTATTTTGCGCATGCCAGGTGCTGTCTGAGTGCGGGAGCAATGGTAAGATTTCTTATGCCCAAGTCCGACGGTGTCCCTGGTTCTTACATACACGTCGGATTGGAAAAATACCCACTACGAGTCAGAGATGTAGGGCTTTATCAACATCAATCTCCATACATTGATCATGGTGTTTTTTTCATCATAAAATGTCAAGGGCTCCCCTAAGCGGCAATGCCTCGCTCCTTCGTGTACAGCATGCCGTGCTGGGCTTCAAAACGGCGCTTGCATATCCTGACACGACTGTCATCCGTACAACGGTGAATCGCCGATTTTCTGCCTCTTCATCAGACGTATAGCCTATCCCTCTTTAGCTCCCCCAACGCTCCGTTACCCTCCGCGCTGGCAAAAGCCACATGTCCTACCTGCTCCCTCGGTCTCACATCCGCAATCCTAACATCCACACCCTTCAACACCTGCGCCCTTTCCATTGCCCCTAGTATCCCTCCGCCTGGCGGTAGCGCAATGTACGGGTTATCGTACGTCATGCTCGCCACGTAGCCTAGCATATCCGGGGCCCTGCACCTCCACTTGAGGAGCACGCCGGCGGCGCCAACCAGCAGCAGAACGAGGGACGCGACCTCGAGACAGGCAAGCCAGATAAAGTTGCACTTGTAGATTGGGATCGTCGTCATTACCACCGCGGTGGTGGGCATGGAGAAGAACGGCAGGTCGTCAGATGTGGCGCTCAGGAAGGTGCCGTTGGCCATGGTGCCGTTCCGGAAGGGCCCGAAGAGGTCGAGGTCGTACTTTGTGCCCGCGAAGGCGTACGGCGCGATCGAGAGCTGGTAGTAGGTGTTTAGTATCTGCGCGAGGCGGGTCTCGAATACTTCTTTCGCTATATCCCTCATCGCCGGGGTGGACCCGTCGGTGCCGAAGGCGAGACGCTGGAAGGGGCTGCTGGCGCCGCGGATCAAGAGTTCGGTTGGCGTGGCGTCACCGCTGTGGAGTTTGCCGGTTGAGATTGGGAGGTTCATGAATAGGTTTCCCAGGATCGTTGGATTTTCTAGGGGTGTGAGGTTGGGGTTGCGCTTGCCGTAGGCGACGGACTGCCGCATTTTTCTGACCTTGCAGGCGCCTTTGGTGCAGTGGACGCGTGAGTCGACATATTGTTGAAGAACAGTGCAATTTCGAAGGACGATGCTTGTACCGCCAGTCGGATCGACGTCCTTAGGGGTATAGTACTGAGAGCCGAAGAGGATGTTGCGCGGGGAGCTGAGCTTGGGGTCCGCCTCGGAAGTTGCGTTGGTGTCATTGAAGACAGCATCTTGCCGGGAACCGGAGACATTGAGGTTAGAGTCAAGAAAGAATCCAGTCTGTTTGTTGGCTTTCGTATTGCTGAAAACTCCAGATCCGTTGTTACGGGCCCAAACGACGCCCAGCTGAGCCACCCACCACGGGTCTTCGTTGCTGATATTGTATTGTATGGGACAATCCAACGTCATATAAGCGGATGTGATATCAATCTCCGACTCAGCGTCCTCAGGCAAACCGATAATGGGGAGGCCAACTAGTGCTGTGAAGTCATCCGATGATCGGACTTCCGCCGACTCTATCCAGCCATCACTGTCTTTCTTCGTAGCGTCCAATCTCCCAATCGACGGGATCTTCACATTGCCCCAGACATCCTCCCCGGCATTCCTGATCTGTATCGGGGCAAGCAACACCGAGTTGTAAAGCGAGTTTACCGCTGCTACCTGCGTGGCCGTAGTGCCCATTGAGAAGGTACCGAAGTTGACCTGTTCCATCCTCATGCCTCCTGTGGGCAGATAAACAACCTCGGTGGTGCCGTTCGTAGTTCTCTCGGCCTTCTCCAATACCCGTAGAGAAGCTTGACCTCCAAGCGGCGAGAGCGTCCATAAGAAGAATAGGTGCACGCCAACAACGGACAGCGTCTTGAGAAGGACCTGGCTTTCGAATGTGCCCCATACGGTCTGGCTGGCCATTAACAACTCCAGTGTCTAGTTTCGCCGTTGTCAGTCGCAGAAATGTTCTGGTCCCCATATGAACAGGTGAAGCAGCGGTCGACCTGACGGAAAGAACGGAATTGTATGACATGGACATTCAAAGAGCCATCACGTACTCCTAGCTTGGCGCCCCTCTCTGCGAGGAAGCGTGCCGTTGTTTTTAATGCACGGCCAGCAACGGCTGCAAAAACGATAGGGAAGAGTGAGGGGCCCTAGTAAGCGGTCAACAGGCGTTCTATAAGACGCACAATTCCTACTTACCAACTGCATGGCTTGCTCGATATCCTTGCCGAACTCATTGTCCTTCTGCGGCTGCTTATGCAGCCTCAAAGCGCAAAATCCTAAGGCTGTAACAATCAGACATGCTCCCCCTGGCGGGACTGAGCTTCTCGTTACCAACAAAGGCTATGGGAGCCAGGGCCAAAATAACATCTCCGACTGCGAACAAAAAGGAGAAGGCCGTTGTATGGTGCAGCTTCCGGGGCGCATCGTACCAACCGAGCAAATCCTTTGAATTTATGGTGCTGCATGTGACAATCTTTGGCAGCTTGTACTGCTCTTTGTTGGGCAATGCCTCTCGTTGCTCTTGACTGTTGTGGTCATCTAACGGGACTGGTTGGAACGAGTATGCGACGCGAGCCTGGCCTTCTCGCTGTGCGTGCGAATCTCTGGAGGAATGGAGAAAAGACTGCATTGTACAAGTTATATACAGTTGAGCAAGGCATTCGCAGCAGCGAACAACAAAGCTTGACGGCAGTAATCATCGTTCTTGATATACAAGCCTGTCTCGTATCTTGGCCCCCAGATGCACAAGCACTGCCCCACGAGGTTTCAGTGTTTCAAATACCGCACGGGCTAGTCAGCGGTAAGTCTTCTTCTATCATTGGTCAGCAGGCAAGGCTACAAGGTAGAGTGCATACGTATATATTAGCTGAAGGATTCGGCCAAGATAAGAAACAGAAATATTCTCCAGAGCCCGCTTGTGCGTGGAGCTTTGTGTAAGAAGAAGTCCTCAGTCCGACATGACTGATGCCGATTGTGAGAGTGAGAAAATGAGAGGAATTCAGTACATGCCGCAACTACCTCTGGGACCATACAGGGAGCGGGAATTGGAAGGCTCATATTGGATTTAAGCTGAGTTCTCACAGCCGTGGTGTTTCGACTGAGCGAGGCTACATGGGAGCTCTCGGGGACCTCAGCAAACTACTTAGGTAGCTCAGAAGCAGTACTGCTAGTGCGTCTATTCAGCTTTCTTGTCGCTGATAAAGCCGGATAGAAGTAATTCGCGGGGCAATATTGATTAAAAGCATTTTCGCCGCTGGCAGGCAGTACTTTTCTCTGGCAGAATGCAGTGCGCAAGCGCAGTCCAGAGATCAAAGACACCTTAAGTGATCAATGCACTATTGGAGCACAACGCTGAGCATCATATCCTCTCTATCGCAATTAATATTGCTATTCTGTTATCGACATGGTCATCAGTCCAGCTCAATCACGAATCTGGTCTTGAACAAGCTAGACCCTAGATGCGGCAGCGAGCTTTTTGGGTCGCCCTTGCCCGAAGCTTCATAACCTCACGCCCGTGATATCAGTTCAGAGTTTCATCGGCCCAGATCTGTGAACCTCAGGCCTCATCGTCCTCAGTAACAGTCGCTCGGAGTATCCACATAGAGCTGCTACGCATGGGTCTCAAACTTGAAATGCAGATCGCTGTCAGAAACTCGTCAGTGTCTGCTCGAGTTCAACCTTATCCGCAAGTTCCTACAAGCTCGAAGGCTACCAGTCGTCTATGTAAAACCTCTATCAAGCCTTTTCTAAATAGAGCGTAGAGAATGCTTCCACCGAACCAAGAGCCAGAAGCTGTAGAAATACACCACTCCCTACTTATTCCCGCTGCCAGGTCTTCAAGCTTTACACTGACTGAAGATAACGCCGGCTGATGCGTTTATGCTTCGAGTGACACTGATTGAGTCCCGTCCATCACTCGAAAAGCTATCTCTATGTCATTATTTGCTTCTATTACTAGAGAATCTGTAAGGCGTAGAGGCTGCGGTCCTAGTCGCTTCCTCCGGCTACTGCAGTACGATCTCCGGCAACGTAGAGCTGAAAAAGGCCCATGGCTAAGCGCAATTTGGCAAAGCTAGAGTCTCGTGGGATTCGGGGCTACAGCATCACGTAGCACGCATTCATCGAGTCCTACTAGGCGCCGCTGGTACTCGTATCTCTCTTAGAGACACAAGAGGTATCATCAGGTCTCAATAGACAATCCATCCTTTGGTAAACGGAGTTTTCTCTATACCTTGTGCGTGTCAGTACGCTCACGGCACTTCGTGCTGGATACTGAATAGAGACGTTCTCGCGGCTAAGTCGATCCACGGTGCTCGGGCATACTTTACTAGTGTAAGCCAAGAGGGTCTCTGCCAGCACAAAAATAAGGCTCATAATTCTGTGATTGACCGGCCGCTCACTCCTGCTCACAGAATTTCTCCGTCTCTCAACCCATTCAGCCTCCTCTTCCTCAAATATACTCCCTCCCTTTCTCCAACTCCCTTACTAGCTTCGTCCCCTCCCCAACAAATGCCACATGGCCGATCCCATCCCCACCTCTCACATCCCCAATCCTCACCCTCACATCCCTCAAGATCCTTGCCCTCTCCATCGCATCCAGCACGCTACCGCCCTTCGGCAGCCCCACGTATGAATTCTCATACGTCATGCTGGCCACATACCCCATCATATCCGGCGCAAAGGTTCTATGCCTAAGGATGAGGCCTGCACCGCCGACAAGAAGCAGGACCGAGGAAGCGACTACCAGCGCGGCCAGCCAGCCATAGTTGCATACGTAGATCTGGTGCATGCGGGCTCGGTCGGCGACGACGGCGCGGGAAACCATGGGCGCCCCGATAATGGCGTCTAGTTCTTCCGGGGGAAGGCTGTTACGAGCGTCTCCTAGGAGGGGAATGGTGTCGGGGCCGTAGAGTGATAGATCGGTGGGTAGGCCGCCCGTGTGTGCTAGTGGCGCGAGGGAGAGCTGGAAATAGGTGTTGAAGACAAGGCTGAGGCGGGCGGAAAGGTCGGAGGGCGAGATGTGAGAGAGGTCGACGTATCTGGCGCTGAAGGCTGCTCGGGCGTATGGGGGCTTGTCGGTTGCGTTGAGGAAGAACTCAGTTGCGGAGGCAGAGCCGGAGCCTTGGAGGCCCGCGGCGTAAGGGAGCTTGGTGAAAAAGTTGTGGCACAGGGAGAGGATCTCCAGAGCTGTTAGATGCACAGGCGGATGGTCCGCACGCGACGGGCGCATTTTCGTAACGCCACAGCGAGTACCAGTGCAGTTGACCATCGACTCAACGTAAGTGGTTGCTAAGGAACAGTTCGTAATGAGAATTTGCGTGAAGTCAGACACTGGACTTCGGTTTCCGAAAATCACATTTCGTTGGAGACCGAGGAATGGATCAGCACTCTCCGAGGCATTAAGGTCCCTAACTGCACCAACGATCCTGGCATGATTGTTCAGCACAACGTTCGTATCAAGGAAGAAACTAGTAGGCCGCCCGGTCCGAGAATCGTAAAAAGGATTGGTCTGGCTCCTATTGGTCTTCCCCGTCCAGATCAGGCCGAGCGCCTGCTCCCAGGAGCCGTCTTGCATTGATCCATAGAGGTAGTCCGAGCATTGGAGGGCCAAATAGGATGAATCTACTTTGAAAGTGGAATCGCTGTCGGAAGTTAAACCGACTATCGGTATCCCCACCATTGACGAGTACTGTTCGGCTTTCGTAACGGGCGGTACAGCAATCCACCCCTCGGCATTACCGAGAGAAGTGTTGAGAACCTCCAAGCGCGGGATCTTGATGTTGCCCCATGTGTCCTGGGGCGCGATTTTCACATCCTCAGGAGCCAGGAGAGATGAAACGTAGGTCGAGTCGATAGCAGAGAACAGCGAACCGCCGGCAGCAGAGAAAAGCTCACTCTGAGAAACGGGGCCTGTCTCTAGGTACCTAACCTTGGTAGTGTCCCAAGCAGCCGTGACGTCCTTCTCGAGTAATCGTAGAGAAGCCTGACCACCAATGGGAGATAGCGTCCACAGTAGGAGTAGATGTGCGCCAACTACAGTTAGACGCTGCATAAGCCATTGGCTCTCGAAGGTACCCCAGACTGTCTGGCTAGCCATAAGTAACTCCAGGTTCTACCAAGCCAACGTTAGCTACTTCGTTAGAGTTGGTTGAGAGTATACGTACACCAAGTTTTGCGCCCTTCTCCACCCAAAAGCGGGCGATAATTTTCATAGTCCGCCCGGCCACGGCGGCAAATAAAACCGGGAATACAGTTGGACCCTATCACAAGGTAAGCGATGCGTTTGCGAAATGTCCCAGAGAGTACACACAAGCTGGGTAACGGACTCAACCCGCGCACCTAAGATGTTGTCCTTTATCGGCTTGCCATGCAAAATAGCGACGGAAATAGCCAATGCTTTTGAGCTTCTATCAGCAACGATTCAGTAGACTCATTACCTACTTACATATGAACAAGGCCGGCAGCACGGCCAAGATGACGTCTCCAAATTGTAGTAATGCCGAAGAGAATTTCAACTCCTTCAGCCTTTTGGGTTCGGTTGGCCAGCGAGTCAAAGGCCCGATGTCCTCGACCTCAATCGCGACGTCCTCTTTCTTATATGAACCAGTGGTTCTTAGGACGGGTATGCCATGGAGACCCAATTGCGTGATTGCTTCTTGGACTGGGGCCACAGGAGAAACTGGGCCGTATTGCTCATTTTCAACCGAAGCATGACTGGGACGATTTGGGAGATGAAGAAACGATCTCATGGTAGTTGCTGGAATATGTTTACGACTAGTATACAACTCGTATACAGCTTGATGGATACAGAACCACTCCAGACAGCGAATCGGTGACACGATATATCATAATGCGCATGCGGCACAGCACAGCGTTGCCGAATAAGCAGCTACAAGGAAAGCGCAGCATGCTAGCATTGACACCTAGTCGGCGGTAAACGGACGTCTCCATTGGAGCGCATGCAAAAGGTTTAAAGTGCATTTCAACCTTGTTTCTTCCGAAAATGGGGTAAAGGCGGCTATGTGAAACAGATAATTCGCTAAAGCTGCAGATTCCGAAGCATGAACTGAAGGACGGTCTACATTTAGCATCCCTCCGCGCTTCTTTTGCGCGTTCTGGAAGAAAGCCGAGCGCGAACATAAGCTGACGACGCAAAGCGATGAACCGGAGGGCGGAGGTTGGTGGAATGTTGAGCAGTTCGTCCGCATTGCACGTGACTTTCACGTGCAACTGGCTGTCACCACGCGTTACTGCCGTACAATGTAAGCTCGAAGGGCATGCACCGCGTCGGTCTAATCTATGACCTTTAATCCTGTTGTAAATACGTGCCCTGAGATTGTTCGTAACTCGTGCTTGAATAGTCGCGAGTAGATTTGAATTGCCAACCGCTAACGAGCATCCAGCGAACTCCAGCGTATTCCGTAGCAGTCATACCCGGTCCGAGCTCCAGTTATAAAGCACCTGCAGGCTCTGAGACCGCGAGTCCTCGATTTTGAGTACTCAGCCAGGACATTTTCTGAGTCCACTGCTGACTACCTGCATTTACGCTTCCGCAATACCCGTACGAGATCACTCGGTGATCTGGACCACTTGCGCCAGGTGTTGGAGAGCCAGAGACGACCCTCACCAAGACCAGGACCAAACTTAGCGATTAGACATATTGTTACATCGCTCACACTGCCAGAAGTGCTGGCTTGGTATTCATCTGTCCGTTGGCGGATGTATACACGGATAGCCTGCTCCTGTTAACGTTGCGGTCTTCCGTAAAGAGCTTTAGCTCAGTCAGATTTTGCTTGTTCAAACTAACAGACGTGGGTTTTCTCTAGCTCAAAACACTTGACTTCGTCTCTTTCCGTATTCCAAGAGGATTTCTCGTCCCAGATGGTCCGCCGGGGCTCGCTAAAACTCACACTTGTAACCCGGCTTTGTTCCAAGGTCTTCTGCTTTTTCCGGGCTCCAATTCGGTGCAGTTGTATGCTAACCAGGACGCTACTGACGATTTATGGTGGATTCCATGACAAATTCCGAGGTACGGAAAGTACTGCGCGTCCTTAAGATACGCCCGCGTTTGCTGCCTGACTGAGTTCCTCAGTTTTCTCTGCGTGTCAAATGATCCATGCCTGTTCGTGCGGTGATGCTCAACGAGAACAATCACGGGGCCGAGTCGGTGCTCAGGCACCTTTTGCTGGTGCTAAGGCAGGAAGGTCTCTGCCAGCACACAAACATGTGTACATGCTTCCTGACGGAATGCTTTCGAAAATCGGAAGGACCGACTGCAAATATTGGGCCTTCTCCTGAGGTTGACGCTGTCTTGTCATTAAAACATCCCGTGACATGGAGCGATGCAACGCAAGAAAACGACAAGATTTCCTGCCCGCGATCGGCCACTCACAGCCCTTGAATTTCGGTAATTGCGAGACTTTCTGGGGTTCCTGACGCATCGTTCCACCCAGCACGCGTTCCCCGGCCACCACCGCACTGCGTTCGCTGGCTCAGACGAAGCGCTGGCATGCCAGGATGAACTCTTGCCATGCTTTCATGGTCCGGCTTTTGAACGTTTAATGCCCAGAGAGGAAACTGAGATAAGCACCATGCGTAGGGCTACAGGGTGTTAAGCTTCATATGGAAACTCGTCAGCAAGACCAATACGAGCTCGGGATAGTGTAACCCGCTTTGATGAGGGGCCGTCTGCACTGCGACGCCAGCAGCACAGCCCCCGGCCGAGCCTGTCAGCGCTCATTGCTCTATCACGGGATTCGTGCGGGAGACGGGCAAAGGGTCATTTTACGGCGGGGTCTAATTGGAGTGCATTCAGCCTCAGCGACTTCCTTTTGAGGAGAACCCCTCTGCAACAGAAGTTCACGCAATATTCCGAGCAGTCGACCCATCCCCCAGCCCTGCCTCTCCAAAGCATTGATCATTCCGCTTCGGACATCCCTTAGGATAATCGCCGGGGCCTTTGTGGAGCCGCCGTTTTGGAAGGAGCCGTCGCTCATCAAACGAGGAGCAGGACCGTGAGACGCGATTGAAACGGCCTCTCAACCACTCCGCAGCCATCAAACTGCCGCTGCTTCGCATCAGGACACGCTCGACCAGGCCTTGCTGCTCCAGCTTGTCTTTTATGTTTCACAGTGGAGAGGATCTCCATTCATTGCATTCCTCATGCTAGCCCGGCTTCTATTCTCGTAGCTGCATAGGATCGACCCACCAGCGGCGAAACGCGACCGAGCGAATTCCAGGTCCAGCCAACCGCTTTCCTTTAGCCGTCTTTCTTTGATCCCACCATGTCCAACTTTACAAGTGAGCATCTCTAACACTCAGCCACCTTTGTTCTCAACCCTCTCCCTAACCATGGCCGAAGTATCATCAAGCTCACCAGTCCCCGACTCTGGCTCCTCCGCAGCCTCAGTATCCTCCGAAATTGCCGCCTCGGTATCGTCTGCGGTGCTCTCCTCGATTGAAGCGGCGCCTTCGATAGTAACCGTCACATCCTCCGGTCCTATCGTCACCTCCGTCGCAACTGTCGCACCGGCCGACCCTTCCACTGTTGTGTTCACATCACTCGTCACTGCCTCTCCCACAATTCCAGGAGAGACTCCGACTCCAGTGGTCGTGGTCGTCACTGCTACCAGCACACCGACTACAACAGAAGTGGTGAACGATCCTGTGTTGAGCACAACAGCAGCCGCATCGTCTTCATCCACGGCGGCATCAGTGCAACCGGGAGCAAGCGATGCGAATGGTACAGATGGCGGCCTCTCCGCCGGTGGAAAGACAGCAGTGGCTGTTGTCGTTCCAGTCGTCGCGGTAGCGCTACTGCTACTCGGTGGACTGTTCCTGTGGCGACGACGGAGACAACGCCAAACCCAGCAGGAGGCTCGAAGAAAGGAAATCGAGGAATATGGTATCAACCCGAACCACGACCCTACGATGCCCGCCATGGGTGCCGCGACGGGTTCCGAGATGACGGAAGATGCATCCGGATACAGAGGGTGGGGGAACGCGACGACTGCAACCCGGAAGACCTCAACAACGCTATCAAACGGCCTAACGCAGCTCTCAGACAGCGGCAACTCCGGCGGCTACCATAGCCCCGGCTCACCTACGCAAGGCACAGCCTCAGACGGCCGCTCGGGAGACCCGCTCGTAGACAATCGGCGAGAGACAATGGATTCTGAAACCATCGGCGCGCTTGGAGCAGCACCGGTCGCAAGTTCAAACCGTGCGGACGTCCGTCGTGGTCCTTCTAATGCGTCGTCATCATACTCTGCCGGGAACCGATCGGATCATTCTGACCCACCGGTGCCGGTGCCCAATCCCCAGGACTATTACAACGACAATGCGTACTTCCAGCCTGGTCCGTACGGCGACGGCCCATACGGCGGAGTCGTTCAACAACCGGTCATTCGAGATGTGTCAGCGAGGAGAAATACGAGAATAGAGAATCCGAGCGTGTTCCCACAGCAAGGGAATTCAGGTATCGCGCAAAACTTCTGATTTCGCCTATTCCTATTCGACAGCTTGATAGCAACTACACGTTCGGCGTTCTCTTGGAATGTTTCCTGTCTCGCCTGGTCGGCGGCTGCCCTTGCATCTCGTATCCGATAACTCGAGCTAGGCTCGCACTCGTATGCCCTATTTCTATCTTACCTACAGTCTCGATCTTACGAATCCCCTTGGTCAGCTGTATATTTGGACACACTACCTTTTGTAATATACATCGTCCGAGCTGGCAGCACCCTTTGCACGCACCAATACCCATACCCTCTTTTTGGGCTCGGATCTTTCTCTCTTTCACTCACGTCGTCGTATGTCGTCTCTTCACGTTTTTGAATTTGGACGTGATATTCTTTTGGGAGGATTGCTGTGTCTATGGGATGTGCGGGATAGATTTGTGGGTCTTCAGGACCGGAGTTTTAGTGATGGAGTAGCGTGGGTGCTGAACAAGACCCAGCTGGATAGTCGCAAGCATAGTGCAAATGCATTCATACTGTCTCGTCACCAGTCGCCTTATCTATCACTTGAATGGTACCTGGATACGCTGTGTCCAACGTCCTTGTGTGATAACTACCGAATCGCTTCAAGGGTAGAAACAAGCAGCATGGGCGATAGCAGCGCCTAGTTGTATGCACCCCAAGTGGCAATCTGTGTGTGCTCTTGGTTCCCAGAATCTTCGCCACACCACCAGGACAAGGCAGCGCTTCTCACTAGGATCCGCTAGAAGCATGAAGGTTTCTTCGCCGATTGTACCATTCCTGTCCATGCGTTAGTGAGGCCTCTAAGCTGCTCAAGCTGTGGACTCACAGGAATGAAGGTGGTTCCGACACGTTTCTATCTCCTGTTTCTTCTTCTGCTGCTTTGCAATCTTCCCATTCTCGCTGCTTTGCGCGCCTGGAGCTTCCATGGTGATGGTGGGGGAGGATTGTCGTCAGGTATCGCAGACGCAAGAAACCTTGGCCATCTGCTGTGTGTAGATGGAAGGTATGTATAAAGACGGAAAGTGGGAGGGGGCAAGTGGAGGTTGTAGAAGGGAGTTCTCAATCTATGGACGAAGATGGTGCCCTCGCGGTGAGTGAATGTGACCCAAGAAGTGAAGTGAAGTGTGGATTTGGTAAGAAGACGAATGGATCAGAAATGCGGCAATCTGCGGCATGCGTGTTTGGTAGGATTTTTCTGCCTTCTGACAAAACGTTGAAGCTCACGAAAACTCTGTACAGCTTAAAAAGATTCATTTTGGAAGGATCAACCTCACTCTAACCGGCCGTTGGAAGTGCGCATTCAGATCACTAGACACTCTTGAACGACTTGTATCAGCGCACGACCATCGCGGTCAGGTGCTCTATCTCTTCACACCTCCCAAGCCATGATCGTCCTTGCAATTTCCAACGCCTCCGTCTCAATCCGCTCCCATATCCCTCACTAACTACTGCCCGCCGCCCCCGTAACCCTCAGCACAAAATTCACAATCACCGCCGCCAGCAGCGCGACCGCCAGGATCGTCGGCCCAAATCGATCATCAAAACCGCCCTGCCCTCTCTGCCGTATACTCTTCGCCCTCCAGTGAAAGGTAAACAGCGCGTATATCATCGCGGCCATGGCGACGAAGGTGAAGAGCCCCGCGCTGATGCGGCCGACCTTGTCGCCGAAGTTGAGGAGCCCGATGGCTAACCCGCCTAGGATGACGGTGAAGTTGAGCCAGGAGAGGAAGGTGCGCTCATTTGCGAAGAAGACTTTGGGCTCGACGCGCGTGGGAAGGGCGATGCGTTTACCTGTGAGTGGTGTTAGTGTTAACTCCTACAATTATGCAGCACATAGCTGGCGTACCTGGCGCGGTTTGGAGGAGGGGTTGGCTCGACATCTTGAGGGTGATGTTTCGGGTCCAATGAAGCTCTCTGTCTATCTGGATGCAGAACAACAGTCTATCCGACTCTATCAAAGCACAAAATTAGGTCGAAGAAGGACGCAATGGCAGCAGTATGCGGAGAGAAGCTTTGGTGCACGTTTGTGACGTCCGAATCCGATTTGACAGCCCTGCCCGCACAGGCCAGGCGAAAGGCACATGCAACAGCAGCCGCTTGGCTCTTGACGACCAGTAAACACCATCACCACTTCAATATTCGTACAATACCACAAGCACTTCCTGCGAAACAAGCCAGAGCCTGAACAGTAGAGCAAGACGCCAACATCACCACTTCGAATACCCTACAATGGCTCCTCCAGTCCGCAGCCCCCTTCACCCACCAAAGCGAGCACTCAAGCAAACACCCAAGCTAACACCCCACAGCCAGTTCCCGAAATCCGCCTCAAGCAAATCGCAACAGATGTATGTCCTCCACGCCGTATCTCTCATACCAATGTCGATCTGACAAACCTCCAGGCCTGCGACTCCGCCCTCAGCTCCACCGACAGCTACGTCCACTCCAGCACACCGGGCTGGAATGGTACCATAATCGTGCGCCTCCCTCTCCATCTCTATGCCCCTCTTCCTGCTTCAGCAGAAGCGCACTCGCTGACCCCAGCTCAGAACACCATCCTCAAATCCCTAATCTCCGAGACCTCGACCCCCGACTCCCCGCCCAAATACAAATTCGCCGTCAACAGCACCATCATGCAGCACTCGCATCCTCTGACCTCCTCCTCTGCTGTCTCCACCACCACAGACGCCGAATCCAGCACTACCGCCACAGACCCTAGTGCCACCCTCAACGCTGGCGAAGCAATGACGAATGGTGGTAGCGAGGCCCAGCTCGGCACGGCGTCGAGCAAGCCGAGAGCGGGGAGGAGGGGCATGCACTCCGCGGCGGGCGCGTACTGGAACAATGAGAGGGATGGGCTCTGGAATTTCAAGTATGAGGGGGCGGAGAGGAAGGGGATGGATGTTGTGGTGTCTGTGATATGGATTGGGATATAAGCTGGGAGATTGAGAAGTGAATGCGGACGGGACTTAGGTAGGGAGATATAAACGGAGAGACTGAGCGGAGGGGAAGCATTGAGTGGGTCATACTGTGCTGGGAGTTTTTCTTGAACGGACAGGGGGTGTACAAAATACGGGTTATGCTTGCTTGTGCATATTTTGCGGGTATCATTCGTGGGTATAAAACTACATGACCGTCGGTATGGCTCGTGGCTGCTCATTGCGCTGCCTCAGCAGTGAGGAGACAATCCCGTGCCTTGGACCCATCCACTCGCGCCTTTATTTCGTCGTTGAACGCCCGGCTAAAATTCCTGCCCGTCCACCAGCCTAGACAACACCTGTGCACCTCCTCCTTGTCCATTAAACCTGGTATCACATTGCTTAAGAGCCCTAATTCTCCTTCACCATAATCCTGCCCTCATTAACAGCCCCAACACTGACCCCAGCCTCCCCCGTCATCCATCCAGGCATTTTCTCTCCATCCACGACACCGCTTCCCACAAGCTGCCGTATTCCCGCAAAAACATGCGCGCCCTGGAAGCTGAAGCGGACGTCGGGCGTCCAGTTCGACGCGTTTGCGTCCGCTGGCGCTGCTGCCTCATCGTGTTCATCTCCGGATGCGGCACCTGGATCCAAGAGCGCCTTCGTCCCCTTGGACGACACCTTCTTGCCAGACATGCCCGGTTTCCCAGCAGCCGCCACAGCTTCTGGCACATCAGGGAACGCGTCCTCGATGCGCACATCAAAGCGCTCGATCCCCTTCCCATCGTCCGGGAGACCCGAGCAACCGAAGCGACCCTCAGCGACCAGCCTCCGCCGTTTCGACGCCGGCGACTCCACGCCGGGCGAGATGGCGGAGTCCTGGCGCGCTCGCTTGAGGCCTTTAGGCCGGGTCTCGGGAGCCCCAATACCGGCATTAGCCCCGTCGCCATGCCCTCCCTGCTGCTGGCTTTGCGATTGCTTCGTCGCCTGAGCCGGCGCCGGACGCTTAACATGCTCCATCACCCCGACTCCGGCCCCCTTATGCTCAGCAAAGATGCTCCAGCCGCCCGCGGCCTCATTACTACGGCCCGGACCGCGCAGCGAGAGGAGCGCCTCGAGCGAGCGCGCGGACAAAGACGTTGTTTTGAGGACATACCGGCATTGCGGCCGCGACAGCGCTTTCGGGATCGCGTCGACGATGAGGCTGCGCAGTGAGCGGCTGTCGCTACCGGCGCTCTGGCCGACTGATGTCGCGAGCGAGATGTAGATGAAGGGGGAGCCGGTGGGGAAGGCGGCGAAGAGGGACTTGGTTGTTGTTTCGGAGGTGGTGTTTTGGGAGAGGGTTAGTGCTGACGGGTGCTGGACTGTGATTTGCGGGGTGTTGTAGGGCGTGTCGTGGATCTGGACCCGGAGGAGGGTGATGGGCATCGTTTTGAGCTTGGTGATGTAGTAGTGCGCTTTGGCCAGGGGCGCGACTTCGCGCTGGAGGTTGCGGAGGTAGGTGTCTGCGTGGAAGCGCGGCAGATGGTCGACTTCGCTGCTGGCGCCTTCGGAGGTGCCGACTCTGGCTAGACGGAGGGCGTTCCAGCGTAGGGAGGTTGGGTGGTCCAGGAGGTAGCGGGTGTCGGCCATAGCGAGCTGGTACAGGGAGACGCCATGCCTCCAGTCGCCTTCTGTTATGCGGTCTATGACTTGTCTCTTGCCGCCTTTTCTTGCTCCGAGCTCCTCGTATGTCTCTTGCAGCTCTTCGTAGCTGTGCGCTACTGTGTATAGCTCGTCACGTGATTCGATGTCTGATCCATCGTCGGCCAGAAACGGTGCGCAAAAGTCGCGGTTCTTCTCCTCTAGCCATTCTACAGCCAGTGATATGAGCGTCGGACGTGAAAGCCTGGATAGTGTTCTCAGGACGTCGGGACTTGAGGGCGGTAGACGATGGCTATGGGGCAAAGCGGCGGTCGTGGGGACGGCGGTTGGCTTTCGGGGAGCCATGCTTTTACATGTAGCCGCTGCTCAGGCGTAGCTTCTAACTCTTGCTAGCCACACAATCTTTCTTCTGTGCAGACTGAAGTGTATCGTGATATATCATGGCAGTCACAACAACACGGTCAGACCGAGGAGACGCGCAACGCGTAGAGCTGCCCGTTTCGGGAATCCCGTCGGCATCTTTCCGCTGGACCAAAAACGCACGGGGCACGTGGGGCTAATCGAGCAATTAATTAGTGACCGCGGCATGTCAGACTTAACATTATCGATTTCCAAGCAGTGCGGAGTCGGATACGAAGGACCACCTCCACGGATGCAATGCGTCTGCAGGCGCTGGACATCTGGTCCCCAGTGCAGAATCGAATTGTGCTCACTGACGGCAGGGGACGGACTTGACTGAGCTCGTCCTGTGTTCCTGGACGGATCAGCGTCCGCTCGGAGCATTCAGAGCGATCAGCGGCTTCGGAAGGGCGTTTGCCCATCATTTTGTCATCATCTTGCTTAGCGCCGCGGGGCCTTTCAGCCGACCCCAAGCCATTCCCACAACTTCACCACTGCTCCGAAAACTCATCCAACCGCCATTCCACCCCTCACAAGCGATATTTCGACTCGAGATACCCCTCGTAGCAAAGTCCGCATTCGGTTGTCACTCAGGAACAGTCCTTGAGGCCCTTGCTGCCGCATGAGAGCGCCCATCACCAGATTGCTGTAGTATTACTCAGCGTAACACGAAGGGCGCAACACTGACGACCAGCCCCTCGGCCACACCCTAACACCTACTACATATCACCGAGTACGACAGCCCTCCAAAAACCTCACATCGAAACACACGCCCCGCCATGTCAGGCTACAATGCCCGGCGGGGACCCAACGTCTCGCAGTACATTGCGAACCTGAACCAAGTCCCCTCGGCCCAGGAGATGGCGTCGCAGAAGCAGGAGCTATTCAACTTCGACGATGACCTCTTCAACAACGCGGAGTTTTTCGACTTTGATATGGGCACCATGGCGGACGTATCTCAGCAGCCGATCGACTATGATCCGACCCAGGAGCAAAAAACTCGACGACAGAATGCTTCGGCATATAGGCAGGGCGCCGTGAGCAAGCCTGTCAACGACTTCCTCAACGGTAAGCGTCTTCATTTGCAGCACCGTTAATCCCCTCTCGCGCATTGTGTTCCTATTTCGGCTCTAGAAGATGCCGCCCGTACCCTAGCCTTGTCCCAAGAATGCATCGCTTTCAGAACAGCACTCACTAACGCATCCATCTGCCAGGCGACTTTCAATTCCCCGAGTTCGCAGGCCTGCCCGACGTTGTCCCCACCGCGCCAGGTCCCAACTTCGACATCCCCCAAGCTCCCTACCTCCACAATCTCGTACCATCAGCCACACCACCCACCACTACATCTCCCGTCAGCACTTCGCCCTTCCCCGTCCCTTACGCCGGCGAAAAGCGCAAGCTCGACGCCCTCTCCAGCACCCCCGTAGACTCCGGCCCCATCGACGAGGCCGCCCGCGCAGCCGCCGAAGAGGACAAGCGCAGGCGTAACACGGCCGCGAGCGCGCGCTTCCGCGTCAAGAAGAAGCAGCGGGAGCAGGCGCTGGAGAAGACGGCCAAGGAGATGACGGACAAGGTTGGCGCGCTGGAGGCCAGGGTCAAGGAGCTCGAGACGGAGAACAAGTGGTTGAAGGACTTGTTGGTCAAAAGGAATGAGGGGAAGACGAGTGCGGCGAAGGAGAATGAGGTCGAGCGGAGTCTGGGCGAGAAGACTGATGGTGTAGGGACTGGGGCGGAGGGACTAAAGGCGTAGGCCGAAATCACTTGTTTAATGCTGATAGTTTTTCTTTTGGACATATGCAAGCACTTTTGGTTTTTATCTAGGTGCGTTGTTGCACCACGGCAAATAAGAGGAAATGAAATTTGTGTGCCGCCAAACTGAATGACACCTCAGATGACCCGGTAAGTCCTTCCACGCCGTCTCCGGTAGCCTCCTTCGCCGCCGTAGCAACAGCGTCTTCATTGGCATGACGAGCCTCCACTCTGCGTTCATTCTTGGTAGTGGCATCGTTCTGGCAAAGCCGGTTTAGAACCAGTTTTGACCAGATGCTTCATCACTTCAGCCGACTCTATCATCAGCCCAGCTAAAAAGTCCTTTGGTAGATCCGCTCGAGCTGTAACCTCTCCTTCGTCGTCTTGATCCTGGCTCCAATATCTAGCGTAGACATCGATACAAAATCGGCATAACGAAGCAGAGCGCGGGAGGTTGTTGAATGCTGTGTTGATGACTGAGTAACGCGGCATATCTTCTCCGTCGTCATTGGTAAAATAGGTATAGAAGTCGTCCATCGCATGTTCTCTGAGGTCCGGAATGTCGTACCGATCGCTGAATATGTAGACTCCGGTGATGGGTTCATTCCATCTGCCGATGCAAGCCTGAATGCGTGGATCGTCATGCTCGGGGAGCGATTGGGTGTAGAGCCAGTCCACGACGACACCAAGGACCGCGACTTCCGTATCCCTTAGGATCAATTTGAGCGCTTTAGCCTCCCTGAACGATCCTCTCAAGGTTTTCTTGAAGTAAGGAGAGTACCAGCAGAGCAAGTCCTTATGAACATGGTAGCACTTCCTGTGCGGACTTGGGCCAGCCATCAGCGGGAAGATCTCTCGACCCAAGGTACCTTCTCTGTACTGTGCATCAGCTGACTTGTAGTTGTTCATTAAGACTGCAGACGGGACTTACATGAAGGAAGGTGCCTTTGACGCATCTTCCAACTTCCTCTTCTTGCTTTCGGGTTCTGCATCTGTTCCACCCGCCATAATGGCTTCCGCGGAGCGCCGTGGCCACGCAGCTCTTCAAGACCCAATCGTGTTAAAGATTTTGTTACGCGCGAATGTGGTAGCTTCCAGGAAGATCGTGAGTTGTTGGTTGTGGACCGGATGCGAGAGTTGCATGAAGAACGCTGAAGCTGTCGGCGATGCTCTAAAATCTTTGTCTGGAAGTTGTGAAAGCTCGGCGGTCTACGACATGAAGTGAATTGCATGAAGAGATGTGTGGAGACTGCCAGCTAGCTTCGTTCACTAGCTGCTCCTGAAGTCAGCGTTACTTCACCCTCGCTCTTCTTGCGACTTTCTCCACTCACCCAATCCATGAATATCTGCTCACAATCTTCCACGATTCTTGTCAAAACCCAGCGCGACAATTCCGTCTGAGCGACCAAACCTCGAAGCCTTCGCGTCATGGCCCCGCAACCCATCATAACCACCTGTCGTACTAAGAAGGCAGCCGTGGAGCCAAGGCTCCGCCTTCCTTCATGTAAGTCAGTAACCTGAGCAACTGAGTACTTCTATTAATGTATTGAACAGCATCGACACGATTGGCCACGAGACCGCGACGCTTCTAGTTGTACTGGGGATGCGTGAGGAGGCACAGAGCACCTGTCGGCGGTGGTCGTGTACTGCGATAGTTGGCTTTGGGGGCCTAACACAGCTTCGACGCATTCTTTGGAGACGTCCCGCTTGAGGTACTTTAAGGCGGATCTCATAAGCTATGCAAAGCTATAATCACGCGTTCACACTGCCCTACAGCTCTCAGCACCTGCAGCCAGGCTGAAGTCTTGCTTCTTCATGCGAGTAGGTCGCCTATTCGGAACGGGTAACAACTGTGAATATACATGAGTGACGCTTCCGAGATGAATGGTCACAAGAGGACCAAGGGGCGTGGGATTCTGTGCCTCTGTGCGACTGCGACGGGACGTGCCGTGATAAGCTCTTGCAGACTGAATCTGTGGGGATACAGCCGATGAGTCCAAGTAGAGAGAAATGATGATCCTACCCTGATCCTGCACCGCGCGTCTGTCCCTTTACAGCTACATGACGAGAATGTGCGCCGGGATAGTGAGTGCCCAGTCTCATTGCGATCTCAAGTCTTCTTCTCCGTCAAGCTCACACTGGCGTTACGTCCTCTTCCTCTTGAGCCTTTCCTGCAAACGGAGTTCTTCATGCCGAAGCTCTCGATCCACGATCATTTCTTCTCTGGTTCGAGCCTCTTTTGCCGCCTTCTTGGCAGCATTCTCGATTCGCTGTGTTCTCCGGCAAGACGTTTTCTCTTCTTTTGTACTGTGCTCGTGATACTCGCATACTTCCGGCATAGCTGGTGCTTTACCAAACTTTCTCTGATCCTTCCGGACTTTGCCAACCTCTACCATCAGGTCACCCAAAAACTCTTTTGGTAGCTGGCCCCGGTTGTCGACAGCTTCATCGTCATCCTCGTCATAGCTAACGTCCCATCTGACTGCGTAGATGCGCACCAAAAAGCGGCAGAACGGGGAGGTGTCCGGGAGGCTACTAAAAGCTTGGATGATTGTCTGATAGTCGGGTAGTATCGAGACACCGCTGCACGCATATTCGAAGTAGAACTGATCGACCACTTCCTTTCTAAGCTGGGGGACATTATAGAACTCAGCAAATATGAAGAGCCCCGTCATGCAGTAATCGTGGGATTCGTCAGGCCCACCACTTGAGGCAGGGGGGATACCTTCGTTGTTGGAGCAGTCTGGCTCAGGCAGCGTCTGAGTATAGAGCCAGTGTAGAAATTAGTCGAAGACCTCGTGTTCCGTGTTCTCCAGCTTTAGAGCATCTTCGTCGGCCTCTTTAAACGAACCATTTAATGCCGCCGTAAAGTAAGGTGAGTAGTAGCAGAGAAGAGCCCTATGAACGGCGTAGCGCTTTTCGTCAGAACCTACTAAGAATATGATGATTTCACTGCCCGCTGTGCCATCCCTACCTAGTATGTCAGTAAACGCTGTATGTCCTTTAAAATGTAGGCTTACAGGAGTGATGGCGGCTCTTCTACCACGGTCTCATTTTTTGTCTCACCCTCTGCAGTCGCGTCTTTGTGGCTGATTGCGGCATCCGAGGGGTCCGGCATCACGAGCGCCGTGGCGAGGCCAATGCTGTTGCAGCTAATTATCCGTAGGAGTCCGCTAGTAATAAAGAACACCAGCTCAAGAATGCCAGTGATGCTCGTCCGTAGTATGGACTAAACGTCTGCATAGGAACTGAGACCGCTGCCTTATCTTATGTGTCTGCTCCCGCGATAAGACAAGATAAAGAGCATCTAAGGATCTTAGCTTTTTTAGTAGTCTTAAACGCCTAAAATCTATATCACTATGCTAAGCCTAGTCCGCTAGTCCACCTCGTCTGTCCGTGAAGTAAGGACAGAAGGACGAGCCTTAGAGCAATGGCGGACCGACTGGACGCCCTAGTCCGTCCAATCTAGTCCTGGTCGGTCCTGCCGACTGTTGGACGCCCTGGTTGCCACAATCTGGCGGAAAACCCTCAAGCTCGGGCTGATTTACCAGCGGCCTTCTTGAGTAAACTTATGATGAGGATGGGTAGGTTCAAGGTTACGATGGAACGGGGCATCGAAGTCAACCCACGCCGCCCCGGTGCGAAGAACAAGATGTCATGTGGAAGAAGTCTTCGGCGAGGGGAATGAAGAAGAGGAAATCGATGGCGTCGGCAGGATTCTAATGTCGAATAGGACCGGCAGATAGATCCCAGTGACTGAATGAGGAGGACGTCACGCAAGACATGTCCCCGGCGCATTTCGCAGCTAGACGGCTATCTTTCAGACGAACACTTAGGTCTCAGTGTATCTGAGAGGGATCTGCGACTGAGCCGGACTCGTGGAAACGTGGCAACAAGATTGCTACAACGAGTCCGCATCACAGAAAACCTTAAGATTCAGCAGTTGAACGCTCGTGCATCGATCACCCAGGACATCTCCAATACGCAGCCCACCTTCATGTGGCGCAGCGCTGCCTTTGATGCCCTAGGTCATGCGAAGTCGACGTCAGTGGTCTCAAAGACACATTATCACAACCTAAGCTCAATACCGGTTTTACTCTACACACGGTGCTGCTCTATGTCCTTTGCCAAGCGAAAATATCCAAGGATAGTGAGTCCAACAATGATCACACACCCTCCCTTCAGAATCCTTCTTCGACCACACCCAACCGCGTAACCTCTCACAGTCTGCTCTTAGGCCTCCACCTCGCATACGGATGTCCCACCGTGGTCGGCACCAAATGGTCAACCTCCAGCGTGTTCACCAGCTCCGGATGTACCTGACTCAAATCCGTGATGCCGATCATCCGCATGGACGTCTCGAGTTCATCTCTCATGATGTCGATGAAGTGCTCCACGCCTTCCTGACCATAGTTCACCGCATACAAGAAATGTCTCCCAATCCCCACAGCCGTGGCACCTAAACATAACGCTTTGAGGATATCAGTCCCACGGCGTATTCCACCGTCGACATAGACCTCCAGCTTCTCGAACACCTCCGGACAGCACTTCTGCAGCTCTAGTAGGATGAGGATAGCCGGCGGACTCGTGTCCAAACTTCGCCCGCCATGGTTACTGACAACGATCCCCTGTATCCCATGCTGCACAGCCAGCTTCGCGTCCGCAGCCCCCTGAATCCCCTTCAGCACGATCGGGAGATCTCCCACACAGCGCCGTAGCCAGGGGATATCGTCCCAGCTCAACGTCGCGTCAATGTAGCTGCCCATGATCCGGCCTAGCCCCCCGCCTTTCCTGTCGTTGGTCGCTTTCGCACCGCTCATCGGGGCAGCGAGGCTCTCGTCCGCGCGCACTCGCTCATCTGCCTCGCGCTTGCCAGCGACAGGCGCGTCGACGGTGAGGAAGAGGGCCTTGATGCGCCCAGTGCCAATCACATCTCGCAGCATTGCCTCAGTCTTGGGGCGGTCCTTGTTGACATACAGCTGGAAGAAAAACGGATGCTCCGCCGGCGCACTGGCAACAATGTCCGACAAAGGGAACGAAGCGTTAGTCGAGACACACTGCGCGACCCCTTTAGCACCACAGCCGGCCGCGAGCGCTTTCTCGCCATCAGGATGCACGAGGCGCGCCAACGCCGCCGGCGAGACGAAAAGCGGAAGCCCAACATCACAGCCCAGTATCCGCGTCGCGGTGCTAACGTCCCGTACATTGCGCAATACGCGTGGCCGGAACCACAGCCGATCAAAGGTCGCGGCGTTGGCGGCCCGCGTAACACAATCGGTCGCGGCGCTGGAGTAGAAGGCCCATGTTTTCTTGGTGAGGGTGCGGGAGGCGACCTCCTCGAAGTCGTAGGCGTTGAGGAGGGTGTGGAGGGGTGGCTTCTCGTTGAGCGCAAGTTGCGGGGTCTCGGTGGGGGGAGGCTTGGTCCAGTCTTCTGTCACGGTCTTGGTGTCGAGCTGGCCGATGAGTTTTGAGGGAGGGAGGGTGGTGGTAACGAGGCTGGGGGCGTGGATGCTGGAGTAGGAGGCTGTTGCGTCGCGGCCGGCGTGTTTGTAGATTACTGGCAAACGGTGTTAGTGGAGAGAACACGACCTGGCGGATACCAGATGCATGTCGAGAAGTCAATTGCTTACTGTCTGCGCCGCCTGGGTGTTCAGGCGCAAAGGATGTGAAGTCCCATACTCGGCCATCAATTACTAGCCAACAGTCCTCCGGGCTCGCGTGTTTCTTAATATCCTCAACAGAGATAGATTTTGCGGAGGTCATGGTGGGCGGCGTCTGGTATGCAGGCTGTTACTGGGAAGAGGAGCGAGACCACACGCTTTTGACCTCTTGGAGCCTTCCATTGTTGTAGCTTTACAGTGTACCTGTAGACTCGTTGTAGAGTTGCCCGAAGGTGCGCGGGGCATCTGGCGCCGGGGAGAAGGCCGAGATGCTCAGAAAGGGCGATCAGGAAATAATCCCCGGTGCAGATGGCAGCGATTATGAAACGAGAGCAAGGATTTGGGAAATGGATCGGAGATTGTTCCCCTTGTTCTCTGAGAAGATTGGAACTATTGTCCACTATACCGTGTATACGTGATAGGTACTGAACTGCATTGACCATTTGCAATGATGATCATCAGGGACGACAACGTCACGGCTGCTTCAACTTTACATGACACTTCAGCGGAGCATATTGTTCGCTCTACGGCGCTCCACATCTCATAGTCTTAGTAGACCATCGTTTTGTGCAGCTCACATAGCAACTTGTAAGTATCAGACCCTTAGATATGGATCCAACACTGACCAGCACTTCAGCACGCATAATGTCCTCCACGGCCCCAAGCAGCAACGCTTCAACGAGCGCACCGACGCCCACCACCGCAGCATCAACACCTTCAAACCCACTGCTCGTAGGCCTCGAGGCCGTTGATAACCCTGATGACCCGGGGGCTAAGAAACAGTTGAGATATGTAGATGTTGGTTCGCACCCACCTTTCCGAGCTCGACGTTACGGCCCCTCGCATTGAACAGGTACTGAAAAAGTCACACAGATTGGTGTCAACCTCGGTGACCCCGTCTATCGCGGCCAATACCACGGCAAGAAGGTGCACGAGGATGACCTGGCGGATGTGGTGCAGCGGGCGCTGGAAGCAGGCTGCAGGAAGATGATGGTGACGGGCAGCGATCTGAAAGAGTCTGAGCACGCTATACAGATAGCGAGGGAGTTTCGTATGTCCCTCCCATAGCACGTTCCGCCGTTTGCCTCTCCCTCTCCTCTACACCCGTGGCGCGAACAGGGAATCAAAGCTCACACGCATCTCCTTTCCCATAGCCGGCCTCTGCTACGCAACCATAGGCGTCCACCCCTGCTCCGCGCACCAATTCGACACCCACCCCGGCGGCCCCACCGCCCTCCTCGCAGCCCTGAAGGACCTCGCGCTCTCCAGCTCAGCGGCAGGAAAAACCGCAGGACCGGGAGCCCCCGCCGTCGCCTTCGGCGAGATCGGCCTCGACTACGACCGCCTCTTCCTCTGCCCCAAAGAGACCCAACTAAAGTACTTCGAAGCCCAACTCGACCTCGCAGTCGAGTTGCAGTTACCGTTGTTTCTGCACTCCCGCGCCGCAGCCACAGATTTCGAAGCCCTCCTCACGCCCCGCCTCCCCCACCTCCCCAAGCGCGGCCTTGTGCACTCCTTCACCGGCACCTTGGAGGAAATGCAGCGTCTCATCTCCCTCGGCCTCGATATCGGCGTGAACGGCTGTTCGTTCAAGACTCCCGAGAACCTCGACGTAGTGAGGGAGATCCCGCTCGAGCGGCTGCAGATCGAGACGGACGGGCCGTGGTGCGAGATGCGGGCCTCCCATGCCTCGGCGAAGTATTTGGAGGGTTTCGTGCCGGCGGCCGAGGGGAAGGCGGTTAAGAAGGAGAAGTGGAGTAAGGGCGCGACAGTGAGGGGACGGAATGAGCCGGCAAGTATCGCGGCGGTGGCGTGGGTCGTCGCGGGGGTTAAGGGTGTCGGGGTTGAGGTTGTGGCGGAGGCGGCATGGAGGAATTCAGTCGAGATGTTTGGGCTTGGGGAAGGGGGTGGGTGAGTGGGTGGGAGGAGTCTAAGGGGATGCGCTGTTGTCTAGGCCTAGGTTTAGAATAGCGCTTGATGTGCTTAAAGAGAACAACGTTTATGCAAAACACACCGCTCAGTGCGGCCTGCCCAAACATTCAATGTGGCGGTTCGTGGTGTCGCTGAAGTACGATTTAGTCTAGCGTACACACGATACCGGACACTACAGAAGTGACAGGAAGTAAACCCCTCTCGTACGCAAGAAGCTACTTTTGCAAAGTACTGTAAGACACTTGGATGAAAGCAAGCGCTGTCTGTCTGAACTATGAAAAGAAAACATGACTCAGAGAGTGAGAATCAGAATTATCGTGTATTGTCGTACAGCGCCAGGCCAATCGCGGACAGAGGGTCAACGAGGTGCATCTCATTAGAGTATGACAATGCCCTGTTCACCATCGCCACTTCCTCCTCACTTCATCCACTAGATCAGCCAGCTGATCTCCGCCACGCAGTCTGTAGACGGCCGCATCGCAACTGCCAGGAGGGATGCTGGACGCTCGACTCGCACCAGTCTGACTCCAATTACGATTTTGCAAGGTCGGATGAGAACGTTCTTACAGCCTCTCCCTTGCCAACCTCTCAATCACGCGCCTCGGCAGCGAAGGCACGAGACCGACGCTCATCCACCACTCCTCCGGGATATCGTCCCTGCGCGCGATCCGCTCCAGCAGACTCCGCATCTCCTCGAGCTCCGGGTCGAACGACTGTGTAAGTGGCTGTTGCGACTGCTGCTCTTCATCTTCATCCTCCAGCGCCCTCCGCTCCTCCTCCAACCTCGTCCGCTCTGCAAGCTGTATCCTCAGCTCCGCCACCTGATGCACCTCCGCCTCCAACTCCCGCCTCCTCTCCTGTAGGCGCTCTAGCTCACGCAGCTGCATTCGCGGACTAGGAGCCTCCTGGTGGCCGTAATACTCTCGCACCGCCTCCCCAGCCTCCCCGCTCCGTTCCCTCGTCCCCGCAGAATACCTCTCCGGCTCCCTGCGCGGCGGCCGCTCAAGCACCGCCTGCTCTGCGACCTCCAATCTCCGCCGCATGCGCCGCTCTTCCAGGAGCACCTGCCTCATCGGATTTCGCGACCGCGGCGAAATCCCCGCCTCGCCCTCATCCGCTTCAGTCTCGGACCCGCCGTCTTCAGAGGTATCGCACACCTGCGTCACCGTCCACGCATACCTCTCTGCGTCCGAGGGAACCGTGATATGCGTTCTAGCCGAGCTCGCGGACCCGGACCCGGAGCGGCGCGAGCTGCGGCTCGAGTTATTCGAATGCCGCGTTGTGGCTGAGAACGACGCGCTCGCGGCCGCGGACGTGAAGCTCGAGTCTGCGCTCGGCTCGATCGGGTCCGGCGCTACGGTGCTGTGCATGGCGTCCCAGTTGTCGGCGGGATTGTCGTCGCCCGGGCTGAAGCTGCGCTCGCGGTCGCCGAGCCCGTTGACAGTGGTGGCAGGGCTCCAAGATTCGCGCAAGGAGCTGGAGGGCAGGGGTCCGTCGGCGATGGTGCGGCGGCCCGTGCGGCGGAGAGGGGGGAAATCTGGGAGGTGGCCGCTGGGGTCAAGGTGGTTTTCGAGGGGACCGGGGTGGTGGATAGCGGAATTGGAGGTGTATTGTAGGGGGTCGGATTCGCGGAGGGAGGCGCGGCGCGCGGGCGCGAAGTTGGGCGTGTAGGCGGGGAGCTCGCGCGGTCGGTAGGAGGACGAGTGCTGAGGCCGGATCATGGCGCTGGGGTTGTCGCGGGGTCGTGAGTACGGCCTGGCAAAGGGGTTGAGTGCACGTGGGACCGGGAAGCGGGCGCGCTCATCATCCTGTCGGCTTGCGGTCGCCGGCCGAGATGCTTCATCCTCGCTGCGGCTGTAGTTCATGGATTCAGGCACCGGCGGAAGGTTTGTGTTCCGGCGGGGACCCTCGGACGAGGACGCGTCTTCCTCCACAGCATAAGGCTGGAAGGCGCCTGGGTGAGGCTCGCGGATCCGCTCCGCAGACCGGAAGCTATCGAAGTACTCGGCGCGAGCTCGCTGTCGAACATCGCGGCTGCGACCCGGCCTGATGCGCGGCGAGTGTCTTCGGATGGGACTGCGCGCGGAGGCAGTCGGGTCGGCTTTATCGGCGGCCTTGACCGAGTCGGCTGGTGATGGAGCTCGCCACACTCTGCAGCGGCGGGATGATGGGTAAGCATGTGGTGATAGGGCTGATGGTTGTTGCGATGGAGGCCTCTGCGCGCGAAGGCACGCGCCCAGGCAAACACGGCGGGAAAACTTACGGGAGACCCATGAATGCGACGGCGCGTTAACGTGATTAAGAAGCGGAATGATGCGCAAAGTAGAACGAACGGGAACAACGAAGAAGACAACGCGCCTTGAAATGGTTGAGTGGAGAGTTGAAAGCCGATAGTTGAAGCGGGCGGTCGGAGGTGGGTTGTAAGGCTTCCAGGAGGCAATGTCCGAAGGTGAAGACTGCGCGCGACAGGGCTGCCGCCAAGCAGCCAATCAACGCCGAGTGACTGTCTCTAGCTCCCGGCTATCGTCCGGCGGAAACCGCTCGCAACCAGCCGCTGCGATGGGCGGCCAAACACCAAAACTCCTACTGCAGGTACCATGTCGAAACTGCCATGCTATGACTCGACCGCATTCGTGGCTCAAGCAACAGCCAGCACCAGCCAGCACCAGCCAGCACCAGCCCGCTGAACAGGCAGGAGCCTCCGTCTACTGTTTCAAAGATGCCAAGAGCTAGGAAGAATTCCCCGTGAAACATGAGTCCGTGTGCGTAACGTCGAGGAGATCGAGACAGCAATGATAGAGCTGGGTCTCGAGCGCATCACACGCTTGCTCAAACACACGCCACTGCCATGGAAAGCAGTACACGTTGCCGGCACCAATGGAAAAGGCTCAATCTGCGCGGCCATCAGCGCGATGCTGCACGCTCAAGGCGTCCGCTGCGGGCGGTTCACATCACCCCATCTGATCGACCAGTGGGACTGTATCACCATCAACGAGCGGCCTGTCAGCGAGTCGCTTTTCCGAGACGCTCACAGCGGCTTCGTTTCGCTCAGTAAAAAGGAGGACATCAGAGCCTCGGAGTTCGAGCTCCTGACCGCCACGGCCTTCGAGGTCTTTACCAAGGAAAAGGTCGAAGTCGCGGTCGTGGAGACTGGCATGGGCGGCCGGCTCGACGCTACGAACGTACTCGAGAAGCCACTGGTGACCGTCATCTCGAAAATCGGACTGGACCATCAGGCCTTCTTGGGTGACACTCTAGCCAAGATCGCAGGAGAGAAGGCAGGGATACTTAAGCCCGGCATTCCGTGCTTCGTCGACGCCACCAACGACGAAGAAGCTCTCCGCACCATCCGGAAGACAGCGGAGAGTGTCGCGGCCGGCCCTCTTACCTTCATCGACACTCCTCCACCACTCCCCCAATCCAACTCCAGCCTCGGCCAGGCTGCCCCCAAGCAACCGCACCAAAGGACCAACCTATCTCTCGCTCTCGCCGCCACATCCCTCGCCCTCCAAACCCTGCACAGCCTCCCCACACCACCCCCACCAGCCTCCCTCCTCCCCACCGCCCTCCGCACCCACCTGCCCGGACGTCTCCAACTTCTCAGCCTCGCGCCCCTCATCTCCCGCACATCCCCCGTCCTCCTCGACGGCGCCCACAACGCAGACTCAGCAACCGTACTGGGCGCCCACGTCAACACGCACCTCCGCCCCACCGGTACCGGTCACGTGACCTACGTTCTCGCCATGTCGGCTGGGAAGGACTGCGCGGCGATCCTGGGCCCGCTGCTGCGCGACGGGGATAGTGTTGTTGCGGTGGAGTTTGGGCCTGTGGAGGGGATGCCGTGGGTACGGGCTATGGGGGCGGGGGAGCTGCTGAATGCGGCAAGGGGGATGGTGAGGTTGGAGGCGGAGAGGGAGGTGGGAAGGGATGTGTTGGGGGGGTTGAGGGCGGCGGGGGAAATCGCGGGCGAGGGGCCGCTGGTCGTGGCGGGGAGTTTGTATTTGGTGGGGGATGTGTTGAGGTTGTTGAGGGATAGGGGCGTTGATGTGTATGGGAGTGGTGTACAGTCGGAGTAAAGGGGACAAAGGACAAAATGCATGTCGTTCTACGCGTTCCTGACAATGACCACCATACTTCATGAACCATGTCCGTCTATAACATCTGTCCCGATAAGCGCCTAAAGCAGCACCTTACTAGCCACACTCAACAGCCACGCCGCATCCTGCCATCCCCCCTCCTCCGCCCCCTCCGGCAGCGCCGTCGTTTCCTTGACCGCTTCCCTCGACGCCGCCACCATCCTCTCTCGTTCCTCCCTCCTCTTCTCCCTCTCCTCCTCCAGCCTCCTCCTCAGCTCCTCCTCACTCTCCAACACATTCCTCTGCACGCCCACCTCCGTCTCCGTCTCACTATCCCCTTCCTCCCCCTCCTCCTGCACGCGAAAAACACTCCACCCGATAAGCCGATCAACCCAGCCGCCGAGCCCGAAACCAGCCTCGCGCGCTAGCCGCGCGACGACTTCTTCGTCGGCCACTGAGTCTGCTGCGTCTTCGCCTGAGAGGCCGACGAAATCAGGCTCGACGGCCGCAGCGGTATCGGTTTCAAAGAACCCCGTATCCTTCTCAGCAGAGCCGGGCGTCTTCGTCCCCACAGGCGTCATGAGCTCGATCTTGCTCCCCCTCCTACTTCCCCGCCGACTCCCGCGCCTGCTCGCGCCCGGCGTCGCGAAGCTGCTGCCCGGGCGACTATACCGCGGTGTTTGGGGGCTGAGTTCATCGTCCGCGAGGCCGAGCGCCCCGTTGTGGTTCGCATGAGGCTCGGTGTAGCTGTCCGCGGCATCGTCGATAGCGGGCAGTGAGCTGGTGGAGCTCGCGCGCCGCACGAGCCACGACTGGCCCTTGTCTTCGCGCGTCGAGGTCGCGATCGCGAGGCCTGCCCGGTGCAGCCAGGAGTCTTCGGCCGGCTCTGTCGTCTTTGTCGCTTTGGCGCGGGCGTATGGGGACAGTGCTGTCTTTCCCGTGGCGTTGGTGGTGGCCGGGGTGTTGAGGCGGGAGGGATGCGTCGCTAGTAGCGCGGAGGAGGACTTGGCTTTTGTGATGCCTGCATTGGGGTGCGCATGGGTTGTCAGAAAGTAGCTTTCGTGCTGGTACTGCGGATTCTCGGGTTGGCGGCCGCGGCGGCGGGAGTGGGTCGGGGAGGTTGAGCGCGAGAGGATGCCGGGTGTAGTGGGTGCGGTGGCGGATTGGATATAGGAGCTGCGCGGGACGCGGTCGGTGTAGTCTTCGTGGGCGTCGGAGGCGATGTAGGTGGAGCTTAGGGGCGCGAGGGAGAGGTGGTGGAGGTTTGGGTGGGAGCGGCGCGAGCGGGAGCGGGAGCGTGACAGGTGTGTTTGGGAGGCTGGACGTGCGATCTCCATGGTGTGTGTTGTGGAGAGAGGGCAATCGCACAAACAAGTGAGCTTCAAGTGGGGAGTTTGAGGAATTGAAGATGGCAGGAGGAGCTGAATGGGAGATCAACAGCGAGCCGAGGGGCTTTCACGTGTCAAGGCGAGCTGCTCGACGGGCGCTTTCTTGGCGTTCGTCAGGCAGCTCAGGGATGGGAAGAAGGAAGAAGGAAGAACGAAATGCCGCTCCGAGCAGAGCTGCCGTGGGCCAAGAGAAAACTAACGACTTCGAAAAAACGCGCGTAAGGGCAAGGGAGCACACGACTGCCTAGGAAGGCTCCCCAGAGCTGGAAAGCACGAAGCTCACAGATTCGATCCCTATGTTTCGTCTGCTCGCGTGAGGGGCGCCGTTGGGCACCACGACCCCTCGAGCCTTTCGGAACCACGGAAATCCTACCGCCGTTATATCCGCTTCCGCCAGCAGGGTGCCGCACAGTGAGGCCTGCGTAAGCCGGGGAAGACTCGGCGTACCGGCTCGAGCGACAGCACAAGAAAAGTGCCTGGAACTCTGACGTCTAGAAGAGAAGGACTTGGATCAACGATTGTCCGATTGAAAGTCGTCCTCCAGAAGTGTACTCGCGTGCCGAACACACCGAGTACAGCTCCATCGTGAACCGTGTTTCCGCCTCCTCAACTCACAGAAACTCAATCTCGCCCGCAGAACTTCGAAATTGCTCTCGTGCTCCTACCGCACTTTGTGGCTCCCCCACACTTTTGAGTCTGTCTGAGCGCTCCTTCCTCGCTCAAATACGCACCCGCTCCCCGGTCGACCATGAACCCAAATTCGACCTCCCACAGTCAAAACTCAAAATGTCGCCGTCCGTGATTCTGTGATCATAAAGGCAGGTCCAATCACCTATTAAGCTGCAGCGTGAAAGGCAGCTCTCGTGCAGGTGTCACTGACTTCTTCGCGCGCAGAATCACTCCTCTGCCGTGCAGGGGCATCTCTTTCAACACATCGCTTCTGGCCAAGGATTCACACCTGCTTGCTCTCCATCTGGATATAGACCGTATCCCAGGCAACGCATATTTCACCTCGAATCAGCGTCCCCGTGCAGCTTGTGAATCTACACCAAGCGAGTCTCGGCTCTGTTCAGACCAGGTGCAGATGGCAAACATGGCTCTCAACACCACCGGCACGACCTGGCAATTCTCCAGAAGTTTCATCAAATACGTCCAGGACCAGCTTCTGCAGCGCACCGCTCCGAACTTGTCGATTACCATCGTGACTATGGCGGAGACTGTTCCGGATGATGGAGAGGTTGTTGGCGCTGGAAATGAGGAAGCAGGTACCTCGCGACCTCTTCTAGATACGCGCGAACGCGTCGCCTGACTCCTAAAAGCAGCTGTCGCGGCACCCATCTCCCCCCGAAAGTACATCGCTGGTCCAGGGCCTGACCGCTTGCAATCTCTCGTCCCTCCTCCGAACTTCGGCGCAGTGGTCGCAGGCAGTATTTACCGCAGCAGCTTCCCGAATCCGGAGAACTTGGACTTTTTGGGAACTCTCAAGCTGAAGACCATCCTGTAAGTAGCCCTTTCCGAACTCGATGCGATCGCAAGCTAGAACCACGCTATGATTGTACTACTCTGGCTCTGGGACGCATCGCTTCTTCTTCAAAAAGAGCAAGCTAACATCTCCAGGACTCTGGTTGATACCCCGTATCCCGAGGCCAATGTCGAGTTCGTCAAGCAACGCGGTATCCAGCACGCGACGGTTCTTCTCCCAGCCAACAAAGAAACCGTCCGCGTCTCGCAGTGCGACATGACCCGGGTCCTGAACATTGTTCTCGACACATCAAACCATCCGCTGCTCATTCACTGCAATAAAGGCAAGGTAAGCACGTGACCTGCCCCTATATACTCCATCTTGCATCATACCTCCCCTCAATGCATCAGCCCTCTAATAACTCCCATAGCACCGCACCGGTTGTGTCGTCGCCTCGTTCCGCAAGACCGTCGGCGAGACCTACGAAAACATCTTCTCCGAGTACCACGTCTATGCGGGCATCAAAGCGCGCAAGCTAGACGAAGCTTTCATCGACCAATTCGACACGCGTACCGTGCTCTGGCTCGCGCGCGAGAATGGCTTCGTCAAGGGAGACGGCTCCGAGAGCCCGATGTTGGAGCCTGTTGTCAAGCGGCAGCGGACCGCGGCTTAGTCAGGCGCGAAAAAGCATTTCAATGGAGTTTGGGAAAGAAAGGGAAGGGAATGGCATGGGCATGGCATAGCAAGGCGCGTAAGGGAGACTTGGATCCGGGTTGCATTGGGAAGCATCGACCAAGCGCTGGCGTGCATGGGTTACGGACATGGCATACACGGCATTACTGTAGCGATGAATGAGAACGCTGCGGAGTTATGAGGGGATGAAAAGCGGCACGTAATTACTACGCGAAGGGCTCTCTGCATCGGAGAGATATAAGTAGAGGCTTTGTGCGGGAAATGGGACACGATTGCATACATCACATGACATGAGAGTTCCACCGCCATCACTCCGTTCGCTCTCCTTGTGTTTGGCTGTACGTGACATGACACCTGTTCAGGCTTGCGTATGTGCCACTAGTATACATTCAGAAGGTTTAGTAGATACTTCGCTTTCGTTGTCCCTTGCGACGATCACGGTCACAAGACCCAGGATGAGACCTCCCTTGGGCCATCATTTCATCTCTCAGGAGCGCCAGCTGCAATCTATCGAAGCAACTGGACCACGTGTCCCACCCCTGGATGGCATTACGCGTGCTCCGAAACTGGATACACCGACTCCAAGATCAGCTTGGACTGGCTCAAACGAGTGTTTAATCCCCAAACCAAAGCACGGGCGCATCAGAAACCACGGATTCTAATCTGTGACGGCTCCGGGACGCACGAGTGGCTCGAAATCTTGGAGTATTGCTTTGAAAACAACATTATCCTGTGCCGTATCCCCTCTCACACTGCCCACAAGCTCCAGCCTTGTGATATTAGAGTTGGGCCCGCTGAAGGCAGCGTATCGCGAACAGGTTGAACGACTGTATCGAGGAGGTGCGAATTACAGTCGGCAAGGAGCATTTCACGTCTCTCTTCAGCCCTGCACGGAAAAAGGCGCTCACTCCTCGAATCATTAAAGCAGGGTGGATAAAAAGCGGTTTGTATCCGTTCAACCATTTGGCTTCAATTTTGGGACGACTGATGTCCAGAGAGCTTGAGCGAGCTCGAAGGTGACATGGCGTGCTCTTCTTCCCTGTCACGCCGTGCACAACAAAAGCCTCACCGCGAAAATCTCTCATGTGTTTCCGATCACGCTTCGCTTTACTATTACCATGCCCCCTACCAATAAAGTAACAGATTTCTCAAAATGGTAGAGGATTAACTAAGGCTGACTTAGTAGCTTTTCTACACTATTCACAGCCTTGTAAAGGTTATTGTGTGTGTGTTGCTTAGTAAAACATACTTGTCGCGGTGAGGCTTTTATTGCGCACGACGAGCCTGTCAATCTAGAAATTAAATCACGCCAGGCAGGTGCGGACTTCAGCCTCGCCTATCTCGATTCGTGATCGCCCGCCCTTCACGGGGAAGAAGAAAAGTCCAATGCATAAAGGACGAGGATTCAAAATGCCCTAATATTGAGAGAAAAGCATGCAGCCAAACATGTAGCCGATCTTGAGCGTAATTTGCGCTCAGCCGGGGGTGTGCTCGACGCCCTCCCCCTGACTGCCGCAGGTGGCTTGCAGCTCGTCCTAAGCGCCGACGATGTCGAGTTCAAGCCCGACTTGAGTCCATCAACAATCCCAGGTCACTACAAAAGCAAGGCCCCTCCCGCACTATTTCGTCTGTCGACTTCCTTATGCAATTGTCACAACAGCAAGATATCATATAACCTGGGCTAGTTTCTTTGAACCTACTTCTCCCACGCTTTTCCCGGTCTCGTTTCCCTTCACACAGCACGAGATGAGTTCTATAGGCGCAGCCAGGAGGAGGCGTGGTACAGCCTTGCGCAATAGACATCCATGGCTCAATACTCCGTTGGATATCACTCGATCCTGCATTAGGATTCTCAACCTGCACAAGGGATCCGACGACATGCCTATAATCTGCAGCTTGGAGGTGGCATCCTTGGACGATAGTCCATACTACGAAACCCTGTCATATGTTTGGGGAAATCCGAACGACACCAGACCAATAACCGTCAATGGAGTTACCTTGAATGCCACGGCAAATTTGTTTGATTTCCTCCATTGTCTGCGACTCCCAACGGCAGATCGATGCATTTGGGCAGATGCGATTTGCATCGATCAGCAGAATGATAAGGAGAAGAGTCATCAAATTGTATTGATGTCAAAAATCTATCAACAAGCAAAGGAGGCGCATGTCTACTTTGGCCCCTTTTGCACCACCGGGACTAATTCTTGGCAATGGGAAATGGCCCACGATGAAGGCTACGATATTGCACGCAAATTTACACCGGAGATGTGGGAGGGAGTTGCACGGGAGTCCGCCCAAGATCTTGGATACTTCTTGAAGGAAGAGGGATTCAGGCCTCTGAGTCGACAGGAGTATCATGACTTTTATCTACGCTGTGTGGACGACATCTTTCAGGAGACACTCAAGATTCTGGATAAGATGGCAGGTACGGGTGACGGAGTGCATCTTTACGAATATCCCGTGTTCTTTTTCATCGACGAAGAGGGCGGACGCCGTCGTCATGGATTAAACACTTGCTGGTTTACCGTGATGGACTGCATCCATTGGCTACTTACACGCAAGTGGTGGACAAGAGTGTGGACGTTGCAAGAGGCTGTACTGCCTCATGTCGATCCAATCGTCCACGCTCCTCCCTATTCGTTCAGATTGTCACGGCTACTGAACGGAGTTCATGCCATGTTGCACCATAATAGCCAAAGCTGCTGTAAATGGTTCGGGTATGTTATTCTGACGGAATACAGGGACTCCTATGAAGGTCGTCACTACGCCCAAGCACGTTCAGTCATTGAGCAACGAAGGAGCCTGACGTCTGAACGCCAGCAGTCGCTCCAGCCAGAAGAAGTTACGGTCCCACTGGCAGATGTTGTTCAATCCATCCGGGGACGGCAAGCGACGGAAATTAGAGACCGTTGGTTCGGAATACTTGGATTCCTGCATCCTGAGTGGCAAAAGGAAGACAGCAACAGCTCCGGCTGGACAACCGCGGAGTTATTCACCAAATGTTCCAAACTGATTTTCAGCAGTAGTGGGGATTTGATTAGAATGAGTTTCGCCAGACGCCAGCGACGCAGCCAGGTGTCAGGGCTTCCGTCATGGGCATTGGATCTCTCTGTTGAGTTCCAAGAAGACAAAGGTGATTGGAATCACTGGAAACTCTACAATGCATCTGCGAATGTGGAGTTTTTATACGTTGGAGAAACCGGAGAGTGGTCGGACTTAAAGGACGCAGACCTTGAGGTCAAGGCAATACGCATCGGCACAGTACAGGCATGTGGTGGCCTCATACCTCTTGATGCCTTCGACTCTGGAGATACCTCTAGCAGGATCCTCAAATTAGTCGAGGACTGGCAAGAATTGTATCGCAACCACGTACAATCTGCGGACGACAGCGCATTTTGGAGGACAATATTCATGGACAGAAACCACGAGATACATTGGCTTCATAAAAGGATCATGTCACTCAATGAACGCAGAGTAGACAAAATCAGGTTGTGGTGGAAACAATGGAAAAGGACGGGCCGCCATCATGATCTGAATCCTGACAGGAAGGCGGACAATGGGAGTCGAGGGGACTTTACCTACAGAGAACTATCGTTATGTGTCAAAATGGCGAAGTTCTTCGTGACAACTCAAGGAGTTCCAGGCATGGGTCCGCGCGACATGCAGCCCTCCGATGAGGTGTATGCCCTGGCTGGTTGCGAGTCACTTGCAGTTCTACGACGAGGGTCGAGGAACGGGAAGAACTGTTTAACGTTTGTGGGGCTTTGCTTTGTCGATGGATGGATGTATGGCAGGGCGACCTGTGGCAGTCCGCAGTGGGAGACGCTTCACCTATACTAAGTATTCTCGCAATCTAGAACTCTTTCTCGATTTGTCATTTGTAAGTTGCATTGATCATTCTTCCAGAAGCCAACAAGCAATTACAAAGGAACTGTCTTTCTTGACAGTCAGGAAGAACACCTGCTTGATTCTAGTTGGTGCACTAACGAGCTGCTCATAGATTCTGTTGCGAAGTTCGCTGGGAAGGCTGAGGAAGTTGGCCGACATGTCAGTGGTCGTGGGGCTGTTGATGCTTCGTTCGCTGTGAGATTCAGTCAACGCTTCTATGCAAGTTGTGGATTGCAGACACTGTATTCAGAGGATCGAGGTCCTAGCAGCCGCCATCTGCCGGTTGATAGCGACGTTGTTTGAGGGGACACCAATCTGCAGTTTGTGCGCTTCGAACTGGCTAGGGATATTGACATCGTTGCGCCGCATATGGGAAAGGACCCGACGACCATGAACAAATCACAGCCCCGGCCGGACATGGCGCGTCTCATCTATCTCACCTGTCACCACTTTGACCTGTTCTAGCATTTCGGAGAAGGGTTGCCATGGTCCGTTACCGCCGCCTTAAGAATCACTATGTTGATCGCGCGCGTCAAGTTGAACAGGTAATTCGGGTTGTCGCGGCTGAGGTGCTGTTATAGCCGGTCACCTGGATCTTGCGAACAACCAAACTCCACAAGCGCTCTCCTTGTCCGCTCGGGCTGGAGTACCTCAGGCGTGGCCTTGTAGCGCTCGACTAGCGCATCGGTGGACTGTCTGATCCTCTTCTCGCGGACTTTAATGCTCTTAGTGGGTGACGATGTGGCATTAGTGATATTCTCGATTGCCTGACGTGATTTTATTCAACGAGACAAGTGGCTTCTTGAAGTTGTCGACTCGATAGATTGTCCTGACATGTCTGAGTTTCTTAGTCTCATAGTCGTCTTCCATCCTCGAGGCGATTAGGCGTCCCCACCACCTTTTTCGGCACGGCTCTCTCGGCAGGCTCCTCCGGATGCTTCTTCTGCTTCTTCTCTCTTCTGATCTTCTTCGCCGCCGAGGGGAGCCTGTGACTCCAGCAATCTTCCGCTTCTTGCCCCGCGGTTTAAGATATGTTATACGAGCCTGGAGGACGGCCGGCTCAGGAGTGAGTGAGCGGCAGAGAGGAGGAGTGTCTCCGGTGTTGGGGACCTCGCCCGGGAACAGGCTGTACTCGAGAGGAGAGGAGGCGGTAGGAGGGCGGGCGAGGACTCCCGAGAGAAGGGCACCATGATACGGGTGGGGGGAGGTGACGAGGCCGTAAGTGGTGTATAGCTCTCCTCCGCTATGGGCGGAGCCAGAGCGGACGACACATCTGCAATTGTTGCCCATTCAGGCCGACCGGCGAAATGCACTTCGAAATGATGAATCTGCGTCATTGTTAGCCATGCTTAATGATTACGGGGACACTATTCGCCAGACGCTCTCGCCCGGCCTATCTGAAAGGGTTCATGAGGTCCAGTAAAGTCTCGAGTGTCAGGTCCCTGTCACCTGGCCTCCGCTGTCTCTTTGGCCTCCTCGGTCATCTTTCCGCCATACCACATACATATAACGGGGCTACTGAGGGAGCCTGACTTCGTACAGGACTGGCGCTCTTGGTGGAGGTTCTCCGAACTTGAATGCCCATGTCCTCCATCGTGGCGTCTTGAGCGTGCTTATAAGATGCATCCATTGAACACGGGAAACAAGCAGCATTTTCTGTCACATAAGGATAAGGAGACCAAGGCTTATTGAGTGAAGACATTTTGACAGTTTAACTATATCAAATGAGTAGTTGGATCTGGCTTTAAAATCCCAGATTTGGTACGTTGGCTCGTGTGAATGCGGGATACAGGTACTTGCTACCTGCTGCCCAAAAGGGTATGCGGTTACAGGCAAGCCATCCACCCGTGACCATGAAAAGGCAGATACGTTCTGGTTCGATTTTTGCTCGGACCGTTTCTTTTCCACTTTTTCATTTTTGCATCGCTGCTGCAAAAAGTAGATGTAGTAGCGCTGTGATGTGGTTTGGGTTTGGAACGTGCGGCGTAGAGCGGAGTGATGTTCCATAGTGGCGATGGCAGCCATTTTTTTCGCCTCGTGCGTACTCATCCTGAGCTTCTTTATGGGTGTGGAAGGTGCGGAGGTTCGGCCGGCTCGATGTGGATTCTACTGGATTGAAGCGCGCATTATATGCCGACAAGACGAGGGATCTGCCCGCCATCCAAGTCGTTATAGCCTTGACGACGTTATGATTCGAATTGTCTGCCTGTCTGTCATGCCATAAGTCTACATCCAGCCAAATCTCTTAGCTTGTTTTGCCCGAGCCTGTGCCTCTTCTCCTCGTGATATACCTTGCAACTTCAGACCTCTACGATATGGGGCAGGCCATTTCCAGTAGGCTGCCGTCATTGGCTACTCGTGTGACGCGTGTCTTGCGTTTTCCATCTCTTCTTCGGTGTTCCAATACTCCCAGTCAGACTCCGTGTCGTCGGTAGTTGGACTAACCCGTTACTTCGATACCTGAGCATATCTGCCTCGGGCCTTCTTAGGAACCTCTTCTAGGATGTCCTCGACAAAACGAGCCGGCATGCTGCCTTTATGCTCTAGAATCCAGTCCGGTAGAGCATGGTATCTCTCTTGGTAAGCTTCAATCTGGTATTGCTGATTATTGATAATCTCTTAGAATTCTTTCCCCTGCTCTATGTACAGAACTCGTGTGTCTTCCAGGGCTTGCTCGACTTCAATGTGCCGTTGCACGATAGCCTCTGCTGCTGTCCGAAGCTTCTTCCATACCGTCCCTAGGCGTTCGAGTCCCAGCTGTTCCGGAGTGACTTTGCCTTCCTGGATCGCATACATGATTGCCATCCTTGCAAACAGTGGGTGACACTTAAAGCTCTTGATGGGATCGAAGCCTGCCGTCCCCATTTGTCTTTCCGCCTCCTCTTTCGTGATCTCTAACTTTGCGACCGTTCCGTAGATTGTACAGTTCCATGTAGCCACAAGAGAGGAAAGCTGGGGTTTTCGTTTCCTGAACCGCCAAGTCCATCTTGGGATACAGATGGATGGACCATGAATGTAAGGCGGAGATGTTATAAGCTGCTACTCTTTCACTAGGCCGCATGTGTTTCAGTGTTGTTATAACATTTACTGTCGTAACGCTGATCCGCTGTTGTTACTTGTTACTTGCGTTGGTTAGCTGGCTGTGAAGACGTGAGAAGGACGAAACAGCAAGAAAGAACGAGAGGACCAGGGGAGACTTTTGTTTCAAAGCTTGTCTCTCCACTGGCTTCCAGCGACCCACACCGCTTGTCACTGTAGAAGATTAGCCTGCGCCGTCATCCGGTTGCATGCGCTTGTGAGAACTGCCATGACGGCTGCGGACGGAAACAGAGTAAATCTATGACTCAGCTATATTCTAGCAACACCCTGACGCCAACCATGCAGGTAAGACGGCCAAAATATGAGGCCACACTGAACGATGTAACGACAACGGATGTACTAGGCAAACGTCCAACGCGCAGAATAGAACACTGCCCCGGGTATCTTGGCTCTATGCCGAAATAACAGGAAGAAGCGGAAGTGAATATCATAGCTTGGCCTTGACTTCGCCGCCGGATGCGCTCGCTTCTGTGTTCAGGGTAACCGTCCCAGTGTTCTCGCCCTCGCCGAAGAAGATAACCTCGACAGTCAAATCATCTCTGTTCAATGTGTTAATATCGGACAAGCACAGGGAATCTCATGTAAGGAGCTTACCGATACCGCCTGGAGTATGGACTTGGCAGCGTCAACAACGCACAAACCTGATCTCTATCCTTCCCGCCCAAGGCGTTCCTCACAAGATGCGTTGCTGCGTTGCTGTCTTCTACCACGAACCTCTCGCTCTCCTTAGCGGTAACACCCCACTGCTGCTGTCGTATCGGCGCTCGCTGTCCTCCCTTGTCCTCACCCTCGTGGTGCTCCACCGGCAGTGTCATGCCCTTCTGCTGTGAGAACCAAGATTTCAGCCAGCCTTCGCTCATCGATGATGCGTGGGATGTCGGCGAGCCAGAAGCGGAGGCGAAAGACTTGGAAGGGAGCTTCGATTGGTGCTCCAGCCATTCGGCTACCAAACCCACAACCTCCTCGTTCGTCAACATCTCCCACAGCCCGTCCGTTGCCATGACTACGAAATCGCCTTTCTCAGGTTCGACCTTCGTGGTCGTGATAACCGGCTCAGCAGTCACATATGGCGGCGTCCGCATCAATCTGCTTGCACTCCTGCCAAAGTAGTGCTTCTTGATCTTCTCCTGCGTTTCAAGGGACCACTTGTATATCGCGTCGCCAAAAGCCCGGGTCGGCTCAAGTCCACCGAGAACACGCCCATTCATGACCACATTCGGCTCGCCTGGGTGCTCTTTACGCATCCTCTCCGCCTCATCCTCATTGCCACCCGTCTGATCCACGCTCAACGCTGTAGCAGTCCACTTTCCGCTCGCGCCACGTCGGCCAAGAACGGCACGGGAGTCGCCGGTGCAAGCTACACGCAGGAGCTTCGACCTGGAGTCATAGAAAGACAGCAGCGCGCAAGATCCCGAAAGAGCCGGCGCTAGGAGCTCGGCTGCAACCCGTTTGGACTTTGCGGCGTTGACCTTGTTGACTGATTCGTGGCAGATTTCGTAGTCCAGTTTGATGAAACCTTGCTTGATGGCCTTGTCGATAGATTCCGGGGATGGAATGGTGGCGAGCGCAGGATTTGTCGAGGCAGCATAGGTTGTGTTTAGTTCTCGGGCAACGAAGGAGATCAAAGCCTGTCGTAACCTGGCGGAAGTGATCCAGCCGCTGGAGCTAAAGTCAGCGGGAGAAACTCAATCGTTGAAGAGAAATCTTACCTGTGTCCGTCGAAGACGCCCCAAAACATCCAGTCACTCCCACCGTCCTTATCGATGCCCGTGCTCCCAGGTACCTCCACAATCTTCTCGGCATGATCGTCCTCAATCGGATCATTGCTGGGTATTTGCACGACGTCATACCGCACAACTCCTCTACCTCTCCCTACTAACCAACTCTCCTCATTTTTCCGCAATCGCTCCGTCGCCTGCTCAGGCGTCATCATCTCTAGCACCTTGCGCCCGTAGTCGTCTGTCTCCTTTGACAGCGGTCCCTCTCCTGTAATCGTGCCCGTATAAAGCTGGCCCTGCTCAACCACCAACGCTCGCCGCGTCGACTCTGCTGCTGCCTCTGCTGACGAGCTACTCGGAACTGCGCCCAGAGCCGCTGAGTACGCACCCGCGGACGCGAACCCCCTGCTCTGTCCTCCAGGCCCGCCTGGTCCACTTACACCCGTCCCGGTAGTGGGACTAGCGCTTTGGCCTGCCGCCGAAGAAGGTGTGCCCCGGTAGGTATACCAAGCTCCCGACGCAACGGCTGCAGAGATAAGCGCATAGGAGAAGTTCCGGATTTGCATTGCGGACGTGAGGACGGGAGTTATCCGTTCGGCTCGGCGCGAGGTCAGGAAGCGGAGGCCCAGCGCATAGCTTGACGGGGTGAGGTTGCGGGTGCGGATGAATTTGCGGAAGGAGGGGCGGCGGAACGGGCGAAGGGTTTGGAGGGCGGTACGGCGCATTGAAGAGGTGGGGTGCTTGATGGAGATGTGAGGTTGGTAAGGGAATGGAAGACCAAGAGAGGGAAGACCGGGAGTGAGAGATGAGCTATCCGTACAGTGCACTTGCAATCGTGACAGTGTTGACGCTTGGACGTTCGCGGCGAACGGGTCGCGAGAGAGATGCGGAACAGGGGTGTTGCAGGAGCCAATCATCAGTTCTGGATTGATCTTCACACGCTGAACTGCCCAATCGTGAACAACATTATTCCAGCAGAAGTGTGTGAGCAGCTGCTAGTAGCAGAGCAAGTTGGACGCTCTGCTGGTTCGAATGCGGTAATACCAGGGCCTTCGTAGAACACCGCATAAGTTCACGATGTAGCTTCCAAATTTCCCAGTCTTTGCTGCCGTCGAAGATTCATCGTCACCAGATTAGCTGATCATCCTTCCCACAAAGGCTGGACGGCAATGGCAATGGCAACGACGCAAGCCGCATATCTGACGAGCGTCAGCATACTGGGGCAGGTAGAAAGATAGAGCCAGCCACCACCGAAGCTACGGTAGGTATGAAGCCTCCCGGATGATTTCACATTCACCGTCGTTCTACGAACGCCGTCTCCTTGTGAAGATAGCAATACCTGGCCCTTTCGTAGAACGTCGAAGCTTTTCATCACCATCACCTTCAAATCGCCAGCGCCACGGAGTCTCACCGCTGGCTTATAGGCGGACGTCTGCGCAATATGGCTTTGGCGAGAAGACAAACCGCTACATACGTAAACGCTACGGTGAACACCAGCACAACTCAGACCCATAAGATGCAAGTGCGAAGCTGCCTCCCACTCGTCTTGCGAGTTTTCACTTTCGTAGCCCCTCTATGAGTTTTTTTCTCCATTCCGAATGCATTAATATCTTTGCTTTTCGTGGGACGTCTGTCGGATACCTCGGCTTTCACGACAGGTGATGGCCTCGGCGGCTCATGCTCCATCGCGAGGACGGTTGCTACAAGAAGTTGCGTGGTGAGCTTCCGAACATCTCTACTTTGTTTTGGCAGGAACTACGGGAGTGTGATAGACAAATCATATGTCACTTGCACTTCAAGGAGCAAGTACAAGGCATAAACCAGCGGCTGTTTAGCAATAGCTGATTTCTAGTTGCTCTTGCACCTGAGCTACCACAATAGCGCCATTCCTGTCCGTCCTGTCTTACTAATGTCCGAAGGCTTGAGTCGTGACCTTAGCCATATGCTTGTTCTCTCTCTGCCATTGCTTGGAGAATTTGACGCCAAAGCCTCTGCTGAAAACCTCCCTAATGGCCTCGAGCGGCATTCCCTTACACTCGGGGTAGCAGAAGATAACGAAGAGCCAGCCAAGAAAGCAAATGCCACAGTAGAACCCAAAGGCGCCGCTAGGCGTCATTCCTTTCATCATGGATAGGAAGGTCGAGGCGATGATGATATTCGTGCTCCAGCAGGTGACAGTGTTCTGGGAATCGTCAGCATCGAACTACAGACAGGCCCGTATCTTACTCACCAGCATTGTTCCGATAGCTCGAACCTCTAGGGGAATCAACTCGGTGCCAATCCAGCCTATTGTTGCAACACCGGACGAGAAGAATGCAACATAGAAGATGATAGCGACCAGCACCAAAATACCCGCCCAGCCGACTGCTCCGGACTCAAGCTCCAGATCATGGTTGACGGGGATCCACTTAAATGCAACTGATGCGACAAGCATGCAAATCGCCATTCCAAGGACAGTGACAGCAAGAAGAATGCGGCGGCCGAACTTATCAACGAGGAATAAGTTCACGATTGAGAAGATGAAGTTGGTACCCGAAACTGTGATGGCTACCGCCGTGGCGTTAGAGAATCCAACGAGGGCAAAGAGGGTCGCAGAATAGTACATGAGGGTGTTGAAGCCGCCAAGTTGAGAGATAGCCATCACAACACAAGCAGTGAGGACGGCGCGAGCGGTGGCTGGCGTAGTGAAGATGCGACGGAAGGCAGTCCACAGTGATTCGTCGCTCATTGTCTGAGTGGCCTCGTGGATGGATAGCTCGATTGACTTGATTTTGGCCTGGCGCTGTTCTGGGGTAGAGGTCAAGTAGAGTCGATGCAAGACAGCGTCCGCTCGGTCGTATTGGCCGTGGGCTACCAGTTGTCTCGGAGACTCTGGACACAAGAGGAGCAGACCGGCAAGAGCGATAGCTGGCGCCGCTCCGATGCCAACAGTTGCACGCCATCCTTCTCCTTTCACCTGCGCAAAGCCAGCACCGATGGCACTGGCGATCAGCTGGCCAAAGGTGACGCTCATGTTGTTGAAAGCGATCATTCGACCACGATACTTGGCAGGCGCCAGTTCACCGACTGCGAGTGTATCAGCATTCATGAACGTCCAGCGTGCCAGTGGCATCACATACTGTAAAGAGGTACCACCATCGCAGCTGATCCAACACCAAGACCGACGATGAAGCGACCGACAGCAAACTGGGCCACGGAGTAAGCCGCCGTCTGCAGCACAGTGCCGACAACGAAGACAACGCATGCGGCCCAGATTGGCATCTTTCGACCGAAGCGATCGGCAGTAAGCCCAGCGCCGACAGCTCCAACCAGAGCTCCACCGCTTGTCAACGAGGTGACAAGTTCTTGCTCGCTCGAGCTGAGAGCGTGGCCGAGGGATGTTCCGAGTGTGACGAGGACAGATGATATATAGCCAGTGTCATAGCCTAGAATTTGTCAGGCATTGGTCTCCAGCGGATGCAACTTGGGGGCGCACCAAACAGAAAGCCTCCGATCGAGACAGTGATGGAGATCAGCCAAGCCGCCTTGGAGGCAGCGGTGGCCTCGATGCCGCTGAGTTCGGTGGCTTCTTCAGATACACTCTTTCTACGTCCAGCATGCTCGTGGTGCTCAACCGCGAAGGACTTTTCCTGGTCGAAGGACTTTTCCTGATCGAAAGACATTTTGATGGTCCCGATGTCGAAACGTCAACTGGATTGCTGTTCAAGTGACTCGATCTGTGGTCAAGAGCGGACACAATGGATGACTGGTGAGAGAGTATAGACTTGGTGGGAACTCCATTGCTCTATATAGCTTTGACCCTGGCGGAGTAAATACATTTTGAAATCTTCAATGCGACGCCGATCTCTCCATGTGCTTGTGTGGGGTCCCTTGTGGGACGCGATACACTACCCCACGGGGAGTTCAACTCTAGACTCATTTCTAGTTACCACGGAGCTGGCTCTTGGGACTTCCCCGGTGTCACGCGAACGTTGGCTTGATGGAGTTGGGTCACATTGGGGTGATCGCGGTATGCTGCCCTACATGGAAATCTGCCCGGAGTTAGATTGCCTCTTTCGAGTACGCAGCTTGGCTGATCGCCGGTAGTGCCCAGCCGGACAGTCGGATAGGGAAATCCGGCGAGGCCTCCGTTCCTCTCCACCTCTCCCAGGCTGAGCTGAGACCAACGGAGCGAAGCCCGCGGAAGATACCACACCGTAATTGTATCCCGGGAAGGCTGGCTTACACTAGGCAGTTGGCCTCGGTATACTTCGAATCTGTGCATCAAAGAACGTCAAGATTCCGGCTAGCAGGATCTAGGACCACAACGCCGCCTACAACTTGGAAGGGAAAGTTGTGCGAAGTTGGTGGTTACACTGAATATTGATTCGGCGGCTACTCGCCCGTTTGCCAGACTTTCAGCTGACTGCAAAAGATCCGACTACTTCAAAACCTGCCCCGTCAAATTCCACTACACCTTTTGCACACCACCCCTCGCCACGATCCACAAATCATCATACTCCCTTTCCGTCCACGCAAAGTTCTGCACTGAGAAGTTCGTCTGGATGCGAACGAGCAGCGTCCCCATGGGATCCACTATATTCACGCCCTTTCCGGACGCCGTAACAACGTACCCGTTCGCCACGACTTTGAGCCCGTACGGGGTGCGGTCCTAAATGAGATAGATTAAGTGGCGATTCGTCAGGTAGCGGCCGCTTTCGTTGGGGGCGTCGTTGATGGTGAAGGCGTAGACGCCGCGCTTCGCGGTGTGGTTGAAGCGGCTGCCGTGAATGGTGGTGAGGTTGTAGTCCCAGGTACCTGAGACGGCGCCGGACTCGGCAATGTAGAGAGTCTTCTCGTCGGGGGATACAGCGATGCCGTTTGTTTGGACCATGGAGTCATCGACAACGGTGACGGCACCAGTGCTGGGCGGAAGCGGTAGGTCTGAGGGCAGGAGGAGGAGATTAGCTAAGTGGGATTTCGTACAATCCTTTGAAAGTGGAATGGGGCCAAATCACATCTATCATGCCAGAACGGCTGCGAAGAATGAGTAGCAGTGACTTACTGCAGTTGGGAGTTGGGGAGGCGTATCGACCAGGGCGTTGAACCATAAGTACACTACCCAAATGTTAGCCTTCTAGTTCTGAGGCCTGGAGGGTGAACCTAGTGGTTTCTTGGGTCTGTGAACCATATGTCGCCTTTGGAATCGACCACTAAATCATTGACTGGATAGTTATTATTTACGGTTCCCTATTCTCCACGAGATTGATTTTACAGCAGTTGAAGTAGAATCTAGCAGGTTCATTTAGCATCGTATCAACTGCGTACGAGTGATCCGCACAGAAACATACCCATAGTAATTGTTGAGAATCGTTGTTGTCTTTTTGGTTGTAACGTTGAAAGTGGCAATACTGAGGATTGACTAGTGGTAAGAAGAGCATTCTTATGTTCGCATTTGACAGACTTACCTAGTTCTTTGCTCCCTTCCTCCAATTGACATGTTGCTGCCAGAGACCCCAAAATATACCAGCCACCATTATATGTGCCTCCATTGGGCTTTCAGTGTGCTCGTTGGTACGCTACAGTTCGACAGGATGTGATGAAGCGGGGGGATCCTTACAGCATACACTGGGGGATCTGGGAGGAATTCTGAAAGCGTTGGCGGGGATTCATTGGGATCCACGACAAGGGAGAAGCTGAGCTATCGGGTCGAACTCGTCGGGATGTGAAAGACATGAAGCGTGTAGCCGGGTCGAGGCCTGATTATTCGGAAGAAGCTACTATACAGCTATGAGTAGAATCTGGGGTAGATGCACACACCAGTGCACTACCTTTTCCGATATCTGGCGGAAAAGTTTCCAGATCTTGAAGCTCTTAGGCTCCCGGATTAACCCCAGTGGAAAAGCTCCCAGGTTCGAGAGTAATTTCAGCGGTAAAGGGGTCAAGGCGTTCTTAGGTACCCTCTAGGTTCTGCGGTACACCTGCAGGAGCTCAGGGCTGAAACTCAAAACGTGCCATCCATGACTTTCAGCACCCTTGCACGCCGCAGCTACAATCAGTCCTCATCAAGTTCATGCATAGAATATTTGTCGACCCCCGCGCTGATGCTATCTTTAGGAGTTACGAGGTATCGAAACGCAGCAAGAGCCTCCGTTACTCTTGGCTCCGACCAATCATTCGCCGGATCATGTTGCAAAACACGAGATTTTTATATTGCTCTTTGGTTTCGTAATACGAGGGTTGAACTTCCGCGTTCGCTCGCAGTTGTTCTTAATGCTCATCTTCGTCATGCCCCTCAGACCATAAACCTCGTCTTGCTTTTCACTTTTAAACCTATCACCATGGTTGCTTCCTGGTTTCATCGCTTGACCTTTCTCTTACTGTGCATCCAATCGGCGGTCAGCCAGCAAAGCCAAACAGTCAGTCTCCTCGACCTTGGCATCAGCGGTCTCGTTGCTTCCGTTATCACAGCCGATGCAACAGCAACGACTTATAAGCTGGACTGCCCTTCTAATGATCCTACAAACTGCGGCTATGAATCCGGCTATACCCCAACGGTAACTGCCGTCGGCGGCCCATCAACTGCAGCTATGACCGACAAGGCAGTGATTTCAGGAACCTCAGTAGCTTACACATACGCTTGCGATGTAACAAACTCGGAGAGTGGAACAGCCAGTGGGTCGTGTTCCTATACGGGCACTAGTGGGGGAGTTACCGCAACCACTACTGGCTCGCTCTCCGCGCGCGACACTTATATACCTATTGTTGTCACTGCCGGGCTGGAGAAGTTGTTAAATGACCAGGGTAAAATGGCCTTGCCCATTGTTGGATTTCAAACAGTGCTGACGATTTCCAAGGTGCAAGCTCCTCCCCGACGCCTACCGGGTCAGCGACAGCGCAGACCTCCGTTAGCTCTCCTGCGGAATCACCTACTAGATCAACGACAGCGCAGACTTCTGTTCGCTCTACTACGGAATCGGCTACTGAGTCAGCAGCAGCGCAGACTTCCAATGGCTCTGCTCCGGTATCGGACACGGTTCATGTTGGCGGTGCAGTCGCCTGGCTCGCCGGTGTATTGTTAGCGGCCTTATGATCGAGCGCACGCCTTCCAGGATGTCCAGCTCCTCATAATTTGTGAGCATCAGGGGCCCAGTGTGATGAGAAGAAGAGGCGGACCAAACGGCGATCCGAAAAGCTCGTTGCCGCATCTACGGTCTAGCTTGTTCAATACCAGATTCGCGATTGAGCTGGACTCTGATTATATCGATTACAGAATAGCAATACTGATTGCATGCGATGGAAAGGATAACATGTTCAGCATTGTAGCCCGTTAGTGCATCGATTACTTGAGATATCTTTGATCTCTGAACTGCGCTTGCGCGCTATCCACCTCCAATGCGGCAACGTACTTTTCGGATCGCCCTTGGACGTTATCCATGGGTTTAAGGTCACCACAGACTTTATAGATTATCCGTATTGCGAACAACGCTGCTTGAGAGGGATGCTTGTTGTATGATTCTGAAGCTCTATTGCGAGCATGCGCCGGGCTCTCTGGTTGCTCCGTTGCCATCTAAGGCATAGATCACGCGCGGATCTGCAACTTCGAGGTCTTACGGTCTGGTCTTCATCCGTGCGTGCATGCTCAAGCCTCGGTCGTTGCTGTTATAATCTCTGCGAAGACAACTCGGACTTGGGGGTGGACGAGGGCCGCTGATGCAAGTGGGTATGTGGAGCGGAGGTCCGTGGGGGAGGCGGAGCGGGAGCGGGAGTGTAGGGCTGAGTGTCGGAAGTGCTGCCCTGCGTCATTCACTTTTTTACTCGCTGTTCGATATATCTCTCAAATCCTCATAAATCCACACCACGCTGCGTCGCACCCCGCGGACTCTCAAAATCCAGCTCGAAACTCAACAGCGGTCCATTGGACTTTACACAGCTGCGAGAGCTTGCCTGTACGTTGCGATCCTGGGGAACATGTCGTCGCGTGCTCTGCGGCGGGCCCAGCGGGAGCTGGAAGAGAAAGAACAGCAAGAGAAGCTAGCAGCTCAGAAGAAGCAAGAGGAAGACTCAGATGATGGGGAAACAGAGTCACTTGTTAATGCGCGGACAAGCCTCTTCGCAGCGTTAGGCGACGCGGAAGAGGACGACGGCGAGGATGGGGAGGATGAGGACACAGATACCGCAACAGACGCCCGCGATAGCAGTACACATCCCTCGAGTAGGAAAGAGACAGCTCCGGTGACCTCGAACGCTAAGCGGAAAAAGAAGAGAAAGGGCAAGGAAGGGAAGAGAGCACCGGGGCAGCCTGACCAGACAACATCTGTTTCGAAGAAGCCATCACAGGAACTGGACGAGATAGACATAGCGCTCAGAGCCCTGTCTACCACGGCGCAAGATACTGAAGCCGAGACGCAGAGAACGAACCCAACCAACGCCGAACTGCTCGAGCTGTTCCAGCTGCTGTCGGTCGACTCCCAGCACCTCCATGCCGCGAACGAGATGCGCCGACTGTTTGGCCGTGCAGCCCTAGAAGACCATGAAGAAGGCGATCAGGCTGCAGGAGGTCGGAGGCGAGGCAGAGGACAGGGGCAGGTGGGCATCGCTGGAGCTGTTGCAGGCAGGAACATGCCTGGAGGCCGCGGGCTAGCGACTCTGGGTCTACGACGTAACATGTTCATACAAGGCAAGGAGGATTGGCCGAAGGCACCAGCCGGCGGACTCGGTATGGAGATTGTCAAGAAGAACCCCGATGGAACAGTCGAGTACCGCTTTGTGCACAGCAGCTCCTATCAAGACGTGCAGTCACAGTTCGAGACATGCGTCGCATCAATGGACCCCAATCGCATGGTCCAACTCCTGCAATACAACCCGTATCACATCTCAACTCTGCTCCAGGTTTCCGAAATCGCCAAGCAAGAACGCGACCACGCTACTTCCGGTGATCTCCTTGAGCGCGCCCTCTTCTCCTTCGGCCGTGCCGTACACTCTACCTTCTCCACCAACGTCTCCCAAGGCAAAGCGCGTCTTGATTTCCGCCGACCTGAGAACCGCGAGTTCTGGCTTGCGTCTTGGCGCTATATTGCCAATCTCAGCATGCGCGCTACCTGGCGGACTGTCTACGAGTGGGCGAAGCTGTTGTTGGCCCTCAGCCCGTCAGAAGATCCCTACAAAGTTGGCCTTGTCATTGATCAGTTCGCCGTCCGCGGCCGCCAACAAGCCCACTTCATCTCCCTGGCCACAAGCTCACACTTCCAGGACTTATGGAAAGATACTGCGAATATTCCACTGACCCTCGGGCTCGCATACATTCAAACTTCAAACCCCTCGACAGGCCGCAAAGTACTGCGTGAAGCGATCGAACGCTGTCCCTGGGTCGCCGCCCGTCTCTTCAGCGAGCTGCAGCTCGAACCCATACCACCCAGTGTATGGGGCGCGTCACCCCCCACACCCTACGACGACCTCGAAACAGCACTCTACGCCACGCGCGCGAAAGACACCTGGAACACGCCCGAGGCGACCGCTCTACTAATGGAAGTGGCCTCAGCCGCCAAACCGTCTTCCGCAACATCCACCTCCATCCCTTCCGAAAAAACCATAGATCTGGACCTCGCAAGGCACACGATCCTAACAGACACCCCCGCGCTAATCGCCCTCGTACCGCGCGAATTCACAAGCCAGATGCGCTCGATAAGCGATCCCCTCCCGCCGCCCGATAACCTCCCCTCCTACACCCCCCGCGCGCCACGTACAAGCGGGCGCCACCCCACCATCAGCCACCACGACCTCGACGCGCTGATGCAGGAGCACGAGGAGCTCCTGTCCTTCTTCCGCCCCCTGCGACCTGCGCGAAGGACGGGCACGCCCGCCGACCCGGCCTCAGACACAGAGGCAGACAACGATGACCGCCGTGGTCCCCCCACGCGCGAGGACATCGAGCGGTTGGCTCACGAGTCTGGGATCTCGGCTGAGGAGATGATGGCAAGGATGCGCAGGGTGCTGGAACTGCAGACGGCGCTTGGGGAGGCGTTTACGGTGCTGGGGATTCCGCCGGCTGGGATGGTGCGTCGGGCTGCGATGGGGGGGGAGGCGGGAGAGGAGAGCGACGAGGGGCTTGTGCGGGATCTTTAGGATGAGGCTTGATTTGATTGGGGGTGGGGACTTGGGTTGAAAGCTTGCGCAAGGGGCGCGAGGGGAGGCGTTTGGGGTTGCGGGCGTCCGCCTGACTGGGCGTGTGGGGAGGGCCGTGTGGGCGTTTCTCCAATATAGAGACTATTGAGCTCGAAGCACATATGGTTGCATATAGGGTATGGGAATAGACTCTCATGCTGTATGGTTGCTTCAAGAGCGGCTGTATAATGGAACGCGCTCGCTGCCGCCACGAAGGCTTTTGGCCCGCGTACCAGGAGGTCATGCTATGTCAAACGCTTTGCACAGAAATGTAGGGAGCCTTGAGAGCAGCTGAATATCAGATCCAAACTTTTCTTTACTTTTACTATATACAATCTTACGACCCATTCACCTCTCCCTCCCCCGGGTTCCTCCCCAACTCCGTCTCCCTAGGCGCCAACGTCATCTTCAGCTGCGGCAACGCCGCCCTCGCCGCCTGCCGCGCCAGCTGCGCAAGCAGCGCATCCTGAATCACTAGCGCAGCCATCGCCTCCACAATCGGAATCGCGCGCGGCACAACGCACGGATCATGCCGCCCCTTCGCCTCCAGCACGCCATCTTCCTCGCCGTACGTCGCCGTCTGTTGCGGCTGGCCGATTGTTGAGGGCGACTTGAAGCCGACGGTGAAGTAGATGTGCGCGCCGTTGCTTATCCCGCCCTGGATGCCGCCGGAGTTGTTCGTCTTAGTCGTGAGTCTTGGCTTGTTTTTCGCTTTCGCCTCGCCGTTTGGCCCAGGTGGGATCGGCGGCGCTTTGATGAAGGCGTCGTTGTGGATCGAGCCGGGGACCTGGCATCCGCCGAAGCCGGAGCCTATCTCGAAGGCCTTGGTCGCGGGAATGCTGAGCATGGCGTGCGCGAGCGAGGCCTCCAGCTTGTCGAAGCAGGGCTCGCCGAGTCCGACGGGGCAGTGCCGGATCACGCAGGTTACGGTCCCGCCGATGCTGTCTTGTGCGTCGCGGTATTTGGCTACGAGGGCTTCCATGCGTTTGGAGACTTCGGCGTCGGGACAGCGGACGGGGAGGTGGTTGTCTACGTCTGTTCGACTTATTGTGTCGATTAGGGAGAGGAATTCGGGGTTTGTGGATGCGGTGGGGTAGGTGGGTGTCGGTGGGAAGAGATATTCGTTGCCGATGGAGGAGGTGAAGGCTACGATTTCGACGCCGAAGGCGTCTTCAAGGTATTTCTCGGCTATGCAGCCTGCTGCTACACGGCCTGCGGGAGATTGTTAGCCACTGCTGGGGCAGCCCGGGTAGTATATAGGCCACAGCGAGTGGAGCGTACCTATTGTTTCCCTAGCACTACTCCTGCCGCCTCCCGAGCTAGCCTTTACCCCATATTTAAGCAAGTATGTCAGGTCTGCGTGTCCCGGTCTAGGGTACATATCCATAGTACTATTCCCATAGTCCTTCGGTCTCTGGTTCTCGTTCATGATGCGCAGTCCTATCGGTGTTCCCAGCGTGATTCCATTTTCCGTACCGGATTGTATCTCCACCCGGTCTTTCTCATCGCGGGGAGTCGTTATAGCGCTCTGGCCTGGTCTTCGCCGCGTCAATTGAGGTTGTATATGCGCTTCGGTAAGTTGCATTCCGGGAGGGCAGCCGTCGACAATGACACCGACGGAGAGGCCGTGAGATTCGCCATAGCTGGCCACAATTAGCTTGGTTGGAGGAGCAGAGGAGGTAGGACCTCTTTACGTGGTGACTTTGAAGTACTCGCCGAAAGTAGACCCCATGGCGCTGGTGCTGTGCTCTGCTTACTTCAACAAGAACTGGTGTATTTCTTAGTTTCTGCTTCGCCCTTCTGGCTCGGGCAAGCTTTTCGGTGGAACTGAGGGTCTGTATACGGATTGAAGTGGTGACAAGCCGATTGCGCGCAAAAGCTCGAAATACCCAAGAAAGTTTGCGGTGACTCCGTCATCCGATTCTCGGAGGTCCCCATTATCGATAAACAAGGCCAAGAGCTCCGCCAGACGAGGGGCGGAAGGTTGGCTGACGGGCGAGTTGAGGATTCCGCCCCCATGGCACGCCGATCTATCAGCCACGTCGTCCCTTGCAGCTTCACTCGTTCATGCCCGGATATTTTTTTACTGTCGTACGTTTGGCGTCGGACGCAGAAGAGAAACTTGGCGGCGGGGTCAGACAATGTACTTGTAGCACAACATTGCTGCGTCGAAGCATGAAACCTGCTGTGCGTTACCACGTCAGCCTCAGCTCCACATATAAACATCTCTATTAGGTCTTCCTGCACCCTCATAATGCTCAGTACTAGCTCGCCATAGCAATCGTTACCTCCATTAAATCGCTTGGTGCTTGAACAGCCGACTCTCCATTTTAGTCTACACCCCCCGTGGGCCTCCTAAACTCACGCTGTAGCCAGCCCGCTTTCCCAACGCGACACGCCCTACAAAACACGCGATATTCAACAGCCCGGCAGGCCATCCATCAGCCCTCTGAGCCATGCGCGCTCAAATAGTCCAGCGCCTCCGTGGCTCCTCCCTCAGTGCCGTTCCCCCTCCTCGAGCCTCGTCCGACTACTCCACCGGCCTAGCAAGCGCTGCCGCAAGCATACTCTATCGCTCTCCACTGCCCTCCAGATCCGGCCTTCCTATCTATATACTCAACGCTGCCGCGTTTCCAGACTCTCAAGAAGCGGACTACGACGCGCTTCTCCCCTACGTCTTGGCCAGGCTACCTGGGGAAGATGAGCTGATCAACGGGAGAGAGTATGAAGTGGTATTCCTCGCTGGCGGGAATCCAGAGAGCGCGACTTCTCAAAGGAAGTCTAGGCCGGGATGGGGCTGGTTTGTCCAGGCGTACCACGTGCTCAGCCGGGCGATGAGGAAGAGGCTGCAGAAACTGTACATTGTGCATGAGAGGAGCTGGGTCAGGGTCCTGGTGGAGATGTTCAGCACGATAGTCAGCCCGAAGTTCAGGAGGAAGATCGTACATGGTAAGGCCGGCGGCATTCTCAGCAGACAGCACACCCCGTTAGCGCCATTACAGATTGCTCTGTTGAACTGGTACTAAAGTACTCCGCCCTGCAGTATCAACCTTGAGCGCTCTAGCTCTCCACCTGCCTATCGAGGACCTTCTTATCCCACCTTCAGCATATCTCCACGATCGAAGGCTGTCGCCCGACATCCATGCACCGTACGCCAGCGGGCGGCGAGCGTTCGCTGTCAAGCAACCATTCCCTACAAGCTCAGATGGCCAGACCCGGCTGCCTCGTGTGCTTAGAGAGACCACGACCTTCGTTCTAATGGAACCTAACATCAGAACGGAAGGCCTGTTCAGAATACCACCCCATGCTAAACTAAAGGGAATCCTCCGGGAAGCGTATGACAGGGGCCAGAAGTTTATCATCTGGAAAGACAACCACGTGACCTTCTGTGCGCCAGTGTCTCAGCCCTCGGTAGACGTGGCATCGGTCATCGACGAGGTTGATACTCGAGATGCGTATAGTGTCCCTCTGGCAGCAGGGCTAATTAAGTCGTGGTATGCGGAGCTCCGCGAGCCGTTGTTCCCACACTCAGCCTATCGAGACCTAAAAAACCAATTCGGAAATCCTCAAGAGTTACCAACATTCGACAGCCTCATAGGCCTGATATCCCCAAGTTCTGAGTGGTCTTGCCTGCCGAGTCTGTCACGTGAAATCATGGTCCGACATCTGCTGCCATTGCTATCCATCGTCGCGTCGTATGAAGAACACAGTAAGATGACGCCTCAGAACCTAGCGGTTTGCTTTGCTCCCGCCCTACTCTGCGGACCGGACCAGTTGGAAGACGCCAAGACATCTTCGATCTTGCGCCGTATCTTGACGGCGGCCATCGAGTATTGGCCAAGTGGACTTCGCGATGCTTGTGGAGTTGCGGAAAACGCCCTTTGGAAAGATCTGCAACCACCAGCAAACCCAGCGGACTACGAGGACCCGCTGGAGGATGCACGAGGCTCGAGTGCTCAGGAGAGAGAAAAGAGCGCCGTGGACTCGGTGCATGAGCAGTTCACAGGCATCGTGCTCGAAGACAATGATTCCCCAGTACAGGCGCAGATGCCGCCTCCGCTACCGCCTCGACCCAGAGCATCAGAAGATACCGAGCCAGCTGCATCATTATCACGTTGGCCGCAGAATCCGATGTCCGAACCATCATCACCGTTGACAGCAGACGAGGGCGCAACAAAGCGGAAGCCCGCGCCGCCAGTCATGGTCCCGCCGCGTTACTCAACCATCATGGCAGAAGACACAGACAGCATGGCCGAGTCGCCAACCAGTTACGCTGGGGTGGCCGACGGCTTTGCTCCTCCTCGGCGCTCAGGCTGGTCGCTCGACGAGAAAAAAACAGACATGAACAACGCTGAAGGTGGCACAACTTCTTCTCCCCTATCGCATCATTTCTCCTCCGCCACCTCCCCCGAGTCTTCTCCTCAACTATTCATGCCGAAGCGCAAAGCCCTGACCGCTGAGCAGATCGGTAACGCGGAGCCGAATATCCCCGCCTCGACCACACGGCAGCAGCAGTCGTTCTCTGCAGCCGTCCGTGCCGTGAGCGGAATGATCGATGTTCATGGGCCCTTAGGTTCGTTGAAGAGCACGGATAGAGCAGTTGGTTCGCCTGAACTCACAGACACCGCGAGGAAACTAGTACGCCCGTCTCGCATACGGCGATCGTCCTCCTGGTCTTCCTCGCCAAGTTCGCGCTCCATCTGGCCGGTCCAGCCACTGCATTCGCCTCCTCCTCCGGTACCAGTAACTGCGCACCCGTCCAGCCCTCCGTCGACGCCGCCTTCGCTATCGACCAAAAACGCCGTCCTACCATCAAGGGAACCACAGCAGCCCCCGGAAAGCGACGGACAGGCGCGGAAGCTGTCCCTAGGGAAGCTTGTACTCCGCAAGCCGCCTGTTGACGACCTGCGTCGGCTTTACGAGGAGAGAGCTGGGGCGGTCAAGAGACTTGCTGGGATGGGGAGGAAGAGGGGGTAGTGTCAGTGGCTAGGGGGAGTCGGAGGCGCTTTGTATCAGAGAACCCGAAGCCAGAGTGAGAGGCTTTCGAACGTCCCTGCGGGCTTCACTCGTGGGTGTATAGCTCAGTGATGCATCCAAGCCGATCGGGGTTTGTTCCACTTATGCGAGACGCGTTAGTGAGGCCAGGAATGGGACGGTGATCAAGAGACCGCCTGAAGCGGCGCTCTAGGTGGTTATACTAGAGTCATAGACACGGTAGTGAGGGGCTGGGAAGGCCGGCTTGCAAGGCCAATATTGTACTAGCAGCAAAAGCTGTCGCATCATGAGCCATCACGGCCAGCCTGTAATAACTTATATGGAGTATACAATCATGAGCCATGCTTTTCATTTGCGCCAGGCAGCAACAGTGCCTTTTCCTTACAGCAGGATGCCTTTCGACTAGTAATGATGTTGGCTGCAGAGTCATTCCTCCCCACGCAGTCCCTTTCTGCCTATATCCAATAGTTTCCCGGGTATCATGATGGCATATACAGTAAACTTAACAAGCGAGCGAAACGTACACTGGAGATGTTTATATGACGGCAACGGAGGGCGGATCTGGCTCGCCGTATAGCCGGAACTGGACGAAGATGGTGGCGTCTTCGACCATTGTGCCAAGTGAACCGATGAGCCATGGGAGGGTAGTCAGTATGTACTCCTTCTCGAGGGAGTGGAAGATGATCTGGTGTTGTTGGTCAGCTGGGAGCAGAGCGAGAGCGATTCGCGTCAGACTTACCCCTGCGCCATATGTCAGGTTGCCTAGCAGCGACAGCATGAAGAAGAGTAGCGACAAGCCCTCGCAGGACTTTTCGCGGTAGTTCTTGATGATTTGCGGTATACGGGCGCTGGACGAACGTCAGCAATCCATGCAAGCTACAAAGCTTCCAAAGGTAAAGGGGTTTGATGCTTACCCAAGATAGCACACCGCGCTCGCATATCCCAAGATCTGCGCCCCCAGCGCCATCTCCGTCGGGCCATCCGCGTTATCCGTGGGCGTGGGTTTCCACACGCCCGACCTCCACGCAATCGCCCACCCCGCAGCGCCAACCACGCATATGCCCACAATACTCAGCGCATTCCTGACCCAGTCGCTCATGCCGCCCTCCTCCTCCCCAGCCTCCAGCAACGAGCTCTCCCTCCGTCGCCTCGACGCCGCCGAGCTGCGTCGCCTCTGGCTCCCCGGCAGCCCCATACTCCTAGCCTCGCTGTTGCGGCGGCTCAGCAGCGGCTCCTCCTCGTCGCTCGCATCGCTGAGCGCCGCGCTCCGCTTCCTCCTCCTCTCCCTGCGCGCGTTGACCAGGTTGTAGTACAGGCACTGCGAGATGAGCACCAGATCCGCGAAGCAGAAGTAGATGGCCAGCGCGATCACCGTGGGCACCAGCCCGGCCCAGATGGCCCCGGCCAGGTTGGTGATGTCGCCGATGAACCAGACGATCAGGAAGGCGAGGGATATGCCCTCCGCGGAGCCTTGGCGGTAGTTTTCGATTAGCTGGGGGACCTGCAGCGTGTCAGTGGGTGGTGTACGGAAGGGGCATTGGAGACATTGGCCCGCTGGGGGTGCTCTTACCAGGAGGAATATCCACGAGGCTAGCGATATGGAGCCGAAGACGCCGGAGAGGGCTTCGTGGGGTGTCAGCTGCACGCTTTGCGCGAGAGCGATTGGGGCGGCCATTGTTCGTCGCTGAGATGTGTTGCGCCTGAGACTTCGAATGGCGGCAGTCAATTCTTAAGGAGAGAGGAGGAAAAGCTATTCCCAGCCTCGGTTGGAGTCACGGATTTATTGTTTGAAAGATGACGCAGAGCGCGGCTCCGGGCAACCCCAGCGGAGAAAAAGAAGTTTTCAAGGGACCCGGTGCGCTAGCCGTTCCCCAACGCGGCAGCCATTGACAAGCTAGTCCAATATTCGTTAGAGGCGATGCAGGGCTAGAATCCCGCCGATATGGGCCCCATGAAACATGCCGAACTGCAGCTTTGTTCACGTGTTTGTGCTGCTAGACACGTAGCAAAGCTATGAAGGAGCGTAGAAGAAGTAGCCACAAACGATAGACTAAACCAAGAGACATTGTTGAGGGTAAGTATAGAACTCAGCTGGCCAGGTCACGCGCGACTCGCAGCGGCGAAGTAACGTTACAGGATGATTACAACACTAATGTATCGGCGAGGCAAGTAAAACGAGTAGTATTCGGTCTAATACTGCAGCACAAAGCCCTATTTGATGGCATGTTTGAAGCTAAAAAATCTAGGGCTCGCCTTCTAGATGCGTCCCACACATGATGAACGCTCCACACCACCCACAACACCCTTCGAGGTAATCAACCATCGTAGCGTAAACGGACCACTATGGACCCACCCCAGAATGAAAAGGGCACATCAACTTCCTTGGTAATCCATGAACGGATCGAACCAGTCATCAGTCGAGAAGTCCAACCCAACCAGCTCCTGCAGCGAGTTGTGGCGCACATAGTTAGCGTCAGGGTCGGCGTTAGAATCCGTATGGGTAGGCCGCAGCAACGGCGGCGGTTGGTACGGGAATGGTGAAAACAGATCGTTTGTCGGTAGCTCGAAACGCTGCACTTTTCTACCTTGGTCTTCTGGGTCCGATAATCGTCGCCTTTTCAGCCCTCCGGTGGAGTCTTGCGGAGTATCTGCTCGCTTCTTCTCGGGCAGATACGTCACGGCTTGAGCACCCTCGTGGAAGTCAAAGTCGGGAAGTACTGGCCCGTTGCTATAGAGTGCACTCTCGACTTCGTGTGGTAGGGTGATGTTCCACTTTTGGACGAGGCCTGCAATGATGTTTAGACTGGCGGCAGCCCACCGGATTTTGTGGCAGAGGCCGTGGAAAACCTCGCAGGCGGTTTTCAGGTGCCGCGTGCTGGCTGGCAGGTTGATGATGTGAATGGTGCAGGCCACAAGAAGACAATGCACATGGAAAGTGCAAAACCCCGTAAGATCGTAGACTCGGCGGTGTTGATCGAGCATGTCTGAAATAACGTCTGCAGATTGTCTGCAGATTTGGCTGGGACGAATGTCTGATTCGGTAAATTGGGCCCTAAGGAAGGGTCGGAAGAGGAGTAGGACAGCCGCGTGATAATACATGCTTAAAGAAGCTGTTAGAAGATGGTTGGTCCTGCTGGAAGCGATTCAAGACTATACTCACTGGAGACATAGAACATGCGCTGGTGCATCCTCGCCAACCGTCAGAATTGCAGGGAGAGTCTCGTACCAATGCAGGTATTTGTTGTACTCATTTAGAAGGAGACTGCCGCTGATTGGCTTAGTAGGAGCGAAGAACATACGCAGCGTAGAATTGATGATCTTTGACAATGCAGCAAGTGCATGGAAAGTAGACGACCTTGCCCCAGGCATCGACGGTCGAGCAACACCGGCTGGGGCCCAATCTTCTTCATCACGCGCGTAGCTGGTTGATGGGAGGTCTACTGTGATGGCGTTTGTAGGGATATGCGGCAAACGTCCAAGGGTGAACCCAGTGAGTCTTTTGACAGCCGGTGTTAGTGTCACGAGCAGAAATGATGGAGTACATGAAGAGGGCAAGTTGAGAGCTTACTGGTCGGTGATGAAACAACCCCAGAACGCATGCAGACGCGCCTGTTGATCCATTTCTGCCTCTTCTGTGCGGTTTTCAGACCGTTGCTTGTCGCTCCGTAGATGCAAGCTGACGTCTAAAGCCATGCGCGAACTTCGTCCGCTGTATAGCCACATTGAACTCAACCGGCCTTCACTCTCTTCGACATGAGAGAGCAGCGAGAGAGCGGCTATGCTTGGAACGCTTGAAACACGCACTTCGTTGACCAGCCGGATAGATTCGTCGTAAAACGCACGCCCGGTCCTGTGTGCCTGATGCCTGTCGGAAATGAGAGCGCCGGTTGCGCAAATGGCATTAACAAGGAGCTCCGAGCAGTGCTTCGTCCGCCCGGCTGTCATGTCTTTGCGGAAGAGGTCTTCGCGAAAGCCTTCAAAGAGTGGATGCTGCCATGCGAAATACATGGATAGCAAATGATCGATAAGCTCAACGTCATCTGTGACTTTGGTCCACGGTCCCGTTGTGAAAAGGCTAGGGGAAGCTGGAGCTTGACCGAGTCCGGTGGTGGAAGGTAGAGAACCCTTTACCAAGCCAAAGAATCCTTGATTCGAAAGCGAGAATTCCGCTTCTATGTGAGGCGTCCCTTCGACGTCTGGCTCGCTTATAGGCTGGTGTAACGATGCTGCACGATCTTCCGCAAGCACTGAAGGCAAATCTGTTCCCGAGCGGAGCCGCCGCATGATCTCGTCTATTTCTTCAGGTGAGGATATTTTTATCGTCTGAAGAAGATGCTCATACTGTTGAACCGAGGGCGCGAGTGAAGCGTCTTGCCAGGCAAAGGTACCTATAAAGCTTCAGCGTGTCCACCGCATTGTCTGATACCCGTCGGAGGTCCACTGACTCTCTGTGATCTTACCCGCACTGCCCGCAGAGACCGGACGGTAGCCATTCGCGCCAGTTCCACCTGAGGATTGAGCCGATGGTGACTGCGGCGAATAAACAGGTGCATTACCAGTGGCCCTCAAACGGCATAGAGCCTCTGCGGCGGAATGCTCATTAGAGCACTTGAGCGCATCGATGATGGAGAGCAGGGCTCCTATTTCTTGCTCCAGCCTCTGTTGCTCAGATCTCACGTAATTCAAGCTTCTCTCTTCGTCCACCATGTCGTAGTGGCATTGTGCATCTCTGGCCAGGCACTGCGAGCAAGCCGGTTTGTGGCCGTCACACTAAGCCGTAGACGCATGTCAGTCATACACGGCAAGTCGAGTTGTAGTAACGATGGGCCACCTTTGTCTTCCGGTTTCGGCATGGCAGGCAGGCCACGATAGTTATTTTTCCCCGTTTCGCATATCTCTTCTGGGTTGGTGGCGGCTCCGAGGGTTGCTGTAATGGAAGGGTCGGGAGGGGGAGAATTGGTCTGCTCATAGCGGAGTTGGACGAGGTATAACCGAGTAAGAAGATGCGTGTGGGTGGGAAGACTTAGGACAACCTAAGAACGAGCCGTGAAGATGTTAAAGTGGCGGCGGGGGCGGCGGAAGGCCTGGCGGCAATGGGCCATTGGGATAGGGAGTTGCTTAGGTAAGGTGGCAGAAAATCACAGTGATAACTTCTGGGACGGGCCTTAGGGTCACCGCTCAGCGCCCCACAGCACCTTGATGATGTAGAGCCGCCGAACACGGCCGGCGGGTAGTTGAAGACGCGTGTGTATCGGAAGACGTAGGACGACGTAAGAACGAGGTTGTGGAAAAGCATAACTACCTAGGTAGGTAGCGCAGCCGCCCCAACGCGGCAAGCCATCGAAGATCGAAGCGCTAGTACGGTCTGGGTAGAGGTGGTGCAGGGCTGGACTCCCGCCGACATGGGTCGTCGTGGGATTTGACGGACTCGGGCTTTGTTGGCGTGTGCTCATGGTGCAATTTGCTGCGACATCACCGGGTAAAGGGGGCCTCATGTTGCACAGGAAGGCTGATAAAGCGAATGAGAAATCAGCTGAGCTTGACAGGAAACAGCCACAGGCCGAAGTAGCATGGTGCCTGAATGTTATCTGCATGATTTGCTAGCGCCCGGTGCTTTGATGTTGCACCGCCTATTTTCGGCATCTCGTGTTCGGCGTGTCGGCGGGTCGGCGGAAAAGGGCCTTCGCTCGCGGGCCTGCCGAATGAAACCTGTTCCACAACCACCTTACCCATCCACCCAACCACTCACCTCGTACATACACTGTCACCGCTTTCTTGAACACTCGTTTGACTCCTACTCTGTATTTCATTGTAACTACCTTCTGACCCTGTCGTTTGTGTCTTCTTTCCTGCGTCTCCTGTGAATACTGAGACTTTTGCCCTGCTTCAACATACAACCTCGACGCAAGCGCACACGAATATTGCGACCGACTGACAGCCGTCAACATCGTACACAAGATGATGTCGACACGGAGGCTTACATCATGGCTCCTGACAATCTTCATCCTCGTCGCCCTCGCAACCGCCTCGGACACTGAAGATGTCTTCAAGAGGCTTGAAGGCGACATTTTCAGGCGACAGAACACGCCAGCCGGCACGGGAGTCACGTCAAACAGCTCACAGCCACCAAGTTCAACACCAGACACCTCGACTGCTCCGCCAACATCGTCTACACCACCTCCTGAAACCTCAACACCGCCGCCCGAAACCTCCACGCCTCCTTCAACCAGCGACCCCGCTACGAGCACACCACCCCCCTCCTCACCCTCAGAAACTCAGCAACCAACCTCTTCGCCCTCCCCCTCGCCCTCCCCCTCACCCTCACCTACGACAGAACCGCCCAACACCAGCGCCTTCGCAACCTCGACGCGCAGCACCGTGATTGAGAGCGTCTCAACCGCCGTCATAACCTCCGACGGCAACACCGTCACCTCGCTCGTAACCGCCTCGAGCACGGCTGTGGAAGAAATCTCCTTCTTCACCTCCGCGCTCGTCGCCAGCACAACCGAGCCCTTCACTAGCACCTTCGTGACCACCATCAACGGCTCCCCCGTCACCTCCGCCATCACATCGTCGCGCGTCGTGGCCACAACCACTGGCTTCGCGACCATCACCTCGACGCCGCGCCTCGGGAACCAAAATCCCGACGGCAGCTCCTCTGGGCTTTCCTCGTCCTCCAAGAAAATCATCGGCGGCGTGGTCGGTGGCATCGGCGGCGCGATTCTGCTGGGCGGCATCGCGCTGGTCGCGTGGCGGCTCAGGAAGAAGCGGGCGGCTGTTGACGACGACGACGATAACCTGACGGGCAGCACGGCCATGGGCGGGACGGATTATGCCGAGGTGAAGAGGAATAGTGTGGGCGGCGCGCCGGCCCAGGGGACACCATTTCAGAGTACCCTGGATCAGTACCATACGCCTGGGCGGACAGCGAACGCCGGGACCAACTTCTGAGTCTTGTCCCGGTAGGATGGAGAGGTTTGGGATGGGTTCTTTGAGAGCATCTTTTAGCGAGCGTGTGTTTCTGGGTAGGTAGGAAGGTGCTGGGTTAAGTTGGTTTTTGTGATATGATCCACGGTCTTTACATACTTGATACTACGTCTGGGCAGGCTGCATTGGTGGTGTTGGGGACTACTCCTTGCTTCAGGGTTTTCACTTCGAGTCTATGAGGGAGACTTTTGTCGCTGTTATCATAAACCTCTTTAACTTGTTCAAACACGTTTATAGACTTATTCTTCTGCGGTTACCAAAACATGTTGCTGAATTGCGTGATCTTTTTTGATTGGTGACCTAGGATTTGTGTGGTATGGCCGAAACCCCATTCGGAGCACTTCAGTTTCCTGTGTTGCTGGTCTTGTCCGTTGTATGTGTTAAACTGAGAACAAGTCTTCTGAATGGATAACTCGGCTTCTGTCTCTTACGGTCCGGCGCTCTGCTTCTGGATCTCTCTCTGCTGCCGCAAACGCCTCAAGTGGTTCAAAGTTTTAAAACTATGACGGCAGCGCTTTGTCTGTAGACCATGGCAAATACAAACCGCTCGCTCCGCTCAATACTTGGGCGTCTGCTAGGCTCAAAACGGCAGTTGTGACATATAACGCTGCCAGACGGTACGGATTGCATGGTCTGGCTGAGCTCGTAGAGTGCGAGGTAGAAGAGTATGATTATGATGGACTGTACGATCTCCTCGATCTTTTCGAGAGAACTTTCCAGATCCACCCGAGGAACGACGCGGACTTCTTGGAGTATGTCGAAGAGAAAATCCGGACTTGGCTTGGGGAAGCAGAGCCAACTCCGGATTCTCCAACACCTGAAAAGTTCTTGGACTGCATTTGCGAGTTGGCACAGCTTGACCATGGTCTGAAGCGCAGGATGGGAGCGGCATTTCTCGAAAAGCTGGTAGGTGAAGCCAGTAAAACCAGTTCGTCCGGAGAATCTACTTCTAAGAGATGTTCTTGTCTTGCCTACAATGAAGAACTGGCCCATTGCGAGGAGGTTGACCACCACGAAGAACTCGTAGACGACGAGTCTTTGCCAGACGAAATATTCTGCGACGAGTGAACTGTTCACGGAGGATGGATACCTCACGGATGGCGAATCACCCTGGGCGATGAGATGCAGGCGGGAAACGATGTAAAGTATGGAGAGCAACCCTTCCTGAGCGGTTTGGCATGATTACTGGACCAGTCTTTCGGTGTTCTTCGCCAAATCTACAGATAACTACTTACAACGGATTCCAGGACGGATTGGAAAACTGTATAACTCCACGCTGATCTTCCTTCGGTTTGAGCATGCGGAGCAATTGGGCAGCGACGGATGTCTAACTTGTGAAAGGGACCGTACGGTTTAGACGAGGGTTAGTTGTTGGGAGTGCTCAAGGTTTGTGATGTTACGCATCCTGTATCCGATGAGATCAGCACAACTTGATGGTCGTAATGCTTGTTACCTTGTAATCACTGAGCAGACTATGGCGCTCTACACTGTTAGATCTCCCTACTCTTGATTCTTGTGTCAGGGAAGCAGTGGTGAGCGAGTGATTTAATACTAAGGAACAGAATTACTCTCCCATCTTCTCTGCAAAGCAGCTATAAGACTCAGTGATCGTGTAGGCATGATGTTGAATTCTTTACACATATCCATGTAGCTAGTCTCGCGTGAGATGAGAAGTAGTTGTATGACAGCGAAGGAAGCCTCTCTTAGAGGCAGCAACGGCAAAGATTGAGCAAGAAATCGTAAGTGGAATGGCGCTGTTGTTGTAAAAGTTTTTGGAAGACAGTGAGAGCACAAGCTTGGAACGCTTCTCATTACAAGTGGCTGGACAGAAGGCACCAATATCGGAACAGAGCATTGTGCAGATAAACAAGTCGACAAGGTATACAGAATGCGCATAACTACAACTACTCTAACTACAACCCACCACCGCGCTCGTCTCGAGTCCGTCACACTCCCCTACAGCTGATGCGCGCATAACAACATTCCGTCCCATCTTCTTCAGCAAAATTAACCCCAAACCAAGGGAAACACATAGATCTGTACGCCTAAAGCGAACCCAAGAACCTCGTCGCCCTCGAGAGGGCTCAATAGTCGGGATTAGAAAGGCGAAGCCATTGAACTTCTTCTCGGTCACTCGGGAATGTGGAAAGTCTACTGCTGTGTAAAGACTACCCAAGGGTATTTGGAGACCGGTATTGGTATCATGAGGAAGAGAAGAGGAGTGCGAGGTGGGTGCAGAGTTTTGACGGAGATGTGGATTAGGTAAGCGGGCTAGCGCGAGGAGTAGGGCCTGAGGCGCCAAGGCATCAAAGCTGCTCAAGTTATTAGTATGAGAAGCTTTATTTGAGAACCCATTTCTGCGGGATAAGAGGAGGTAGGAAGCGCGATGTACTCGCTATGTACTACAGGCAGAGAGTGACGGCTACTCAGAATATATATATCGGTTATCTTTTCGCAATTGACGTTTCGTTTTCACCGTACCTCTACTGTATTAGCACAGTGACTAATTGCCTTTCAGCCTGTTAGCTGTATCGGGAAAAAAGCAGCAACCTCATGGCCCTATCTTTTTACAGCTAATCTCTTCAGAAACAGCAAAAACTTATCTCTAAGAAACCCCCAATGTCTTCAACCAACGCGCCAGGTCATCTCACCCAGCGCGGTATATTGACAAAGTGGGTTTTTTGGACTTCCAAACGTCGAAGCACGGGGTTTGAACTAGCTGTTACTTTTTTTTCAGTTTGAGACTGCTTTCCGGCTAGACCATATGAGCTATGAGTGCAAATCCGATTAGAGCTATCTGTATTGTTCCTGATTCTTAATAGCAGGCACGGGCTTCAGGATTAGAAGACATCGCTGTCGAGGGGTTGCTTGTCGGGGTCTGGGACATCAAACTCTCATCAGCGGAGAGAAAGGAGAGAAGGACATGAGAGACAAGTAATGCTATGTGATTTCCTAGACACCATGCAATGCTTTACACGAGCAAACCCCCCCTCATCTCCCTCCCTTCTCATGACCCGTTGGACTGACGCTACTTCCCCCACTGTTACCTAGCTTAGCCTCCCCCTTCCGATCGACGTCATCCTCATCATCGCTATCACCGCCGAGACTGTACCTCTCCCTCCCCATCTCCCGATCCCTCCCCCTCAACCGCTCATTCTCCTCGCCCAGATCGTCAAGATCAAAGTCGCCGGCCTCAACATCCCTCTCCGGCCGCTTGTGCCTAAAACTCTCCAACCCCACTCCTCCCCTCGGTCCGTCCCTCCTCCCAGCCATGCCATTCGCCTGCTCCGCCCCGAACAGTCCCTGATACCCCGCGCCCCTCCTCCTCCTTCTGTCTCGCCAGACATACCATCCCCAAGCCCCCGCGGCAATAATCACGACCACAAGCGCCACCTCGCCAGACTTATAGTACGCCCTCCACGTGGCCTCCTGCTCCTTTTTCCTCTGCGCCTCCTCCGCAGCCGTGCTGTTCGGATGTCCGCCCACCGCCACCAAGGGGCCCTTCTCGCCATCGATGCGGCTGTCCGTCGGCTTGCCGCCCACGCTGTCGATGTTGACGCCCATGAACCTGTCCAGCATGTCTCTTGTCCGCCGGGGGTAGTCAAACGGCACCATGTGCGACGAGTTGTAGAACAGGATATAGGTCAAGTTTCTTGCTTCCTGGTAGATGCCCGCCGGCTCGCCTTCGAAGGTCCAATCGCGCCGCGGCGCCCACGTGCCGGGGCTCAGCTCGAAGCCCTTGCCGTCGTTCCACGAGAGGTTGTTGATCAGGTCCTCCGTGCCGAGGTGGTTGCATATCATGTCTTTGTCGCCGGAGAACAGCACCACCGGGATTTCTTCCAGGATGCTCGGCAGCAGCGTGACAGCGGGCTTGGAGTGCTTCGCGCGAAACGCGCTGCCAACCTGCCCATTGCACTCGACCCAGCCGCTGCGCTTATCCGGATCGACGTGCAGCGCGTTGATGACGTCCTTGCGGCGCAGGTACGGCGTCACTTGCGCAAGGTCTGGGGGCCAGTTCATGCCGCACGACGGGTAGGTGTCGCGCAGGCGGACGTCGTACATATTCACGCACTCGGCGGTGCCGGAGTGGCCTTCGCGCGAGGCTTTGAGGATCCGCTGGAGGATGTCTTCGCACTCGTGGGTGTCGACTTTGTCTTTGGCGCCGTTGTTGAGCAGGTTCGTGCAGACGGCTTGCTGGCTTTCGACGGCTTTGGCGGCGTCGCTGCCGGCTTGGAGCACGCCGGATTTGTAGGCGAAGGGAACGTAGGAGAGGTACTGGTCCGCGGGCGAGATCCAGCCGTTGCCAATCAGGAGGCCTTGGAGGTTCCATTTCTCGATATTCGGGCGCTTGTTTCGGTCGAGGATCGCGCGAGCGATGTAGGGGATGTGTTGGCCGGCATAGGACTCGCCTGCAATGTAAAGCTGATCAAGGAGTCAGTCTGAGGGTGGAACATATAGCGACAGTTCTATACTCACATCGTCATGCATGTAATCTGGGAAGAGCGCAAAGAACTTCTCCAAGAAGATAACGAACTGATCCGCCATCTCCTGCAGCTCGTGTAGGAAGCTGTCTGTGTCCACATAGCTGAACCCAGTGCCAACCGGGTTGTCCACAAACAACACATTCGCGAACTCATCCCACGATCCGGCATTGTACTCGAGATTGCCGTCCTTCTTAACCCTGTACGGGCCAAGCTCCATCATTGCGCCGTCCATTGAGCTGCAGCCGGGACCTCCATTGAGCCATATTACTGTCCGCTGTTTGTCCCCTATGTGTCTGTTCTGGAAATGCCAGAAGAAGAGGTGACCGTGGTGCTCTGGCGTGACCTCGATGTGACTGTTAGATGCCTCGCGTTAGCTTTGAACTTCGGCTCCCAGTTCATCGACTGTTCCAACTTACCCAGCATGCATTTTCAGCAGCGGACCTTCCGGTTGACCAGGCATCGAATGAACGAAGTAATCCGCTGCGGTCTTGTCTGCTCCGGCTATGGGCAGCCATGCCAGCGTTGTGAAGAGCGTCCATACCAGCGCCGTGACGCTGGCGCATAGGCGCCGCTTGGACGAAGGGGGTGTGAGGAATTGCATCGTGCCTCCGGATAGACAGGGGTTCGAAGTCCTGTCTGAGTGCGACGGTTGCCGCTAGGTATGCTCAAGTCATGGAAGAATCGCGAGTGTCGGAGGAGAGCCGCTGAGCAGAGACTAGGGGCGAGCTGCGGAACGAAAGACCAGGTGTTGGGTAGCTATTCCGCTGCGGCTCCGCGCCACTGTTGTACGGTTGGCACTTCTCCGGTGGGCGGAAGTCTGTCGTGCGTCGGGTGTTTTGAAGAGGCGTGGCCTGTTGAGAGGGAGGACAAGGGCGGCCTATTGAGGACCGCACAAGGGGGTTGCTGGCGATGGAGGACGGCTAACAGTACATAGTACGTGATAAGGACTGGCAAGAGGTGATTCAGTAGTAGGATGGGATGTTCAGAGGCCACGAATTCCTGGGGCTGCCCATGTCTCCCGGCTGGCTGGCTGTCGTTTTCGAGGCGTGGTCCGCGCCCTCAGCTCCCGACGCTACGAAGCTTGGTTCAGCCGCTTCGGGCTTTGTTGGTGGTGCATCACTTCCTTCGGGCTACGAGTAGGTATTTCATTCCATGTCTCCCTCCAGAGGCCTCGATTGCTTACACGTCAGACTTCTGCGAGCCACTCTCCGTACCGCAATAAGACGCTACTCGGCATGGACTGAAGCTGTCGCCAACCCGCAAGATAAAGTGCAGTCCTACATCTCCCGCTCCCGCGATCCGTACCTAAACCTCTCTATCGAGCATTACCTGCTTCAGAAATCCCCACCAGACTCCACCATCCTGTTCCTCTATACCAACAGACCATGTGTCGTCATAGGCCGCAACCAGAACCCATGGCTGGAAGTCAACCTCGCTCTTCTTCAGGCCGCAAAGGACAGCCCTGGAAAGCCGACAGAACCGCCGGCACTGGGCAGCGTTGACCTGGTGCGACGGCGGTCTGGAGGCGGTACTGTCTTTCACGATGAAGGGAATGTCAATTGGAGCGTCATATGCCCACCAGCTACCTTCACGCGAGACAAGCATGCGGAGATGGTAGTCCGGGCGCTCCGCGCTCTTGGAGTGGATCGAGCGCGTGTCAATGAGAGACATGACATTGTGCTGGACCAAGGTGTGCGAAAAGGGGCCGTTGACGAAGAAGATACGCACCGGACGCCGTATACGTCTGAGGCTTCCTCACATAAGCCGCGCCCGCTGAAAGTCTCCGGGTCGGCATACAAGCTGACCCGGACGAGAGCGCTCCACCACGGGACGTGCTTGTTGTCATCGCCAAATCTCAACATAATTCCGGACTATCTGCACTCGCCTGCGAGGCCGTATATCAAAGCTAGAGGCGTTGAGAGTGTCAGTTCTCCTGTCGGTAATATCGGAATCGAGATTGAAGCGTTCAAAAGCAGCGTGCAAGAACATTACCAGAAAATGTACTATCCAGCTGATGCGAACGGGCATACGTCAACAGTCGTAGGAGAGGAACAACTGGACGTGGCTGATATCAGGGAAGGGTACGAAGAACTGAAAGTAAGTTTAGCGACAAAATCCATATGAGCTTATCTGATGCAGGCCTAGAGCCTTGATTGGACTTTTCTGCAGACACCACAATTCACTTTCTCAAGCCATCCGACGGAAGAGGATGACCGGAGAAGGCCTGACTTACCCGTAGCTGCTCGCGTGTACCTCAAGGTCCGCTTCGGCTCCATCACAGAGGAGTTCGTGGCTTTGGCCGATACTTCTTCATTGGCTGTCGATTCAGGTCACAAACTGCGACTGGACCTGCAAGACCAGAAGCTGCATGAGATACATGACTGGACTGCTGTAGTTGACAAAGCGTCCGGCCCCCACAATGCTAGGGCTGGATCTGCATTAGGCGCATGGCTTACGAGCATGTTCCCAAGGGTATAAGATTGCCGTCAGCACCGCTTCGATAGCACACATGGATTCTTCAACGCTGCGATTACCCGCTCACTAATGTTCAGAACGAAGCCGGTGTCATGAACGTCGGAATCTCCGGAGCCCTGGCCCCTGGAGTCTCAACCGTGCACGACAGCTCGGGAGGGCTGCAGAGCATCCAAGCTGCTCTTCCTGCGACGCTCGAAAAGGCCTTTTGGGTATAGCTCATTGGTTGGACTCGGCTGATTGTCTCGCTAGCCGACGATTATGCTTCTCGATTACTTGTAGGAGACACTCATAACGACGGGAGGAATACCGACGCTCCCCAGAGCGAATTTGTCGGAGTGCTTCTGTTAGACCTCTGTACTGATCCAGCTATGGACACATGTAGCTATAAAGTTTTCGTTATTGAAGCCCAATTCTGGGGGTTTCGATAGGTGTATCAACGCGCTGTAGGCGAGGCGCATGTACAGTACATACATCCAGCACGAAGCCGGACTTCGCTCGTGCTGCTTTTGCGTTGTGCTGCTCTCTGCATGACAGGCAAGCCGACGACCGCGCCACCACGTTATAGCCCCTGCTATCAACAGCAGCCTGGCAGTTACACAGTTGAGTGTTCCCCGAAGCACCCGCAGGCCGGGGCTGTCAATATCGGCAGAGTGCCTTGTCGCGGCCCTGCCGTCGGGAAACCATCTCGCCGGCTGACAACCGTCGACCGATCCTACTGAAGCCGCCCTCTTTCCATTAACCACCGCCCGCGTGTTCTCAATGAACTCGTTAATTAAAGTTGAGTAATTTTGGAGCCGCTTCCGCTGCTCAAGCTTCTAGGCTCGACGGAAGCACTCTAGGCAAGTCTTCGCATTCAGGCTTGAGGATCAGTCGCTTCCCGTTGCCAACTGCGGCAAACACCGCTCATTGAGATCCTGATCCATTGGTCGTGTGTCCCACCACCCGCAGAAAAGCTGCAGTGCCCCTCGCGAATACGGACTGATCGAGGCAATGGACATGCTGTACTTCAGTACACAACCCACACCTTCGGTGAGACATGCCAATCAGTGAGAACGTCCCAGGATCAGCTTCATGGGCAGCATGCAAGTACCGGCTTCCTGGGCGATACAGCCCTTTGGAGAAGCTTCCCAGGCTGCAGCCACCAGTTTCAGCCTCGTGATGCCGCGCTCGTCGCATTCATCGTATCTCCAGACCTCCAACGTCGGGGAAGCTCTCCGCTTCGCAGTTCGTCCAGCTCCTTACCTGTGCATGGGGCGTCTTCCTTCAACACTCAAAGTCTGATGACTGGTTCTCTCTCCGTTTGCGTCACGTCTATTCGACTGTGCCATGGCTCTTCTACTCCTCCGCTTTGTTGTTGCGCTGAGTCTTGTCGCTTGTTCGCTCCAAGCTACGAAAGACCCTCTCAATGACTTTTGTCGTCGCTTTGGACATCAGACCACCGGTATGTCGTTCACTATCTCCCTGAGCCGGCTGCTCAAGATACGGTTGGAGCGCGCTTACTCCAGCTCTCGTATCGATCTATCGGCATGCGAAAGCCCTATCCGTGCAATCTTTCACCCTAACACCTCCGAAGCCCAACCTCGTTAACGTCGGGAGATCTGGTTTGCCGCTGCATTTTGCACAGCCGGTGGCACTGAATGATGTTTTGTCGCTGCCATTTCTTCAAGCGCTAACCTACTCAAGTCATTGACAGACGGCTATACATTGATGGCGGCTTGGTGAATTGGAATCCGATATCAGAAAATCCCTTGAATTACACGAGTAAGGCTACCGATTGCTCATGTACCCCACGAAAGGAGAGTAACTGAGTTGTGGGTCAGACGAGGGTCTTCTTTACAATGACCTTGATCGCACTTCCGATGGAATGCCGCAACTGCATGCCAATCTCAGCAAGAGTAGCTCAGTGCCATCTGTATCCGGAGGAATCTTGTGGGCAGACGAACTTAACAAAGTCTTTTACCTTTATGGGGGAGAGTACCAAACGAATCCGGAAGGATTCAACCTGTGGGCTTACGACACCATCAACAATACATGGTACACCGCTGGACCCACCAACTCCATTCAACGGGTCGCTTGGGGCGCCGGTGTCGCCGTTCAGGAGATCGGGGCGGGATTCTATCTTGGCGGTTGGTTGAATGAAAACACAGTGCCTGGCTGGAGGGGAATTCCCGTTGCAACGAATGCGCTTATCCGCTATGATTTCGATACTCAGCAATGGACAAACTCCACTGGACCAGACGAAAATGGAAGAGCTGAGGGGATCATGGTCTACATGCCCGTATCCGACGGCGGGCTGCTTATCTCCTTTGGAGGAGTACTCGACCCTTACAGGAATGGGACTGTTGTGGGCGACGCGCTGTCAACCATTCACATCTACGACATCCGTTCTGGTAATTGGTATGTGCAGACGGCAACTGGAGACATCCCAGAAATGCGCCGGAGCTTTTGTGGCGGAGTAACCTGGGCAGACGACAAATCATCCTGGAATGTCTATATCTATGGCGGTTTCGGCATGCCAGACAACAGCACCGGATACGACGACGTCTACATACTCTCTATGCCCTCATTTACCTGGACCAAGTGGTATCCGACTGACGCCGGGGAAGGCAATCCCCACGGCATGCTTTCCTGCAATGTAGTGGATGGCGCCCAGATGCTCATCATCGGTGGCCACTTTGTGCAACACGAGAGGTGCGACGCGATGAATATCTGGGGAACGCACAACTTGAACCTGGGAAAGACTGGGCCTGAGGGTGCGAAATGGGAGGCATATTATCCTAATATTACGGAGTACCGTGTTCCGTCAGAGGTCATTGCTAAGATTGGCGGGAGGTAAGTCATGTTGTTCCCTTAAGAACCTCTTACTCCGCATATCCCGGCTATGCGCAACCTCTCTTCGTTGCTCTACGGCCCTTCAGGAGACCTTGAAAAGCTTGTGTTTTCCTTCATCAATACGCTTAGCGGCCCTTGTCTTGTCATGCTCAACGCTGATTTTGAGAGCTAGACCCGACGGCGGTGCTACTGTGACGGAACCAACAAGTGGCTGGGGCAATCGTGACTTGCCCGTCTATTTTGCCAGAAAGGAACCAATTTTCGATGCTCGTACTCCAACACGGCCAATTCCCGGACCAACGGCAACAAACAATTCAACCGCAGGGACAGGCTCCAGATCTAACACCGCCGCCATAGCGGGAGGCGCTGTCGGTGGCGGAGTAGCACTTATTTTGCTCATTGCGCTGATTCTCTATTGCCTGCGTCGCAAGAAGAAGTCCACGAAGCCGTCAGAGCTGCCGCCAAACACTGTACACGAGCTCGCTACGCCCGTTATTGTAGAGCCGAAGTCAGCGTTTCCACATGCGCAAGGTCCCGCACCACACGATGTCCGAACAGACAGCGAAGCTTCAGCCGCCGCACCGTACGGGACGCCCTTGGGTGCTCGACCGTACTCGCCTACCCAACCCTCCCCTCACTCGCCATACGCTTCGCAACTACAGAATCCGTATTCAGCCACGCCGCTATCGCCGCTATCGGCTCATACGCCGCAGTATATATCGCCTGTCATGGCGCAGCCGGCCCAGTTCCAATACGCACAGCCGTATGACCCTACGCAGCATCCAAGCCACCTAATGCATTATCCGCCCCCTCAGCCACCCGAGCCATCGCCGTCACCAACCACTTACACAGACAGCCATCCGGAGTCAACTGAGCAGACGCCGGCGCACTTTTATCCGCAGCCGTTGAAGACGAGGCAGGCGAGCAACGAGCTGCCTCTAGTTGGGGATAGTCCTCCACCCATGCGTGGAAGGTTCCGTGAGGAGGATTAGCTGTCTCCTGTTGTACTCGTAATTGTCTCTGTATCCGCGAATCTAGTCTTTAATATGGAGAGGCGCGCTGGGTTGTCGTCGGGTACATGAGCGCTTCCTACGATATCACTGCTGTGCTGTATGTCTGGATGTTTTCGTAGCTGCCAAAGCAAAGCAGGCCGGCTCTGCAAGCCTTCCGCTGTTCACCTCTGCGCACCTCAGTATGTGATAGTATGCTTCTGTACCAGGAGCCACGCTTGATCTGTAGCTCCCCCTGTACCTAGGTTCCCTGACTCAAGAATGAAATTGAAGAGTGGGTTACAGATCTGCACGAGTTCCCGCAGCGGGCCAAGATTAGACTAACAGCCTTACCGGACCCTTGTCTCCGCAGGGCAGGGGAAAGGCTCACAGGGCTTGCGGCTTACGTTTGCACCTCCCCCAACACCACCACCACCGAACGCCATGCGAGTGCAATGATGCCATGGCACGAGACAGCTCCCGTGATGCCCGTAGAAGCGAACAGCAGGCTCTCGATGCCGAGGAGGGCCGCTCACTGCTCGCTCAAGGCTCGCCGCAAGCGGACAATGGCGGCGAAAGTGACGGCGACAGCGACAGCGACATCGTAGTGCACCGTGGTGCTTCTCCGTTGACCAGATTCTCTCCGCCGCCTGATGCGTCGCCCGAGAGCAATTCACCCTCCGGCCCTTCTCCTAAACCCGGTCGAGGTGGCCCTCCGCGCCGCCAGTCCTCCTTCGCCCAGCCGAGACCTGACGGGGCACCGAGAACACCAAATCGCGTCCGCTTCGAGGTTGAGGATCGCAATACGAATGGACATGCGAATGGGCATATTGGCCTTCCCAACGATGCTTGGATAGAAGAGGAGGACTTCATGACCAACGATGCCGGACACAGCGGGCGGCGAGACAGCTCACATCAGCGGCTGCCATTGCTGACGGACATCGAAGCTCCGAGTATTACGGTAGCGAGCTCGGATATGGGCTTCAGTGCTGAGGACCTGCTGGAAAGCGCTAGGCCGAAGAGTGGGATGAGAAGTGCTTTCATGAACATGGCGAATAGTATCATGTACGTAAATCAACATCAGTGTGGACTCTCCCCTTTCTCTCAACCGCTTCCTTGCGTGAATCTCGCTGATGAATGCAATGCTGCAGTGGCGCCGGCATCATCGGTCAACCATATGCTTTTCGTCAAGCGGGCCTCCTCACCGGTATATTCCTCCTAGTTGCGCTCACAATCACAGTGGACTGGACCATCCGGTTGATCGTGGTGAATTCGAAGCTGAGCGGCGCCAATTCCTTTCAGGCGACCGTGGAACATTGTTTCGGGAAGTCGGGGTTGATTGCGATTTCGATCGCTCAATGGGCGTTGTGAGTTGCCCTCACGCAGTTATGGGATACTGACGTGAAAAGGCGTGCTGACGGTATTGGGTCATCTTCAGTGCTTTTGGCGGCATGGTGGCATTCTGCATCATTGTCGGCGACTCGATACCTCACGTCCTGGCGGCGTTGTTCCCTTCGCTGCCCAACATGCCTTTCCTATGGCTTCTTACGGATAGACGGGCTGTAATTGTATTATTCATTCTGGGCATTTCGTACCCACTATCGTTGTATAGAGATATCGCCAAGGTGAGTTCTCATCCAACGCCTGTAACACAATAGAGAGTCGTTGCAGCATTGATCTAACCCTCGGCAGTTGGCAAAAGCGAGCACATTAGCATTGATCAGCATGCTTGTAATCATTGTTACAGTAATCACTCAGGGTTTCCGGGTCCCTGCAGAATCCAAAGGCCAGTTGAGAGGCTCTATCATCATACACAATGGCGTTTTCCAGGCTATCGGCGTTATTTCTTTTGGTAAGAGGCTTGGATGAAACTCTACAAACACCACGGTTGACTAACATCTCACAGCATTTGTTTGCCGTAAGCTAACGCCACGAACCCAGCCCCTCAAGGCTTACCACTAACGGCCTGCATCAGATCACAACAGCCTTCTCATTTACGGCTCACTCAAGAAGCCTACAATGGACCGCTTCGCGCGCGTCACTCACTATTCCACAAGCATCTCAATGGTCGCTTGCCTGGTCATGGCTCTTGCGGGCTACCTTACGTTCGGCGATAAGACGCAGGGCAATGTGCTGAACAACTTCCCCACGGACAACATTATGGTCAACATAGCTCGATTGTATGTCTCACCATCTGTACTCTTCACATCCCATACAGCCTCTGAAACACGCTCCCTTCCAAGCGCAACCAGCTAACAATCCACTCCCCCACAGCTGCTTCGGCCTCAACATGCTCACCACCCTCCCCCTCGAAGCCTTCGTCTGCCGCGAAGTAATGACAACCTACTACTTCCCCAACGAGCCCTTCAACCCGAACCTGCACCTCATCTTCAGCACCTCCCTCGTCGTCTCCGCCATGACCCTCTCGCTGCTCACCTGCGACCTGGGCGCCGTGTTCGAGCTCATCGGCGCGACGAGCGCATGCGCGCTGGCTTATATACTCCCGCCGCTGTGCTATCTGAAGCTGAGTAAACGCGGCGGCTGGGAGAGGTGGGCCGCGGTCGCGTGTACGGCGTTTGGGATGGTGGTTATGGGGATTTCAACGGTGCTGGCTGTGGCGAAGATTGTGAGGAGTGAGTGAATCCGCGTTTTTGGCGTCTGTTGTATGTGGGGAGAGTGTTGCAACTGACATCGTGAGCACCGTAGATGACGGACAGCCACACACATGCAGCTAGCGACAGTCTCGCATTGTGTGCATGGGCGGCTTGCTTCGCTGGGAAAATGCCTTCTACCGGCATGGCTCTTACGGAGTTTTGAAAACGCATGTTTTGGGTCTTGGAGGGTCCCTGTTTGTTTAGGCACCACAGATGAAACATCCCTAGCCACGGAAGCATTGAAGGGGTTTGCCCCCGTTCGCTCAGGGCGAAATGATTGGGCAGGAAGGAAGTGTTGGGCGTACTCTGCGCCACTCGACCGCGCAAAATCGTAGACTCCAAGAGGGATATATAGATCTTATTAGGTCCGTGTATCAAGCATACGATGAAACAATAGCAGACACAAGTGCACTATTTGATCGTTAAACCCGATGTTTTGCTTGTCATGATTTAGCACTCCGTGCTGAAGCTAACTGGATATCACGTGATTTGTTGGTTCATCGGACCGATAGTTTCCCCGTTCTCCATCAACCCAACCTCAGGAGTTCAGGGAGCGTAACTGGAACAATTCCCGGGGTATGACCTTAGCATAAAGAGATGTTACTCACAACCTTAGGCAGCATACAAGCGATGGAACAGTTTTTCAGGGCATTGCGCTTTGTATTTGAGAACCCTTTTATGTACTCAATTGAGCCTCCAAGCTGATATCTCACTCTACGTAAGATGTCCGGCGCTACTCGAAGCGTATATACTGTTAAGTAGATATTCAATTACAGTCCACTCTTGCTCCCTGACGTACCTGAGAATGGATGACGCTGAGAACATGCAATGAGATGGATGAACACAGCGCTTTGCCGCTCCTTTACGAACTAGCAACCTTGATAAGCCTCAATATGCCGACGATCTCGTATTTTCGAAGCCTGTCTGACGCTTAGATACCCTTATTGGTAAATCGTTTACGAGGCCATACAAAGAAGCACAACCATATCACAGTACCTGAACTTGAGAGTAGCCTATAGGATACTGCGGCTGCACCATGAATAGGAGTAGAACACTGGTGATGAATGACACAGTTTCCCGTTCCCAGCGGTGGAATACTATAAGTATGGTCTCACTACTGCAGAAAAGAGACGGTCCTGAACTCAAAACATGTACGTTCTCTATACCTGATCAGAGAGAATCGTGATTATAACTCCAAAGCAATAGACAGGCCCAAACTGCAGAGGAAATCACTCATCCGCGATCCACCAGGGTATCCAGAAGCCCCCCTACGCCGCGATTCTCTCACACCGTAATGTCCATCTGTTCCGCCATCCCCGTCCCCTCGTCCTCGGTCTCCCACCCATCGTCATCCTTGTCCTTGCCACCGCCCAGGTCCAGCAAGCTGAGATCCGGCAGCGTGATGCGGGCTGCCCTGGTGCATTTGGCGCAGAGCATATGCTTGCACCTGTGGCACCTCACGCCACCGTCCCGTTCCGCCTTGCAGCGGCAGCAGCGGTGTCCTTGCAGCTTCTGGCTGGCTTTGGTGACCCGGTAGGGGTTCTTCGAGGATCGTGGAGCTTGGATAGAACCCCCTTTACGACGCGCCTGCTGTGTCATCCGTCTCTGCGCCGAAGACTGATGGCGCTGGCGGGCTGGGATGTGCTCGCTGGTCTCGTCGCCGCTATGGGCTTTTCCGCCGCTGTCGTCGTCGTCGCCATCGTTCGAGGAGATCGTACTGGTCATGGATTAGCCTGAGTATGAAGCTGGATCTAGGAGCGTCCTACGTCGACTGGGCGGCGCACGATACCCTCCGCTGCTGCCTCCTTCTCTCGGGCGTCGTGCTGGTTATCTGATCAGCCAGTGTTTGAAAATGCTTCTCGGGGAACCCTACATAAGTTCTGGGCCGGCGGATACGGCTCGGCGGCGCGGCGCTGGCTCTGAAGCCTCTGACTCCTGGTGTGATCTATATCGATGGGTTAGCTTGCTCTCGAGTATCCGTCAGGTTCATGAAGCGCCTCAACTCGGAATCTCCTCTGCGCTCCGCTCTTGTCCAAGGGACCAGCTCGATACGGACTGGATCTGGGCTACGAGAGTCTCCATGATCAGGCTTATGAGTCTGTTCCACGAGCTGGCACAGGCTCTGAACTGTTCGATAGATCGACAAAATGCTCTTCAAGACGCTCTTTACGGCGTCACTGACATAGGAAAGCGTACCTCGATTCAGCTCCAGCTTTCGCAGCCGGTGCCTCTGCCATCTCGGCGTCTCCTTCTGGCTCTTTTGCCGCGTTCCTCGGTAAGTTCGCCATGCTTTATGGCGTGAGAGAAAGGATTTTTGGAGCGTCGACGGTAGGTGTTCGAGGAAGAGGGATCGCGGGTGCGGTGTTTTCGTAGGAGATGGTGCAGTTACTGAAGTGAAGTCGATTCTCCATCGTCTTGGCACGCGGTCAGAAAGTATCCTTTCCTTCACCCACCGTGGTCTCGGCAATACCATTCACCAGCTGAGTAAGATCTCCTCCAACCCCTTTCCGCAATCTCCGGTTCCCTTATGAGCTGGAAAAACTACCCTCTCCCCTTTCTGTGCCTGCTATCACCCTCATAATGTGCACGAGGTCTCCAGATCTCAGAATGGCTTACCTTCTGATGCAGCGAAGAACCATCAAATGGACACCAGCGACAGCAACAAGGAGAACAGCCCACCGGCTGGGTATACGAACCCACCGGTGCGGCGAGCACCACCTCCGCCTCCTCCCATCCTCGTCTCGGCGACGACAACTCGATTCCCGTTTGGTGGCAACAACAAATCCTCGCGCAGTTTATGGCGCAACTTCTGCCTCTGCAGCTCGCTCAGAGGGCTGAGTGATAGCGAGAAGAACACGAGAAACAATCCGAGTTAGGTCCGCGCCCTCCCCCTCCCCTAGTTGAAGGATACGGTCGCCCCCGTCCACGCTACCAGCGATCTGCGGACCGTGTGAGAGTGGGCGGGACTGTAATGTGTTCAAGGTATAGATAGATCTTGTCCAGTATAGTCGTTCATTGTGCTAATTGCCTTTATATAGCCAACCGACTGTAAGAACTCAGAGACCAGAATTGTTTCAACAACATGGTGCTGATAACATTTTACAATAGAGACAGCCTCAAGTCCTCCTTGACAGTTTGGCGGAGGGGGTGACCGCGCTGAGATCACGGGTGAAGGAGGGCGAGAATCCCGGATGCTGGAGTCTTTGGGGTGTGATAAGCAATCTTAGAAGGAAGCAGATTTATCTTGGTGGCATTTTGGGTGCGTGGTTTCGGGTCTCGTTGGAGTAAATCTCGGTATCATGATCATTCACACCAGCAACCGTTCAGGAGACGCTATAGCGTGCTAGATCGTGGCTTGAAGATGTCCCTAATAGATGGCTGGGCGGACTATTTGTCATGCCAGGGACTAAGATCTGACCCTGCGGGGAGGCGATGAGGCGTGAGAGGGAGTAGTTCGAGTTGCTTGGCGGTCAGCATATCTCGCTTTGTTTGACTTTCTTTCGGCCATGCCCCTTCCAAGTCAGCCACCACCACCATCACGGGTGACAATCAGGCCACTCTTTGTCTCCTTCACGTCTCCATTGCGACTTGGAGCAACAGCTAATCATATCTCCATCTTTGACGCGTCGTGATGTTCGTTTTGATCGCGAATGCTGCTCCACGCAAATTACGACGCAATCAGCGATCAAAAGATCTTCAAAGGAGCACCTTTACTTTACCGCTCTTGAGCGCAGTCCATTGGCGTCATACCACTGGATCTCGACAAGCCGCTACAGCACCTTCATGGTTCAAGACCACATTCATATCACCTCCCCATAGCTGCGGCGACCAGGTCGATCCCTTTGATGGCCGAGTAAATGCTCCAGCAGCGAGCGCTTCATTCTTCAATCGGCTCGGAGCACGTCAAGCCGGTTCGGGAAGGAGTCCTGGGAATGAGTGTACTCAGATTTTCGACAACCTAGGAACAAGCCTGTCGCTTTCGGTCCCAGCCCCGCTTCAGCAACCCATACCTGGGCCAGGTACGTAACAAGGTCCGAGATCGGTGCTCCTACATAGGTAGAGATCGCTCACTGCGTTGAAGGTTCATCGACGCAGCAAAGTTCTCGGTCACGGCTGACTTGGAGTCGAGCGGAAACAGGTCTAGTCGCAGCAACCAGAAAAGCCACAATGAGTATTGCAAAGTAGGTGTTCGTCTTGCACGACTAAATTTACTGCATAGCCGCTGGCATCACCTGATATGATTTCGTGCTGACCTTCCGCAGGCGCGCCTGCAGTTTTGAGCAGATGCCCAACACGGTCGCTACTGGCGTGACCGCGTGCGTTCGTGACAACAAGGACGATTTTCATGTCATCGAGTAGAACTATCCTCCGGATTTGCTTGATCAGTGGAACGAGACGCGATTATACAGAAGCTCTGCCTCACGCACAACACTGATTCGTACCGGATTGAAGCTATCCATCCGGACTTCTGACGTCCATGAGAAGTTTCTCGACACAGACCGCCGAGCGGATCAGATCCCCGCGACTTAAAAGGATAGAATCGGCAGAAATTTGTTGAGCCACCAGGTTTGAAGTTCCGAAGTCTTGTGTTCATCTAAGGAACATTGCCCTTGGGGCTCACATTGTCTTCGATCTGAGTTGCAGTAGAGGTGATATATCACCAAAAGGTAAGAGTTCCGCACCGACCTCCAAACTCATCCAATCAATTAACGCGAGGACCGCATTCGTAGGCAATTTGGCGAGAAACCCACACGATCTTCATCGATTCCCCGAACGAGCAGCACCAAGAGTTTTCACCGATCTATCGCGAAGAGCAGCAAGCCGACCGTCAATCATTGCGATATGCTTCTTGCAAGAAGGCATCGAGGCCAAGTTGCTGCCAAGTCAGTCCGATATCCTCGCAGCGCATCTGGCCGAAAAGATCACACAATGGGAGGGCGTGAGGCGTCTGAGTGACCGTTGGTGGCCGCCGCCTCTGCAGTCTCTTTCATCCGTCTCCTGGCAACTTCGCCGGATGAGATGCTCTTACGACATCTTCTAGGCCTTGCTTGAGTGTGCCCAAAGCTTCAACATTCGCAAGGACCTATTCGTGAACGGAGCTGCAGCCACATCGGAGCGAGGTTCCCATTGCCGAAGTCAAAACAACTTTAAAAAGCTCCAGTCTTTGCGCCGTGATCGTTGGCATGTCGACAAGAACACTCACCCCCTAAGGGTACGACGGGACAACCTGAGTTACCACCGGCCGCACCAGAGGAGGGCGACATTGCGGACAAGAGACTAAGGCCGGTGCCGTAAGCGTTGACCAAGGCGCGTTGCTGTGCTTCTTAGCGGCAGCTACGCTCCCATTCATATACCCCCCGCCAGCTGCCGCGGCAATCGATTGTGGACAAACCGACATCTGCCGGCTCGCTTGTCGTTGGGTCGCGTCCTGTTACAGCAGCCACATCGGATTCATACCGTGGAACGGACTGAAAGCAGGGAGGAAACAAGATCATGTTCCCGCAATGGTCAGGACTTTGCCTTCCGCCACTTTGAGGCTATGCACGTCCGACTTCTGGTTCATGTCGTACGGAAGTCTCCGATCCTGGCAGGTAGAGAATCACTCAACCCGGCGTCAGCTTGTCCCTTTGAGAAGCCATCGACCAGCCAAAGCTGGCCTAGATATCTGACAAGTTACGGTCTCGTTCGGGTTCGCGTTGAAGCCGACAGATCGAGCAGTTCTCGTGTCGTCTTCCCGAACAAGAGCTGGTCGATGATGAAAGAGGACACGCGGTGCTCTCGCATGCCGACACCAAGTTTGTACACATTTGGAACGGGGCCTCAGCGGGCGTTCAGACCTAGATCTTCTCAGCCAGCAGCCCCTGTTTCACACCTCATCTCAGGCTCCTTCCCGGACGATTGCGGCTTCGTCCGACACAAGACCAACCATGGAAAATCCTCTCGACCAGCCACTTCGGGCACCTCCGGCCCAATCTCTGTGAGCTTTGTGAAGACGCCTGAGAACCACACCACTCAAGCTAGACCTTCCAAGTATTCTGAGGCAAGTTCACACACTTGACTGCCACAATGGTCGAAGTCATCCAGAACATGCGGCGAGACGCCAACCGCAAGTTCGTACCGGTCATTGCCGACTGCATGATAACCGCATACGAGCACTGCGTTGCCGAATCCAGTAAGCCTGGTTAGGACAGAGGTCGCTATGCTAGCCGCGGACGCAGACGTACAATGCCTGAAATCCCTACAAATGCCGATCGAGATCGGCGTTGGTACCGGCTCGCGTCCGACTTCATCATCGACGGATGGCCTCGTCCAGGGGCCGACAACCAGCACTCACTTTGGCGGTAACGTCAAGGTTAGCCGCTACATCAAGATCACCGTGTCAAAGCAGAAGCTGGTGTCGCTGCCCCCTGCGCAAGCTGTTACTCCAGTCCTTTATCGATACTGCTGGGTTGAGAAATGGCGGAGAGATCCTCGCTGATGTTCTGTACGCCGCACACGGACCGGCACCTCGTCCTGGATTCCTTGACCACCCATATTTCGATTCGACTCAGCTGTAGGCTGTCCAGGCAGAGCTTGCGGCGGCAGTTGAAACAGAGCATGCTCTGGACACCACACTTCTACAAATCGAACCCCACACAGCTCAACGTCGGGCTCCCTCTCTTCCCGTGGAGTCGCCAACTTGGCGCCAACGCAGCTGGTCAGGAAACCAGCCAATGACCGTGAGCTCGGCGCGCTATCCGCAAGAGGACGAAGAACCAGGTCGAACGCCTCAACAACAGCAGACATGAACTGGAGTCCCAGCAGCCATAAAATGAGCTATAGACGGTGCTCAGGCAGAAGGATGCCGTCCAAGCAGAAGACGACGACATTCGGCAACGATTGGCCTCAGTCCCGAGCATCATTCAATTGACTCTGGGGGCTCAAGGCCTCAATGATAGAATCCCTTTGCCGAGTATGTCGAGTCTGTGAAGAGCCTGGTCCGTTGCGCCTAAACAACAGGATACATGGATTGGGGTCATAGCGGCCGGACTATGGGCTGGAGAACATACTGATGCAGCAGGCCATCCATACAAAGAATCGAGCGCTGGGGAAGGATCGTCACCGGCTCTGTGCATTGGCAAAAGGCAACTCCATACCAAACGAAGGCTCATGTGGTCGGGCATCATGCTCAATGCCTTTCAAGCACTGTGCCGCTGTCGAGCCTCCAGACTAGATATGTGCCGAGAATTGATCTAAGGTGGTTACCAAAAGGTGCGTGGGCGACAGCACCTGCATGAGTCGACCGGGAATCGTTCTCCCATTCAGTTCTTCCGCCGGCTGTCTTACCTGGGGTTCCTGCGGTCAAGCCGCCATCAATGGTAAGCTGCTCTTCCCTCTTTTGCACATCAATGCCACCATATGATGAACATCAACCTTCTGGTAACCCGACTACAAGCTCAACCGCACAATTCAGTCGTACCTCACGCTTTGCGTGGTGCTGGTTGAGCATGACGAGAAAAGGCCAAACTGACTTTGGACTCCACGACATGAAGCCCATTTGCACCTATTGTTGCTGGGAGATGCTGACTGAGCATCTACAGAAGCAGATACTGCTGCTTTGCCCCTGGTAGACGCCGGGTGGGCTTGCCCGATAAGGTGAGAAGGCAGCCCGGCTGGGAACGGTGAGAGTTGAACACTGTATACCACTGGTCGTCGCCTTTCGAAAGCCCACCCCTGAAGCAGGATCTCGTTTCAGACCAGATGTATCCGAGCGGAAACCATTCCGGTATCATAGACCAAGCACAAGAGATGGTCCTGCCGGCGAGCTCGAGATTCGAGGACTTCCAGCCTGAAAGGTGCGATCAAAAGGAGCTTCCGCCGCCAAAGAGACTGGCGAGGATTCGTGCCGGCGGAAACTCGAGATATGATCAAATGCAAGTCCCCTCAAGCCCTTGTCTCCACTGATGTTACTGGACGCTGATGTGGGTAGCTGCTCCACACGAGATACCGTCCCACAAATCTGGCTGCAACCGCGTCTCACAGTATCTTGATTGCGAAGCTCTCCGCGGCGTAGTGGTTCACACCCGTAGATAATCTCACCACCATGAGGAGATCAGTGGACTCTGTGGTACAACTTGGCGTCCAGGAGGTTTCCTATCGACGAGCCGGCGCAGGTGCCACTGAAGCGATGCCACCTTCTCGCATCGCTGGCAAGCGAAGCATGTCTCCTCAGTCAAGCCACAGCAAGCGCAGGCGACATTCTCAGCTCATCCTCCGTATTACGCCCAGCAGTACCAGATGTCCCGAAGCTTTAACATGCTCGAGAAGCAAATTCGGCTGCAGATGGAGGCGGCGTGAAGCTTCGGACAACAGGAAAGGAGGAGCGCTCGAGCTTGAGGCTCATCATCGGCGGCTCGTTGCGTGTATTCAGGGCAGCCACAAAACGTCGAATCCGCGAGAGCATGAGTAACTGTCAGCTGATCCCGCGCTAAGACCTGACCAAGGAAGACCAGGAGGCCGATATGGGAACCGTACCATACCTCCGATAGATGTATCCCCAGTACTTTGCTTCGTTTTTGGGGATGACTAGTGTACTCTGTGTGTGCCGGAATGGTGTGGATGCTGAACCTTGGATATATTGCTCGTGCAACGTGTGTATCATTGGCCGCTCGTCAATGGCAAGCATGCCCCCAAGCTCTTCGGCGATGGAGTGGATATCTTACCTCGGTGACTTGACGCCTTTCTCAGAAACGCGTGACAGCCACTTAAACCCTCCAAGTATCGTGTCTTACAACCGTCCAAGTCCATGATTCCATTGAGGATGTGTATTTTTCCCTTCAGTAAAACAGCTGAGCAAGCTGGGTTTCCTGCTCTCATGTGTCCGTCCAGATCTGGTTCCTCTTTCTTTAACTCGGTCCAACCTCTCGAATGTCTCTCTCCGTGCTCCTACCTTTGACAATCCCCTTTGTTTGACGCTGCTCGTCCTGTGTCCCATGCATATATTCCCACAACCTCACTCAATGTTTTTCTTCTTTCTTAGAGTGCCCGGCGCCACGAGGGCTCTGATATCCATCCGAGTATTTGGCCAACTGGATTCCTGGCGATGCTCTCCGACATGGAATGGTCTCAGAACTGTGCGAGGTCCCTCCAGTTCGTGTTGTGGTCAACTGGACGGCGCTCCGCGGTCGTCCCAGCCTCGCCAGCAAGCATCCTCTCGCAGTTGCCCATGATTTTTTTGGGCCTGGGGATCAGGCAGCCCGGCTAAAGTGTCTGCTGATGTGTAGCGATGTACGGGTCTACTGCCGGGCTAGATGAGGCCTAGGAGGAATTTAGCAGCTAGCTTGAGCCGCACCGCGGCGAGATCTGCATCCTTTCGCGTCTTCCCAGGCGCTTTTCGTCCTTGCGTCGGCTTCCCCAGTATGAACCAGAGGCTTCGCATAACGCGCCTGCGATCCAATTTCCGGAAGATCGAACAGAGCTTCAGATGAACCTGCGGTGGATGGTGTCTTATCAGGATTCGGAACTTGTGTGGTTTCCGACCTCAGACAGCTAGGCCCAGAGATACGGCGACCCAGCTCTAGTCCCGCTGTCGCCCAGTCCACGCGGGCGCCAGCTTCGCTTGTGTTCGAATGTGGAAGATACCTCACGGTCGTCGAGGAGTGCCGAATGCGGAACGGGTGTTGTCGACCTGATGTTGAACTATCATCAGTTGACATCTCCATGCAGCTCTGAGACAAAGTTCGCCGCGCTTGGGCTTACAGACTTTGAAGAGACGAAACCGTTAAGAAAGCCTTCCTTGACCGTTCGATCCGAGCTACCATGGCAGCTTCCCGTCACCCTCCTGTTCGCATTTGGCCGTCGCGCTTCGTGTTATAATAACGTCCATCCTCTCCTAAGATAGCAACACTTGTCCGAGCAAGGATTTCTGAACTAGTAGTGGCGGGATCCATGGAAGCAGGGCTCTAGGGCGGCAATGCCCAACTCGATCCTTTGCGTCTGATGTTGCGTTCCTCGCGCATCTCGTTCGAAACCCTCTCGAATCTTTGCAATCCACGGTGACGATGAAGTCGGCTTCATGTCAACCACGAAGCGGGTATCCGCGCAAAGTCATCACTGGGTGTTGCAGACCGACCGCACCCATACGAAAATTCCATCAGGCTCCATCAGGATTGTCGAGTGCCACGTGTAGATCTTGCGAGAGTGCGCCTCTGCTGCGCTTCCTTGCTGAATGGAGTTGCTTTAGTGTTTCCACCTCCAATTGAGTTGGATTGCAGCGGCGTTGACCGCAACGCGTGGCGCCCAGCATGGCGAAGACATCCTCCGGAGACATTGTACACCCCGAACCTCGCTGTTTTGATTCAACTGGCAGGCGCCCACCGCCCTCTTGTTCCTTGCCGGTTTCGGACGCTCTGAGAAAGCAGATGCACTGCTGTCCACCGGCTTCGCTTGGTATCCTAGACCTCCCTCTTCAACTGAACCTTATCTGTGTCCGCCGTATCTTTCAAAGCTCGGGTGGCACCCGAACGCAACTGGAGAGAACAGTTGCAATGTGTGTGTTTTGACTCCGATGTCATGAGCGAAGCTCGTCGAGCGGTCCGGTTCGTAAGGGCTTTACGGTAGAGAACGGCTCGACGCTCTGCTTACTGGCGAATGAGGTCTCAATGCGAAGTAGTCCCACTGCCCGGCGCACTTCAGAAATGGCTGTTCTGGCGGCGTGGTCCTGGGGAGTTGACACGCTGTCACTGAAACCGTTGAGCTGAGCTCCAAAGTTGTCACTGCATCAGTTGCGCTTTGTGCCCGTGAGGGCTCTGGTGAGTGGACGTTCGAGACTTTGCATTGGGCCTGGCCATCAGCCGTTGTGACGGGCGTTGCTGATAACTCTGATGTGGTCCTGCCGCTGGCTGTAGGACGGTGCTGGGAACGGCCTCGTTTGTAAAAGTGTCCGGATATGGCCGTCATGTGCGCAAGCTTTCGACATCACCGGACGAGTGTAGACTTTCATGGTGTGGTTCTCCTGTTGCAGCTGCCTCTGAAACCCCAAACACTCTTCGCGGTCAGTGGATTTTGAGGTGTTTGCTGGAGAGAAGAGTCTCAAATTCTCATCTGCACCCATCGAAAGAGAGCTATCGCTGCATCAAGCAGCATTGTGGCGTCGTAGCGTGAAGCCGGCCGGAACGTCTTTAAACTGTGTAGATCGGCTTGCTGCGCAATGGTGATCAGAGAGCATACCAGACGACATATGGATTGCGTGAGCTCTAGACTCATTCCGGGCACATTCGGCGGCACCAAAGCTGTTTGCAATCAACGCGATACATTCAGAAGCAGTGTCAGGGTTGTTGTCGTTATCCGGTCAAAACTCTGTTGGTGAGACCAGGGTATGGCGGACGCTTGACGACATCGCGAGGAACAGGGCTATCTGAACACAACAATCCAACCTGGAAGCTCAAACGTTTGCGATGCAAAATCCGGAAACAAGGTCACTCAGTCATTGTCATCAGGAAACACAATTCATTGAGGCGTGAAATGCTGCAGAGGTGCATCAAGCAATGCCGGTTGCCGCTGGATACGTCTAGGATGTCCTTTGTCAGTCGCTTTGCTACGAACAGCGGACAGTATTGCCCTGACCAATGCTATCCAGCTTCGTCTGAAACAAGGCCTCCGAGCAGCGACATAATACACATTAAAAAGGGAATCAGCCTATACAGAAAGCGCCTTTGATTCTTCCTCGGTTGCTGAGAGCGCAAACTTGCCAATATAGTCATGTAAAGTCCTCCACCTTCAGCTACGGACATGACGGCCGCCTCGTTCCCGGCGGCATTAACTGTCTCGTCGGCTCCCAGATGACGTTGGCGTTGTCCGCGGTTTCAATGGTCTCGTTGAGAGCAGTGTTGGTCATCTGGCGATGGCACTGTTGAGATTGACGGCGAGCTTGAGTCGAACAAGGATCACGTCTCGGAGACTGAATGTGACAACGGAAACACCTTGAGGTCTTGCTCCGGCGCTACTTGAGGAACATAGAGATGTCCGTGTAGGCAGTGGCCGTGTATGAACTGATGTCACGACTCTGCTCTATGTGGTGAAGACGGCGAATCGTCAAGTGGATTCAATGTCAGCTAGGGGCTATCGTGACTGCTTGGAATGCACCGGTGGGCTCACGAAGACGCTTGCTGGTGTTCAGAATCCCGGCTTCCGTAAGGAGGACTGCCACTCGGTACGATATCAATCTGAGCGTGTTGCAAGGTATTCAGCGACCGGAGTCATACTGCATGCTTGCAGTGTGAGATCTTGGTTCTGCAACGAACGCAGCCGTACCCGTGAAGCGGCATGGAAGCTGTATGTATGTAGGCGGAGACAATGAGATGCCATGTCTCAATTGAAGTTACCCTCCGATATCCATATGGGTTTGGAGCCTACCATGGGCCGTCGATGGTGGTGGGAAAAGCTCCAATGTGTTTCGGCCGCTGACCAGGTGGTGGAACAAGTCCGATAAAGGAGTCTTCGCCAGGTTGATACCCTGTCGAACCGAAAGATGGCTCTCTATATCACTTCGCGCTGAAGGCGACTGCTTCAGGGGTTCTTGAAGAGTCTCGAGTTTGGGGAGAAGATCGCCAGGCTCGGACAATCAAAGCCTCCGCCAGCGCGTGGGTGAAGGACTAAAGCGCGTCTCGCTGCGCTGACTAAACCCACGCCGGCCTCCGTTTGACGTCGCTCTACTCGTGTCTATATTCCAGTTCGCGTTCCAACTTCTAATCTCACGCCAACATCTTCACACGCAGCATTCCTCCCCTCTGCAACAGCAACACGCAAGGAATATGGGGGAGCGCTCCCACCACCCGCACTGCGCGTGCTCGCAATGTGACTATGAGCGCGCTGTCGTGAGTGCTGCAATTCTGCGAACCGCCCGGAAAGAGGACGGTTGAAGTCATGCCGGGACATTTTTCTGACAGGAGTTCGCTGAGCACAGGCTGATCTCGGCCTCGCGCGCCGTAATCAAATCACATCCGCTGCTGACGATGAGCGTAAAGAGGATCTGCCTAACCCGGATGCCCTCAGGGGTTTTGTAGCTGCCGTGGGAGGTCGAGGTGGCATGAAGAATGAGTGGCACAGTACGTTCCTCCGTTACAGCTCAGTCTGCCTCAGTTGACGTGTGCCCCCTTCTCTTCAGATTTCTCAAAAGTCGATCCTCACCCAGACCCTGTGGCTCTGGCCAATCCATCTCTCTACGACGGCCACCTGGCACGTTTCAACCGCGGTGCTCTCGTGCCCAAGGGCAATCTCTTCAAGGCCGGTAGCGTTCCTCCTCCACGTCCTGTCGAATTACGCAGCTACTCTCACGTCCACACGTCACTGGGGCCTGCAAATTACGGGTAAGCTTCACTTCCGGCCAATGTCCCCCTGCATATAAAGGCAACATTTCTGCCAACTAACTCAACCTCAGACATACTTCCAACACCACTACTGTCTCTCGTCACGGTAGCCCGCTCAAGCGTCCTGCTCCTTCGGCATCAGCCAGCCGGTGAGTTCATCTCTAGTAATTGCTCGCGGCTAATAGGGGAAGATCTCTGATACGTTGATGCCTGCCTAGATCTTCCGCTGCGGTTCAGGCTGATCGCCACTTTCACCAAACGCAAGTCCACCTTCCATCACTCGTCCTCTTCCCTCATTTGTCCTTCCTCCATCACTTGTTCCATTCCCATCACTCTTTGTATCTTGAACGGTCCTGATCAACTGACACGCACGATAGTGCCGGTGATTATCTTCCAAGCCATCCGTAAGTTCTACTCTTGTTGCCTGGTATCACTACGCGGTCAAGATCTTCTGTCGACTGATAAGGGTGACAGGCGTACGTCCGGTCGGCCTCCAAGCAACTCAAGCTCCAACAACCAGTCAGTTCACCTTTATCTATTTTATTGCTACATGGTCAAAGATCTTCCGTCAACTAACAAGAACACAAGATCTTCGTCACGTTATCCATCAACCGAGGACAACGATATGGCCTTCCGTGAGGCTATGGCAAAGCTCAAGGCCAAGTCGTCTGGAATACTCAAATCTTGCTTCGCGCCCCAAGACGACTCCTTCGAGGATCCGGCTGGCGGTCGGACAATTGGTCCTATTCAGCACCTTGGACTCCAACATGATACACTTGGCTTCCAACAGGATGCTATCAACGCACTCGGTATTCAGAATGAGACGGAAGAGCGTACCGTGCGAATGTCTGGTGTAACTCTTATTGAGGACCAGACCGTGGTCGCAGAAGGGGTCGAAGATCAGACCAACATTGCAGAGGGTATGATCTGTTCCGCCACCCCGTGCGTCCACCATCGCAACCGCACTGCTACTGAGCTCCCAGACCCGAGTCTTAGAAACTCATTCCTTGGCTGGGACTCGAGCAGTAGCGACTGTGCCGTCGATGATCTAGGTGAAGAGGCTGATGAAGAAGTAGTTGCTGCCAATCCTCAGGAAGCACAGGCTGTTCTCACTACCTCCCATGCGGCTCGCCCCACCGTCGCCACGACCTCGGACAATCGACCAATTTTCGTGTCCTCGCCCACGCGCGAGGAATGTGTCACTCTCACGCCCGCCGAGCTTGACGAGGCAACCCAGTCAGACTACCACGTCTTCCTCCTGCGCAATCATCGCCATATCAGGGTTTACCAAGCTGGGCTAGGAGACGATGTTGCAGACTTCCAGAGCATCCATGAGTCTATTCATGAGTCGATCAATGAATCGATTCATGAGGCGGCGTCGATCCATGGGATGTTCCCGATCATCGTGCCTCCCGCGCCGGCTGCCTTGACCACGGCTCCCACCAACAATGCCGCAGCTCCGATGGTTCCAGCCGTCACTACGGCTGCTCCTGCTATGCCCTCCCGTACTCCTCCTGCAATTCCTGCTGGCCCCGTCGTTGCACCGACCGTCAACGAGACCAATTCCGCCATTCCGGTCTTCTTCGGTGCCGCTCCTGTTGCATTTACTTCTGGCCCGGTTATTGAACCGGTCGGCCCAGCTATTGCTGCTGCCGCTCCCATCGTCGATGTGGTTGATGCGCCTATGGTTCCCGCTGCCACTTCTGAGGCTCCCGCCACCACTCCAGGTGCTCCGTCTACCGCGACTGAAGGTGCTCCTGCTGCTGCAGTTGCCCCTGCTTCGTTGGCCCAAGAGCTTGTAAGTCTCACCGCTTGTTTCACAAGAGAACTTCACCATCTAATGGATTCGATATAGGCCGACTCTACCGATGAGGTTGACCGCCCTCTCTCCAAGGCCAAGGCCGTCCAGGCACACCATGAGTGGCTCGGCGGCAAGGGCTTGAAAGACAGCAAGTGGGCTCGTTAGATGTAGCTGCTTGTGACGGTGGGAGAAGTGAGGGCGTGGGATAGTAGCGTGGGATGGTGGCTTGTTTCCTTGCGTCCAACTAATGATTGTGTTTTCTGTTCCCATCCTGCTGGCGCCTCCGTGCGCATCACACTGGATAGTCAGGCTTGGGAATCACCACTTCTTGCTTAGCATATACTAAACGTCCTGCCACACATAGTGTGAAGATGTACATCTCTTGATGGCCTTTCGGGATCTCACCGTGACTACAAGAGAACTCCTATGCGCTTGACGATGGCGGATTTTGCAGTCCACATCCAGCCGCTATCACCAAATGACATTATGGTGTTGAGTATTGAGTGGCATGAGGGCTGGGGTCACATGAGCAGGCGGTGTTCACGCGCAGTCTTGTAGAGTTGCGGTGCGGGATGCAACCACTGTTCATCATACACAGCAGGAGAACTGAATGCATCATGGAGAGGGCATGAGTTGCTATATACCCATGATGGTGACTCTCGTCGGTGACGATGAATTGATTAAGGCGCTACATGTCACGCTAAACAGAAGAGTTGGAACTACCCGGTGCCAGTGATATGGAGTCTCATATGGTTAACCTGCTGAGATGGTTTCCCATTCTTCGAGGAGTGAGGTTGAATCAAGGTGTTCTCTAGGACGCGGATCACGCCTCGCGCTAGTCCTCCCGCCGACCACGAGTCGCGTCGGAGGCGGTTTCTTGGCATCAACCGTCACTGATGTATGCGTCTCCTAACACCTCTTACTTCCGCTAAACCCTCCTATCACCACCTCCTCATAAACTCTGGCCATGGCGTTTAGACCGCTTAACGACGCAGCACGAAACCCGCGTCCCGTGCGCCCTGAAAAGGGCTATACCGGCAACAGAATCTTTGAAGTCGAGGCAGCCTTCGCTGAGCGGCCAGAGCTAGAACGGCGCATATTCAATAGTGACTGGCGTACTGATGCCTGTGATATTGTCCAAAAAGTGCTGCGCTGACGTTCTTTATGCACAAAGTCTCAGCGGTCCCCAGCCAGAAACTTATACGCGACATCTCGAGCTATATCATCGAGCTCATCGCTGCTCGAGATGCCAACCTCGCAGCAGCACAGGCCGCAGGAGCCGTCCCTGGTCCGCCTGTGGCAATTACTGCGGTCATTTCCCCGCCGCCCGGGGCCGCTACACTGCCTGAATCTACCGAGCCGGCCTCCAAGAAACGAAAGCTGAACGAGCCGGTACCAATCCAGAATGGCACGAGTGAGGCGATACCGGCCTGGCGCGATCCTGCCGGCGAGATATTCTACTCTGGCGACGACACCAGCTTCTCCCTACCAGCGCGCAAGAAACTGCGTTACGAGTTTATAAGGACAACCCCGAACAGCGTAGATGGTGGCATCCGGACTCTAGATGGTAAAGGCGAAGTGCAGTTCGGCGTGGACTGGAAAGATATCGGTGGGTTTGCCTCCGTCCTGTGTTCACACTGCACGTACTGAGCGTGTAATTGAGAGACAAGATGCTAACCGCACCAACGCCAGACCAGATATTCTGCCTCCCTGTGCCCGACCGCGCCAAGCGCGCTGATAATTTCGTCGTCATACCCTACCACGGCAACGGTATCGAGCCACCTCCACCTGGCCAACCAGCGCCCGAGCCCATTGTTTGGACATACCAGGGGCCAGGGGCGAAAGCGCTCAAGGATGAAGGGCTAGAAGAGGACCCTGAGCCGGCGAAAACATGTCATGCGCTCAATGAGCAGCTGAAGAAATTCGGGAAGAGCGTGGTATTACCCGACGAGAAAGAGTTCGCGAGTACGCTGGTCAACCCGTCCCGCAAAGGCGAGACAGTGTACAGCGTCAAAGCGCACAGGGGCAGCAAAGAAGGTATGCATCATCTCCTCGATCCTTACCGGTCCGTGCTGCTACAGTTCGTCTGGCCCCTTAACAGGATCCGTTGCTTACTCCGGCGCTTACGAGCAGGCTACCTCTTCTTCACCTCCGCCGGCATCCTCTTCGCCTTCAAGAAACCCCTCTTCTACTTCCCCTTCTCCGCCATCGCCTCTATCTCCTACACCTCGGTCCTCCAGCGCACCTTCAACCTCGCAGTCACAACCAACGACACACCCAACGCACCGTCTCAAGAGATCGAGTTCAGCATGCTCGATCAGGCAGACTATGCTGGCATCGATCAGTATATCAAGCGCCACGGCCTCAATGACGCGAGTTTGGCGGCGAGCAGGAGGGCACAGGTGTACAACGTCAACGTCAAGGCGGAGAAGAACGGCGAGGCGGCGAATGGGACGGTGGATGGGGATGAGGATGAGGAGTCAGAGCTAACGAAGGCTGAGAGGCTGTTGCAGGATGCGGAGGATGAGGAAGAGGAGGACTACAATCCTGGTAGTGAGGGTCAGAGCGAGGGTGAGGGGGATAGTAGCGAGGAGGAGGAAGGATATGGCGAAGCGAATGACGAGGGTGGTGATGGAGGGGAAGAGGACCTAGTGGACGAGGAACTAGGGAGTGAAGCTGAAGATATGGAGTAAAAAGAACACTGAGATGAACATCTGCAGGTTACACTGTATGTAGAGCGGGATACCCGGGCTATTTGGAGCAGGAGTAGATCTGAGATACTTAGGACACCGGGTCCGCGTTGCGAATGGGTGACTAGTTTGTATACATGGTGTTTTCACCGTCCAGACAGAGACCTTCTGCTTCATGCTAACGACGGCCCGGTTTCCCTAGCTTCATGGTGTTGAAGTCTCGCCGAACCTATCATCACGATCTCGTAGCTCTGACCGGGTAGTTCGTTTCCAGTCGCCTTCATAAGATCAGCTCGTCAAGCGCGCCTTCCAGACGCCTTCCGGCCTCCTGAATCCCTTCCGGCTCACTCGGATCCGGCACGAGGTATGCAGCATCAATGGGGGAGTCGAGTCGTTTTCACGTCAAACATCCCTTACTCAAATGTTTACAGATTGATGCGGGTTCATAGAAATCACTGTTGTTCAGCAGGCGCATTAATCACGTGGTCATGGTTGCTTCGCATCATCCAACAATAAGGAGGGTAGTTTAGATTATCTCTTGCGCTTGGAGACTGAAAGCTCCCACGTTAGGCAATTGAAAGCCAGCCACAAACATTCTCAATCAAAATAATCACGGTCCACAGCCTGATAAACGCTCTCCCCGGCTTTGTAAATACCTCTTCCATACGGGCGAGCTACTACCGGGCGGTCAATCGAGACTGTGGCCTTTCCATATATGTATCTTCCGCTCATTCCTCTATCCTTCCCTCTAGTCATCTTCCAGTTCGGCCTATTCCTCGCCGAGCCCCACCACTGCGGTAGTTGGCCTCTGGCTTTCCTCCCGTCTGCGCTTGGTGTAATAGATGCACAATGCTTACACGCTCTGCCTTCGGGCTCAAGAAACCCCCATTCTCAGAGAGGACCCACTGTGACCGTGCCCCGTCACGAAAGGCAAGCCCAGCCCACCATACAGTTCACCACATAAACCTCTGCACCTGACCCGGTTCCTGAGGCCACTCGAACCCCTTGTACAAGAACACATACCCCGTGACCGCATTGACGACCAGGAACCAGGCCAGCTCGAGCCAAACGGCATTTATTTGCAATGCTCGCAGGATTCGGATGATAACAGGCCACCGAGACTGCTCCTCTGGCGGTTTCAACGATTCTTGCTTTAACCGCTTCTCCGACGCCGGTGCTGGCTCCGCAGGCGGGGTGGAGTCTGAGTACCCGCCGGCAATAGGGACGTGCAAGCGCCACATCAGCCACGGGAGGATGAAATAGCGTGGCTCGACTAGTGGAGCTGTAACCAACGATAGCGTACACGTGGCTGACCACACAATGACGAAGCTCACATCGCAGCCAGGCGTCTTCGCTCTCGCTTCTCGGGGTTGCCGTGCTGCCGGTCTTGGTTTGCTAACAGCCTGAGCGTCGGCTCCGAGAACCGTAAGGTCAGGCGGAGCACCCAGGGCGCGAACGCAGGTCCAGCCGCAGAAGACGTAGATTGGCGCGGCGAGGTACTTGATGGCGGGGTGTCGAAGGAGGATGCGGAAGACGTAGAAGACGTAGTGGCGGTTGTCGGCTAGCGTGAAGGGATGGATGATCGTGTTGAAATGGGCTGTGGCCATTGCGAGCGCGGTCAGGGTTAGGAATACCCACGTGCGGGGGAGGAAGGCTGCTGGTGTCAACGAGAATAGGGATTTGCCCGTGGAATCGGTCCTGCGTGGTTGGAACAAAGATACGAGAGGTGCGAGGATGTGAGGTAGAAGTAGCGGGAAGGAGAAGAAGGTTATGTAGGGCCAGAGGTAGAGCATTTGTGGTAGATGTATGGTTGCAACATGGTTGGACTTGTCACCTGGCCCTAGTCAGGATACTGTTCAGAATGCTCAGGACTACCGGGGATCTTACCAAGCACAACGCCGCCATTCCACGCTACAAAACCTGCGAACGATACGAGAAGTAGGAGGTAGGGGACGATGGCTGTGGTAACTTTTGAGATGTTCTTGACCGCTGCGATACTGATGGACATAACGACCTTCACGTAATCTAGAAACGTTTTCTTAGCACTGATTGCTGCCTGAGTTTGGTACCCGATGCACTACCTTCGAAGGAAGCGTCTTCAACCGCAATGTCATAGACCCCCGATGCCTCCCAGCTGTCACGCACAACCTCAAGGAAGGCTCTCGGTATTTGACCGTTGTCTCTTCGTAAAGTTTGTGCAGCTTTCTTCAATTCCCGAATCACACTCAAGCCAGCAGGGAGGACCGCTACCCAAAAGATGTTCGTCTGGCGAAAGGATAAGGAGACGGCGCCCAACACGACTGTTGTGAGCCATGAACGCCACCTTGGACATCCAGCACTCCAACTCTTACGCATGCACTGATAGCTCATAAGCACAAGCCAGGTGGATACCACATCAGTGTAGAATAGGGCAGAAAAGAAGAACAGCGGAGGAAAGAGCGATATGGTGATTGCAGACACGATGGCACGGATCGTACTCTGCTTCCCGTCACCCAGTAATCCAAGCTCGGCGCCGCCTCTTCCGCTGGGAATGCCCTTTCCGGTTCTCAGTACGGTGAAAGCAAGTTGAGCAATGATTGCGGGCATGAGCCAGCCAACGGCCCTTAAATTGAGAATGTCACAGGGGATTCTTGACCGAGTGACGATGTAGGACAAGATATACCTGAAATGTATCAGACAGGAGACTTGTAGTAGCGGCGGAGTATTGGGATAAGACGAACAGCCCTGGCGGTGTGGTGATCTTCGGGTCCCACTGCGAGAAGTTTCCAGCACAGTATGCTTGGGTTTGACGGACGTGAAAGACCTCGTCCTGGTGTAGAATGAGGTTTCATACCCAAGACTTACAAAGTGTATCTTGACTTACCAGATATGGATGTGATACTTTCGTGTTCACGAAGTAATACCAAGGTATCCCACATAGAAAGGGGATATATCTTACAGCAGCAGGAACGCTCCGCATCATGAAATGGCTTACAAGGGAGATAACGACCGGATACAAGCCAAGAGTCACTGTCGCGTGCGGCTCTGGCGCCAGCAATGGGCTCACCAGTCGGAAAGTAATATAGAAGGGAAGATGGAGGTTTGATAGGACCGGGCGAACATCGGGTAAAGCCGGAGCTCTGTCACTCTACGAAGCCTTGGAAGTCAAAAGCGCTTCAGACCACCAAGCAACAACACCGCATTGAGTCCTGGTACCAACTATGGCGCTGCCTCTCCCACCTGGCTTGACGCCTCCTGAAGTTGCCTTCCTCTGTGAAATGGAGCTCGTGACTGTTATCCCCCGCCAGCGTCTCGAAAGTCTCGAACTGCTCGGAGTGAGTTGACCCCGCGACACCACGGCGTGCGGCAGCATGTAGTATGTCTCTATCCGCCTCTAGTCCTCCCTCAACTTCAAGAGCTCTCCGACTAATATAGCGACTATCGAAGGGCCCGACAGCAGCTCTCTTCCCACCTCACAGAAGTAACATCCCGCTCTGGCTCGCCCTGCTGCTGAAGCGCCAACGCCGAGCGAACATATCACCTCCACCATGGCTGACGCCCACTTCCCTCTCCGCTATCCTTGAGTTCGAAATCGAGCACTCCAAGGAAGCATTCTCTCCGCCCCCGCGATTAGCACCTTCCGCCGGCAGCAACAACACGAGTCCGCCGTTTCTGCTGTCTGCCACATCCGATGCGCCCCCAGAAGCGCTACCTTACCACTGGCTTGAACTAGGGGAGATACTACTTGAAGCTGCGCCAGATGATTTCGAAGAACCCGATCAGGTGAGAAGGCTTATGCGGGATCTAAGAGAAGTTAGGACTGCCAAGTTAAGGGCTGGCGTTGCAGTCCTGGACGCAGGAGGCGGCGTCAAAATGAACGGGGTTGGTGGCATGGAGGTCGCGGAGGGAAGAGCGTTCATTGGAGGCGTAATTGACGGGCTAAGGTGGGTCAATGAATCTCTCCCTTGTTCGGCATGGCTACTGATGTGACGGTATACAGGAAGATTGGTGCGTCCCGTGAACAAGCGCGGCGAGAGAGGGAGGCTGAAGAACGTGACAACGGCTACGCGGGCACGGCTGAAGACGATGAAGATGAGATGGATCTGTAGTGTCACGCACCTGCTGTTTGCAAAACGAAACCATGCCAGGCCGAATAAGCTCGAGGGCAGCGGGGGCCAAGTGAGCATGCATCAGTCCTCGGACCGCCTCCGCGTACCCCGAAACAAACCCGACAATGGTACGGGCATGCCTTTCCGTACCTATTTCGGCCTCTTTGCAACAACTACTAAGCCGCTTTCCCCGCGGTCGCGTGCTCGGTTCCTGCCGTTGTCCTCAATGTCAATCCGTGGGGCCCCGCGAAAATGTGTTGAGGATGTTGAGCATCTAGCAGTCGCGCAGACTGAGACTCGATTGGTTGTTTGGGAGCGCACAATGGTTCGCAAAGCGAGCGGCGTTCGTATCCGCAAGCCACAATCCGAAGTGCGACATCGAGAAAACAATGAACATCGGAGAGTTCGGTGCCTGACGCAGGCAACACAGCTCGCTCTGACTTGTGTTTTGCGGATACTTCTCCAGTAAAGTTCAGCCCTTGACTGACTTTTCCCAATCGGGCCAGCTGAAACCTGGGCGATTGGTCCCCGCGATGCAGGTACGAGCTTGTCGGCAAGGCTCGCCGTGTCTTGCTCACCAGTGACCCCGACCAGTTTTCAGGTACTGAATCGTGTCTTCAGTCCATCAATAAATAGATGTGTCGCCGCCGCAATTTTCACCGCATCCTGTCGTTCTTCAAGACGTCTCAATCGTATGAACCACCTCTCAGTCAGCAGTAACCAACCAGACAATCGCTATGTTCTCCTCCTCCACTCTCAGCCTAACGGTCCTGCTCGCCGGTCTCACTCTTGCCCAGCACGCACCAGCTCTATTCCCCCGCCAGTCTTACGTCCCTTGCGTCGAGCAGGTCAACCGCAAGCCTTGCGGCTCCGACGTCCTCTGCATCCCCACGACCTGGACTTGCTGCCAGAAACAACAAGGCGGTTGCTCTCCCGGGAACGCTTGTTTCCTTGACGACAATGGCGACGACTGCTGCTGTCCCGTGGGAAGGACATGCAGTGGTGTATGCGGCGCCGTGACCTTCGTCGATGCGACTACCAGGGTTTCCACTATCGTTGAGCCGACTACCGTTCCGGTTCCAACATCTGTTACCGTTTCGAGCGCTGAAGCGTTCTCGAGCGTGATTCTGGGGACCACTTCGACAGCTTCTAGCTTGCCAGCATTGTCTTCTTCGTCATCCTCTTCGCATCTGCCGCTTCTCACGTCTACCACGAATGTAACGACTCCTACGTCTACTCGTCCCTCTCCGTCTATGTTCACCGGTGGCGCTGTGGGCGTCGGGTTCACTCACTCGGAGCTTCTGGCTGCTGCTTTGCTGGCTGGTATGCAGTGGGTGCTGTAGGGCTGTGTCTGCTTGTCAAACAGGGTTGGGTGAGACGGACGATTGGTATGAGTTGCTGCATTTGTGGGGTAGGACTCATTTTTGGCGGCTTTGTCTCGGGAAGGGCGATGTATATGGTGGGAAAGTCAAGAGATAATTATTCATGAGCTGTATATCTCTATGGAAACCTCACAGTAGCTGTAATACAACTTTTTCAGTCCGTTTGCCACCCGATCTTCATGAACACTCTTTCGGCGAAGCCTCCAATCGCTGGCGGCACACAGCGCTACTGCAATGAAAGCCCGCAAACCTCACAAAAGACTACCTGCAAGTACATCTTTGCCTTAGTCTAGCCTTCGAGTCTCTCTTCGCAGGCTTCCATTGCTAGACCCTCTACCAATCGCTCGCCGCCATCTCGTTCGAGCACGCTGCGACTGTTTCACGCATTAAAGCTGGGACTCAGTGCCAGACATGTCTCGGGTATCTAGTTGTCTCTCCTCAATGCCCTGCGATACCGCCTTCGAGCAAACGTCCGCTTTATATAGCGTCTCGCATTACGTGCAAGAGTGGATTCAAAAAAGCAACCCTTTGCCTAGCACCGCCTCCCTACCAAGAGACATAACATCACTTCCGGCCCCCACATCATTACTTCAACGTCCCCCCACTAGCGCAACCACCATCCAAGAAAGTTCTCCTCACAAGGATGCCCGACGCTCAGCTGCTTGTCAAGGGCCCCGTTTCGGACGACGACATCAAGTTTCACAACCACCAGGTCTCGTGCCTACGTGAAAGTCTTCGAGTGATGAAATCGAAGCTGCAATCGATGAAGAAAGACAATGATGCATGGCAGAAGGCTCTGAAGGAGGAGTGCGGAGACCACGTAGCGACGAAGAGAGAGCTGGAAATGGCACTTTTTGAAAGAGATTGCTATAAGCGAGTGGCAGCCGAGATAATGAGGCCTGTACGTTGTTTTGACCTGTCCTCATAACAATGATGTTGAACTGGCTAACGACATCTCCTAGACCCCCACTGGATGGAACACGGAATGGGATGTGAGTAGTCCTATATTGCAGAGGCACCAGGGAGTCCCGGAATGACGGTGGTCGGTATCTCCTTCGGACTAGATGTATATGGGAATATCGGGTCGTTTGTCAAAGGCGGGCTGGCGGTGGAGCTGGGTAGGATGTTCGTCTGATGTGAAAATCTCTGGCTTCAATGCGCTATGGTGAGGGACGCCCGAAAACGAAGCATCGATAGTATAGCTGTTACAATGAGGTTCAAAAGAAAGATTTATCATGATTTCTTAAAAGGAGAAGGCTGATTGCCCTAACCGACGCTGGAATGCAAATCAACAACCCTTGCTTTCACTTACCGTGCGACTATATGCTGGGCTGTCGTCTCTTCCGGCAGTGCCCGTTTCAACTTTCAAAACATCCAGTGTGAAGCTGCGGTACCAGAACCTCGACCCTGTGACTCGAAGGTGTTGTCATCGGCTTGCCCACCTTTCATCCTCCGCCACCATGAATCTTCTCTGGATCGTTCTGTTCGGGCAGTCCGCGATCGTGACAGCTGAGATGACCGTTGTCATGCAGGCTTGTACATTACCTTAATCACCCTTCTCTAAACCGCTACTACACCAGCGCTGAGAGCACACAACACGTAGCTGACCGCCTCCGCCCAATTAGACTGCCGCTGTCTCGCCGCGACAGGTCATCGAGTTATCAACCCGTCTATATACGGACACGAAAAGGGGATCAATTTGGCCGAGATGATGAGCGATATCCCATTCGGCCTGGAGAGCGGGAAGACCGGCTCGTTCATCGACAACGTGTTGACAATGGGAATTGCGAAGCTGGGCTGGATTGTCGTTTGAGGCTTTGAGAGCCCCTTCTCCGTCAGTGTGTCAGATGTCAGATCTCAGATCTCAGATCTCGTACGACAGTCCCTGAACCAGTTGTTGATGCAGTTGGACGCACGGTTGGGGTTGGTTTCAGGGTTTGGATACGAGAAGGGCAAGGGTCGCGGGTGGTATTTTGTTTACCATGGCAACCGCTACTTTTCTTCCGCCTTTTCATACTACCATCATTGCAATTGCTTCTATTTCTGATCGCGTATACCGAATGGAAGATTTGGAATGCGATTGCACCCATCCTTCCCACTATCTTCGTCCGTTGCAGTCTGCACAGGTTCTTCGAACGCCGAGATCGTAGCACCTTGGCAGTTGTCGCCAATCCTTACAATCACCACTGCCATTACCGTCGATATAGCCCTCAATTTGCACCAATTCCACTGTATAGCAGGACACGGATGCGATAATTGCTCTTTCTCGCTCGCTCCACCGCGGGCACAATCACAATGCCAAACCCCCTCCGAGCGGCCAAGCGCCATCGGTATACCTCGCTTCATCCCGCCGCAGACAGCAGCGACGACGACGATCTCGCCGACATCGAAAAGCGGCACTCCCTCGATGAGTTCGACCGCTTCTCCACGCCCAGCTCCGCCTACTCCTCCCGCGCCTCCTCGGGCGTCCAGCAGCCCATGTTTCCCTCCTCCCAGCGCCGCTCCTCCTCCGCATCGCGGAAAGCGCATACACAACATAATGCGCCGAGCTTCTTTGCGTATAGGGGCCCACGCCGGTTTTCGAGATATTTTACCTTCGTGCTTGGGAGTATAATTGTTGTCTTTATACTTACGCTTACGAGACTGAGCTGGGCGAGTGCGAGAAATGTGGAGTTGGGGCTGGGAAGGTCGCCTCCGAAACCGCCGATATGGGAAGCGTTTCCGTTTTTGAAGAGGTATCATGGTGGGATCAGAACACTGGTGCCTAAGGAACTGAATGTGCCTGAGTATCCGCGAAAGGGGGATGAGGTTGCGGCAGGAGAAGAGGCGCAGGCTGGGGAGCCGTATGAGGAGGTTGCGGCAGGGGGCTTGCCGCCGAGTCAGATATTCCATCCTTATGGAAAGAAAGAGGAGGAGGGTTATGGCGCAATACAGGAGTGTTTCTTGGATGAGGAGAAGAGGAGGATACCGAGGACGCGGGTGTACAACGGTGTTGTAAAGGGGCAACCGGATAATATCATGGGATCCTATGAACTGCTTGGTTTAAGAAATGATGTCTGCTTTGAGAGGTATGGGAGGTTGGGGCCATATGGTTACGGCTACAGCAGGAAGCTCGGCGGCAGTGGAGCCGGCATGGAGGGTGACAGGGAAGGGGTCGAGCAGATCTGGGAAGACGGAACAGAAGTTGACTTCAGAGCGGTCAGCTGGAAGAAGGTGCAGGACCGCTGTCTGACGGCGAATGAACACAGGTTCAAAGCCAAGCCGAAGGGCCGTAACCATTCTTATCAAGCGATGGCAGATGGTGGGCCGGACCCCCAAGCCCTGTCATCTGAATCTGGGAGTACTAAAGAGCTCCTCGGGACCCGGGGCGATACTGAGCGGTCAAGTTCCGACAGACTCGCGGCGCTTATGGACGCTACCAGTAATAACACTGTGCCCGTGCGATCGCAGCAGGCGCCTGACAAGCTCCTCCTTAGGACAGCGATCTTGATCCGGACGTGGCACGACTACCAATACGATGATGAAGACCTGATCTTCTTGCGCTCACTCATCTCCGAGCTCACCATCCACTCCGGAGGCGAATACGTTCTCCACTTCCTCATTCACGTCAAGGATGACAACCTACCTATCTGGTCTGATGACGCTACTCACCAGCGCGTCCTGGATGACTCGCTCCCAAAAGAGTTCCGCGGCATGGGAACGCTCTGGACCGAAAGACAAATGGGCCTCCTCTACGGCGGGCTCGAGGAGTCCTTCTACCGCAATCTCCCCGTGCACGGCGCCTACCGCAGCACATTCATGCCCGTACAGTACTTCGCCCACCAGCACCCCGAATACGACTTCTTCTGGCACTGGGAGATGGACGTCCGCTACACAGGGCATTACTATCACCTCCTCTCCCAAATATCCTCCTGGGCAAAGCAACAACCCCGCAAGGGCCTCTGGGAGCGCAACACCCGCTTCTACGTCCCCTCTGAACACGGCACCTGGGACGACTTCAAGCACATGGTGCGCGTCCAGACCGAGCACGGCACTAACTCTAAAGCAAACATCTGGGCAGACCTCGCGGCCAAGAACCCCAATATCCCCGACTCCGTCAAGAACGAGCAACTGACCGGCCCGGAGAAGCCGATCTGGGGTCCCGAACCACCTCTCGATAACGAGCTGGCCGATAGCTCGAACGACCCCGTACCGCCACACAGCTACAAAGAAGACCAGGACACCTGGGGCGTCGGCGAAGACGCCGATCTCATAACCTTCAACCCTCTCTTCGACCCTGCGGGCACGAACTGGATCCTCGCGGAAGACGTGACGGGCTATAACACCACGCGCGGCCTCCCACCCCGCCGCACCGTCATCAATACCACTGGTCGTCTGTCGCGCAGGCTGCTGTTGACTATGCACGCCGAGACGGCGCTGAAGCGGCATTCCATGTTCTCTGAGATGTGGCCTGGGACAGTGGCGCTGCATCATGGCTACAAAGCTGTTTATGCGCCGCATCCCGTCTTCATTGACCGCCGCTGGCCGACTGCGTTGCTGGCGGCGACGTTCAATGGCGGGCGGAATGGCGCGGCGGGTGGGGCGAGGACGTCTGTCTTCTCGGACGAGCGGCAGCATAACTTCATTGGAAGCAGCTGGTACTACCATTCCGGATTTGCACCGAACTTGTGGAAGAGGTGGCTCGGTTTTAAGGTGGATAACGACGGCGGGGAGGAGTTTGAGGAGGCTTTTGAGGGTAGGATGTGTTTGCCGGGGATACTCTTGCATCCGGTCAAGCAGGTCGATTTGGTATTTGAACATACGGCTGAGGAGGCTTAGATGTAGATCAACAAGATGTTATGGGCGTTTCTTGGGATTAGCGAATGTGTATAGGGGGCTCTGTCTTTCGAACTTTGGAAGTTTTGATACCTGTAAGCATCTTGTTGGGTAGTGTTGTATATATCTTCCTTGTGGGGATGTAGACACTGTGGATACACTTTGCTTTCTATACAAGTGACGGGCCTTGTAAACCCTTTCTTGTAAGCTCGGAGCAGTGTTAGGAGGATCGCATATGGATTCTCGCTTGCTCGTTTGAGCAGGGAATCAAATGTAGCCTTGTCGAAGCGCAAACGCCAAGGGCCATCCGAAATGTGCGTTGCCGCATTGCAAGTTCCTCTTAGTCCTAGAGGTGGACAGCGAAAAGATCAGTCTGCAGGTTAGAAACACCTTATATAATTGGTGCTTTAAGAGATTAAACTGCCAGATATCTTTTAGTCTCCATCGCATGGAATTAGTCTCGCTGCTCTACGATCGACAAGATCAAGAGTCTAGTTTGATGGTGAATCTGATTGAAGAAGCCACCAGCCGAGAAGCGGCAACCTTCTTTTCAGTTGGCCCTTGGGCGCGAATTTAGTTGTCGACAGGCTGTCAGAAACCCCAGAGTACAAGAGCAGGCAACCTGAATTACCTATCCTACGCTATCCATGTGTTCCCCTAGGCGCCGTTCTAGCCAGGTCCTTACGTCTTCAACTTGCATTCCCCTCCGCTCATTCCAGCTCTCTTCTTTCGACCACGAGACGCCTTTCCCTTTGGCAAACACTAACCTATATTTGTCCATCATACTTCCCTCCTTCACTTTCCTTCCCAGCTCCTCGGTCGTATATAACTCCCGTGCAAGCGTCTTCTCAGTAACCGCATCCACAACATTCGCTAGCCGAGCATAGCTTATTGTCTCCCCCGCCGTATACACGACCTTATCTTCGACGTTGATGTCCATCGCCACCTCCGCCGTGATGCGTCCAATATCCTCAACCGCCGTGACCGTGACTGCACTGTCCCAACTTCCCAGCGCGTGGACCATGACCTCGGCATCATCCTGCACCTCCACTTCCCCCTCCCCATCACCATGTTCGCTGCCGCTCAGGTGAAGACCAGTCACCACACCAAACGCCTCCTCGAACAGAAAACTCATGAACATTCCCGTGCTGATAACCGTCCACCCCGTTCGCCGTCCCCCTTTCTGACCTCGAAGCAAGTCTCTAATGTCCAGCTGCTCATCAAACAACTCCATCCCGCTCCCCCTGCCGACAACATCGTAATCGATGCCGAACTGCCAGGGGATGTAGCGCTTGACACCCGCCTCGAGCACCGCTCGCGCGATTTTGACTTGCGTTCCGGCGGGGCAACCAAAGCCCATGCAGCCGATTACCACGTCAAAGGGTTTGATGCTGGAAGAGAGCTCGGAGACGGTGGAGGTGACGATGTCACCGGGGATAGGTGAGACGTTGAGGCGGCGCAGCTCATCATGAACGCGGGCTTGGGAAGCGGTGGGGGAGGAGAGGGATGAGGGCCGGAGGAGGACGGATAGATGAGTCCGGTGGGATTGGATCAAATGATGCTGGGAGAGGGCACGCAGGACTGAGAGGCCAAGCTCGCCGGCACCGAGGACGAGGATGCTCATAGCGGGTTGAAGAAATCCTTCAGAGGACATGTTAGCAAGTAGGATTGTGTGCGTGACAGCCCACAGAGGACGTGGGGGAGGAATAGAAGTGTAGTATAAAGGTGATCTTATATCAAGTAGATGAACATGGAGTACGGAGGTAGGGGCGTATCTCCGTGGCTCTGCTGATCCTCTTGCAGATCTATGAGTAATGCGAGCACCAGTCTGACGGGCATTATCACATACTGTGTATGCCCGGTATGCTCTTAGCAAGGGCTAATGGAAGGCGAGACGGAGATGTCGGATATTATAAACCTATGCTTATCTCAGCACTAATGCACTGCCTTATAGAATACCATTCGGGACACCGCCACAAAGGTAGAGAAGTGATGGAACCCAGAGATCGCAAGCCTCACTGATTCTTTTTTACTCCTTCTCATATGCAAGAGGAAAGACGTTCATATCCGGATCCTCGTGCTCGACGAACGGTTTCTCCTTATCATGGCGGAACAGATCACCCTTCTAGTACACGAGTGAGAGAACAAACTTTCTTTACTGTTTTAGTAAAATCGTATCCTATGCTCGAAGCTGAGAGCTCACAGCTCGGCCGACCAAGGCTTTCCAGACAAACATAAATCGTCAATCAGGCGCAACGGCCCTCGCTGCCGCGATCTTCATGAGTACGTGTCAGAGCAATCGCTTTTGGGTATCTTGCTTATCGAAGCCGCCCAAATCCCTGCTCGTTACTGCTCTCTAGAACAACAAGCCCCCGAGCATCGCTCCGCCAAGGATACCACCCGCCAGCGGCAGCCCCAAGCCACCCCCATAACCGTAACTAGCGTTTAAGTTAGCTAGGGTATCATGTTTGTTACCCGGGTTGGGTTATAACATACCCGTAGGGCCGCCTATACGGCACCTGCGGCCTATAGAACCTCGCGTTCGGATCCGCGTACGGACCCTGTGCATACGGGTTGTACCCGTACGCACCCATCGGTGCCATGGCCCCGTACGGCGGCTCAATGTACACATCCCGACCCTGATGGTCCTTGCCAACGTACTGCGGCTGCCCGGTCTCGATAGCTCGGGCCATGGCCTGGCGCGCAGCGAGATGGGCGCGATACGCTTTGCGCTCTTCCTCCTCGCGGCGGCGGCGGCCCGCTTCACGCTCCTCGTGACTGGAACTGGTGAGTTTGTCCTTGAGGCGGCGCCCGAAGCGGTGAACACCGCCGATGTCTTCGCCTCCTGTGGTGGCCGTAGAGCCTTTGCGGGCGGAGCTGGGCCCGGCTTCGTCATCGCTGCTCTCGGCTTCGATGTCCTTCATGCTGACACTCCGCTGCAGACGGGTAATGTGCTCGCGTTCGTAGGGTGGGAGGGTGGCAAGGTACTCGTCATCATCGTAGGGATGGTGCCAGATCGAGCGCGGGGGGTCAGTCTTGGTGTCGACGAAGAATTGATGGTTGGTTTTGGAGTCGAATTGGCGGATCCAGCCTGGTGGAAGCGGGCGCGCCTCGTCTTCCATGCTGCGACGGTGCTCGGGCGGGATGCCATTGCGGGTTGCGTAGGCTTTGGAGGAGTCGGCAACGGTGTCGTAGGAAGGTGGTGCGTCAGTGGGAGTGGTCATCTTGAGTTTATTGTTGGGTTTTGCGTAAAGGATGTGCGCAGGTTTGGAGACTTTATGTAGTTGTCAAGGGGGCTGTGTGATATGAGGAGTCGAAGATGCACTGCCTTTGCGAGGCGGTTGTCCAAATGCCAACCACATGACGTAACCAAGTCGTTGGTCTTCTGGCATGTGCGACTGGCTGTGGCGGTGCAGTATCAGCACAGCCTCAGTGAGTCCTCTCTTCTAACATCTGTACAACCGATTGCACTTCCTCTCATGCCAAATTGATGTTTATGTGCTCGACCGGGATTCTGCGGTAGGCGGCGCCACGATGTGGCGTTGAGGCTCTGCAATCCCTGTGGAGATCTGAGCAGCAGGGGTAAACCTTCTTCGCTGTCACGAACAGCCATTAACGGATATCACGATATTCCTGCATCCCTACATCTGGCATATTCATATCCCTGCTCAGACTATACGGACTCAATCTCAGGTCCAGTTATCTTCGCTTGGACCACGGTGCAAGAAGCTTTACACGATCTACAACAAGATCACCGCTCCTTACAAGTAATACGAACTTCCCTGTCTTATGGCTCTGAATCCATATGCTACCGTAGCAGCTTCCTCGGCCGCATATAGTATCCTTCTGCGATCCCTCATTGGTAACGAGCAACCTTCTACGCGGATCAGACTATGCATCAAGGTCATCTCTACCCTCCACTCGGCCGCCACTGCTCTCATTGTACTCTACGCCCTAAAACCTTCTCGATGGACAAATGAAGTGGCTTTATCCACCAATCCAGAAGCTGGTCAGGGAAACTTGGACGAGTCAGAGAACCCAGTGATCAGGGGCCGCTCATCACTCGCAAATGCACTTACGGCATGGGAAACGGGGTACCTACTGTACGACACCGGCGCGCTTATCTATGAGACAAAGCAAAAGAGACAGCTGAACAACCATACTGCTGCACTAGCTTCTCTTGCAAGTTCCTCGCCTGTTCTCCTCGCACACCACATGCTACTTGCCGCCGCCCTGGGATACCTTCAAACCTACATCGCCGCAGGCCGTGAGAGAGGCGTGTGGGTCATTGTAGCCTTTCTGCTCATGAACGCCAGTAATCCAGTGCTGCACATCAGGTACTGGATTAGGCAGAGACGCGGCAGGCCGAGTCTCATCGCGGACATCATACTTATGCTGACTTTCGCTGCTTTTCGGTTTGGCACTGTCGGGTGGGTTCTTAAACGGTATGGAGACTACCATGGACTTGGCCCATGGCAAGCGTTCTTGAGGCTCAGGAGGTCATGCCAAATCGGCACGGCGGCCTTGGTCGGCGTGAACGGAGTCTGGTGGCTGACGCTGGTCAGAAGCATTGTCAGGCGAGCACTGATGGATGGCAGAAAGAGAAACAGCATGCTTGGTTCTATCTGAACTAGACCTTTTCAATGATGCCGTACCCCTTCAAGATTCAGGAACGCTTCGAAAATTTACGTGTACCTAGCTACCAGCGCCGATGGTAGAATGTATGCGGACGAAAACAGGATCAGCGGGATGCTGGGTCGGCAACTGTTTCATGTCCTTGGCCCAGTCCTGTACGTCTATACTATCGTTCTTCACCCACCCGAGCCATCCCTTGACGCCCGGTCGCTCGATCTCGCCGTCCATCCTGGCTCCTGAGTCAATGAGCGTTGTGGCTACCTTAAGCGCAAGGTCTCGGATCAAATCTCGGCCCAGACAAGTTTTCCGCCCTGCGCCAAAGGCTATGCTGCTGGCGACACTTCCATCTATATACCGATCAGGCACAAACCGATCCCAGGTCTCCCCGATCGCAACAGGATCCCGACCTCCGCCGACGAAGTACAGCCAGACGTCCCATCCGCCAGGGATCTGTATATCTGGCTCACCTTGGGGCGTCGAAATCACGGTCTCGCGCATGGATCGGCGCATGACACCCACAATCGGTGGGCTGAGTCGCTCGGTCTCTAGCAGTATGCTTCTCAGTATTCGTGCCTGATCCCCTTCGTCCGTGCAATCAAGGCTTGACGCGAGACCTGGATTATCGTTCCACGGGAAAAGAAAGAGATTCAGCAAGAACGCTGTCAACAATGACGCCAGCGCCTTGACAGCAAGACTGCTAGTGAACAGCAGCACATGGTTTGCAACGTCTTCCAGCTGGACGGTATTAGCATGTGCAAACGGACACGCCCCGGCCTGCTTCTCCAGCCGCGTGGCTATGATCTTCTGAAGCTTCTCCTTAGCGGTGATGCCCTTCTTTCTCGGGCTCTTCCACACGCCTGTATTGATGCTCACTGGCATCAACGAGAACTGTCCGCGAAGCAACTCCTCCTGCAACTGCTCAATCTCCGCGAATTCCGTATCTTCAGCTTTAAGGCCCAGAAACATCCCAAGCAGGATTTTCCAGCACATTGTCTTCAGCCAGTCGTAGAGGTCGATCTCCGAGTCGAACGGCACCGATCCGAGATGCACCTTTGTGACCTCTCCCACCACCTCTGTAAGTCCGCTCGGCAGCTCTCTCATCCTCTGTTCCCACCCCTCCCGCATTTGCGCATGGCCCATCCCATCCGCCAACAGCAAATTCGGGCTAGGGAAGAACGCCGCCATTAACTCGTCATAGGCTTCGCTGGCCGTGTAAGCTGGCTCCCCACCGTCTCCCCTGTCACGCAGGACCTGCTGGATCTGCGCATGCGACGAAACGATCGCGACGTTGCGGTTTAAAATCTTGGCTCTAACCACTGCGCGCGAATTGATCAGGTTGGGGTGGGCGCGCTGGAACTCTAGTACTTTGGTGGTGATGAAGGCTTCGGGCGAGGAGTGGAAGGAGAGGTTCTGCGAGAGGCCGCGTAGTGTGGAGGATGTGCCGGCGGGCAGTTGAGGCGGTGGATCTGCCATTGCTGAGTATCACGGTAACTTAAGCGTCCGATTGTCAAGGGAAGGACGGTGTTGCGCCTGCTCTTTGCCGTATTCAGCACAATCTTGCGGTAAGCTGGATTGCGACCGTCATCTTACGGTATCAGAACACCGAGATCAATTCTTTACACAGGATTGCTTAGGCAATCGATGCATGAAGTCGTTCGACTGCTGAATGACCTGATTGTATTTTCGCGTGCATACCAGTGTAATGATATTTTCTTATGGTATAATAACGATGTTAAGCTCGATTACAAACTCAAGTTTTTTCTAGGTAACATGGTAAAGATATCATGGACGTTGCTTTCTGGGGCCGGAATTCATGTACATTTATGAGTGCTTAAGCGCTGTGACATCACTTAAGATTTAAAGTTGGCAGCAAGCGGGAGATCGACAAGATGTAACGTGGGGTAGATTTCCCGCTTCAGATTCCAACTGCATCGTCAGAATCTATTTTCCCACCACAAGTTACAAACAATGGCTTCGGGCATCGATACCAAAGACGATGTACACCGATCTACAGACCAGCAGCACAACGGTAATGTCTTCGAAACCCCTCCCCCGAAGCCCGCCAGCCTCGTCCGTCACCTCCACACCTACCTCTCCATCGCCCTCCTCTTCCTCAACTACTTCCTCGCCCAATACGACAAGTTCATCCTGTCCTACTTCCAATCCTCAGTCCTACGCAGCCTTTCCATGAACTCCACGCAATACGCCCTCATCTCCGGCTACGCGACCGGCATCGTGTATGCGCTGCTCGCGCTGCCGATAGCGTATATCGCCGACTACACTCAGGCGCGGGTCTGGGTGCTCAGCGTCGCGGCGACGTGGTGGAGTCTGTGTGTCATTTTCCAGGGGCTTGCGCACAGTTTTTGGCAGTTGTTTTGCGCAAGGATCGGGATGGGCGTTGGACAGAGCTGTGTGGAGGCGCTGTCGGTCAGCTTGATCTCGGATCTGGTGGGTTGGAAGAACGTCTTTGTAGGCACGAGCGTACTGTACGTAGGCGTGTACATTGGTGAGGCAGTGTCAGGTCAAATTGCCACCGCTTTTACCAAGACGGGCCAGAGCTGGCAGGTTGCGATGCGGGCGATTGGAATTGTAGGCATTGTTATTGCAGTTCTGATCAGACTGGTGTTGAGGGAACCTCGCAGAAGGGCGAGCCTGGTGCAATTGGGGCGGTGTGATGGGAATGCTACCGGTGATACGTCTCTCGATGGCGCTGGTGCCGTTCCACATACGAGAGGTTCGAAGTTGAGAGCCGCTCGATCCGATTTTCTTGCCTCTCTGAACTACATTCTCCGCATGCGCTCCTTCTGGCTGTTGGTGTTATCTGCTGCCTTCCGCCAGTTGTCGGGATACGTTTTCGGCTACTACATGCCGAGCTACCTTAGCAACACCTATCCATCTCACACAGAAATATACTCTCGCTACGGAATCATTGTCGGCGTCGTTGGTACGGTGACGGTCCTCAGCGGGGGCATCCTGACGTCGTTGCTGTGGCACAAGACCCAGTTGACACCGCTTTATATTACCGCAATTGGCGGGATGATCAGCAGCGTTTTCGTTTTGCTGATGATCTTCTCGAGGCAAATTGCAGGCGGTAATGAAGACCGAGGTATCCGAATCCTTTACAGTACTATGAGCATGGCCTACTTGACGGCAGAGCTTTGGCTTGGGGCGGTCTTCGGCCTGGTTGCTTTGTTGCTTCCGCCAGCGTACAAGACGTTCGGTCTTGCCATTTGGAGTTCAATCCAAGTTCTGGTCGCAAGTTCCGGGCCAGAAATCGTTGGCTTGGCGTTGAAAGATGTGGACTCGGAGAGTGCGGAGTACACAAAGGTCACGCAGATCGCTTTGGCCGTCATCATTCCTACAGGCTACTGGCTCGCTGGTGTTGGGTTCCTGTTGGCTTTGCCGTTGCTGAAGAGGGACCTGCGGCAGGACTTTGTGCAGAAGCTGAGCAGGCGTAGACGGTGCGGGTTCTGGGCGTTTGCCGGCATGCTTTGTATTGTGGTTTTAGTTCTTTTCACAACAAGCTTGGTCTATAGAGCTTGAAGCTGAAGACACTATAACGAGTAACTCTCTGACTGATTTAGGAGTGTCTCATGTGCGCGCCTTCTGTTTCTGTGCTTACGACTTGTGGCCCTTGGGGGCTGGTGCAGCTCTTTGTACTCATTTACCAGGCCGCGGAGATCTCTGGCAAGGCAGGGTGCAAGAAGATCTTTCAGCCAAGTCTTCCGATGACTCTTCAAGCCCAGCTGCTCCAGTAACATGTCTGTATACGGGACCATGTCGAAGTAAAGCCAATTGCCCAGTTCGCCCTTGCTCAGGTATCTCTTGCGGCACCATGCCACTGTGTCGGCTATCTCAGCATCTATATCTTCTGTTGAAGGAAAGCATACGTTGCCATCGAGGGCAGCCACAGCCCACAGAGCCTGCACCTCGGCGTTGCGGAAGTGGTTTCCAAGCATGAGCTTCCCGAGAAAGATGATGGAATGGTCATGCGGCGGCAGCATGCCCTTGTAAAGCCGGAACGGTGACAGCACGCCGGTGGGTGCTCGATGAGACGGTGGCTCCCGCAAAACGGGAAAGCGCTCGAGCGTTTTGATTTCTCCTTCTCGGTCCAGAGCTTGCCATCTAACAACCTCCTGCGGAGAACAGTAGTCCTGGTGCACCGGTAAGCCAAGCTGAGCGGCCGTCTCGTTGTCCAGATATGGATGGCATATCTTCCAGCCTGTGCAGTAAACGATAGCATCTGCAGCAACGGCCGTGCCGTCGTCCAGCACCAACCCCTCTTCGTTTATGCTGTGGATGTCTTGACGGATGACACGGACCTGGGTAGCAATCGTATCGAAGAAGTCAGCGCGCTGCACAATACCGGTGCTATCGTTCTGCCAGAATAGCGGCGTGTCAGGCTTCAGGTTGGCGAACCCATTCTTCTGCCCATCCAGTCTGTCAAACTTGGCCAGCTTCTGGGGACCGGCATTGATACCGGCCCAGATCCAGTTCCACAGTGCTCTCCCGGCTCTTGTAACGTACAGAAATTGAGTCCACCAGTTCTCAGAATGGAATGCACTGGCTAGAAAGGAAGCGGTGAGGCGGTTGTAGAAGGACTCATTCGAATTTCTGTATGGCCCCCGCCCTTGAGCTGGCACAAATGCTGCAGGGCCCGCGCCGGATTTGCGGATGATCCAAGTTACCTCCTTGTGGGATTTTGCGGCGGCGTACGCTACGTCGGCAGCAGATTTGGCCCCTCCAAGCACTACGATATCTTGATAGCGGCTATTCCTAAGAACGTCTGACTGACCAAAGTTCTTGTGATGCAGTGACAAGCTCCGGAATGCGTCTTTCCCGGGTATGTTTGGTATATGCGGCGTTGAAGTCAAGCCGGAGGCATCGATTACCTGAGGGGCGCTATAGATCGTCTTGCTGCCTTCGATGGCGACGGCCCATCGACCTCCATGCTTGCTCAACCTCTCTACCGGTGAGTTGAAATGGACCCTGTCAGCAATAGTGGTGCCGGCGTATTCACGACTTCGAGTGTAGTGTTCTAGGTATTTTGTCATATGTCGGGCCTTGAAGAATCCATAGTACTGATCGTCTTGAGGCACGTCTTCCAGGACTAGATCGGAAAACTCGGCCATTCCCAGCGGCGTTTGAGTGATAAAATCATTGTACATTCGCTCTGCGCTCCATACGCCGCCGACTGTCGCTGATGCTTCAAAGATGGCAACATTGTGGTGTGGGTGAACTTCAAGGTAGGTACGCGCGGCTGATATACCGTAAATGCCTAAGCCAATAATGATAAGATCGAAGTGTTGGTATTTCTCAGGCATATAGGCGAGTTGAAAGTAGGCTGTGTCTCTCTAGTTGCCTGTTCTCTAAGTTGAGTTCTAGTATCGTGATTCTTCGCGGTGCAAGGCTTGCGTGGAAAAGACGTGGCCACGCAAAAATTATGTTTAATCCACTAACACTCAACAACACTATCATATAGGCTTGCTTGTATCGGAATCATCGTTATTATATTCTTTTTGTATACGGCTAGCTTATTAAATCAATCCATATAGATTTGGCCTTGATGTGTGCGCTTGAATGGTAAGTAAATTAGCATAAGGTGGGGCGCCTCAGCCATTTTGCGTGGCCATCATTTTTCTGCATTGGCCTCGGTGGCGGGTTTGCTGACATCAAGGGTAGCCATAGCCCAAAGAGCCTGCACCTCGGCATTGCGGAAGTGATTTTCAAGCATAAGCTTCAAGACCGTGGACAGAATAATAATAGAAAGGTGTCGGTTAGTACAGGACAGCTCCATAAAGCCGTCCTTACAGATATATAAAGATAAATAGACGGGCATGATAGAGTCGCAGAAGGTACACACCATCGAGAAAACATAAGCGTTGCAAGAGAAACATATAAGACTACGGAGCTTCGAATCGTGCGAGTTGTATTAAACCCCTTACTACATATGCAGCGATCTGCTCCTGTATGCAGCCAAAGATCCCCCGATTTGTTACCTGACTGTTGGACGCATTGTGCAGGATGAATCCCCATCCTATTCGCCGTTATTCTTCAACTACGGTCTGGAGGTTTAGAGAGGCTCTGCACATATTGTGTTCTCATCAACAGTGGAGACCTACCGATCGAAGATGTCAGCACCTCAATAACTTAGTCTCCCGTAAGAAAGGCTACACGCCCGCATAGTCTAGGCCGAGCCTTGCAAAAAGAGTCCATAGTGAAAATATTGTACGAAGGAGCCGGAAAGACACCGCTCTCTTTGCCTATAATATAACCAAGTTGAACTGGGGCTTACTCCTGGCAAACTTCGGCCGGCCTCCAACTGCTTCTCGGTCAAGAAACAAAACCAAAGCAATAATCCCTCGTCTTCACTAATGTAATCGCCGATGTCTACGTCAGACCCTACGATTTGACGTATAGCAGCCGCTGTTTGTTTTGTTTCTTCGGTGTTCTTGCTGGAGGTCGGCCAGATGACATATTCAATGCGATTGCCGCTCGGGCTTCTTGTGAGTGGATCTCGGTGGACGGCGGTGGTAGGTGGAGTGGTGCCAGCCACGACTTGTGTGAGTGTTCAAGTGGTATTTTCCGCCTGGGAAGTTTCTGGAAACATGTGATGAAGAGTCCCAGGAAAGAGGTTTGACGTTACGTTGGAAGGTTCCGGCGTTTCCGCGACTTATTGTATGTAGTCCCCGCCTATATACCGTAAATGCCTGAGCCGATGATAATGATGATGATGAGATCGAAGTGTTAGTATTTCTTAGGCATATAGGCGAATTGGGAGAAGGCTATATCTCTCTAGTCGTCTGTTTTCTAAGTTGAATTCTAGCGTCGTGATCCTTCGCGGTGGCGGGTTTGCTGACGAGGCAGTCCCATTTCCATGACTGCTCTAGACAATCCACGTTAGAACACTCTTACCAGCTCGATTAAATATGGAGATAAACAGCAAGCTCTACATCCTTTACAACGCCGATGCATCTGTGATGGGCAAGCTTAAATATGGCTACCGAAAGCTCCGGACGTCGTCCGAGTCCGAGCCAGCGTGTGCAGCATGCAAGTTACAGGTGTCTCATTGCCCAGCCACGCAGCAACTTACAAGCGCTAGGCGACATCACTCATGGCGGGCTATCATTGAATGAGTCGCCGCAATGGCTGGAAGCGAAGCGAGAGATAGAGGGCAATTCTGAGCTCAGAGTGATTCAGTTGCACCGCGATGAGGTGTTTCCAGAGGTGGGTGTGGAAGTCTCGCAGTTCGAGTTGATTGCTGAATCTCTGTAGCTGAAGAGCTTTCTCGAGACGAATGGGCTGCGATATCCTCTGATTGTACTTGCTGATCACAAAGGAGAATTGGAGCAGGTTCTATCAAGCTCAGACCTCACTGCTTGCAAGGGTGATCCAAAGGCGATGGTTGCGAAGCTCAGGGACATAGGTTTGCTGCAAGCGCAACCTTCGTTATAAATATCTATCGAGAGGCATACATCGACATATCGAACAAGTTCACAGTTTTGTGATCAAGTTGTTACTTCAGAAAGGGCACAACCCAGACAACCCTTTGCGCTATGCCCACAGATACCAATACGACCATGAACCATGACAGCTCCCTCGCATACTGCGGATAAGCGAGCATCGCGGTAAAGATGATAGCGCTCTCCGTGCCCTCAATAAGCGCAGGCCGCATGGAGACGCTAGTCAACTCCTTGACGACGCTTTCCTTTCGCGCAGCCTTGCTCTTCTCGAGGATAGTTGCAATGTAGAACAAGACGAAATTGTTGATATGGAACGAAGCCTCCAGCATCGCGACTGCCAGCCAGCGACCATTTGGGAAAGGGATGCCTAACTTCTGCGCCGCCAGAGCGCAAGAAATAGGAATGGAGGAGTACACGATGAAATCACCGAGCAAATCGAGGAACCCTCCCAGATCTGAAACTTGATTACGGCGGCGAGCAACAGCCCCATCAAGACAATCAAGGACGCGATTGAGGGCCCAAAGCGTGAGGCTCATTCCAACGCTTCCTGTAGCAGCGCAGTAGCATCCCGAAATCCCAGCAATGAACGCAGCCAAAGTGATGTGTAGTGGCTTGACGGAGGCAGGTATAAGTTTGGTCAAGGGATCGAAGACGTTGTCTTTCAATGGCCGAAGGGTGATGTCTAGCATGTTGATGAATGTCGACGAAGCTGCCAAATTCTTGCCGTATGTCTCGAGAGGGTGTTTTCCTGCGCTCAACTGAATACCGGAAATTCCCTGCGGTGAGGTTTCCGGAGCCTTACTAAGCAGATCTCGGAATTCGGCTTGATCTTGACGTCAGTCACGATTTAGGATCTTGCGTCTGCAGGTACCGGCAATACAACATGGAGGTTCTATACTCAATCCTTTCATCACCGATATTCTTGAGGCCAGGGAGACGTTATGGTCAGCAAGAGCATGGAATGCCACAACGGGATGCTGACAACGGAGATTCGGGCAGCCCTGGGGACCCTTTTCATCACCGCGCTCGCATTTCCATTAATTTATCAGCCATTGCTTTCGTGGGTCTGGGATGAGCTTCGAGATACCCGATTTTACCGATGGTCTACCTTCGAGACGCTTTGGACGGTCTTTTGGTACGCCGCCATTGAAGTGTCTTTGACTGTTGTCTTCATGAAGAATCCAAGCTGGCGCTTTACAGTACAGGAGAGGGAGAAACGTCTCACTAGCGGAGATGGGGTCAGGACTCCAGGGCGTGCGAAAGGCATGAGGAGGCCATCGCGTCGGCTGAAAGAGATCGCTACCTACATTACGCCGCTTTTGCTGATGGATCTGACCATGATCAAGAAGTTTGCCGGTGTACCCCTGGAATCTATGCTTCTTTCTGGGAACTACGATCCGGCTGCTCTGACTGCTATGCACCGCAGCACCTTCCTCGTCCCGACGCTCCACAACATGACGGCTTCCTCGCCTCTTCAAACTCAGCGCGCTCTGCCTATCGGAGCGCCCAGCAGTCGTCGACTCGTACTCGAATTGCTCACCAGCCTCGTAATCTACGACGCGCTCTTCTTCCTCTTCCACCTTGCTCTGCACACCATACCACCGTTCCGCCGTCTACACGCTCCGCACCACCGTCATGCCGAGATCAATCCACAGATTACGAATCAGCTGCACGTTGTCGAGCGCCTTGGCTTGGTGCTGCTAGCGAACTTCAGCCTCAATATCATCGGCAGCCACGTGTTGACCCGTACGTTGTTCGTCCCGGTATTTGTATGGTTGTTAGTGGAGATACACAGCGGAATGGATTTGCCGTGGGGCTACGAGAAGATTCTGCCGCAAGGCTGGGGCGCCGGAGCAAGGAGACATATGATGCATCATACAAGAGCGGAAGGAGGGCTGGCACCTTACTTTACATGGTGCGATAGAGCACTTGCCGTTGTCAGTGATCCGTTTGGGAAACCGGCAGACGGCTGAATTACCTGGATACATTCTCCATGATGGCGAAAAGCGTTCTCCCCATCCAGCCCGCTGGTAGGGAGAAAGCGACGTGGAACATGTTCTTTGTGGATCGTCGGAACTTACGAGTCAGGGATAGAGTTGCAGCTACAAGAGTAGCGAAGCTGTATCAAGGGTCCGCGGGTGGCGGACTCAAGAGCCCAGGAGAGGACAGTGGAGTTGCAAGGAATATGTCAAGCCATTCACGGCTGCATACCCGCGCAGAACATCTCTCTGTCAAAGAATTCTTATCCGCTCTCCAGCGGAACCCGGCAGTGAGGAGAAACCTGGAAGGAGTTCAGCTTGCTTGGAGTTCCTAGGTAAAGAAAAGATTGGAGTGCGTAAGGCTCCCTTGCTGCCGAAACAGCTTGTTGATCCTGGAGTATTCACAGTTCTCATCTTCTGAGTCAATGCAGCACTGATTGGTGCAGGGATCAAAGCCTACCGGCAGTTTGTTTAGAGAGCCATTGTATGAGTACGAACAGTGCATTTGCCATGCGGCTTGCATGTGTTTGCCAGCGGATATGTCGCGAAACAGAGTTCATATAAACCCTTTCACGCATCTTCTCTTATCAGCGTCAACACGGCTGGATTCAAAGTGACCGTAACCGCAAAACCCAACTGTTACTCCGTTTGTTTGCCTTACAGCCGATCTGAGACTGCCTTCTTGGTCAGACTTCGCATCATTAAGAGGCCATGCTTACCTGTGCCAACACGATGCGTGTGTTGGACGGCAATATCACGTCATGCCCGAACTTAGCTCCATATGCATGCAACGGCTGTCTTTTAGTCCAGGTGGGTTGCTTCTTCTTGCACTGCGGAAGTCCATACGCTTACAGACTCAATCAAGTGTTGCAGCAGAGACTGTCAGAAAGCGCATTGGGGCGTGCACAAACCCGATTGCAGATCTCCACTGATGAATGCCACATGGAAACCAGCATGGCACACAGAAAAGCGACAGCCCCAATTTAACAGTATCGATCGTCCACCAACTGGACATACGCCATTTGGCAAGAAGAAATATCTAATGGGCAATGTCCCTGCCGTCGATCTCTTACGCCTTGAGAAGAATGAAGGAGTCGACGTCGCCCAAAACCTCCGTTTGCTTTTCGCAGGTACGTTTTGGCCTCACTGGCAAAGATACATCTGACTTAATTAAGCATCCGGGGATCTGAGAAACGCGGTCAAGACGCTGGCAGAACTCCAGACCGCTTACACCGGGCAATGCGAGGTTGTAATCAACGACCGAGACTTCGACATCGTAGCCAGGAACACGATTCTCCTCCTAGTAGTCCTACGGTAATAAACGCGTTATGATGATAAACGCGTTACGATAATACACGCGTTACGATGACAGTTGCTCGTCTATGACGAGTGACTACAGGGCTGCATATATCCATGTAGTGGGGGCGTTGATAACGACCCACCATTGGTCACGAATAGGTACCGTAGTACCCGTCAGACTCGAGGCGGTCGGCCTAATACCCATCCGATTCTCTCTGATTGGACGACAATCCCCCTTCCGGGCTGAATAGGGGAATGAAGTATAATTGCGGACCAAAATCGCTCCCATAGCGCCCGTCACCGGGACAGCGGCCGATCTACTCCCCAGTCGATAAGGCGATCATTTCTACCCTTTCGATGTTAATCTCTCTTCCTCCTCCTCCTCCTCCTCCTCTCTTCAACCATTCTTCCATCTTGCCTCAATCTTTTTCTTCCACACCCGCCCAAAGATGGAGCCAGACCGGGCTGCGATCCCCGTCGACGCCATAGTCAATTCCCCCACCTCGGACTCTTCCCATACTCCTCCTGGACAAGATATTGAGAGCGTCGTGAAGAATGAGAATGCTTCAGGCCAAGATCCCGCCAACGATGGCGAGCACCGCTACGACTATCCTACGGGCCTCAAGCTTGCCTCGATCCTGGCGGGCGCCACCATGGCATACTATCTCCTTTTCCTCGACCTGGCCATCATTTCCACCGCGACGCCCGCCATTACTACCGAATTCAACGCCTTAATAGACATCGGCTGGTACGCGGGTGCCTATCAACTGGCAAGCGCTGCCTTCCAGCCACTGAGTGGTAAGATCTACACCTATTTCTCCCTCAAGGTATGTCGACTGCCGCCCCTTCAGTCCACTCGCTTGACTGAGCCTAACTCTTCCCCAGTGGACCTTTCTTGCCTTCTTCTTCGTCTTTGAGCTGGGTTCGGCCATATGCGGTGCGGCACAATCGTCACCTATGTTCATTATCGGCCGCGCTATCGCCGGCCTTGGTTCTTCCGGTCTGTTTACTGGCTGTCTTACCACCATCGCCAATTGCGTCCCAAAAGAGCGGCGGCCGTTGTTTCAAGGAATCAACATAGGTATTGGCCAGCTTGGTCTTGCGTGCGGCCCCGTCCTCGGAGGTGCTTTCTCAACCCGCGTCTCATGGAGATGGTGCTTCTACATTAACCTACCCATCGGTGTTGTCGTTGCCCTTTGCCTCATCCTCAATAAAGTGCCAGAGGCAAGTGTCAAGCCTCCCTGGCGCCAAGTTCTCGGCACCGCCGTCAAGTCGCTAGACCTGGTCGGATTTGCCCTCGTTAGCCCGGCTGCGATCATGCTTTTGTTGGCCCTCCAGTTTGGCGGAAACCAGTATGCCTGGGACAGCTCGGTCGTCATTGGCCTGCTATGCGGAGCCGCTGCTGTCTTTACGCTCTTTTTATTCTGGGAACACCGAGAAGGGGACGGCGCAATGATCCCGTTTGCTTTTCTTAGAAGCCCTATCGTCCGATCAGCATCACTGACGCAATTCTTTACCCTCGGCGGCATTCTCATCGGCGACTTTTACCTGGCCATATTTTTTCAGGTTATCAAGAATGATTCGGCTCTGATGAGCGGCGTGCATTTGCTTCCGGTAACACTGGGCTTAGTCATATTTACTTTCGTCACTGGCGGCTTAATACAAGTCACGGGCTACTATCTACCCTGGATTCTAGCGGGTAGTGCCATCGCAACCGTTAGCTACGGCCTCATGTCAATGCTGAGCCCCGCAACTACCTTCGGGCAATGGTTCGGCTACTTATGCGTCTACGGTATCGGTAGCGGTCTGGGGAATTCAGCTGTAAGTTGCTTCTAATCAATTGCCGGGTCGTGCTCCAAATCTGACATCCCCCTACACATTTAGGCATACATCGCCGTCCAAGGCCTCGTTCCCCTGAAACAGATCCCCACGGCTATCGCGATCGTTATATTCGCCCAGAACATTGGCGCCGCCGTTTGGGTCGTCGTCGCTAACGCCATCTTTAACAACACCCTGCGCAAAGAACTGTCGCAGCGAGCGGCGCTCATCGGCTCCAGCCCCGAGGTTATCATCGAAGCTGGTGCCCGCAACATCCGCGCCGCGGGCCTGACCCCCTCTGAACTGGCCGCCGTCCTGGTGGCCTATGGCAAGGCGATTGATCGGACCATGTATCTCGGCATTGCCGTGTTCGGCAGCGTCATGCTTGTTGCATGGGAAATGGGCTTTAAGAACCTTAAAGAAGTCGAGAAGCTAAAGGAGCTCAAGGACGATAGCACATCAGAGGAGGGAACGGATGCCTTATCGGATGTCAAGCCTGTGGAGCAGGTACGCACGTGAGCCGGGAGGTCTGAAAGCAGAATAAGAATAATGACCGGGAGGTTTGCATCCGTATGGCCGCCATCGAACAGCGGTACGAGTATCCGGCTATAAGGAGCTTAATAATAAGATTATTAGTGTAGTTTAAGATATTTAGAGCCATCACCACCAAGCTTAAGAGTTTAGATAGATAATACTAGTGAGTTTAAAGCTTCACGACGATGGTGAGGTTAGTGAGTTGATGCGCTCACGGCCTAGGTCACTTTTGGTGAGGTTCGCTAACAAAATTGCTCAAGAACCAAGGTGGGGGCGCCGAACCGTGGCATGGCTGTATCCTGGGGAAAGCGCCTATTGCGAAAAACGATATCTACGGCGGTCTTTTCCTCCTTATTCAGGACACGCTCCAACGATTTTGCCACCGGATTGAGGGCCCCCAAGTCAAGTTTCAGCTGCTCCATGGTGATGCGCTGGCGCTTCCAAGCTCGATCGACGACAGTAAACACTCCTTTGATCGAATTGAGGTAGGATCGTGGGCCCAAAGCCTTGTGTTGCAGAGAGATTAGGCACTGACCCCTTCCAGCTCTCAAACATTGCGGATCTTGGCCGAGTCGGCCCAAAGGCTGCTCTCACGACATTCGGTCCGTTACTCAAACTACCAAGCGAGAATCCGCATGCGACTCTTCTCACACTGTTCCTCAACGCAGTGCACGAAGTGTTTACCGACGCCGACGACATCGACTCGCTACGGGAAGAAGTAGGCCGCCTACGATCCTACATGGTTCTGGATGCAGCCGCGGTTCTCGCCCGCGACAAGTTCAACGCAGACTACATAAGGTTTATGGATGCGCGTCGCGTGGTCCGAGACTTCGACGGTCTGTTCGATCGCTACATGTGCAACCTGCGCATCGGTGATATCGGTCAGGCCGCAGGGCTTAAGATGAGCTCAGATCACACTATTGTTCCTCCTTGGCCGATGCGACTTCGGCCCAATGCGACGCAACAAGAATTTGATCGCTTGCGCGCGTCAGGACACGTTGGATCTGAGCGGTACGTAGAGTGGAAAAGCGATTGGTAATCGGCTGGAAAGAGGAGCATGGTATAGGTCGTTCCATTCTCCGCAAAATGGTCTGTTATAGCAAACTAGCATACTATTAGACTGCCACTTCCAAACACCGATTATCGGATTGCCTTCTCTTACACTACTTAGGTTGATACCGGGTTTCTATTAACTTCAAATGGCTATAAAAAGTGCAGAGACATTCAACGACCCACGACTAGCGTTGTGCAGCGAGTTCTTCGTCGGCAGATACTCACGTATTCACAACCTGTATAGTCCTAGTAATCTTGTAAACAGTGGAAATAAGAATTTTTACCCGGTAACCTCCTGAAAGTCCCGCTACAACTATGCCACTTTCTCTTCTCAGTCATGACCCAAGAATAACCTGCGCATTACGGTTCTACCTGAGTGACAAGCCGAGCTGTAAGACGTCTCTCCCAACTCAACATCTAAAGGTTATTGTATCCCACCAATTACAAGCTGCTTTCGTGGGTACAACCGTCTGGATCCTATTCGAACTTAATTAGCAAGGGCATCTCACATCCTCTCACCAAGATCCGCAAGGAGATACCTACGCAAAGCTCTCAAATGGCACGCCTCGCAACTTCCTCATCTCCTTCCCCTTCGTTCGAACAACTTCCCAGCCCTCCGGCACAAAGCTGACTGTCGCCCACGACTCAATCATGCGCCTCCAATAGCAAGCCTGCGCCGCCGGCGACAAAAACCTGTCTCGGAATACATTTGCGCTGCGATCTGCTATTCGTCTTGCTCTTGTTGGATCCGCTAAGAGTTCTAGCATCTTCGAGTCAAGATCGGAGAAGTCGCGTTCGACTTCAACATAGTGCTGCTCCGGTCCTGATGGGACAAGCAGTCCATGGTACGGCTCGATCCATTCGCGCTTGTGCATGACGAAAACAGAACGGCAGTTCAAGAGGTACTTCCCGCGGCCGGAGAAGCTGCGTCCTGTACTCCCACACCTCGTCAGCTAAGGATACCTGCGGGCATGAACATCCAAAGGCGAAGTAATCCCTCGTATTTTCATGCCCGCTGCTCCAGACAGTGCACACGAGAGATGCTTACCCTCTGTCTGTATGACGAACTGATACGCGCAATGCTCCGCCATCGAGAGTGCCGTAGCCGCAGATTCAGCGCGCAAATCCGTGCTGTTGTTCCAGAACACCTCCTGTACATCCGCCCAGCTCTGGCCCCTCGTGGCCTCCAAAAGATCCGCCCTCAGCTTGTTCGTCTTCGCCGCTCCGCGCCATACCGCCTTTGGCGTCTTCTTGTCCCAATCAACCTCGTTCTCCATGATCTCAGCGCGGATCTGGCTGTAGCTGCCAACGAGCTCGAGCGGCCACGACCAGTATCCGAAATCAGGCATCAGCCATGTCGCTTCGTCGGAGGTTAGGCGGGAGAGCGCCCAGATAGTATGATCAGCGTGGGAGGCATCGGCAATGTCGGAGACGGAGAAGGAAAATTCGACATCTGGGATGAGCTCGGAGGGGGCGATTGCAGTAATGGCGCGGTTGAGAGCGTGGAGGACGGCGAGAGCACGAGTGGCGCCGAAGCCTGAGCCGGAAAACTTGGCTTCAAGAATGTACAGCTGTCGTTATCGTAGTGAGCCAGTATGTTCCACGCAGGCCGAGATATTGATAGTTTTGAGGATGCGTAGGCATTTTACCTGCCGGTCATAGACAAGAGCCCTCACTGCATCGTCTTTCTTCCACTCCAAGTTAATATCGGCAGGGGTGACACTTCCGATCTTCTGCCTGTGTGCAACGGCGCGGTCGGTTTCGCTGAAGAGCTCAGCAAACGCGGCCGCGCATTGGGAGGCAGTGAGGCCATAGTTTCGGGCGTCTTTTGTGGCGTTGAACTGCCAGTGCACCATATCACCGGGATTGATTGCCGTGGGTAGTCTGTGTTCTGTCATAGTCGGTCGCCAGCCTACGTGTGTGTCCGTGGAGGGCCTATTAGTCGTAAGGCTGGGAAACTCGCCATGAGAGGTCTTGATCGTAGCGGCATGGTCCATGACAGTAGTTATCGCAGGCAAGCCGGCCACACACGACGAGTCCCGTGTGGCTTCAGGCCTTTTAGGTGAAAGAAGAGTGCCGGGTATAAGGGTTGAGATACGCGCCCCATATCTAAGATGCAGTCTGGCTCCAGTTGATAGAATCAGGATGACTAAGGTGAAGAATGCAATCAAGAGCAATGTCCCTCGTCGCAGATGATAACTTGACGCCATAGTATTTGAGCTGAACAATAACCACATTCACATTCTCCGCAAGGTATTGAAAGACAGGACCTGGTGGAAAAGGCGAGTGAGGGAAATATAGCCGCCTACCTAAGCTGTGCCCCAGGGCGGCGTAGGCATGAGCGCGCTTAACACAGCCATCATACGGATACATTCCGCGCGACAAAATCCAGAACTTAGAGAGAACATTGTGAGTTCCGAAGGAAGCGATGAAGCGATGTACGAACTACGGCAACAGCTCTACTGTCTGCTCGACTGTCAAGGTGCAGTCAAGACGGTGAAGTGCCGCAAGGGGTCCAAGACAACTAAATATGGCATCACGTGAGCGGTGGCACAGCAAACGTTTATATGGCGTGGCTTCGCAGGTTCGCCGGCTCAGTTCTCCACAATCTGACAGATATCTCGCTGCAGCCCGAGATATAGGGATCTTATGGAATTACTTCATTCTCGTTTGTACTGTTGTACAAACCTTAACTCCAAGAAATGTCATTTGAAGCAGACTTAGCTAAGGAACTGGGGCCAGAGCCCGATTACTCAGGCATGACAGAGGAATGGATCAAGAGTTGGAAAGGTATGCAACTAATCACAGAAGTCAACGTAAGTAGTCTAGTATTAGAAGCTCGCTTCGCTTCTCCATCAGATAGTAACATTAGCTTATCTATAGTTCCGTCTATCCAAATCCCCTGTTGCGTTCCAACAGAATCAAGACCTGATGGAACGCTTCTTCTGGGACGAAGGCTCCGTGAAGGAGTACCAGAATGGCTTGAGACACATCTTTACCGGCCAGCCAGAGCTCAGGGCAAAATTCGCCACTTTTCTCGAAGCGCCTATCGAGACCCCGGCTCAGCAGGAAGAGGCAAAAGCGCGGCTTTGCGAAATTGTTGGTATCGCAGGGCAGATGCGACGCAAGCAAGAGTTCGTGAGCAACATGGAAACTAAGTTCTTTCAAGCCATAAAGGTACCCAAGCTCCGCATCGATTCCTTCCGCAATGTTATGGTCATGTCACTCATAGACCGGGATAGACACGCCTCGGGCACGTAGACGTGCTTGAGGAGTACGTAGATGATACGGTGTTTCCTGGGTTGCGTTGGAAGAAGGATTGGACGCAGGAATCTAAAGACGTGTTCTTTACGAAACTGGCCGAGGCAATTAAGGACGAGCCGGATCTTCTGGAGCGCTTGGAGACCGTCTGGCACGGATGGGGCTTTGAAAACATGAACTGAGTCAAGGCCGCAGCCTGGGGCGAGGATTATGGCACTATGAGCTCCATAAATACATATTCTGTTGAGTAATTCTTCCGAATCTTAGAAAGGGGGCTTATGCGCGCTTTTTTTTTGGGTGAATGAGCCGTTTGGGATGTTAGCTAGAAGAATTACCGTCAAGCACTAAGCAAAGTTCGACATGGATTCAGCAAGGACTTTTCTGATCAAGCACCCACCATTACACCATTTTGCCATCAGCTGCTACCTAGGTAGCCGCAGTGGGCAGTGTTGTACAATCATAAAGCCATTTTCGTTCCACTCATTACCATCTCTCTCCGATATCCCCCATGCCACCGACATCGCCTCTTGACGGTTCCTAACCATTCACGATAGTACCGCCATTGGGATGCAGCGTCTGGCCTGAGATAGACGAGCTATCCGTAGAAGCCAAGAAGACGAAGCAGGTCGCGATCTCGCTGGGCTGGCTAGGCCGACCCATCGGTGACGTGAACTCCTTCATCGCCTCGTCGGTCATGGTACTCGGGATGAGCGGCGTCCAGACAGGGCCGGGCGCGACAGCGTTGACGCGGATGCCGCGGCCTACGTACTGGTTTGAGAGACCGCGGGTGAAGGCGACGATGGCGCCCTGTGGACTTCCGTCAACGGAGCTACTTTGGGTGGGGTTCGGTCAATAAACTTACCTTTGTAGAGGTGTAGTCAAGCAAGTCGGGACGGCCGATGTAGGCGTTGATGGAGGCGTTGTTGATGATCGTATCTCCTCTCTTCATGTGGGGAAGGGTGTACTTGGCGAGGTAGAAGTAAGGATGAATGTTGGTGTTGAACGTCTTGATCCACTGGTCCCTGTTGACAGTGTTAGCGTGTACTACGGCACGGGGACGATGAGCGGAAAATACTACTTACTCGGGCAAATCCTTGATGTCCTGCTGCATCATCTGGAACGCCGCATTGTTGACAAGAATGTTGATGCTGCCCATCTTCTCGAGCGCGGCTTCAACCACTGCCTTGCAGTTCTCTTTGGATGTCAAATCCGTAGCGTGGAGGTAGCACTTCCGGCCGTACTCTTCCACCTTCTTTTTCGTCTCTTGAGCGTCTTTCTCCTCTTCAGGCAGGTAGACGATGAAGCTATCTGCGCCTTCCATCGCAAACAACTGAGATCAGTCAGTAGTGCCCGTAGGACGGGATGTGGTATGACACGTACGATAGCGATGGAGCGGCCAATGCCCGAATCACCGCCAGTGATCAGTGCCTTGCGGCCTTCAAGCTTGCCGGCCGCCTTGTAGAGCTGGGAACCGCCCTCTGGGGTAGGAATGCGATCGCTCAGTGGTTGAGGTCCCATTTCGGACTGCAGGCCGGGAACCTTCTGATGAAAGACGGGGACTGTGAAGCCTAGGATGCACAGTCAGTTGAGTGAGGTAGAGTTAATTGCAACAATAGAGGTCAACGTACCTGACTCAAATTCTCCGGGTTTATCGCCAGAACCGGAGCCGGTCACCGACTTGGCCGCATCCTTGATGGTTTCCATTGCCTGATGATTTTTCCTGTCGAGTTCTTGATCTTACTATTTATCCCGTACGAAGTTTGCTGTTGGAGGAGGAAGATGTGAGGTAGGAACTGGAATACGAAGGGATAGCTTGCACTCAGAGCTCTCTAGAGTACGATGAGAGCAGCATTACATCATAGGCAAGAAACCCACAAAGTGGATCGTCGACGGCATGCGGCGGCATACGGCTGCATGCCATTTGACACGCCCAGAATCCACATCTGCATGTCGTCGGCAGAGCAAGCTAATCCGTCAAGAGAAGAGTCTGGACGTCGGTGACCTCCCCAGGACATCAGTAACCCCGCAATGGGTCAGCAACGGGCATACGATGCCCTTCAGCACGATTCAGAACGTCAAACGCTCAGTCAACCCCAATTTCGGTACTGCTTTCCCACGACAGCACCGTCACCGTCATGTGCAGGAGGCAGCTCCGGTAGGGTCTAGCGCGGCCTCGCAAGACTTAGACGGGAGCATATCGTTTAACCCACGCTTTCCACGCCGAAGCGGATGAAGCCGGCGCCGTTACAGAAATCTAGGCAGGCTGTCTTTTCTGAACAGCCCTCACTATCTCCACCGGGACCAGACTGACCGTCAACGAGGTCATGATAGATGAGGTCAGTGACAAGTTGATAGCCACAGCGGCGCTCGCTTCTTCCCGCAGACGATCCTAGCTAGCGCAATGCTAAACCGTGCAGCGGCGGCTTTCCGGATACAGGAACCCGCTCCATTGCTGCCAAAATCAGAAGTGGCAGTGAGTGCTATTAACAGTCCATGCAAATCCGGTGGATGCCAACCACGGTCTGTAACTTCCATCATCCCAATGGAAGGAGCGAAGTTTCCCAGTCTTTTCCAGCTCATCTCTCTAACTTGGTCCTGCTTCTGTCCTTCCATTGCATCCAACTGTACATATACTCACAGCAAGCAACCTCTTCCAATTCCATTCATTACCTATCAATCGAACAACAAATCCATTCTCATCCAAACACTCCATACCACCAACAATGTCTACCGTCAACACTGGCGACGCCGCCCCCTCCGCTGTCCCTGCAGGAAACCTTCACATCGGGAAGCGAGCCAAGCTCCGCGCAGCCGCTGCCCTCCTCAAAGCACGCTCCAAGATCGAGCCCATACTCGCCAAAGCCGACCCCACCCATCAGCCGGCCGCTCGTCGCCTGCGAGCCAGAGAGAAGGCTGCTGTTCTGCGTGCTCGGGCCCGTGGCAAGAAGCTCCTCGTCAAAGAGGACAAGGCGGAAGAGAAAGCTGAGCGTGCTCTCTCGGTTCAAGGCCCTTTTGAGAGCATGAAGGCGAAGAGAGCGAAGAGGAAGGCTGAGAAAGCCTTGAAGAAGGCGAAGAAGGCCGTTGTTTGATGGATTGCATCCAAGGAACACATCGGAGAACCTACGAAAGGACGCTCCGCACGATGCCGGACTCTACGTCCGCCAACCTCTATCATGCCTCCTATGTCTAAGACTGTGCGGACGACTTACCATAACCCCTACTCGTCACTACGGCACTCCGACACCACTACGGAGATCCCCACGCATCACTGACCTAGGCGTCCCGGTCTTGGTATGCTTCGGCGGGACTGAAGTAAATTTCCTCTTAAACCTGGGCTTGCAGGTACGTGCCATTGAAACTCTCTTTGACTTCGTAGCTCGACTGAACTCCCCTTCCAGCCTACCGAGACGCGCAACAGGGACAGTACCGAGTATGATTGTCACCGCAGCAGACGTCTATGCGTTCGACACTGCCGTTATGATCGCGCGTTCGTGTGGAGCTGTGGCATCATGTATCCATTGCTGTATGCGTGGACGATCTCGTGATTGAGGGTGCTGACGGGAGTCTTGGTGGGATGGCGAGTGCAGCCTCTTATTTTTTCCCTGTCGATATGGTTTCTGCACGCGGTTGCATGCTGTGGATTCGGAGTCAGTGAGCGTGCTTCCATACCTTACCTACCGATGAATTATCTGCAACCTTCGGCAAGGTTTCCTTTTCCGTTCTTCTGCGGGCAGAAACTCTGCACATAAGACCGTTTGTCGGGATGTTCAAAACAAGACATGCTGAGAGCCCCAAGGTCAATTAAGTTCCAGTGGCATATCAGAAACCCAATTGTCTCGTTACATTGTTGACTCGCCAATCCATCTAACTTATCTTGCTGGGGTGAAAGGTCTGAAAAGGCTGCGGCTGCGAGTACTGGTGAAACGGATACAACGGCTCTGGATGCGGATGCCTCTTGTTCTTTAGGGCTTTGTAAGAGAACCAAGCGCCAGCAACTGTTGCTATAAACCCGAGAGTCCCCACGATTATGCCAACGATCTCTCCAGTACCAAGTTTTTCCTCATCCTTGCCGCCGCTGCTGCTACTGATACCACTTGAAGACGGAGCGTGAGTCGCGCCGGTAGTCGTCTGGATCGTGGTGTCTTCGATAGATGATGATGTCAGCGTGGCGGGGGGCGACGATGTCTGGGCTGAAGGTTGTATTTGGGACGTGAGAGTGGACAAACGGGTGGATGTACCTGAGGTGGACGTGAATCTGTCAATCATCTCCCTTATCCGAGCAAGTCCGCGACCTGCGCAGCCAACCCTCCAAAAGGCGCACTCAATCGTCGCTCTCCAGACGAAAGAGTCACAGTCCGCAGTGCCGTGACTGTTACGGTTACTGGAGAGTACTGCATACCTGAGGTTGGAGCAGAGGCTGTGACTTCCGCCCTTTGGAACCCAGCGCTTGTGCAGTAGTCGTTGTAAACCTGGACTGCGCTGCTGATGTCTAGAGCGTTCCGGGTGCATGCACTGCCCACACAGCTCCTCACGTACGATTCTGCTTGTGCCTGAAGGTCCGGGCGACAGAAGCAATCGTTCTCGATAGGGTCTACTGCGCATGAGAGATGACGAGCAACTTCGTTAGGCGGTCCTTAACCGGACGAAACGATGAAGAAGCAGTGTTTAGCACAGCTACGCTGCGACTGATAAGCTGGCAGTTCATCTAGAGTGACTGTTGCAGAGGCACTCGGGCGGATCAGGAAGTACAGTATAACGGAAATGACTGCAGCTCTTGGCGACATAGTGATGGGACCTTGAGACATGATGCGCACGTAGTAAAGAAGAGCTGAAAGGACAATATGAAAGGGGATGAGGACGGAATACGACTAGAGCCTATAAATAGTCCCAAGGATGAAACGTCCCCTTATCTCCCACGGCTGGTGGTGAGCGTGGACCTTTGCAGGAAATACGAGATGTTAATATAATATCTGAGTGTTTTAGAGACTCGATTCCGCGTGTTTCGGCCAATGAATGATCCAGGATAGATTCTGATACACTACGAGATACCTATTTTGATTATGCCGCCTCTGTGAAGACGAGGATAGTGCCGGACTTGGCAGAACACTCACTCTCAAGGCCTGTTCGGTATATAATGCTCGGTCCGTTATGGAAGACAACTCGATCGTTGTGTCGTTCTTTTGTCAGAGAAGTTCGATCACTCCACGTGCACTCCCGTCGGCCAAGAAACATGGAGGCAAGACGCAATCAACGAACGAATCGGCTATCGATTGCCGGGATGGCTCGAAACGGACACGAGCCTCGGTTCTCTGGAATCTGGGGTAAACGGCTGCTCAAGAGGGTCTCCATATGAGCTTCTCCGCATTCGTGGTTTGTAATTATAAGGTTTCTTCTCGACATCTATAGCTGCGTCTTCAAATCAATTCCCATCATCCAACGACTCTGTATATTTAGGCAATCACTCAAACATCGACTCGTCTTCTCCCACAAAATCCCACACACTCTGTCAATATGTACAACAAGAAAGCGAGGATAGCGGAGCCATGCTACGTCCTCGGCGTCGGCATGACCAAGTTCATCAAGCCTCGCGGGAAGGTCGACTACACCGAGCTCGGTTTCGAAGCCGGTGTCAAGGCCATGCTGGACGCACACATCAACTACGACGACGTAGACCAGGCGGTAGCATGCTACTGCTACGGCGACAGCACCTGCGGCCAGCGCGTGTTCTACCAATTCGGCATGACCCAAATTCCCATTTATAACGTCAACAACAACTGCTCGACTGGATCGACGGGCTTGTATATGGGACGAAGCCTGATCGGCCATGGCGCCGCAGACTGTGTTTTGGTCATTGGATTCGAGAAGATGTTCCCAGGCAGCTTGCAGTCGTTCTTCCAGGATAGGGAGAATCCGACAGGGACGACAAACAAGATTATGAAGGAGACGAGGGGCATTACGAGTGCGCCTGGCGCTGCGCAGCTGTTTGGCAATGCTGGACGGGAGTATATGGAGAAGTGAGTTAGCTCCGACTGAATTCAAAGAGCCCTAAAGACGTACAAGAAGACTGACCTACTGCACAGGTACGGCGCAAAGGCCGAAGACTTTGCAGAAATCGCCCGCGTCAACCATGCCCACTCGAAGAACAACCCCTATTCGCAGTTCCAACAGCAGTACACTTTGGAGGAAATACAGAAGTCGCCAATGATCCACGAACCTCTGACCAAGCTGCAATGCTGCCCAACCTCAGACGGCGGAGCAGCAGCCGTGCTCGTATCCCAAGCCTTCCTCGACGCTCATCCCGAACTAAAGTCCCAAGCCATCCTCATTGCCGGGCAATGCATGGCCACCGACTCACCGAACCTCTTCAACAAGAGCGCCATCGAGCTCGTCGGCTACAGCATGTCCAAGCACGCCGCCAAGGAGGCCCTGGCAGAAGCAAAGGTGTCACCAAAGGACATCCGCGTCTGCGAGCTGCACGACTGCTTCTCCGCAAACGAGATGTGCACCATCGACGCGCTCGGCTTGTGCGAGCCGGGTAAAGCCCACGAGATGGTGCGCGCCGGCGACATCACGTACGGCGGCAAATGCGTCATCAACCCGTCCGGCGGCCTCATCAGCAAGGGCCATCCGCTCGGTGCGTCCGGTCTCGCGCAATGTGCGGAGCTGGTATGGCATCTGCGTGGCTGGGCCAACAACCGCTATGTTGACGGCGTGAGCGCTGCGCTGCAGCATAACCTTGGTCTGGGCGGAGCGGTGGTGTGCTCGGTGTACAAGCGCGCGGATGGGAAGTCGAACAGCAAGTTGTCGGATGAGGAGATCAAGAAGCAGACGGGCTTGGGCTATAATCCTGCGGTTGAGGCGAAGGGGTTTACGAAGGAGCAGGCGGATGCGGTGAGGTCTAAGAAGGCGAGGAGTGATTGGGCGCTTCAGGACGTGGAACAGAAGGTTGAGGCGCGCTTCTGATTGCGGAATTTGTAAGGATTACTTGTAGGAAAGGAGTCCAGGTGCTTTTCTCTGGTTATACAAAACGAAGCTGGTGCTCCACTGCTTCCCTTTGGGCTTCACTCGCTGTTATGAGAACGAGCCACCCGCTCCATAAACGTTGCTTCGGATCAGTGGTACAATCGTGTCGGAATGTTTGAACCGTTACTGCCAATAATCTTGCCCCATCATGCGAAAGACCGGTACGGACGTCATTTTGGGTACTGTTGGGAGGGCTGGTTTAAATTTGATTTTAATTTATATACAGCATGCGGAGAAAACTCCTCCACGTTTGGCTGGTTGGCGCAATGGTAGCGCGTGCCCCTCCTATCGCCGCCGGCAAGGGCAAGGTTGCGGGTTCGAGTCCCGTGCTGGTCGAACTGCCTTTTTGCATTCTTTTTGATGCATTCTGAACAGAGGATGATCCTTTTTGAGCGTCTGGTTGTCATACTAAGTCGCCTGGTGGGGGCGTGCAACTCAGGGGCCACGTCGTTGCCAAAAATAATCGTAGATGTCGTGAATTCAATCAGATCGGAGCTCGTTTAGCTAGCTTGCCGACGCTTATTAAGCAAGAACACCAAGATGCCTCACCAAGCTCTCGTGCCTCCCACACCAATAAAGCCCAGATATCGCTCCAAAACGCCAGAAAATGGGTCACGGCGGCGTGCGCAAGGCATTTGGTGAGCTTAACCTAGATAGGATAATCATATAGAGCTGTGCAGCCTCAATTGTGCATACTAAACGATGGAAGGGCTTGTGGTGTTGTTCCTCACGTGCTTCTACCCCTGCTAGCGTCATCTGATTGAATCCACGACTCTACGTTTACCCGACTCCAACCATGGACAGCACGCTTCGACACTGGTGCGAAGTTTCTCTAAATCAATGCCAGCTCGTTCATATAGTTGAGCGATATAGAAAGCACTCTATGAAGCTTGTAATCGGCTATGCAGACCAGATATAGTGATGTTTAGTCGGTAGTAAGGGGTTGAATTTGAGCCTTGGAGTCGGCGTTGTTTTGGCAACGACGTGGGGCTAACGAAGGTGGGTGTAAGCGGTCGCCTGATGAGGCACCCCACCGGCTTCACAACATGACTGCAGGCACTAGATTAAGAGCAGTAACATCCGTATCCTAGGACTTAATGTTCTGAATAAATACAAAATAGTCCCTTACTCGCGTTTCCGTTACACCAACGCCAACGCCGTGCTCAGCATGCAGCCGCTTCCCTACTTGTACATATATACAGTGCTCCATCATACAACCCTACAATCCCACGAGACGACCAGCTCGCATCTTCCACCCCTCCAAAGTGTTCAGCTTAGGCCGTACGTCCAAGTAGAAGTTCAGGCTCTTGCCAGGCTTGTGCTCGTCTTTGCCGGCGTAGAAGTCTATCACGTATTCGACCTTCTTGCCACACCGATCTACTACCCAGTCGTGGCGGTCGAACGGTGCCGAATATCCCATGAAGGTGTTTAGGCGCGCCTTGGGCGTCAACGAAGTCGCAGAGCCGCTAAACGATTCAAGGCGCGGTCCACCGCAGCTGCGTTCTGTCAGCATCAGCTCGTCCGCAAGGGAGTAGGCTCTTACGCGTCGGCCCCCCTCCCTTTCTCCCACTCCTTAATCTCCTTCCACGCCCGCTCATTCACAGCATTGTGTATAGGTATTATGCTCCGCATGTCCTCCGCCTGGGGATCGTAATTCTTCCTCCTCATCGCGTTGAAGAACATCTGCTCAGACGGGTATATCCAGTTGCCAGAGCTCTTGTCTGCCCCCGTCTCTTGCTCGTTGTTTGCTGGCCGCTTGCCATCCTTCGTCGCCTCGGGCAGCGCTCGCGGAATCGTGGAGACTTCGCGGTCGGTGGCTAGACGAGGTCCACGTAGAAACGATGGCAGTTGTAGTGGAGAGTCTCTCGAGGTTGATTGATCTACTTGTGAAGAGTCGCAGGTCTCGCCGACAGGTAATGGCGACTTCGAGGAATTCTGTGCTGGCCTTTGCGCCGCTGTCTGCTCCATCCAAGCGGCGCGGCTTTTGTGGTCGACTGGGCAGGCGGAAGGGGGCACTTCTTCTTCTTTAACCATGTTGATAGCTATTGACTAGATCGAATGGGAACAGACGAGAAGAAGGAAAGGCGAAGCCAGCAAAGCTCTCCAAGAGATCCCGCCATGATGATCCTCACAAGGCCCGAGGTGCATGCCAAGCTTCTGTCAAAATCCAGGGTCCAGCAGGGGGAGCTCTCATCCCACTTCGCCCGTTCAACACCACAACAAAATACAAGATGGGAGACCAGCAGGTCTTTCGGGCAAGCACAACTGCTCCGGTGAACATTGCAGTCATCAAGTAAGTCTATCCTCCAGTTTCCTGACACGTACATACCCATTGGGCGCCAGAAATGCGTCTGGGCATGATCCTGTTAAGCTTTACCCGAAGGCGTAGTCAACCAAGAACGGAATCCCACTGACAGCGTCAAATGCTAACCGATGCCTTTTGTAGGTATTGGGGTAAACGGGACCCAAAACTAAACCTCCCCACGAACTCCTCCCTGTCCGTAACCCTCGCGCAGTCGGACCTCCGCACGCACACCACCGCTTCGTGCTCGTCAAGCTTCTCCTCCCCCGACAGCCTCATTCTCAACGGCTCGCCTCAGGATGTATCTGGTGCCCGGACTCAAGCCTGCTTCCGCGAGCTACGCCAGTTACGCAAGCAGATGGAAGAGTCGGACTCCAAACTCCCGAAACTCTCCCAAATGCCCCTGAGAGTAGTGAGCGAAAACAACTTTCCCACGGCCGCCGGTCTTGCAAGCAGTGCCGCAGGCTTCGCGGCTCTTGTTCGCGTGATAGCAGATCTCTATCAGCTTTCTTCGACACCAACCGAGCTCTCGCGAATCGCACGACAAGGTTCAGGCTCCGCTTGCCGCAGCTTGTTTGGCGGTTATGTCGCATGGGAAAAGGGCACCGAGGTTGATGGCTCAGACAGTGTAGCAGTAGAGGTTGCGCCTGTCTCGCACTGGCCGGAAATGCGAGCGCTGATCCTGGTTGTGAGCGCGGAGAAGAAGGGCGTGAGCAGTACAAGCGGCATGCAAGCCACTGTCGCTACTTCGACACTTTTCACAGAAAGAGCAGAAAGGACCGTGCCGAAGAGGATGGAGGAGATGAAGAAGGCAATACTGGACCGGGATTTTGACACCTTCGGCAAAGTCACGATGAGGGACAGCAATTCGTTCCACGCTACCTGCCTGGACACTGACCCGCCAATCTTCTACATGAACGACGTTTCACAGGCCGCTGTTCGCATGGTGGAGGAGATCAATGAGGCTGCTGGGAGGGTCATCGCGGCTTACACCTTTGACGCCGGCCCGAACGCGGTGATCTACTACTTGGCGGAGAACGAGCATGCGGTTGTGGGTTTGTTCAAAAACGTACTTGGAAGCAAAGATGGCTGGGCAGGATCAAGAGGAAGCGCGGTCAAAAGCAATTCTGAGGCGAAATTCAACGCCAAGACCGCTGCAACACTCAGCGAAGGCGTAAGCAGGGTCATTCTTACGGCTGTAGGCGAGGGTCCGATAAGTGTCGATGATCATCTGATAGACGCCGACGGGAATATCATTGAGCGGTAGAGAAACCTCATTTCCGACGTTCGTTTGACTGAAATCTGAAAACTCCGACGTCGGCTTCACTTCTCGACTGACTCCACTAGCAATGGCCGCATCACTTCACTCTTGGGAGGTAACGGTAGGTCGACAATGGCCACTTCAGCCATTGTCACTTTCTTCAAGAAGTGCGTCCCTCTCTCTTTCATCCTTCTTCATACAACACCACCGTGTCTTACTTTCTTTATCCTACCTTTGTCGCGCACAAACAGACAAACGCCGCTTGTATCGCAGTCGGCAACGCAAGTACTCTGGACCAGTATCATAACATCTTTTGCAAATTCGCAAGCATCATCGCATCGCACACATTTCAGCTATCAATTGTAATGAATTAGTCTTCCATCATCGCATCATTCATTCATTCACCATCACCATGGCACCTTTCACGCCCCGCAAGCGCAAGTCTCAAGACGCCACGCCAAATGACTCCCAAGCTCCCCGCAAACGCCGCAACACCTCTCCTACCCCACCGTCAAGGCTACGATTGCGCAAGTTAGTCAATTGGATAACCTTCCCGCCTCGCGCTGGCGGGACGCGCCAAGCGTCGTTCCTCGACCAAGACTTCGGCGACGAGGTGAAAGAGGGTCTCGCTTACCTAGTAAGCCTCGTGGCAGCCGCAGCCGAGCGCAACGATGTGCTGAAGGAAGAGGTGCAGCATTGGCAGGACGTCCGCGCAGAGGAAGAAGAGAAGCTACAACTACAACTACAACTACAACTACAGCAGCAACAGCAGCAGCAACAGCAAGAGCAACGGCAACGGCAGCAACGCATACCCGCGTTACCACCAACCACACCCGAAGAGCAGCACCTCGACGATGACATCCGCGCCCCAGCCACCCCACCCAGCTCCTCCCCTCCCGACCTCCACCCAAGCCACGAATCCGACTCCCAGCCCAGTTCACCCCCACCTCTCACCCCATCCGATCCCGGCAGCCCGGCCCATCCTCCCCGAAGCGACGAACCAGACCCTCCCCAACGCACCGACCCAGAGCCCCTAATTCTCCGCGGCGGCCTCCCCGAACTCCACGCCCTCCTCCACCTCGAATACCAGCGCGGCTATGACGACGGCTTCGACGAGGGCCTGGCCGCCGGGAGGGCGTACGGCGAGGAAGAAGGCTTCACGGCTGGCGTGGCGACCGCGCAGGCTGCGGGCGCGGTGGTGAGTCTGCGCCGGATTCCCGCGGGGGGTGGTGGCGTCAAAGTCCTGAGCAACGGGGCGGTTGTCACTGCAAACGGTGTAGAGGAAGAAGAGGAGGGGGTGATGGGAGTAAGGGATCTCAGGGCGATGGGGGTCAGCGAGTTCATGGCCTGGGTGGCGGGGTTGAGTGGAACAGAGGTGAAGGGCGAGATTTGGAGGTTGATGGGGGTGAGGGAGAGGATTGGGGCGGAGAATGAGGGGTTGGCGGAGCTTGTTAGGGCACTGAGACCGAGCATGGTTGTTAGGCTGAAGGTTGGGAGGGAGAATATGTTGAGGGCTATAGGGAGAAACTCGCTGCTGGTTAAGCTGAAAGTCAGACCGCGGGACTTGGTCAGGATTGTGGAGGGGGAGTATGGAGGGCAGTGGGACGAGTGAGTGCGGTGGGCTGCTTTTATGACGAGAACGAGATATTTAGTCCGCCATTTTGCCAAGCTTGTTCAATCATTCTGTCAGGGACTACATGAGCCACGGTCACAAGTGAAGCGCAGACAGTGTTAACCGAGTGATCTCTCAAATTGAGCGGAAAAACAATTGTAACACCGTAACGCCTCCATAAGAAGAACATGTCCATCCAATACAAACCCAACACCATAAAACCCAAACCAACTGTTTTGAACAATCGACCAGAGCATCATCTACACAATGTATCCAACGGCGACGGCACTCTTGCCCGCCACAACATCTTCCTACTGCATTGGGATGACTAAGCCTGAAAGCAGATGTAGCTGCGGATGCGGTCGTTCCAGCCAACGGTGTTCAGATCAACATCACCCGGGTACTGGAAAGAGTATCCGCGAGTTGGGTTGATGCAGTCGTCATTGCTGATCAGAGCAGTCAGCAGCAGACCAGCTGAACGGCAAGACTGATAGAACGTCGACCTACTCGTAAACCGTGCAGAGAAGGCCTTGGTCCGGGCCGAAGGACGAGATGCGGAGTTTCCTGCATCAAGCAAAGTCAGTGTCTGTGCTTGAAGCAGTCGGCAGTCAAGAAGGGTGAATCGACAAAAGGCAAACGCGTGGGTGTCATGGGCCGACAGGGCACTCACCAGTAATCGGTCAGCCGGTTGCATTGGGCCAGTGCCGTCACCTGGTGTTCGCAGTGGCCGTGGAAGTAGGTGTGCTCACAGATGTAGACCTAAGGCAATGGACGTAAGCTTCGTACGCATGCGCTGGAAGCATGCTGCATGCGTGGGGCGACGTACACCGGGGTCCGCTCGCTTGTCGAAGCCTGCTGGGGCAGTTTGTGCGGAGGCCAGGAGCATGGCGGTGCTGATGAGGGCGAGGAGTTGCATCGTGGCGACGGACTGAGATGGGATCAAGTTCAGCGGTGTCTCGAGATATTTGTAAGTGTTGACGGGCGCTGGGGAGGAGTTGCGTGGCTTTGGACTCGGTACAGAGGACCAATTGGGCGCTTGGTGTTTGGATTTGTTTGAGTTTGTTTGATTGAGTAAATACAGAATTCTTCCGAGAGGATTGAATGATGCGGAGAGAAGAGCTGGTTGAAGCAGAGGGGCGAAGGAGTTATATTCAAGAAACTATGGATGCCAGGTGATACTTTCCACTGTACACGTCCCAATAGATGATGCAGGAACCTCAAACAATGCGAGCAAGGGCTCCTGCGTTGCAAGTTTCAATAACGATCATCGAGATACAAGAGTTGGCAGTTGCACGGCATCAGCCGAAGCACTTGGTGTTGGTGAAGAGCACCTGCCACAGACTTCCGCAGCCCGACATCCCAGCCCCTTCCCCATCTTACAACTACGCCTATTGCTCCGCACAGAATGCTTGGTTAAATGGTGGGGAAACGGTTCAAGTTATCTCCTCCAGTGCTTGAGGACGGCTGCCGCTCTCCAACTTGCGGCGGATCACGGCATAGTCGCGACTTCCCGTTGCAGTTCGCCGACTATTCGCCCAACCTCGTAACTTCTTGCATCTTGGAAAGACAGGACAAGGAATCCACGTGGACTTGTATCGCAGAATGCGGGGCGCATAGGCGACACAAGGAGAAGCTCCATCGATTGAGCGACCGAGTCTTATAGCCCTCGTCGAGTGCCACAAGCCCCCGCCTCGTACCGGACGGCAACTTGCAGGTACTTCCAGGCAAATGCGTCTATTACGAGGTGGCGGTAAGCTTGATTTGACAACGGCAAAGACACAGATCTGAAGCAATTGTGACTGTTTCGACCAGGAGTGGTCGAAGCTGTCGACACCGTGGTACCTGAGCGATAACCCTTCGGGGGAGAGGAAGCTGTTGTGGCCTGCATACATTCCACCGGTGGCATAGAGCGATTGCGCCCAACGACCGTGCGTTGCCAGCGCGTGGTGCGGATAACCCTTACCCTATCAAGCCTTGCAAGCCGGCAAATCGCAGCATCGTCCATAACTCGTCGTAAATGCCTCGGCAAGCAGCTTCGCCTGTATACGGGCTTTGCTTAGCTTAGAACTCTACGGCCTCTAGATAGAGGCTTATGACAAATTGAGTTACAGTGTGACGTACTGAGGCCTAGCTACCTTTAAATCCGTAGCGCAGGGCACATTTAAGAAGCATCACTATGCCGACCGAAGCCCACCGTCTCATCCATATGCTCATCCAGACGGAAGTAGTTCCAGTTGATGGTATCCGTTCCGCCGTGAGTGCTAGTTCCTTCTAGCCCGTACTGTCATAATCTCTGAAACCCCTACTCCTCTCTTGCCACCTTCGACCGTGCAGCTAGTAACCCTGACCAGCTTAGGAGGCTCATCTTGGGTCCTATAGTAGAGACTGGGCGACGCGTTGGAGTGTTCTGCGATGTGCGGTACTCCCGGTTTGAGCTCCTCCGCTGGACCCAACTCTTTGAACACAGGATCGTCGCTCGATACTTGCTCCCACCCGTGAAAAACGATCCTCTTCGCCTTGGCCTCGTACGGGATAACGGACTGATATGTCGTGGTGTCCCACAAGTCGCCAAGTACACGGTCACGGCGTAAAAGGTCCTCTGCGGTCCGAACTACGGAAGACGGGCTATGTTGGATTGAGTAATGAAAGTGTTGTGGCCTCGGCCAGTTGATATGCCTGTCCTCTTTGGTGATCTTCGGCGCGTGCCACAGCTTCTGTCCTTCTTTGGCATACCAGCCTGCATCTTCCAGCGGAGGAACAAAAAGCCGTTTCCTCAGGCTTTCCACTAGCAGTTGTCCGCCGAGAGGTGCAAGATACTCAATCAACACCTTTGGCGTGCAGGTATCTGGATGTGGTATGTCGAGCTCAGGCGTCTGAGCCAAGATCATGCCCTGATCGAAGTGCTTCGGGTGGAGAGTCTGAAGCGTAATGCCTGTTGTCTTGCGACCCTGAAGTAGCGTGTGATGGATAGGCGCTGGACCGCGCAGGTCGGGGAGGAGTGATGGGTGTACGTTAAGCCCTCCGTATTTGGCGCCATTGAGTATTCGAGGAGGTACAAGCAAGCCGAAGGAGACGGCGATGACGAGGTTGATGGGGTCGTTCTGCGGAGTGGGCGGCTTCCAGCCGGTGAAGGTGTCGATCTCGTGAACGGGAAGCTGTAGCATTTCTGCTGCTCGCTTTATGGGCACTACGAACTGCGAATTAGCTTGTGTACCCTTGGGCTAGTGGATGCCCCTTGCGGTGAGGTTGTGTTGAGAACTGCATACCCTCACGAATCGCTTTTAGACCTCTGCCCGTCCGCTTTCCCGGTCGGCATACCACATCAATGGACGCGATCAGGCCCGGGTCTTTCCTCCCCTCCTCGTTAACAGCACGCAGTGATGCAATGCTAAACTCGTCAGAGCCGCAGAAGAGGATCCTGAGCGGATCAGAGGCCTTGGTGGAGCTGTAACGGCATCGGACAGGCCATAGCTGACGGGATGCAAAGGAGCGGACAGGAAGCCGGAGCTTCCAAAGAGAAGTCATATCATGACAGTGAAAGATTAGAGGCTGTCGAAGCCACACAAGTGCTCATCGTCTAGTCCGGGGCGCTTTGCTCTCCTGGCAGCTCCACAGCTCCACGAACATCGCCGCATGGGCCGAGTGCAGCGCGAACCGCAAGCCACCAACGCGCATCTCCAGCGCGGCTTGCCCGAACCCGCGGACACCGACAGTGGCTTTGCCTCTTGCGGAGTAGAGGAATAGGATGGAGACGGTACATTCTCCTACAGTATGGGCATCTATTCATCCATTGCCCACTGAGAGGCATTCCGAGTGAGCTGTCAACCCGCATCGAGACAAACACCGCCTATGACGGCATTCCTCAGCTTCCGCAAACAGCAACTTACGTCGCCAGCGCCGCTCAATTGGGCTCACGCGCGAGCATGGCTGCGCCCATGGAGAGGTCGGGAAAGGTGATTCCTGCGCAGTTATCCTTCCTGGCTGTCTACAATCCCTCGCTTGGACCTACCGATGAGACGTTCCGTGACCAGATCGTCTTCTATTATTCAAAAGCTGCGAAGACAAAGCGCAAAGGCGGGAGTCAAGATGCAGACACCGAAAAAGAGCTGCAGGAGGAGGAAAATGAGAAACTGCGGCAGATCGGGCTGGCGCAGGGCATGGTGAACTTTGCCGCAAGCTTCTCCAATGGCGAAGCTGTGGACTCGGTCGAGACGGAGAAGTCGCGCATAGTTATGCATGAGCTAGAGAAAGGCTGGTGGATTCTGGCAGTGAGTCTGCTTGCAGCAACGCCAGATGTATCTGACAGTTACAGTCGGTTGACCTGACACGGCTGCCCGCACCCACAGCCACGTCTGCGACCAGCTCTGGATCTAGTCCCAACACCGAACCTGCCGTCGAGTATTCTTCGCGAGAAGTGAGCCCTCCTGCGCTGCTGCTTCAGCAACTCCTCCGAGCCCACTCAATCTTCCTGTTACATCACGGCCCATCGCTCGGCGACCTTTTTACCCGCCTCGCACGCCCGAAGTTCTGCAACATCATGGAGAAGTTCTGGACGCGCTTTGCTAGCAGTTGGGACGTCTTGCTGCACGGAAGTCCTGCGGTCGACATATACAATGGCATGAAGCTGGCTGCGGGCGGGGAGCTCGGTATAGGTGTTGGAGAGGAGGAGTGGGGTAGTGGAGAACGCGAGGTGCTTGAGCATTTCGCTTCCAGTACAGATGGGCTTGTGGATCTCGTTGTGTCGCGGTTTGGCGAGCCATCTGAGGAGCAGCAGCGGGACCCATCAGCCAAGAAGTATCCCGCCCACTCATCTGAGTATTTGGAGCCCTGGATGGGCAGTGGACAACACCCAGGCGCTGCAGATGGTGTCATCTTCTCTGGTGTAGGCGCTATCTCTCGGTCGTCGCTACGAGATGTCTCGGCCTGGATGCAGTGGATCTACGGCTACGGCGACTACGCTTATGGCGTGAGAGAGAATCCAACTTCAACGCGGAGAGTTCGACGAAGGAACGCACGGGGGCAGATCTCGGACAGCAGGCCTTTACCACGCAGATTCTCTACTGGCAGAACAATCACTCAGGATAACCAGGGCGATACCGCGTCTAATCATGCAAAGACATCGTCATCTGGAGCGTTGCCGAAAGGCATACCGCCGCCCATCGTATCGGCTGTTGAGAAGTCCTTGGACCAGGCATCGGAAGCAGTAGACGCTTCCCAAGGAGCACAACAAAGCGAGAGCGACCGAAGTGCATCAGGCTTCATGGACCCGGACACATGGGTGAAGTATCTCACACTCGGCTACGGCTCTAGCTGGGGCGGCAAAAGACCAAGCACACCAAGAACAGCGTCGCAGAGAACGGTAACGCAGGACGATACTGGCGGACGAGGGCGGTCCGAAGAGCCTGTAATGCAGCACATTGACCCACAACCAGAGGTCAATCAGCTGGAGGAGAAGCTCAAGACGCAGATCGCCGCCGAGAATGCAGGCCACTTCATCATTGGCCTAAAGGGAGATCTCGAAGACGACAGAGACGAAGATCCCGACGCCGCAGACGCAGGAGACGGCGATGGGGGCACCCGAACCCTCCTCCGCACCCTCCACGTCGAAGTCACAAGGCCCCCGTCCTCCAAAAGCCACTCATCCTCCTCCTCCGATTTATCCTCAGAAGACCGTCAGCCCCCCCATCCACCCCGCCAACGCCTCCGCGTCCTCGTCTACGTCCACCGCCCCTTCATCTACACCCTCCTCTTCAGCCCGCACACCTCACCCCTCAGCCTCCCCTCCTTCTACCGGCACCTGCACACCTATCTCGCGCCCCTGCACCGCCCGCTCAGCGCCTCGACCGCCCCGTCTCGCGTTGCAGCCCGCATCCAGGCCGCCAGCAACCCGTATACCACTACCTCCACCTCGGCCGCGGCCCCGAACGAGCAGCCCATCTACGACCTTGTGTACGATCCGAGGACGCTGACGCTGCATTCGAGCGTCCCGAATATCCCTGAGCCGGGGAGCGCGGCGGCGGAGGGGATTGCGCTGGGGGGAGGCAGGGCGCCCTGGACCCGCGTCGAGGCGCTAAACGTGCACGCGCAGATCCTGGCGACGGTCGCGGGCACGAGGAGGCAGGCGCACGAAATTGAGCGCACGGCCAAGACGGGGCGCGGGTGGTGGATCGTGTGGATGCGCCTCCCCCCCTCACTACCCTCGCGACCCGGTTCGCCGGAGCGGGATCAGGGGCAGGACAGGCTGGAAAAAGACGAGGATGGCCGCGCGGAAGGGTCTGCCGTATCGGCGAGCCTTCACCGCGAAACGACAGCCTCCTCCTCCTCCTCCACCGCCTCCCTCCACCCCCTCCGAAGCAGCACCTCCAACAACGTCTCAGCCACCTCGCTCCTCCCCGCCGACAGCGCGAGTAACAGGGCCTCCTCCACTACGCCTACGCCGCCGCGGTCCGAGGCCGGCGATACAGCCGTGGGAGAAGCAGAGCCGGCGCTCGAACCCCGCGCGCAACCCGCTGGCCTCCGCGAAGCCTTCCTGGTGCGCCGCGCGCGGGACGCGGTAGCAGTCAAGGCGTCGGGCCAGAGGGGTGTGAGCGGTGGTATGTGGGGGCTGGGCGGGAGTGGGGGTGGAGCGGTGGCGGGGGCCGGGGCGGGACAGGGGCCTAGGGGGCTGGCGGAGGGGATTGGGGTTGATGCTAGGAGGTATGTTGAGGGGTTGTTGAGTTTGAGTCGGTAGCATGTGTGGAGGGGTGGTGGGGAGGGGGGGGGATGTTGGGTAGGCTTTTGAGGGTTGTTTTGGGCTTGATATTAGTGATGGCACTGAGGTGTTGAAATCAAGGCCCTTCGTTTCACCATCGTTGACGCGGCCACGAAAGACAATGTCTTATTCTCACAGAACACATCGAGGATGGAACGAGTAAGTCCGCCTCACGGACGGAAAATCGTTTCCCGTCAAACAAACGGGTCGAGAAACTAGGTAGGCTGGATGAAAACTCGCTGTTGCCTCTCCAGCCGCCAGGCGGGGTAAGATAACTCCACCAAGCCCAACGAGCGGCCAAGAGGTCAAGCTCGTATAAGTATTGGAACCATAGCCCAAAGCAGTACACACTTGGAGCAAGTGTCTCAGAAAAGGCAGAAAGTGCCCACCACGCCATAGAAAGAATCATCCCTTCGTAGCTCGAGCTCTTCGAGCAACAAAATCCTTCAAACAGAACCCAAACAGCGCAACGGAGTCTAGGCCTTCGAGGCCTTGGGTCCGAACAGGTCATCCAAGAGCCCGTTCCAGACCTGCTTGACGGTGCCCACCTGCTCCTCGACCGACTTCCCCGTCACCGTCTTCGTGGCCTGGTTGGCCAAGCCCTCGAAATCGATGTTCATGGCGGCGTTGTCGTGCACGTCTGACATGGCAGCCGGAGCGCTAATATGGGTGCCATCGGCCGCGACCGTATAGATCTGGGGCTCCATGACCTGACGCAGCGTTACTGTCAGCCTCAAACCAGGCCCTTCACGGATTCCGACTCTAGCAAAGGCGAGGGTGGAGAGTTGCAAGATTCGGTGTTGCGTGCAAAGCTTACCGGAGTCTCATGAGCCTCGATGTCGTACAGAGGCTGCGACGCCTTAGTCTGCGGCAGCAGCGGGACCCGCATCATGGGCGCGTCGGCGTCCAGGTCCGGGTCGAAGTCCGGGATGTACATGAAGTCGATTGTCGAGTTGTCGTTGACGGCCTTGAGGCTGCGGCTCGTGTTGAAGTGGCGCACGGCTGGGGTTGAGGTTTCCGAGGGCTCCATCGACGGCCGTTTGGAGGCGGCGTCCATGGCGGCCGTCAGGTCTTTCGTGCTGGCGGACGGGCGGCCTGCGACGAGTGCTGGCGAGGGGAATTCGGCGGGGCCGGTCATGTGGAGGTGGCGCCGGGGGACTTGTCTGCTGTTGGCAGCGAGGGTCCGGAGGGCGCGCAGGGAGGAGGCTTTGGAGGCGGACATTGCGAGGTTGTGAGATTGTGCGGTTGAAGGAGAGAGTTGACTGAATGGGGAGTGCAGGAGCGGGACTGAGCAGGCGGCAAGCAGCAATTAGATAGAGGTGGATGAGGGGTGATGAGCAGTTGAAGCAGGCAAGGAGGGCACGAGGTCAGCTTGGTTCCGTGATTTGGCGGAATGGGAGTCGGAGAATCGAGGAGCTGGAAGCTTGACCGAGGGGAAGGAGCAGAGGGGAATATATGTGTGCTTCGATCGGCTACTTGATACAGCAACGGATATCTATGCAGTGGTTGCGTAACTTGATTCATGGAACTGGCAAGCTTTGGCATGCTCGGATGCAAGATGAGCCCATGATTCCTCCCATCGGTCGCCGTAAGGCCGGGCATTCGACAGTCAAGGTAGTGCAGCTGTTGAAGCACCAACGACGATAAGAGCTTGAGCTTGGGCCCCTCAACGCCCGGCAAACGGCGGTGACGGGCGCGCTACACTAACTTGGGTGACGCGAGGCTGAGCTAAGCACGAAGCGAGTCCAGTGGGATGCCGACGGGATGCGGAAGTACAGGGATCTGCGGGCACGGGCGTGAGGTTAGATGCTTCACGTGAGCGCATCTGATGGTGGCCGCCTCGGGCATTGTTTTGCGGGGTAAATTCAAGGTGGACGGGAGAATAGAGAGACGGGAGGGTACGAGGGTACATAGCAGAACCCTAGCGTAGTTCAGCCTGACAATGGGCGGATATGCCGGCAGTTTTCGCAATCATGGGCAGAGATACAGAGTATTCTTCTGTGCATGTCATCCGCGGACGGGTACCTGTGCAAGGTGCGGAAGATATGCACGCTCTTCCATCAATGGCCACGGATCCCCGCTGTGCGCAAGACCGTACGAATCACCGAAGACGAGCTGACGGCCATGTACCGGCATCTCAGAGACAGCGGAAGTGGCCTGCTTGGATGCCGTGGTTCTGCAGACAGTGACTGCTGTCAGCCTTGCGAGGATTAAGACATCTCCACCTGTCACAGCATGGTGCTTTGTGGTCCTGCGGATCCACGCGCCCTGGCTGGCATCTTCAACGGATTGGCAGGCCCAAGTCAACCACTTTCACATGAAGCCAACAGCTCCAGTCCCATGGCGCATGGGCGATACGCAGATCCACAGATGCTCCATCGCACCTGCCCCTGATCGGCGCGACTTGTCTCCTGCGGCGGCAGCGTTTCTTCCCTCTGCTGAACGCAGGTCTTAAGAACCACGCAGGCGGCCCCAGGCAGTGCTGCCCACGCTCGAGTCCGTTTCAACCAGCACTCGATCCGCACGCAAGAGCGCGCGTGTGCAATTGATGCTCATGCGACCCGCAAGCGGACAAAGCATTGTGTTTCGGTGTGGAGAGTGCACTCGAGCACCAGGCGAAGTATTGGCTGACGTCCGTTCCCGGCCAAACGCGCTATGCCGTTTTCGTCGTCTTCCGCCCTCAAGCTCCCCCCATCCTCGACTCCGCTCACGGCTTCCTTCAGCCTCAGATCCCACCCGCACGCTTTGAGAGCGTACCTGCAGCGCAATTGGCACCTTATCCCTGCTCTTTTCCTTTTGTACATACTGCTCTCGTTCATTCTTCCCGCATCATACATTCTTCCCCTAGACAAAGCCTTGTGACTGCCGCCTTCATCGCTGTTCGTAGCTTCGAGTCCTTTGTTTGAGCTGTCTTCAATCATTCCAAGAACCGTCGCGGCCGTGCCGTCACTCGCTCACCCCGAGTATATCACTGGGTCTGCTTAGTTGCTTTGCACTCGGTGTTCTTCTCCTTAAGTCTCCTCGCAGCGCAGAGGTTTGCCCTCCATTCGCTATCTGTATACCGCCACCTACATCTGATATAATGCGTTTTCTTCTCTTTACCGCATCGGTAGCATGCCTGCTACCGTTTGCTACAGCATTCTATCCTTACCACTCCGACGACGCGGCATCGAAGCCTCCTTCGAGCGGCAAGCGTTCCCTGCGCTTCCCCAAAGCCGTCCAGCATGATGGGTTTACCATCCCTCTTCGACGCACACCTATCCGACGGGACAACCAGTACAACATAGTCCGCGCCCTCCCGCCGACGCAGTCAAACAGTGTTGGCGTGGACCAAGATGGCGACGACTACTCCTACATGGGCACGATAATGTTTGGCACCAGCACCGAGGAATACCATGTGTTGTTGGACTCGGGAGCCTCGAATACTTGGATCATGGGGTCGACTTGTACAACTCCGGCCTGTGACGCGCACGACACATTCGGCACTGGCGACTCGACCACGCTGCAGACTACAGCCACCACCTTTCGCATTGTCTACGGCACAGGCCAGGTCAACGGCATCGTGGCATCAGACGACGCGCGCTTCGCCGGCTTCAACGTTCCATTAACGTTTGGCATTGCCACCAACGTATCCGCAGAATTCCTCTCATACCCAATGGATGGCATTATGGGTCTCGGTCGCGCGGACTTGAGCACAAGCACCATTGGCCCGACCATCATAGATGTTCTGGCGCAGCGTGGGCTGATTCCAAGACGGCTGTACGGTATCAGTCTCGCTCGGGGCTCGGACGGTCCGAACGATGGTGAATTGAATCTTGGCGCCCCTAACCCCCTCCTCTTTACGGGCGAACTCGCGTGGGTACCCGCGGTCAGGAACACGAATGGGTTCTGGGAGATACGAGTAGACAACGCTGGCGTCAATGGGGGAGACGGTGGGAGCGCAGATCTCAGGGGCAGAACGGCGATTCTCGACACAGGAACCTCGTTTATCCTGATGCCGCCTGCCGATGCTCAAAAGCTGCACGCTCAGCTTACCGGCTCAGCGCAGAACGGCGAAACCTTTACCGTGCCATGCGATACCACGCAGACGGTTCAGTTCACGCTTGGTGGCGTGAAGTACGGTATCTCCAACAAGGACTTTGTTGGTGCCAGCCTTGGGGGCAATACCTGCGTTTCCAATATCGTAGGCCGCCAGACATTCGGAGCCACCCAATGGCTTGTGGGAGCCACGTTCTTCAAGAACCTCTACACAGTGTTCGACTTCGAGGGCCAGCGTGTCGGGTTCGGCGTCAAACAACTACCGCCGAGACCGGCCTCGACTGTGGGCAGCCAGCCCTCATCGACTGCGCCTGCAGGCGCCACTGGTACGTCGACTCAGCTTTCTTCCATGATGTCTGAGTCTTCAACCCCCATGCCCATGCCCACGACCACATCCACACCACCAATGTTGTCCCCAACTTCTATCACGCCAGCACCATCTTCAAATGCTGTTGCACCGGTGTCATCTCCATTTTCTACATCATTACAGTCTTCTTCGAATTTCCCTCCGACAATGTCACCTTCGAGTTCCAGCCCCATGGTTTCGTCAACTTCTATTCCGTCCACTTCATTTTCTAGTACTGTTGCACCGGTTTCTTCCTTCCCTCCTGTTGCATCGGTCTCACCTTCAGGTCCTGCTGCATCGATGCCGTCTTCAAGTCTCGTTACACCGATGTCCTCTTCCAGTCCTGTGCCACAGATGTCTTCAGGTACCATGCCGCCAGCGTCCTTCTCAACTTTTTTCACACCTGCATCGCCCTCTGGGACTATTTCATCTATGTCATCTCCAAGTCAGATCACATCACCTCCCGCATCACCGTCTAGCACTATTTCCCTGTCTCCTTCAGATCAAATCACTTCACCTCCTACACCACCGGTCGTCACAGTCACAACAGACTGCCCTTCTAATATCACCACACCAGCTCCGCCAACGGCACCACCTTCCACTTCAGCCCAACCCATCTCATCAGAGTCCCCTTCCAATCTCTCAACCTCACTCTCCGCCTCAGCACCCTCACACTCCGACACAGAGATACCCGTCGCCCCAACGGCCGTACCTGAGGTCCCCTCCTCCTTCACCACCTCCACCACCACCGCCCCCGACTCCACCGCAGAGCCCGTCGCACAAGCCACTGACTCCCCCACTGACGCGCCCGCTTCCTCCACAGACTCGGAATCAGCCACCCCGGCCGAGACTTCCACGAGCAGCACAGGCACAGACGCCGCACCGCCTCAGGGAGACGTCGAACCGCAGGCCGCGCCCACGGCTACGGACGTCTCGGATGCTCCGGACGCCGTGTCCACGGCTGCGGCGCCGGCGGCTGGCTCGAGCGGGCCGGTGGCGTTTGATAGCGCGGCGGAGGGGAGGGGGAGGAGGATGCAGGGGGGTCAGGCGCTGGCGCTTGCGATGGTTGTTGGGTGGGTTGTTGTTGGGTAGTTTTTTTGGGGGGGGGGGAGGGCATATGGGGGGGGAGGGGTAATAGATGGTTGGCCACGGCGTTTGTTTGCTTTTTGGGCGAGTTGCAAAGAATTTTCGGTGAAGGGGAATTAGAAGGATATAGATGAAATCTGATTTCCTGCCCTGTCATGCACAGACTCAACCCATGTGCTGTGTGCCCCAGTGTTCCGTTGAAGTGAACAACGAGTGCCATTGTGCCGTTTCTTTGCACGTTCTGTGCCCCCCCTTCCCCCCCCTTCCAACCTTTTCTCGTGGCGGCGGCCACACAGATGACGGGATTTACCAAGCAATCAACACACAAGCGCAGTCGGCACCCAAATCTGATTTCGCACCCAACGGTCCTGTATCGATCCTCTACAGCGACGCCGCATGCACGGGTGTCCTCGCAGTGGGACAAGGAAGGCAGCGAGGAGCGAGGACGGAGCCATGAGCCCTCCTCAAGCGCTCGTGTGCCTTGCTGTATCGTTTGGCCGGGCGGCAGCAGCAAAGACAAACAGACCTCTGTGCTCGTTTCTTGGACGACGATGCGGGAGGCTAGCTGCTCGTCGGCGGGATGGCGCGCAGCGGTTTTTTTTGCGGAGGATGGGGAGAGGAATATGGAGCTCGAGCGGGGAGGGCTCGAGGGGGAGGGACGGAAGAGGGACGGAAGAGGGGAAGGGTAGGAGTAGAGAAAGAGGTGGGGGAAGGCTGGAAGGGAGATGGAAAGATCTTGTCAGTAACAGACGCTCGAGCCTGAACAGGTATGGACAGTGGTCAAGGCATAAACTGGTCACCCGGGGCTAGAAACGGCTGGTTGGGGGGAAAGGGATCAGCAGATCCAGCCTATTGTGATGAGGTGAGGGTACATTCAGGTGCCGAGAAGTGAGGACGGAGCGGATGAAGCTGCTGTGTGGATTGCTTGTCTCCCATGGGTGCTGAATCCTAGGAGTAACTCAGATGGCCTTTTTGAGCATGTTGGTCACGTGAGCGAATTAATGCAAATGGAATGAACTTCACCGGGGAATCGAACGCCTATCAAAAAAGTATTACACCGTCGATGCGCAAGATCGAAAAACAAGTCCAGGAAGATAGAGACAACCGGCACGCAGAACAAGGGGAGATGATGGGGCAAAGGGGTGGAAAAAACAGAGGATTGCCTTATGGTCCGTACCAAGGAAAAGGCAGGGTAGCGTGAAAATATCCGTTCGGCAGACATGCCCACAATGCTCGCCCACACCGTCCGATCAGCTACCTCGAAGATCTTGCGAGTAAGAGAGTTTCCGGGTTTCTTCTGAAGAGCTTCCGTCCGCTCGGCCGTATCGGGAAAACTGTCCGTGATTGTCCAAGATTGTGATGTTGGATGACCCTCCGCTGAACGCCTTGTGTTTGCCGTGTAGAAAGCTCTAACATGCGGAGTGGATGAAGGAAGAATTGAGAAAGCGGACAGGTATCTCCTCGATCAAGACGCAACGAACAGCATCCGCGATTTGACCGTGAGGAAAGCTCCAAGGCACATCAACAGCCACAGATGGCAGGATGGCTATCGACTCGGGAATGTTGTAGCGGCGGCAGTCAAAGTGATATCTTAGTCTACAAGATCAAGCACTTCTTCTTCTTGATGGTCCGAGTAGTGAGCGCAGCGCGTGTGGCATGTTCGAAGACCTCGCGGACACCTTCGTTGGTTTTTGCGGAGCACTCGAGGTACTTCACGGCACCGATCTTCTTTGCAACTGCGTCGGCCTGAGAAGTATTGTTAGCCTCCATGCGTGTGCATGTCTCGCAGCGAAGACCATCCCCCATCCGCTGCAGATGTGGATACGTACCTGCTCAGGCGTGACCGGCTTCTGCGATGTCTTGTGAAGCTCCTCGATGGTCTTCTGATCGTATCGCAAATCCTTCTTGCAGCCAACGAGTATGATGGGGAGACCCTGGCAGAAATGTAGGACTTCGGAGATCCACTGCAATTGCGATAAAATGTCAGCATCTGAGTCGATCGAACGTTGGGGAGACTGTGATCGACCGTACCTTCTCCTGAACGTTGTCCAGCGAATCGGGCGAGTCTATGGCGAAGCAGATGAGGATTACATGGGAGTCAGGGTATGACAACGGCCTGAGACGGTCGTAGTCTTCTTGTCCAGCGGTATCCCATAGTGCCAGTTCGACGTGTTTGCCATCAACCTCGACGTCGGCAACGTAGTTCTCAAAGACGGTGGGGACGTAGACCTGTCAGCAATCCTCCGTCAGTTTATTCATGACCGGTGTGTGCACTGTGGCATGGTAGGTGATCGACAGCGCGGATGCGACCCGAGCTGACGCAGCTCGGCAGGCCGGGAGAGGGACGCAAGGAAGAGATCTCACCTCCGGGAAGGTGCCCTTGGAGAACACGCTGAAGCAGTACCGCGTTAGCCCACGAAGAAGTGAGATAGGAAGAGCCAGAGCCTCGCGCTGAAAGGAGCAAACACTCACATGAGGAGACAGGTCTTTCCGCAGGCGCCGTCACCGACGATCACGAGCTTGCGCCGGATTTCTGCCATCTGGACGAGTCAATGAGGGGACTGAGGCGTTGACGATGGTACGATGGAGGTGCTAGCAAGGTGGTTGTCGTCGTGGGTTCGGAAGAGTTGTTGAGGTACGGTGGAAAGGTGGTGTGGAGGGTCGAGCTAGGCAAGAACGCTGCACTGACCTCTCAGGGCTTTGCGGTGCGGCTGTGTTTGCCTCTAGCCTAGAAACACAATGAGGCGTTGCGTATCGACAACGGGAGACCCTGGAACGTGCGACGGCGTGTGATGGGCGGGTTGAAGGTGGATGTGGCAGTTGCAGATGAGTGTTTTGGTCGAGCGGGTCGAAGGTGAAGGAGGTGGACAGGGCTTGCGCAGACGAAACGGCTGCTAATGAGGTTGCTGGGGTCAAGTTTAGTGTTGACGATTGAAAGCAGGCGCCGACTGGGCGACTGATAGACGTCGCTATCTGGTGTTTAATTATGCGCAAGCTTGTGCCCAGGCGTGTTCCCCGTGCCGACCGCCGACCGACTGTCAGTAGCACAGTAACTTGGCCTCTGAGACTGCGAGATTGGTATCAACAGCATTCATTCAGTAGTTACTTTTGAATCATATGCATGCACGTGGCATGTTGCACTTCACGGATGCACCTGACTGCCGACGACTACGGGGTAGATCAATCTTCTGGATACCTAGATACTTGACTTTCACTTCACATCACTGGGGGACAAGGCTCATTCCAAGGCTGATAGAGATCTATTGAGCTTGGGTTCGATACACAATTCGAGCTGCCACTTGCGCACGTGCCCAGCAGTGTATGCCCAGCCTTGCAAGACGCGCGGTGGGTATATGAAACAGGTCTTGACTGAGGAGGATTCCTCACATCGTGCACCCACCTGCCCTTCCGAACGTCATGGCCTACAGCAGGCCTGGCAGCATGGAATGCTCTAGCAGGAGAACCGAAACGCATTCTGGGCGAGGTGATCCTGCCGCTATATTTCCTAAGAGTTACGCCGGGGACGCCCACCTGCACAACCCATCATGCGTAAAAAGCTTGAAATCATTACAGGTCATTGGTCAGGCGATGTTCTAGGGCAGAGACGCCGACCAACAGTCTCACTTTGAGCACTTGTGCGGCGGGCAATGTCTTCTACAAGGCTGGAAGCACCATCTGGTGCTACCTAGGTAGGTATGGTTGCCAGATCACGAAGCGGCTCCTACACAGCGCGGCGGCCGGGCCGTGTGGCTTTTGAGCCGCGAATTCAAGCGTCAGAGATTCGACGAAGCGCGGCTGGCATGTGTGGTTCCATTGAAACAGTCGTTTCTCCCTGTCGTCATCCTCACGTAAGCCTGGTTTGGCTACTCAATTTTTCGCGCTGTCACTCGACAGCTTTCACAGCCCGATTTTGAATTGAAATTCCAAGATTCAAAGTCTCTCTCGAAGTCAGTTTATGATCATGGGAATATTTGATTCGCTACACGCCGTTGCGGACTGGCTACTTTCGTGCGTCAAATTGGTATATCAATCCATCTGCCCGTAGCTTGCACGGGACTGACAACGACCAGGCTCAAAACCGCGAAATAGGATGGCAAACCGTGGACCGCAAAGTATGTGTTAGAAATGTATTCAACATGGAACTGTCATCGAGCTGGAGTCGAAATCATACATCTATAAGAACATCGAGATCCATTTCATACACAAGTCATCCTAGATGATCGATGCACAAAAGGGTGAAACTGCTGAACTACCCGGTGCTACCCTGATATGGAACCGGTCTGGTGTTCTTACCGCGACATGGTTGCAAGTCCAGCTTGGTCACAAGTCTGTGTTGAATACGCGAGATGGCTCCTTCACCTGAATCTACCTAATAACCCGCTGCAGTCTGGCAAATTCATCCGCGAGAAACAGCCGTTTCTCAAGAAACTAAAGTACGTGACTTTTTTATGCCGGGCACGGGCCACCCAACGCGAGAGGTTGCTGGTCCCGCCTGCGAGGGTGAGCGTAGCGCAGCGCAGCGATCACGGGCGGCGGCCAGCATTCTTAGCATCTTTTGCCGAACGACTCGGTTTGGTCTTTTGGTGTCTTCAATCTGACCTTGCTTGTTTAGACTTCTTGTTCTCTTCAACCCGTTAACAGAATGGCTTGATACCACTCACATCATGCGCCTGTATATGCACAACAAGGCCATCGGCGAAGGGAAGAAAGAAGCGTCTCCAAGATCAAAAGAGAAGATTAAAGGTTTCGTTGATTTTTACCACATCAACATGGACGACTTCGAGCCCTCCGATATCGACGCATACGACAACTTCGAGGATTTCTTCGTCCGAGCTCACAAGCCTGGCTCTCGTCCTATACACCGCAAGGACGATCCCAGCGGCGCCGTGGTAGTTGCCGACTCCCGGGCTGTAGTCTACGAAACGGTTGCGGAAAGCAAGAAGCTCTGGATTAAAGGCAGCGATTTCTCCATCACCAACCTTGTCATGGACAAGCAGCTCGGGCCAAAGTTTGCCGATGGGTCTGTCGCGAGCTTCCGGCTCTCGCCGCAAGACTACCACCGCTACCATAGCCCCGTGACTGGCACTATCAAGTGTTTTAGGAGCATGCCTGGTGACTACTACGACGTCGACCCCTGGGCTTTGCGGAGTGACGTAGACATCCTCACTCGAAACGCCAGGGACTACGTTGTGATTGATTCCGAAGAATTCGGCGAGGTGCTCTTTGTTGCGATCGGCGCGGTTGAGGTCGGCACTGTCAAGTATACATCCGCTTCTGCACCTTCAGCATGGGACACTGCTGACTGTGGACCAGGATCCATGACGAGTGGCAAAAGCCAGGCAGCAAGATCACCAAGGGTGATGAGCTGGGCATCTTCCAGTTCGGCGGCTCGTCAATCATTGTTGCCTTCCAAAAGGGTAGGATCCAGTTTGACGAAGATCTCCTTTCCGTCAGCAGGCGCGCTATTGCTATGGATGTCGAGGTCGGCATGAGTCTTGGACGGGCTGTCGGGAGGGAATCTTGAATGCTCAGATCTTTGAAAGATGAGGGCACGCAGAGGGGGGAATCTAAACGGGGCTGCCACGCCGTGTAGTCACAGCCGGAAGATTTCAGTCGAGATCCGCATGAGGATCGCATACACGCGCGCGGTTCAGCGTCTTCGTCTTCATACAAGTACATGAACGTGTTGGATGCCCGTCGAAGCACTCGTTAAGTAGAGCACCTGTGACCTCTGTTGGTAAATGTCGGAGAATTTGTTTAGGCGACATGCGTTCATGTGAACCCCGGGACGATGGTGTCTCAGCTTGCTGTACTCTACCTAGGTAATAGCTTGGAACTGACTTACTTAGTAATCCTATCAAGTACCGTCATAGAATGTTCGAGCGCACAAAACACAACCACGGTTGGTCCATCGTTTACTAGAGTACCTGAATTACTTGTAAAGCGGAGAGGCGGCGATTAGCGATAGGGTTCCGTAGACCATTATTGTAACATGGACTACCCAATGACGAGCATCCACCACAGCTTGTGAATAGCTGCTTCACCTGCCTTACTACGCGTTGCCATCTACTTATCCCCACACCATCGCTTGCACTCTGATAACCTACTCATAAAAGTATCTCGCGAAGCACCCATATCCCGCCATCGCCTTCATCCTCCTCGGTCATCCTATGGCAGACATCCAGTCAGACGCGGACAAGGTAGCTGTATGATCTACGCAGCCTCAACAGGTAGCTAACTTTTCTAGATCCGCAACAAGCGTTTAGCAAAGCTTGGAGGGCAAGGGCCGTCACAACCGTCTTCAACGAGCTCAACACCACCTGCAGCAGCTTCCGCGACGCCGCCAGAAGCCGAGAACGAGAGTGCGCTTCCAGCACCACAAGCGCGGACAGACAGCCCCAGCTCCAACGGCGTGCCGAGCAGCGACGTGGTCAGCCAAACTACACCAGTGTCCATACCACGACCAGCGAGCGGCATCACGATCACGTCGAAGACCTCGATACCTCAGAAGCGGGAGATTGATGATGGGCGACCACGGTCCCGGCAAGGTCGTAGGGAAACACTGGAAGAATGGGAAGACCATACGCTGGGAAACATCTTCAAGGTCACGCTCGATCCGAGGGCAGCACATGACGCCCATGGCAACGCGTTGATATTCCTGGAGGGCGTTAGGTCGGACCTAAAGAGTGAGGGGGCGCCGATACGGCTGAGCATAGGAGTACTGGATCAGGCAATTACAGAGGCTGCCTCCAGCCCGTCAGCCGGGACGCCTCTCGACTACCTTCTGGGATGCTGGAAACGCGTATCGAGATTCTACCGAAGCCTGCGCAGTGGCGAGAAGGATGACCCCAAGTACAATATCATTAAAGAAGCGCGGCGGCTCTGCATGAGCTACTGTATCTTTGCGGTCACGCTTCCGGAGATGTTCGGGCAAGAGCCCTCTGAGGTGAATCCGCTCGCGCAGCACCTGCTTGTGGACCCCGATAACGATCGCGGACTGTGCCATGACTTCCTGTCGGAGGCTGTATCACGCTTCTCCGAAGATGACAGCGTAAGAGAAGCACTGGTAGGGGCCGTGGAGCAAATCAGCCGGGATATGTCGAAAATGACCATGAACGACAACTACAAGCCATACATTCTGGTATGTCCAGCGAAGCGTCTGTTTCGTTCATCTGCTAACTCTCGCAAGGCTCTACGAAACTTCGTTCGATACCCTCCTCTCTTAGAAGCCCTAGCAAACTCTGAACGGTTCCTACCGGCGGATGTCGCCCCGCAGGATATCGAGACCGACACCCTCCTTGGCCCTTTCTTCCGTCTGTCTCCAACACAACCGGAAGTCGCTCTAAATTACTTCTCCAGCCCGAAGACGCGAGACAAGGCGTACATTCTCAACGCACAGAAGGCTCTTCGTATGAGTTTGCAGACTCATCAAGACGAGCTGTTTGAGATTGCCAACCATTTCGTCCGAAATAAACTCGCCAGAGAGAGAATTCTGGATTGGTTCGCTCTGGTCGTCAATTCGAATCATAAACGGAGGGCGCTTCGTCCCGATCCTAATCACATATCCTCGGATGGGTTTATGATCAACGTGACTGTCGTACTTGACCGACTCTTTGAGCCGGTCATGGACGCTACATTTTCGAAAATTGACAGGATAGACGTCGAATATCTTCGAAGAAACCCCCGCGTATCCATCCAGGACGAGACGAAGATAAACGCTGATCAGACGACGTCGGACAGATATTACGCTCAAAAAGCCGAGGGCACAACGAACTTCATCACAGAGGTCTACTTCCTTGCAGTGGCCGCACATCACTACGGGACGGAAGCAGCCAACATACATCTTGTGTCGCTGCAACGGCAGATCAAGCAGATGGAGAAGGAGATCGAGAGGTTCGAACTCGAGCGACACAAATTTGTTGCGAACCCCCACGCACTATCCGAGTTTGAGAGGCATCTGAAGAAATACAAGGACCAGCTTGAGCGGTCCCAATGCGCCATCCTGGCTACACAGGGCGTGCTCCTCGACGAGACGGCCCAGGGACGATCAATGCAGATCATGCGATATCTCATTGTCTGGCTGTTGCGGCTGGTGTCGCCCGGTGTCAATTACCCTAAGCAACCACTGCGGCTCCCGCTGCCGAAAGAGCAGCCTGAAGCCTTCAAATGCCTACCAGAGTATTTCGTGGAGGATCTGGTGGACAACTTCAAGTTCATCACGCGCAACATGCCCCACATTATCACTTCGACACAATGCGAGGAGCTGATGATGATTTGCATTACGTTCTTGCAGAGCTCTGAGTACATCAAAAATCCGTACCTCAAGTCGGGTTTGGTCACCATTCTCTTCAACGGAGTCTGGCCCATATATGGACGTCCAAAGGGTGTTTTAGGGGATGTCCTGCTGGGCTCCAGGTTCGCTGAGCAGCATTTGCTGCACGCCCTCATGAAATTCTACATTGAGGCTGAGAGTACCGGCACGCATACACAGTTCTTTGACAAGTTCAACATCCGCTACGAGATCTTCCAGGTCATCAAGTGCATCTGGTCGAATCCAGTGTACCGGCAGAACCTGGGCACGGAGTCGAGGTAAGCATCATTCCATCCATATGATTATGGAGTAATATACTGTGGAGAACAGGATTGCTGATCTCTTTCCAGGGTAAATGTGGACTTCTTCGTCCGTTTCGTGAACTTGCTCCTCAACGACGTCACTTTCGTGCTCGACGAGTCCTTCACCGCATTCAGTCAAATCCACAATCTCTCCAAAGAACTCTCATCTGGCGAGACCCTGGACGAAAACGCGCGCAAAGAGAAAGAAGAAGCCCTAGAAGCCGCCAAAGGCCGCGCCAAGAGCTACATGCAGCTCACAAACGAGACGGTAGCCATGCTCAAGCTCTTCACCGAAGCGCTAGCCGACTCCTTCACGATGCCCGAAATCGTGCAGCGGCTGGCAGACATGCTAGACTACAACCTCGACGCGATGGTCGGACCCAAACAGTCAAACCTCCGGATCGAAAACCCGCAAGAGTATAACTTCAACCCGAAACAGCTCCTCGCCGAGATCATCGACGTGTACCTCAACCTCCGCGAGAAGGAAAACTTCATCCTCGCTGTCGCGCGTGATGGACGCTCCTACAAGCCCTCGAACTTCGCGCAAGCAACGACCATCATGAAGCGCTTCGCGCTCAAGTCCCCTGAAGAGCTCGACGCGTGGGAAGATCTGGCCTCCAAGATCCAGGCCGCGAAGGAGGCGGACGAGCAGGCCGAAGAAGACCTCGGGGAGATCCCAGATGAGTTCCTGGATCCGCTTGTGTACACCCTTATGGAGGACCCGGTCATCCTGCCCAGCTCGAGGACGACGATCGATAGGTCGACGATCCGCAGCCATCTGCTGAGCGACCCAACAGATCCGTTTAACAGGGTCCCGCTGAAGATCGAGGATGTGAGGCCGGATGTTGAGATGAAGAAGCGGATTGATGCGTTTAGGGCGGAAAAGCGGGGGGCCAGGCGTGTGCCGGGTGCGGGGGATGAGCCGATGGACACGTCTTAGGAAACCGAGGTTCTGGGAATGTTGTATGAATGGATGGAGGGGATCCAGGCGTAGAGTAGTTTGCATTGCGTGGCGTCGGGGGTATGAGCAGGCTAGACATTTCAAGGGTCGGTCAGGTAAGCCGGTGCATCAAAGGCACGACTCACACCCATACAGATCGCGCATCGGCACAAAGAATGCATTTGGTATCGCAATGCGAACTACGCAAGGCCCTGAGTGACCACATCAACATCATTGATCCTTCGTGTGCAGAGGGAGACAACCAGGCGGCTCGTTCGCCCACAACGCCCCAAAGTCCCAACGCTCCAACACCATCCACGAGGTGGCCACCTGTACAATAATATCGAGGATACCCACACGCAATCCCACCCATCAACTAACCCTTCCACCTTCCCTCACCGCTGATACCCCAACTCCCCCAACCTTCTGCAACTCCTCATATCCATCCTCCTCGCGCGTTCCATACGTTCCTGATCCACATAAAACCACCCTTGCGCATCCTGCATCAACCTCATGCGCGCCTGCTGCTCACGCTCACACTCCCCATCCAGCTTCTGCACATAGCGCACCTCAGCAACCTTATCCAGCTCCCTCCACCGCTTGTTCCCGAAATCCTCCACCTCGGCGGGATTTACATAGTAGGGCACTTTCAGCCGCCCGCTCAGCCGCTGCTGCGTGTAGGGCGGGGAGGGGCTGTCGAAGCGCACGGAGGGGCCGGTGGGACTGCTGGAGCCGGAGAAGAGGGAGGAGAGGAGGGGGAGGATGAAGAGGAGGAGGAGAGGGAGGAGCGAGGTTAGGGCCGAGGTTGCGGTCGGGGGTTGTTGGGGTTGCGACGGGTCAGGGCGACGCCTTGGGCGGCCGCCGCCGAACTGGTGGACCCGGATTCCGGGGCCGCCGTTTAGGTTGAAGACGAAGCCGGGGCCGGTGTCGAAGAGGCCGCCGCCTGTGGGGGGAGGTTAGCGTGTGGAAATGATGTGGTGAGGAAGGATAGGACGTCATAGCCGCTGTTGGCGGGACGGGGAATCAGGCTTAAGAGCGAATGCATCGTCTCGTCCTGCCGCTCTCTCTGCCTCTGGCTCCGCTCCCAACTACGCTTGTCATTGTTCGAGTACCGAAAGTGATTCGACTTACCAAACGGTCCACCACCAAATCCACCCATTCCTCCACCGAAGAATTGCCTAAACATCTCCTCAGGGCTTATCTCCTCCTCGAACATCGGCCCTCCTCTCGAACCAAACCCGCCGCCTGACCGCCCAAACCCGCTGAAAGGCGACTCGCCGGCCGATGCGGAGGATGCAAAGCGGTTATCAGGATCGCCCCCAAACTTGTCGAATTTGCTGCGTTTATCGGGATCGGAAAGGACTTGGAAGGCTCTTGAAACCACTATACAACGAACCGTCCCGTCAGCATGCCATCCAAACTACCACCGTCGCTGCACCGCTCTCTCTATCCCCACCTCCGTACCCTCCCTCCCCTCTCCCTCCTCACAAACCCGCCAGAAAAGCCCAACCTACTTTTAAAAGCCTCGTCCGCGCCCTCAAACCCATTCTTATCCGGATGCGTAAGCAAGCTCAACTTCCGATACGCCTTCTTGATCTCGCCATCCGAGCACGTGGCTTTAACCTCTTCAAGCCCTAATATCTCGTAGAAGGCTGTGGGCGCGCACTTGCGGATGCGTACCACGGCCGTCTTTTGCTCGACTGTGAAGGCCCGCCCGGAGCTGCCGTCGTGGTGCGCGCGGTTTTTGGCGTCGCCGTTGGGGGTGGGGTCGGCGCCGGAGGCGCGGGCGGACATTGTTTGTGTGTGGAAGAGGGGATTGAGGGTTGGGGGTCGTGGAGGGGGGTTGAGATGTGGGAGGGCGAGGCCGGGTGGCCGGTGGGGTGGAGGGAATCAGGCGCGGAGCGGCGGTGTTTGGGATACAGGCGGAGGCCTCAGCAATGGCGAGCGTGTGGTGATTTAGTTGTGAGTTTCGATATTGGTTGCAGGGCAGTAAAGGTTGACATGGATGCCTCCCCAAAGAAGCCACTGGTCCCTTCAGATGTTGCCCGCGCGGCTAGAAGCGACGGAGCCGCCGCGCGTTGGCCTTAGTGCCTGATCGGGCAAAGCCGCCGCCTCGATGACGCCGGAGAGCTCGACCGAGCTTGAAGCTGCGACGCTGCACACACAGCACACGACCACTCACTCCCACCACCACAATGGCCGACAAGAAGACCGAGGAGCAGGTCAAGGCCGGCGCGCTGCAAACGCTGCGGACATGGGGCGGTACGCGCACACATCCTCCTCACCACCCTCCTCCCTCATCACCACCCCAATCCCACACACCTCCGCCGCTCCCTCAAGCTCAAACACCAGCACAACTACTAACGCCCGCCCCCCCAGAAAACCCCCTCCCCCCAACCCTCCTCGCAACGCTAGTAACAGCTCAGCACATGCGTCCCTTCCAAGCGCTCCCGATGCTCTTCCCCCCCGCCCTCCTCTTCGCGACATACATGAACCTCAACTCCTACAAGATCGATAGCGCGGGCTTCACGGCTGCGCTGAGTGGGCTGTACTTTGTGCTTGCGCAGCGGAGGAAGCAGGTATGTTTCTTCCCCCCCCCCCCCCCCCCGCCCGGTCTTCGCGCCAAACCCGGGCTTGGTGCGGTCACGAGTGGGCGAACAGTGGCTTACTTGGGGGTCGTGTGTGGTAGAAATTCGCCAACAAGTTCGGCGCGAGGGGCCTTATTAGGGGGGCAACGCTGGGGCTTTGTGCGGCTAATGTCGCGGGCTGTGGTGTTGCGTATGCGTTTGGGAGTCGGCGGATGGAGGAGGCGGCGAGGTAGTTGTGTGAATCATGTGGCAGTGGGCATAGTATGGGGGTTCTGTCCTGCCCACCTGGCAGCTCAAGGGCGCCAAAGTGGATCCGGTCGTACGCGACGTTCTACTACTACTACTGAGTGACGGTAAAGGATGTCCCTTGGATCAAAAACTTGGCGAGATTCGAAGGCGGTAAGGTTTGTACATGAATGGTCGAAGGTGCACTAGGAGAAACACCCCATAGGGAGGTAAGGTGTGTATTGAGGGTATTCTAGTCACATTCATATGCAGATATCTCCTGTACACGCAAAGAACTTGTTTGTACAATCTCTATCGCTACATTTCTTGACTCTTTTCCTGCCGGACAAGCACACAAGAGCCTCCCCCAATGCGCAACAATGCAGTGGGAAACAGCAGAAAACCGAGACGTAACGCGAATGGCATAAGAATTCAAACAGACGTCAACGCTAGAAACAGGTATGAAGATGCTACAGATGCAGTAAGAACAGGTTGTCCAGATGCCACTCCACGGCGCGCAAAGACAAGACAGAGAGGAGTCTATTGTTCCGCAATGAAACCAGGATATACAAAAACATCAGAAGCCCTTCCGTGGGCATCATGCGCCGTATAGCAATTTTGCGATGCAATATCCCCGGCGCCATCTGAGCGCCTCGCTAGAGTAACGACAGTCCATCCCTCCATGAGCCATTAACAGAAAGATAAAAACAAAAACGGTGACAATCGCAAGTGGTATCCTAAAGCGCCGAAACTAAAGAAGCTGCAAGGCCGAGGAACATTCAGCCAGGAGGCTGTGGGCGCGTATGTAGATCGTGAGGGGAAAATCTTCTTCGTGCTATGTTTCGTAAGGAGACATCTACTTCGTGGAGACGTGAAAGAAATGATGTAGCTCAATCGTCAACCTCAAGCTGGCTACGCGGCACCTTCTTAACCGTGCCGTTGCTGCCACTTCTGGCGGACTTGATTGAAGAGGCGCCGCTCCCATGCACAGCATGTTTGCGAGCGAGCTGCGCGTTCGAGATGCTGTTGCTCCTGATGTGTCCTGCGCCTTTGTGCTTCCTCGGGTTCATCATCAGTAGCTCATCCTCGTCTGAGTCGTCCTCATCCTCGCTCTCCACGGCGTGGTCGCCAGCGTAGCCGTCGTCTTCCTCCAGTGTCCGATCCGGAGGGTTTGCCGTCTCGCCAGAGGAGTAGTTGGCTGCGGAATTGTATCCTTCGGTCGCAGTGTCGCCTGACGAGTACTCAGCCGCCTCACTGTGTTTTCTAAGCGTAACTCCGTCATCTGGCACGATAGACGATGACGCGGAGATCACAGATGGGATAGACGGGTTCGACGTCGACTGCGACAGTCTTGACGCGAAATGATCCTCGGAAGAGTTCGATGTCACCGGCCCGGACTGTAAGCCCAGCGGGTAGCTGGTAGGGCTCGTCTCCAACGGAGAAGCCTGGTCAGCCTGCGCTTTCGTCATCTCTTGCCGCAAAAAAATCTGGTCGTCCGGACTTGGTGGGCAAGGTCCTTGGCCTAGCGCACTTGTTGGCCTCGAAAAGTGGGCGGAGCCGGGCCGGTCGCGATCAATGCTGTCTTCCAGTACCCGTCGCCGCCACTGCTCCTCTCTAGCCCTTGTGATCCTGTCATCCGAAGTTTCACGGGGAAGGGATGAGCAAGCACCAGTAGCTTGTGGCGGACTCTGGTGAGGTTGCGGTGGGTCTGCACGTGATTGTCGGCGCGATGGCCTGGAGGATGCAGATGACAGAGATGAGTGCCGAGAGACGATGTTGTCTGTTACATGGAGGTTCCGCTGAGGGGATGTTGGGCTTGCAACAGAGCTTGGCGCCGGTGATATCTCCTGTAACGCTTCAGGGAGGTTGACGTGGCCTTCGGCGACAGCGTTGCTTAGCGCAAGGCTAGGCTCCCCGTGTGCGTCAGTGTTGCGATCCATTACACGATCGATGGACTTTGTTCGTTCCTGATCCGCTTGAGTGGTAGAGCTCCGCTCTCTACTCCGCATGTTTCTTATGATACGCCGGCCTGCACCGCCTAAGAGACCGCTCAGGCTTGAACTGCTCGCCGTGTCTAGGGCGATGGGCGTACTCAGTGGTGGCGGCGGTACCGCATGGGAGACTGCCCGGTCCGTCCTAGGAAGATCGGATGGCTTGATGGTCTTTATTGACGCGGAGGTCGACTTTGCACGCTCCATTACAGGTCTTTTTCTGTCAGTAGGACCTGCGGTACGATTGACTTTCTCGGAGCTGTCATTAGGCGTCTCTGGCCGCGATGATGGCTGTGAGGAGGGTTCGAGGAAAAACTGAGAATGCTCCTTGGGTTCGGGGCTGGCCGTTACGCTCTGGGAAAGCGGATGCTCGCCTTCTGCTCTGGACGCTTTGAGAGCGGAGAAAAGCTGCTCATCCACCTTCAAGCTTGGACGCCGGGCGTCCTGACTAATGGTGCTGCTTGATGAAGCGGCAGATGGTGGGCCAGTATCAGGGTTCGTTGCGGAGCTCTGCGCACGCTTCCTTGACTTATCGCCTTTGCCCAAACCCAAAGCGCCTCCAAGCCGCCGAATCCCGGACCGAGTACCCGATAGCATTCGCTCAATGAGGTTGAGTGGGACGACGGCTTTGTCGACATCTTCCTTCGAGACCTCGATCCTCCTGCCATGTTCGCGCCGATCGACATTCGTCAATTCGAGCCAAGCACGTGCATCTAGATCGGCAAGAAGCCAAGAGTGGCACTTGACTTCGTGTAGGGTAATGCGCCGTCGAGGGTCCTTTTCAAGCAGCCGTCTCAAGAGGTGATGTAGGTCTTCGCCAATGTCCTCGTACTCCAGGTCATGCGGCGCCCTTTTGTTGCTATTCATGGGCATTAGCCGGCCGTGCGAACTGGGCCTTGAGCGCACGCCCTCATCAACTGCCTTGAGCCTCTGCCGGGGTATGTAGACCGGATCCTCCGATATCCGTCGCATCAAAGCGAAAGTGTCGTTGGCATGAAATGGCACGCGGCCGAAGACAAGGCAGAACAGCGTAACACCCAATGCCCACACATCTATCTGTCCAGTGACAGGTGGGGCTTCGACGTCCGGATCAGGATCTGTCTGACAGAGTTCGGGAGCATAGAAGGCAGGTGTGCCCACTGTCTTTGCCAACTCAACCGCCTCATCGATATCAGCGGCATCTGATTCTGACAGTTCCCCATTGGCATAGTCTCCGAGTCCCCTCCCAAGGTACGAAACGCCAAAGTCTGAGATTTTGATCTTGTGGTCCCTGGTCTGAAGAAGGTTCGCCGGCTTGATGTCGCGATGGATGACGCCTTGGAAATGAAGATACTCCAGCCCAAGAACGGTATCCCTAAGAACCTGCCTCGCTGCTGACAGGGTCATAACTGGGACGTAACGAAAGTGTTCTGGTATTTCGCCACCGTCATCGGCCCATGTAGGCCCCGAAGCAGCGCTGCCAGCAACACTCGGCGTCCTGCCACGAGCCACGACCGGTTCGTATGCGCCATACATCGTCCCTTCCAGGCCTGTCGGAGACACAGAACTCGGTTTATCGGTCAGTCCCTTCAGCGATGAGTTTGAGGCCTTCGACCGCTCAAGAGCCTCCTCTCCATCCTTGGTGAGCGTAGCCATTTCGTCTTCGGCGAGGGGCGGCATTGGAGAGGGTGATGCTGCGAGCGTATGTCTGTTGGCCAATACTTCAAGCCCTTCTCCGCGTTCCCGTTCGCTGCCCGCAGTTGATACCCGAGACGCTGTGTCGAAGTCAGAGATATCATCGTCGGTGTCACCGCCATGCTCCAGACTCCAGGCCTCTGGACCTGCGGCTCGCATGGCCCGACGCTGAATCTCCCGTGCCCGCCTCCTTTCTTTCTGTTCACGGCGTCTGCGTGCAACCTGGAGGATCCTCTCATCCTCCATGGCAGCAGCAGCGTTGTCGAATATTCCTGCGGCCTCCCGTTGAATACGATGGTACTCCACAAGAGCGATTTCCTTCTCAGCCTCGTGCCGCCATTTCACCTCCCCAAGCTCGACATGCTCAAGAATGATATAGACCTTTCGAACTGCAGGATCGTCAATGACCTCCAGCAGACTAACAATGTTGTCGTGGCGCGCCTTTTTCAGGATAGCGATCTCCTTTTTGATCTTGTCCTCTTGGCTTGTGTTCTTGCCCAGGCGTCGCTTCTTCGAGTATCGCTCAACAATCTTGATCGCGACATATTGTCCTGTCTGCAGATTGCGGCCGAGTTTCACTTTACCATGGACGCCACGGCCCAACTCATCGATGACCTCATAATGATTGATAACTTTACGGCCTGAGATAGGGTCAACGTCTACATCTGCGATGTGGGTTTCCTTGGGTGCTTGTCGCTGCGTGAAGTGCAGATAGGGGCTGGAGTAGAAGCCATGCTCATCCGGTAGTCCTAGTAAAGGCCTAGCGGGTGGTGTCGAGGGAGTGAAAAGTCCCGGGCTTCCAATAGGAGAGTTGCCTGCAGTTCTTGTCCGAGTTTCGCCGAAGCCATGGTCTTGAGGGTGTCCAGAAGCGACTGCATGGCTAGGTGGGTGATGTCCAAGATCCGATGGGTGGCAGCTCAAGGCCCTGGAGAGCTGGCGCGGATGATATGAAGAAGGATAGCGCTGTGACTGCAGCGCCGAGTATGCCTGGTTTGGATATTCTCGATGCGGTAGTTGCGAAGCAGATGACCGCATAAGATGGTCGAGGACAGAACCTTTCACGGTAGTGCTGCTGGCGGTTGAGGAGTCTGAGAAATCTCTGTGCACGCTTGGACGTTCGTTGTGTTCTGCAGTAGATGATGGGGATGGATGTTCAAGATGTTTATCGATAGATGTGGTAGATGCGTTCAAGCTCTGGATCGGTGACGTGTCTGCTGATGCTGGAGCCGATGTAGGTAGATAGGTAGGGTAGACTCTCATTGGCCTCGGCGAGAAGTAATTGCCAGTGGTCGAGCCGTAGTAATCCGCGGGTGTTTCTGCGCAGGACGGGGCTTCCGGCGCTTCGGACCGAGGGGTAATGTCAGATTCGTTGTCAGAGGCTTGTGGTTGTCGTGGTGAAGGCTCCCGCACGGTGTTCGCTCCATGGTCATTTGTGGGCGGTCCTTCTGCCTTCTTTAAGATGCGTTTCAGCTCAGACTCCACCTGACCCAGATAACAGACAGAAGACGTAGGTGAATTGCGTGTGTGTTGTTCCTCCTCTTGCCCGAGCATGCCACCACTCTCTGCGCCTGGCGCGTTCATGTCTGCGTACTGTCCCTCAACGCAAGCCCGCTCGTCTCTTCTGTTCAAAACCACGCCTCAAACTCCCACCTGCCCCACTCTTATCAACTGGCTTCGAAACGCGGACCAAGTGTTACAGTGGCGGCCGTATCATCCTGCAACCGCTCTGGAGTAGGAACGGGGGAGTTCGAAGGGTAGTCTGCTGAGGGGTAGACTATTATTATGGATAACAGGATCCGACAAGAGGTGCGACAAGTGGTTGCGTGAACAAGTGTGGCCAGCCAGGCTCGTGCGTGTTGAGAGATGGTGTGGTGATTCTTAGGGTAAGCTCGTGATGGTGTGTTTGTTGACCAGGTCGAGTCTGCCACTCCGGTACGCCGCAGATTGGAACAGGATTTCACTCGATTCGCAACACGAGAGTCACAGCGAAGACGGTTGAGTGAGTCCACGTTCAGCCAGATGAGGGACGGAGGCGGGCTCTTTCGCTGAGGAAGCCAAAGCGAGGATCGTAGTCGAAAGTGACGATAGCTGGGTGCGTGGGTCCCCGGACCGATCTAATCTAGCACGTCTGGCAAGCGCTGCTATTCGTCTTCATCGCGCTCCGTGGAAAAGCGACGCCCAACAAGAGGAGCGGCGGGGAGGGAAAGCGCACTTGGCGGCTGGCCGATTAACAAGCAGCGGGAACTGGATCGGGCACAGTTTGTCAATTGAGGCATGTACAGTCACGAAGAGCGCAGCACCTCAGCGTTCTGGGAGGGGGAGGGGGGGGGAGGGGGGGTTGAAAGACGGCGCCGCAGCCCACCCCTCGCATGAGAAGAGACCGACAGGCCTCAGCTAGTCAACTCAAAATCTAGCCCTATTGGGTGATGAGCGGGTTGAGGACCGGGGGCTGTTGCTGACCGGGGCTCCCTTCACCCACGCGTTTTTGTGCTCTCGCCATTCGCCATGATGGTCTGCAGCCACACGGCAGGCGCAACTTGGTGCGGTTTGAATTCCCCCAGCTTTTGCAGTGGCTGGGCCCAACAAGAACGGCCGAGTCGTCCCAGATACCACTGCGCCTGGAGAACTCCATGTGGAGAATGAGTTGCTGCTCTCTCCAGCGCCGCTTGGCCGGTCGTTGAGGCGAATAACCAACCCGAGGCCGATGCATGCAGGCATCGGGCAGGGAAAAAATAATCTTTCACGCATCGCAGACTCGGCAAACAACGCAGAGCGGCATGCAAAGGAGAACCTTAACATTCAGGCCTTCAGCCCGGCCGCCGATTACACGCAGCTGCCTCTCCACAGGCGCCCAGGAGCTCCACAGCTCCCGGAAGCGACGGGTTCCGCTTGTAGCTAGGTACATAGTCGTGCATACAGTCGTCGAGAAATATTTGACAGCCGCGTTCAGCGCTCCGATATGCGACATGGCGATGGCGAGTCGCTTCAGCTCTGGCAAATGGCGTGTTTTTCGAATATCACTTTCTTCAACAGTCAAACGCTTTGACGCGATTGGTCGAATAAGTCTCACTCTTCACACCCTCTGTTGCTGAACGAGAAATGCCCAGATGGCGCAGGCCGCTAACCCCAGATTTTGGCCTCGCTCACGCCGGCGGAGAAGTCCATCTTCCCGGCCCCAGTCGTGGCCAAAGGAAGCTAGAAGATGCGCCCCCGAGCACAATGGCTTGTGCTATTGGCTGAGACGCTCTGACGGCGCTCTCCGTTCGTGCCACTTTCTGCTAATGGACGATACGAGAATGCGATGGGTGACGCTCGCCTTCGCTCAGCGTTGATGTTGATGTTGATGTGCGGCTTCTTCCAGCGAAGCTAAATGTCAGATGAAGTTAGATTGCCGCTTTGGGGTCTACTGAAGAGAGAGAGGGGGGGGAACACCTGCATGAGACGGGCAACACCCTAATCTGCTCGGGGGTCTGAAACATAGCGGCAGGCGTGCAGAGCGAGATGTGTCAGCACTAACCGCATAGCGTAGTCCACGATAGCAGCAGTTTCGCGATGAACGGGGTGCTCTGCGATCGTGCCTGAGGTGCGCTGCAGGAGCCTGGGACTTGCCGCTCGTTTTCGCTGGGCTGAAGTTTGCTCGAACCGCCACACATCACCTCACGCATCGAATTCTGATCCTTGCGCCTGTCTTTTCTGTCCGCGCTCTGACCTCACTAAGAGCGAGGACGACAACACGACAACATCTCGTCCACCTCTGCGGTCACCTGCAAGATCATCGCGGAAGCATCGCGGAAGCATCGCTGCCGCCGTTCCGAGCCTCTGCCTGCCAAACCTCATGTCTTCTGAACCGGACGCGCAAGACGTTCCTACGACCGACGCTTCGATTGAGGGCCCAGGCCACGCCGCGGCCTTGTTGGGCGCAGATACTGGAAACTCTGAAACTGCAACGCCATGGTCGCATACCATATTACTCCATCTTATTGCATTCCGTCTGTTGAACGCCCTGACCATCCGCACGTTCTTCCAGCCTGATGAGTACTTTCAATCACTGGAGCCTGCGTGGCAGATGTCCTTTGGGGTTGGCAGCGGAGCGTGGATAACATGGGTGAGCATCTCGCCGAGCTGGGCCTGCCGCTGCATCTTGATGACTGTTGCAGGAATGGAGAAGCCGGTTACGTTCCTCGATCCATCCAGGCCTGTTTGCAGTAGTCTATCAGGGCTTTTCATCACCGGCGAATATCTGCAACGCTCAGCCTGCTGTTCGGGCGGAACTTCTACTTGCTGCACCCAAAATCGCGCAAGCTATTTTGGCGGCCCTATTGGACTTTGCCAACTGGAAGTTTGCGAGAAGAACGTTCGGCCAGGGGAGCATCAATGCATGGGCAACTGTACGTAGACGCAAGCGGAATTTTAATACCTCCGATATCAGAGTCTGATGACATGATGCACGGCAGCTGGCGTTGACCGTCTGCAGTCCCTGGCAGTGGTTTTGCTCTACTCGTACTTTGTCCAATTGCCTTGAGACTACCATCACCGCCACTGCCCTCTACCATTGGCCGTGGGAATGCATAAGTGCCGACCCGCAGGTCGGCAACATCGATGCTCGACATGCCGGAAAACAGTTACTCACCAAGTAAGATCTTGTGTTCGACAGCTCGCCTGGGAGCTTACCGACTGACCTCATCCCGTGTCAGGTTGAGGATATCGCTCCTCCTGGCTGCTCTCGCGTGCGTTCTTCGACCGACCAATCTCCTGATCTGGCTTTGCATCTCCATCCCACTACTCTGGTCTAGTCGACCCCTCTCGCGTCGGCTTCTCATCCGAGAAGCTCTTCTTTGCGGGTAAGCGGGTCCTTCCCCCCAGCGATCCGTTCCGCAGCAACCCTTATCGTTTTGTCGCCTCACCGCGATTGCTCCTGCAAGCCCATCTGCATCTGCATGCTTCTCAGAAGACGTCATTCTCCCCGCAACTACCCAGTCGCCTCTACTAGCCCATTCACTGACAATGAGCAGGACTTATGTCCTTGCATTTTCTGCGCTGTGCGATCGGCTCTACTACCACACGTGGACCCTTCCCCAACTCCAGTTTTTGCATTTCAACCTCGCTCAAGACCTTGCAGTTTTCTATGGCCGGAATCGCCCGGACTACTACCTAACTGAGGGACTTCCGCTTTTGCTCACGACTGCATTGCCCTTTGCAGTGCTTGGACTGTTGCGTGCATTGCTCGGGCGGCACGACTATGACAGCAAATCCAGCAAGCCGGAGGTGCCTCCAGGCCCTGTCTTAAAGGTTCTCGCTTGGACGGTGGTAATCGTGATCGCCGTCTTAAGTCTGGTCTCGCACAAAGAAGTCCGTTTCATCTACCCCCTCCTACCGATCCTGAACATCCTTGCGGCCGGGCCGCTTGTCTCTTTTTTCACCCCTGGGACAGCATCTCGCAAAGCTATCCTTGCTATTCTTGTATTTGTCAATGTTATCATTGCGGGCTACACGACTCAAATCCATCAGCGCGGCGTTATTGACGTGCTACACTATCTTCGCCATGAGCACGAGCAGAGCCCTCAGCAGAGAGTGAGCGTGGGTTTCCTGATGCCATGCCATAGCACACCCTGGCGAAGCCATCTCATTTACCCTGAAATCGAGGCGTGGGCGCTGACATGTGAGCCGCCGATCGGTGTGCCGCTTGCGGAACGGGATCGATACCTCGATGAGGCTGATCAGTTCTACCTGAATCCTATGGCGTGGATGAAGATGAACTTAGGGGGCAGTCATGAGGACGACAAGCAGAACGGCTGGAGGAACCTAACTGAAGGGCAGAAGCGAGGTTGGCCCCAGTATCTTGTCTTCTTTGACCAGCTTGAGGGTGTTGTAAAGGAGGCGACTAGAGGTCACGCTTACAAGGGGAGCTGGCGGGGGTTCAATAGCCATTGGCATGACGACTGGAGAAGAAGGGGGGATGTAGTTGTGTACAAGAAGATCCAGGATGCCGAAACTGTAAGATAGGGGAGCGGAGAGAACAGAGTCGAACTTCCTTCATACTCCACGTGAAATTGTGAGCGCTTGTAACCTATGATGAGTTCTGAGCAAGCCAACATCGTGCTGTGATGTCGTATGACTCAAGACTTCGTGTAGTGAGATGGCTCAGGCTCCTGTTTTACAAAAGTTCTTCATACTGCTTTACAAGCCAGGAAATCGCAATGCCCCATAGCGCCGCCAATATGCAACACCGTACACGCGTACTGTACAGATGAGTAGATATGCACAGCCCATCCCACGATACACTTGTAATTCAATCCACATCTCACGGGTGCAACGCGGCACCTCCTTTTGCATCCTGCCCTTTCTTATTGTTCGGCACACTCTTCTCCACTTCATCTAGCGCCGCCACCGTCTCCGGATCCTCGCTGTCTAGCGCAGCATCTTCATCGTCCACAGTCGTAAGGCTCCCGCCCTGCGACTGTATCTGTACCGCCATGGCCTCCTTCGTAGCCCACACCTTCCAGTCCTCGTAGCTCTTGTCTTCAAGTTCCATACCGATTTCTAGAGCAGACTTGCCGAAGTAAGCGCCCACGTGCAGCGCCTCCTCCCTTGCGACCCTCCGCTCAACCTCGTCTTGATGTCTGTGGGCGTAGAACTCCTTCCTGGCCTTGTCGTAGGCGGCCTCTTTGGACATAGGCTGACCCTCTGGACCGCCCCTTTTCATGAGATACAATTGTCGTTGTACGACGCTGGATCACCGCGTCAACCACTTGTCCTCATAGCCTCATCGCGAGGCCCAGGACGTCCGGATATAACCCACCTCTCACCATCCAACGCCCGCCCCTCCTGCTCAATCCTACTCCACTCCCACCTCTTTCCATCCTTCCCATCATCTTCCAGCACCACCCTCGGCCGCGCCAGCTCCCACGGATGATCGCTGAAGAACTCTCGCCGTAGCTGGTCCTCGGGGTATTTTATCGGCATGGGCTGGAACATGCGGCTGGGCTTCTTGCCCTTTTTTGATTGTGCTGCGGCGTTCAGGATGGGTCGGACGAGAGGTTGGGAGGGGGGGATGTTGGCGACGACATGGTACCAGGGCGGCTCGGCGCGCAGGCGCTGCGTTTCGAGGAGTTGGGTCGCGGCGCTGTGGACGCGGAGGGGACGGAAGTCGTAGCGGCCCATTGGGGTGTGTTATGGGGGCTTTGGGGGATTGGAATAGGAAGCCTGTCACAGCGGTCAGTAATGCGGCATATCATTGTAGTTATAGCATGCCGTACAGAGCTTCCAGATAGTGTAGCGACGCTTCTAAGTGGTGGTCTTGATGTCTACAAACTCCCGCATGAAGTTGTTCGCGATGCGGGAACTTCCGTCGGCGAAAGTGAGACGCCCGAAGCTTGGAGGTCTTCAACACACCAAGGGACTCCAGCTTCGGCGCGCACCTCTCCATCATCCTTAGAGGCGCAGGGCAGTCCTCCTACTCAATTGCACCGTGGATGTTGTGGTCACTCATGGACAGGGAGTGGTAAGACTGACACCATGTCCGGCATCTCATGTTCCTCTTCGGCACTCTCGACAGGACGAGCAGCCCGACTGTCTCCAAGCTAGGATCTCGAGCACTGCTCTACTTCTTCCATCCTGCGTCCTCTTCCAAGGAGGTTGGATCGCTTGCTCCACGGCGGCGATTACACACCGAACGCCTACGGAGACCGCTTGGAGGTCCTCCGCTTTCGCCGCATCAGATGGAAAACATCTTTATCAACGCATTGGTACGGGCGGGTACCTGTCAGCGCCACGCGAAGCACACCACAGCTTTCAGGGAGTCATCACTGTTCGCAACGACACATCACAAAGCGCGGCGGAGACAGCCTACACATACCTGCGCGACAACAAGGGGCTTTCGAGATGAGAAGGGTGGCCGGCATGCTGCTCAAGCAACCGCTTCGGCGGAGATATCGCAGGAAGAGTTCAAGAATCTGCTGGATTACTACGAGCCATCGTTGTCTGTCCACGACCTTCCTCCGCCACCACCAAAGCAAGCAGAACCTGAGTCTGAGGAGCCTGAGGAGCCCGAAGAGCTAGGGACAAAGGAAACAGCGGAGAATATAATTGGGATAGGCTTGATAGAGGACTCGACAGACGAAAGCCCCTACAAGGCCCAGCCAGCGAGGGACGACGTTGAGCGGGAGGCCATTGACCACCTATGCGACTTGCTACACGACGAAGAGAGTTCGCACGAATTAGTCTACGATACCTACAGATTGTTGTCTTTCCCCCGAGTCTCCTATCTTACTCTACCCACCATACGCCGCCTACTGCACCACCTAGCCGTAGTCGAGCACAAGAATGAGGCATCAATGCTGCGCTACCTCTCCATTATAGACGACATGAAAGCCGCCAACATACCGATGCTACGGAGCGAATGGACCTCAGCCATAGCCTTCGCAGGCCGTTGCTTCAGGAAGGTGACCTCGGCTGAGGTGGAGTCGGCACTGTACATCTGGCGGGAAATGGAGAACGAAGCAGGGATCAGGGGCAGGGAGGTCACATTCAATGTTCTATTCGACGTCGCTACCAAGGCCGGGAAGTTCGTCCTGGCGGAAATGATTCTGAAGGAGATGCGGGCTCGCAATCTCCACTTTAGTCGGTACACCCGCACCGGACTAATCTACTACCACGGCCTCCGCGGAGATGGCAACGGCGTCCGAAATGCGTATAAGGAGCTAGTCGAGTCCGGCGAGATCGTGGACGCAGTGGTTCTGAACTGTGTTATGGCATCCCTGATCCGCGCGGGCGAGCCATCAGCAGCGGAACAGGTCTTCCTCCGGATGAAAAAGATGCATGCCTCCAAAACCGGCGTAAAACCGGCGCCACGGCATTGGCGAGAGAAGCGCGAGCTTGCGAAGACGCTTACGCGACTCACTCAGGAGATGCGAAAAGACCCGGAAGCGAGCCGCAAGCTGCAGGATGACTGGCCCATAGCGCCGGACGCGCAGACATTTCGTATTCTCATCAAGCACCACGCGCTCACTTCAGGCAACATCGACCGCATCACCGAGCTGCTCGACGAGATGAGTCTCATGAACATACCTGTCGACCCCATGGCTTTCACCCTGTTGCTCTCAGGGTTCCAGATCCACGGCGGGATCCGCTACTCCTCTTGGACGAGAGTCCGACTCGAGCGGCTGTGGATCTTCCTCAAAGTGACACTCGAGGAAGACGAGGAGTTCCGCCTTGAACGCTCAATGACCAGCAGGGTACTGCGTGCTTATGCTAAGTGCTCGAGCAGGGAGCGCACCATGGAGATCTGGGAGGAGATTAAGAGCATGTGGGCATCGAGGCTGGAGGATGTGGATCATGTGGATTTTGACCTGAGCAGGTTGTTTCCGCCTGAGCTGGCTGAGCTTGGATGAGGGCGCTGCTGATGCGGCTGTGCGGTGACAGGGACTTGTATATAGACTATATGTGGTCTGAATGTGTGTACAGTGTACGGGCATAATCATGTAAATCAAGCTGTAACCCACGTGTATCAATGCCTCAAAGCCATCCCTGATAAACGAATGATTGCGTACGAGTCATGCCCCTTCTTCCCGCCTTTAGACAGCATCGGACCGGCATACTAAGACCAAAGATGTCCCACGACGTCACGTGATATCGCGTTGTTGGAGCCTGGGGCGAACCGCGCCTGTCACTTTTCTTTCCAACACCGCGCCACAGAGCAACCCGGCATTTTTGTCATGGCCTTGAAGATGATTTTGTGTGCTAGTGCTTTGCAATCCGCGTGTTTCCTCGAGAGCCTTGAGAGTCTTCCCAGTGAGGCACGCAGTAAGATCTTGGTTTGAAGCGTGTCTCCAATACTTCCGTTTCTTCCTTGCACATAGACGCCACAACCCGCGACGCCGAAACAAATCCTATTGTCCGTCTTAGTAGCTCAAGCTGTACTTTCTTGCTGTCTTTATCGAAATCCCGTATACCCCCTCCTCAGTTCCGCCGAATCTTCCAAAGTATGCCTGGCAAAAAGACGGCGCAGGCTGTTGATATCGATTTCACCCTTCGCAAAGTCTTTGGCAAGTTCAGCTTCCGGTCAGTACGTTCTGTGCATCGTGAACTCGGTCGTATGTTGAGACAGCTGATGTCACACACTCAGGCCCCTGCAAAGGGAAGTCATCACCACTGCATTACAAGGGGAAGATGTCTTCCTGCAAGCTGCGACTTCGTTTGGGAAGAGTCTTTGTTTCCAACTACCAGCTGTTGTAGACTATGGCAGTAAGTTTGTGAATTTTCAGGGGCGTGCCACATCTTTAACTTGTGTGGCAGTTACCATAGTCGTCTCCCCACTTCTCGCGCTTATGGTAGGCTATCAAAGCTACCCGCGGATGTGTAGTAGGCCCATGTTAACTTCTATCTCAGAACAACCAAGTCGCCGCCCTCCGCCGTGCCAATATCGAGGTCGCCACAATCAACAGTACTACGCCCGCCTCAGCAAAGGCCGAGATTCTTGCTGATCTGCAATGCGGTCATCCGCTGACTCGCCTTCTCTATGTGACTCCCGAGTATTGCATGCTCGACTCCTTCCGCCGCATCCTCCGTATCATTCACTCCCAGCGGGAGCTATCGCGCATCGCCATCGACGAAGCTCACTGTATCAGCGAATGGGGCCATGACTTTCGTCCTTCCTTTCAAGGCCTGAGCTACTTCAAACGGGAGTTCCCAGATGTGCCAGTGATATGCCTCACCGCGACGGCAACAGCCAGAGTCAGAGAGGACATCATCAGGACGCTGGGTCTTGACGCACGAAAACTAAAGCTCTTCGCAATGACTACCAGTCGGCCGAACCTACACTACGAAGTCCGCTTCAAGAGCGACGAAGAAGACCATTACGATGACTTCCTCAAATGGCTAAAAGCCGCCCACAAGCGACGCGCCTCCCAACCGGCGCGGGCCTCCCAGCTCTCTCAGCTCAACGAACGCACCGACGCCGTCTCCGGCATAATCTACGTCCTCTACCGGCGCGACTGCGAGGCTCTCGCCTCTCAACTCTGCCACGACGGCATCGGCGCAAAACCCTACCACGCCGGCCTCCCCAACGACAAGAAGGACGACCACCTCGCGGGGTGGGTATCCAACAAAGTGGGCTACGATGTGATCGTCGCGACCACCGCCTTCGGCATGGGCATCGACAAGGAGAACGTCCGCTTCGTCGTGCACTGGCAGCTGCCCAAGAGCTTCGAGGGCTTCTACCAAGAAGCCGGACGGGCGGGCCGCGACGGCAGGGCGAGCGTCTGCATCATGTACTACGGGCGCGAAGACCGCGACCGCGCGGCGAGCATGATGGCGCGGGATGCGGCGCGGCAGGAGAACAACAAGAAGGGGGCAGCGGGGGGCGCGCCGCAGGTGGCGCGGGCGAAGAGCTTGCAGGCGCTCGTGCAGTACTGTGAGGATGTGACGCACTGTCGGCACCAGCTTATTGCGCAGTATTTTGGGGAATTGGGGCCGCCGTGGCCGAGGTGTGAGTGGGCGTGCGATTATGACAAGAATCCGAAGGCGTTGGCGAAGGCGAAGGAGGAGGGGCTCGCGAGTGAGGAGTGGTGCTCGACGCAGAGGGAGAGGGGCGCTTATGTTGCGGACGATTATGATTAAACATGGCGTGGGCCGGGCTCTACAAGGCGTGTGGGCGTCAGGAGTCTTCCAAGAGCTGTCGGTCTGCAACGACTGGGTCATGGTTTATGTGAGATGGCATTGTCATTGCTACCACGGTTTCGCAGATCAGATGTTGCATGGCTGGCGCTGGTTGTGGCTCATTCTGTGTTGTATGGTGTTGGCGAAGGGGCTAGCTATGGCGTTGGGCGCTGCATATGGAATTGTTGACCGGTAACGAGGAGCCTCAGAACCTTGATTGTATGGATTGGACAGCGTGATGCGTCGAAGCTATCAGATGTCCATGAGCACTAAGGAACAATGATTTCTTAGCTAGTACCACGCAGAGTATAGTCTAGTCTGAAAGGGATGGAATCTGTTGCTCAACGTGGATTCTATCATTATAGAGAATCTATATCTAAGTTGTTGTTCTGAACGCGATGTGATCGCCCGTTTTGAACAGACGCCGCTCTCTTGGCTGTGTGGCTGATGCGTGGCTGCGAACGCGGATGCTGATCCCTGCGATGCGGCGACATCGATGTCATCCGCGGTCGAAGATTTGAAGCTCGGAGGTCTACCACCTACAACAAAGTACAACCCACAATGTTCTCAAGAAGCGTGTTATCCAATGTGGGCGATGCCACATGGTCTTCAAATATCGATCTGAAGCTAAACACATCACAGGCCGTTCGGCAAGCCTGCCACCAAGCGCGCCCTCTCGCCATCAAACCCACCTCCGCCCCTCGACTGTTACGCCTTAGTCCGATCCAGATCCGACTTCTATCACAAGAGACGCGCGCAGCGATAGACAAGGCTGTGGGCTCCGCGCCTGTGGTGTTGTTCATGAAGGGCACACCCGAGACGCCACAGTGCGGGTTCTCGAGAGCCAGCATTCAAATACTTGGACTGCAGGGTGTGGATCCGGCGAAATTCACAGCGTTCAACGTATTGGAGGATGAGGAGCTGAGGCAGGGTGAGTGTATTGCACTTGATGGTATTGAGGAGGGGGAAACGGCGCGCTGACGGCGGTGTAATTGCAGGCATCAAAGAGTACTCCGAGTGGCCGACGATACCACAGCTTTACGTCGAGAAGGAGTTCGTGGGTGGCTGTGACATTCTGATGTCAATGCATCAGGACGGGTCGCTGGCAAAGATGCTGGAGGAGAAGAATGTGCTTGTGCCGGCGGAGGAGGGTGAGGCGAAGTGATGGGGCTAGTACCACCTCTCTGCCTATGCTGAATTTTGACCCGCCGTTGGTAAGAAGCCTCTGTATATTTTGTATTCTTTACGATGTATTCTTTGAGCTTCGGAACTTATTACAAACACCGTTGGTGCATAGGGTCGAAAAAGAGCGAGATCACTGAATGTGTGTAGTGCTTCAGATCTTGGCAGGGGTGTCTGCTGGTGGTGTTACCATTGGAGATATCTGTTGCACTTGTCCTGGCTCCGTAAGTATTAGACGAGCGTCCATAGCTCTTGGTGTTCGCAATACGCTGTGACAGTGTCCTAGGAGACTTTATATATGAGGCCTGCTGCTGCTCCTTGCAAACATGTACTAATGATGGGTCACGCCACTGCTGAGATACTAATAGCCCCTTGGTGGGCGCTTGTGGTGGCTTTTCACCTTGTCTACCGTACACAGTCCCAGACACGGTATCTGAACACTTCGATCAAAGACGGACTCAACATCTCGAGGTTCTAAGAATCCTAACCAAAGTGTCCTTAACCGAAATAACCGTCATGCGTTTGGTGTAGATGCTCTTACGGTCACGTTTTCGACCGCGCTTCAGTCAAGCCTCATGTCTGAGATTCAACGTCATGCCATCAACTTCAACAACTATTCACGTCCAAGTGAGATACCTCCACAACATGGCATCTGTCCGTGTGACCAGAGTTGAGAAACGCGTAAATGACGCGCCCAATCCGACAAAAAAGCCAAAAACCATCGTTTCAACATCAGCTATCTTCAAAAAGCCTCTCTACCCTCCAAAGTCCACCGTGCCCAGCAAAACTCTCAAGCCTGAACTCAAGACAACGATTGAAGCTAAATTCGTATCAAGGCGTAATGTTGCCAGCGGGTCTGTGTCGAAGAAGCCCGGCGGTGCGAGGAAGAAAGAACCCGAGCACCCGCTATCTGTCGCGTTCAATGGTACTCCACAAGGCGTTGGTAGTTATCTTCCTGGCTACAGAGCTCACAGATACCACTACAGAAAGCACAGCGGCTTACCGCACCGCCACCTTCGATATCGTCAAGGGCAGGCTCGACGAGGTTTACCATGCGCTAATCGCGCGCCTTGACGCGCCATCCTCGTCGCCCGACGCAAGTCCAGCCCTAGAGCCTGCAGCAAGCGCACCGCACACTAACATAAACCTCCGATAGGACCACGCCGATCCGATCCGCCAGCTCGCGCAGCCCATTCCGGAAGAGAAGTTGCGCATCACAGAGACTAACCGAGACGGCACCCAGACTGTCCGGGACGTTATGCTCGGAGCGCAAATGGCCGACTTCGCCAAGCTTGTCGAGAGAGAGGAGGGCATACTCCGAGATCTCCGGGGTCAGCGTGAACGCGTCGTTGGCGACATCGTAGCGCTTGCGGTTGAGCTACTCGGGCACCGCGAGGCGCAGAGTTTGATTGCTGGGATGGGCTTGTCCTTGGCGTCGCCTTTGGACAAGAAGAAGGGGAAAGGCAAGACGGTGGGCTTCTCAGATAGCGAGAGTGGTGACCTGAGAACAAGCGTGGAGGCGTTGAGAGGAGAGGTTGATGCTATTAAGAAGAGGGTTGAGGGAATTGGGGCGGAGGCAGTCGCACAGATGGAGAAGGAGGTTGAGCTCGCAAAGAAGGAGCGTAAAGAGAAGAAGAGGAAGTTGGCTGAGCTTCTTAGGGACGAGTGATCCTAATATGTTGCAAGGTTCGGGTAGTTGCGGAGGGACGGATAAGTGCTTCTAACTGTGTGCTGTAACGGGCGACATATAGCTGGCGATTGATAGCATTGCAAACCAGATGGATTTGACACCAACGGTAAGTAGCTCATACGGCAGCGAGCACTTCCAGCTCAATCTGCATGAGATGGACAAGTATCTTTATTGATCAGAAGCCTACTCAGCAATAAGCTACATCGAATCCAAGGGCGTGAACACCATTGAGACCGTCAATCATAACGCCCCATGCACCAACTCCACGACGCGATACCCGTTGCCAACTCACGGGAACTCATTAATGTCCGTGATATGAATCTCCTTCCTCCCGTTCATCTTCCTCCTCAGCCCGCTGCTAGCCGGATACACTGCAAGCACTCGAGTCAGCAAGCAAGTCATTCCTCAACACCGCACCTACAATTCCGGAGGATGGCAAGCACTCACCGACTCTCCTCAGCCTGTTGCTGCCTCCAAGCGGCTGCAGACTCTTCAGGCCTAACCACGGATCAACCCTCAGGTGATCCTCCCACATCGTCTTCCTCTCATAGCTAAAGCTCTCCTGCTTCGGAATCTGGAGCTTGGCAACCGTCTGCCAGGGGTACTTCTCCGGGTCCCAGACCTTACCAGCATACTCGACAGGCTGATCCTCGAGGTTCTCGCACAGCTGCACCTGGAACAGGTACTCCGCATCGTGCTCCGCATGGAAAGAGCGCAGCCACTGATGCAAAATATCTTCAGGATGTGCGTCCGGCTTGACGGTCTCCTCGTACAGCTTCTTTTGCGTCTCGGTGGACGGCACGAGACTATACTTAATGACGTAATCCCCAAACCGATATGGAGTCTGGGAGTACTGCCGCGTAGACTCGAGATGCGTGTTGCGGACCTGGTCGCGCGCCTTCTGGAGCTCCGTGTCTGGTCGCTGCTCCAGCTTCTTGTATAACTCAGGCTGACTCCCGCCGTGGGCGATGCGCAGCGCAATGATCTCACGGGTGGTCTTTGCGTCCGTTAGGTCCAGCGCGGGAGTGCTGTTGAACTCGATATCCTGCGTTGGGAGGTCGCTGCCCGTGGGGGAGGGGAACTTGTCGCCGTGCACACCGAACAGCTTCATCGCGAAGCCGCGTGGCTGCGGGATGCGGTCATCGAGACCTGGGTCGCCGGGCTCGGAGCTGTAGCGGCAGATGGCTTCGTAGGTGCCGCCCTTGGAGAAGAGCTCGGTCTGCGCGAGGTGAGGGGGGAGGTCGTCCAGGACGATGAATTTGCCCTTGACGACACCCTGCGTCCGCGCGTGCGTCCCGCCGAAAGCGTGCCGGGTCTTGTTCCAGTGCGTGCGTTGGAGGAAGTTGATCTGCTCCGCGACGGCTTTGATGTCGTCTTCCTCCCCTGGAGGGACGCTCTCGACGCCCTCGGCGTCCCAGCGGATGTACTTCCTGTTCCCAAGGTCTGAGTCTGAGGGCTTGTTGGAGTCGGCATTGCCGTCTGGGAGGACGGCTAGGTTGCTCATATTGGCTTTTTGCTAGAGGATATATACTTGAATGACTGAGAGAACTGGAGAAATGGGTATTAAGAGACATGCCCGTACAGCTTGAAGCTCTACTTATGTACCTACATCTGCCCCATCCCGTGCTACGGGATTGCGGGGTGGGAGGTCATGTAAGATGGGTGGCCTGGACTGGCATCCATAGATGTTTAGGTCAACAAGACGCGCTAAAGCCGTGTTACGCCATGAAGCTCCCCGGGAGAGGGTCGGAGCCAATTCTCGATGCTCGAATGGGAGCTCTGGAGTTACAAAGTACCCCGCGAAGTGGCGCCCGCATCCGACATGGTTCGAGCGGCTAGCAGATCTCTCGGATAGATGGACCAGCCATTCCAAATCTTGCATCACGAGATTCAACCCCAAGACGTATCATGCTAGTAACTAAAGGGATAGGGGTGTGGTGCGGATGTGATGCTAGACGCGTTCGTGGTAGAGAGCTACTTTAGGCAGAGCAATGAGAGAACAGCGGAAGATGGTGTATGTTGGGAAGTGCCACCATCTTGATGGATAGAGATATCTGTATGCTCCAGTGATATTGTATTGTGAGGTGCCTGAGCACGCTGAGCAACAAGCAAAGCTCACGATGCTCTGAATGGCCTTGAATTGGGAGACAAGATAGGTATGGGGACTTGCCAGTGACCGTCCGCGGCAGTTTCAATATCAAAAAAGGGTCCACCAGCCACAACGCCATGCTGAGCCACAGAAGAGTGTTGCGTATGCTCGAAACTTGAAACACCATGTAAACCAGTAGACCAGTCTCGTCCTCTGCTCGCTGAATTCTTCATGCCGCTCTAGAACAGCCATGTCCGCCCCGCCATCCTCAAATCCGGTCACCAATCCGAGTACGTCTGCGGTGGTTGTATTATCCGGCAGCGCCGCAATTATACCTGGGAAGGTGTATCAGATTGGGGGCTGATTTGTGACAACCACCAGATTCCGTGTCAAAGAAGAAAAGGAAGAACAAGAAGAAGGCCGCTGCTGCTAAAGCGGAAAGCAACGAAGGGTCTCTGGCTGCCAATGGCACGCCCGGCGTACCGGACGTCGACGTGGAGGACGGGGATATCGAGGAGGACGAGCTAGATTCACCGACAGTACGCGAAGGACAGATCGAATTCATGACGCAGCTGACAGTTAGCTCCAGAAAACACTCGCAGACGACGATGGGGCGGTCGAAGATGTCGAGGGCGCTGAGCCCGCTGCTCCAGTCCCAGACCCAGACCCAGCGCCAACGAATTCAACAACCACGACGAACGGCACCCACGATCCAGCCTCAGAGTACGAAGAACGGTTAGACGCACTGGCGAAAGAGCGAGACAGTCTCCGAGCAGAGGTCACATCGCTTCGAAAATCTCTCGAGGACATCCAGGGCAAGCATGAAGAACAGGTTTCAGGCCTGCAGGAGCAGCTCGAGGAGTCACATTCAAGCAAAGAACACGCGGAGTCACAGTATCGGAACCTGCTTGGCAAGGTCAACACGATCAAGGCGCAGCTGGGGGAACGGCTGAAGGCGGACGCGGTATGGTTGCCTCTATCGTCGAGGCTGGAATATGCGTGCTCACGTCCTTGCAGGAAGAAATCTCGCAAGCCCGCGCACAGATCGAGGAATTCGAGTCACAAAACGCAAGTCTGCGCGAGGCGAACGAGTCCCTACAGACAAACGTATCCCGGCTCAGCAGCACCAGCGAGCAGCAAGCGCAAGAAATTGCCAGCCTACGGAGCCGCGCGAGCTTGTCGCAGCAGAACTGGATACAAGAGCGAGACGATCTCATACAGCGGGAAGCATACGCTAGAGAAGAGTTCGAGAATGCCAAGCAAGCGATGCAGGACTGGGAGGTTCTTGCGATGGAGGAGCGGTCGTTGCGAGAAAACCTGAGCGAGCGCGTCGCGGAGCTCGAAGAGCAGCTGTCAATTCATAGAGAGGCGTATGAGAAGGCGGCGGCGGAGCGGGATAGTCAGAATCTCACTGTGGATGGGCTGCAGAGGGCATTGCAAGACATACAGGATGGTATATTGATCGTCGTACATTATCTGGATTTGGCTGACGTGGGCTTCCAGCACGCAAACAGGAGCTCCGCGAACTCGTCAAGAACTCCCAGGCTCAACTCGAAGAGCTACGGAAACAGGTACAAGCAGCAGAAGAGACCTCCACCTCAGCTCAAGCGGCACTAGAAACAACGCGTAAAGACCTTGAGAGGGCGTTGCCCTTCGAGAAGGAGGTCAAAGAAAAGAACCTCCTCATCGGCAAACTCAGACACGAAGCCGTCATCTTAAATGATCACCTGACCAAGGCCTTACGCATCCTAAAGAAGGGTCGGCCCGAGGACAACGTGGATAGGCAGATTGTCACCAACCACCTGCTACACTTTTTAGCGCTCGACCGGTCTGATCCGAAGAAGTTTCAGGTGCTGCAGCTGATTGCGGCGCTGCTGGGCTGGAATGACGGTACGTATTCTCTCCAGCATCTTCCACCTTACCCCTCATCGCGCAGAGCTTCTATTACTACGTTTTGGTTCAGACTGACATGAACAACAGAGCAGCGCGAAGCCGCCGGCCTCGCGCGCCCTGGCGCCTCCACAGGCAGCCTCCGCCTGCCACTCTCGCCCTTCCGCCGCACGCCCAGCACGCCGTCGCTGAACACCGAGCTCCTGATGAACGATAACAGAAGCGGCAGCGTTAGCACTGAAAGCAATAAAGAGAGCTTGGCTGAATTGTGGAGCAACTTCCTCGAGCAGGAGGCGAGAGAAGGGACGGGTGCCTCTAGGAGAGGAAGCTTGGCTAGTGGGAGGGGCGGGAGAGAGCGGTCGGAGGGGCTGTGAAAATAGCATGAGCTGTACGATGGTATCGTCAGCGGGTGTTTTCGAGGGGACATTGGGCTAGGTTCGGCAGAGGGTTTGTCAGCTCGGATTCCTCGATTTCATCGTCCTTTTCTTCTTTAATACAACCTTGTCCTTCTGCTTCCTCCTTAGAGCTTTGAGTCTTTGCCAAAGGAGCGGACCGCGAATGAAGTATATGGGAAGTCACCCAAGTGGTTCCATGTCGTCGCGATGGGACTGTTCTGGGTCAAAGTATTGGCCGATATATTCTGTAGAGCTGTAGCCTTAAGCACCGCTCACCAACGCCCGAGTAACTATCTGTGCTGGCGAACAACGAGTATATCTCATTATGGAGCAGCATCTGAATCATTTGTAACCGTACGATATTCCGTTGAAAGCCCAGATCAGTCACATAGACTTTGTTTCCATAGTTGCAATTACCCACTAAGCGGTTTTGATTTCTGGGGCTTGATATCTCGATAGATCGTTCTTTTGGAATGATCGTACTAGAGACAGCAGACAAGTTTGGTGGCACCCACGTACAGTCCATCTCTATGTATTATCTCACATAGTCGAAGTTGTCTAACGCTATCCTACTAGTTCCATCAAGCACATCTGTTGTAGTCGTTCAAGCGCATGCACTTCAATAGCCGCAGCCTGAATTCTGTCTCTATCATACACTTGTTGTAGGGTCTGCAAAACCGTTGGGATTTGAGCGCGCTCATTTTCCTCTCGAAAGTATCGATACCGAGGCAGTCCAAGGTATCCCAGACGAAGAATGGCGTACAGTTTCGGCTTATCGATCTGGGCAACAAGGGTCTCGGGGCCGATCATTTCGACAACGGATTTCAAGTCGTCGTCGAGTGCGGCTAGATGATTTAGTAGTTGTGATTCATCCATTCCATATAGGTCTTGATGTGGGCTCAGAATCGAGAGCTGACTACCATTCTCAAGTTCCTCTAGGATACCACCGAGCTCGCATGTACGGTTCGAAAACTTGAACCAGAGTTCCTTTGCCAGCGCACCCTCCTGTAAGGTCCATAATCTTTTTGCCCAGCTTGAGCATCGGATTCGTAGAATGCAATCCAGTTCCGAGCCCACTTCCGAGTTTAGGAGTGATGGGTCGAGAGCAATGACAGCGTCCGCATTGGCGAATATGCGTTTAAGGTGCCTAAGTGCTCGCTTCCGCTGCACGGGTTCCAATGGTATGCACATCGTGTCGACGCAGAATGCCGTAAGGTTATGAGAAGGCTTGATACTGTCGTTGGCGAGCACCTGAAGAAAAGACAACTGGCAGTAAGGAAGAGTGTTGCGCTTTGCATTTCCGAGCCCCAAACGGCGGACGTGACTAATGGCGATAAATGGTACAAACGAATCACCAGAGGGAGATCGCATCTGCAATCGTCTTTTCCCACCGGAGGCCTCCAGGAACGTCAGAATCGGTATTTCCCCTTTGTCGATAATGTCCCGCATGGCCGCGTCAGCTATGCTCACCATCTCGCAGGAGCAAGTAGGACTTGTGTGATAAGGGGCAATGGCTTCCTCGTCGATGATTTCCCTGCAACATACGTCTCGGCTGCACCTTACGTGTTCATTGCGGCCATGCTGCAGAGTCATGCTCAAGAAATACTTGATCTGCAGATTCGCATTGAACCGAACTAGTTCATAGGGACACGAACCGGCTTCTCTTAGAAGAACATCGAGAAGGTCTGGTCGATGTTCCAGGCGGGGAAGTTTCGGAAGACTCCGGTAAGCGCTGGTAGCGAACAAGATATTTCGGTATGAACAGAGCGATTCGACAAGCAATTGCACTGACAATAGAATTAAGAAAAGAGTGGGAAGGTCCGAGAAGTTTTCCGTTGTGGCTAGATGTCTCTGGCAAGTGGGAGTCGCAAGTATGCAATTGACTGCATTCGTAGCCTCAGCCAAGCACGAATCAAACCTTGTACGATGAAATCCAGAATATAGCGGAGACTCATTCTTCCCACATGCCGTAATTACTGCCTGCTTAAGGTTCTTCGTCGTCACAACCGTTCTTCCGCTTGGCAGGGTCTCCATAAATGCTGAGAAGCTGGCGACCCGCTGTGGAACGTGGGTTCGGGATCCTATCCCTAGTGTTTCGCCCAACAATCCGAACCACAACCAGGCTTGGACGAACGAAGCCTCAACGGCGGAGGCTGCAACATCCGCGTTGCAAAGTTGTTGAACGTCGACGCCCGCACGGTGAGGATATGTGAGAAAGCCCTGGTCGTCGTAGGAGAAACGAGGCGTACATGTATATGGTACTTGGAACGGCGGACGGGTTGCATTATAGATCGGAATGGGTAGGTGGTCCATGGGATAGTGCAGAGGCCGAACCCTATGATGCTAGTCAGATTCCGCGCCGAATCTACCCACATTACTCACGGACAAATTGCCTGCCTCCAGATTCTTCGGCTCAGGACCGTTGGTGAGCAAGATCAATAGATCCGAATCCGTTCGGATTGATCGACGTTGATGACACAGTATTGCCATCCATCAACTGGTTCAAATGGTTTCTACAACAAGCCCACAGCTTCAGATATTGCTCGCAGCAGAGAGGTCTCGAGCTCATTAAACGACGTACGTTACGACAGGCGCGATCCACGGGAGAGTTTCCTCTCGCTCCATGCTGACTAAGGCGTCTATACTTGGAAGCGTGGAAGCCTTCCAAACGACGCCCGAACTTCAAACCCCGCTTGGTCTTGCTGTGTCGTTGACATTTCGAAAATCCATAGCAATTCATAGGCATACTCTGGGTTCTCTGAAGACTGCTGGAATTTGATCGTTCTTTCGAGCTTCCCACACGATCACGGTACGCTCAGATGACAAATTAGTCCTGCTAGCGCTGGTGCGGTTGTACGTTCCCTGGTCACCTTGGCCGGGTGTTGATGGAAGAAGCAATACAGGCCCAGCTGCACGCTTCCTCCAGATGCATGCAGTCTCTTTGTGTCTCACTCTCCGGAAGGCGGATAGAAGGCATCCGAACATCATCTAGCTACCAGCTGAACCGGAAGTTCAGTCTCAAACGGCCTGCCATGAGCCCCATACAAGTATTGCTCAAATCACCGCTACGACCTCGTCTCTGCTTCCACTGGGTAGTACTGGCGCTCCTCCTCTTTAGTAAGTCCATAGTGTTCCATGAAGGCACTCCCGAGCAAATGTCTTTTAATAGAAGACTTGCCGAGGACGAATATCATGACACAAGCTAATGGATAAAGCAGTTCTGAATGCTCATTGCTCGCCGACGAGCAAGCAGCTGGAGGTAAGGTGGACGAGACCATGGCAAAATGAGACAGGATCTAGTCTACTCGGGAATCAGATGAAGAACCCCTCTGAGGTATACTCAGTCCTGCTGATCATCGGAGGAGACATTGTGCAGAAGGCAATTGCACAGATGGCGGGCAGGCGTATCACTCCCGTTGCATTCAGTTTTGGCTGGGTCGCATACTCGTTCAATGCTCTCATGTCAGCCTTTGGCGACGGGTCACTGATGCCACAACCTGATTATCCGGCTTCAGTCATTTTGATCTCATCGAGAATAAAAAAGTCAAATAATTCTTGGATAATCGGTCGATTGATCCGCGATCTCGAACGAGAGGTTACCGATACCTTAAAAAGCTGGTCTGAGATTGCGCCACATGGCCCCATGGAAATATGGGAGGGGGATTCAGCCCTCCTAATCACCTTCTTCAAGGTAATGTGCAAATCCCTACACCCCAATGGTGCCTTATTGTACGCTCCGTCCAGGAGTCCATCGCGCTAGTGGTGTGAGCCAATGTTGTCTTTCTGCGCCCATAGCTGTACCCATGAGAGTTGCAAGTCGATGTCACTGACTCTTCGACAGGCCTCACCGGGAGCTGGCAAACCAACTTCGCATCTTGATCGTATCGGTTTCATGGTCTGCCTTGTTATACAGCTGACGGTCGCCACGATACCGACATTCCTGTATGGTAACTGGAGTATTCTCTTCATAACCGCCGTAGGCACCATCTTGTCCGTGAGCACTGCGTCATTGAAAGAATGGAGGCGTGAGAAATACAAATGCAGGAAAAACTCCAAGCATGATTACGCTGTTACGCGCGGAAACGGTCATTCGCACGTCTTCGTCATCCAGTCGGGCTCTGCAAGTCCGGGAGGTGCAGGGCCCGGCCTGTTTTTAGATGACCTTGCGGGTGCAGTGCAGAAATCTGATCGCCGAACAAAGACCTTGTCCGTCTGCTTTGCGTTCCTGTGGATCTGTTTCATGATCACTGCGGCCGCCATCAAGGACAACACGTGGTTCCTTTTGATTGTTGGACTCGTTGGTATGACACAGAATATATGGGTAGCAGGCCGACCCAGAGAATCAGCGGCACATGGGATCCCTGTAGAGCGAATCGGCCACACATATGGACGTAGAGAGAAGAACAAGGCCAGACCAAGGGTGACAAACGTCCTCAAGGAAGTTGAACTGGCATATCCTGGTGTTGGCCGTGCCATCCGTTCCGAATTCCTCCCGGATCATGCATTAAGGCCTCAAGAGATCCAGTGGTGGGACAATCCGCCTTACCCTCCTGCAAACCCTCCGCCAAACCCTCCAAATCCTCCGCCAAACCCTCATCCAAGTCAGGCTGTAAATCAACTCGTTGCAAACCAGTCCCCGCAAAACCAGCCTCCTATCAATCCTCCTCTGGTAAACCCCCCTCCTGTAACTCATTCTCCTGCGACCAATCAATCTACGAACCAGCAACCCGCGAACTAGCAACCCGCACATACCCTTCAGGCAGGTTTTCAGGACGTTTTTATCAAGGTTTCCGATTGGGGATAAGCTCAGAACATATTTCACACCACTACAGCAGTATTACGAACCTCCAGGGCTAGTCAGGCAGGATGCAACTTTGCTACAAGGAACTCGCCTGGAAAGTGCGGCTCTTGTGTCCAAAAGGTCTCTAGAATCACTATAAGGTTGTTATACCGTCGTTCGAGTTCACAGCCCATAGCCGGCTAGGTTTGGACAGGTTCTTAGGATCGCACAATGTGCTTCATAAATGTATCTAACATGTGTCTATACATGTCTCATCTTCTAAGTCTTGACTGCGCAAGCTAGAGCTAAGGCTGTGCTTATCGACTCCAATTTAAGGAAATGTAACAAGAGCAATCACCTAAACTGGTACATTCGGGTCTGCCACACTAGTTTAACAAAGAGGGGAGCTTGATGCCCTGAGACAAACATCAAAGCTTGCGTTTGGGGTGGATCTCCGTAAAATCTTTGAGACATGCTGAGGTCATCTATTTAATATTTATCTCAAAGACAACGATGCTCCCTAGTATACTGTTGACAGTTCGAGGCTGATAGCCGACGTTCACCTTTCGTCTGGAAACCGCGAGTAACTCCGGCTCATCGCATCTTACAGGGCTTAAAACCATCAGAGTGAGCCCACTTGCTGGTCAGGTGTCTGGTGGCACCCAGGTCTTAGAGTCTCGCCAGCATTGACACCCAGCATTTTACTGTCACGGTTGTCTGACCGGATGATGTTGATCGTTCCTTATTTGTGACGACCTGTAAGGATCAACAGGCGATTCTCTGTGGGTCGAGGCTCCTAGCATGCCGTTGGCCGCCTGTGGCGTGTAGCAATAAACGGGTAGGGCAACGGCAACCCGGATAACTGTTGTCTTCCCAGAAAGCAGTCCTACTATCATTCTACTGCGCGTAAGTCAACGCTGGCAAACACGAAGTAGAAGAAGGCTTAGTACGACTCATCTGCGGATGGCTTTGGAGCCGAAGGGCTTGATTCTACGTATGCGGATGCAATGTCTAGTGAGCCAGATGCGTATTCTTCCGCGCCTGAGCGCAGACGTCGGGACCATTTCCTCTTTGCAGCAAACTACGCAGGTCTATGTTCGCCTCTACGCCACGCCCGTCCGATATTCCAGCAATGGTTGTCGCCGACTGTGCTTTCTTCCCTAGTCTCTAGGTAGTTCAATATTTCTGTGAGCTTACAGAAACCGCTTGTTGTCCGTTCGAAGGTCCCTAACGTCTGGCAGTCGAGTACTCAACACTCCACTCACCCCGACCCACTCGCCTCCCTCAAAAACCCAATCCCACCCCCCTGTCCCGCAACCGCAAACCTCTCGGGCCCCCCCACAACCCTCGGCAACCACCGCCCGGCCCACACCGTCCCGCCATCAAATCCCTGCGTAGCAACACACTCCCTCGTCTCGGTTCTCCACACCTTCGCCTTCCCGTCCCACGCCCCGCTCAGCAGCCACTCTCCCGTGTCGCTCCAGTCCAGACTCATGATCCAGGCTTGGTGGCCCAACAGCTGCGCGACTTGCTCGCCGGACCGCACGTCGTAGAGCCCGATTATGCGGGAGTCGCCCGCGGCGGCGAGGAGGGTGGACAAGGGGGAGAAGCGGATGCTGCGGATTGGGGAGAGCAGACCTGGGAGCGAGTGCAGGAGGCGAGAGGTCGTGTTGTTGAAGATGTGGAGGCTGCCGTTTTGGTGGCCGGAGGCGAGGAGGGCGGCGTCGGTGGACTGAAGGGGGGTTAGGGGTTAGCTTCTCTGTGGGTTGAGATGGCGGAGATGGAGATGGTGGTGGCCATTGTGGGATTTGGTGAAGGGGGGAAAGGGGCCACGGAGATAGGGCTGTTCTTACAATGTCCACGCATGTCCCGAAACTTCCCTTCGTCTCATAGTGCCTGATCCGTGTGGCCGCGCCGTCTCCTGCGGCCAGATCCCACATGCTCATCTTGCCGTCATATGACGAGCTGGCCAAGTACCTCCCATCTCCACTCAGTGCAATAGCCCAGAGCTCGCCGGCTCGAGGCGGGACATCAAGCTCAACATCTTCCTTCGTCCATGTGCCGTCCTCACCGCATGCCCAGAACTTGACCTCTCCGCCGAAACCCGTGCTAGCGGCCCTCTTGCCTTCGCTGGAGGTCACGATGTGGTGGCAGCCGAGTTTGTGTGCGCCGTCGAGGGTCTGGATCTGAGGGAAGTCGGGCTCGGTGGTAGAGTGGATGCGGATGGTGGAGGAGCCGGAGGCGGAGAGGAGGTGCGTTTTGATGGGGGCGATTGAAAAGACATCGGTCGGATGGGCTATCGGCAGGTGTTAGCTTGGAGGGTTGAGGACTTCGGTGGTACCCAGGTGGCTTACGGACCGTTTTCGAGTGTGTGGACGGTGAGGTATTGTTTCGACTGTAGGACGTATTAGCGTGATGTCATAGCAGTTTTGGGACTTTACGCGCCATTGTAGATTCAGTCTCGTATGGGCATACTCATCTAGCGAACCGAATGGTTACGTGTTCATTTAAGGCGCGTATTTGTGGTCATTAGATGATACGTGAGAAATGTAGGAAAATATGATGGTGGGGTGGAGGGGAACTAAAATCTCAATTGTTGCGGTCAAAAGTGCGTGTCGGAGCGCACTATCCAGCGTCTTAGGGTGCTGAAAGTGGTTCAACAAGCTTTACATATATACAATGACTTCTTCTCCCTCTACAGCCGCATGATAGCGGATAAATGCTCCCTAATGCCCTGTACGCCTGCAATGCCGGATTTAGACGCCGCACAATTCGTTCCTTGCCAAAGCAGCTCCCATAACGCAAAAACTACGCCTTCTCCGCGCCGGTGGTCGTGGCCTCACTCGAGCCTCCCTTGAACCAGTGCTTTATAGCTGTCATAGATATGAGCTAACCTGTTTCCCAAACTCCTGGCTATATCGTAATCCCACTTACCTTGTACACAGTAAGGACACAAGACGTGCGCCCTTTTCACCCTCCCGCATCCTGAGCACTTGTTCAACTCAGTAACGTCCTTCAAGTGCTTCCCGGAGGCCATCTGCCGCTGCCTTTTCTTCATGTGCGAGGTCTTCTTCTTCGGCACGGCCCTCAATATCGACTCCCATATGTCACTGAGGATCGAAGAGAGCCCGACGATTGCAGCGACTGGTATCGGCAGGGTTATCGAGGGGAAGAGCGAGTTCTGATGGATGTAGCGGAGGACGGGTATGCCTAGGACGGGTCGAAGAGGCGCATTGCTGACGGGTAGGAGGGCGCGGAGGAGAGATGGGTTGGCAAGATGCCGTATAGCTGCCATCGCTGGGGGAGACGGAATGTAATAGTACAATGCTCAGGCGACTTGGTGGTAGAGGCTCTGGTGTTGATGTCGGACTTTCTTGCATGCTCAGAAGCTCGGACTTCGAATGATCGCCCTTCCCCGAAGTGCTTGGCCGCGCTCCCCCTTTCCCGCAACACCAGGACCCTGAATCCAAATATTCCCCGACAGCACACAACTTGAGATATCCACGTCCTCGACACCTCCCCCTCGTTCTATACGCGTAAGCTCCCCATAGCAGGCTCACCGACCTCAGCCCCCACTCGCAATGGCTACCATGAACGCGCAACCCGGCGCCCAGCCCGCAACCGTGCATCCCAAGAGCCATGTTGGCTTCGACAGCATCACTTCCCAGATTGAGAGGAAGCTGCTGAAGCGCGGCTTTCAATTCAACATCATTTGTGTTGGTATGTCTACATCTCAGAGTTCATGCCATTCTGAGCGAGTTCCATGCACTTTGTGCTTGCAGAAGCTCACCAACCGGCTCAGGACAAACCGGCCTGGGCAAATCCACCCTGATCAACACCATCTTCGCCTCGCATCTCATGGACAGCAAGGGCCGCTTCACGCCCGACGAGCCCATCCGCAGCACCACCGAGATCCAGACCGTCTCGCACCTCATCGAAGAGAACGGCGTGCGTCTGCGGCTCAATATCGTCGACACCCCCGGCTACGGCGACCTGATCAACAACGACAGGTGCTGGGATCCGATCGTCAAGTACATCAAGGACCAGCACAGCGCCTACCTCCGCAAAGAGCTTACCGCACAACGCGAGCGGTACCTCCAGGACACCAGGATCCACTGCTGCCTTTTCTTCATCCAGCCGAGCGGGCACGCCCTCAAGCCGATAGACATAGTGGTCCTGAAGAAGCTGGGCGAGTTCGTCAACGTGGTGCCGGTCATTGCGAAGAGCGATAGCTTGACGCTGGAGGAGCGGGCGGCGTTCAAGGAGAGGATCAAAGAGGAATTTGCGTTCCACAACCTCCGCATGTACCCATACGACAACGAGGAGCATGACCAGGAGGAGGTGGCATTGAATGCCTCGATCAAGGTGAGCAACTCCCCCTTGCCACTCCCAGGTCTCTCATCGAGCAACCGCTGACATCCCACCAGAACATCATCCCCTTCGCCGTCGTCGGCTCCGAGAAGACCATCATCATTGGCGGCAAGCAAGTCCGCGGCCGCCAGAACCGTTGGGGCGTCATCAATGTCGAGGACCAGACTCACTGCGAGTTCGTCTCGCTCCGCAACTTCCTGCTCCGCACGCATCTCCAAGACCTCATCGAAACCACCTCCCAGATCCACTACGAGTCCTTCCGCTCCAAGCAGCTGCTTGCCCTCAAGGAGTCATCGGCTGGGCATGCGGGGTCGAGGCCCATCTCGCCGTCGGCTGATAGGGACCTCAGCAGGAACTCGCAGAGGGTGACGATGAATGGGTACTAGGGGGTGTAGTAGAGGTAAGAATTGTGAAGTAGATTCGATGAGGCGAGAAATATGATACCACAGCATCCTTCCCGAGGAGGGATGCGGAGTAGGCGGTCATTACATGGTTTGGCATTCTCAGCAAGGAGCTGGTGTGTCCGGGGCCATTCCGTTTCTTCTATTTGATATGGTTCTTCTCTTGCTGGGTCTTCTTGGGGAATGCATGTATAGTACAGCAGGCTTGTATTCGGTTATAATATTTGATCTCTGAAACATCTACCCAGCTTCGATTGCCTACTCTTGATTTCTAGTGCTGTCTATCCGCAGTGTCTACATGCTTGTGAGTTGCGCGAGACCTCGACTTCGGTGATCCGTATCGCCACCCATACCACATAAATTCCCCGCAGCCCCTAGCCTCTTTTAGAAATGCCTGGTATATCTTCGAACCACATTTTCGGTGCGCAACCCTTCCGCTCTTAGCCAGGATGAGCCGCCGGTGGCACGGCACACAATGCCACGCCATCTCCTTTCCAATTCTTCCTTACGACTCCTTCCCCACAACCCATTCCTTCAACTCCTTATACGCCCTCTCCAAGTCGTCGTTAACCACGACCTTCGGATTCACACCCCCGGACTTGGCGAACTCCATCTCCTTCTTTCCTTGCTCTAGCCGCTTGAGCACCTCCTCCTCTTTATCCGTCCCTCTGCTTCTTAGCCGCTTCTCGAGAACCTCTGGGGAGGGCGGAGAGATGAAGACGAATCGGGGGCGAGGGAAGGTGGGGTGATTCGCTACTTGCTTGACGCCCTGTTCTTTCTGTCAGCCCTGGTTCCGCACCATCACTGGCTCCTTCCATGCCCTCCCGTCTCGCATCTACCCTTCTCCCCGCGGCTCCTTCGCCAAGCCCCCTTGCCCGCTCTCCCTATCCCCTAATCCCACCCCCAAATACACCAAAAAGTCTCACTCACCTCCATCTCAATCTCCAACACACAACACCTCCCCCGCCCCTCCACCTCCTCGACCGCCTTAACACTCGTCCCATAGCAATTGCTCCCATACCGCGCCCACTCCACGAACGCGCCCTGCCCCACCATCTCCTGAAACTTCTCCATGCTCGTGAAGTTGTACTCCTTGCCGTGTGTCTCGCCTGGGCGGGGCGCGCGCGTGGTATGCGAGATGCTGTAGCCGAACCTGTCGGGGAATTCGGCGAAGAGCTTTTGCAGGAGAGTGCCCTTTCCGGCGCCGGAGGGGCCGAAGACTACTATCGGGGTTGTGTCGAAGGGGGGTGTTGTGGGCGGCATGTTTGAGGTGAAGGAACGGCGCGGGAGGGGAGAGGTTGTAGGGATGGTGGGAGAAGCGTGCGCAGGAGGGAAGCGGTGGTGGAAGCGTGACGCGGCGACGTGCTGTGGGATTGGGGCGGTCTTTGAGATGGTGTTGGTAGTGAGGAGACGTTGAGGAAAGGAGAAGCGCATTTAAAGCAAATAATAAGAAATATAAATCCAGTCTGTGGAGTCTGAACTTGCGCAACCCTTGGAACCCTTTGAACCCTAAGCTTGCGATTGGTTTCAGGGTCCAGGGATTTTTAGGGCTGCGTTTATCGATACGGATGGTTGCCTCAGGCTTTATTACTACTTCGAACCGCAAAGGTGCTCCGGTTTTGCTCTGAATACAGGGCATCCTCACAAATGTGCTCATGCAGCTAGGGAGTACTCTGCCATATAACGCTACGTAGGACTAAGGTATCTCACGGTCTCAATATACCGCGAGTCCATAAGTATGACGGGGTCGACAGACCCTCTATCAATCCGCATTAACCTTCCCTTAATAATGTCCCAACCTACAGGGAAGCGGTCATCAATCCGCATAGGTTGCTGACAGCTAGGGAATGATCAACTCTCATCCGTTCGGACAGACGTAAGAGCACAAGATGCTGGGTATCAGCTCCAGAAATTCCTCAGGACCTGGCGTAACGGGCCGCAGGATTAGTGCCAATCTTGATAACTCTAGGCTCTTGTGAGATGGAGTAACTCCGAGCGTTTGAGGACCAACGGAACTTCATAATCCTATGACAGCGTCTACGGATGTCAGAACCTAGGTAGATGATACTGATCCAATCCAACATCCAGGAAATCCAGCCCTGAGACAAAAGGCGATTTGCTCCAGTTGAGCCTCAGTGAGCGAGGGATCCAAGCGCTATAGCTCCGGACACAACGCCGATACGCTTTTGGACCCGTGAAAAGTAAGAGAATATCCAACAGGAACCTACGCCTCCAGTGACTTTAACTCCGTACTGAGCTGGACGAACGGAGACCTAACCAGAAGCTTCATATCTCAAAGCAGGAGCACCACAGACGTGCTCATCTCACGCCGACACCATCCCCTCCTCCACCTTGGCCACCACAGTAGCAGCAGCCGTCTTCCTCATCTTCTGCTTCTCCGCCCACTCCCTGCTCGCCTGGCGCCCCCGCTCTGCGGCCGCCGCTCGCGCCTGCTTAGCAGCGTCTTCCTTCTCGCGCCTGACGCGCTCGCGCTCCTGCTTCTCAAGCTTGTCGCGGTTGAAAACCTCCTTGCCCTTCAGCTTCTGCGTCGCTGCGGCCGCGACCGTGACAGCTGGTTTCGCGGCGGAAGCGGCATGAGCTGTTATCGAGGAGACCCGCGGCTTCGAGGTGCTGGTGCCGTTCGTCGTGGTGGATAGAGTGCGCTTGGCGGAATGAGTCGGCTTTGGCTTCTCGCTGATCGTCGAGGGCGGGTTGAGCGGCGCTGTGGACGGCCGCTTGCTCACACGCGTAGCGACCCGCTTTTCATGCGACAGCTGCACGCTGCTCGTCCTCTTCAGCGGCTTGATATCCACCCCACTCGCCTCCGCGTTCTTCTCCGCCCCCTCGCTGCCAGCAGCATGCATCAAGCTCTCCCTCGCCCTGCTCGCCGCCGTCATCTTCACAACCGGCGCACTACTCTTCCTTGGCACCGGACGTGCCTTAAACTCCCTCTTCTGCTCCTTCTCCGCCTCGTCCTCCTCGCGCTTCATCCTTTCCTCCCTCTGCGCCTTCAACTTCGCCGCCACCGCCTCCCCCGGCAACGAAAACGCCGGCACAGTCGGCGCCTTCTTACTCCGCGCCACGACGGGCGGGACGAACTCTTTCTTCTCGACGACATCGGATTCGCCTCCCTCGGCTTCTCGCTTCAGCCGCTCCTCTTTCTGCGCTTTCAATTTCGCGGCCACGGCTTCGCCGGGGAGCTGGAAGGTTGAGCGCGTCGGGGGCTTGCTTGACCTCGCGGGCTTGGGGGGTGTGGGGAAGGAGATGCTGACGGGGCGGGCGGCGCGGCGTTGGGCGAGGTAGTCGGTTGGTTCGGTTTTGGGCCTGGTGGTTGGGTCGGTGGGCGGCGGTTTGGCGCTTGAGTCGCGAGAGGAGACGCGCATGCTGGGGCGGCTGAGGACGCTGGATTTTCGCGCGACGGCCCGAGTCTTGCTCGCTGGGGCGGGTGTGGCGTCCGCTGGAGTTGGCATCGAGGGCTTACGCACTGTGGATGGGCGGCTGGCCGATGATCTAGGCGCGACGGATGCACGCGTCTTTGCGGTGAGTTTGGTTGTGGACGCGGCGCGACGGAGTTTTGATGGCGATACTGCGACTACGGTTGGAAGAGCCTTGTCGACTTCCTCAAGGGCCTCTTCAAGCGCGTCTATGGCCGCGATGGAATTTGTAGGACACGTGGTTGGTGCCGCTGCGGGTTTGGTGGGCGATTTCCGCGCTGACTTGGCTGGGGATCTCAAAGTAGTTGGTTGATCTTCCGGCTTGGGCGCTTCTGCGATAGACGTCTCTGCCGGAGACCGATCCTCCCTGCCAGTTGCTGGTGGTTGCGATGTCGCCGGTGTGGAGGTAGGTGCGGATGTGCTTGCATCATACTCTTCCGTTTCATCAATTTTCATTTCGCCGTTCACTTCCCGCCCATTTTCCCCTTTCACTTCACCATACAGTCCTGGTCCAGCCTGCGCCAGCACAGTCTCCCGGTCCCTTGACTTCTCCCTCTCCTCTTCAGCCTTCGCAAGCTGTCGCCTCGTCACGCGCACAGCCGGCGCAGGCGGCGAAACAGAGCGATCGCGCATGGGCACCTGCGCAACGACTGCAACAGCGTCAGCTTACATACCTCACATAGGCCAGATCGGTCCTTACTGTCTACAACATCACTCATCAGCTCCTCGCGCGCAGCATCAGAAGCCGGACTCGCAGCAGCCAGGCGCTCGTCCTCCAGGACTTCTGGTCGCGTCTCATCCTCGAGTACGTCCTCGAAGGCAGTAGCCTGTTTCTTCGCGCCCTTCTTTACGCTCTTGCCTTTCTTGGTGCTGGGCGCCTTGGTCTTCTTCCCGGTAGCAACCATGTCTTCGGCTAGTTGCGCGACGGCCGTGGACTCTTCGACCGAGTTCGGCGCGATGTCGCTTAGCGGCGAGCGGACCACGTTGGGGGTTGCTGGTAGGGGAGTGGATTGCGCTTCGTGGAACAGCGTCTCGTCGACGTGAATGTCCTGCTGCGCGCGCAGGGCGGCGCGCGTTTGGCGCGGCATTGCTGATGGCTGTAGAAGGTATGCGCGCGGGGAGCGAAGGTGGGTGGTTTGAGGAGCTGGGGGGTTCTTTGAGCGTTTCCTAAGTAGTTGGACAGACGTGGAAGGAAGTGAAAAGGGTTGCGATTCTGTTTTACTGGAGAAGTCTGGAGCAGAAGAGGATGCGACTCGAGGCACTGGATGTTTGTTTACGATTGCGGCCCGTGCCTCACGCGTGAAGTTCGTGAACCCTGGGCCGCGCACGGGCAGAGAGTTTCACGAAGGTGCAGCTGGACCACGTTTCATCTACGGAGGTGGGAACGACTGCCATTGCCCGCGACCGGTTCGAGTTCATCGGTTTGCTGTGCCCATAAACATTTGGATCCAGTCGCCAGGTTGGAAAGACTTCTCCTCAATCTGTATGGATGGGACAGTGTAGGCCCGTGAGTGGATATCTAGGTTTGTAATGCGAGAAGAGAGCCGGTGTAGAACAAGTGCCTACTGCTACGAACTTCGAGTTTCAGAATGGAAGAGCACTGGTACTAGAGTGTAAGGGAGTCTAGATTTGTGAATTACCTGTCTAATCTATAGGTATCTAAGTCTAATGTCTAGTGTCCGTGATGACCACACTCGCTTGAACGGCAGGAAGGGACACAACCAACAAATGCAATACTCTCACAATCCATCCTCCGCTCTCTAGCCCATCTCCTACTGATCAAAGCTGCTCTTAAACGTCATCCGCGCATCCTCTCCAGCCTGGAATGGCACGCCCAGTTCAAAAAGCGTCATGATGACCCTCGAGAAATCCTTGAAGAAGGCCTCATTGTCTTTCGCATACTTCTCCACCCACGGCCTGAAGCTTTTGTCCTTGATGAGCGCCATATCCGTCGGCAGCATCATCAGCGTCTTGCTCTTCACATCCTGGAACTGCCTCGGCCCATCCCACTTCCGCCAACTCCACGCCTCGTCCAGCAGCAGCTTGTAGTAGTCATTCGTCATTGTCGTCGGGCTGAATGTCCAGGGCCCCTCGAAGCCGGAACGGTCAGTGTGGCACCGGCCCAAGGCGTGCGCGCCGGATAATGCCACGATCTCGCGGTCATCGAACCCCATGCGCCCGAATATGGCCCGCAGGTGCTTCTGTTCCTTCGAGCCGTCCGGCAGGCGTCCGTCCGGCGTGCAGAAGCTAAGGTCGCGGTCCGCGCGCCCTGGACGCCATGGAACGGCGGGCCCTTGCATCTCCTGGACAGCGCAGACGGCGCCGAGCGTCCAGAGGTCCGAGTATGAGATCCAGGGGAACTGGGCCTTTACGGGCTCGAGGAAGTCGCGTGCGGCCTTGAGGCCGGCGTTGGCGCCATGGTCGCCCTCGGGGGCGAAGCGCATGGTTGCGCCGTTAGAACCGCCCGTGTTGGTTTCCTTGTCGTAGGTCCCGCTGGCGTGCCAGCCTAGGCGGAGCAGCACGGGGCCGTAGGAGCCGTCGTCGTAGTCGTCGTGCTCTTCCAGCCGCTTGGCGATCGCGTCGTAGACTTTTTGGTAGTCCTCTTTGGTTGGCTTGAACACGCCTGGGGTCTTGTTCTCCGACTTGTGCTCCTCCTCGCTCAACTGCTTGACGGACTGAGATGGCGATGAGTTTTGCGAGTGGAGATAGTAGCCGCCACCGAGAACCCCGGCACCAAGACCTGCGGCCCAGAAGGGCGCGTAGCTGCTGGACTTGGGAGCGGCGCTATCAGCGTAGCCACGGCGGGACTGCTGACGGAAGGCCTGGCGGGGAGCGGCGAAGCATGTTGTAGTGCGTGTGGCAGTCGTTCTGAAGTTCGCCGTAGGCGTGGAGCGCAGAGCGCGTGTGAAGGTTTTGGCGGCGGTGGCCATCGTGGCTAGAACTATAGCTGTTCGCAGGCTGTGATTATGAGACTGAAGTATCTCGCTGGCGATTATGAAATGGTTGAGAGCGACTGCTGTGTTTTACTGGTAGATTGAAGACGTAGGGAAAGAAGTAGAGAACGGAGAAAAGAACACCTTGAGATCATCAGCAGTGAAGAAACTGACATCCCTACCGGAAATTCCCTAGAATGTTATCGAAAGCACCCGAGACAGTCATTGATAACTGAGTCAGCTGGGGCCAATCATGGGAGGCATTCGAGGAGAAACCGAGGCCCACAAGGCCTCTGCTTATGCTGATGCTTATGGCATCTTCAGAATCCAGATGCTCCATTTTCAAATCCATGAAGAGAGACTCTGAGAAGAAGGCTTTCGCAACGCCTCTATTTTGATACCACGCGATGACATAGCTGTGAGTTTTCTCAGATCAGCCGCATCCGTTCTTAGCTGCAGCGGCTGGCACCTGTCTGATTCGTTCGGCTGCCATCCGGATTTTCAAGGCAGAGGGCAGGTCTGGCCCACAAGGCACGTGACTTGTACGAAGAACCAGAAGGTCGGCTGCACAACGAGATTGTGTTGTGCTTAGGGCTGTTACGGCGGATAGGGCCTGGGTGCTGAACAGTCTTCATACATGGATCGGAGCGATACGACCGGTTTGTTGATGCACAATATTGTAAGGTACCACGGGTATCAGCCTCTTGATGAAATGGGCCACACTTGACGAGACCCCTAATGCAGCTCTATGTATTGTAAGCCTTGGCATAGAACCAAGGTCTGCTGGCAACGTCCCAAGAACAGGTCAATTCTCATCACAGCAAAAGGCCCCCCCCGTCACGCGTGGTGAGCTGACACTCTCACCACCGGAACCTTCCGCGACGGAAACGAGCTTTGTTCTCTAGAGATCTGCCCAGGTGGGCTAGAAGATCTTGCTAAGCGACGCCCGCCTGGGCATCCTCCATCCCCGCCAGGGCACCAGATGAACGGCCCGCTTCCCGAGCTGGCACTGATTTGGCAGCCGACAGCCCTCTTGACAGCGCGGCATGCGCGGCTACTCTACCACACCACAGCTTGGGATTATTCCCGTGCCGCCCCGTGGTGACAGGAGAAGGACCGACTACAACGTGCTAACTTACGCGACGTCCCCCCGCATGCAGGCGGGTCGATTGTCTGCTGGTCCGTTTTTATTATTAGCCTGGTGTACGGGGCCAGGTCTTCCCCGCTCAGTCCATCATGCTTCCAGAGCTGCACCCAGCAGCCCGGATCCGCAAGAAGCACTTGATGGGGCTAATGGCGCACCACGCAACAGAGACTTGGATAAGCGTGACGGGTCCGCAGCAGCAGGACGTGGTTGAGTGACTTTGCTCATCGTCTAAACTATTTCATGATGGCTATCTCAATTGTCCTACTGGCATCAATTGTTGCAGCCCTCGCAGTACTCTTCTACGTTGTTAGCAGCATCCAAAGCTATCGTCGTCTATCCCACATTCCCGGTCCACCCTTGGCCGCCTTCAGTATCCTATGGCAGATACGCGCATTAAACTCCGGCCAGAATAACCTAAAAGTCGAAGAGGTCAACCAAAAGTATGGGCCCCTCGCCCGCATTGGGCCCAACAGCCTGGTTACCAGCGACCCGGACCTGCTCCGCCGCATGAGCGCCGCTCGATCTCCGTATCGGCGAGGGAGCTGGTACAATGCCATGCGCATGAAGCCTCGCAAGGACAATATCCTCAGCGTAAGGGATGAGAAGCACCATGACGAGCTGCGGCGCAAGATGGCGTTTGGCTATGCGGGGAAGGAGAACCCACTGCTGGAAGAGACAATCGACAAGCACATTCACGAGTGTGTTGACCTCATCGAGCGCAAGTACGTCTCCTCTGGCACGGATCTGAAGAAGATGGACTTTGGGCGCGTAGCCCAGTTCCTCACGCTCGACATCATCTCGGGGCTCGCCTTCGACAGACCCTTTGGCGACATCGCGCACGATCAGGACATGTTTGAGTACATCAAGACGACCGAGGAGAACCTGCCGGTGATGATCCTCATGACCATCCTGCCGTGGGTGCACAAGCTTCTGGAAAAGAGCTATCTGATGGACTTTCTGGCGCCGAGCGTGAAAGATAAGGTGGGCCTGGGGAAGATCATCAACATTGCCCAGGAGAGGGTGGCGGAGAGGTTTCTTCCAGATGGCAAGAAGAGGGATCAGCAGGATATGCTGGGGAGTTTCATTCGTCATGGGCTCACACGGGAAGAAGCGGAGTCCGAGAGTGTCCTGCAGATGTACGCCTGCTTCTCTTGTTCCTCCGCTGCTCCTCGTCTCCCGGCCCTCCTGTATCTATGACTTTGACTGACTCTCTGCCTCAGTCTCGCTGGCTCCGACACGACCGCTACGGGCATCCGCACCACAATGCTCTTCCTGATAACAAACCCTTCCGTACTTGCGAAATTGCGCTCTGAGATCGATTCCGCCATGCGCGACAACCGCATCTCCTCTCCCATCACTGATGCCGAAGCGCGCAACCTACCATACCTCCAAGCATTTATTAAAGAAGGTCTCCGCATCTGGCCGCCAATAACGGGGCTGATGGAGAAGGTGGTGCCGCCAGAGGGCGACGTTGTGAATGGGATGTTTGTACCTGGTGGGACGCAGATCGGGTAGGGTTACAATCACGAATACTGCCTCTGCCTACGTGGACTTGTGCTGATACAGTTTGTACCAACAGTTACTGCGCCTGGGGTGTCCATCGCAACACCAGAATTTTCGGCCACGACGCCGACGTCTTTAGACCTGACCGCTGGCTAGAGGCGCAAGGAGAGCAGTTGCAGAGCATGGAACGAAACAACGATCTGATCTTCGGGCATGGACGGTTTACGTGCCTGGGTAAGACTGTGGCGTTCATGGAGTTGAACAAAGTGTTCGTTGAGGTACGTGCACTCAAGTGTTCTAGTAATCAGCGTGTATAGGCTAACGGTAGAACAGCTACTACGCAGGTTCGACTTCACGATCATCGATCCCAGCAATCCATGGAAGGTCACGAATGTGGGTATGTGGATGCAGAGCAACATGTGGGTCAGGGTCACGCGGAGAGAAGATGCAGTGCGGTAGAACCTGTACATATAGACGACTATCACACAGGAAATACCGCTCTCGACTGTACTTGCGCATGTTGTCCGATCCAACAAAGAAACCTAATGAGCGGCTGTCGCTCCACAAGCGAGATTCGGCTTAAGTCGTCTTCTCAGGCTTACGCCCATAGACAACGTAACTACCGACTGTCAGCCCGCGTCTACCCAGCATGCCGGCGTACCGATGCCGAAACAGTCATCCTCCCATCATCCGCTCGACTCCAGCAGTAAAGGGTACTTACATAGGCCAATAACTATGGATGTCCCGATTCCGCATGTCTTTACGGACATTGACAAGGCTGGGAGAAAGCAATCAGCATGCCTATCAGGAACGCGATGAGGAGGATACCACGGACAGTAATTCCACTTCTTCGCTTCTCATGCCCAAAAAGCGCGTCATCAGCGCCAGCGAAAAGCCCTGGAGGCCCTCGAGGATGTTCGCGAGCGTCCACATGCCGAGCTCCTTGTCCCGCTTGCTTTTGGGCCACGTGTTCTGCGGCCACTTGTACCTGATCTGGAGGGGTGTTAGCATCGTATCTCGTCAGATCCTCACCCCGCTCTGACCGATGTCCCAGATGCGAAACTCTGGCGGCTACGGGCAGGGCGACGAGCAAGGAAGGATAAAGTACCTCGACAACATCGACGAAGCCGGCTTCAATCATCCACTTCTTGTACAGATGCGCGACGGCCAGCGGGCGGCCTGAAATATCAGAGGCTTTGACCATCAGTTGGTTCCATTCCCAAAGCGCCGTGTCCTTGCCGAAGGTGTCGTCGATGGCTTCCATGGGAAAATTGGTATCCTGCATTTCGAAGTAGCCGCCTGGCTTGAGGTGCCTTGGAAGGGTTGAGTTCAGTGATGGAGCAGGACAAACGTGACGAGTGAAGAGTGAAGAAGTGATGGAAGAGAGATGGGATTGTAGAGGGCCGAGATCATCTGTAGACGGGACAGGAGCATATGTTGACTTTTTGCAGAACGGGAACGGAGTGAGGGGAGACAAACTTGTAGGCGTTTTGGAACACATTGGGCCAGTCCCCGAAAGCGCCGATCATCATTCGGCCGTGGATGTAATCGAACTTCTGCGAGAAGGTCCAAGGTTCTTCACAGTCGTCTGATATACTTAGTACATGGTGTGCGTATGCTTGATGTATGCTTACCGATCTCAAAAATGCAGTTTGGTGGCACGCTAGAAGCGTAAGCATAGCAAGAATAAGGTAGTGTAAGGATGACGGCCTTACTAGGAGGGCTGTATAGGGCTGAGGTCAATCCCCAGGACCTGGAGATTATCAGATAACGCCCAACGGAGAAGATAACAAGTGACCTACTTGAGCCGAAGGATAAGCATCCGCTGCTGTTCGTCAGTGAACGGGCTCCCTGATTTGGGGTCTCCCTGATTTGGGGTCGAGGCTCCCTACCGAAATCTATGGCCCAAATGCCCGTACCAGTCCCGAAATCGAGTACTCTCTGAACGTGGTCGGAGATTGGAGCTCCGGCCAGCTTGCCATCCATCGTCATTAGAAACATGTGATGCTGAAGGTCTGGAAATAGATTAAATTATGACAGTATGATGCCCGAGAAGTGAGATATACCTAGTCGGTCTTTTTCGATCTTTACTCTTCATTAATAAACCCTCGCTAGCAAGAGGGAAAGGGTATCGTACTTCATCCTCCGGGAGAATATACTCTTGCAGGAAGAGTTAGCCGAGTATCATCAAGTAAGCGGAGATGTTGCTGGAATAAAAGGGAGAAACAGCCGCAAACCACCGACGTGAGACAAGAGGTGCTTTTGAAAACTTTGATATTTGGTATCCTTTGTAGCGCCTCACAACAAGCAGCGTTTGAGGATCGTCTTGAAGAGTATTCAATTGTGGTAGCTATCAAGCCAAGCACTTACTTCCTTCCCTGTACCTGTGGTATCGTCGTCCATTCTCTTCGATACTCACTAGTAAGCTCGACCGCAGTGATGCCGTACTGCTCTCGCTACGTTCTATGAGCACTCTGGAATGTAATGTAAGTAGCGAACGGCACTTACTAGTCAAAATCCCCCAAAGCCGAATCGCTGTCCGCGGAGGCGGAATCAGCCTCTAGGATATGCTCTTCCACCGGCGGCTCACTCGGGCTGGCCATGAGTGATAATGCTTCTCGCGGAACGCTCTACCGCATATGGTTGTCTCGAACCTAATGACTCGTTAAGCTTGCGGGTCTAGTGTCTGACGCTCCCCACTGGAGCTCAGGTGTTATCGCTCGGTCTTGAAGGAGCTTTTCAAACATTATCTGCGTGGCTTTGGGCGAAGTAGCGGCTGTGATGTACAGGGATCTGTCCGCCTGAACAACCTGCGTCCACTAGTATAGTGCTAAGCGGGGATATCGGGAAGGAATGAACCTAATGCATGTGCCCGGATAGCGAACACGGCACCCTGCTGAACTCAACCTGGGAGATCGAATTGCACAGCATGTTACAAGAACCTGCAGCCGGTCATCGCCGATGCAACCTTATCTTTGTGTGAGATGATGGCCGATTGGCGTGTATCCTGTTTTGAGCCAGTAGGAACACCTCTACTTGCCTGGACACTAATCACGATCATCTGTTAGCGGCGTCGTGGTACTGTATTCATTTTTGCCCTTTGGTCTTCTGTGCCCTGGTGCATGAAGCCAGAATTACGATGAAGGGCAACGAGACGCGCAATACGGCTGAGCAAACGCTGTCCAATAACACGTCCCGACCAATTTGATAGGATTCTAAGGCGGTACATCGGCCTTCCTAATATGGATCCAAAACCCCTTTCCTCCCCACCCATCCTTCTGGACACCATCTGTCAAATGCTGCATGTGAATATCTTGCCGCAGGCCCGACTTCCAGCAACCCATAACTTGAGCAACTTCGCCTCTAAGCCGCGCTTCCAACAGCCGGTAGTTACAGACCATACTGCTTTCAAGCACAAGCAGTAAGCTCGATACAAGAGCATCTTCAAACCCGGAGTTCAAGAGGCTTCCTATCAGACTCTTTACGAAGGAGGAGGTATTTAGTAAGGAAGCGGCGGCCGCTTGACCACACTCCAATGCCATTAAAACCCACCAACAACTCGTTCACATAACATATATCTGCACCTTCTATTGACTGGAGATACACCTAGTGTACCAGTCCACATCCGTGTATACAGCTAAATATTGTGTCGAGAGGCTTCGTGGTCGCGCGCGCCGTCGAGCGGCCGCTTCCTTAGTGGATACCCCGTCCTTCGTACGGATGCCTTTTCTTTGGCTCATAGAGGGTGCGTTTCTAACTCTGTTCATCACCAACGCGTTCTGCATTATATCGCCCTAATCTGGCCATTTCAATCCTCTTTCTACACCCGTTGAGTCTCAAATACTGGATACTGCGAAGGGAATGGTGAGGTTCGCACTTTTGCTTTCCAACAACACCCGGCGGCAATGCTCCTCGCCTACCTCCATCAGAACTGTCCACAAATGGTAAAACCTAACGAGGAAAGCCTGTTGGTCACACTAGGTTTACCACCTCGAAGCGCAATCGAAGGCGAGACGGGGTCCCGCATCGAGCAGCATTCGACTCTTCAGGGCCCGTAACATCCTTGATGTGATTCTGCTCGCTACGTTCAGGACATTTAGTCACGTAGCAAATTCGACAGGCCCAAATAACAACGCTGTTAAAGCCGACACGACTGCGCCAGACTGCCGTGAACGTATTCTTGAACAAGCTCAGACCGCGCCTAAAAATGCACCCAACAAACGCCCTCCCTCACCCACCCCAAAGCCATGCCTTTCCCCCTTGAGCGCCCCGAACCCCATAAGCACAGCTCTTCCCAATGCAAAAAGATCCATCTATCACCGATGCCCAAGCAGCTCAATCCGATCCAGCTCATCCCCATCATCCATCTCCTCATCCTCCTCCTCATTCTCCTCATCATCCATATCCTCATCACTCTCCCCGCTCTCCTCGCTCCCCGCCTCCTCTCCCTCTTCCCCGTCACGCAAGCCCCTCCCCTCCCCCCCATCCTCCTCATCCGTATCCACCATCGCCACATCCTGGCCCTCGAGATAATGCCGTATCGGGCTCAAGCTCCGACTCATGCGCGCCAGCATGCCGTACGGGCTAGGAAACCGGATGTTCTCGCGGATATTCTCCATCGCGCTGGCCGCGGACGCCGGACGCGTCCGGTCTGAGGCCGAGGCTTCCTCGCCGCTGAGGAAGTACGAGCCGGACGCTCTGCGGACTTCTGGGAACGCGGGGGCCGCGAGTCGGCGGATGGGCTGCGGGTTGAGCACTGTGGCTGGTGGGCTGGCGGACGGGACAGGTGGGGCGTTCTCGACCCTTGGTTGCTGCTGTTCCTGCTGTTCATGACGCTGCTGCTGCTGGTGCTCTGCCTGTCCCTGAGCAGGCGGCGGCTGACTCTGCAGCCCTTGCTCCCCACTAAGCAGCTGCAGCTCATTCGTATTGAAGCTATCACACCAACCGCACTTGTTCCCAACCCAATGATAAGCAACGCTACTCCTTCCACTACAGTCATTACAATGCACGACGACCCTCGTATCCCTGAACTGCGGCGGCATGGGCTGCGTGGCAATCGCATCCTCCAGCTTGCGCCACTGCAGCTCCATGTTCACGGCGGACTTCTTGCAGATGGGGCATTTGTAGTCCGACTCCATGTAGCGCAGGTAGCAGGCTCGGTGCATGTAGTGGCCGCATTTTATGCTTACCACGGAGGTGGACGAGGTGAAGAGGTAGTCGCCGCAGATGGGGCAGTCGCAGTCGGTGGCGCGCTCGATGCAGCGGTGGGTCGAGGCGAAGGCGATGGAGATGCAGACGTTGCATTTCTGGGGGTGGTGTTAGTAGGGTAGTGACAGATGCGAAATGTGTTTGTACTCGTAGGTATGTGCATATGAGAGCGGGCAAGGCTCCGGGGAAGTACTTGCCTTGCAATGAATAAAGTCCTTCCCAATCCCCGCGCCCCGTCTACAAATCCCACACTCCTCGCAATGATAAATCCGCTTGCTTCCGTCATCGTCCCACAGCTTGCAAATCCCGCAATAGTACCACGCAGCCTGCTGTCCGCAGTTTCCGCAGCACTCCGCTGCAGGTTGCGGCGTCGCGCACAGCATGCAGAGCATATTCAGCGTCTTGCGGCGATTGAGCCTGTGGTCCTCGACTTCATCGTGGCAGTGTCGACACGGATACCAGCGCCGGCAGTCGAAGCATTGCACCTTGACGTTGCGCTTGTAGTGCTCGCAGCCGAGCTCGGGGGTTTCTTCTTCGGCGTCGTGGCCGTCGTCCTCGGGGATCGTGTCTGGGTCCGCTGGCGCGCCGTGCCGTGGCCGGAACGAGGGCTCGAGGTCTTTTGGGGTCACGTTGAACGGGTTTGTCGGGTCGGGGAGAGAGTAGATGGAGACGGGCGAAGAGGGCTGCGCGTTGCCGTCTAGCACCGAGCTCGCTGACATGGGCGTGTATGGTCTCTCTGACGACACGATGCTCAGCGGGGACTGCGCCCGCAGCAGGTGCGCGTGCGAGGCCTGATAGCGCTCCGTCATGAGGATGTGCATCCTGAGGGCCTTCTCTTCGCTCGACGCCTCCATGTCGCGAATCGAGACTATCTTCTGCCGCATCACTCGCATCCCATCGTCCGCCGGCAGCGACTCAGACATATGCGCCATATTGACGCTCTCGCCCTGCGCGCTCCGCCCGGTGTTCGCTCGCGACCTGCCCCCAGCGCTGCTCGCGCTGTCCCGCGGCGACTGGTCCGCCATGTGGATGCTTGGTCGGAAGCGCTCTGCTATGCCGTACGACGGGTTGTAGGACATGTAATCATCCGTAGGCTGCTCTCTGAGCGAGGCTGGCGTGGCCCTCGGCGAGGTGGTGAGACGACCATGCTCGAGTATGACGATGCTCGTGGCTCCTGGGATAGCTGGCCGCTGTGGAGACGGCGCTGCGGGTACCGGCACGCTTACACTTGCAGGTGCAGCGGCAGAATCATCCGACGGATCACTGTTGGGATGCGGCGCGATCTCGATGGCAGTGGTGGTGGTCGTGGTGGTGGACCCTGGACGGTCGCTGCTGTCCGTCAGCGCTGTCTGGGCGGTCGTATCTTCATCCTGGCTCGCATGTGACAGGCGCGCGGCAGGTACCGCTGGTGTCGGCGCTCCTGAAAATCTGCGCGCTTGGCGGACGACGGGCTCGATGATGAACGAGGAGATGAGGCTGCTCATGAGGCCAGGCGTGCAAGCTCGAAACCCATCTGGCAAGTGAGTCGAGGGAAGTGGGAAGCAGAGTTGAGCTGCGAGTCGAGCAGGACGAAACTTGGTCAAAGGAACCTGGAACCGATCTGCGGGTGGCACTGAGACAGGAGATCTCTCCGCACGAGGCATCAAGGCACCCTCCGAGGCAGTGCATGGGCCACTCAAAAAGTACGTTGCTGCATTGAAAGCCCACTCATGGACCTCGAGACGGAAACCCCGATAAAGTTTGTAGACTGAAGAGATAGTAACTGATCGATTTGCTAAAGGCTGAAATGCTAGAGCATCTAATGTTCCACATCGTATGAAACCGGTCCTGTTGTATTACCCTTGCTATAATCACCAGTCCAGCTCAATCGTGATCTGATATTGGACAAGCTGGAGCAACGATACGGCAACAGGCTTTTTGAGTGGCCCTTGCTCGCTGGTACTAGCATCTCTCTGACCAGGTGTAAACACAGCGCAGGCACACATCCACGAAGCCGCGAGTTGGTCAGGAATAAGTTTAGAACATCTACGAGATTCACAATAGTGATGTTGCGGTGGTTGGTACGGTCCACCTTAGCAATACCACCCATCCAGTATGTGATATCTGACCCCAAAGCAGTCCCAACTCAGCCGGTCAGCTCTGCTTTACTCCTCGGTAGCCGTCGCCCTATCCCGCCATGCCACGAACGCCTTCCCATAGCTCTCCGCTTCACCACGATCACCATCACCAGCAGAGCCAAACACAAGTCCATCACTGACCTCCCCGTTTCTCTCCACCTGCCCACCCCTGCCCAACTCCACAAGCGGAACCATCGACGGCCGCCCATGCGCGCACTGAAACGGAAATGCGCACCCCGCCAGCCTCTCCACCAACCTTTCGCACTGCTTGACGGTCAAAACATCATTGAACATGATAGCGCTTCTGCAGGCGCGCGAGTTCAACATGTCGAGTATGCCCTGCGGACAGTGGCCGATACGGCGAAGCCATGAAGGCTCGCAATGTGGACTCGACGAAGCACCCGCTACCAGTGCCGGTGAGGGGGCTTCATCCCCGTCATGGCGAGCGACTGGTGGACTTTCTGCGAGTTTCCAGACCTCAGAACGGAGGAGCGATATCAGGAGCTTGGGCTCGACTTTGCAGCGCTCGGCAATGCCGGGTGGCAACGTCTTTACCACTAAAGTCTGCGAGGATGCTTTGGTATGAGTGGACTTGTCCGTAGCTGGAGGTGTCAGGTCGTAGAGAATGCCCCATTCGGCGAAGTGGGCTGCGTGTAGTTGGAACAGACGATCTTCTTGGGCCGAGACCAGTATATTAACAGGTCTCTCCAATATCGTGTACGCAATCTGAGACTCGTGGCCCAGGTTGGATCGATATACAGCCTCCGCGCTTGAGGCGGGTTCGCACAGCTCTCCAAGCAGGTCTTCTACCCGGCAGCGCTCGTCGGCTGCGTGCTGGTCAATAAGGATCAAGACCTGCTTCGGGTCGGATCCTGTGCCGGTTCGATCGGTGACATCGGTCTGGGGATTGCTCATCTTTGCTAGGATGAATTTCTTGTCCACTTGAGCAATGACTTCCGCATTTCTAAGCGCGGCCTTTGATAGTCTGCCAGAAACTATAGCTGACGACTGTACGAGCTGGTTGTCAGTGTTTTGACGACCGCAGTGGTGGCCAGACGATGCCTCGACGCTACCGTTCTCTGGTGCGTCGAAGAAAGCTTGAGGAATGCTCTGTTCAGTCTTGCTAAATACTGGGTTGCTCCATGTGCCGAGGAACTCGTCCATCCACTCGCTTCGAGGTTCGTGAGAAGGGCCCGCCTGGTTTCTGCTCGGCATGCTTAATCTCTTGTTGAACCCTGGAAGAGTGATTGCAGCCTTTCGAATTGGTGCCGAATCTGACTCCGTGCGGCGTGCGTTGTTGCTGACTACAGCTCCGGTACGGGCATTGACAAGATAGACATCCTTGGTCGCTGGATCCATCCAAGTCATCGTTTCGTCGATAGGGGCTTCATCATGTTCAGTAGTCAGTGGTGTCGAATGAGAGGATTCGGCAATTTCGCAACCTCTGAGCATAGCGGGAGTTGACCAGCGTGCAGAAGCGTCCATCCGTACGTGAGTCGATGTCAGTTGTCCGGGCAGGATTAGCTCGACATCGAAAACAGTGCCCTTTGAAGAGATCTTTGGTCCTTCTCTTGAACGAGCCTCTAGACCTGGTATAACTTCCGAATGCTGCTGTCCAGCCGGCGCAGACACTGGCTTCGTCGGTGGTGTCTTGGAGCTCCAAAGATCGTCGTAGAAGGAAGAGTTGCCACTTTTTATCCGGCTCCATTCATTAAAGACTGGAGCACCCCCGTAAGGTAGATTGCCAGAGTCGCGCCCTTCTCGTAATGCCGAATTTTTCGGTTCACTGCGCTTTCGTTTCCTCGAACCTGGACGCAGAGTAGCTACGATGGACTTTGAGCTAGATAGAGGCCTCCGGGTCGACTGCTGATCACGAATTTGGTTGGTAGTCTGTGGATCAAATTCGAGCGCTTCGTCTTCGAAAGGACTACCTACTGGTGATGCAGCGCTGCTGGGGGACGCTTCACCGCTCGAACCGTATTCCCTTCCTCTGGCTCTGGACTTGCGAGGCCGAAAATGGTGCACTGTAAGCCAGCGACTTACCATGGCCTCCAGAACCTCAATGATAGTTCGAAGGTTGGATTGGTCATTGACAAAATGGGTCCCTAGTGGCTTCCTAGACGAAAGGCTCTTAAAGTCGATCCGGAGACAGAACATCGGCCACCTGTCGATACCTTTACGACCGCTTCTCATCTGGCGGTTGGTGAAACCATCACTCTTGTATCTCCTATCTTTACTACGTCGTTCCCGTTCCACATCATCGAGGTCTGACGTATCATCAACAGTACCAAAGCTGGAAAGGTTGAACAGACGATTAACCTCGTCGTACAGCTCGTTGTGGCCTTCGTGTGCGTAGATGGGCTCAATACCGATAGATATGAACTGGCAATATTTGCTAGGTGCTGGCTTCAAGGAAATTGCCCCCTTGATTGATAGATCAGCCGTCGCTGCTGAGATCGGCACCCAATTGCCACGATCTTCGCTTGATATGTGAGCGGACTGAGTTAACAGTCCAAGCATGGACGACAGTGCCAAAGCTGAAGGCTGCTTCTCAGCGTCTTTTTGCGCGGTGCTCAAGACGAAGTTCTTGGTCTTGTCCGCTTCGCAGACTCTTAGAGTGACTGGCCGACTCCACGCCAGCAACAGCCCAACAATGTCCCTCTTGAGATTCTCCCACTGCCTCTCGCTCTTGGCTTTTTCTTCAGATAGAAGAGCGCGCTGCTTCACTCGCACTGGCATGTTGCCGAACAGATCCCGGACAGCCACCCTTGTGCCATGTTCGCGAAAGCTAAGGTCATGCGATGCCGGAGATGGCAGCATCCTAGAGATCACCTGAGCTCGGTGTAAAGTCACGGTGTTGGTTGAACGATATAGATGGTTATGTGAGGTGATCGTCAATAAGGAGAGCGCCGCCAGAGATGCGAGGAATATGCCGGTGCCGCCGTATAGCTCACCAGCACTGCAATGCTTTGAAGTGCCTGAGCGAGTCAGCATCGTACTTGCAGTCACTCTTGCCACTGCGGCTCACAATACTGCTTCCCCAACCCCCCGTCATCTCGAAACTCCCTGGGCGGGATCCCTAGTCCATTGTCTTCGACTATGCAGCCTCCTCGACGCAGGTCTACAGTAACTTCTATCTTGGTAGCTCCAGCATCCAGTGAGTTCTTGAGTAGCTCCAAGACGACATCGTTCAAGTCAGTGATGGTGATGGACGATTTGAGCTGAGCAATGACCTCTGCCGGCAGAGGCAGGATGGCATTCTGTGTGATCGGTTCTTTGCCATCGCTGGCTGATGTCGATAGGCTGCTGCGCGCTTCGGCTGGGGATGGAGCTACGATGTCCAGCTTTCGCCGCAGGCTCATGGAGGCCACTGCACCAGGTCTGTCTGGTTGTAGACAGTGCGCCTAATGCGCTGCCACATCTGAGTGTCTCCTGGCAGCGGATGGCGAGGTCGTTAGTCGTTATCCCGTGAGGCAACTCGGTCTCGATGCTATTTTGAAACCCGACCAGGGTCGCGGGTGACGTGCATTCGATGATCCCGTCGGCGTGTCGGGCTTCGGGATTTGCAGTGAGCCTTGCACGCCTGGCTTGCCTTGACTCTGTGAGGACTGCCTCTACCACACCCTCCGCCCAGGACAGCGCATCATCCCCTTTCAATTGTTAACTGACTGACCCCATTATTTTCGCGGCCTCGTCATCTTGACCGTCACTGTTTGAGTCTTGCGCTCCTCGTCCCCTCATTCAATTGGAGCCCAGCCACCCTTTACATACGTGTTCGTCTGTGAGGGCGCCCTGTACTCGCTGACGCGACATCCGCAATCAGAGCGCTCCGGGTAGAGCTTCGGCATCCCGCAAGATACAGAAGTCCACTTTTCGTCGTGTGGAACCAACCCGGTTTGATCGACATGGCTACCGTTGAGTCGGCCGCGAGGCCACATGGTAGGCCACCCATTCACTATGCCCCAGAAACCCTGACGGCGCTCTGAGTTCTCGGCGCGCCGCATCAGTCACATTTCGCCAAAACCATCAACATGAAGCGCCGCAGCTGGATGAGGGATAAGAGGGCGCATGCTGATGTTGAAGTTGTGCCAGATCGCAGCCATCGCAGAATACCATTTACAGCATGGGTGAGGCGATTCGCAAACCTCCGCAATTCGTCACTGGACTCGCCTCGGTCCTCGAAGAAGGGGCATCTACATTCGAAATCGGAGAAAGCACCAGTAATCAAGAACAATCCGTACCCAGAATCCGGCTACATGCACCGCCCGCCTCCTCCAGATGGCAGCACAAATGGTCACCTGTCATTCTCTACTACGCCCACCTCTCGCGACAATGAGAGCTATGCATCAAACGACGGAGACTCGGTCTCTCAGAACGCGCCGGCCGTCAGCGACAAGTCAGCAGCACCGACTCTAGCCACGAACCCTGAGACGGTGCACTCCGACGCCGGGCAGTCGAAGACCGGAACAAGCAACACGGTGGGCGGCGGTCTGAGCTCGCAGGACGGCGGAAGGGACAGCACATTCTCGTCGCCGAACCACTCGCAGCAGTCCCTAACAACAACTCTCACAACCATCCAGTCGACCGCACCGTCAGCGCTGCTCGGCCAAAACCACGGATCCAACTCCCAGCACAATGCACAATCTCAGCAAGCGCCAGTCCACTTCTCCCACCAATACCCCATCTCGCCGCCCGCATCCGCCCTCCCCGCGCATCTCGCGCCCCAGCCAAACCCGCACACCTACAGTGCCGCCACCGCGAACAACATGCTGACAGACAACGCCTCGATCCTCACGCTCGCCTCCTCATCCAAGCGCCGTCGACGCCACAGTCTCGACACCGACGCCTCCGTGCGCGCCCTAGCTCCGTCCTCCGTCTGGGGCGGCAGCCGCGAGTCCCTGCCCCTGAGCGTCCTCTCTGGCAACGTCGAAGCCGGCAGCGGCATCTACGCTTCCGGCCCGCGTCCCAGCGTAGGTGGCCTCGCCAGCGCGGAGCGCGCAAGCGTGTACTCGTCGTCCGGCGTGGCGCCTGGTGCACTCAGCAGCGAGAGGAACAGCTACTACGCCAACAAGGTCGACGGCGGCAGCGTGAGGAGCGGACTGTTCGGACATGGCAGAACCGAAAGCATCAACGGTAGTATTGGAGGCCCGACGCTGGTGCCTGGAAGTCCGTTGGCGAGTCCGAACATGTTGGGGGGCCCAGGCAGGATGAGTAGGCGGAGCTCGGATCGGAGGGAGGCGTATGGGGAGAGCGATGCTGAGGATGGGGAGGAGGTTGGTCACGGTAATTGGAAGCAGCCGGTTAAGGAGAATGCTGCTTGAGTTGGGACATGGTGGGAGGATTTACATGGGCATGGCGGGACACTTGAGGCGTTCGGAGTCTTGCTTTGCGATCTTGGTTTAGTGTCTTTGTGGTTCTCGATAGTGATATACCCTAGGCCTCGGAAATTGGAAGCTTTTGCTGGCTTGGTCTCGGAGCAGGTAATCAGGGCTGCTGTGAGGATAGCCGAGGCGCACCAGTAGTAACATGCCATCTTCCTTTCCTACCTACCTACCTAAGTACCACAAACCACTTGTGAGCCGTGCTTAGGAGCTTTGAAGGAAAAATAAGTCTTGGCAAATTTCTCCCGCACGGACCAAGCAAACCCGCGACAAGCGAGCCATCCCACACCAAGAATTTCTGGCCGAACATCACGACTTCCACCCTTCGAGAACCACACGCAAACCGACCGCGAACGACACATCGCAGTCATCAGTAAGACCAAAATCCCCCCCTTGCTCCCCCCTTGTCTCACAAACCCATTCTAACAGCCCTCATCCAGCAATGCCCAACGCCTCTAAATCCAACAAGCCCGCGGCGGGTAAGACGACCCGCAGCGCCATCGCCGACGTCGTGGCGCGCGAGTACACGATCCACATGCACAAGCGAGTACGTCCCTAAGAAAGCCACACACCATCAGTTTTGTGAAGTCCAGAAATGGCCTCTTCATGGGGTATCGGGCGGAAGACTGATTTGAGGTGACAAAAGGTACACGGCGTGGCGTTCAAGAAGAGGGCGCCGAGAGCTATCAAGGAGATTCGGGATTTTGCCCAGAAGGCTATGGTGAGTGTGCTCCTTCTGCTTTTTTTGCCATTTTCCAAACATCCTGAAAGAAAGCTTGGGCGCGTCGTTGGACGGTGGTGTGAGGATGTGTGCTGATCAGTGTGGTTGGGTTTGGCAGGGCACCAAGGATGTGCGCCTCGATCCGCAGCTCAACAAGAAGGTCTGGGAGTCCGGCGTCAAGGGCGTGCCGTACAGGCTGCGCGTGCGCATCTCGCGGAAGCGTAACGACGAGGAGGGTGCCAAGGAGAAGCTGTACAGCTACGTGCAGGCGGTCAACGTGAAGAACCCGAAGGGGCTGCAGACGGCTGTTGTTGAGGATGCGTAGAGGGAGCAGAGAAATCTGGGGTATGGATTGAGAAAGGGCATCACGTTGGCGGCTGGTTACGGTCAATCGAAACTAGCTTTGGAGTTCAATATGGATGGCTGGCTTGTTTCTTCCCTTCATGGAAATGATACTGAGTTCGTCCAACGCTCATCTCACGTCCATGAACAACATCTGATATGCCCTCGGTTCTCCCGGATGACTTTCCTTATCCTATGACAGACCTTGATCGAACAGTGACAACTTTTCCATGTCGATGCTCCATGCTTGCAATAAAAACTCGGGAATTTAAAGAGTCAGTCTTGCATCCACAACGACCTTGTACTCAAAACTTATGCAATCGTGTGCCAATCTTCATATGTGATGGGCTGTCTACCAGGAACACGACCTAGTGCTTAAGACCTTGCTGCTCGGAGTGGCTTGATGTTGGAAAGTAAGATTGCCAATGCACTATGCCTTCGCAGTATCCAGTGTTTGAGGGATAACACTTAAGTCTCTGTATTTTAGACGTGTGCCGAGCGTCAGGTCATTCCATGCAATGGGCTTCAAGTTTACACAAGGTGCAGGTAGAGTCGGTCTTGATATGGGAGGGAAGGGCATTAATATCGTTGGAAATTTCCAGGCAGAGGTGATGCACTGTAGTCTAACCAAGGGAATCGAGCAACCAGCGCCGCTTGTAGTGGACATCAAGCGATGAACAAAAGCTCATGGCGACGCCGCTTGGCCAAGGGAGGATTTGATACTGTTCGTTGGCAATTTGACAAATACATTTCGGGAGTTTTCGAACCATGCAGATGATTATAGTCGTTCTGTTTTTGCCTGTTCCACCGTTCGAGACTATCTGTACATCAATCCGACGGTGCAACTCAAAAGTCGGAGAGGTCGACGAAGAGCAGTTGTGATCACAATCGAAGGACGGAGTACGATCTTCAGTAGCCAGGAAAAGCAATCCGTATTTCAGAAAACAGATAGTCCGCTTTGACACGACGCCGACCGAGGCCAAATGCAAGAGAGCACACAAACAGGGGGAGCTTAGTCGAAGAGACCGAAGCCCATATCCTCGTCCGACTCCTCCTTCTCTGCAGTGCCACAAGTCAGCCATTGTGTCTTTAGTACTGTTGATGAATTTCCAATCGCAGGATAACGTACCCTCTTCCTTCTCCTCCTCCTTCGCTTCCGGCGCGGCATCTCCAGCACCACCAGCAGCGGCACCACCGCTTGGTGCGGCGGCGGCTGCGCCACCGCCTGAGCCAACATTCATGAGTAGGTCCTTCACGTCCTTGCCCTCAAGCGCCTGCCAACTATGAGTATCTCCGAATCCGTATCAGGTATCCTAGCAGCGTACCTTGGCGAACAGCGTAGTCCATATCGGCTCAACATCCTGGACGTTGGCGGCCTTGATGAGGGTTTGGAGCTTGTCGGCCTGCACAACCATTAGACACCGTGCTTCACGGACTTTCACGGACTTCGGAGGCTCAGCGTACGGTGATATCGACACCGTCATCGGCGAGGATGAGGGCGGCGTAGGAGGTGGCGAGCTCAGCGTTGGACATTGTGAAGTCTGTCTGAGGGAGTCTGGTCGTTGGTGAGGTATTCCGATTGCGCTGCTGTCGTCGCACTTGTCGAGGTTGCGATTTCGTTGATTTGGGATGTGCTGCTGGACGGGCGCTAAGTCCTGAAGGGGAGCGCTTAGCGAGGACGTGGGATGAATCTTGGCGCTCAGCACCCCGCCATGCCTTCGATGCCCGCATCCGCATGGCTTGCCCGTACGTCAACTGTCTCCCGCTCAAAATTCTATGCCGATAACTGTGCATATGCGAAGAAAAGCGCCCAGAAAACACGAATACAATTAACACCACCATCTGCGATACGCTGAACGAACCATGACCGACTCTCCAGCCGTACGGATACCGCTGGACCCGCACGAGCAGCCAATCCTCGACAGGCTGCTGAGCATTCGAACGGAACTCGAACTCCTCAAGCAAGACAAATCAACCTACGTGAAGTCGCAGGATGTGATCAACCTCTATAACCAGGTTGTTGATCAAGTCGAGCTGCTCAATGGCATAAGAACGCAGAAACGGCACGAGCAGAATCGAGGTAAAGCCTTGCGCCGGTTGATACGTGGTTCGGCACGTTCGGCTGACAACACTGTACAGTTGATACTGTGCTGGACGACTGCTTCCAGCTCATATCACTTGCGTATCTCACTATAGGAAAGAACAACGAAGCCCCTGCAGTGTAAGATGGTTGACACTCTGATACTGTAATCACCTGACTAACTGTCGGCGCAAGATATTCCGCCGTCTCGACAATAAAAGTAAGCCTACTAGACGCTTCCTAAATTATAGATGGCATGCTCATCATGCGCAGCGCCTCCTCGAACATCTCAGAGAAGCAGCTTTCTTCTCTCCAAAGGATCTCGAATCCATCAGTAGCCGGCTTCAAAACTACCGCGAGGCAGTCGAGAGGGGCAGGGAAACCCACAGCCCCCACCTTCTCCTGTTGGTCGAAGCACGGATAGACATCTGTCAAGACATTCTCTCCGAGCTACAGGATAAGCTATCACAGCTAGACGAGGAGCAAGGCGCGAAGTATGAGAAACTCGTATCTATTCTGCGATCGTTGGCAGGATGCAGCACCAAGTCGAAGGTGAACTTATGATCTGCAGTTTTTCTTAACATCATCCGCTAATGATCTCCGACACATCAGTTTCCTGCCGCGGAAGTGGACGACCTCTACAAGCAGCTGAAGGAGATCGAAGCGAGCCTTGATAAAGACAGCAGACCCACAGCGAAGAGCCCGAGCATAGACGAGCTGGCGCAAAGTCTTCAAATTCAGATGAGGACCCAGAGCCCTGCTCCGTCGGGGCAAAGGCTAGTGAAGGATCTGCTTACCCGGTGCTTCCTGTGGGTTGAGTTAGTGAAGCAAAAGTAAGGCAAGCGCATCATGTGCCGGCTGCACAACTGACGCTCCTCCAGGCAAGGTCAAATCAATGAGAACTTCAGAGATACTTACGAGAAGCTACGTGACATACGGAACCAGCTTGAGAGACTCACCTTGACACAAGCGTGGTCGCTTCGCGAGACGGATCTCTACAGCTTCCAACGGCAGCTCGATAGAGTGGACGAGTCTCGCGTGGACGGCAACTTTTTGGATGCCGAGGGTCGGCCAGCGGATCTTCACGCACAGAGGGTAAGCACTCCGTTCATGGTCAAACAACTGCCAGCTGACGAGGATTTAGACCCTTTTATATTTGCTTCGCAAGAGCTATGCGCTCATATATCACCTCATCATCTCTTCGGCAGCCGTTTCAGAACCCCTACTCCCGATCTACAACCAGTTGACGACGCTGCGAAGATGTCTGGTGGAAGTGAAGAAGTCCGGAGGTGTTTCCTCGCCCCGCGAGCTGTATCCTTACAGCATGAAGGTGCGTATCGGGCCTGTTGGTCGTTCCGTAGCCGTTTGACTGACCGCTCTCAGCTCAACTCAATTGACAACATGCGGATCGATGGCAAATTCATGGTGGGAGATGAAATCCCCGACGGTCAGGCCAACGTAATAGAGTTGCTGGAAGAATGCTTTGAGCTTGCGTACGAGCTTAGAGTACAAGCAGAGGACGAGAGCGAAGAGGAGAGAAAAGACGAGAAGGAGGAGGGGGAAGACGAGAAAGAAGATGATACTGAAGACAAGTCGGACGATGAAGATGGCAGCCTAGCTATGAAGGCAAAGTGAGCTAGAACCCGCCTAACCTCTGGACTTCAGCTGTCTTTCGCGAACACCCGCTCTTGGCGTCCTTTGGTGTCCAGTCTTACACTAGACCAGCGACACCGCTTTTGGCAGGCCCTTGGCATTTCCTCTTCGATTGGGTGGTCTTCACTGGTCCTCAATGTTGGTTGTCTTCTCCAGCTGTACTTCGAGTCTAACTTCCGTTCTGTACATTGAGAGTCTTGCCGTTGCATAGGCTCATTCGGATTCTAGCTGTATACTACTCAGTACGGCCGAAGGATCCTCTGTCACAGGTTCTGGCGCGTCGGCATCCTTGAACGTAAGCCGCTGGCCGTACGATATACCTGACATCGGTCTTAGCAACCAAATCTTGATTCTTGCATACCCCAACTTACACAACTCTTCTCCTGCCTTGATATCTCTGAGCGCCGTGTAAGTCACAAGCGATCGAGCCACGTCTCTTTCCCACCCGACGTTCTGGTCCAATGCATGATTGAACATGGAGCCTAGACCAAGTATCACGGCTTGTGTGTTCGTGAGCTTGCCGTCAGAGTCCTTGGACGGCCAGTTGCTGGCGCAAACGTTAGAACATTAGACACTGGAAGTTCAGGGCATGTTCCTAGTGGGCTATACTATGTGTAGTGATACAGCACGGTGTGCTTTACGTATGTGTCATTCTCCTCAATTCCAAGAACGAGGACAGGGCATGTGTCTATCACTGTCCTCGCAGGAATGTCTTTGCTGGCGAAAACGCCCCGACCTGTTTACCATAATGAGCCAAGCTCAGATCACAACGCGCGGAACCATTGCAACCTTTCGGCGTGTCGGAGACTAAGATCAGGCCTCCGCACCGCTGAAGGGCTATCGGAGCTGAGTTTTCATTGTGCATTGTCCTCGGACTTGGTTGAAACGTGTAACATTCGGACACGATGGGCCTTTTCACAATACCATCAGATGCACGGACGCTCTCACAAGCTTGACCTCGAGTTTCATCCATCGAGCTGCTGCCCCACGTCACTGCCAGTTATTCCTCCTCACACCCGCCTCTCTTCAATGGCGCATCAAAGGGCGCAATCCACATCCGAAGCGCTGAAAGGTCCTCACACCGTGAGTCTCAAAGTGCTACGGTACGACTTCCCTACTGCACCACCCTCCCTCATACTGACAAACCCTCCAGTCTCTCCCGACCCTCCCTAGCAACCCAATACCCCCTCCCCGACGCCTCCCCCTCCACTCCCCTCCACATACCCCCCGAAGCAGCCCTCGCCTACCCCTCCACCACTTCTTCTCCTCTCGACCACTCCACCATCAGTCCCCTCCTCAAACTGCCCGAGTCCTTCGGCTCCGCCTACGTCGGCGAGACCTTCTCCTGCACGCTGTGCGCGAACAACGAACTCCTCGCCTCCGACAACACGCGCGCGGTCAGCGGGGTGCGTATCACGGCGGATATCCAGACGCCGTCCAAGCCCGCGGGGGCGGGGTTGGAGCTGCAGGGTGCAAGTGGAGAGGACGACGCGGACGAGAGCGGGAGCGAGGAGCTGGCGCCGGGGCAGACGCTGCAGAAGATCTTGCGGCATGAGCTTAGGGAGGAGGGGAATCATATCCTGGCTGTTACGGTTAGGTATACCGAGACGGTGCTCACTGGGGGTGGGGGGGAGGGGCAGGGCGCGGCGAGCGGAAGAGTCAGGACGTTTAGGAAGCTGTATCAGTTCGTTGCGCAGCCGCTGCTGAGTGTGAGGACCAAGGCGGGGGAGCTACCGGGGAAGGGGAGGGGGTGGGCGCGGTACGCGCTTGAGGCGCAGTTGGAGAATTTGGGGGAGAGGGCGGTGGTGCTTGAGGTATGTTGCACGTCGAGTCACGAGTCCATAGTCTGGTTTGCTAACAAGGGTTTGCGGCAGACTGTGAGCGTCAATCCTAGATCACCGTTCAAGTCTACATCGCTCAACTGGGACGCATCTCCTCCCGGCGAAGAAGTAGGCCCGTCTCCGATCATCAATCCCAGAGACGTCTTCCAGGTCGCTTTCTTTCTGGAGCAGCAGGGAGGTCTCGCTGGCGACGACGAGAACGCAGCCAAGCTGCGCTCGGGTGACAGACGACTCATACTGGGTCAGCTGTCTATACAGTGGAGGAGCGCTATGGGCGACCGCGGGACGCTGAGTACGGGCTGGCTTACAGGTCGCCAGCGGTAGTCACGATTGTCCGGATGGTTGAGTGGACGTGAGCACATACAAAGCTCCACGAAGCTCGTTACCCATTGTCAGTGCATCTATGCCCTAGATCTAGTATCGTCTAAATCGTCCGGCCGCTTACGACCACTGTGGCACAGCTTCTTTGGGAGGTTTCGATATCAAGCCCGAGCGTTCCAGACCTGGTTGATGGAAGATGGCGTTTACCGCATCAAGCCTGGACGTCACCTAGGGTCGACGGAGACTTCACAGTATTGTAAGGTCTTGGCAACGGTCCGTATTGCAAACCGCAAGCCGCACGTTGGTCAGCAGCTTCGGGATGGACTGTCCGGCTGAACACAGAGCTGAAACAACACGGACACTGCTGGCTCACACATGGTAGATTAGGGGTCTCAGCACCTGTTCCCCACACTGCGGACGAGGCTCCGGAGTCGGGGACGGCAACCGGCCGCTGAAACAGCTGGGGGAGGGTCTCCTGAGCTTCTGCTTCTTGACGGGCGGACAAGTGCTTCACTGGAGGGAATGGAATGGAGATGGAAGGTCAGAGCACCTGAGGCTCGCGTAACTTCAGGGGTGTCGTTCGCGGATCCCTGCCGCCGCCGCCAATCACGATCAGTCGGACCCTGAAAGTACTAGCGCGATCACAGGTTTTAGCCGGCGGTTCCTGTGCCGTCACGGGATATGGCGTCGCGAGGGTCTTCCAACGGTTGAGCTGCAGCGCAGGACGCGGCTTGCTCCATGCATTATTGCGCATTGTTGCGAGGGGAGCCCGCAGCATTGCGCCGGTGGGAAAACGCGACGGGGGCTTGTTACAAGCGTCAAGCTACCAAGCGGTGTTCAGACTTGTTCTAAACCCTGAAAGACGGAGCGTGAGCGTGGAGCGGTCTCGCAGTCTCGCAGCACAATCCGCGTGTGGGATGCCCAAGTGGATAGAGAACCGAGTCATTTGTTGATGCTTCGCTGTGGCCTGTCGTCCCAAGAGACTATTGATCTTCGCTACACACAAGATGGCGGCAGCCCCTGCTTGAGATTTGTTCAGGGACACACCTCGCTCTCAAGTTCCTCCAACCAGGCGCGGTAGGCTCTTGTGTGCATCCGTCGAATGGCGCAAGGCCAGCCGTCTCGCAAATGGCTAGCGGTTGCACCAAACAAAGCTGCCCTGCGCGGACCTCTGTGCGCGCCATGACGCCCCATTCCACTGAGGTTCAATCCAGCGCGATATGCGACGACAGGTCTCCACGAAAGGAGACAGCGCCCTCCAGCGCTATGCACGCTCGGCTGGATTGGCAGCGCTCCCACCGCTGCGTTGCCTGGCGCCTCGCTTGTTTCCTCGACGACCCTCTCCCCGGCCACGTCGCGCGTGGAGGTAAGCCCCAACGGTGAAGCTATTGTCGGTTGCGGCTTGCATATGGACCTTTCAATCTATCTTCAGGAGTAGCTGCCACCACCTGTTTACGCCTTTGCAGCTGGTCCTCGCCTGTAACAGGGAAAGTCTTGAACCTGCCCGCGTCCTGTCGCCGTCACAGACAAAGGACCCTGATCCGCACTGAACGGCCACATACATTTGCGGAACGATTCACCGTAGCACAAGCAAAAGTTAGCAGCCGTGAATCCTGGCACGGAATCATCCCGGCAGAAGAAACATCTTTGACGGCAGTCGATCTTGCGTTTCCAATGTATTGAGCTCGTGGACGGACACGCTCGTTCACTGTGTTCGCTCACACTGCCGCTCTCTTCTCGCCCACAGTCGTTAGTGCTCTGGATGACCACCATGTCTCCCATCCCTACTCCCGCCGAGCTTTCCAGTGTGCCGCTGGCCGACTACTTCTTCATCTCCGGAATCGAATCTTCGCAGGTTTTCGAAGAGCGACCGCAGGCGAACGGGATCGCGCCGCCAACGGTGGATGCCACCATTGAAGAGGACAAGGCGCTGGAGACAGATACGGCTGCACGGCCAAAGTCATCCGGGGAGTTGTCATGGACAGAAGGCACGCCGCGCAAGACGAGGCGCAGCTGCGACCCAAGGAGCTCCATCAGCACAATCCTCAGCCCAGAGCACAGTGCCTCGGCGAGCAACCGGAGCAGCGCTACGATCAGAGGCATACAAGTGGAGTCTACTCCTCTAAGCGACGAAGACTTTGAACATGCCCTTCGAAAGTTCGCCTCCGAGAGGGACTCGTTTCTGGAAGAAATACACTTCAGCGCCGGCACCCTACCTCAGCCAACCCGACCGAAACCGCGCCAGAAGGCACAACGCATTGTCAACGATGATGCTGCGCCAGCGAGGGCCGGAGTTGGAAGCCTCAGGCGGCGGATATCGACCATGGGCGTGCTGAAACGGCAACCCTCCTTGGCACGGCAGTGTAAGTACTCTGTGTACCGACGGTACCTGCGGTCTCAATGTCTATGCTTTGCAGCGCTGCTGCTCTCTCCACCTTGACTAACATGGGCTAAATCTGATATTCAGCTTCAACCCGGACTTCGAAGAGACTGAGCGGCTATAACTCAGTCATCCCCGCCCCCCAACCATTCCACCCGACGCCGAACATGCACCCCCTGAAGCGCCGCTATGAGCCTGTGCTCTTAGACAGGTATCCGCCACGCAACATGGTTGACGGAGTGAAGCGACGGAACCCGTTCCCCGATTATGTCCCAATGTTCGCGTTTCCCAACGACGTCAACGTGGTCTCGTCAGACGAACGACCAAAATCAACGTGGCACGGGTTCGCCATGACCAACGCTGACGGTTCCAAGCTCTACGGCATCTGCTTGACCATGTGGCTACCTCTGAACGAAAAGGCAGCGGAAGAGATTGAGCGTCAGTGTGAAGAGTGGAGAAGGGCAAACATGACGGGCGAGGAGAGGGAGCTTGCGGCTAGCCTTGGGGAACGGCTCGTCATAGAGAGGGCGAAGCTCTCACGGCTCCTAGCAAGGCTTCCCAGCGTCCCTTCAGGGTCGGAAGAACGAGAGCAATTCGAAGACGAGATTAGTGCCGTAGAAGAGAAGATTGGGCTGATGGCTGATCTGCTGAGACCCGTCAGGCACGGTGCTGCATCCAAGATCGACGGTTTGACAGACGGCGATAGCGGACTGTGGATACCGAGAGTATATGGAGTGCTTGGGAGAGATGAGTGCCTGACGAGCTTCTGGAAGGAGTGGCTTAGAGCCGTGGTCGTCCCAATGACCAACGGAGGCGTGCTTAGAGTTCCTCCAAGCTCGCCGAAGATCGGCATGTGGCAGCCTCTTGAGCGTTATGTCGTCAATCTTTGCGCCGAGGCTCCCAGTCCCATCTCATCCATCACTCAAGTTGAAGTCGCCGTCCGAGAGCTTCGGCTATATGCTCGCAAGGAAGCTATCAACGAGATACCTGGATCCCGCAACACCGACCTCTACGGCCTTTTCCGCTCGCTGTCAATTCCGAACATTGTCACCCTCTTCGAGTATGTGCTTTCCGAAGCACGCATTATCTTGCTCTCATCCTATACGAGCATGCTGCATCTTTCTAGCGCGGCCCTCACACACCTCATCTATCCCCTGAAGTGGGCCGGCGTCTTCATCCCTATACTCCCTGCGCGACTCATTCAGGCACTGGAAGCACCATGCCCGTACATAGTAGGTATAGAGAGACGGTACGAAGGAGTCGCACTGCCAGATGACGACTATGTCCTTGTCGATCTGGACCAGGACACGATCGAAAGCGTTACCCGGCCCATGTCCCTTCCGCGCCACCAACGGAGAAAGCTCACAGCATTGCTACAAGCTGCAGCCCCTCATCACAACCGGTATGGCGTGCCTGTGGGGCCTCCTGCATACGCCCAAGAGTCGTTTCCTTATGACGCCTTCTCAACTGAGAACCCTTCCGTGTTCTCCCACCGGACCCCTGCTTCCACGCTGGCCGCCTACGTCAGCCTCAACTCGAACTCGTTCACCACCGTTGGACTGCCAGGCTCGCAACAGCCGGTTTTCAATGCCTTTCTCGAGGAGCGGAACCCTAATAGTCGCGATGGCAAGAGACCGTCTACGAGCTCTACGAACAATACTAACAAGACCGGCTCTCCACCGTCTCCTACAGTATCGCCTGTGTCAGCGGGCTTCCCGTCAATTCCATCCACCCCGGTCTCGCGGAGTGACTCCGGCTACGCATTGCAGGCTACGCTCCGCGAGAAGCGCTCTGCCCACTTCGACACCGCATCCAAGCGAAGTTCATCTGTAAGTTTCTGAAATCGATTGCATGACTACACAGCTAATCAGAGAATCATAGTTTGGATTGGAGAGAATCAACACACTCAGACGACCGAGTCAACCGTTCCTCGGACACTCTTCCAGCGGGTCCACTTCAAGTCTGCTCAGCGCGCATGTCGCCGGATCTCAATACGCACCGTCCGTCTACGCTCAATCCACACTAGCAGCATCGACAATCATGCCGGGCGTGCTGATGCAACCTGTGCGCAACACGAAGACGACGCAGTGGGTTGAGGGTCACTGCTTGCAGTGGAGAGGACAAGACGATCGAGCACCGTGCAATGTCTGCGAAGAGAAATCTGATGAGGGTGTCTTCAAGTGCAGCGGTATGTTCGTTCTATACGGTCACTATGTAATCGCTGACATTCGTTTAGGCTGCAACATGAGCGCTCACGGTCGATGCGCGCCCCAGATCTGCCTGGTTTGTCCTGTGGCCTTCAATGCAGAGCAGGTGCGCGCGGCTTTTGTACGCTGCTTCGCGAGCTTGTTCTACACCTACAGACGCTTCATGCATCAGGCAACCGGGGACAGGAAGAAATCGGGCCTGATCTACCATTTTAATATGGATGGCTTCTTGAAGAGTATGCCTCACGAGAACGCAGAATACACGCAGATGCTGCAGCAAACCCAAGCCTTCAACGAGTTCATTCACGAGCGCGAAACCAAGAGATCCGATGACCCTTCAATTAAGCTTTTTGATCAGATCATCCTATCTAAGAAGAACCGCGGCGGCAGATCCTTCTTCTCCAAATCGAGCACCGACTTCCTCTCCGACACCTCCGACCACCTCTGGCGCACCGCCGCCGCCACACCGCCGAACGCGCGGTTTCCAGGTGACTACCGCGCTATCATCACTAGGATCCCGGCAAAACTTGATCCGACCCTGATGAAGGAACCACGCGCGATACAGGGCGTGCCGCGGATTCCGCAGACCAAGGCGCGCCGGAAGCCGATACCATCGCAGTTGGGGATGAATCCGAAGGTACCGCCTTCGTCACGATGAATGTCGTATGTGGATTTACATTGTACACGCAGAGAGGAGAGCACTGTAACAAAATTCCCCCTCTTAACATTTATTATCGCGCTTGTTCTCGATTTTTTGCTGGTGCATTTCGAGCGCAGGAGCATCCGAGGCGCAATTCGGGAGAAACGAGCTACATGGTGTTTGCATGGTGCGGCGTAGGAACGTCTCTACTTCAGAGTCCCATTGGATGAATGGAGGGCAGGTTGGGTACTCTAGCTGGGCATGCAGTCACAGCGCAATTGAGTGCTGCGGGAGTTCTTGGTGTAAAAACGTGTATGCGAGAGATGGCGCTGGTGGCAGAGACCATTTGGAGTGATTTTGGTACAGAGCGTTTATTCTGCTGTTTTGAGTGAACAAACAGGACGAGTCATCTTTTTCACGCAAGATTGCACTCAAGAGTCATAACACAGACTAAAGTGGACGTCTTCTCTTTCCTGAAATGTAAGCGCCAAAGTATGCCTTCCACACATTGTCGCTGCCACACACAACACAGTTCAATGTTCCCTCTTTCCTTCGTTCGGCTTGGGAACCTCGCTCCTCTCATCTGCTTTAAAAGTCCTTCACTCCTTGATTCCTGTTCTTCCCAGACATCCAATTCCTACACCAGATCTTGATACCTTTCTGCACTCGCTACCTGAATCTACCTACGACTTTTCATCCAGTATCCTCCACAACAGCCTCAACGTACAGCAGAGCCTCTCACAGCAACATCATCCATCCACAATGTCACTCAGAAATACCCTCCCTCTCATCCTCATCGCTCTCACTAAATTCACCAACGCCGCAACACCGCCCGCCTGTCTACTCGACGCAATCAAGTATGTGTTTTATTCCCCCACCTTTCCGCCGCGGGGTCTCCAGCCAGCCTTCTCCGCTATCCCTCTCTTTCTCCCGACCTCCGATCGAGCCCCATCCCCTCTCGCATCACGCACGCACTCTGGCTAACGCGCCCCCCAGCACCCAACCCAACCCCGCGGACCTCCGCCACATCTGCATCTACCGCGCGGCCGAAGTTCGAAACGAGATCGCCAACATCTGCGGCGGCTCCGACACCGACACCGACACCGATGACGAGGATGAGCACGACGAGGCCCAGCGCGCGGTGGCCGCCTTCGAGGAGGTCTGCGGTCCCTTGACCGCCAGCACTAGCACACGTGAGTCTCACCCGCAAACACAACCCCACATGCCTCTCTCCTCTCCTAACCATCGGTCCTGCGATGACGGATGAGGATGTTGAATATCTGGGGATTTCTTGGGCTGATGTTGTCGATGCGCAGTAACTACCTCGACTAGCTCTGCCGCCTCGTCGACGACTACGGACGAGGTCTCGACTACTGCGGCGCCGACGTCCAATACGAGCGAGACCACCACGGCGCCATCGACTACGGAGACCGCGACGCCGACAACAACGGCGGACACGACGGCCGTGCCTACGGCGGCGGCGGCTAGGACCGCATTGGGATCGTTCGGCGCGATTGCTGTTGTGGCGGCGGGGATGGTTGTGCTGGTTTAGATGGGTATGATGTGGAGCGTGTCGGGAGAGGGAGTTGCATTTGTGGCTTGAGACTGTGTTTGGACTGAGGAGGCCTGTTGATAGTCAACAAAGTGTGAGAAATCAACTCGGCCGTGACGAGTTTGTCCTTTCCTGCACGTTTTCAAGGTGTCTTTGGAGTGGATTCATGATGCTGAGGCTGTGCGAGAGGGAGTGCGACTGGCGAGCGGATGGTGCATGATTGTCATGAGGAGAGTTGTGTGAGATCACTATGGGTACAGTTCCCACCATGAAACTCAAGGAAGATCTCGTGGCATTTACGGACCTGATTATTCTGAGCGTTGGGCAAGCATTTCAGTCACAGTCACACAACGCTTTTCAAAAACAACTTGAACACTTTGGGAAACTGAAGCGATACGCGGAAGAGCTGATATCACTCTTTCGGGGAGTAGGCTTCAGATGCGCCGGTCATAGGCTTATGAGTACGAAGAAGTGCCACGGCATGGAAACGAACGAAATACATTCCTATCGACGCAATTCCCTGTTGCTTTGCCGTCAGACCCAGTACGCGAGCAGTCTACCTCGTGAGACCAATGTAAGTTTCGAGCTTCCAATAGTCGCGAAAGAACGAAGGCGACGGAACGCTCAGCGGATTGGGACGTCGAAGTTGCCGAGACTTCAAATTATAGTAATGTGCCTGGTGGAGCGTTCCTGCAAAGGCAGACTGGCAAGTCTACAATTTAGAAGGGGATACGCTACAACCGGCTGTAAAGAGACAGTATCAGATTGCAAGTGTAGCTGCAAGTGTGATTGTTCGTGGTGTTATACCCGTAGGTGGTGTACCTAAACCCTTGCATGACGTTCGGCTACAGATTCTGGGCACCAGGTCCGCGGTTCGACGACGCCAACACTGCGGGCGGCCGCCGTATACCTGCGACGTCGGACCCCGCACCAGTTCGCGACTTGACTTCGTCGATCCGACCCTTGGAGATGCTAATCGCCGGGACGACCCACTCATTACAGCTGCACTTCATGCCCTGCCAGGCGTACTTGCCCACGTTGGTCTTGCACTTGGGACATTCGAGGCGACCGTCAAGTTTTCCTTGCTCGAGCTCCGGCCGCATCCAGGAGAGTGGATCAACGAAGTAGTGCGCGCATAGGGATGCGTCCGCGGGTGGCGGTTGGATCTCGGTCTGGTCACTTTGGAAAGTTCTCGGCTTATGGTCGACGAGAAACCGCGACGTTGCCAGTGTACGTCTACCAATCGTTGTCAGAGCACCCACAGCAAGGCTTCGCAGATTATGCGGGAGAGACCAAGAGGCGTACCTGCACTTGCGACATCGCAGCTCGAAATCTGCTTGCTTCTGGCTGTCCGCGTGTTCGTCTTCGAACCTAATCTTCTCAGCCTCCGGTGCTTGGCCGCAGGCGCGGCTAAGTTCCACTTCGCGCTGATAGACCCATCGCTGATATGCAGGATTCTCCTCTACGTTTTGCGGCGTCTGCATTTGGTGGTAGATTGACAGCTGTTCCACGAACCCCGAATTCGGTTCACACATTGGTCGGGCTCGCCGAAGCTGAGCCAAAGCCTCCGAAGGGCTGATGTGATATCTGGCCATGAGGAAGGCTATGACGACAGTTGCGGAACGCGATTTGCCCATTGCACTGGAAGAAAATATAGTTGGCATCCGGACTCTACTGTGTGACAACTGCCCACCTCAAACGGAACATGCTGTCTGGCCTGCCAAGGGGCAGTGAAAACAACCGGAAACATTGCGGCAATTCCGTGGAGAAGGCAAAATGTCTTCCTCGAGGGAACAGAAGAGAGAAGATAAAGTGTTGGAACACGCAACGACGCTGACAGTCCGCGGAAAAGCCATAAAACGACAAGAAAATACCGAGAGGCCAGGGGAGCTGAAGAATGTGGGAGGAATATGCAGGCTTCAGCTGCACAGGGCTCACTTACCAGTGCACGAGGACGCCGCCACCGCCGTCGAGACCATCTTGTATGAACTTGTTCGTGGAAGGGAAATGCTGCAATAGATTCTCGTCCTCGACATCATCGACTTCGACAACCATGTGCCTAAACGAGTTGAAGAGCTTTTCATCTGGTGTGAACCGTAGTACCGAGAGAACATGTGTTACATCGGCCTCTTTGAGTGCCTCTTTACGGCGCAGAGTGAAGAGCCTACGCTTGTCATCAGCATCAGCTCCATGTTAAGGTTGTACTGGTTCTAGGTCACGGGACAGTCCCGCTCAACGGTGACCGATGTTGCATTTTGCATCACGCACCCACCGATGTGGAGTTTCAACTCCCCCGGGACCTTGTCTATTAGGGCCATCAACTGCTGGACGAATCTCTTGAAAAAACCGACTGGTTGTATTGATTTTCTGATGGCTGATCAGTCCCGACCCGGCTGCTGCAATACTGAGGTCCTCCTTCACAGCCCCGGACCTGGCTGTGCGTCACGGGACCGAAGTTTGAGCGCGCTTGACGATGCTGTGTGAGGCTTGCTTCACGCCGCTGCTCTTGAGTACTCTTGGTGTTATGGAAGCGGCTGCAGAACACCGGGAACACCTGGTACACGCCAAAGATGATTCAATCCTACCTATACTTATGGAGCTGCTTGCATATGGGTTGATTTAATATGGAAGGTTTGCAACGGGTTTTCTACAGCCACGGTTCATGGAAGAACTTCGGCAACTCATCACCATCCACTGACAGCCCTACCGTGCTCTACGATAGTGACGCCGGGGCGCATGCAAGAGCGGACTGTGCTTTTATTCATGGCATCTGCAGAGGTGCCATGGGAGATCATGGCTGAGATCCTTAAGGAGAAGAGTGTTCTGTTCCAACAGCGGACTTCAGCAAGCTCAAGGGATCTTGGCGCGGCCTCTAAGCCCTGCTACCGCCTGAGGATGTGGTGCGACCGTAACTAAACACGTAGTCACGCTCGCGGACGACTTGCCCTGAAGTTATCTAGAAGAACCTGCTGTGTTCAGAGCCACCTCCGCTACTGCAAAGCTGTGAAGCTGTGAAACTGGAACCTGCGTGTTTGCCAGAAGGCGGAGGGCCAACTCGACAAGAAGAAGCAAGGGTGTTGCCAAGGTTGGAACCAGGGAACTCCAGCGCCTCACCTACCCAGCTAAGCTTACCGCCTCTTCAACTAGGAATAAAACTGACAATAATAGGGCGCTGGTCAGTAGACCGAGTGGAGCAAAACACATGAGAACGACAAAAGGCTCCGCGGCCAGCTGATGTGCCTTCCCGTGCACAGAGAGGCGCTGGGCCAGAAGCGGAGCAGAGAGCCCAGTTGTAAGGCTGACCCAGGCGGCGGCAGCGGGAACATGGGGAGACAGCCCCCGTCTTGTCAACGCACCTTCCCTTTCAGCTTAGTGAAATCTGTGCTTCCCTTGACAGCGAGCCCTGTAGCACAACGGTGTCGACGGAAATCCACGGGAGCGGGAATAAGATGAAATGGCAGTGCCTCCGCTCGACTTGTATCTCCTCCTCAACTCGAAGACAGAGTGGGTTAGCGGAACGGAGGTGAGAGCACGAAAGTGCTGATCGGACAACTTCTAACCGTTGAGCCGAAGCAGGCGATCTGTGTCCTTCTGATCACGCTGAAACAGCCGATCGTTTACCTCTGATGGCCGTTCTCCAGACGTCCCTTGGCTATCGGCTACCTTGGGCAGTAATATATGTTAGCTCAGCGTGGGTCGCTCTGGATACCATGTCTCATTCGTCTCTTGCTCCTCTGTTATTGCTGCAGGGTTTTAAACAGCTCGAGCCGAGAGAATGGTTCTCGTGCAAGGATGCAACGCAGGCAAAACCACGCCGACGTTCTGACTACCCAATTTCGGTGGAGACGCTGAGTTCTGCTTAGCCAATCCTATGGCTGTCTCTGGTGGGCGCACTCAATACTTGTATGCATTGGAGCGGGTTCATCAAGGAGACGATCTGCCCTCGGATGGTGGAGACTGCTTTTAACCTCCACTGAAACCCCTCAGCCCTCTGCCCTTATATATGCAGGCCTACGCAATCCGGCTAGCCTACCGCACACCGTTCGGCCTAGATTGATCTTACTCGCGGCTTGCGGGCGCTCTCAGCCTTGGCGCATAGCGTAGCGCAACACTTCTCGAGTCCAGTCTTTGATGCTGGCTGAAGTCCACATAAGCTTCTGGGCACCGCTCCAGCCTGGCATCGTTTTGGAGCAACTCAGCGGCCGCCAGACGCTACTGAGGCATTGTCCAGAGTGGCTGTGTAACGAGCAAGTGTTCCATCGCCGCTATCTCAGCCAAGGAAAGGGTTTTCCCGTTGGCATGCTGTAGGGCTGACTGTCCTACTGTCCGTGCTGGTGTCCCTCCCCGCGGCTCGCGCTCGGAGCATCACGACTTTGGCTATTTCGTTTGGATGCCACATCAAGTGCGAATTTCCTTGCGTAGGAACGTCCCACCCAAGCTGCACTCGCCCATTTACCCAGCCGGTGGCTGCTCTGCTGTGTACTGCCTCGGACTGTCCGTCGCCTTGGCCGTTCAGCGTGTTGCTAAGCGCTGAGCATCAGGGCATTCTTGGATCGCCACCTCGAGTCTGTCCTCGCGTCTTTGCAGCCAGCACCATTCAGCTGGTGGCAAGCAAGTCTGGTCATCATTTCCTACGGCCATGGCGCAAACCACTTCAACGCCTGCAATACGAATATACGACTCAGGTTCACACCACACTCGGTACTCGACGCTACGGCGCTCTCCCTATGAAAGTTCCTCAACGCTCCCAATGACAATACCGAACGCACGCGAGTCTCCGCCGCCGCCATTACCTCCACCGCGTCATATTGGCGAGTTAAACGGTATACAGGGCTGCGCATGGCAACGGGGAAACGGCGAAAACGGCGCCGGTGTTGGAGGCAGCTCGGTTGCCAAGGTGAAACAGGGTTCGAGTTTGCTGAACGGGACCGGTCAAGTGAAACGGGTCAACTCAGAAGAGCATGCTGAAGGAGATGGTGCTGCGCGACATGGCACTTCGCTGTCGACGGCTAAATCCTCGGACGTAGCCATGGACTCGGACAGCCAGGAGCGCAGCGACGAAGAACGCGGGTCGCAGTCAAGGCCGTCTCTCGCAAACTATAGGTATGTCCGTTCGCATTGCTGAAGTCAGACGAAGTTCTGTCACGTATAACATCTTGTGTTGTTGCGTTTAACTTCAGTAGCACCATTCACACAAGGCTGACCGATGCAATTGTTGCGAACAGGCTGCAGAGTGAAAGACAGCTCGGTCAGCGCTCACTTGATCATTCTTCGCAGGCGTACGACAAGCAGCTGCTGTCCAAAATCGGAGGTCCTAACACTCCGACGCGGATTGCGGGGGGCAACTACCTCTCCACCAGTGCTCAAGAAACCTCAACTGGCTCACACAACATGGTCGAGAAGCTCAACGGCCAACTCAAGCCTTTGTCTATGCCGGAGCGACGGTTCTCTTCGGTGGATTCCCCAAGCACTCGTTGGCCTTCATCCGGCACGGTTTCTCCGGGCAACATGGGTTTCCGCAGCCCCGGATACGAGCAAACGCCGACCGACCCTGCTTTGTCGCGACGCTTCAGTACCATCTCCAGTATGGGCGGATTTGAAGAATCGGCACCAAGCACAGCAATATCGCATCGCGGAAGTTATGATCATGCAATGTTTTCAGAGCAAGACTTTCCGATGGAGGAAAATGCTATGCGGGACTTGAACATCAGCGAACGCAGTCCGTCAGGTTCTGACGAATACCAAACGACCTCCAAGGTGGGCGTGAAACGTCGCGCACCAACGCCGCCCACTGAGGCTGCTCGAGATGACCGTGCGAGTGGTGGGAACGATCTCTATCATCGGCGTTCAGCGCAAATGCTGAACCAGCGAAACTTGCCTGTGTCAAGGTTCCATGCGAATCATGGCTCACTATCGTCAACCTCATCGCTGGGCCAGAGAAACGGATCTTATGCATCTTCATTCGGACTATCAGCCGCAAGCAGTGCGACCAGTTACAACGGCGAGCGAATTTCACCTAGCGCGTCGTCTCCATCCATCGATACTGAGTTCGGACCCGCTTCGCCATACATCAACAACAGGTCTTACGAGTCTGTTGCACGTGGTTCCACATCGAAACCATCTCATCAACGTGTTCTTTCTGAGAATGGAAATTCGCACAGACGGAACATGTCCACAGAGAGTATGGCGCATTCACGGCAAGACAGTGTTTCGAAAATTCAGGGTCTTTACATCTGTGAATGCTGTCCGAAGAAGCCGAAGAAGTTCGATAGCGAGGAAGATCTAAGGCGAGTCGCGCATGCGCAACTATTAACAGAAAAGCTCAGCTGACATACACCTAGGCTCCATGAACTGGAAAAGCAGTACACATGTCAGTACTGCCCAAATCGCTTCAAGAACAAGAACGAAGCCGAACGGCACCAAAATTCGCTCCACCTCCGCCGCCATTCCTGGTCCTGCGCAGCACTGGCAGGCGTTCATGCAGCCTTCCATCCCTCAACACTCCACCCAACAGCAGCCGATGTGTGCGGCTACTGCGGCGAAGAGTTTTCGAACCCGGCCAATTGGGAGGCACGGGCCGAGCACCTCGATCACGTGCACAAGTTTGGTGAATGCAACCAGGCCAAGAAATTCTTCCGTGCCGACCACTTTCGTCAGCACCTTAAGCACAGTCATGCAGGAACGAGTGGAAAGTGGACGAACATGCTGGAGAACGCCTGTATGAAGAACGAACCGCCGCCAAAAGAGAGAATGAGTTCAGTCGTCGCGTTCGTAGATGCCAGTCCGGGATCCAACTCTCCGGGCAATGGCATGACTCCGCCAGGAATCCCTGTTGCGCCTATGATTGCGCCTCCAAGTACTGGTACCATGGAAGATGTGCAAAACGGATCGTAAGGTGTTCGGCGGATACATCGACAATTGAGCGTAACGTTGTCAGTTTGTCATATCGGGGTAATGCATTGCATCTGGCACAGCTTCTGGTGGTTTAGGTTTGGTACTTCTAGCCGTAAACGCATCTTCGATTTCGTTCTCACGACTTTGACGATGGCGTTGGGATTCTGTTTGAGAGCATCTAGTTCTGCATGCAGCATATGACTCGTTCTCAGCATTTCCGGTGTCCCTTCAAGGATGCGATTAGAAGCGCAGACCATGTGTTTCTCGAATATTAGCGGCCTCGATTTCTCAGAACTAGTCTAATGCAATCAAGTTCTCACATCCCTCTCCAAGCAATTTCTATCACGAGTAACGTCGAACCTTACACAAGAGGAGCGGAAATTGCATGCTTCATATCAGTCCACTCAGCATTTCGTCGGATCTGGTACAACAGCACTGGAGCCGACCCTACCCTCCTCGCTAGCAACATCTCACGTCACGTATGACGATGCTCGCCTGGCTCACAGAATATCAAGCATGAAGCTATTCAACGACTGCGCATGATGTCAGGGTACAAATACTGACTTGGCGTGCTGATAGGGTACTCGTATCGTGTGCATGGATGGAACCTGCTCCGCGGCCAGTAGAACAGCACCTTCTGAACATGGAGTCGTGGAAACGGAGGGCTTACTAGCGGATATCGAAGCACTACAGCGGCAACCCTGTCCAGCCGAGCGCCTGGCGTTCAAACTGAGTAACAAGACCAGAATGCTTTAGCTCTCACTCGTGGGGGCCGGGCCGCGTACCAAGACAACACGATCGGTTAACGGCTGACGCTGGGCGCTCACGACGGGACCCACACCATCCTTGCAAACTGAAACTCTCAGGATTGTCTGCTCATGTGCTGCCCAGATGCTTGGCTTCTTCTTCAAGTGAGATCTGCTTGTGTAAGCGCACACGTTCTGCGCGGCTTCCGCGCTGAACAGTATCTGACCCTGCCGCTGCAACCGAGCTGAGATCAGGTCACCTGTCAAAGTCGGGCAGAGACAAATTCTCGGGAAGCTTGTAGTAGCACAATGCACTCATCAACGATGTGTACTCACTAACGAGTCATACCCTGGTTTTCTATGTACGTAAGCTGGGCCTCTCTGCAATCGGATTACCTCCGCGAGATATGCCTTGACTGTCAAAACGATAGTGACGAGGAATAGCTCTTGCACAGCCCAATACCGTGACACCCTCAAGCTGATAATCTTTAACCCTCGTCCAAAGTCTTCGGATGCACAGGGCGTTGATCAGGCCTCCCACAGCGGGCGTTCCCCGCTCGTTAGTGCTGACACGCATGACTTACATCTGAGGCAACGGCTAAGGCGAAGAGGCGCGGCAGCAACCCCCCATGCAGTCAGGCATGGATGCGGCAATTTCCTGGGCCTTCCCGTTGCCTCACGCAGGAAACGGACGAGCATTGTGAAACACTTCTTGCATGGCGAGCTTCAGCCCTGCAATCAGGGATCACCGCTCGGTACAGATGGGAATGTTGTTGGATTCTTCAGCCGTTCGCGGTTTCGCTTTGCGGCTTCGGCGTTGCGGATGCGGTCGATGCGCATTTGGTAGAAATTTCTGTTGTGTGTTAGAGTTGTTAGGCCGCTTGACTTAAGGCCACAATGGCGCTGATGGTTGCTCCCGGCGCACTCGTGTGGAGTTGTGGAACAGTGTTTTCAACGTAGCATTGACTGTCGTTCAAGCTGTGCTTGAGCTGACTTATGGGACGCGGACAAGAGTCACTCGCCGTAAATGACTTATCCAAAACACGATATGGAGAGTGGAGAGAACATACTTGTGAAGCGAGAATATCCGCGCCTCATCTTCAGGCTTCGGTTCATCTTTTGATATTGCTGTAATCTAGAGCACGTTTAGCACCCAGAAGCCTTCGTGAGAACCGTGATATTACCCTGTCGTCTCTCTCCTTCTCGTCCTTCTTGTCTTCGTCGTCATTCTTTTGCGTTTCTTCGGCGTCTTTTGCCTTGTCTTTAGACTTCTCTTTTGCTTTACGCTTCTCGGCCTTGCGTTTCTGCTTTTCCTCATACTCCCGCTTCACGGCCTCAATCTCCCTATCCATCTCTTCCTTCTTCTTACGCTCAGCGAGTGCGGCAGCTTCACTCGCATCCGGCAGGCAGAACGACTTGTCTTTCAGATGGCCAGCGCAGATGTAGAAGAAGTCCTGTTTTGCGTAAGCCACTATCCGTTCAGAATCCAGTGGCACGTAAGACGGACATATTTGATACCACTACAATGTCTATATACGTATATTCTGACTTATCATGCCTATATCAAGCGTCGTATAAGGAGGCCTTACCTTGTTATCCGGCGTAATTAATACGCTTGTAGAAGGCTTGTAGCAAATCCAGCATGATTTAGCGGCGCTGGCTGCAACCTTGCGGTGATGCCAGACATTCGGCAGTGACATGACGACTTTGATTGACTTTAGATCAGAGAAGCTCTTCTTCTGCCGAAGTCGTGTGCGAGACACTCTATATTGTCTACATTCTTGAGATGCCCCTCACTATCGAGCAATTGTAGCCGAGACAGTCGGAAGGAAGAGAATTGTTCCTATCGATAAAGCTCAACATTGTCATAGTTTCTGTATTCTGACTCAAGCCAAGACAAACTTATATCAATATACATTGCTGGCGATATTCCGCATCAATTGAAGCTATCGAGTAGTAAACTCCAGACCCGCAACTTCTCTCGAACTCAATGGCGTCTAAGCAAGGCGAATCGAAGGGCAGCGCCCCAGGCAAGAACATGCTCTGGGGCGGCAGATTCACAGGTAAGCTTACACGCTTTGGACACTACTTCCCTCAATGCGTGTTTTCTGACCTTCTTTAGGCGGCCTCGATCCCCTTATGGTAGCTTACAACGAATCCATCTACTACGACCGCGCCTTCTACGCCCAAGACATCGCCGGCTCCATCGCCTGGGCGCGCGCCAACAAGAGCCGCGGGATCCTGACCTCGGACGAGTTCTCCGCGATAGAGAAGGGCTTTGCGCAAGTCCGCGAAGAATGGGCAACGAACACCTTTGAGATCAAACCTGGCGTCGACGAGGATATCCATACAGCCAATGAACGACGCCTGGGCGAGATCATCGGCACGGGCATTGCGGGCAAACTGCACACGGGCCGCAGCCGGAACGAGCAGATCGCGACAGACATGCGGTTATGGTTACGGGAGGAGCTGCGGAAGATTGAGGGATATCTCATGAACTTGCTGAAGGTGGTAGCGGCGCGAGCGGAGCAAGAGATTGAGCATGTAATGCCAGGCTACACACATCTGCAGCGCGCGCAGCCGATCAGGTGGAGCCATTGGATGCTGAGCTACGGCTTGGCGTTTGCGACGGATCTGCAGAGGCTGAGGGAGGTGGTCAAGCGGGTTAACAGGAGTCCGCTTGGGTGTGGTGCGCTAGCCGGAAATCCGTTCGACATTGATCGCGATGCTATGGCTAAGGAGCTTGGGTTCGACGAGCTGATCTACAACTCTATGGCGGGAGTGGCAGACAGGGACTTTGTGGTTGAGACGATGCAGTGGGGATCAACGCTCATGCTACACATGTCGCGGTGGGCAGAGGATCTCATCATCTACAGCAGTGCAGAGTTTGGCTTTGTCAAGCTCGCGGATGCTTACTCGACCGGGAGCTCCTTGATGCCCCAAAAGAAGAACCCAGACAGCCTGGAGCTATTACGAGGGAAGAGTGGCAGGGCCTTCGGGCACATGGCTGGGCTCATGATGACCATCAAGGGCATTCCCTCAACATACAACAAAGACTTGCAAGAGAGTGTAGAGCCACTGCTGGACCATGTCAAGACAGTGGGCGACAGCATACAAATTGCGACAGGAGTACTGTCGACGCTCGCCATACAGCCCGACAAGATGCTTGCGGCACTGACTCCGGACATGCTTGCCACGGATCTGGCGGATTACTTGGTCCGAAAGGGTGTGCCGTTCCGAGAAACGCACCACATCTCGGGACAGGTCGTTGCGCTGGCGGAAAAGGAGAAAACGCCAATGGACCAATTGACCTTCGAGCAACTGCAAAGCGTGGATAAGAGGTTCGAAAAGGACATCGAAAAGACCTTCGACTATCAGAAGAGCGTGGAGATGAGGTCTGCAAAGGGCGGTACGAGTAAGTCCTCAGTGGAGGAGCAGGTGAAAGTGCTCAAGAAGATGTTGGAGTGACATTGAAAGACCGCTTGTAGATAGATCTCCGTTTCACCCTAGATATACCCTGCAATAACTAATTGGGAGCGACTAGACGATTCCTTACATGCGTATGCCTTTCAGATCGCAGGAAGTGTTTAGCCAGCAATCTTAATCCTTACACCGATCTCTCCCGTCAACAAACTATGACAACCAGACAGGAACGGTAGCCTATGAAGTTCCTCTACGCTAGATCGGCATTGCTATACTTTTCTTCTGAGCAGCGTCCGGAGGTCCCCAAGTAGTATATGGGAGCTCGATAGCGCGCGCCATTAGACCCCTGACATTTCTTGTACGAGCCTAGCCGTGGTCTGTAACTATCTCGAGTCTCAACCATGGAGCTTTTGTGCGCAACGATGGCGGTGATCTCCCCGCCTCAACAATGCTAGGGCTAAATCAGGCTGGCACTATACTCGGCCATTTAGGTAACGAGCTACAAAGAACCATAGTTTGAAGGGGCACTTTCGACGCGTTCCCCGGTCCTTGGTTCGGACGAGCCCGAATGGGTCAGGGAAGACCTGACGGCGTGGGTGAAGGCTCTTAAGTTAACCTTCAGCTTCTCCACGATCTGAACAGCTGTCGGGGCTTCGGGCCGATGTCGGGGCTAAATGGATTCCCCTTGTCGGAGCTATCACGACCGAGAGAGCGCGCCCCCATGTGAAGGGAGATCTCTCCGCACCAAGCCAAGCTAAGATCCTTGCGCCTCGGCCAATGCTGGGTCGCTGCGCTGCCTCAGTCTGTATATAACGTTATATCCTATGCTCTTTGCTTCTTCTTCTCCGCTTTGCGTCCCTTGACAATGGCCTCGCGAAGGTCGAGCCGGCTGGTCAAGCCGTTCCTGTACGGCGTTGCCGCGACCGTGGTTGGCAGCGGAGTCCTCTACGCGTCCTATCGCCCTCGAGACATACCCGGATCAGAAGCAGCTGCTGTACCGCCTCCTACCTACGGCGAGGGAGGTGTCTTCAGCCCACCAAGCTTCCCCGATATCAAGTCCCGGGAGGAGCAGATAGCGGACCTCAAGCGCAGCAGCGGCACGATTACCCGCGCTGTCGACAAGGCTAAGAACAAGGTTGCTGGGCTGTTTGGCAAGGATGGATCCGAAAGCACCGCTCAGCACGCACAAGACGAGCCGTATGATCTCCTGATTATTGGTGGTGGCGCGACTGGAACAGGCATTGCGCTGGATGCCGCAACCCGTGGCTTGAAGGTAGCTTGCGTCGAGCGGGACGACTTTAGCAGCGGCACGAGCAGCAAGAGCACGAAGTTGGTCCACGGCGGTGTTAGGTATCTGGAGAAGGCGGTTTGGGAGCTCGACTATGGCCAGTATGGTTTACCCCGACAGTCAATTGACCCGTTGACAGTGCTAATAGTATGGCAAAGGTACAAACTCGTCCGAGAAGCTCTTCGAGAACGGCGATACTTCCTCGACACTGCCCCACATCTGTCACAATGGCTACCTATTATGATTCCTCTGGATAAGTGGTGGAAGGCCCCATACTTCTGGGCTGGTACCAAGTTCTACGATTTCCTAGCTGGCTCCGAGAATATTGAAAGCTCCTACTTCCTCACGAAGAGCAAAGCGCTGGACGCTTTCCCAATGCTTAAAAGGACAAACATCGTTGGTGCCCTTGTCTACTATGGTGTGTACTCCCTACGTTTCACGTCGCTACTACGAACTAACATGATTAAGATGGTGCTCATAACGACTCTCGAATGAACGTCTCCATCGCCATGACTGCGGCTTTGTATGGTGCGACTGTTGTAAACCACGTCGAAGTCACAAGCCTTGAGAAAGACGCCAATGGAAGGTTGATTGGTGCCCGTGCCAAAGATTGCATTCCGGAAATCAATGGTAAAAAGTCAGAGGAGTTCACGATCCGGGCCAAGGGCATCATCAACGCTACAGGGCCGTTCACCGATAGCATCCGCAAAATGGATGATCCGTCAGTCCCCGAGATCGTTGCGCCCAGCCTCGGAGTTCATGTCATCCTACCCGGTTACTACAGCCCAGCTAACATGGGTCTGATCGATCCATCAACCTCCGACGGCCGAGTCATCTTCTTCCTCCCCTGGCAAGGCAACACCATCGCCGGCACAACAGATGCACCTACCGATATCAAACAGAACCCCATCGCTGGTGAAGAGGAAATCAACTGGATTATATCCGAAATCCGAGGCTACCTCCAACCCGAAATCAACGTTCGTCGTGGTGATGTGCTTGCTGCATGGGCCGGTATTCGCCCCCTTGTCCGCGATCCCAAGAAGAAGAAAAGCGAAGGCCTCGTCCGCAACCACCTCCTCACTACCTCTTCATCTGGCTTGATCACAATATCCGGTGGCAAATGGACTACCTATCGTCAAATGGCTGAGGAAGCCGTCGACGACGCCATCAAAGAATTCGGCCTTCAAACCACTAGGGTAGCCAATCCACCGCGCGTCAGCGGCACCGAGATGCTCGATGAAACCACCACCCTAGACGGAACATGCCAAACGCACAAAGTCCGCCTCGTCGGCGCCCACGGCTACTCCAAGACGCTCTTCATCAACCTGATCCAGCACTACGGCCTCGAGACTGAAGTGGCCAAGTACCTCACCACCGCGTACGGCGACCGCGCTTGGACTGTCGCCGCCCTCTCCGACCCAACAGAGAAGCGCTTCCCCATCCGCGGGAAGCGCATCTCGGCTCTGTACCCCTTCATTGACGGCGAGGTGCGTTATGCCGTGCGGCACGAGCAGGCGCTTACTGCTGTCGATGTCATTGCACGCCGAACGCGGTTGGCCTTCCTGAACGCGCAGGCTGCTCTTGAGGCGCTGCCGACGGTTATTGATCTGATGGCTGCCGAGCTGGGCTGGGACTCGAAGCGCAAGGAGTGGGAGTGGAAGGAGTCGGTCGCCTTTTTGGGGAGCATGGGTTTGCCGAAGGGGAAGTTGGGCCTGAGCAGGAAGGAAGTGGAGGCTGGTAAAGTGGGGTTGTACCCGGATGAGGAGTATCATCTCTATGCCAGACATGGTAAGTTGCTTCATAGGACGTCGCGGCGTAAGGCTGCGGGAAGGCTGTAAGATGGACCGATTGCTGACACGCATCTAGACAAACCGGGCGAGACCTTGGAGTCGGACTCGAAGCTTCCGCCTGGCAAGAACCCCGTACAGGCCGCTGATTCACCTTCAAACAAATAGAGTGGATACTCGCACCACACTATGAGTCTACACTACTTGCCGTAGTAGACTACTGAGCCAAAAACAAGCGACCGGTAATTTAAATCAGCATCCGTGTAGCAGAGGCGTGTCACCAAGATGCTTGTGCGCATAGTTTCCTTTGGCCTTGGGCCTGGATCTATACCAGAATATGGTAGGGAGACCCGATGCGGCTTCCCTGTCCTCATTGCTTTGCTCTTTCGCACTCCTGAGATAAAGTCTTGATACCGTCACTGAATTCTCCGAGGCAAAAACCGCCTTCTGAGTGCTCGGTGCATATTATTGCCGCAGTAGATAGCCTTGTACCCATTTTGACGTGCTCATTTCGTGTTTGGAGCTTCCCGCTTTGGGAAGACTTTTGGCCAAGTGCTGTCAGTGTTATCAATCGCCCCACCGTTGGACGAACGAGGGCCCAGTCGTCCGACTCGCGCGAAACGCCGTTTCAGCGATCTAGACGGTTATGTGATATACTAGCCGCTTAACGTAGTTAGCTAGCTACTTATACAAAGTTAGTACCTTGAATCACGAGCCCTACTAGCATTAGTAATCTAGAGGCGCTGGGTGGTACACTATGTTATAGAATCCATTACCCTTAATCCACCAACCACTATGCGCTTATTTAAGACCTCCGCACTAAGATTAACGGTACTGATCTATAACGGGTTAGCGGTCGTCTAAAGCATTACGACGATTACCGGCTAATAGACGGACGAGGCCAGACGAACGACGTTTCAACGGTTTACGCGCAGACGATGTAGAACACTGCGTTCGATTTCGCTCATATGATCAAAGGATATGTCTCTTCTGACGCGGCAGTTAGCGCATATGGGTCTGCCGCAGCGCTCACTGTCGAGTGTTAAGTCTCTGGTATGCGCAGAGCCTTTAAGGATCAACTGATCAGTCTACTGTCTTGAGATCTGTGCTGTGTGGTGCGAAACTGCCGAAGCGGGAAGACATCGATCCTTCACACGGGTCCGGTGAATCAGTTAGGATTATAGACATGTTCAGAACTGTCCCTGGTAACACTAGACGCTGCCACTCTTCATCTCTGATAATGCAGCCTGGCCGTCTCACATCTCTGATCTGGTATTCGCCCTTTTGCACCCATCTTTCACCGGGTAAGCCTTTGAGCTCGCAGCGTAGCATCGATCTGAAGACCTTTTTGCAGGCGTTAGCTTATGATCCACCTGTTTAGTATCTGTACACAAGCGGCCATCCGTATATGTTTTGAAGGACTGCAAAGTTTCAATGCAGACCAGAAAGCCGCACCTCCCAATATCGAAAGTGGACATATGACAGACTTCGCTCCCGGCCTAGAGCGTCCGGAAATTTGATGTCGTCTGCCAGTAAGCCATCTGGTGCTCGCGACACGCTTTCCTGTATGCGGAGCAGCACCTCATAAATCTCGATGTTCGAGTTACTGCAATTGCACAAGCAAACTAACCGGATTTCCATGATCCCCAGAAACACTAGGAGCATAGTCACTGCAACCGCTTAAGGTAATCCAGGACTTCTTTCGAGAAGTTGATGAACCTTTGCAGGATGGTTAGAGCCATGTAACATAACACAGTGTGTTGTGTACTCACATCTTCAGCAGTTGCCCGACTGCCAGGCTTGTTCTCTGTAATGAGAATTGCAGCGTGTGTGTCGCCGTCTGAAAGAGCGCAGACTGCTGTTTCAGCGTGTGTCGGACAAGATGATGCTGCTTTTGTTGGCTGTTCTTCGTGGTGAGATGCTCCTTCTCCAGGCGCTGGAAACTGACACGTAAGCCGGCGCAAACTTGGAGGAGTCTGCTGGTATCCAAGTTGATAGACTGGAGACGGCTGCAGCCTCCGGTCCTGATTGCGTCTATTTGTGCCAGAAGCTCATTGTTGGAGTCCTCGACGGCTTCTTTGGTCTCCTTGAGAAGTATTTGTCCTTCGTTTGCTGCACGCTTGACGCGGGATAGCATCTCGCTGCGTCAATCAGCCTAGCAATACTCGTGGCAGACTGCGGCACACTCACGTTGTAGGCAAAGCGAGGAGCACTGTGATGGTGACAAGCTTCATCGTGATGACGGCCCTCATTCTGTTCACCTCCTCTTGCATCACAACGGCCCACTGTGCCTTCCCTGGCGCGCTTCGCCATCTACTGCTCGACGACGTGCCGCACATGCTTGAATTGAATCTCTCTAGCTTGGCTAGGAACTCTAGCAAGGGAAATTGTATGGCAAGAGCCATACCCTTAACAGCGTTGAAATGACTGTGAGATCTTGAAGACGCTGAGGACATCTCTCTCAGCTGCTTGAGGATGAGCTGTAACTGCTGTAGCTCCTGAAGAAGCATCCTATACTCGCTTGCTGCGCCGCCCGAGTCGTTCAGCGCTTTGGAAACTCTGACAATGAGATTGATGGCCGCGATGAAGTCGCCGTCTGAGAAGCCGAAGGCTGGTGTAACCATGATTTACGGTGGAGGAAATGATGCTACAGCAACTTCAGTAAATAGAAAATGCAGACACCAAGAATGCCAGAGCGCTGCAAAATGGCATCAAGATGAGATCGAAGGAAAGACAGTTATCGAAGAGTTGTTTAACTTTAGCCTTGCTCTTGCTGCGCCGCGCTCTCATGAAAGGTGCTCCATGAAAGCCATCTGCACACACCCACCGACAACTCACTGGTTGGTGTTACCTGAGAAGCACCTCCAGCATTACCTGCAACTCTTCCTCCTGATCAGTGATAATTGGCTAGCTTCCGAGAGATCATTCCGCAAACTGTCAGCCTTCGTCATGAAGAAGGGCTCAGAAATGATATGAGGATGTCTACTCCTAGACCAAGCTGCCACGTGATCGTCATGTGATGATCCACCAAGTCCGTAGCCGGACAGCCCAGATTCAACATACCCAAGAGCTGGCGCAGAAATCAGCTAACAATCGGTTTCAATCTAGGTTAGACCGCTTGTGCATGTAAAGAGAAAGTCGCTAAACTGCCTAGACGTTAATAGACAGCAATGGGTGACAGTATTCATCAATGCTTCTGTTCTGCCGGTGCCAGGTAAATGTGCAGGCTCATCCCTAGGGGCAACAGGATCTAAGCAAGTTTTCGTCTTACAAAAGATTCCACTAGGTGTCAAACTCAATGTGCACCATGGAGCCGGAACCGGACATTAGGACAGCGCACAAGACTTTGTTATGAGCTTCATCCCCAATGCCTCAAGCACCATCTCCACGTGAACAGACTGCGTCAGAAACGGCGCCATGGCCTAAGTCTCTACTCGTACTCTACACTCTGAGCTCATAAGCCGGCCAGATAGGAAAAGAGAAGCGACAGAGCACCAGTCCCATAGAGCCCGCCCAAAAAACGCAAACAGCATCAGCCAAGAAAAAACAACGTTCATTAATATGTACCAAGAAACGAACTGCCTATCCCTCACGGATAGACCAGAGCGAACCAAGCCAGAGCAGAGCAGTGATGATCGTAAGCGGAGCGAAAAGGCGAAAGAAACCGAGAGACACAAAAACGCCTCCATCCATCCGTCCGCCCATACCAGTCAGTCATCGGTATACTTTTTGCGGTATACTTTTAGCGCCCGGACCCAAGCCCCATCGATGAGAAAAAGAGCTCCAAGTCCGTAGCACCAGCTCCCAAGCTCGGTTCTCGGCTCCAGCGACATCGTCAAAACAAAAAAGAAATCACAGGATCCCGGAACTCCCAATGATGCCGCATGCAATCGTAGCAAAGAGGAAGTCTTCATCTTCCGCTCAACAGCAACCCAGAACCTCAGTAGAGAAAAGAGAGAGAAAACAGAACAAAACAACAGCAAAGCCGCCCACCCACGGAGAAGCATAACGTCTTAGAACATCGCACCCTCAACCTCCTCTTCCCTCAACCCCCCCACACTCTTCTTCTTCCAGCCCAACTTACTACTAACCCGCTTCCAACTATTCCCCATGCCGCCCCCACCACCGCCCTCATGCCGACTACTCCGCGGACTCGGCGTCCCGCCCACCGGCGGCCCCGTGCCACCGTAGCCATAATCACTCATGGGCGGCGTGGTAGGCGGCGTCATCGGATCCGAGAGGTTGCTCATCGTCGGGCTCGACAGCGCGCTGTTGCTGTCCGTCATTCCCGCATCGCTGGCGACGTTGGTGCTGTTCGACGAGTTGGCCGAGACGGGCGTGACGGCGCTCGTGCGGTTCGAATGCTGCGTCGAGAAACGGTTGTGGTGGCCGCCGAAGCCGCGGGAGATACCTCCGAACGTCGTCGAGATGGACGAGGGGGCACTGACGCGGTTGAAAGCGACTGACGCAGACGCAGGGCTGTCGACCGACATGGAGTGAGGCGGCGGTGAGCCCCTGCGGCTGCGACGGTAGACGGAGGTGTCGTCATACGAGCGGGTCTGGGCGCGCAGGTCCTCGGCGGAGGTGTTGAAGGTGCCAGGGTGTGCAGATTGGGCGCTGACGCTGTTGAGAAAGGGGCCCAGGACGGATTCTTCCATCAGCTCGTGAACTTTCTGCACGGCAGGTTCGAGGGCGGAGGGGCCTGGTGGGACGGGAGAGTCGGCGAGGGCGAGGATCTTGTCGCGGATGTCGCCGGGGATGTTGACTTCGCGGGGGCCGTTGGGCGCGATGTACGCTTCTAGCAGTCGCTGCCAGAGCATCTTGACGTACACGCACTCTTCGCTGGTGGGAGATATGGGAACGCCGGGTGTTCGGTTCGCCATCTTGTTGTAGTGCTTCCGATATCGGGATGCGTCCATTGTGAACTCTAGCGTCTCCAGGCAGTGGTTCTGTGATAGGTAGGCCATGAAGGCACTAAGGGTCCATGGCGGAGGTGCGGTGTTTGCGAGTATCTCGGAGAGGTTTGGCCGACGAGGGCAGTATGGGCCTTGAGCGATGTTGCGAGGTATGGCGACGGTGAGGGGGCGGGAGGGGATGTAGTTTGCCGACATGACGCTCTTCTTGTCGAAGTCGTCGTAATATCCGGAATGGCGAGGAGAGGAGGTGGTGGATTGGGTCTGCAGCGTCAATACTCCGGATCCAGATGTCCTGCTGGGCATTACGCTGTGCCGCAGCCCTTGAGGTGCCCGACGTGTGTTGATCAGTTCTTCGTCTTCGGATTGCGAGCAGAAGCAGGGCAGTTGCCGCTCAGGGCGTCGTTGTCTCGCCAGCTTGGTAGGGGGTGAACGGCCGTGCTAGGTCTAAGTGTAGAGGAGGTAATTGATGCTTTATTATCGGGGCATGTGCAGGCGCAGTGTGGACCTGGGTCGAACTCGAGCGGGAGGCTGCACCTGGCGGATATTCCGACGTTTGCTTTGCCAGTAGACGGTTCCCAAACCGGGCCGCTTGCAGGATCGAAGACTTGTTTGTGCGTTGCTCGAGGCAGCCGGCCGTCGGGTTTCAGCAGGATCGGTGCTCCCTGGACTGCAGCGACCAAGACTTGATATCGCCGGACTCGCGAGCGTGCGTGTGGCAGCCGGAAGCGTGCAGACGTGTCAGCGCAGCGATCAGGAACAGGCGGCGAGGCAGCTGGATCAGGCTCAGCGCTCGAGACAGAAGCCGGGCTCGCGGAGAGGGGTGTTGGGGTGTTGGAGGGCGCTGAGAGCGAGCGAGCGCGGGCGGATGCAGCAGGTGGCTGACGGCCAGACGGCAAGAGACACACAGGGAGCGGTAGGGCAGTTTCTGCGACGGGGCGTGCTTTGAAGGGAGCAGGACGCTGAGATTGCGTGTCTGGGGTAAATAGGCAGGTAAATTAGCAGGCTACAGCGCGAGGTGAGTCGGTGCAAGTGTGTGGAATGCTGCTGGAACGGGGCGTGACTGGGGACTGCGGATTGCGGACTGCGGACTGCGGGTGCACTGGGCAGCGGTAGTCTTGAGCGAGCGAGGGAGCAGCGCTATGTCAGAGAGCGGAGGTGCAGGCTGGCGCTTGGGTGGATGTGGCCAAGCGCGGGCAAGGGCGCGGGCTAGCAGCACGGCTCAAGCTGCTCAAGCTGCTCAGGCTGCTCAAGCATCCACAAAACTCAAAGCCCGAACACTGGGGCCACCCTTCGAATCGTTCTAGCGCGCTTCTTCGCCACGCCAATCAGCCCGTCACGCCTGCTCCACTTCGTGCACCGCTGTCCCGCCGCGCACAACGCCGCCGTCGACCCAGCGCTCAAAGCAGTCGCTGCCAGGTGCCCGATCGCGGCGCTAGAGCCCCCGAAGAAGCCTGACCCGGCCCCTAGCCAAAGAGAGAGAGTCTTTGTCTGACTCACTGGCAGTTTCTGCGTGTGCAACAGCGCTGGCCGCTGCGTCGGGGCTGCAGCAATTGCATCGCATGGATCTGTCGCTGCTAGGATGGTGCGGCTCAGTGGGCATGGCTTCCCTGCTGAAGCACGCCTTCTTCTTCCCCCTTCCCCCTCAGCGGCACATGGCTTACGAAACTCGCGACAAAAGGGGGCGTTACGAGATTCGCTGCCGTTTCGTGAGACTCACGGCCTGCTGGCGTGTGCCGCTGGCGTGGCATTCGATGATCAAACCACTGCTTACTTTTCCTAAGGAGATCCTTGCCGCGCAGGCACGCTGACACACTTCGCGCACACTCTCCCACAGTTGTGTGAGTGTGAGGGGCAGCGCGAGAGCCGAGCGTTGCCGCAAACGGCGGCCAATGGCAGCATGCCAGCAGCCAGCCTTTCGTTCTGCGAGCATTCCGTGCTACAGATGACATAGCCCACTGCTCTCCCCCAGCTTTGTGGTGTGAACAATGGAAAGCCATCGCAGCGGCGGGATGATGCCACCGTGGGGCGGCCAAAACGTGTTGCTGTCCACGGGACAAAGAACATAACCCCACTTCTGCGCAGCAGGCCCTGCCGCGGACGTGATAGGCTGGGCTGACGCTAGCGTGCCGAGCTAAGCACCACAGGGCGCCGGCCGTGGAACGCGAATGGAAGGACGGTAGAAGCCTGTGAGCCGGCATTCTCAGCGTTGCGCAGAACGCGTGCATTTCATGTGGCGACGTTGAGGAGATGCAACCGTCGCCGGACGAGATTGACTCCAATTCTCTATTCCACGGAACAGACTCGCACCCCTCTGTCCCACTCTCCGAGATGAGTGCAACGAACACATGTCCCTCTGTTCGACACGAGTGCCACCTGCCGACAATCCGGCGGATCCCTGGCAGAAAGCGCAGCGTGCAGAGTGAGTGCAGAGCGCGAGTCACAAAGTGCAGTCTGCCGTGCGATGTCGCAGATTTCCTGCACGCGCGGCGCCGGACGGCAAACGAGATGCAAGCCCGCCCTGTCGCACAAAATCCGGGAGAAGGTTTCTAGAACTTTGCCTCTTTCAGCCCAGCTGCAAGCCACGCAGATGGGTAGCGAGTGCGCATATTCACATCACATTCGCGTGACTCGGCATCGCAGCCTGGAGTGCTCTGTTCATGTCGGCAGAAGGAGTTTGAATGCGATAAGGAATCAAGGCATCAAGCATGCAGACGCGCATGGCTGCTCTAGACACTTCTGGCAGCCTCGTCTGTGTCCTCTTTCCCATGCCGGAGCTGGGGAGCGCTGTGAGCTGCAGCGGAACACGCTCCTGCAGCACATCTAGAAAGAGCGCAGCATAATTCAAGGATATCTTTCTAACATCCTGGATTAACTCGGGAGGCTCCACTACCCGGCGTTCCTGTTGCCGTAGCGGTGAGTCTTTAATCTAATGTGCACGTGGAAGTTGCGACAGCGTCCGATGTGCATGCAGCGCGCGCGAGGTGCCGTGCCGCAAGCCGGCGGCGTTGGTTGAGTATGGTCACTTGGCCGATGTCTTTATTTACACATCTCCATCCTCCATCGTACGAGTACGTCAGAATCTTCTCTTAAGAGCTCTCTTTAGTCCTCACAACGGCGCGGGTACCTGAAACAGTCTCTAGTGCTGCAACACTCAGATCCCAGCCGGCCGCTTCTAGCCGTTGTACATACTCGGGGAACGATTTGGATGTTTGCGTTAAGGTTTGTCTCAACTCGGCGAGCGGTCCCGAATTGGTATGTAAGGGAGCTTGCTTGAGACCATCTTGCAAACGCGATGTTACCCTGTCCGAGTCCCGCGACTGTTGCTGCGAAGCATGGCGGGCGAGCGTGAGCGCCTGGGTCCAGGCTTTGAGTTGAGTTACTGGCGTGCAGCCTTGCTTCAAGACAATGTAGATGCGTAGCTTGGCAGTAGTCTTATCGAGCCATAGGATATACAACTCGCGCTCATACAGGAGGATCAGATCCGCTAGACGAAGCCCTTCCAGATGGATTGACCGAGTCTTTGCATGGCTAGGACCTAAGCGCTGCAGCAGCTCTTGGAGCGTCGTCCCAATATTGCAGTGGCCGAGTACTCGGCCACCTTTCCAGCGGAGCACGCCATCTCGCTCGAAGATTCGTTCTTTCCTCGAAACTTGTTTTGGGGTCAGGACTTCGTCGTTGTCCATCAGACATGACAAGACAATGTTCGCTCGTTGTCGGTTCAGTGTCTTCATGCTCACGGCGCGTACCGCCGCGTGGTTCGTTGCAAGGTGGATTGAGAGGAGTGTCAATAGAGTTGCCCACGTCGCCAAAGGCGATGAAATCCATGATACGACAACACTTCCAGCCTGCCCGGTCGAGTCAGCCATCGATAGCCGACGTCCGGTGACTGCTACTTACAAGCATGCCCATCAAAGAGATGATGGTCTCCTGGCTCGAGTCTTTCTGTATAAACCATTAGCATTCTGTAAAAGGGCGGCAGTAAGCAGTTTGCTAGGCGAGTTGACGCATATCATAGACAGCTCACTCACAGCATTCAATTCCCCCAGGTTCCCCCATTTTGCAAAGTGAGCGCTGAGAGTAGCCTTCGAGCTGCCTGCAGCAACACCACAGAGGGCGCGAAGAATGCTGGAGAAGCTGAGTACCAAGACTCTCAAGGCTTTCGGGAACGCCGGGGATAGGCAGTCAAGGATCATTGCGGTATCGTTGAAGATGTCGGCCGCGAGCCGATACATCTTGCATTCTGGCTCCAAGGACGTCCCGAGTCTGTGGGCAAAAAGTATTGTAGCCAATCTGCCCATCGAATCTTGCAGGACTGAGAGGAGCAGGGCAGCGGTGGGCGAGGCTGATGCATCTCCGACGCCGACACCTGAGCTCGGAATCAGTACACGCGATCACTCTTGACGAGTGGCATGCTAAAAGGGTGAACGGAGTGCTAGGAGAAAACAGTAGATATCTTGAGTAAGGTTATTCACTAGTGTCATGTATAATTCCAGCTCACCTTGGAGCACCGCCCGCGAAGAAATCAACCCTGCTATAGAACTCGAGAAAGCCTGCAGCGAGTCCTGGAAAGCGATTAGATCGAGGCATACCGATGTGGTGTGAGCATACAAACGTAGATCTGGTATCTATTTGCGGCGAGCAAGTCAGATGATAGCGTTGTGACAGCTGGGAGCGATGGATATGCTAGACGTACTCAATGTAGTCTTCCGTGACGCTCTGTGGATAGCCAGCCGGAAGAAACACGTCTAGGATTCTCTGCCATGGCGTCTTGACATCGCGTAGTGACTGTCATGGGTTACTCACGGTGACACTGTCATGGGCGGATTTGTAGTCATATGGGAGCGCTTACAACGATGTCCACTCTGCTTCCGATTCGGTTCGTGTCATTTTTAGATTCTACATAGACCGCTCTCAGAACGCCCGCTTCGTCGTATTCCGTAAGCTCCAGCATTGTAGTGTGGGGTTGGGGTTGTGAAGTCCCGTTTGGATTGACGATGCAGACGCGTGACCACGCGTGTTTTTGACATGCGATAGAGCAATATGGTGTTTCTAAGGCGTATCACACTCTTTAGGAGTCTACGCCCGTCAAATTAAACTCGAAGTCTCATTATGTAAGTGTTTAACAACAGTGAATAACATTGAGCCTCATCAGTCGCCCAAGCAATACGGTCCCCTTCTCGACTTCCAAATCAACACGGCAACTCCCATCATCCAGATCAACAACTTCCCCTCGGACCTAGCTCGTGCCTGAACAGCAGCCGTTAGGCCGTGCTTGTCCACAGCTGATTAGATCCGTCCTGCATAACTCCATAGATTTCCAAGAGCAATCCTTCCTTCCCACACGGGTATACGAACAGACTCCTAACATGTGTACTTGCTGCCCGTACTCCGTGCCCTTTTACGTAAGAACTCCAAAATATCCAAAAGTATTCGACGACTGTCCATGTGGCCATCCAGAACTTTCACATACAAATGCTCCCAAGCGTGAATCCCCTCGTTCGTGTTGAATGGTCCAGCCAGCGATGTTTCTCCCTTCTTCCAAAACCTCGCACAGTAAGGACAAATTGCTCCTAACGTTCGAGCCCAAATCATGGCTGATATTGGAACGGCTCGAGGCGGCAAGGTCTGGCAATTCTCTTTCTCGTGGATCCGCCAGCGTTGTTTTGCCCCTTCATCCAAGAAAGGTGTTGCCAACCAAAGGACTGATCCATTTGCCCTTGCCCTTCCTCGCAGCCCGCATTTCAGCATACAGAGCAGGGTTGATTCCCTTCTTCCTGCACTTCTCGAGTTCCGCTGCCGTCATGTTGGACGTGTCGAACGTGCTCGATTTCCACTCGGCGTTCGACGACTGCGAGGATGATGTACTGGAAGAGTTGTCCTCCAGGCTTATGCGCTCTGACTGCTGATCGACCGATACGCGCCTCTCGATGCTGAGACTGTCTTGCGTTCGTGGCTTGAAGATGCGCGACAACGAGGACGAGCTTTTGTTTGTCAGAGCAGGCTGGATGGAGGGAGGCGGCACTGGAGGGTCATTCCGCGAGCTCTCCTCACTCTGGCGGACGCGGTTGATTCTTAGGGGCGAGGGTGGAAGAACAGAAGAAGGGTAAGAAAGGTCGCTCCTGGTCGTCTCGTCGCTGTCGGTAGTAAGAGTTGAAGAGACGACGCTGGTCGAGCTGCTGTCCGCGTCCGAGTCCTGAAGCCAGAATCGAGGCTTTGGTAACGGCGGAGGTGGGGCCTTAGGTGCAGCGAAGCGTTGGGGGTACGAGAAGTTGAAGCTTTGCGCCCTATCCCTCGCGCTGCTTCGTCGAGGAATGGGCGGTGGTGTCGCTGAGCGCGAATCGAGACCGTCTGAGGTGGACGGGCGAGACATGGTAGATGATTTATGTAGTATAGTTGATCGAGGAATCAACACATCGAGGGAGGTAGCTCCGGATGATGCTCCGGATGATGCTCCAGAAGCCATTCGCGTTCGTTGACATCACGTTCCTGCGAGCCTTGGTGCCTTGGACGGGTGCACTCCTCGACAGCTCGCCGTCAGACCCCTGCTCTCCCGCCTCACACCAACCCCCTCCATCCTAGCTCAACACCACGGCCCCACTGCAAGCTTCAATCATCGTTTGACATCTGCACCATTGGCCGGCGAGATCGAAAAACCCCTGCTACGGCTGCATAGCCGCATGCAAGGTTCCATTGCACACTCGGTTCCACTGTCCTCGACGTCTTCGGATCCAGAATTTCGACACAACGTAAGTGCTATCCAGATTCCTTGAAGATCTAAACCATGCTTGCATCTTCCTTCACCCAAGGACTTCAAAGCTTCATCACCATGAGCTCCTTGCTATCTCTCCCCTCTCGCACGACGGGCACTGCTCATCGTCATGAGGTTCATTGCTTTAGCCTGCTCTTACACTGGAGTGCCCGACCACATGATCGCGTAGAGATCTTCATGGCACCTTGTCTGTCACTACACAGGACCGCTTGACTACACTCATGGGCTCTTGGTATCTTAGATATCCTCCCAGATGAGGGCTTAGCGACGACCGCGGCGGCTTCTCCATCTCCTGAGCTCTTTCTCAACATCATGTCAAAACATCAAGAAGAATCTTAGCCATTTGCGAAGTCTTCCACCTTTTCGTGCATGTCCAATGCAGTTTGCTCACTGATGAGTCTTGTATTTCAGGTTCTTTTCGTTCGCTAGCTTCGTCCATCTCGACTTGGTCCCGAATGTCACCCGATTGAGCTCGTCAAAGCCCGAATAGAAGACATCATGGACGGCGACGCTGTCATCGCCATTGCCCATCAAGTGGTCGACGAGGCACACCGCTCAGCGGCCGGTACCGATGTTACCACGCAGGACCTGCAGCGACCGGGCATCACCTTCGATCTCAGCCACAAGAAGCTCTCCAACCTTCCGAGCGAAGTCATTGAGATAATCAGACATGACATCGAAAGGTAAGAGCTCGGATTGACAGTCTCTTCATGTCGGAGGATACCGATGGTGATATGCCCGCAATGAACGACGGACAAATGGCTGCGATATTGTTTTGACCAGATTTTGCTGACGCCGTCTAGATTCGCTCTCTCTCACAACATGCTGTCTTCTCTGCCCGCAAACTTGTCGGTATGCTCCAAGCTTCGTTATCTGAACCTTAAGAACAACTTGTACAGAGAAATTCCACAGCCGGTATGTTGGCATCTATTGACAGCTGCACTCGAAGGCGTACTGAGGTATATAGGTTTTGGAGCTTACCTCCTTGGAGATTCTCGACATCAGCAAGAACAGACTGCGGGCTCTTCCCGAAGAAATGTACAAGCTTGTGTCGCTCCGAGTCTTGACCATCCAGAAGAACAGAATCGAAAAACTCCCTCTCTGCTTGGGGGAGATGAGCAACCTCCATCGACTGAGACTGGAAGGGAACCCCTTGATCTTCCCGCCAGCTGAGATCTATACTATCCAACAGGATACGCCGTCTCCCTCGAATGAGGCAGAGCTAGAAGTTGTTATCACGACTCGGATCAAGAAACATCTTCGAGTTGCTTTACGTCAGCGGGTCGACTCCGAAAGTGAATTGAGGTACGGCCGTGGCAGAATATCTTATATACATTCTTCTGATATATACAGTGAAAGGGATGTGGAGACACCGCGACCACCTCGACGTCCTATGCATGGTCGGTTCCCGGTCAGGCCTAGTATTGGAGGCGCTGAGAGTATGGGAGAGACTATGACTGCCTCTCCAGGAGTTCCGCCCCCTGTCCCTGCTAGGTCGCACTTCCGTGTGCAGTCGCAGCAACAGAATGTGGCCCAGGCCCGGCCCGGCATTGCGCCGCTGCTCATCGGCAGCGAGCGGAATCGGAGCCAGAGCGAGAGCGTTATGTCAGGGTCGACCAATATCCGTGCCAAGCGAATGGGCATCGTTCCGCGCAAGTCATCAGATCTAAGAGCAGTCAACGAAGCCAGCCAAGCAACCTTGAGACAACAACAGTTCCCTACGTACGGTTCCGCCATGGGTTCCGCCGAGCCTAACCCTCTTGCCGGCTTCGAGGAGCTGAACATACCCAATCGTCTATCAGATCTTCCGGAAGACGTCGCCGACCCTTATTCCCAGATAGAGCTCGACGAACATGACGAAGGTGAAGACGGTTTCGATGACCTTTTGAGCGTCGCAGAGGTTGGTCGTACCACTCTGTACAGCCTCCAGAAGCAGCTAGAAGACTGCGACAAGGTTCTGCTGAGCATGGGAGAGCATGGTGGCCTGTTCTTTCACCGGTTCCAGATGCTGGCTGAAGCACTTGGCATCCACCTTGTCAAGCTTGAGCGACTGATCAAGAGCGTCAAGGATCTTATGCCTGACGATGAAGAAGGAGTTGCAGAGCTGTGGGATGCCATTGAATCCTCCATCCAGGATTGCATTGAGGGCTACGGTCCGATCGACACTTTCATGAATGACAACAATGACGAAATAGTGGAACACGCACATGAGGGCGCCATGCGAAGCCTCATACTCTCCCAATATGCCGGCACCATGGCAATGCGCGGTGTTCTGGAAGAAGAGCTCGGTGTCGAGTTTGTGGAGTCTGAGCAAGCTGCCGCGCCTCAGAATATCCGCTCGCAGGTTCGATCTATCACACCAACCCAGCAGCAGCCGTTCGGATTACCCACCATGCAGTCCGCTCTCGACCATACCACAACTGTCCGAGGCCCAGCTATAGGCGGCTCCTTTCCTTCGAGCATCGACAACAGTCGCTCCAACACTCTCAGCAGCACAGTCGCCGCGACACCCAGCTCCGCCGGATCATTCCCGGTCAATCTGCCTTCGGCCCGCACTTCCCGCAGCAACACCATGCACGGCGTCAACGATTTTCAAGAGGAGCAGCAGTTCGAACAGATCTTTCTCAAGTTGAAGCACGTCTGCGAACTCGCACAAGGAGAGCTCCCAGGCTGCCGCGCAGTTTTCATCAAAGGCCAAGCCAGCGCCCAGAAGAGCAGGGAACCAGACGGCAGGCTTCTGGGCCTCTGGTCCCACCTCGTCGAGAAGACCGACGAGATTCTCCGTGCCGTCGCAAACCTCCAGGCTCGCCTCTCCGAGATCGTTCTCCGCGACCCTACCGCCCGCAACCAGCAAGGCCTATGGCAGTCGTCAATAACCTGCCTCAAGGTTCGTTACCTCATCATCACCCCTATCCTCCCATCATCATTTATCCAAGCTAACCTTGCCGCAGTCTTGCACCGATCTCCTCGCCTCCGTCAAGGAGATGGCGCGTTACGGCGTCATGATGGATGAGGCCACCATCTCCCTGCGGCCAATCCACAAGGCTGTCAAAGAGGTTTCGGTGGCCATCACCAACTCTCCATGGAGCCTGCTGGCCGTGGGCAGCGGCGCCAGCGGCCCCCTCCCCGCTCCCGCCGCACCACCGCCACTCCCAGCAACGCCTCTCAGTGCTGCGTTGGGCCCGGCCGCCCAGGCCACCGTGCCTACTGCGCGCCGCCTTTGAGGTGTGCGCTGGGCGGCCGGCGCCTCGTCATGAGGATACTAGATGCTTTTTGGTTTAGGTTTCGGCGTGTAGAGTAGTTTACCTCAAGGACTAGGTCCTGTAATAAAAGCGAGCTTTGTTTCTGGATTCTCTACCGCGTCAAGGTGATGAGATTTAACGTGATTCAGAATCGTATGTGCGTATGGTGATCCACTAACAGCTGTTGTTTCATTCTTTTTCAGCAGCTTCAGAAATTGCCTTCTCGCACCGAAGCGTCCAGATGCTCCAGCACCCACTTATTATGTGTTCTCTTTACCTGCCGAGAAAGCATGATTACAGCATGTGCTGCTAATCATCTCATGGTTTTCATCTGTACTATTATACTGTAGCTGGTAGTGAAGAGAATTCCCCTCCTGATGCGCGCCGTCGAGCACCCACCGATGTTAGGGCTATGACAGAACCACTACTTTCTGGAGGCCTACGCCAATATGCGGGATATACTATGATCAAGAATTAGGCATCTGTAGCTCATGGCCAACAGAACGAAGCTCTCTTAAGCGTGAAAGCAGAAGCCTTTCGATGACATCGAAACATGGTTTCCGCAGGTCTGCTGCAGAACGGCAACCTTTGAGCAGTGCCTCACTATCACAAGGGAGCTGTGGTGTAGGTATCAACGTTCTTTGTGTCAATCTGTACATGAGAAAGCACAGATGCTAGGCCTTCCACTGCCCAATGATCGCGCTGTTCTGAAAACGCCCCAAAAACGACTTAGTAAAACCAACCATGGTCCCCGTCTACTTCCGGTACCACATCCGCGTGATCTTGGTGTGCCTCATCTAGTTCAATTAGTCTTGCATTCACAAAGGTGTCATAGTAACTCCAAACTCACCTTCTTCTGCAGCTGAAAGATCCCATACATCAGCGCCTCGCTCGTAGGCGGACACCCCGGCACATAGATATCAACCGGCACAATCCGATCACAGCCCCTCGTAACCGAGTAGCTATAGTGATAATACCCGCCGCCATTCGCACAGCTCCCCATGCTGATAACCCATCTCGGATCCGGCATCTGATCATACACCTGCCTCAGCGCGGGCGCCATCTTATTCGTCAACGTCCCCGCCACAATCATGACGTCGCTCTGTCGCGGCGACGCGCGGAAGATTATGCCCAGTCGGTCCTGGTCGTAGCGAGGCGTGGAGAGGTGCATCATCTCGACGGCGCAGCAGGCGAGCCCGAACGTCATGGGCCACAGGGAGCCCTGCCGCGCCCAGTTGGCGACTTGGTCAAGGGTCGTGAGCGCGTACTGCATCGCGCCTTTCTTGCCTTCTTGGCTGGGAAGGGGCACGTTGGTCGGTAGCTCTTTCATTGGGGGGACGGCGGAGGGGTTGCCGGCTACGAGCCCGGGGCGCTGCATCGGTGTCGCGGAGTTGGAGGATGTGCTGGAGATCCAGGCGGCGGAGCCGGCGCGGAAGGGGAGGAGGGCGGTGGTGGGTTTGGCTGGCGGTGTGTTAGGTGCTGTGGCGAGCGGGTGGAGGGTTGGGGAGGCTTACCGCGCAGCGCCGTGAGGCCTGCAGAGCGCGCTGTCGAGAACATGGTGAGGGCTTTGTCTGTGGATAGAGGATTGAACCGCTTCAAAGGTTAGAAGGGAGAGTAGAGTGTTGGTGGCGGTCTTTGAAGCCGTGATGTCGATGTCGTGGGTGTCAGGGATCGTCCCGCTTACCAGCGACGGTCTGATTGGCTCGACTTTCAACCCTACTTTGCCCGCGTTGTTACGCGGCTTGCGAGACAGAAGCCTTCAGAGAACTTATCTGGAAAGAGCGTTGCCAAGCAGATGCTGGAAACAGACAATAATCCTACGATACTCTGAGAGACCTACGGTTACGCCAATCTCCACGAAGCTGAGACACATTGCTCAATATCGGCATCCGGAATGGCTGGCCGCGCCCCATCAATCGCGTGCATTGGGGTCATTGGAAAGCACGTAGGGTTTATCCCGCCCTGAAGCTTCTTTAATTGGGCTACTCGTTGCTCACAACAAATCCAGAACAATCCCCTGCATATATCTCTGTTTCCGCCTGACGAGAGAGCGGCTCTAGAATTTTCCTTCCTCCTATCGTCATCCCTTGACATATTCGAAGCTCGTCTTCCGCACAAAACGGCAGATCAAGACTTCGGCCTACTTCAAGCGGTTGATGAGCGTCTGGCCATGTACGGCTGGCTGACAAACACGGGCGTCAAGTTCGTCATTATCGTCGACATGGAAGGTCGTCCAGCAACAGCTGAAACCAAGATCTCTGCTGCGGTTGGCCTGAGAGATGCTGACCTTAAACCTGTGCGTGCATTTATACTCTCATTTCTGTCATCGTCCGTGCGAGCGAGTACTTATTCAGAAATAGGCTTTTCGAGCACTCCAGACTGCGTACATCGAGCTACTAAGGAATCCATTCTATGAGCCGGATCAGCACTCGCCCCTGACGGCGAATGCGGAACAGAGGATTGGTTCTACTCAGATCACCAGTCGCCGTTTCATCAATCAGGTGAAGAGAATTGGGGACTTGTGGGCTCCTGGGGTCTCTGATCTATGAAACATCACACCCGACCACTCACCCACGAGCTGAGATGTCGCCAAATGCCTGGGAAGAGTCGGCCGCCGCCCAGAACCGTGGTCATGAATGGCTGATTGCGAGCGTTGGCTACGTCATTCTGCCCGATCGTATGGCCTTTGAAGGAGCATGCTCATGGCACCAGAGCCCGCAACGCCGAGAAGTGTGGGTGGATAGTCGATGCACTCACAAGGCTGAGTGGAACCCGTCAAAGGCAGCATTCGTACTATCTTCCAAACAGGCTTCAAGTCCTGAGGGTTTCTAGAGCCACATCCAACCCGGCTATGGACCTGTATCAAACCTGATCTGGCGCCAGTGTCTTTCTTTAAGACAGCCTACAAGATCAGCTTTTACCTTCTATCTCGTTCCAATCAGTTTGATGTCTGCTCGAACCACAGCGCGCAATTGGCCGAGGTCTTGGCACGCACTGCGGGACCGGGGTTTCTACGGCGAACCAGGAATACCCAAGGCGAACATCTCGACTTTGCTCCACCATGTCGGCTTTACCACCAGATTTCCTGGTAGACGCAGACGCGAGATAGATTCCTATTCAATGCATCCTCCTGTTTCTTCGACTAGTGTAGCAATAACAAACCCCCTTGTGCTTTATCGCGCGCTTTTGGCCACTAATCGAATCGTGCCCGAACCATCGCAGCATCGCTTAGGTGCGTCATCATTATCTACAACCCTGGTCACAACCAACAGATCTGATGTTTGGGGCTGATAATGTTCAGCTATCCACCTGCAGAAGCTTTACGAGCGCCTAAAGGACTACGAACCTACAGTCGAGTATAGTCACCGACTGAACCAAATCAGCCGCGCAGTCGGCGATCGTCAAAATGGCCCCAGACCGAATCCGGCCAATCTTGGCTCTCGAGGCATATGGTCCTCATTACTAGCACAGAAAGAAAGAAAAGACAACCTTTCTCTGACGCGCGTTCTAACCAACCATGAAGCGGCAATGGAGCTTGACTCTCCGCAAGGCCTCATGGTCCATGGAGAAGTCGGGACGGGAAAAAGCATGCTCATAGATCTCTTTGCTGAGTGTCTCCCAAACCGCAAGAAAAGGCGATGGCACTTCAACAACTTCATGCTGGAGACTTTTGCAAAGCTTGAACAGCTGAGGCGCAGCCGCCTTTCCGCGAGTATGAATGGTGGTGTTCCCATCCAGGATGATGATCACTCTCTGCTCTGGCTAGCACGGGACATGATCCAGACCTCCCCTATCCTGTTTCTAGACGAATTTCAGCTGCCTGATCGAGTAGCGTCGAAGATTATGTCGAATCTCATGACCAGTTTCTTCCACCTGGGAGGTGTGCTAATAGCGACCAGCAACCGGATGCCAGAAGAGCTAGCTAAAGCTGCAGGTATGGAATTTGGACCGCCACCGTCGAGAATGGATTCCTTACGGTGGAGGTTGGGCGTGCGTCCCGCTGCATTGAGAAGCGGCGAGAACAGGCTTGACAGCTTCAACGAGTTTGCCGCCTTCCTGGATTTGCTGAAAGCAAGGTGCGAAATATGGGAAATGGAAAGCAGCCGAGACTTTCGTCGTGCTGAGGCCGAGGAGAACGGGAGAACTTCTAGCACAACACGATTGAGTGAAGATACGGAGACGATGCCAGCAGCTGAAGAACGAACAGAAACTACTGCTGTACCGGGAATTGGCCTTACCGTGGAAGATGCAATGCCGCCCACTAATGCCTTGCCTCGAAACTATTTCGTCAAGCCGGCTGATGACGACGTGGTCTCCTCTGAGCCTCTCGAAGACTGGGCCCAGTCATTTGTCACAGCCCAGCTGTCCGCAACTTCTCAAACCTCTACTATCCCCTGGGAGACCGGCACGATGCGCGTGTATGGGCGTACGGTGCTCGTGCCCCGTCACTGCAACGGCGTCACGTCGTGGACTTTCGCCGAGCTTTGCTGCCACGACCTCGGTCCAGCAGACTACATCACCCTCGCCTCGACCTTCCACACGCTCATTCTCACAGACGTGCCCATCCTCACCTGGCTGCACAAGAACGAGGCACGTCGCTTCATCACGCTGCTCGATGCGCTCTACGAAGCACGGTGCAAACTCCTCATTAGCGCCGCTGCGGGACCCGATGATATCTTTTTCCCCGAAGCCAAGGGCTCGACTGACGCAGCGTCAAAAGCCGTGAAGGACAGACTAGACCAGGACGCCGTCTACCCCGAAACCTTCGCCGAAGCCTACCAAGACGTAACTGCGCCCTTCAGACCCAACATCTCCAGCTACTCCACCGGCGTCTCCTCGCCAGAGCCAGGCTACCTCTCCCCAGACGCACTAGAAGACGACCCGCCGAACCGGCTTCGTCGTGGAGCCGGCTACGCCTTTACGGAAGAGGAGCCGAAGAAGAGCATGAAGAACGCACCAGACTTCGCTCAGACAGGCGCCTTCACGGGCGAAGACGAGCGCTTCGCCTACAAGCGCGCTAGGAGCAGGCTGTGGGAGATGTGCGGCGCGAAGTGGTGGGCGCGGAGCGAGGAGGGATGGTGGCGGCCGCTGCCGAAGGAGGTGCGGCGGTGGGAGACGTCTGCTTCTGCGATTGAACCTGCGGAAAGGGCAGCCGTTGGAGCGGCGGGTATGCAACGAACCGAAGGTATGGGAGGTGCGAGGGAGGTGGACGAGAAGTGCGATGAGGTGTTGTTTAGGGATGGTGCTAGCCCGTTCAGGACGAGTGCGGAGCCGCCGCCGAAGATCAGTTGGACGCATGTTTGGGGGACGGTGAAGTGGGGGAAGAAGGCTGGGGCGTGGGGAAAGGGAGTTGAGGGGTTGGCTGAGAGAAAGAGGGAGAAGGATGACAGATAGGTGTATAGCGATGTTGCTATCAGTCATGAACGCATCGTCGGTGTTGCAACCCATACTCAGCGCATAGATATCGCTATACTCTTGAACTCATCACGTGCTCATTTCGATGCTACTGCTGCCTCTTACAGCAGTCTGGGCAAGCCGATAATAAGCAATTCTTTGTTCTCCGAGCTGCCATCATTAGAGTCAAACAATAGCCAGGCTTTGGAACAAGGCGTGACAAAGAACATGTTTTTGAGGTCAAACAAAGCACTATTACCCATGAGAGACATAGAATTTCTACCCGTAGACGACTCCAATAACTCAACATAACCGCTGTGAGAACTCACCGCACAATAACACTCATTTTTGCACCGACGAGAATACGCCATGTACACCACCACCACCATTGTAGGATCCCTCATAGCGCTCACCGGCCTCACCGCTGCTCTTCCGACCGGCAGCTCCTCTGCCTCAATTATCGTCGAGGGCGACGGTACTTTCCCCTTCTCAAACACCTCCTCACCCTCTCACCTACCCAAGCAGCTCCTCGCACGCCGCGCCCGAGAAGCCCATGTAAGACTCCCATCCTCCTTCGGCCAAAACCCCTAAGACTTCCCACTAACCCTTGTATCTAGGCCTACATGTGCACCGACCCCGGCTGGCGCGGCATGTGCATCCACCAAACCTTCGAACACGGCACCTGCTACGACTTGAACCCCAACGGGAACTTTTACAAAGCCATGAGCTCGTTCGGCCCGGACCAGGGCACGCACTGCTGGCTGTACACGGCCGAGTACTGCAAGTACAATAAGTTTGACACGAAACAGAAGTATCAGATGAGGGAGTTCTCGTGGCCGGGGTTGAGGAATTTCGGGCCGGAATGGGATAACCGGTTTTTAAGCCTCATTTGTTTGGACCAGACAGGGAGGGGGAGGTGAGGAGTTTTGGGGATGCGAAGGGGTTTTTGTGTGGTTGGATTAGTGTTGTAAGAGCCCTGGAGTTGATAGAGAGAGATGATGATGATGCACTAGGTCCAGATATCTAGAGTCGGGTACTATTAGATGTTCTGAAACGAGCAAGCCGCGCACTCGTCTGATAGATGTGATCGGGAAACTACAGCATGTAGAAAAACGATGCCAGACACTGAGGTATGCGGTACACAAACCGAGAAACTTAGCTTGCGCTTTCTGGTAGAAAGTAACGGAGCGGATCGAGATAGCGCTTGCGATGCTAGGATTGTGCACAGTTCCGCGCTCGTGGTTGACAGATGTGATTGAAATCAGGTAGATACAGCTTCATACTGAGGGCACAGCATAAACCGGCGGGCATACACTGACGTGGACTTGCGTAAGGGGAACGGGAATATATGTGAGACTGTGATCCAGTGAAACTTGGACACTCTCTAATTTTGTATATAAACAGAGTAAAGAAATTTAAGTGAGAGATGATCCCTATACATAGATTTGGTTGCAGTTGTTGAATTCCCCGCCTCGGGCTCAGCGCTGATGTGACAATGAGACATCCACATCTCACCGCAGCCTATGGTGGACTCGTCGTATCTCCGAAGGCAGCGTTCTCAGAGAATAAGATTAGTGGCAGGACGGTCAGGTCAACCCCCATACACAGCTCTGATATTAGATTGAGGATACCGCTGACGTCCTGTCAGCATCGGCGGCTGTGGTAAGGACGCACCATTCTCGCGCGTCTGTGCTAAAGTCACTCTCTTGCGCCGCAGCAGGCACGTCCTCATGTCATAGTGCTGGAGTTGAGAAACGGGTACTATGTTTTTCAAGCCGGAGCCATCCAACCCGATCGACCCGAGCGCTTAGAAGAGGTCAACCCAGTTCTACCGAGCGAGTAACAAGCATCGCCTGTCACAGGAGCAAAAAAATTCAAAAACATACAGCAGTGGGGATTCGCTAGTGGTCACCCACCTAACTACTAATCCACCGATTCAAAGCTTATGTAATGGCAGAGCGAACGGGATGCCCAGTATTCTTTGATCTATGGCCGTATGTGAAAGACAGGAGTGAGTAATGCCAATAATATCCTGATTCATCTTTTGGTGATGAAAAAAAAGGGGCTGCGTTGCGATCTCACCCTTCCCAAGTTCACCTCTCCCAAGTTCCCAGGAGCTCAGACACCAACCTCAAATCAGTAGTCGAACGCCTGTTTCAATAAATTTTGTTTCTCCTTTCAGGTGGATTATATGGGCTTATGCCACAGGCTTCAGCTGGACGATGTTGTTGCAAAGTCAACGCGAGGCTATATCATCTCTTAATTGCTCCCAACTCTTTCGTCCGGTATCAGCATGAACACGTTGGAGGAAGGGATTCAATATCTTTACGCAGCGAATATCCGCATTTAGTCCCAAAAATAATGAATAGAAGGCATGCCTTGGGTATCCCAACAAACCAGACTCCCGTAACCCACGATGCTCCGACCAAAACACCAGGTCAAAAATTAAAGCCCAACGTCTAATCCATCACCCCGTCCCCTCGCCCTCCACCATTCCTTCCCTACACTCCCTACAACACCCAAAGCAGCCACCGCAACCGCCACAACGATCGGGACGGCCCATTTGCTCCCCCTCTGCCCCATTTGTTCGATATCCCCCCGCTCCCCCACCGCCACACCCCCCACCCTTGGCTCCGGCACCTCCCCAAGCGAGAAAACACTACTAAACAGCCCCTCCAACCCCGTATCCGGCACCTCTTCCCTGATCCTCAACTTCCCCTCCGCCAGCTCTGCAGTGCCCGGTCTGCGGCCCGTGACAGCCGGTGGGAGGTCAAATGGGTTCTTGCGCGCCGTCCCAGCCTCGTCGTCTTCGGCGGCTGTGTCATTGGAGGAGGAGGCGGGTTTCCCGAGCATCATCCTGCTGAAGAAGTCGCGCTGCTTCGACAGCGGCGTCTGTCGGAAGACGTTGTGTTTTGGCGGATTCCGGAGTTTGTGGGCGGGAGCAAGGGGCGCGGGAGGGAGGGTGCCATGGAAGGGGCTCTGAATCGTGGTGGTGTTCCTGGCTGCGTCTAGGGCGGAAAGCTGACCGGGCTTGGAGGGCTGAAAGAGCGGTTTTCGTTGCGGCTCCGAAGGGAAACTGAAAGAAGAGCTGAAGGAGGAACCGAAATCCGAGGGCTTCGTGGGCGTCCATTCCATGGCGTTGTCGGGGTCGTAGTCGGTTTCCGTGGCGGTGACTGTGGACGCGATTGAGTGGGCTGAGCTGCGTCGTGCTGTCAAGGGCGTGGCCAGGGAGTCGAGGATTTGGGATGAGGATTTCGGGCCCACAAGGTTGTTGATGGGGAAGGGCTTGATGTACGCTGAGGATTGCTTGAGAGGTGTCTTCGAGGCGTCTGGGAGGGCGGAGAACAGGTCCAACGGGTCTGCGGATGAGTCATCGACGGGCTGCTGCTGCTCAGGGAGGAGAGGCCCGACGGAGTCTTGGAAGGACACGAGGGGTGTGTGGTCGATCTTTACAAGGCGAGTAGAGACGAAGGTGGTCTGTAGCGGGTCAGTACCGTATCAGACTAGCTGGAGTATGAGACCTTACCAAGAGCATAAAGACCACCATGAACAGGTGAGCAGCCTGGAACATGGCCAGCGATAGTTTGGCACCTTCGGGCTCGTGGAGCATCCAGACGCTTATCGCCCTAACCACAAGTACAGCGGCTTGCAGTCTCAAATGCTCCCCCAGACCGATCAGTCGCCCGGACGGCTCGTGCAGCTTCGTTCGCAGCTTGTTGTTCCACCAGCAGGAAGCAATCCCAAAGACAAGCGCGACCCGGGCATGATACGTCGACCACGTAAAGCAGCTCCGCTCCACCTCTTTGTACCGCACAGCCTGCCAGACACAAGCCGCAACATCCACCCAGCTCTCCTCCGGCCGCAGTCCGACGTCTCTGTTCAGACTGACCAGCGCGCCGAGCAGGTCCCATGCCAGCTGGCCCGCCAGGCTAGTCCACCAGGCCAACCCAGCCAGCAGGAGCACAACATCCCTCCAGCTGAGCTTCCTCTTGCCTACACGTGCCCCCCCTCCCTGCGTCTTCGCCATCATCCGCCGCAGATGGTCCGTCTTCGCCGCATAGCCCGCGGCGCGAATTCTCCTCTCGACGCGCGGGGCGCAGTCAGCGCATACCTGCGGATAGCGTCTCTCGAGCTTGTTCCTGTACTCTGCCGCCGCGTCTTCGAACTCGCGGTAGCGTGGATCTGACGGCGGAGGCAGGTACGACGCGAGCGCTGTGGTGAGGATGTGCTGGTTCTTGAGGCAGGTCGAGCAGAAGAGGTTGTCGGCGGGAGCAGAGAGCTCGGGGGATGTGGAGCGGAGGACTGGCTGCGCGAACTGGGCTCCCGTGGGTGTCTGGATTGCGGGCGGATCTGTGATCTGGCCATTCTGGGTGGATGTTAGTATCGTGGGTCCAGATGGAGCTTTGGTAGTGGTTTGGGATGTGTACCTTGTCGAGATAGTTGACAGCTTGGCACGTCTCGCACTGCCATTGTCGCACTTTGCCATCCTGCTTCTTGGACGACCTGTTGCCGCAGTAGAAGCATGTCAGGTTCCGTCGGAGCAGTGTAGGCATGCTGCCGCTGCTGGAGTTGTCGGTTCACCTGCGGAAGACTTCAAGTCCGTCGGGAGTGGTTTGCAGCGTAAGCGCGAGAACAGCTTTTGGCAAGAGCATCGAAAGTTAAACCGCGATAATGCACAAGCATCCTGTCCTAGGAATATACAAGTGAAATCCCCTACAAAGAAGTATTCAAAACATAGCGACTACCGTGCTTTCACGGATATTCAGTAACGTTTTGGAAATGTGAACCGAAAGAGCGTGGTGAACACCATCACACATTTCTAAACAACGTCACGCCCTAGAGACGACGATATGCCTTGATCAGCTCCCATCCAAACCGGAGAGACCTAGATCATTTCCAGATAAGTCTAATAGCTAATACTGTCACAAACCAAAGAGCTTGAAGTGTACCTAGGTAGACAAGTGAAAACTTAGTAACCTTTTCCTCGAGATCGTTTATTTTTCCTCTTTCAGCCTCTTGTTTTGATTTTTTAGTTCTTAAACTGCTGTCATGATATCAATAACTAATGGTTACTTTAAGACTGTTATACTGTCTGTTCTCATGCTGCTAAGAAACGCAAGACAGCCTCCACAACCTCCCGCGGTTTCTCGACCATGGGCAGGTGGCCGGCCCCTTCGATCACCACATACTCTGCACCCTTCCCATATTCTGTTGCCATCTGTTTCATGGTCTTCGGTAACACACCATCTCCGCCGCCTGCTACAAAGGCACCTTTCACCTTGCTTTCTTTCATCTCCTCTCTCATGTCGTACGCGTATAATGCTTCGACACTTTTCTTGAACCCTTCCAGACTGTTCGTCTCCACCATCATCTTGACCCGCTCAATCTTCTTCTCCATTGATCCCTTGTCGTAACTCTCTTCAACGAACCACCTTCGGACTGTCGCCTCCGCAAGCTGCTCGCCCACCACCCGCTCATCCGCCTCCTGCGCCGCTTCTTTCTCCGCCATTGCGATTCGTTCACCCCACGCCTTCCTGTTGCTTTCCGGCGCAACCGCATTTGTGTCGCACGCCACGAAGGACCCAACCCTTCCAGGGTACTTCAGCGCCGTGTTCAGAACCGTCGCTCCTCCGAGGCTGACGCCGATCAGAGCAGCAGCTTTCCGGACCCTGAAGGCATCAAGCAAAGTTACGACGTCTGATGCCAGGACATCAAGGGTAACAGGCTGATCACCGGCATCTTTTGACCTGCCTCGGGTACTGTATCTCAAGATACGGTATTTCTTACCCTCAGCAGTGGAGAGGAAAGAGGCAACGAAGCCGTCCCAGATGCCCCACACCACAAGGATGGAGTTGCTGAGCAGTATAAGCGGCGCATCGGGCTCGGACGAGCCTTCCAGTCTGTACGGCAGCATCACGCCGTCTTTGGTCGTAACGTAGGACTCTATTGCTGGACCAGCATCCCCAGAAGCGGTAAACGTCTTCGTGAGTCCATCCGGTGAGCTGAACGGCGACGCATCCGGGCTCAAAAATGGCGACAAGTCCCTCGGTGCAGGGCCAAAGATATAGTACGATTTATACACACGTCTCCTCTTCTCACGGACCACATTCGCCATAACTTCGTCGGTCCACTTCGTGCTCGTCGCGGCCTTGAATTCCTCCCCGCCCAGCCCGTTCTCCGGCGCGTACTCATGCAGCGCGAGAAACTCGACCTCCTCTTTCTCGTCAATCGACGATGTGACGTATCGTCGCGTGCGTAACCACCCAGGGACTTTGGAGAGCATGGCAATGTGCTCCTCGCCGTACCACTTGTCCAGCTGTTCGCGCTTTCCGGGGTAGATGCTAAAGCTCACCGCAACGAGCACCCTCCCTTCTTCGTCCGCGTCCAGGTCTTCGAGCGGTCTGAAGCTCTCAGCCTCCCGGCTCTCAACGAAGTCGAAGGTCCGTCGGTCGACAGCAATCTGCGCCATGACGTCCTTCTCTCGCTGGCTCTTTACCGCGGGAGTTCGTAGACGGGTGTACGTGTCTCGGGTGAGTTCGGCGGTGTCGGTGATGTCGTATAAGGCCACCCATTCTGGTAGTCCTTTGCCTGGCCCGTCGAGATCTGTGGCGCGGTAGCGGAAGCCGTTTGGAATGAAGGGCAGACGGAGGCGTGTGGGGCCGTGCTCGTTGTTGTACCAGTCGTGGAATTGGGCGTCGGGGAGGGAGGGCCTGGGTTGCATCGTTACGTAGAGGAGGCCTGGTGTTGGCGCCATTTTGGATGATTCAATGAGGAAGTCTTGAAGAAGGAAACAGGGGAAAGCTGAATAGAGCAAGAGTAAAAACGATTGAAGCTCGGGACGAGACCTGCAGTGCACCTGATGTACGAAATATGTGCTTAGAAGGCTATGGCTGGAAGGTAAGATATTAAGAAATCCACGTGCTCGTAGACAGCAGGATCAGATGGAGGGTGTATACAGTGGAGGACTACCGTTAAAGATTCTGCCTATCTGCGTTTGCCGATTTCGGTCTTCCCGTTCCTCATTGCCGAAGTTTATGTAGAGCACTTTACGAGCTGGTACTTGGTGGGGTGGTGGGGCAATCGAGCGCTAATCTGCCCGAGTTCAATTCCTCATAGATTAGGGTCACGTGATCAGCGCTCAAGGTAATATTATTCGGAGGGGGAATAGTGTATACAGGGTTTATCTAAGAGCAGGTCTAGCTATATCGCAAGCGAAACAAGCAGACTGCCGTCTACCCCGAGCACACAGAGAGTGCACTAAAAGGGTCTCAAAAACGACCTCCAATGGTCCCTGGGATGCCGAACATTTGCGGTGCAAGAATCAAGCTCCCTTGAGCCCTGTTCCGCAGAACTCCACACCTAACACGGCCGAATGACCAATCCCCTACAAGAAGCGGCTGGCAGCGAGTCGATTCCACCAAGTATCAGGCCGTCAGTCATACCAAATAGCATTCATACAAAACCCCGGATCTTTCACCTCCAAACGCGCAACTCTCGCAAGCAGCTCATCGCGGAAGCGGTAGATCTCCACACCGCCCTTCTCATCATCCGTCAAGGCTATCCACTCGTCAGTCCAAGGACAGGGACTGACTGCGTTCGAGTGGCCGCCGCTTGTCGGCGTCGGGTTCAGGAATAGTTGCCGCTCGATACTGCCCTCCGAATTGAGTCTGAAGGCGCTGATGTAGCCGGTAAGGTCGAAAGAGTTCGCGCGGGAGGTCGCGAATAGGTACTTCCCGCTTTGAGTAAGGAAAGTGACATCAGCTCGGTACATCTTGAGGTTTAGGCCTAGCAAAATCAGCCGAGTTTAGAGTGTCTGGATTAGAGATTTCCCTACCCGGAGGAACGAGAGGATAGGTGTGCTGTGTAAACACAGGCACGTGTGTCCGTTCGTCAATTACATAGACCGCGATCCTGTTCCCCGCTTCCATCAAGGCGTATAGGTAGTTTCCACTCGGATGCATCTCCACCCACCGCGGGTGGTCGCCGGGAGAAGGGGCATCGACGCTATCGACGAGGGTGAGCTGCCCTGTCTCGCTGTCTTTCTTGTGTGTCCATATCTTGTTGCCCCACATATCTGCCGAGTACAGGTAGGTTTCTGTTGGGTCGAACACCATCCCATGGACAGCTGTCTCAGGGCTGTACTCGTAGTTTTGTATGTTGGCTTCCATTCCACCTTCGCTGTTCACGGAGAAGACATTGCCGTAGCCTGCGAACTTGTAGAACGGGTTGCCGTAGACATTGTATGGCGGCTTCTTCGCTGCTAGGAGGAAGATGGCTCTTGTGTTCGATTCCTCGCTCGAGGCGGAGGCTGTTGAAGCAGAAGATTAGGTATATCGAAAGTAATCTAGGTCGTTTAGAGAAGACACATACGGTGTCCCCTGATAGGATGTGAAGCATGGTGGACTATGTCGGTGGGACTTTTCACGGTGTAGCTGGAGAACGTCTTCATAGACGCTCCATATATGTTCTTTCTCGCATGCTGAATGGAGAGGGGATGTTAAGTTCCGCAACCTCCAAGGAGACGAAGAATTGGCGGCTCACATCAAAGGTCATCCAAGAGATAGGCTCATCATGCGCTATTTCGGTTTTCTTGAGCAATTTTAAGGTAAGAGCTTCATCGTCAAATTCGATGGTGTAGATGGCCCCTGGTGGTGTCCAGGTACCCACCATCAGATGATGGCGCATGGTCAGATATCGCACCGAGCAATGCCGCAGAGCAGAAGAGTTCAAGATTGAGAGCGTTCGGAAACAGGTGTTCATGGAAACAACGAAAGAGACCGAAAACCCACCACCGATTTCCTAACCGCACGATCACGCGTTATTGACATGACAATCTGCAGGTGGGGCAGAAACGGCAGAAGGTGCGGCAAAACATTTCATGAGCTTGCCCCTGTCCTCTTCCCCACACTCTCCTATGGCAAAAGGATATACACATATCCGGCAGTTAGCCTGCGCCTCTTACGGGAGACCTGACGCCGTTCGGCTTCTAAAACCTTACCGTGGATCAGTTTGACCAATAGATAGTGACGAGTCTAGACAATCTCGATCCCGAGTAAGCACGCAAGTAACCAATGTCCCTGAACGGCCCACAGCCGATTGACATGCCGTCGTCACCCCGCCTTCGTCAACACCCGAATGATCACGCCGGTGGCAGATATGACCAATGGAGGCCGACGTTTTATAAAAGCTGCGACGGGTGCTCTCATACAAAGATCAAGCCAGAGATCCTTTGACAACTTCAGCCGTGCAAAACGCTTCTGACAACTTCAACCCCCTATCGAATCATAATATTCAGTCCGCAAAAATGACGACCTCAAACTCAACGAAGGCGAAGTTCGACCCCAACTTCACCCAGCACTGCATTGACATCATTGGGCCCAAGGCAACTCCACGGACGAGGGAGGTCATGTCCGCGCTCTTCAGGCACATCCATGATTTTGCCCGAGAAGTCGAACTCACAGTGGATGAGTGGATGATGGGAGTAGAATTCCTGAATGAGACCGGACACATCCACTTCCAGGATCCCAAGAGGAACGAGATGCACCGGCTTTCGGATGTTATCGGCCTCGAATCGTGAGAAGCCTTGATGTTCCTTTCTCCAAGATCAACACCTAACCTCTCAACAGGCTAGTAGACGAGATTGCCCACAAGCATGCCCTCGAGACAGACGAGATCCCCACCTCGTCCTCCATATTGGGTCCGTTTTGGAGCCCTAACGCGCCTTGGCGGGAGCGAGGCGGCTCAATAATACAAGACCCCCATAACGGACAGGTAACCCTCATGCACGGGCGGGTGGTAGACATCATTACAAAGGAGGGGATTCCCAACGCCGTCGTCGACATCTGGCAAGCTTCCTCGAACGGGAAATACGATTTCCAGGACCCCGAGGGTCAGACCGACAACAACCTCAGGGGAAAGTTCCGGACCGACGACAAGGGGTATTATCACTTTTACTGCTTGAAGCCGACTAGCTACTCGCTCCCCACCGATGGTAAGCTGACTCCTGGTGACGCCTCGGATTTGGACGGTATACTGATGTTCACTCCCCAGGCACCGCAGGCGTGCTCCTCAAGGCACTCGACCGACATCCCATGCGCCCCGCTCATATCCACTTGATGGTGAGTGCCCCGTTTGACCTTAAGCGTGCTGGATACTGACAGAGCTTTAGATCTCCGCCGACGACTACAAGCCCTGCACAACACAGATCTTCCCCAAGGATGACCCGTGGCTAGAGACCGACACAGTCATGGCGGTTAAGGACGATCTTGTTGTGGATTTCAAGCCCCTGGAGGGAGACAAGGAGGCGACCTTGGATCTGGAATACAACATCCTACTGGCACCGAAAGGCAACCCGTCAGCGCGTCTGTAAGGAGTTCTCGCGTGTGTCGAGGATTGTTGACGTTGGCGGAAGAAGGTAGCATGTCATTTAGCGGGCCTGTGCGAACATCTAGTGCTGGGGCGATGGAGTCTGAATTCGTGATTTTACAGACATATCCTGTGTCCAGAATGTACATGATTACTCTAGAGTGCAGAGGCGTTGAACTGGATGTATGACCTGGCCGAACACTTGTCTGTAAAGGGGAATATTAGATCAACCAATACCTCAAGCATATTGTCTGAAATCAAACGCCGAAAAATGGATCTAGTGTAGTGAGCAGAGTACCACCCTTTGCTGCAGGGAGCAATGGAATCCTTGGCGTGCAAAACGCCAAGAGATAATTCTCGGGCAACAGCTCACCTCCGAGCTGCACCAAGACCATTGCATTGGCACTTCTTGCAAAGCATCCGCTGGGCAAACCGACATTGAGGGCACTGAATTCAACCCCTTCCCACCACGCTCAGCAAGCCCCTCAAGACAATGAGCAGGCGAGCGTAGTAAAACCGCTATTGACCATCCCGACTACCGCCCGGACATCCACCATCTCATCCATCTCCCTTTTACGACCCCTACATCCCCCCTCCACGCTACAAACATGCAGAAAGTAATCCAACGAACCGCAATGGCGGAGCGCCAAGCAGCGCGCAAAGATCTCCTCCGCACGCAGAAAGTAGCCAAAGAAGCCCGCGCAATCAACCGCGCCCAACGCGACACGATCCGCACACTCGAGATCAAAGCCATCAAAGACGCGCAAAGGGCGCGGCGAGAAGACTGGGAACTCGGGCCCCTAGCCCCGCGGCGCGATGTCGGAGACCTCAAGGACACATACGGCACGCTTGACCCGCGGCGGCTGAGCGCAGTGAAGCCGGAGCCGAAGGACAAGATTCAGTATCATAATATTGTCGAGGGCGATCGGGTGGTTATGATCAAGGGGCGGGATAGGGGCAAGATTGGGGTCGTGACTGAGCTGGATGAGGAGAGCGATACCGTGACCGTGAAGGGGTACAATCTGGTTTGTTTGCCCGTCTCCTCTGTCCCAGGGCTATAGAGGCTCTCTAGGAATGTTCGCTTATCATCCCCCTCTAGGTCGACGTCCCCGTCCCCGAATGGATGCGCAAAGTCAACGCCGACAAGCGCCCCGTGATGTCCATGCCCCAACCCATCTCCATCCACGACGTACGTCTCGTCTACGCCCTCCCCGATCCCGAGACCCGCATTCCGCGCGACGTGGTCGTGGCCAAGCTCGAAGCCTTCAACACCAAGAAGCCCTGGCAGAGGCGCCACAAGGAAGAAGAAAAGCACGACCGACGGATCGCAGGCACAAACACCATGATCCCGTGGCCCGAGCGCACGAAGCCCGACGAAGTCGACAACGAGGTCGATACGCTGCGCATCACGGTCGAGGAGAAGACGTTCGTGCCGCAGCTGCTGAGCCCGCCGTTTCCCAATAGCGTGATCGATGAGCTGCGGAATAAGTATAGTGTCTTCCGTACAAGACACGACGATGAGTTTATCGCGCAGAAGGAGCAACAGGATGAGGAGGCGGAGGAGAAGAGGAGGAGTGGCGTGGTGATGAGAACGCCGCTGCAGGAGCTGCATGCGAGGGAGAGGAAGGCGAGGAAGGCGCAGGGGAAGCCGGAGTTGAGCGAGGGGATGTTGGCGAAGCTGGGGGAGATTATAGAAGCCAAGAGGGAGGCGGACAAGAAGGCGGTGGCGGAGAGGGCGGCGATGAGGGAAGCGAGAAATGCCGCAAGGAGGGCGGCACAAGAGCTGCAGGCTGGTGCATCGTAAGAGTAGAGAGCGGGCTGTATCATGGATGTCTGGCAATTGGATCTGTATTGTACATCCCGTGTAAATTCTGTACAGAAATCTAGACTCATACCACACGGCCCTACCTCCACATTCTATCCAGCAACGCCCACGCTTGAACGCAACACAGCAAGCCCCACCCAGCCCATCAACCTCTCCCATCGTCAAACCAACACACCCAAAAACTCCCCCCGTCCTCCAACACCCTCAAGCCCCTCCCACTGCACCAGCACCCGGTCCACAACCCTGACCAACAACCGTCCCGACAAACTCAAACCCTTCACCCTAGCCCAACTCTCCACATACACAGTCCTCATCCTATCCTGCCCCACCCCCAAAAACCTGAGGATCAAACTCGCCAGCACAACCACGACGCCGGTGCCAGGCCCATTCGTAAGGATCAGGTCCGGAGGCCCGCGCTCCGCATTAGGAGCACGGAGGAGGACGGCGAAGCAGGCGAGCAGGCAGCGGAGAGCGGAGAGGGGGGTCGTGGAGAGGGGCTGGTGGATGGCGCGGGCGCGGGGGATGGTATAGACATCATAACCGCCGTAACCCTGCGTCTCTTCTTCTGCTTCCCGGCTCCCCTGCTGCGTGTGCGCGTGCGCCTGCTCCGCCTTCTCGCCTTCCAGCGCCCCGTTCTTCCTCCGTGTCCTCGTGGCCTGAGCCCGGGCTCGCTCGCTCAGCCCCCGCTCAAACTCCTCAGCCCGCGCGGCGCTGAACCTGTCCCCCTCCCCCACGATGTAGCTCCGCCAGTTGTACTTCTCTGTATCCAGGTCTCGCAGCAGCGCGAACATCTCCGCCGTGTGGCCGCCGCTGCCGAGCACAATCAGCAGGCGGGTGGGCGTGCCGCGGAGTTTGGGTCTAGGGCGAGGACGGTAGGCGGGGAGCAGGGAGAGGATGCGGAGGGTTGTGAGGGGGATGAGGAGGAGGAGTAGTGTCAGGAGGGTTGTGTGGAGAGGGGTGGGCATGCTGGCGGGCTGGTGCGTGGTGGGCAGTCAACGAGTGCGGTGGGTGGATGTGAGGTTGTCGGTTGCGCGGTTTAGGGTTGCGGTATCGGGGGTGTTGATGCGGGCGGTGGGTTGGCTGGCGTAGACATTGAGGTAGCGACAGTGTTGGTCGTCAGTTTGAAATTTGGTGGGACGGTTAGGGAGCGGACAGCTGTTGTTGTGGTGGTGGCCGGAGGTGAGGATTGAAGGTTGCGGAAGCTTGGGACGTCAAATCATGGCTTCACACGCGTCGCCAACAAAACGTAAACACCACAATGCTTTTGCTGTGTACAGAATAGTAATACGGGTATCTCCTCGCCTCAGCCATCACGCCCGCAGAAGCGCATATGCTACAACGCGGTCTATCAACGTTCATACAAGAACCAACTCTCTACACTGTCGCCGGCTGCCCTAACCGCAACGCCAGCAGCGCCCGTACATCGGTCACATACTGCAGGCCTTCTAAGAAGGGGATGAGGTGCAGCAAGTCATTGTCCGTCGGATCGCTTATCCAGCCTTCTATTGGAATGGCGTTGTCTAGCCGCGGTCAGTATGGGCAGCTTCCAAGCACCAAGGCGACTCATACCCTCGTGGAAGATGTAACTCATGGGACTGTTGTCCAGAATCATCACTTTGCTCAGATCCGGCTCGACTTGGCTTAGATCCTTGATGTACGCGCCGCTACGGTAAGTACAGTGCTGGCGGTAGTACCGCGCGCTGAAGTACTTGCGCTCGAGCTCAAGCCAGTCGATGACGGGGTCGGCGTACTCCTGCACAGAGGCTGTGAAGACGATGAGGTTGTACCATTTGGAAACCTGGTCGGATGCGTCAGAGACGAGCAAGGATGATCATGCGGGCGTAACAAACCTTTTTGAGGAACTCCTCGCAATGCGGTCGCTTGTGCACGTAGTACAGTATGTGTTGGGGAGGCAGCATGATACCGCCTGGTCCCATGGTCTGCGGAAGCTTCACCTCGACCATGTGGCCGGTTGTGAAGCGCCCGCCCTTTGCCATGCTGTGGATGAGTGTCTCGTCAAGATCTATTATAAGCGTTTTCTGCGAAGTCCCCATAGAAAGGGGCGATGCGGTATAGGAGTTCATTCTCCGCGGCACAAGCGGCCGCGGTGGAGCGGGAGCTCGTGGGAACTTGTGTCTAGATGAAGCAACAGAAGCAGGGCTGGTCGGGGACTTGAGCGCTGCCGCCGTCTCAGCAGTAGCTTCCTCGGTAGGGGCCGACTTCGGAGCGACAGTCTTCGTCCGAGCAAGTCTCCTACGTTGCTTGAGTGCATCGTCGCTGTGCAACTTGATACGTATGGAGCGCTTCGCGGGTGCGATTTCCTCCTCAGCGGAGGGAACTGACCTGGACCTTGTATGCTGGGATGGAGAATCCTTCTCAGGTACACGAGCGGGAGGCTGTTCACCTTCAGACTCTGATGACATTGCTGTTGAGTCCGAAGCAACAGACGCTGAGCGCTGCCCGGACTTTCTTGTCCTCGCCCTGCTTTCGCTGCCGCTTCTTGACCTACGCTCACCGGCGCGATCCGCTCGGTCGACGGCTGCCACGTCCAGTACCGCTACCGATGTTTTCCGTCGTCTGTGACCGAATGCCATTCGGATCGGTAGGATGGCGGAGAAGTGGCCTTCGTCATCGTAGAAACATGCTATCACGTACCTTCCCGGCGCAACGAGAGCTGATAAGACCACTCGACAGGCGCCGACGACAAAGCCGGCAATACGCTTGGGTATTGTCCAAGCGGTGGTTCCCCTCGTATCACCAAAGCGCCCAGGTTTCTCTTGGCTCAACAGCGGTGTCTTCTCATCAGCAGGCGCAGTACTGCTGTCCGTAGTGCCGTCCCCCTCCTTCTCGGCTACCGCCATGCTGTCCTGCTCCTTCGAGGCCTCTGGGTCTGCCACTTCCACATCTTCTGACTTGTCTGGCTGGCTCTTCTCGTCAAAGATGTCGTTCCGCGACGCTGACCGCGAGCGTGAGGGGCTGGGGGGAGGTGTTGCGCCGATCGCGGAGAGTATGTTGAGAGAGTTCATTATCCGTGGCAGGCCATAAACGAGTGGATGGCCAGCCGGTACTGCAGAGAGAGATCACAGATGATGCGGTATAGCTGATGCAACTTAGCGATGGTAACGCTGACGGGTAAGTTGTGCGCGTTGGTGTCCTGCCGTGTTGCTCAACAGCGGCCGCAATCTACCTGCAAGTAAACTCCGGGCTCTCGGATATGGTGAGCTGCCGCTGTAGAGCAGGAGCGGCCGAAGGATTGTCCCTCGAAGCGGCAGGAGAATCCGGGGGACAGCGTCTTGATGGCCGTGCAATTGTAAGAATCCAACGCCGACGTGGGCGGAGGAGGCCTGGGATCTGGGGATGGCGCGGGCGGATGAGTGCCGATTGCTGATGCTCGTCATGCTGGACTGCGGGCTGACTGCAAACGATGGCGCAACCTGATTTTGCGCGAGTCATTGCACGAAATGTCCGAATTCCAGTCAGACCCAAGCTCACCTCACCCCCAAGGACCACTTCCTTTGCGCTTTTGGGATTGAAGATCTAGAATCTAGTCAGGCCAGAAACAAAGTAATAGCCAGTCGCGTCCCAGCTCCGAACGTATGGTCCTTAACACGACTCATGCGCGACCTCCTCAAACTACCCACAATCGAAATCCATCAAAGACCATAACCAGAGACCACACCCAAAGAAGACCATAGTCAAGCGCAACGGCGCGCTCGTAGACCAAAATGGCGGCTAATGTCACGCCCGGGCTGACGCCATTCCTCAAATCCCTCAAAGCCACGCCTGTGGAATCCTCCATTGAGCATTTCATCTCGTCAGTCCATGAACATACATTGCCGTTGGAGCATAGAGCTGACCCCAGCAGACTTCTGAAAAGAAGACAAATCCGCAACTCCCGACCATGCGCCATAGCTACGACGCAGCTCCTCCTCCGAGTGGTGGCAGAATTCAAAGGCCGAGACGTCAACAAGCTACTGCAAAGAATACGGCACGTAGGCCAGCGCCTGACAGCCGCGCAACCACGAGAGATGGCAGTAGGCAACATAGTGCGGCGCGTACTCGGCCTAATCCGCGAAGTGGCCGAAGACGACGACGCAGACACCAGCATGAGCGACGCAGGCTTCAACTCGCCCTCCCCCGCAAACGACGGCCCGCACCACGACTCCCTCAAGCGGCCCGCCCTATCCTCCAGCATATCGACCTTCAGCCCCCTCCGGCACGGCGCAACTCTCCCCGCCGAGCCCACGGGGCTCCACCACAGCGAAAGCAGCGCCGGCACCGAATCGACGGAGCCGCACCACCGCCCCAACCTTTTCACGTCCCACACCTCGTACGCGCCCATGCACGGCTCTCTGCTCAACATCTTCCAGCACGGCGAGTTCCCCGGCTCCTCGGCCTCGACGCCGCCGGGGTACCATTCCCCGACAGGCAAAGCGACGCCCCTGATGAGCCAGAGCTTCGCCAACCTAGCTGACTCCGGTCCGAAAAAGGAAAAAGACCTCAAAGCCGAAGTCGTGGAGGGAATCCGCGAGTTGCTGGATGAGCTGGACCAGGTCGACGACCAGATCGCGGCGTATGCGCTTGACCATATCCACTCGAATGAGATCATACTCACGCATACTGCGAGCACGACGGTGCAGAAATTCCTGCTGACCGCGGCGCGGAAAAGGAAGTTCACGGTTGTGCATGCGGAGGCGTATCCGAACGATAGCGACGACACGCACGCGACGGTCCTGGACGGCCGCAAGACCGCTGGCGAGGCGGACGCGGATGCTGACGAGCGGTTTAAGCCACTTACTGCGGCCGGCATCACAGTCATCCTAATCCCGGACTCCGCTGTCTTCGCCATAATGTCGCGCGTCAACAAGGTGATCCTCGCAACACACACTGTCCTGGCAAACGGTGGGCTCGTCGCAGCAGCAGGGGCGCGCACGATCGCCAAGGCGGCGAAGATGCACCAGACGCCTGTCGTGGTGGTCAGTGGCGTCTACAAGCTGAGTCCGGTGTACCCGTTTGATGTGGAAGAGCTGATTGAGTACGGCGATGCGGGGAAGGTCGCGGACTACGACGATGGGGATTTTGTGGATAAGGTTGATGTCGTCAATCCGCTGTATGACTATGTGCCGGCGGACCTGGTGGATCTTTACATTACGAATCTGGGCGGGCATGCGCCGAGTTATCTGTATCGCATTGTGGCAGATCATTACCGGGTGGAGGATATCAATCTTTGAGTGGCAGTGGCGTGTTGCTCGTATAGGATACCGAATGAATAACGTGTTCAACGTAAATCTGAGCTGTACCTGCAACCGTGTTGGTGGCGCAACAAACGCATGAATGTTTGCAAGTTTCTCTACGCTTGTATTCCATGTTCAAGCAAAGCAGCTTCAGCGTGGCAACTCCAGCCCACCCACAGCTCCACAATAAGCACACCAACCATCGGCCAAGCAGGAGTCGAATAGCTGGAGAGGATACCCTGCTCAAGGACGGGAGACAGCAATCGAAGGCTCGGATTTATTGCCCTCTATCATACCGATGCATACAGCAAGAGATCCCAGAAACACGCCATTGCCCCCTCACCCGCACGTTCTTATGACCTAGGCTTCTCCTTCTTCTCCTTCCACAAAGCCGACAGACCGACACCAGACACCTTGACGACCTTGAACCGCACACCGGGAATATCACCCTTGGCCTTGCCCTTGCGACCGAAACCAGCGAGCAGCACCTCGTCGTTCTCGTCGACGAAGTTCAAGCAACCGTCGTTCGGCACTACGGTGCCGCGTTAGCCTTGATTCCAATCCCATGCCATCCCCATCTTCTCCCGTCATTCTCTCCCCAACTCTCCCAGCCACGAACTTGACATACCGAAAGCAGTAACCTTCTTGCCGTTCTTGATCAACTGCACCCTGACGCACTTCCGGATAGCAGAGTTGGGCTGCTTGGCCTCGACGCCGACCTTCTCGAGCACGATGCCCTTGGCGTGGGAGGAACCGCCGAATGGTGAGGACTTGTAGGCTGTTCCGAGGAGTCGCTTCTTGAATGCGAGATCGGACCAGCGGCCTTCGCGGCGGTGGTTTCGCAGCTTGCGCGCGGCGTTGAGTCCTCTTGGTTTGCCTTTGCCCATGGTGGCTGCGGGAAATGTGTTAGTGGAGCGCTCTTGACGGAAATGTTGTGGTGCTGGAAATGAGCTCTGGATGGTGTCGTACCGACTTGTGTGTTGGTCGCGTTGATGGGTTTAGTGAGCGGTGGATAGAGGTGTTTGAGATGTCGTCGTCGTCGGCGTTGTCGTCTCGGCACCGAAAATTGAGGTTCGCTGTGCGAGCAAGCGACGCGGAACAACCCTCCTCCGACACTTATATAACCTCAGGCAAGCAAGATAAGATAAGATCTCGCATCCTCCATGTCTACATCCTACCTCACCTACTCATTAACAACTCACCCACAATGCGCCCACCCGCCAAACCGCCATAGCAATGACCTCCAAAAACTCCCCCTCAACCGACACCTCGAGCCCCGCCAAAAAGAACCCCCAGCGCCTTCCCGTCCCCGCCCTCTTCGTCGGCCCCCCCTCCCGCAACACCTCCAGCACCTCCCTCTCCCTCGCCCTCGCGCCCAGCACCTCCTCACGGGCCCCCATCCCCCTAGCGCGTCAACGCTCCCTCCTATCCGAGCACCCTCGCCCAGCTCCCCACGACGCGCCCCCCGCGCCCCCCTCCTCCACGGGCCTGCACCCCCAATCCCAGCAGCAGCGTCAACAGCAGCAACAGCGCGAGGAGGTCGCCCAGCAGGAACACCGCAGCAATGCCCGCACGGATGCCATGTGGGCGGAGCTGCAGAGCTCGCTCGAGGACGTCGAACTGAGCGCGAGTGGGGGGACGGGGCTGTTTGGGCCGCAGCATTCGAGGGCGTTGGAGGAGTTGCGGGAGGCGCAGATTCAGCTTGCGAGGGCGTGGGCGAGGAGGGAGGGGGAGGAGGGGGAGGAGGAGGGGGGTGGGGAGGCTGGCACGGATGATAGTGGGGAGGGCGGAGGGGAAAGGGATGGGGAGAGGCCGCTTGTGGCTGCTGATATGCTGGCGGCGGAGCGGGGTACCAAAGTAGGGAGTGGTGCGATAGGCGGCGGCGCAGTGGGTGCCACTAGACCAAGGAGCGCGACGGTGGGCAGCACGCGGAGTAATGCTAGCGAGCGAACGCAGCTGGAGGACGAAACCGAGAAGGATATCCTGCTGGCGCGGGAGCGGCGGGAGGCAAACGATCGGTACTTCCGCAAGGTGAATGCGGGCGTGCTGGACGTTGTTGCCAAGCTAGAGGAGGTAGCTAGAGTGATGAAGGGGGTCGAGCGCGAGAGCAAGGAGATCTGGGGTGATGGTGATAGCTTTGATACCCAGCGCAGTGATGCGTGATAGTCCTTAATCGGAAGAATCTACATTTATCCTTTTTCATGCCACCGGCAATCTATCCGATTTCTAAATTTTGGTCGCTCTGTTACAGCAGGTACCTATAGTCCGGGCTCATGTCCCCCAACTCCGTCTTCTCGTACTCCGTCAGCCCCAGATCCGTCGGCTGCTTGTCCCGCCTCCGATTTGCCCATGCACACAGCGTGAAGTACAGACTGCAGCTCAATGCACTCAAGCAGATGAACGCAATGCAGATGCTGTACCCCCGAATATACCGGGGAGCGTCTTTCGCGAGGAAGGCAAAGACTGCGATGATTCCACCAATGTTGCCGAAGCTAGCTGCTGTTAGTGGTTGTAGGTATCCAAGGATTGGCGGTAAAACTCACCCGACCTGCCATGCGGAGCCAATTGAGCGGCGGTGGTGTCCACCAAGGTTCCTGTCGAACTGTCAGTGGGAAATTCCTTGAGGACATGGGCGGTTTCGAAGATGGCGAGGGCTTGCAGGTGGGAAGGAGCGAAACTAGTAGTCAGTACGGATGGGGCTGTGCTTACATGTTGAACCAGCAAACGATGACAGGCATCGCGGAGTAAGCGCCCATGGCGACGAGGAAGAGCGCCGCATACTGTACGGTGCGGTTGTTATGCACCACAAGCAGGATGGCGAAGCCCGTAATCGCGACCGCGATGGGGAAGATGCAGAAAAAGAAACGGTGCCGAACTTTGTCAGACAGCCAAGCGATGGTCATAGCGAAGCCAAAGGCAGCAACCCACGGCGGTACGCTATAAAGTTGGGTTTGTATGGGTGAATATCCATACGAGCGAATGATGCCGGGTGAGAAATATGCGTAACCGTACGCTGGGACGATTAAGCCAAAGTACATGAAGCCGCCGACGAAAAGCTTCACATCTTTGAAAATGCGTCCGACGTCCTTTAAAGTAATCGAGCGTTCAGCGGCAGATCGGCCCTGGTCCTCTCGTAGTCTGGCCTTGACATACTCTCGCTCGCTGGGCTTAAGCCATTTTGCGTCTTCAGGAAAGTCTGGCAACAGGAAGAAAAATGCAAATGAGACGACGACGGTGAGAAGGCCTTCGAGGATGAAGATCCACCGCCAGCCAGCATAGCCGGCCACGCCGTCCATCTTGCCGATGCCGCTGGCTAGAAGGCCACCAAAAGCGCCGGCGAGCGTCGTGCTGCTGAAGAAGAACGTGTACCTTTTCTGCGCTTCGCTCCGCCGGTACCACATCCCGATCAGGTAGAAGCAGCCGGGGAACATTCCAGTCTCGAAGAGACCGAGAAGAAAGCCTGCAGATGACGATCGAGTCAGCCAAGGGGGCTTAGAGTGGTGAACCCTGGGGTAGGGAACATACGAGTCGTTAACAGGCCTGCATAGTTGGTTACAAACCCTTGTGCAAGGGTGACCGCGCCGAACCCCAGCATACAAGCCGAAAGCCAGACGTGTGGGCGCAGCTTCTTTAGCAGGATGTTCGACGGGATCTCGAACAGGATATAGGGGACGAAAAAGATCAACAACGCGACATTGTATCTGTTGTCGCGGACGAGGTCCAGCTCCACAGATAGACCGAAGACGTTGGCGTTCGCGATGTTCACACTGCGTTCGTCAGTAATGTTCTATCGTTCTGTGCTTTTCACCAATAAGAAATTATATCAACAAGGGTCTAGTCCCGTGCGGAACGCAATAGTGCTAAAAGACCAACAGGACCCCAGCAACACGATACTCTCCGAGGTTCAATACGCTCAGTCCCAGGACAGAAAGGCTCCGCATCTTTCGAACGTCCATGACGGTGCTCGACTGGAGTGCAAGAATCCACGAAGAGTAGGAGATTATCAAAAACCTTACCGGTCAAGGAAAGCTAGCAGGTAAAGGACGCAGAGATAAGGAATCACATGTAGATCGATCTTAGTGATCAACTTCCTATCAGTGGTATGAGGCGGACACGCGACGGGAAGGTCCTCGTCGTAAGCGGCATCCTGCCCGTATGTATACGACGGTACCGGGTCTTTCACGACTGACTGCGGCTCATCGCGCTCTAATCTAGATGTCAGCGACCGGTATGTGCGTATACTCTTGTTAGTCAACTCACTCTCACGAGAGAATCTCATAGTGCTTGGGTCCGATGGCCGATACTCCGTTTCAATCCTCGAGCTTGACGCTTGATCGGTCTACGACGCAACTCAGCGAAAGCGACGCAGAAGGCGGGCAGGAAAACTGGACGCTGTCTTCTTTAATGTCAGGACTCAGTCGCTTTCTAAGCCGAGGCCAAGGCGATCGAGTTGATTGTTTTGGGGGCCGAGTTAAAGCGTGACGAAAAACCTCTCGCGCGGCGCCACCCCTCCATCACGGCCCAACGGGGCAGCGTGGGGGAGCTTAGCGCCTCTGTGGGGGAGTCTTGCCCGAATTAGGAAGGTCCAATGATCGTCTGGAGGGACAGAATCTCCGCTCCGCTTTGTATCAGACCGAGGAAGTCGTTTTCAAGAGACATCTAGGTAGACGATCTGGACAGGAGCAATTCGTGAACTCACGCAAGAAGCGGCAGGCTACTAATCGGTTTCGATCAATGTCTCTGACATGGAGTTGTGGACGAGCTGGAGTTGCAATCACGTGATTGTAGATACTAGCGCTCGACTTCGTACAGTTGTATTCTGCCAGAGCTGACTCAATTGAAATGGGTTGTAAAGTGTACGAAGGGGTTTCTGCGTGGTGATTGCTCAAAAGCGTGACGCTGCGGTATGGTTACAAGTCCATCTAAGCCGTAGCTCTTTTGGTCGACACGCCCGCCGCGCGATGACAGGAGCCCCCTTCGCGGTGCCGCTGTCGAGCATCTTCTGAATCGTGAGGCACATGACTCTGTAAGATTAGTGACCTTGGAATAGACATGTCGTGCAGAGCGTCGCGTGAGAGATATTTTGATCGCCGCACGTTTCTGATCGCCGGCGGAGAAGCCGTGCTCGCCGATAGGGCTGAGAACCATGACGAGAAGACGAGGGCGACGAGGACGGCTCAGACAGCCCAGACGGCCATGCGAACCAAGGCGGACCGCAGCCGCGGATACGACGCTCATCAGGACATCGCCATCCCCATCACCATCATCATGATCCAAGCTGCGCTCCACTGCGCCTGCTCCGCGGTGACCTTTAACTTTGCAGGGGGAGGATCGTTGTTCCACCTCCAGTCGGAGCAGCCCCGATTCTCCAGCAATTCTAGAACGCCGTGCCTGCACGCCTTGTCTCAACCGACGTTCATGCCTTCATGAGCCTTTTCGACCGCTCCTTTGCCTCATCTCTGCCGCGACATGCAACACTCGCTTCAGCCTCGCTAAGTCGGGCATGAGCAGTGCTTGCTCGTTTGTCACTCGTGCCCCTCCTGCCCTTCACTCGGCTGGTACACCTCCTTCACAATGGTTCCGTTAGCGAGCTTTCCAGGCTGTCAACTTCAACTCTATTCCGACTTCTGCTTCGCTCCTTCGCAGCAGCACTTTCTGCTCGAACCACCTCCGCCCTCTCTACTCAACCACGCCTACCACCAAGTCCCCTTCGATCTAGATCTTGGCAGCCTCGCACACAGCCGCGCATTGCCTGCCCCCATCAGGGCTGCCTGGATCTTCGCCATGTCTAATCGGATCTATGAGCGGCAACTAGACTTTCGGGTCAACCAGCAGCCAGCAAAGGCGTTCGACGACAGCCTTCTGCACGCCGGGGTCCAGGCGAGGAAGCGCAAACGTGGAGATACTGAGGGACATGGCAACAAGAAGCAGAAGCAGGCAGACGCTGGTCCAACGAAGTTGAGCGCACGCAGGGCTGTCAAGACCGAGATTCATGCCGACGCCTGGCATGTCATCTTCACCCACTGCGATCCGTCAATGCTCTTCGCCTTGAAGAGCGTGAACCGAGAGTTCCGCAAGCTCCTCGACTATGAGGGCACTTGGAAGAAATGTCGCCTCAACAACTATGGCGAGGACGTCCCACCACCTCCGGCCGGTTTGAAGGAGTACCAATATCTCGATCTTCTCGACGGACAGAAGGATTGCATGTCGTGCGGTCAGAAGGGCATCCGAAAGACGTATTGGCCCTTTCTGCGTCGCTGGTGCAAGTCATGCTTCAAGAAGAAGACCATGAAGGTACGGACTGCGTGTAAAGCTGGATCTAGTGGACAATCTGCATTTGGCTTACCATTTTCCTAGCGTGTTGATGCTCTACTACACCTCGAGGCCGCTCCCAATCTACTTGATTGCATCATCTTCGCTACCACAGACCAGTTCTACAACTACGAACGGGTCGGAACGAATGGGATGAGTGGCCGGTCAATCCAGCAGCACTCTGTCTGCCTTCGCGAGGATGTTACGCGGATATCCAAGGAATACGAGGTCTTCATAAGCAGCATGCCAACGGATGCTACCCTGTCGCCAGAGGTCAAGGAAATGAAAAAGGAACAGTGGAGGAATCAGAAGGTGTCTGAGGTACAGGCGCTTCAGAGGGATATCGAAACTCTTGAAGCCTGGGCTCGTCAGAATCTCTCCGATCGCAGCTTGAAGATCCAGGACGTCAAAGGCCAACGAAAGGCAGCCTTTGTATCAAGAGCTCTGTCGCTAGAGCCACCTATCACAGAAGAACTTCTGAAGTTCATGAAGCCATTCCACGACGCTATCCAGATCAACAAGCCGTTTTCGGAAAAGTCGTGGACGACGCTTCGCACTAAGTTGGAGGACCGGCGAGCTGCAGCGGAGGCGATGTTAGCCTTCGAGAAACTGGCAAAAGACCACGACCGAATGAATGCTTGGCAGGACTACCAGAGGCAGCGCGATTGGCATACTTCTGAACAACAGGAGCGCGTGCGTAAAGTGGCTAGCGAAGTCATACGTAATCTGGAAGCCGAGTCCGCAGCCTTAGGCCCGATGGATTACCAGGAGTTCACTATCCGCGCGTTACAAGAGATTCACAGCCGATGCGAGAAGGCTCTTCCACTAGGCGTGCCCAAGAACTTTCCAGCCGAGCTCAGGCAGCACCTCCTAGGTTCCGTTCTTGCCATTGACGATGCGATCATGCTCTACGCGAGGGATATCCGACCCGCTATCGACAGGCTCCCAGATGCGCCACCCGCGAGGCAGAGGCTTTTCAAGTGTCCTGGATGTATGCGGAACGATACTACCCACCTATATCAGTTTCATGACCTTTTCAAGCACATTCGTGACAAACACGCATGTTTTGCTAGCGCTTTCGACAGCTTCTGGTGGGCTGGGGGTAAGGATGCTCGGCCGCTGTGGTTCGCCGTTCCCTGGCCGCGCAATTTGCCTCTACTAGCGAAACACCAGAAGGCGGACGGAAAGTATGATCCTGATGCTGTGACTCCGTACAAACGACCTGTACAGATTACGCAGTCATCAGCTGCGGGCACTATCTCTGCATTTGAAGGACGATCCGCCGGCACACTGCCCACCTCAGCTGCCGACGAGTCAACCGCCGACAGACCAGCCGGTTTTGTCGGCAACATCGTCGATGCCTCACGAGTTCTCCGCAGGACGCCGCTGGGTCCGCAGTTCAGAAGCAGAATCGCCCTGTCTTACGCCTTGGAGAAACATTCATCTCATTCTATCCACGGCGCTAGTGACTGGAGCTTTTCGACTATAGAGGACGGTACAGGAGTCAAATATGAACCACTTCCTTCCATCGCCCTGGCTGAAGAAATGATCAAGGCCCTCGCCAAGGATGGCGATCACGACCTGTTCAACCGCCTTTGCTGCGAAGCTTGCGCAACGGATCGCCACAACGCTACTAACGCCTTTGGCAAAAATCACGGCGCCACTCCGCAATCTCGCGAGGAGCTCGTCACGCACTACCGGTCCGCCCATCGCCACCACTATGGGCAGAGAATGGAAATGAGGGCCTGGACCGAGAAGCTGTTCAAGCTGCCGACTGGCGAGGAGCTGTGGATTGCGCTGACCCAGCCGGCCATGGGCGTCGCGATGGCGGCTTTCGATACACTCTTCCCGAAGAATCCCTCGAGTGGCAATTGACGCTGGGATTGATGTCTTCGTTTCCTTTCTCTGTGCTGTCCACGCTTGGACACCCATGAGCCTACCGTAGGCTTGAATCTGACTGATTGCTTTTCTCTCCCTCTGTTACGACTTTTGCACACATAACCGGATTGCATAGCGACGGCGACACAGCAAGGACTTTGCTTACTCTGCTTACTCTGGGCGAACCCTGCTGGAACCTACTTGCTCGATCCAACACGGAGTTCTCACTGGCTTTTGCTTCTTGGTTCTCAGGCTCGGCTTGCGTGGAAAGGACATAATTATGTTTTGCAGCATAGAGAGGGAAGTGCAGGCTTTGCATTGAGCTCAACCGCGACCTCCATAATACTTGGCGGTCTCATCTGAAAGGAGGGTCTCTATAAGCATGGCATACTTGCTTCATCTGAGCTGCTTTGCTTTTGCTGCTTAATACTTGTAAGCATAGCGAAGGGCTTTTCCTGCTCCAGTCTCTGCTTCCTCGGAACTCGTACACTAGCATAGATACCCATAATGATCACCACGGATAACACCATCCATGCTCTTCTGCACCTGCTTGATGCCTTGATAAATCCAGCACTCTGTTGCCACTGGCCCATGCCTTCGACCGCCAAACCACTGTGCCGTCTCCGCGCGCCCTCCCATTCCCTAACGCGGCCCACAGCGTCCACAGATCCAGCCGACGGTACGAAGGGCAACGACCCAATCACCTTAGTCACTTAGACTATCCCGTACCGCTATTTGCTTGTTCTTGGAGTGCACAAAACAACGGATTCATGTCCGTGGGAACATGCCTGTAAAGAGGCAGCTACAAAAACTGAGCCCTGCCTTTTCAGAAACCCGTCTGCCGATCAACTCTACAGGTACTCAAGCCAAGTTTGCTCCAGCCGTCCTGCAGCCATCTCGCAGCCATCTCGCAGCCATCCCGCAACCTTCCACAGTCCAGTTGCCCTCGTGTATCCTTCACCTTGCTCCATGTGAGCGTCTCAGCTTCTTTACAGACCGGTTCCTGACGACCTCGGCGTTAAATTTTCTGCGTCAAACAGAGTAGCCAGAGCCAGCTGGATGCCGCCATGCTCGAGGTTGTAAGTGGAGAGCTGTGAGCGGCTTCCTCCTCCTCGCCGCTTGTGGCCTTGTTACGCCCGCGCGCTACTTGGTGCTGATGTGCATGGAGCTGAGCGGAGGCAGCATTGTTTCTGTCTTTGTGGCAGTCGAGGAATGGCTTCGGCGGGGAGGTAGTGCCGTCGTCTAGGCTTGATTGAAGGCATCTGACGTGCGACCTGTCAAGGTAACTGCAAGTCTGTGGAGCGTCTGCTGCTTGGAGTAGAGTTCACTCGATCTGGGCTTCTTCTTCGGCCTCTTGAAGCTGGCTGGCTTTGATTCAATGCTTCGGGGTGAACAGCGGCGCGGAAGTGAGACAAATGCCCTCAGAGTGAACTATGTGATTGATCCACCATGAAGCTGGGGAGCATTCAAGAGGCATGAATGATCCCGCTGGTGTTTTGGAAGACAGCAAGGTTCATCACAGGCAGCGTGGGTCAAAGTCAAGACATCACAGCTCTTCTTCCTCAAGCTCCCGCACAAGGCGGAAGACACGATGAAAAAGCTTCGCGTCAGCCAGAGGCAGTGCAATACTGGCGACACGGTGGAGGGCGACATGTGCAAGCACAGCGGCCGTCTTCCGAGTTGCAAAAATAAGTATAATCAATAAATGAGTCCGTAGACTCGTTTCAGAGATTAAACTGAAAAGAACAGATACTACACTTGATCTAAGCCAAAAGGCAACTGTAATTTCTATTAGCATGCTTTATCTATAGGGGGGGTGTGGGATACTTCCAGAGAGCTGAAGAAGAAAGAAGAGGAAAGCGTTCTGTTAGGTTCTACCCGGATGTGAAATGCGGCGCGGTGATGCCAAGAGGCGCCAAAAAAGTAAGCGATGTTTGCACTATGTATTTGCATCACATCGACATCTGATGCTCCGTTTTTCGCGGATCGATAATCCTTTTATCGAATCGACAATATTGACGAAGCCTGTAGGTCCTGCAGATCAGAATCCGATACATATGTTCAGGTTTCGTATGACTAGATTCTTTCCTCTTCACTGAACCACCCTTCCTCGAGCTCCATGCTCGTGTCCATATAAGACTAGATCCGCTTTGAGCAGTTGTAAGACCCATAGCTTGCGAGGCGCTGCCCTAAGCCACTGCCTGCAATCTTTCCCATCTTTGTGGTCAAGATCATCTTAAAGTTAATCTCGTTCTACCAGAAAGACACGATTTACTGTCATCACTTTCGTCCAACTGCTCGTTGTTCAGCTCCTACACCCCATCCCTTAGATTATGCGGACCTCTGACGCACGTAAGAAACGGTTTGGATGGTTTACACTGTTTGCTCGGTGCGCATCGTCCAAACCCTTGCTTACCCGACCTCGTATGCAGTTGCGGAGGAGTCCGAGAGGCCGAAAGAAAACAGATGTGCAACCATCGCGTCAGGCTCAGTGCGATGTAAAATACTGGCCACTATTGCATACGCTTCATGCGGACCTTGACATCTCCTCCCATGACCATGACTCCACTCCCAGAATAGCCATTCCTCAAAGAAGGAAACCTGTCCCTCTTCCTTCCACTCTCCCCCACATATCCAAGAACCTCAAATTCAAAACCAAGTAACACCATACTCAGACTCGTGAGGATCTCCTGCTTCGCAAATACCCGTCCAGGGCATATCGATCTCCCGCCACCGAATGGGAAGAACTTGCCCGCCGTCCCTCCCGTGCTGAATATTGGCTTGCCAGTTTCAGGATCGACCTTCAGGAACCTTCGGGCGTGGAAGACTTCGCAAGGGGGATTGACCCAGAGACTTTCGTCACGATGACCAAGCCATGAAGGCGCCATGACAATGCCACCTTTCATGAGCGCGATCCGTGTCTTCCCGTCGTCAATGGGTAGATTAAGGTCCTCGAAAAGCTCCCTCGTAACCAGGACATCCACGTACAGCCGCAAAACCTCGTGGAATATGCTCTGCAGAAGCGGCAACGACATCAGCTCAGGAATGTTGAGCGTCCCATCTTTATTCACGGCGGACTTGAGCTCCTCCATGACGTCCCTGTAAAGCGTCGTGTCCGCCTTCGGATCCAGGATATGCATCAACATCCAACCGGCCGTTGGAATCGCATTGCTACTGATACCGAACAGAAACCCCAAGTCCACAGCCGCCCTCCCCCTCATCGTTAAGCCCAGCTGGGCATACAAGCGCTGTCTCGCCCTGTTGGCCCTGCTACCATAAGCAGGCTCCCACTTGACAGTCTCCGGATCGGCGGGACTATTTTTGCACTCCTCCATCGTCTTCACATGCCACTCCTCCATGCCATCTAAGACCTTTTTCCGCGACTCGTACGCTTTCGGGATAAACAGCCTCGGAATGCCAAAGAACATGCTCAGCATCTCGCGGTCGAAGACGAAGAAGTCCTCTCCCAGCCTCGGGTACACTTCCAGGATCCTCTTTCCAAAGAACGTGGCCGTGCTCGCCGTGAACATGTGCCTCCGTAACCACTCGTACAACTCCACCTCCTTAACCCCACCGTCTTTTAACTCCTCCGCCAACTCATGGCGCAAAGCGCCCAAGAACTCCCCCAACAACTCAACAACCGCCTCCGTCTTCAGCAGATAATTCTGCCATATCACATCCTGCTGATGCTCCGCACCATTCTGCGGATCATCGACCCCATAAAACTTCCCTAGCTCCTCTTTGCTTACACCAAACCCCTTCTCCATCACCATCTTATTGAAAACCATTCTGCTTGTCCCCCGACTCTTAAATAGTTGCGTCACCGCGTTGGCGGAGAAAAGGACATGCGTCGTTTTCCCGCCGAGGAGCAATGTGCAGGCGCCACTGGCGCGGGGGTGGAATGCGAAGAGGGCTTTCCAGTAGCCACCGGGGATGGGGGTCAGAAAGGAGAAAGCGCTGCCGAGGAAGGGGATGGCATAGGGGATGTGTGGGGGTGGTTGAGGAGAGAGTTTGCCGGCATCGTTGGTCGTAGAGAGGTGGTGAGGGAGGACGAGGTGGTAACGGAGGGTCGTGTAGAGGTAGGTAAGGGTTACGAGGATCGTGACGAGAAAGATGGGTATCAGGGCGAGTAAGAGGAGGGGGTGGATAAGGGTGGAGGTCGTCAGCAGGTTAGGCGGGAGAAGCTCCATGGCGATCTCGTCTAGAATCAGAAGTTTCCCATTGCTGTATGGCTAGGAAGAAATGTGTTGAAGCAACAGTGCGCACGCTCTGTTACTTTCGTGGTATCCGATATTTGAGATTCAGCAAAACGATATGGCGGGTTCGATTAATTATATAGCGGGCTTCATCTAAATACCTATCAACTGGATGAATGGTCGACGATGGCTGCAGTAGTCTTATGCGGGACGCCTCGAAGTCATGGTTCGAGACGGGGGCCAAAAGGTGATGCTCAGTCTTTGCGTTCAGTTTCCCCCAAGCATCACTTTTTGGCCCCCACCTCGGCTGGCAACCTTCACCGTACGATTCGCCGAGTCCGTTAGCGCTTACAGGACTCCAGACTAAACTTTTCATGCCTCTTTCTTGTTTAACTCATGTTCTCAATCCTACTAAAGCCGACAGATCGGAGAGGTGATTTACATGGGCTATATCAACGTATAGAAGCTGTAGAATCCAATCCTGCCTCACCTCGCTCAAGATATTGAATGGCACGAACAGCGGAGGGCGGAGCTACCTTAGTGAAGCTTCGAAGAGAAGAGGAAGTATTCGAGCTGAAAGGAGGAGGTGTAGAAGCTCAGGGAAGATCGAGACATAGATGACGTCATAACGTTTCGCAGCTTAGTGTTTTGGGATGCTGAAACAGATTTAAGGGAAATGAGGGTGGCCGAGTCGAGGGGAGCCTGCCTACCTAGGTAGTTTTCAGTTCCTTAGGCTGACGGTTAGTTGGGGGGAAGGTGGGTTAATACTGCTCACCCAGATTCTTGGTTCTCATCTACCTATACTCGTACTCACGCTCATGACTTCACTCGCGACATAAGAACGGGTTGAACGAGTTGGTATCTCTACATATTCAATCGCCATCCTCCACCTCTCAGGAGACCCAGTTGATAGGTCTCCTCCCCGCGCACAAGGCGGCCATATTGTTGAACTTGAAAATCGCGCTGATAACGGTGGCTCTTGTCACCACTGCCCACAGAGAAAGAATCAATACAACGCCGGTCTAATTTGCCGCCACGAAACGCCGATGTTGAGATCGTTTCGCTTTGAACCCCCTTAAGCGGCATGGACCAAAGTCATGCCATCATATCATGTTGAACTTTTACCAGTTGTGACGCAGCCAGAAACATGCCTATAGCTCCACCACAGTCTTGTTAAGCTGCTGGATGGGTCTATGAGGACTTGGAGTACTTCTCGCGGTAGAAGATCGCGGCGTTGACCATGTTGGTCAGGGCCGCCTTGGTCTCCTTCCACTGGCGGGTCTTGAGACCGCAGTCAGGGTTTACCCAGAGTTGATCGGGCTTGAGGTATCTGCGTACAATGTTAGCATAATGCACAGTCAAGATACTCCAGGGAGCGACTTACTGAAGCATCTCCTCGATGCGATCCTTGATCTCCTGCTCGCTCGGCACACGTGGCGAGTGAATGTCGTAGACACCCGGGCCAATATGCCTTGGGTATGACTCCTCAACGAAGACCTTGAGGAGCTTAGCATCGCTCTTGCTGTTCTCGATGGACAGCACATCAGCATCGAGCGCAGCGATGGCGTGGAAGAAATCCTGGAACTCGGAGTAGCAGAAGTGGGAGTGGATCTGAGTGGAGTCCTTAACGCCGGCAGTCGACAGCTTGAACGAGTCAACGGCCCACGAGAGGTAGTTCTCGCGCTCACGGCCGGAGCGGAGCGGGAGACCCTCACGTAGGGCAGGCTCGTCGACCTGGATGACGTAGATACCGGCGGCCTCGAGATCGACGACTTCGTCGCGGAGGGCCAGGGCCAGCTGTTGTGCTTGGACGGACTGGTGGACATCGTCACGGGGGAAAGACCACCGCAGACAGGTGATGGGGCCCGTGAGCATACCCTTCATGGGCTTGTTGGAGATGGAAGCGGCGTACTTCGACTCCTTGACGGTCATTGGAGCCGGGCGTGAAATGTCACCCACAATGATTGGTGGCCGCACGCAGCGGGAGCCGTAGCTCTGAACCCAGCCGTGGGTGGTGAAGTCATAACCGTCCAATCGCTCACCGAAGTACTGGACCATGTCGTTCCGCTCAGGCTCACCGTGGACATAGACATCGAGGTTGAGCTCATCCTGGATTTTGACGACCTCCTGGATCTCCTTCTCGATGAACTCCTCGTACTCCTCGGCAGTAATCTCGCCCTTGGTGAATTTGTTCCTCTGGATGCGGATCTCCTTGGTCTGAGGGAATGAACCGATCGTGGTGGTGGGGAAGATCGGCAGTTTCAGGTGCTCCTTCTGCTGGGCGTAGCGCTCCGGGAAGGGCGATTTGCGGTTATGCATGTCTTCGGAGACTTTGGACTGGCGCTCCTTAACTTCGGGGACGTTAGTCCGCTTGGAAGAAGCGCGAGCTTCCATGGACTTGGCGTTGGCCTCCAGCTGCTCCCGTACAGAGGCGGGGCCTTCAGTGACGGCCTTGGCAATAATGGTAACCTCTGAAGCCTTCTGCACGGCGAAAGAGAACCAGTCCTTAACTTCTTCTGGCAGCTTCTTCTCGCTGTCGAGAGTGTGTGGGACGTGGAGGAGGGAGCTGGAGGTGGCAACGATGACCCTCTCCTTGCCAAGCTTCTGAACAGCGGTCTCAACTAGCTCAATGGCCTTCTTGAAGTTTGTCTTCCAGATGTTGCGTCCGTCGACAACACCGCAAGAAAGAGTTTGCTTGTCGCCGATTTGCCCAATGACGCTCTCGAGCTGCTCGGGATGCCGGACAAGATCGACGTGGAGAGCATACAGCTGTGAGAAAGCCGGGATGACATCGAAGTTATGCACAATATCGCCGAAGTAGGTTGCAAGGACGAGCTGAGGAATGTTCGAGCCGGAAAGCTTCTCGTAGGCTGGCTTGAAAGCGTCCTTGATCTTCTGCGGGAGATCGAAGACTAGGACAGGCTCGTCAATTTGGACGGTCTCGGCACCGGCCTTCTTCAAGCCCTCGAGGAGCTCGACGTATACCGGGAGCAGGCTGTCGAGCAGGGAGATCGGGTCAACGCTCTGGCCACGGTCTGCCTTTCCAAGCGCGAGGAAGGAGACGGGGCCTACGATGACTGGACGGGTAGTGATGCCAGCTTCTTTAGCTTCGAGGAACTCCCTGATGGGCTTCGGGTCCGATGCGAGCTTGAAGGTTTGGTTATCCTGGAGAGTGGGCTTGACATAGTGGTAGTTCGAGTCGAACCACTTTACCATTTCCTGTGCTGTGTGAGCGTTGACTTCTTGTCGCTGTGTTTTGCGCATTCCCTTACCAAGCTTGGCACGTCCACATCGCCCTTTTGGTGTCCACGGCCCATGGCGAAGTACTGATCGATGGGATCGAGCTTGTGCTGGGAGTATCGCTCTGGGATGGCCTGACGGCGATCAATTAGCAAACGCACTCGCTGTCTCGTGTCATGTTCCTACATTGAACATCTGAATGTGGTCCAGGACGTGGTCGTAGAAAGCAAAGTCATTGCTGGGGATGATGTCGACACCAGCGTCCTTCTGGATCTTCCAGTGCTCGAGACGCAGTCGCTTGCCCTCATCGAGGAGCTCCTGCTGGGAGAGCTTATCTGCCCAGTATGCCTCGTTCGCCTTCTTCAAGTCGCGCAGGCGCCCCATACGGGGGAAGCCCAGGACGGAGGAGGAGACCATGGTGGGGCGGTAGGAGGATGATATAGAGGTGGTTGAGAAGAAGCAGCGATGTGGTATGCTCAGTGCTCTCAGCTGCTTTACAGAGGCACGAACAAGAAACAGATCGGGGTGTTATTCGGGTTTTGGAGTACGATTGGGAATTGTAGAAGAAGGTTGTGCTGTGTCGGTCGGAAAATCGTCGATTATTTTTGCTCCCCACCTTCCTTTGGTGGGGGAGCAAGCACGGGCCGGCCTGGCTTGCGTGCTTCAGAGCCTTGTGGCCTTCCTTGGCTGGAAATGTGCTTTGATGCTGCCGAGATAGATGAAATGTGATAGTACTAAAACTTACTGGCTGCGTCATGCAGACAGCTATCAGCAGTTCTGGTAACCACGAGTATTGTCGCCGACGGTGTAGAACACCATGCAACTTGGATGCACATATCGCTCCCTGCCTCACATCTCACTGCTCCTGAGGCGCGCAGTATACTAGACAGAGGACACAGCATTCATAAGTACGAGTGATCGTTGTAAGTAAGGTGAACATTACATCACGTTGTTGGGGCTAAGTGAATCTATCAAATTGCCTGTAACAATCATAACAAGCTAAACGGCTAACCATGGCGGTACTTCCCCAGCCAACAGTAACGATACTCCGAAAATGTGTGGAAGCGGACACAGATAGTCCTTTGCGTTGTAGTCAGATGTACCCTTTAGAAGCGCCTGATAACGGACCACACCATCAAGAGCTACGCACACGCCACGAGCGCTTCCGGTGCCGCAAGTACAGCGTTGACATGGCCCTTACAAAGTCAGTCCCCGTCGCAACGAAGTCTTGAGTGTTGCTCACCTACACGGCCCAGTCATCTTCAGCTCCCCTCATCAACTTCTCCCTCTCCAATCTTTCCCTCTCCTGCATCAACGCAAGCAGGTCGTTCGTGCTCGCTCTGGTCATACTAACCACACTCGTTACGCTCATGTTCTTGTCGTGCAAGTGCCGCATGCGGCCCGGCAGGCTCTTTGAACTCGTCTCCGAGTAGATGTAGGATGCGGACTTCCTGTTGTTATAATGAAGAGGCGACGACTGACGAGTTGGCGAACTGATAGTGTCGTCGCGCGAGGCTGCTCTGTGCTGATTTAATGGCTTGTCACTCAGGAGGGCATTGTTACTTTCGGAGGTGCCAGGCAGGTGCACGCAGCTCCCATAGTACTTCGACCAGCGGAGTGCAGCAGGCATAGCATGATCGCGTTCCGCCGAACCATCAATACGACTTGGCAGTGCCCCGGACATGAGCGGCTCGAAAGATGTAGCAGTTGGATCGACTCCCTCATCGTGAGCGTTGGACAATGTACGTGATTTTGATGGGCCGGCATTGCTGAACGCAAACTCCCACTTGCCGCCGTTAGACTCTTGTTTGAGGGCTGGCTTAGGCGTCCACTTCTTCAAGTCTTCATTATCTCGGCTCTCTGCCTTCGCAGCTGTGTGCTTCTTGGCTTTCTTGCCTTCTGCCTCCGTGTTGACAACAGCCACCTCTGGGATGCTACTGAACATAACGGGCGCCAGCAGCTCCAACTCCGGATATTCAAGTTTCCCGCCCGTGGCGATGCTCGTCCTGTGGCCGCTTCCGTACCGCCTAAATTCTCTGCTCTGGCTCCTGAAGATACTGGCGTAGTTTTTCAGAAAGTTCTTGCCGAACGTCATGCTTTTGCTCTTGACCATGCCAGTTTTGGCCTTCTTTTTCTGAGCCGCCTTGCGCTTGATTGTGTTCTCGCTGTCCGAGCCCGTGGAGTCGCCACCAGGAGCAAACACGGCAGCAAAGTCTCGCGCAATGACGTTATCAGCTGCTCCTGCGCTGCCTGTACGTTGCGGTCGAGTATGACTGGGATAGCGAGACCAGGCGCTGATTTCGGCAGTCGAGTCGTCTACGCTTTCCTCTTTGCGAGAGCTTGCGATCGAGTGAAAGGACGCGACCGAGGCGTAAGAGGCAACCGATGATTTTGCTGTAAGTGATGGGCCTGTGGACTTCCCTCCAGCGAGTTCAGGCGGTACCAGGAAATCTCCGCGTTTAATGTAAGACATGGAACGAATCTGTCTGGTGTCGGCAAGACTCGGCCGTCCCTCTCTCTCCGTTGGGTCGACCATGCTGGACGGCCTCCTAGGACTTGGGATCGCAACGCTAGCACTCCTTTCCCTGAACAGACCAGCTGACTGCGCATTTTCCGGCGAGAGGTACATGGCTGATTTTTCCTTTTGGTATGCTTTCCTAGCTCTCTCCCATAGCGCACCCGCTTGATCGACATCGCCATGGAAGACCATGGAGCGTTGGAGCCGGGTAGGCTTGCGTTCTTCAATGGGAGCTTCGTCGTACGTCGAGCCATCAAACATCGATAGTGCCCGCATGCCTTTCTTGCTTTTGTGGTGAAACAGCCCAAAGCCCTTGCGGTTCTTGGACTTGGCCTTCTTTGTCGGCGGCGAAGGGGTGAGCTCTTCCCTGAATCTCGAATCCTTGCCAACACTGCTGGAGCTAGAGTTGTTGAAGGCTGCCGTCGATCCATCTGGATGTTTTCTTGAGTCACGAGCATTATGAGGCCAGACTTCTTCGTTCAGCGTCTTTAGATGGCTACGTGGGACCACTGGCGTTGGAGCAGGACTTGGCTTGCTCGGCGACCTGCCCGAAAGCGGCGTGTTTGTCTGTGATCTATCTACTATTGTCTCGTTGCGTAATGTTGACTGTGGCACAGTATAGGCAGATGGTACTGGCGGCAACATCAGACTTTCGGGACTGTTCGGTCTAGTTGAGTAGACTGAAGATGCTTCGCTGACGACGTTGCCCCATGCGTTAGGTACTTTGGTGCTGGCAAATCCAGAGCTTGACTGACGCTGATGCCTTGAGGCGGGTGCTGCTTTTGACTTGATGCTTAGGCTTGAGCGAGCGCGCCCATGCTGAACTCCCGAAGCCTGCTTGATGGACGGCGCGACGGATAACGTGGATGCAGACCGAAGATGCTGGGAGATACGCATGTTGTAGAGATGCACAGATGCGTTGCACGACTTCGGCTCATCCACCTCAGTCTCTAGCTCGTTCGACCTTGACGGATCTAAGCGGCGCTTCCGATCGAGCTGTGATGTTTTCCTGTCAACACCTCGTTTGTTGGACTTGACAGAGGCGGATTCGGCGTTCTCATTGGACTCCGTTTCCAGTGCATCACGCCTTGATCGCCGGTTCTCATCGGGCAGCGCGTCCGCCACAGGCTGCGTGTGCTTTGAAGCCGAGACCGGCATGCTGGTTAGGGGCCACTCGTCGGCATCAACTTCGTTGCTGATGCTCTGGACACCTAAGTCCTTTCTACTGGTGATTAGTGGAACCGGCGGCACGTCTTCCATTGAATGGTCATTGCCGGGTACGGAGAGCTTCCAAAGAGGAGAATTGACAGAGCTGGCGGCGCTTGGAACACGCTTCGGCAGAATCTGCGGCGGCGGAGGTGGCATGCTAATAGAGTGCTCAGACAGCGAGCGTCGGATAGCACGTACATGGCGTATCTCAGAGGCGATGTCCGGAACACTAGTGGACTCAGGGATGCGACGAACATCCGATACCTTGAGTATAGTCTCCTTGGAGTTGCCCAGTTCGTCGTCCTCGAAGAAGGCTTTCATGGTAGGGTTTCGACTAGGTCTCTGGTCCCTGCAACAAGTGGTTAGTAGCTGTAAGCTAGTTCAACAAGCCTTCCTCAGTGTGAGTTGTTTTGCGGTGACAGAAGCTGTGATAGACTATGAAATGACTGTCGTGAGGCCTGCCGCGCCCGAAAGCCCAACAAGCCTGTAGCCGATACAAGCAGCAGTGACACTGGACACCTTGACAGGATCTGAGCGGGTAAACGTCACTTACTGCTCATGTCCAGGCCGAGTCCACTCGATGCTCCTCAGGTCAGTCCGTCTAAAAGACTCGGCTCGAGACCTTATCGGTGAGCCGTCGCCGGGTGATGGACTGTAAAGTTGGAAGGACTCGAGTGTCGCCTCTTCAATGGCCTCTGCGTCAGAATCGTAACCTCCCTCGGCTCTCGCCTGATCACTCAGCAGATCTTTACTGAGCTTCTGCTTCATAGTCTGCAGTTCATTGCTAGTGGAATTGCCTGACGAGCCGCGGGCGCCGGCTTTTCGCCTTTTGCCCTGGCTGTGAGCGGATTTGGTGCTGGTAAAGGAAAGCCTCTTCCGCAGTCGAGCCGCGAAGTTCTCTGGCTTGAAGTCGGCATCATGGGATGTACTGATTGCGTCGTGGCGGCTGCGACGGATATCCGGAGGGAAGGCGTCTCCATCTGCTGCCTCGAATATGGTTTGTAGTTCATGCTCTATGTCTTCTGTGCGAGTGGTGTTGTATCTCGATCCATCCACTTGAGGAGACTCATGAAGCAGCGGTTGCTGAGGTTTGGATACATCCGATACCCTGGCGTTGGGCAATGGGGGAGAGTCTGACCGCTGCTCAGCAGTGCAGCAAAGTTCCGTCGAGTCTCGTTTCTTAGATTTCGCCATCTGAGGGACTCTTTATGGATACCTTGCCGGTGATGCTGTTGAAGCTCGACTGAAACAGATCGGAAAACGAATGGAACCAGATTCAGCGGCACTGGAAACAGCCATGGCAAAGACAGGTAGAGTTAGAAGCAAGAGTAGCCCACAGCGGGATGTTGAAAGGCAAGAAGTGGTCGACATCTTGCAAGTGAGATCTGCCTCGTAGGGGTTGGCCAAAAACAGAAGGAACGCCGCAGAGAGTGGAGACACCCAGATATGCTGAACTTTATGACAGAAATACTGAGAAATGTTGGCAGCTTTTACATGCATTGCAAACGTGAAGATCTAGACTGGTGCATTCCTGCTGCGATGCGTTCTTCGAAAAGGGTTGCTCGACATGTGCTGCTACGCTGTGAGGCGTACGTGAACCCTTATGGCTAAACTGGCCAAGGGACTGAACTGTACATGGATTAGGTACGTAGTCAGGCAACAGAGGCGGTCATTGCCACATATCAAGATGCTGCAAGCAGAGCACGTGGGCCTATCCCATGGTGCGTATGATGCAAGACCTGATTATTTCGCCGTAGCGAGCTGTATACGAGGCCAATGACTTCCCCAGTGCATCTTACGACACTCCTAACATCTAGGGGTTGAGCGCTTCCCTCATGTCCTCGTACGGATCGCAGCACAGTGTGGTGAAGGCTCTTCGAGGGGATCAGTCGGACCTTTGGTTCTGCAATGCTTGTTTGGCGATATTATCCCTCAAGCCATCTTCGCGCCCCTAGCATCATCCTTATACAACCCCAGCTCCTTAACCCAACCAGCCACGCTGGGCGTCAGTAACTTGCCCACCTCGTCCCAATCGCCTCTATTAGCCGCCTTCCTCGCCCTCGTGCTGCTGACACCCACGCCTTCATCTCCTGGCACCATGTCCAGCCGCTCCGCCCACTCCGGCTTGAAGCCTTCGCTCTCGAGCTCGCCTTTCCTCAAGCGGTCCAGGTAGCCCCTCTGCTCATCTGCTGTACCGAACTCGCTCGAAGACTCGTCCTTCGGATTTGCGGGCCGTTGCGTAACGCGCAGCTTATGGCCCGCCTCGAAGAACGGAGCGAGTGCTGAGAGCGGAGGAGTGTACTCCTTGTAGTACTTCGGAGCGGTAAAGCGGATGAGTGTGTCATAGCCTACCAGGTGGACGTGCTTGACGCCTTTGGGGTATGGACTCGATTCGGCGGAATCAATTGCCGCGGACTTATCGGAGTAGTACGGTGCTGTTGTTAGGCCAATGTCTATAGGCACACTAACAGCGGGCGGTGTAGGGGCGGACTTGTTTGAGGATGTGGAGGAGGCTCCCGAAAGCTCTTGTGTGAGATCCTCGGCGAAGAGAGTCATCAGAGCCAGACGGTGCTCGAAGCTTGCGGGACTGGGCGCCTTGTCCGCGTTCATGGTGCTCAGCAGGAGGAGGAAACGGAAGGGCTGGGCATCGTTGGGGCTTGGATTGCGGAGGGCGGAGGTAGCTAGGGAGAGGTGGGCGATTGAGGGTGGGTTGAATGAGGAGTCGAGGATGTAGAGAGTTTTGGGAGGTCGCGATGCTCCATTAGATTGAGGCGGATTGACGGTGCGTACTACCCGAAAGGCGGATGAGGAAGACTTAAAGGCATTGAGGGCAGACTCAAGGGACGGTAATTGTGTGCGCATGAAAGCGACACGGATAGCTGTGTCTGCCATGACATTTGACTGTTACGAGTTGGAGTACGTGGTTGGTACTAATGGCCTCAAGATATGTCCGGTGCGGTCAGGGCCGGAGAACTGCAGTCTATCTCAAGATTCAATGCACGGACCAGTCCGGTGTTGAGTTCCGTCACGAAGATAAACTAACCTCATGATACCCAAGATCTCTCACTCCACGTGCCCGAAGAGTTCAGAAGCTAAGTTCTGACACTGCTATCTTGAAAGCTCCGTGAGCACCTGGAAAATGCTTTTCAGCAGCTCATCAAGTCCGGGCATGTCGGCAAGGCTCTACCCAGCCAGGTTGACTTAGCAGACGGTGCAGTTCAGACCTCCTTTTAGCTCGCAGTCGGTAAGATTGCCGAACCCCGCGCCATGTAGTGATCATGGCTTAAAGTATTGCTTAGTTTGGCTTGCCCGACTGATAAAGCCATCATTATTCTTTGTCAGTTCTTGAACACCCTACGATGAGCGCGATAGAGGATGAAGTGCAACGGCGATTTACTCAAAATTCTACTGGAGCAAGCAAGCAAGAAGCAGGACTCTCCGATTCCCCAGAAGTAATGCTTTAATACTGCTCCCGTCCTCAACTCACCACTGATGCTCTTTGCAGCGAACGGATCAAAGGTCGTGAAAGATGGGACCGGGTTCGGAGCCTCACTTTCGACGCCAGTTACTTCGGCCTGTGGGCTTCCACTACTCCTATACATGAGATACATTACGACACTCGTGCTTTTGACCCAAAGAACTACTTGTTCGGCCGCTATCAGAAGGAGGAGGTGACTGTAGGTCAGGACGGGAAGATCACCATTGGCTTTAGATTCACCAACCACCGGGTGGATATTACTAATGGCTGGTTCAGCATTAACTACCGCAGGTAACCTAAACGAGTTCACGTATGGAAGTCGAGTTCAGTTGTACGACAACCCGGGCTTGCAACTACAGCGCGGAGGTCTGGATGGGTGATAGCTCTGTGTATGGAGGCCTGTGGTGGCAGGAAGCACCCAGAATACCGCGCGTATAAAACTCTCACGCCCTCAAATTTTACATACACTAAGAGTAAGGACAGAATGAGAATCATGAATCTCGTTTAAACCTTCAAACACCAACTCCGCTTCGTCGCCGAAATGACCGTGATACCTCCGTACATCCGTACCTTCCGAGTTCGAAGCCGCTGTACATGAAAGTCGATTTTCGCATACAATGCACTATCATATGCATAACGCCTTATGATCTCCGATTTTAAAGAGCGCCAAGAAGTCCGACGATGTAGGCAATGTGAAGCTGAAGTGATAGCTTAATGCAGTCTGAAAGACGCACCAGTCGCTGTCGGAAACGCTCCGGTGGCGGTAGGGAACGCAGTGCCTGACACTCCGGTCGAGCTAGTAGCAGTGCCGTTGAAGAATATGCCCGAGTAAAGAGTGCCGTTCTGGCAGCTAAGATCATAAAAGTCAATACTATTTTCAACCACTTGCCATAGGTCATACATACTTGTACTGGCTGGGATCGTAGCAGTGGTCACCGCAGGGCTGAGTTGGCCTGCCGTTGTTGATGGGACACAACTTTCCATCGAAGCAGGTGTACTCAGAGGGTCTGTAGCCAGCATTGCCGCATTCTTCGATGCCGGTGGCATTGGTCTGACGAAAGTTCAGGGTGTACGAGCGGGAGAAGGGCGAGGCTGCGGCAAGGGCGCCGAGTGTGAGGAAAGCGAGGAGCTGCATGGTGTAGGAAAGCGAATGTGAATTGAAGTTTGCAGGTAGGAGTTGCGATAATACAGAAACTTTTGCAAAGTGATCAAAGACTTTTGACTGCTTTTCAGGAAGAAAGTCTTTTCAAGAAGTGGCAGTCGTTAATATATCATTCCATAAGCCACGACGGCAACCCACATCGCCACACCGATCGGTTGCACTCAACACGCCACTACAGGGGAGCTGTGTGAAAAGAAGGCTAAGAACATAGGGTCGTTGTTCATCTACTGCTACTGCGTGAGGATAGCCAGCTGAATTCACCGAGATGGCAACACTTGCCGAAGCTGTGCCCTGAGCATTGCGTTACCGTCAATCCGGACCACCCAGCAAGATGTCCGGACATGCATGATAGATCTGTCACAGCCAGGCTAGCGGATCCAGCCTCAGAGCCACGTACTTTGCCAAGAAGGAGCTTCTTTCCGCTAGCTCCATGGAACAGGCACGGTGGATCTCAAATCACAGGGCATGGCGCATCCATCGCTCTCGCTAGTACGAGATCTCCGGGATGGATGACGCTGGTATGGAGGTGTTGAGGGCTCGGTTGCGGTCGTTGGGATCCCGGTCTTTCCAGATTGTCAGTGGCGCAATTGGCGGCGGCTGCTCCCGCCGCTATTCTGGGATCTTGCTGCAACGGAACGACCTGGATTCCATTTCAGCGACAAGGATTCCCAGCCCCCAGGCCTCTACTCCAAACTGGAGATATCTTCCTGCCACTTTTCGGGTCTCCGCTGTACATTAGCTTATGACCTCTCTGATGGGCTAGAGACGACAATTGAAGCTAAACCATTGATACTATGCGGGTAATGAACACTCTAGGTGCAATGCCTGCACTCGAGTCAGATCGAAGCGTAATTCTACGCTGACGACGGCTGATTGGGAAAATCGGAAAGTCGGAAAGTCGGAGAAGGCTGGACAGATTCAGCAGCTACAAGCAGCCAGTAAAAGAGCTGTAAGGTGGGAGGTTGCTTGAGTCTCGACATCGCCAGCGTACGTAATGTTGCTCGTCGTACAGATCTGCCGGCTGTGATCACCTCGCCGGTCGTGCCTGGTTCTCGGGGAGGCGAAGTGCGACATCCGCACTAACTGATACGAGACCTAGCGCTCTACACCTAGCTCGAAGTAGGTGGGGTAGAGTACGCGTCCGAATAGAGTCGATCCTGTGTGCACCTTGGACTCATGCTGAACGACAGAAATGTGGAGTAAGCAGATAGGGTGCAGAAAATATGATTCTTCGCCAGTCCGATACATTCTTGAAGCAACAAAAAACCCCAGCCACATGATAAAATAGGGCAGTGATGAGCTCGATTCAGGAACTAAGCATTCGGTGAAATCGTTGTAAACCATGTTGGCAACACTCAGGCAACAGCTACCTCCGCACACTACGCCGTCCACCAGTTGATGGAAAGAGCCCTCTTGAACCTGCATAGTCCGAGTCTCTCATAGCAAAACCGCCGCGGCGAGTGTCACTACCCCGAAGTGGCAGACCCGCAGGCCCACTTCTGGCACCTTTGATGCTCAGAACATCATCTCGAGCTAATCTTCTTGCAGTTAATGAGCCTCCGTAGTAACTAACAGCCGGGGGCAGACTTAAAGGCAGCGGCGCCACTTGCCGCACGTAGGAGCTACCCATCGTTGACGGTGGCGCGGCAAACGCATAGGGCTGGTTTTGTGTGTAAGCGTTTGCGGGAGGTACGCCTGGTCGTCTGAAAAAGCCTGCTTCGTTCCGGGGCATTGGCGACATAAGAAATGGTTGCGAGATGTGGCGGTCGTTGTACGCTGGAGCTTCTCGCCGGTATATGGGTTCGTTTTTCACGTTATATGGTGAGGTGATGAAAGACAGTCCGTTGATGCTGCGCGGTTCGCGCCAGTCTGGAGGGGCTGCTGGAGCCATGCGATAGCTGTGAGCGATCTGCTGCATTGTTCCCGGACGAGGGGCGGTCAGAACCTGCGACGGCTGTCTGCTATGATTATTGTGGAAGTTCGAAGTAGTATTCCTAAAGAAAGGACTGGCGACAGAGTCTTGCCGAGATACAGCGGCGGAGTAGAGACGCTGTTGCGGCGCAGGCGTTGCCTGGATGTCGGGGGTCTGGATGTTTCGAGAAGACGGTGGGAAGTGTGCGGAGTATGCTGACTCGGTTGGTCCTTGCTGTTGCGGGTACTTGTTCATTGCCGTCCCATTGTACGTTTCCCTGTTCATGGAGGAGCTAGAGTACTGTTGCAAGAGCACGCCGGGAGCTCCATCGTACGCGTATTTGTTTTCCATGGCGGCATTTGGCAGAGTCTGTTGCGAACTCTCCTTGAGTACTTGCTGCTGAGGGTAGCCGGGGGAATGAGCATGGATTTGCGTGTTGGTGGTACCAGGCCCGCGATCGAGGGGTTTGAGGAAGGGCACATCATCGCGTTGCGTGCGATGGTCGGTCTTCGTCCGTGTCTGGGTAAGAGGTTTGAAAGGCGCCTGGACGCCTCGCGGTGATTCCACATCACGAGAGGCAACTTCTCTCGGTATAGGCCGTCGAGACGGAGCTGTGGGCAAAGCTCCGCTCATGTAAACAGACGGCGACTCCTCCATGCTGCTGCTCAACCGTATCTGGCTCACACCTTCCTCCAGTTGACTACGTCGGTTCGCACTTTGCCAACTGCCGTTTTCGTAGACTGGAAGATCTGGTTTGCCATTTCTGCTCTGGTTTGAGTCAGACCTGTTGGATTCTAGGCTGGGACGGTGACCGCCGGTCGACTCCCTATTTGGTTCCCGGCTGTGCGGCGGCGCATTGCTCCTTCGAGTGATCGACAACGAAGGAGGGGGCATTAGGTCCCTGCTGCTCTTGGGACGCTTGGCTTGTAGATAGTTCTGCTCGGTAAACTCCTGAAGCTTTCTTTTCCTGCCAGAAGACGTCATCTCATGGGACTCGCTTGAGCGATCTAACAATGTGTAACGGTTAGCAATGCCCGGAAGCGCACGCGTGAACGGGTAATCGTTCGCGGGCTCACCTTGATTGTTGCTGCTACGGTCGGCCTGCCTCATGCCGGGAGTATGCGCTACTGCCTGGACTTCTGGTCTCCCGGGCGCAGCGGATTGACGTGTCCCCCCTGCTCTTGAAGCACTTAGCAGGTGTCTATCGTCCGCCAGCTGCAACGAGTAATTGGTCTTTGGCACTTCATAACCAAGCGTGACAAGCTGCGCCTTCAGCGAGTCGTTTTCTCTGGTGAAAGTTAGCGCAGTGAACCCCCCAGTATACACGTTCTTACTTCGCTATTGCACTGACTACGCCTAGGTAGTGTCGTATGGCTGGCTCGCGCTCTTCCCAGTATCTGAGCTTTGCCTCGCTCTTCTCCAGCGCTTTCGCTCTTGTCTTGAGATCCTTCACTCGGTCCTCTAGTGTTTGGTGCGACGAGAGGAGGTCTTCGATGGTTCGTTCCGCCTCGGCTTGTGTTTGCGCAGCCTGCGTAGACTTCTGCAGCACCTTCGTACTGAACCGTATGAGCTGCAGATATTGGAACTACATGTTTCTTAGCCTCCTTAGCCCTGTAACGCTGTACTGAGTGTTGCTCACGCGTAGTGCCTCCATACCGGCACCATTTCCATCCAGCCTGACTGGTGGCGATTCAAACCAGGATCTGGGAATCGCTTCGTCATAACTGCCTTCTTGAGTGCCTCGTATGCCGTAAAGGCTCTTCATCCGGCCGTCATTCTTCTCAACAATGCAGAGCGGACATGGCGCGCGTGGCTGCTCGCCTTCAGGGTGGAACGGCGCTCCTGTAGGCCGCGCTTCCGTCAGCTTCCTGTGGATAAATGTAGAGACAGTCTTCTCCTTATACTGACCTCCGCCTTGGAGATGTTCGCCACACGTCAGATGAGCGCATTCAGTAAGCCAGAGCTTCGTGGCGATTTGCGCCTCTGGACTTCGACCGTCGCGTATCCCTCGGGTGTTGTGGACGTTTTTGTAGATATCTGACAAAGTGGCCTGACAAATGGAACAGCTAAAGATGACTTCAGACGGTGATATAGATAAAGATAGTGCGTTGTGGTCCTCCATCGCGACCGAGTGGTGAGATGATAAGTGATCGTGGACGTGGAGGTGGGACATTGATCTGTTCGCCTCAGTCCACACAACCTTCCACAATAACTTCCAACGAAAGACACCCTTGCATGCAGATATTCGATGTTTATGGGACATCACACAGAGGCAAATAGCTAGCGATGCCGAGAACAATTTTGAAGGCACGTGATTTGAGACACCTCGCTTTGAGGTTGGTGCCCCTACAACGGTTATCGCAAGACTTTGGGAGCAGAGAGCGAGATGCAGAGGCTTAGAACCGCCGTCCACCAGTCATTTACAGGCGCGTGTTTATGAAAACGGAACATTTTCATCACTTGAACCCTGGTTCCCATCTGCGAGTTACAACAGAAATGGCAGGTCACGTTACTAGCACAGCTTGAGACAATATGTACAACTGCTGTCCCGAAGAAGCATCACGCGTTGCGTCCATGCGGATTTACTCAAATGTCCGGCATGGGTAGCTGGAACAGATTAGCAATGCGTCTAGGTGATCCATGTCAACAACTTGACTTACTCTCCATTATAAGACTGCTCCTTCAAAATCCCGTACTTCTTCACACCGTCATGCAGTGACAGCCCAGTAGGCAATGGCGGCATGCCACTGGGACCTAGGACGCTAGAAGCAACGCCCTTCTCCTTCTTCAAGTACGCTGCCAGCCCCTTCTCCCCTTCTTCCTTCACCGCCACAAGCTGCTTCGCACCCGCGTCCCCAATCTGCAGTACTTCGTCCTTGGGATTCGCCTTGCTCCCCACGGTCAGCAGCGCCACGACATCCCCCTGCTTCATGACGCTGATCCTCGGGTACCTCCTCCGCATGTCGCGCTTCCAGTACGGGTTCTCAGCCAAATCTGCCGCCGGAACTGTGACCGGATCGTCGTAGGTCGCGGGGTCGAGGGCGCCTGGGGGTGGGTTACGGAATTGCGGATTCAGAGGTATGCCGGTTGAGCGCTGCGGGTCGATTGCGAGGAAGCGGCTGATGCGCGCCCAGAAACCCCTGGGTTGGACGGTGTATTTCTGGTGAGTTTAGATTCTTGCTGAGAGCTGTATGACTCGCAATGGCTGTACCTTGAATTGGGCCATCTTCTTCATCTGGCCGTGGCCCGACTTGAGCGCATGGGCGGCAGGTGAAGTCGACATGGTGCCGACCTTGTGAACGCTTCTCAGCCTGAGGCGATGCTACTCTCGGATTTTTTCTGCAAGGGTGGTTCGGCTTCGGTATTGTCTGCGATTCGGGTACGAGTAAGGGTAGGTACTGATAGAGTGCTCTGCTGCGGGATGAGGTTCGGGACAAAGGTGGCCAATGCGCGCCTGCGATTATCAGCGATGTCACTGGCTGAGAGCTGGAGTGTCATTCTTTGAGCACTTCTTCTAACAGGAGCTGATCTTAAGACCCATTGCTCGTCAGACTCACACTCGAGATTCGTTACGGGAACAGAAACCGGCAGCTAAGACTATCCGTAAGGGAGCATTGCGACTGCTATCTGATCCTGGCAGCAATTGCGTATACAGCGTTGATGCCCCACCATTAAACATCGGAGTCTACTTAGTATCATCACAGCTCGTGAAGCAGCTGGGCGCTCAGACAGTTTATAGCGTCTATATCGCATCTCGAGTCTACACTTTGTTCATTCAAGCTTCGCTTGGGGTAGTCATTCAACATGTCACGACCAGAGTACACGAGGACAGCCTCAACAAACCTCAGCAGAGGAGGAGGTTCCAGGCCTCTGGAGGGGCGAGTCGCCGTTGTGACTGGTGCCTCGAGGGGTATATCAACACATGGGATCACTTCAGAACCGTCGCTAAATCTTCATAGGCATTGGCGCTGCGGTATGCCAGAATCTCGCCAGCAAGGGCTGCTCGCTCGTTATGAACTACACCAGCGACAGCTCCGCATCTCAGACCGAGAAGCTTGCGTCAGAGCTTCAATCGCAGCATGGCATCAAGGCGATCACGATCCAGGCAAACATGGGCACTGACAATGGTCCGGCGCACATAGTGGAGACGGCGAAAAACCACTTCCAGCACCCAAAGACCAAAAAGTTCCAGCTCGACATCATCGTCAACAACGCTGGCGTATCAGGCAACGTGCCAATCGAGGAGTCCGAGAGCGACGAGTTCTACCGCCAGTACAACGTCAACGTACGCGGGCCGCTGTTCCTCATGAAGGCAGCGACGCCTTACCTACCGCATGACCGCTCCGGCCGCGTCGTGAACCTGTCCAGCGTGAGCTCCAGTCTAGGCTTCGCGCAGCAGAGCATCTACGGCGGCACGAAAGCAGCGCTGGAAGCCATGACGCGGACTTGGGCGCGTGAGTTGGCCGAGCGCTGCACCGTCAATTCTATCAACCCCGGTCCGGTGGCCACGGATATGTACGCTAGCAACGGGCAGGAGTTCTTCGATATGATCAACCCTTGGTTGAAGAACACTCCGCTGGCGCATGCGAGGGAGGGCATAGATGACAAGGAGTTCGTCGACCAGGCACCGAAAGCGGGCGGTAGACCGGCGTACGAGCACGAGATTGCCGGTGTGGTTGGGATGCTGTGTCTGCCTGAAAGCGGCTGGAGTACTGGCAGTGTGGTTTGTGCTAATGGTGGAATGAGGTTCAGCTATTGAAGGATTTTCTGGGGAGCAAATCTTGGTGCCCCTCGAGAGGGTTCATAGTGGGTTTTGGGTAATGTAGCATCTGTCGCTTGGACATCCTCTGAATCGGTGGGAAGTGACTTCAATGACCCGAAGAGTGCGCAGTGCAACGTTGTTGAGCTTGTGCTTCGCCCTGGATACAAGCAGGCAGTTGGAGAGGTTTAATGTTGTGCTCCCTTCAAAACCTGCCTTGTATATTCGCATCACCGTCCAAGGATCGGTTGTCCACGTGACGTCGGGGTTGAATTCGAGCGCGGCCCTTCTCTTCGACCTCAGCTCTTAACTGCCATATCCTCGAACCTCTACTGGGCAACTTAGCTATCTACAGATCCTATTCCGGCGGCGTCTCCCGCATTGAAGGGTTCGCTCTGGCTGAGATGGCGTTCGTCAGCTCCGCCCAGCCGCGCCGATTTCTGCCATGGCTTCGCGTTGCCATGGCAAGAGGCCCACGGATTCCTGCGTTTCAGCCAGCGGATGCGCCCCGCGTCCCCCATCCGGACCCAGATACTGCATGAAGGCGGCCTGCAGACAGGGTAAAGCCCTCAATGTTATCTCGGCTTGGATCAATTGGAGAGAGCCATCGCACGTGCAGGACAGGAGTGGGTTGTTGCGCAACCGGTGGCTGGCAAGGCTGGGCCTGGTGTTTACAGCCTACCTAGGTACCCACTTCGAGGCCGCGCAGGTCTGTGATACTATCAGGACCCGATGCCCTGCCACCCCATTGTCTATACTCCGCACTTGTATCCTTGTCCCATTGTTCATCCTTCACTCTCCGGTCCTTCATCACCGAGTCCATAACTTTCGTCGCGAGCTTATGTCAAAACTCTCAACCTTCAATATGACGCGGTAGACGAACAACCCTCACAAACGGCACCCTGCTTTAGCCCACAGCGATCATACCCTCCGTTTGCAGCCATTATGAGAACATCACACCTCCTGGGCCTTCCAGCAAGCTTACTGCTGCTACTGGCCGCGCCTTCGGCAGCGCAACTTCCGTACAACCCGACCAGAATATTATCACCTCCACGAAACGAGACGAATGATCTTCTTTACGTATTCCGCCCCTCGCCAGCCTCCGCGAACCAGTTCGAGCTGCTTTCGCTGGACCTATCTTCAGAGGCGAGAGCAGACAACCTACCTCTGACGACCCTATATCCGTCGCTGCCGTTCCTCGATGCCGACACAGCGAAAGCCTTTGCTTCCGTTATTGATAGCAATGGAGATATCACCGTATACACAGGTGACTGTGCCGATGGTCCTAGTGGAGCCGAGCTGTGGAAGTTTGTGGCCAGACGGTCAGCGCGCAACGGCAACGGCTCGTGGGTGCAGGAGAAGCTGTCTCTTGACCCCGCCGAAGAGCACCGCGCTCTCGCAGGACCGAACTACCTCGCCTCAAGTATAGCGTTCTCGGGCATAGTCGGCGAAGATGGCCCCGAAAGTAGCATGTACATCTTCGGCGGGATGTGTCCATTCGAGGACGCTTCTCAAGATGAGTGGACCTCAGCTGCCAACTACTCGAACCTCATGGTCAATCTGGATCCTGCAGCAACGCCGAACGAATTCGAATTCGGCCTTACTGCGAGCCGTGGTCCCCCTATTGCGGAAGCTGGCTTCAGCATCACCCCTCTACTGCCGACGTTTTCGAACAACAGCGATGGCTCGCAAAACCAGCAGCAGAATTTCGTCTTGCTTGGTGGGCATACGGAAACTGCCTTTATCAACATGTCACAGGTCGCTCTATTCTCTTTGCCAGAGGAAGCATGGGCCTTCCTTCCGGTAGAGCAAGCTTCCAAAGACCATACTTATCTTGCTGCGCGAGATGCTGTAACTCCAACTAGCCCGAGATCTGGACACACCGCCGTGCTTACACCGGATGGACAAAGGATAGTGGTTCTAGGCGGCTGGGTTGGAGACGTCAACACACCCGCCGAGCCGCAGCTGGCAGTGCTCAATGTCGGAGCCGGTTATGGTGGCAAAACAGAATGGAGCTGGACTTTTCCACCATTGTCCAGCGATGGCCTCGCGCAAGGGACGGGCCTCTATGGTCATGGAGCGGTGATGTTACCTGGTGATGTCATGATGGTGATGGGAGGCTATTCAATACCTGCAACCTTGAGCCGTCGACTGAGGGTCCGAACAACTCAGAACACACGCAATCTCTTCTACAATGTTACCTCGAATACCTGGCTTCCGAGTTACACGCTTCCTCCAGACGCCTCCGATGGCGCTCAGCCCCACTCTGGTCCACTGTCGAGTACTTCTCAGAAAGCAGGTCTCGGCGTGGGCGTCGCAGTCGGCTTTGCAGCTGTAGTCGGACTCGTACTGTTCTACTTCTGGTTCGCTCACCGGCAGAAGAAACAACGCGAGTTCCGTGACAAGGAACTGCGAGAGCTTGGGCTTAGCGCTCAAAGCTTCAATGCTAACGGGTATGGGGAGGGTGGTATCGATGGTCGAGGCGGCAATATGTCAGCAGCGGGCTTCCTCGGTGATCGGGAAATGGCAGCGTATACTGCATATCCGTGGTCGAATGGACGACCGGCCCGAGGTGGGCAAGGGTATCGGCGCGTAAGCGCCGGTGATGCACAGCGAACTGGCGTGCTTGTAGAGGTACCGAGCCCTACACGAGGCCTACGACGTGGTGCAAATCCTCGTGGGAATTACCATCCCGCGCCACGCTACGATGAAAAGCGCAGAAGTCGAGGGTCAGGTACCATACATCCGATCAAAGAATCAGAAGAGGAGGAGCACACACCGGCAGGAATCGTACCTCACTCGGGAGGGCTACCGGAAATGAGTGAGAGAGACCGTATCGACAACCGCGCGTCTCTTTTCTCCCAGGCACCAACTCTCGATCCGTTCAGCGATCCTGACCCGCTAGGGAGCCATCCTGTCAGCGCCGTCTCTCCAAGTCCGGCGCGTGCTCGGCCGACTAGCAGCTCCTGCCCGGTATCGCCAATTGAAGAGGGTAATGCCGGACCTCAAGCCCGGGCACTGGAATGGGAGCGCGCAGCCGATCGCCTCCTACACGACCTAACCCACCCCAACAGCACCGAGTCCAGCAGCCCTGGCCGCACATCACCCTCTCACTCCGGAGAAAGCCGCACGGGTAGCAACCTCAGCGACCGCTCCGTCTGGTCCAACGTATCCGCTCGGTCGTCGAGCGGAGGCGCCGCTGTAAGCGTTGCACGCAGTATCTCGATTCGCTCTGCAAATCTCCTAAATAGTATCACCAACCCTTTTTCCACGCCCAACACCAGCCCGCCGAACGACTCCCCACCAGAAACCCGTGAAGGTCTCCGCCCACGCGCCTTCACCACCGGCGCCCGCCCCGGAAGCCAAGGTGCCGAGTCATTCATGACAGCCCAGACCTCTTTCGCAGCGCTGCAAGCTGAAGGCGAGGCGATTCTGGGCGGGCGACCGGACCGCTATCGGGATGATCCTAGCAGTCCAGTCCACCCACCTTCACCCATCGCTACCGTAGGCCTGCTTCGAGAGAAACCCAGTCCCGAGGAAACACCCGCCCCAAGCCCCTCGAAAGAGAAGCCCCGACTCAGCTGGATGGGCTCAGTCCGACGGGCCCTAAGCCGCGGCAAAACCAACGCCGGTGCCGGGAGGACTGTGAGCATGATCTCCGCGCACGCGCCCACACCGGTGCTAGAGCCATACCGCGACAACCCGTCACCCGTGCACGGCGCCAGCAAACTTGCCACAGCCCCGCGCCGCGCAGTCTCAGACGCGACGCCCTGGCGCTACAGGCGCGGGGCCCGGGACTGGGACGAGAGCAACGCGCTGGGCGACGTGGAGGACATCTGGAGGAGGACTAGCGGGGATGACTGGGGGAGCCCCGAGGATAGGAAAATGAAGGAGAGGGAGGAGGAGAGGGAACAGCAGGAGGCGGAGCGGGAGTGGGACGTGGAGGCTGCGGCGGAGAGGAGAGTTGTCCAGGTTACCTTTACGGTGCCCAGGATGCGGTTGAGGGTCGTGAATGCGGATGTTGATGGGGCGAGCTTGGTTAGTAGGGAGGAGTGTGGGGTGGAGAAGGGCGAGGTCGAGGCGGAGGGCAGCGGTGGGATTGTAGAGGAGGATGGCGGCCGGTTGCTGAAAGTGAGTAGTAGAGAGGAAGACGGGGTGGGTGTGAGGAGTAAGAGTAGTAGAGTCCTGGCGTTGGCGAGGAGCTTTGAGCAGAGGGCGGAGAGTCCAGCAACGGGCGAGGGCTCGAGGGGTCTGAGAGATACGGGCGGGGCTAGGTCTATTGCGGCACCATATGTTCGGAACGGTTTATAGGCGAGTCTGGGGATTTCAGGGATCCGCTTACAGGTCGGTGTTTGTGGATTTGATGGATAGTTCCAATCTTGTGTAAGGTCTATTAGCGGTCGTTCGTGAGCGTTTATAGCGGACAAGCAGACTTAGGTACTTAGGTAGGTATTCATGAAATACATCTCTATATCCTAGTCACTGAAAGTAATATACCCCAGAACAGGTGTGAAACAGGAGACAGCCGACGACCCGAGGCTGATGAATATGGTTACAAGGGTCAAGTTTGTCGAAATGACCCAGCCCTGTGCAGATGGCACACACACACCTGCCTCTTGGATGTCTGTCCGGCAACGACATAAACAATGAATGACGGGCATGCGATGAGCTGGCGGCGGCTGTGGGGGTCGAGGCCGGGGATACCATCGTTGGAGGAGGGGGAGGATGCGGCAAGGATGAGGGGGAGGCTGATCCGGACGATGGGAGGGAGGGCGTCAAGGGCGGTGGTGCTGGCGGCTTGTTGGGAGCTGAGGACGCTGGCGTTTGGTTAATGGGACGTTGGAGAGGGTGTGCGGGTTGCTGGGGTAGTGAGGGTGTAGGGGGTTGTGAAAGGGATGGGCGGGTTGGTCTGCTCGAGTTCTCTTTCTCGCTCAGACATACGGACAGGCGTTGACGTTGCTAACTGAACGTCTAGGTGTATTCTTCTTTCATTAACACAAAAGGTATCTTGTTACGCCATCGCCCTTTTCTACCCCAGCACCACAGCCAGGATGACGACCGTCAGCACAACCGCCAGTATCAGCAGCAAACAACACGCCTTGTTCCGCGCATTCTTCTGGTGCCGGCTCGCCGCCGTGAGCTCCACATGCGCGCCGCGCGTATCGTCCCTCACAGTCTCGACATTCTCGCTAATAATGTCCAGCTGCTCCCCCTGCTCGTGCACCATGTGCGCAACGTCTCTGAACAATTCATTCAGCTCGCCGACCGACTGCTCGATGTTGCGGATCTCGGACTCGCGCTCGATTATGAGGGACTCTTGGAAGTCGACGTCGTCTTGGGAGGCGAGGCGGAGTTGTTCTTGTTGCTGTTGTTGGGTCTGTTGCGGGCTTGTGGGGGAGCTGGGGCGGGCTTCGGCGTCGAGGGCCGCGCGTGCGGCGGATGCGGAAGAGCGCTGCTTTTCTATGGCGGTGCGTTGGAGGACTTGGAATTCGGTTAGGGAGGCTTTGAACTCGCGGTTTAGTTTTCCTTGGGTGAATTTCTGAGAGGGCTGGGTGGGTGTTAGCGTATGCTATCTCTATCGCTGCCTGTCTCGCTCAAGGCCTGGTGTAGGCCCACGTCCTTCCAGCTCCCAGATTGTGAAGCGCAAGCACCAAAGCCATCAAAGACATACCCCCAAATCAGGCCACGTGGTAAGCTTCTTCAGCCCCTCTCCAATCTCCTTGAACGCGCTGTTCGTCTCGTCGATGAGGTCCTTGACCCGCTCGCGCACCCGCTCCGTCTCGCGTTTCGTGCCCAGCAGCGCGATCTGGTTCGAGAGCCGCGTCACGTTGCTGGTCAGCGAGAACAGCTTGTCGGACAGCTCGCTGGTGAAGCGCTTGAACTCGGGGTCGTCGGCGTACTGGGGGTCGTCGGAGCGCCGCCAGTTGGTCGGCTGGGATTCGAGGTTGGAGGATTGCTGGAAGGCCATGGTGGTGGGTGGTTGGTAGGCTGAGGAGAGTGTGGTGGAGTGCGATGGAGGATGGAGGGAGAGAGAGAGAGGAGCGAAGTGGATTGCGGGATAGGTGGGTGGGTGGGTGGTGGTGTACTGAGATGGTGCAGGTGATATGCCTGGTGTCTCGTCTCTGGTCCCTCGTCCCTGGTCCCTCGTCCGGGGGGCTTGGATGGTGGTTGCGGCGGCTTCCAGGGCCGGGCTGACAGGACGACGGACGGGGATCAGCCTTGCTTGCTGTGTCGCGGCGCGCGGGCGGGCTTGCTGTGGCCCATGTTTTTGTGTGCCAGAGCTCCATCACCAGCCCCAGCTGTCCAATTCAATCCCCTCCTGACTCGGAAAGCTGTCACTCGCTCTTTACACTGTTTCTTTGTGCTCTCCATGGGCTCTCTGTCTTCCTCTTCTTCCTCTTCTTCCTCTTCTTCCTCTTCTTCCTCTTCTTTCTCCTTGTACTCGCGTCCGTAGGGTACTCCGCTCATACCAACGCCTTCTACCTTTTCGCCCAAACAGCTCCCCTCCACCATGGCAACGCCCCTCAGGCCAGCCCCGGCCCGCCCATATCGAGATCTCATAACGCCGGTGCTGCATCGGAGATTCGTCAAATCGTTTCTGCTCACATTGGGGCTCTGCTATGCAGAAGCTGTCCTCCTGGGCAAATGGGATTGTATGCAAAAGAGCCCCCGTTCTTCACCGCCGAGATGCCCAGCTAACACTTGTCTCACAGTGCTGTGGAAATGGTTTCCACTCGGATTCGCAGGGCTTCGGACGCTCATGCTCTCCGTACCGGCCCTCGTAATCCTCATCCTCCGCGTCGCGCAGTTACACAGTACGTACGACAAACGCAAGGCTCCAGCAACCTGGGCTAAGCTGACGCGACGACAGTCGGAACGCGAACCACCGTATACCCCTTCGAGTCCTTCTGGCAGCACCTGATCAGTCTCAACGCTCTCTGGACAATGTCCTGCTACTGCCTGTCAGCAATGCTTTTCAGCGAGGTGTACATTTGGTCCGCCGCATCTGACGCGACGTTGGGCTGGATTGATCAGGGAAAGTACGTGTCGTCACATGTAACCACGCTGTGAGTATGAGGGAGGTCGCTAAGACTGATTCAGGTCCTACGAGCGCCCGAGACTGAACGAACGACCAGTCTATCTACGAACCTTGTTCATGTGTCTGGCAGTAGTACAGTCGGCTGTCCACCTTTACCACGACTATGCTGGAGTTAATATTCCGGTCCAACCGACGTCCCCTAAACCTAACGATCCGAATCCGACGCCTGCCAGATCTCCATTTGCTCAGATCTGGGATATGAAGCTCAAGATCTTCCTGAAAGGCACCATGCGGGTACTCGGAACCGTCGTCGTAGGGTCGTTCATATACTACTTCTTCATTCGCCAGACAGCGTACAAGATTGCCTTCGCACTCGCGAAGCCTTTCTTCCACCTCCCAAAGACCGCAAAACCCGGCAGCATAGCCAGCCTCGGCGATCTGGCCGGCCGTTTTATCCTCCACGGATCCATCCTCCTCTGCATCTGGGAGTTCGCCAATGCCGTCTTCTCCACTTACGTCGCGCTCGGCCCCCTCAAAAAAGACAGACCCATCACAGACGACTCCAAAGACCCGAACGGCACCCTCCTAAACGGACTCAAATCCAGAAAGAACGTCCACCGCACCTTCGCCTTCTGGGAGCTCGCCCTCATAACCCAGCGCTTCTCCACGCGCCGCCCGACTATCTACTCTGAAATCGACCGCGCGGGCGGCAGCACCTGGAGCCAGATCCTGCGCCTCTGCCTCGAAGAGATCAACGCTGTGAAAACGCGCATCGACGCGCAATCTAGGCCTCTGCCCACCGCAGCGCAAACCTCCCAACAACAGCAGCAACAGCAACAGTCCCAGATCCAGCCCCTCCCCCGCATCGCAGACAGACCCGTCGCGACCGACGATATCTTCAGCACCCCGCCCCGGCACAACACCGCATCGACGGAGATCGCCGCCTTCGCTAAATCCGTCGGCGGAACTCCCAACGCGCGCCCCCTACAAAAGTTGAGCCCAGTCGCGCACAAGTTGCTCGAGTACGGCAAGGGCGCGCTGAGCGAGGAGAAGCAAGCTCAGCTACGGCCGCAGAATATTAGGGGCAAGGCGAATGGGTACCTGCTCGCTGCGCTGCGCTCGCCCGTCGGATGGCCGTTCCGCCGGACGTTCGCGAGGCGGGTAACGGCGGTCGTGTTCGGCGCGCCCGTGTCACGGTGCGCTGTGATCGTCAATGCAACGAACGCGCTCGCAACGTTGGCGGTGAATAGTCTAAAGGAGGACCCATACGGGACGGTAGCGAAGGATATGCCTGTTATAATACGCAGTCTAGTCTCTGCGATTACGGCGGTTGAGGGGTTCGTCAAGAGGCTTGATGTTGATTGGACGGATGTCGAGTTTCAGGACAGCGATAGGGATGTGTCGGAGGTGACGGCGCTGCTGGAGGTGTTGAAGGGCGCGCTGAGGGAAATTCTGGGCGCGTTTGGCGAGTTTCTGGGGGGATTGGGGATGGGTGATAGAGAGGTGAGGGCCGCGAAAGAGGTCGCGTCAGAACCTAAAGGGCTGAACGACAGGGAGGAGCAAGGACAAGGGAGTGGGAACAGCGGGAAGGGGAACTCCGGACGGAGACAGCCGGAGATGGCTCAGAGGCGGTCGTGAGCGATATTGTGATTTTGATTGTGTAATGTTGCTGCGTAAGCATAAACTCATGATTGAGCCGGTAGCGATGTACTGCTGGCGGCTCGTTACTGTCAGGTTTCCTCTATGATCTCCTCAGAGGCTTGATGATAGTCAGGAATACTGCCTTGACTCCTGAGTAATGGTATCCAACTCCAGGCGATGCACCTCGAAATCGCTTGACGAACACTTACTCCCATGCATCCCCCCACCCCTCATCATCATCGTTCTTCGTCTCTTCTACCTTTTTTTCCACCTTCTTAACCGGCGCCACGACCTTCCCCCTTACCGGCGCCGCCGCCGCCATCTTCTTAGCTCCGGCCCCTGGTCCCACATGCCCAGTTGTATTAGCCCTCGACGAAACAGTCGGCCTAGCCGCCGCAGTCGTCGTAGCCGCCTTAGCCAGCCCCTTCGGCAACGGCTTCTTACCAGCCGTCTGTTTCGCCGAATGCTGCGCACTGAGCCATCCAGCAAAGTCCGGCTCGCTGTCGTCAACGAAGGACGTGGTGGCCGAGGGCTTACCCGCAGGCGTCGGATCCGCCCAGGGGTTCGGCTCGTCCTCTGCGGGTTCATCGCCCCACGCGGCGCCGAAGTCTTCGGCTTCTGCTAGGTCGTCTGCGGAGGTTACCGAGGGCGTTGAGGAGGGTGCCGCGAAGGGATTGCTGGTTGTGGACGGCTTGGTTAGGGTTTGGCGGTACAATGGGGATGTTGTATTGGCCGATGACCCTGGGCGAGCTGTCTCGGCGGCTGGAGGAAGCGACTGCGAGCGCTTCTCCGTCTGTGCAGCGCCATTGGTGCCGCTGGCCATCTGGCCACTGGCAGCGGAGAGCTTGTTCGTGAAGGAGGAGATGGCCCAGCCGGCCCAGCCGCTTGGAGCGTCGTTTGCGGGGGTCCCCATACGGGGAGTTGCGCCTGTGGAGGCATTCGCGGCTGTTGGTGGTGGGAGGACGGTTTCTGGAAGGGTCTGGCAGTATTTGCGAATGCGGGCGATGTAGACATCTAGAGTCTTGTTTGCTTGGTCGCGGACGATCTTCTCTTTGTCGACTAGGGATGGGCTGATGGCCGGGAGGAGCTTGGTTGCGCAGTCGTCTTCGGTGAAGATGTCTGCGGTGGCTGCTAATGCTTGAAGAGCAGCATTTCGGGCATGGACGAAAGGGTCCCGTAAAGAGCGCGCAAAGGCTGCAGTAAGCACTTTAGTGCGAGTATTGGCGCCGAGATTCCGAGCTATCTTCCCGAGGCAAATCGTAGTGTTGGTCCGAATGCCAGGTTGCTCGTCATTAGCGGTCTTTGCCAGGTATCGGAGTAGCTCGCCGTTCACGGTTCGATCGGACAGCTTGTTCACCACCGTCAAAACTGCTTTGACGGTCTGCTCCCGTACTACTGGTGCGACATCCGTGAAGCCGGTCACCATCTGAGGAAAAATCTTGTCATTAACGATCTTCTGCGGGAGGTGATCAATTATCAGGGGCAGGTTGTCTAGTAAGTAGACTCGTATCGCGCGGTCCGGCATCGTGAACAGACGGACTATGACAGGCGTGATACTGGCTTCGTACTCTTCATCAGACAGCTTGGCGCTGATCTTCATGACGATGCCGAAAACTTTTGGGCCTCCGCCGCCGAACTCGACTGACTTTAGCAGTTCCGGTAACACTTTCATCTTGAAGAAATCTTCAGGGAAGTCCTCCGAGACATCTTCTAGTTGGCTGGGGGTTTCGTGTCAGCGAAATAATTCAGGGTCTAAGTGCCGTTGGCGGATTGATCTGACCTCAAGAAATCCTCTTTCTCTGACTCTGTCTTCAGGCCCATATTTTCTATGCCTTCTGTAAGTTGTATAAGAGGCGTTTCGAAGAACCCTCTCTGCCTATGACCTTGATCAAGAAATTGACCAACGCTAAGGCGGGTCTTTGGTGTTGCAGTTACCAGCCTCTTGTAGCTCTGGTGCATGTTTGGAGGGACGTTCTGTGTCAGGCCAACTTGGTCGCCGCCCCTAAATCCGCCATTGAAGGCTTCGAAGATAAGGACACCAAAAGCGTAAGCGTCTGGCGCCGTCAGTGGATAGCGCTTGATAACCTCCCATCCACTGTTAGCAACTTCTGGCGGCGCATATCGGCCTGATTCCGGCACCAGACTCCCGTGACTCTAGACAGGTGATCAGATAAGTATTGAATCAACACGGAGAATCTTACGTAGATAACAGCATCATCCTCTTTGACGGAACTGAGGACATCGAATCCGCCTAGCTTCCACTCGCCACTCTCGCTACAAAAGATGGAAGACGTACGAATACTACCATGAACCGATGCAGCCTCATCGTTAATGAACTTGACTGTTCTCTGCATATCGGCGCGTCAGCTGGCAACAGTACATCCCAGTAGCGAGATACATTACAGCAACGCTGTGCAACCCCCATTTGATGGTCTCTTCGGTAAGGCTCTTTCGGCGAGTATGCCAACCTAATGGCGTCAGACGTTCAGTAGCGATATATATGTAATTTTCTGTCTGTAGCAGTTGCATGAGCACATGCCCAGCTTGCTGATCGACGGATGACTCGCACCTCGACTGTATCGAGCACTTTAATCACCCCAGGATGTCTTAGGGTGCGAAGTTTTCGGAGAGCGTTCTTGGCGAGTGGGAGGCGAGACTTGTTCGCCGTAATCTCGAATGAGAAGATGCTACATTTCGATCCATCCTCCTACGAAGATGAGTATGAGTATGCATGATCCGCTCGATATCGGGCCATACTCGCTTCGTGCCGTTGTGTAAAATCCAGATTGACTGATCGATGTCGACCCTGTCACCGAAGCTGTACGGAAAGGCTGGGCCCTTGGCGATGGCAGAAGCGACTGCAGACTTCAAGAAGTCCATGTATTCCCTCTATATTCTTCGCCAGCGAAGAATCCACCTGCATATACTCGGTGCGCGAGCGGTTTGATGGTGGAAGGATCACCCCCAGGTCTTCACGCTTTTGGTAATCGATAAGGCACATCAGTCGGCTGAACATTGTTCCGAAGCGCGTCCTCATCTTAATCTATCACGGTCGTCCCGCCCATGGATCCCAATCGTCGCGACATTTGCTTTGCCGCCATGGGAACAAAACAAACGTTCATTGATAATGCTTCCGTCGAAAACACGTCACGTTTGCCCGGCTGTTCTCACTGAGCCCTTGGATGGAGTTATAGTAACATTCATCAACGAGAAAGCTATCACTCCGCTGGGAAAAGAGTGGAATCGCGCAGCAAGATATTTGCGAAACAAAACCGCTATCTCAGCTGCGTTTCGCTCCAGAGTCGAAGCGATTTTCTTTTCGCATCCGAATGGGCAACCAGCCGTCCAGTGAAAACGGCCTACACATCAGACATGAGACCACTAGTTCGACAGGTTCAATCGCGGGACCCTTTCAAATCAACTCCGAGAGCATGGAGGTAAGGAAAAATTCCATCGGTGCTTTTCTAGGAGTCTACGTGGACTCCCTTGCATTGTTGAAGCTTTGCTTGCGGAGGCAAGCCGCCGCACAGGCTTCAGACGCGTCGATGATGAATCACTGGTAAAAGGTCTAATCGCGTACAACTCCGTTGTGGTTCTGGTACTCTTGTGTCAGCTCGCGTACATTGCTGAGGACGCTCTCGGCGGTCCTGTAGCTTCGAACTCCGCGGCAGGCTCGTCGTACTATCTACATTGCCAGAGGTATGGCTCAGTAGATATTCACAAAGAGGAAATCAACCTCATTCGAGGACGCTACATATTGGAGAACCGGTCTCGCTCACCCTACACGGGCCGGTGCTAATGGCACTGGCGTACAGCCGCGAACCGAAGGAGACCTTCAGGTTCGCTTTAACTTTCTGTCTATGCGAGAGGAGAAGACTATTATGGCCGCTCTGTTAGCCGAGGCATGTATCACGATTGACGCCTGCGTGACAGAGCCTTCGGCGTTGCGATCTGATGACTAAGAAAGAACTGAAAAGATCTGAGACGCGTCCACTTTTTGAATTACATATGGCCATGGCTTTTACCAAATTCTGCTGAGAGAAAAGACCGGCTAATACGCGATATAGGGAGGCCAAGCACTGCATCAAGGTTTGACGACAATCCAGACTCCAAGACAACAGGCTGATGACAGGCAGAAATAAGCGAAAGTAGATCACTGAGCGACTGCAAGTTGGCATCGCCCCCGGGGCATCTAGATGGAAAGGGTGGCGCCGCTTCTCCGTCAAGCGTCACATCTTCTGCTTTCAGTAGTGGTAAGACCTTCCCAGAAAGACACTATGCGGGGCAGAAGAGGCACTCCCAATACCGACCTCTATCTCCTCCGGCACCTAAGCGACGACTGTTAGATAGGCATGATTCTGGAGGGTTTGGACAAGGTGGATATATCACAGGAAACAGAGGCACGGTTGTGGACCGCTATGTCCCAGGCAATCAGCGCCCTACATCTTGCAGCAGCAATGGCATCGCTTCAGGACAATCTACCTTGGGCAGTGGACCAGAACGCCCTTCACATTTGTGGAACCACTCAGAAGACGCCGGATTTGAGAAGTCTACAACCAACGGCAGTTCCCCGTATCTCAATGGATTGTTAAAGCCGAAGCTTGCTTTCTCGGATGCAAAGCCTGGTAGTGCAGATGCACCATGGCACAAACTTACGAAGTGTGAACTGTCCGAGTTGCGACAATTAAGCCACAAGGGCACTGAATGGTTTCCAAGTGAGATAGTAGTTTATCAAGAGCTGGCAAGGAAAGGCCGTGGCCAAGAAAATTACGAGAGAGAGAGAGCACGGTGCTTGGCTGCAGGCGAACCGTTTCTGAATGAGGATATCGAGGATCTAGCAGGGGAAGGGCGTACTTCAAGAGACCTGCACGCGAATACACGCGCAGACGAGCCGAGATACAGGGGTGAGGAGAAACCATATCATGCGGCCACTGCGGATCGTAATGGTGAAGGCGGCCGTCAGCCAGCTGGTAGGCCACCTGATCCGACCCAAAACTTCCGGAGCTCGTCCGACATACCTCATGGGTCCTCGTCACCATCAAACTTCAATTTCTCTAGGGTTCCCAAGGGTCCTCGAGCAGCCATGCCGACATTGCCTAGAAGAATGTCAGAGATACCAGAGGTGTCCGCAGACGTAAAAAGGCTGCCGCATGTTTTCATCTCGTCCGCTCACGTTCCCTCATTACCGGCGACCGTGCGACACCTTTCCAAATATATTGGTGCTAGCAAGCCTAGCAAGGTCTTACTCGATGCGACTGGTTACTATATCCTTTTCGACAATTCCGAGTCTCCAAGAAGACAAGCTCAATGGTGCTGTGACAGATTCAACGGCCACCTTCTATTTGATGAGTATGTCATGGCAATGGAGTGTTACCCGCATGGGAATCCGCCATACGAAGGACATTGGGCGTCGCCGCATAGAGCTAGTACATTTGTCAACCACGGTAAGGATACGGAGCATATCAGTTGTTTCGAGCGGAACGGTTCACGAGACATAGAGGATGGGGATAAAGAGGACGGTAACCGGGCGCCAGTTTCGCGCTGCCAACAAGCACTGTCCAAGCAAAAGCTTGTTGATGAAGAGTCTAGTAAGAGGAAGGACTATGACACCAACAAGTCAAAGGGAGATGCTACTAATGACCGATCATCGTTGAACATTACATCATCGGACCGCCTTCACAACAAAAGACTCTCGCCATCGCACCAGCACGTTCACTCCGTGGGCCATCCACAACGAGCTGCGAGCTGCCTTACTCAAGGACACCTGCTATCTGTGAGCAGAGACCTCATGGAAGCCGCCGACAAAGAAGCTGGGAGTGCCAAGAAACCCATATCAGACAGCGCGGCTAAGCAGCTTGGACCTACTGCGCTGCCTGTGCCTGGAGACGGAGTTGTGGAGGGAGGAGGCGCTGGAGGAGCAACACAAGAACGAAGGTACTTGATTCGACATATCTTAGCCGGAGGCGCCGCTAATTTGTTGCGCGTAGGGAGCTTTCAAGTGTGGTCAAGCCAATGAGTACGACGGATACGGCAGCCACGGCGGAAACACGGGGGGAGTCGCACCAAATGCCGCCCTCCAGGAATGGAAGCTTGGAGCTTCCGTCGGTAACAGACGCTGTGTCAACGCCAAGCATTATGACACCTTCTCAAGCTTCCTTGCATCCACAAGGGTGTGAAAGCCAGCCTTGCAGACCTCTGCAGGAAGCAGAATACAATGCACCCGAAGGATGCGACACATGTAATCGCTACTCGCATCAAGCCTGTCAGGAACCTTCATTCGAGCAGGAACAACATAGGTATGTCCGCATTGAGAGAGCACATGCTGCACAACGCTCCGTACTTTTTTCGTACAACTTCTTGATAGAATCCGTCGGTTGGGCGGCAAGTGTACTGAATCGCCCTTTGACAAAATCGTGGGCTGTATCTTCCTGAGACGCGGACAAGCTTGTCTCTGTAACTGCTGGCCTTCACTGCAGTGGTACGGACCTCGATCACTCCATCTTCCTGATCCAGTAAAGCGTCACTATAGATGCTATAGGACCCGCAGACCAACCTATTGGGCGACGCGCAGGCATGGTCATCAGACTGTTTTCATTTTCCTGAAATATGTATGCTGATATGTTTGCTGCAGCGAGATATCGTGGCGCTGTCAATGCTGCATTCGGCGGAACAAGACGGAAACGAGTTCAAGCGCTACCACTGCTGGCAAGGCTCTCACAGGCAGCTTGCAGATCCCACCTCTTATGGAGAACGGCGAATCAAGGCCTGAAAGGCGCCGGAAAATTTGCAACGACGCTGAGCCTATCCGTGTTGATTTGGACCATCAGAGCATCAACAGTACGACTATGAATATTCACAAGAAATCGACCCCAACAACAGACAGCCGAGCAGGATTTTCATCGAAGAATTTCTACCAAGTTGGTGATAGAGCGGACAAGGGCTCGCCTTCTTTCCTAGGCTCTCCTGCAAGAGATGTGGTGGTTGAGCGAATGGATGGTCACGACCGGGAAGCTGCGCTACCCAAATCTGACCGCAGACATACCTCCTATAGGAATCTCGACCGACCACGAATAGACGCTGTACCTGACGCTGAGTCTAGCGATAGTAACATCAACAACATGGAGCTTAGCGACGGGCCTATGAGCCTCGGGACATTGTCTACCATCTCGCCCACCCATACCGTCATTGCTGCGTGTGGAGATGAAGCGGCTCCTCAATCTTTGGAGATGCTTCCTTCAATATCTGAGGCGCGACATACCACCGAGGATGTCTCAGATCTAAACAACGGCGTAAATACACCCATGAAGCAACTCTCTTGGTGCCTTGATCCGAGATTGAATCGGCAGAACGCGGCTATTGTGGAGCCTGTGTCTCCACCTTTACACAGTTTGACTCAGGACGCGACCGTGATTTCTTCGACAGCCAGTTCCGAGGCTCCTAGAGTGTTCCCCCTTAACAACTGTAGATCCTGCGGGAAGCGAGTTGTTGGACCTCCGAGAGCAGGTGATGTACCTTTATGGTATGTTTTAATCTTCAGAGTCTACATGCCAACCTATCGCTAACTTCTACAGCACGAAGTGCCGCGTTAGCCAGCAGGCCGAAGGAGGCCATGACAGCTCTATGCTGCAAATTCCTGAGACCCCTGAAGCATCCTTGTCTCAACTGGAAGACGAGTTGTCTTTCGACGTTGACGAAGAGCCCGAACCCGAGCCCGATTTACGGTCTGTCGAGAAGCCCAGCCTAGGACAACAGCTGGATGTACCCGCCAAGCAACTGAAGCCGGCGTTGTGCCCTGCCTTCAGCCAAGCAGCGTCGTCAAAGTCTGCGACGATTTTGCAAAGCTCTCTCTTGAAGCCGACGACAACCGTCAACAATGTGCGATACAAAGGATCAATGTTTCGTACCCATACGAGGCCAGTGATAGTAATGTCCATTGACTCCGCGAAGCACGACAACTTAAATACGTTTCCTCTCAAAAGCCCAATTCCAGTGACTTCAACCGCAACTTCAACCAGATCAGCGGCTGTAGATGTCGAATTGACCTCACCTTCAGATCAAAGGACGGCTGGCTCCCCAAGCTCAGGCGTAAATGATAACGTTGCGGTCATCAATGGTGAAGATGTCCGGCAACTACCGCAAGAGCCAAGTTTCGCGACGCAAACTGCCGTTGCAAGGCAGCCGGTACTCACACATGACGTGGCTGGAAAAGCACGCCTGGGAGCGCAGTATGCTAAGGCACATGGAAGAGCACAGCCTGCAAAGCCTTCTGAAGCGATAGATCCAATATCGGACCAAGTGTTCAAGTTTCTACAGCAAACGATGGGCCGAGAGATGGTAAGCCAATGTGTCTACACGGCGAACTCTGAGATGATGATTGTCCAGCATGGCGAAAAGGTGTCTGAAAAATCGACGGCGGATCCGCGCGTGAGCCCCAACAAGCATATGGCGGCTGAGAGTAGCGCTGCTGTTCTGTCGCGAGAGCTGGATGGAACCTGGTCTTCGGAGAATTTGCAACCCGCTCACCCTCAAGAAATCGCAAGTGGTGACACCGAGCTTAGGTGGGCAGGCATTAATTCGATGCAAGCTGTAGCTCATGCTGGCTCCGTAAACGAATCAGCGCGATCGTCGCCAGACCTTCATGCGGCAAAGCAGTCAGGGGAAGCCGGACCTTCAACGGAAAGTAGCTTGTCTGACGAGAATGACTCTGAAACGGAGATTGCTAATCCGAGGCGACACGTTGAAACCATACACAAGGCAACCCAAGTCGGTAACGAGATGTCCACGGCGGTCAATGGGTTCCTGCATCCCCCAAGGTCCATCAAGGATCACGAGACTGAAAGACAGCCTCTCACTTGGACAGAGCTAATCGGACTGGCTTTGCTGAATGCAAAGGACAATCGCATGAAGGCCCCCCAAATATATGAGTGGGCAGTTCTGCATTTCCCCTCCTTCTTCAAGTCTCACGAATCCTCAACAAGCAGCATCAGTGCCGTGCTGTCTATGAAGCACCAGTTCATCAAGGTGGACAGACCACTGACTGATCAGAGCAAAACACTGTACTGGGGCATTCGTCCTGGAGCGGAGAGCGAGTTCGATAAGATCGCACCTTCATTGCGTATTGCGCCGCTTGCCGCTCCAGCCAATCAGAGTGCATTGAATGACGGGGACTACCGCAAAGTCAACAGCCTCAAGGAGAAGCCGGCAGCGACTCAATCAGCCGCGGTTGATGCAACGCACGTCGACAGCAACCAGGAAAGCGCCGCAACTGCACAACCTGGAAATGTGTACTCCGACGGACCTTACCGCGTGGACAACAATTGGCGTGGATGCTACACCATAGTCCACAGTACTCCTGGTCTGAAGAAATGGAGCGAACTACCCTCTGTTGACTCGACAAGAGTAAAGGGTCGCAGCTACCGCGTCCGCGATTGGATCAGAATCCCTTCTTCCTCCGCCAAGCCGTTCAAGAAACTGCAACGTAGGGATGCAGACGAGATGATAGCAAGGATACGTGAGATAAAAGTTCTGCAAGACGGATCGCACATGCTCGCCGCCTTACTGTTCGTTTCCAAGCAAGAAGCAGAAGCACTTGGCTGCAACAAGGTGGAAGAGTGGCCTGAGAACCGATCCTATGTTCAGACTGCGTTCCTACAGCTCATCCCAGGAGATGTTGTCAGAGGCAAACTCGGTTTGGAAGAAATTGAGCAAACCACGTCGAAACGTATATTTGACGGGTGGAAATCGCGCTTGACACTGCGCTCTCGCGACTATTCGGAGGTTGCATGGGCTTTGTTCGAGCGCGAAGCAGAGAGGAAAGGGAAAGCCGCACCAAACACTGATCCTAAGGGAGTTGTCTCGGAGCATCGTTTGCCGACCTTACTCCATTCAACCAAGAACGCACGAAGACCCGGACAGTTCGCAGCTGAGACCAATCACGAAACGGAGAACGTCATCGAATCTGTAGAGGCGCTGGACTCCGAGAAGGACGAGGGGCTTGGAGAGGTTAGGGACGGTATGCAGCTTGATGGGCCGAACGACGTGTCATCCCGCCAACCACCCTCAGGAGCGATTCCCGGTCAGAGTGGAGCGCACGCTGGAGTTGGCTTGATTGAATCCTCGGAACGTGCGGTTGAAGGCAGAGTTACTTGCCTCGGCAATCAACTTCTTAAAGATAAGGCCTGGCACTTCATGGGCAATATTCCCGGTTTTACTGTTTGCGAACGCTGCTTCGACGACTTAGTTTCACCCTCACTGAACGCAGAAGGCTATATCCGCGCCGCTTTTCCTTACCGGTTCCTCCGAAGTCCAGAAACTGTGTACGGGTATCGAAGTTGTCAACTGTCGGACCAGGTCATGCGCGGTACATGGCATCACGCGGTGGAAAACGGCGACTTTCGGCACTTCATGAGGCAAGCGAGAGAGATACAAATTCCAGAGGACGGCTCGTTCGCTCAAAGCTCAGCAACAGGAATTGATATCCCTCCGGCAGGAGAACCGGTCGGGCAATGGAGGATTGCACCGTCAGAACAGCCTCCCGATGCAAGAAACGGCGCAACTTTCACTTCGACGGCAGCGGCTGGCCCCAAACTACCTGATGATGAAACATTGTCTCGACTTTTAGATTCCGAGCTGCAGCACGCTGAAACAAGCACCAGAGATTTACTCGCCGCTTGGCCAAAGGACGACCCGGAAAATCCCAACTGGGATGATTTGGCTAAAACCAAAGAGATCAAGGAGCGGGCCAGGAGAAAGGCGACATTCGGCAAAACGATTACTCTCGATCGCAAGCATCGTGGGAACTCTCATGTCGAAGTTGACAGATTGCCACCGGCGGAACGCGAGCGGAGGTCTGCAACACATGGCTCGGAGAAATATCCACCTCTGCACGACCACGGCGCCCAGACGATCCCGACTGAGCAGATACTGGCTCGCAATGTTTCTCATACAGCGGAGCTGTTCCCAACTCTGGAGGAGCTCCTAGGTGTACCGGAGAACATCTCTCCCACTGTTCATCAGGACAGGTTAGCCTTCAGTGTCTCACAGGTAAGAGCTCGACTCCTTGTTCAAAGCATCAGTGCTAACCCAGATACGCAGAGATGGGCCAGCAATGCTCGTCTTGCAAAATACAACATCTACAAGGTCGGCGGCAACAGTGTAGGATGAACGAATCAAGAAATTACGGTTCTTGCCCGGGTTTCTTCTTTCATAAGGGTCATAGTAATCGACTACATCACAACACACTTGCTCATACGTTGTTTGGTCTCCAAAAACCATTGCTGCGGCGTTGTTCTTGCACAAGTCTCTCACGCACACTTGAAGCGTTCAGGTTGTGTTCGGAGTCGCTACGGGTTGTACATGGAGCATGGCGCATTAAGCATGGCGTTCGACGCGGACAAACGTTTGCCGGCCTTGATCTGAGCAATCCCGGTTTTTAGCAGCTTGTACTCGCGTTTGAGCTATTCGAGTCCGTTCAATAAGTCTTCTGTCAGCTCCCACGCGCTTGCGCTGAGCGACTTAGCTCTTCAGTAGACCGAATTCGCACCACAAGCGAAGGACTGCAACTGGATATGCCTTATATAACCATGACATCAAAGCGGTAAAACCACCACGTAAATTGACCACCTGGTATGAGCCAGGAGCAAAGGGCAAGTGAGGAGTAAGTACAATGTGAATTACAACATTTGAAACCCAGGGCTTGAACAGGGGCCCAAGCTCCTGCCGTGAAGATACCTTGGCATTCTCTCCTCGGACCTCAGGCTTCCCAAACTTGATCACCACCAACTGCACCTCCATCATTCCCTTCTTCTCTTCTTCCAGAACCGCCGCTTCATTCCCATAGACTGCTCACTTATCCTTATCGCATCTGTAGTACAGATTTCCAATAACTGTACGTTCGGCGCCCTTTGCGCAACAGCGCGTTCTCACACTGCCTACGGACCGAAACTGATATCCACCATGCAGAGTACAACAGCACCTTCACCATCGGCCAAGATGTCCGACACGGAAGCACACAGAGAGGATGAGCATCATGGCGGGCACGACGAGGACGGGAACGATGAGGTATGGAAAGATCCTATCGCCGCATATAAAGGCCGCCGTGCGCTTCGAGGCTAGATCCAGCGAGCGCACACACTCGCCGCGCACGGCTTACGACTTCGCATGGAACCTGCGACTGAGGCTGACGCACGTCCATAGGAAGAGATAATAGCAATGAAGCGGCGCGTTCAAGAGATGGAAGCTGAAGCGGCGAAGCTACGCGAGATGCAAGCGACGCTCGACCAGCAGACCAGCGACCTGCGCGAGAACAAGGAGGATATCGACGCACGGAGCATATTCGTCGGAAACGTCGACTACGGCGCGTCGCCGGAGGAAATCCAGGCGCACTTCCAGAGCTGCGGCTCCATCAACCGCGTTACTATCTTGTTGGACAAGTTCACGGGGCACCCAAAGGGGTATGTTTGAGCCAGAAAAAGCTAAGAGCTGGGTTCCTTTACTGCAAAATCCTTATGAGCCTCGTGTCGTGTACTCTATGGGTACCACGGGGTGTATTGTAATAGAGGCGCTGCTTGTATGCGCGCTGGATAGAGCGGGGCCGTTTTCGGCACCATTCTCTTCGAGCGGTTGCAAAACCATCTTCGCTACCTGGCAAGAGTTTGGCAGCAAGAGATGGAACGCTAATGAGCGTATGCAGGTATGCGTATGTGGAGTTCACAGAGCCGAGTTTGGTTGGCCAGGCGCTGGTGCTCAATGAGAGCGTCTTTCGCGGCAGGAACCTGAAGGTCTGTACAAGCGACAATCCTCGCCCATGTGCATGTGCTAACGCCTATCAGGTTGTGCCGAAGCGGACCAATCTTCCTGGCCTGACGAGGGGTCGTGGCCGCGGTGGTCCTCCGCGCGGCGGTCGAGGAGGCTCGCACTATGGCGGTCGTGGCGGCTACGGACCACCTCCGTACGCGCCACGCGGCGGGTAAGCCTTATATCGCTCTTTGACGACGGCATGATGCTGATTTGTGCGCAGTTACCGTGGCGGCTACCGCTCGCGTGGTCGCGGCTACGCACCTTATTGAGGGGCCTCTCATACTCGATTTGCTAGCACAGATGACGCGTATCAAGGCGCGGCTCATTCACTTCATCTCATTCATCGGTCGTAAGCGGCCGAAGGTTACAAGAGAAGGTCGTGCTTCTCGAAGGGGTTTGTACAATACACATGCGGGCCGGTGAGAAGCGAGGGGACAGTGGGCTAATTCGAGGTACTTGAAGTGGAGCAACGGTGCCTTTATCAGGAGGCAATGGTATATCAACTTAGCTCATTTCGTGGTCAGGGGAGAATCTTGCCGGTTCCCTTCCTCGCTCTGTAGCCGCTGTGATGCGCAACAAAAGAGCCAATCGGAAGAGTGTAAGAAGCTTGATGTTTCCCAGAAATCCCATGGATCATCAAGCCAGCTTCTATATGCTGATCGTTTGACCATGCGTCATGTTTATCGTTCAATCGCCGTACGCCCGAAACCCCCCGCCCCCACCAATTCCCACCCTTTATCTCACTATTGAACCCAAGATGCCATGAGTTTGCGGTTCCTCATAACTCATTCAAGCCTAGGCCCACCAGTACGCTAAATGCGCCAGAAAGCTCAGTTCACCGTTCCTCGTCGTCTGTACACACGAGGCGACTGATCCCCTCTCCTCACCAACCCCCCTCAAGGCGCCGGATTATCCTTGACAACCTGCCTCACCTTCTTCTCATATTGATTCCGGTCCTTCTTGAACAGATTGTATGCGTCCGCCTGCGCAGGACTATCCGGATTCGGCTCGTCGAGCAGCGACTGGATGCCCAGCAGGATATCCTTCATCGTGATGGCCGGCTTCCAGCCTTCCTCCTCGTTCAGGATCGACAGGCAGACTGTGCCGCTGGGGTAGACGTTTGGGTGGAAGAGCGGGGGCACGAATTTACATTTCGGGGGTTTCGTGGGGTACTCTGTGCGACGGTGTTGGCATTGCTGTGACTTTGAGGTCTTCGGAGGGGTTGGGGATGGGGGATAGAGGAGGGGAGATGAGGCGTACCGTCAGGAAAGGTGACTTCGAGCTTGAAGAGGCCGCCTTCCCATAATGTTTTATCTTTGCCGGGCACGCCGCATTCCCACTTCTTGATGTCGAGGATGCCTTGGGCGTTCTTGACGGGGCGTGCGTAGAAGCCGAAGGGGTGGTCGCGGCGCCACTGCTTCCTATGTGCGAGGTCAGCGCGCTGCCAGCGGAGGAAGGGAACGGAGAAGTTGTACCGCTCCTCTTGAAGCCTTGCCTGTGTTATGCTTGACATTGTGAGGCTTGAGGCTGGCGTGATAAGCTGGACGTGAGAGTTGAGGGGCGGGGGTGGTGTGCTTGAGAGGTTCGTTGGATCTATGCGCGGCGAAAGGACCAGAAGAAGGCGCAAGAAGGAGCCGAGATTTTGTAAGCTGGCTGGAAAGCGCGCAGAGCGTGTAAGGCGGATCTGAAGTGAAGTGAAGTGAATCTGTAACTAACAAATCACAGCGAGGTGGTTGCGCTACAGTAAGTAGCAGAGTGTGGCTGACGTGCGGAAAAGCCCCACTGCCACCAGCGGCTGCCCCGCCGATCTGCGATTAACTACGGAGTAATGCGCCCCAACCCCCCAGACCGAGGCCTGAAGCGATCGTGCTCGAGTACTATAGCTCGTGCCTGTCCTCTGCTTGGAGCCCCAAGTCGCATATAGAATCTGCCTATCGCATGGCAACGCGGTGAACGTCGCGGGATCGCTCCTCACAGTATGGCAGACAAGAAGCCAGAACCGAAGCCGCCGCAGGCCGTGGAAGATATACCGGACCCTGATGAAGACGACCTGGATGATCTGGATGGTCTGCTCAGCACTGCCAGTAACGCCTAGTACGGATGCTAACAGAGAAAACAGATGTCCTAGACGAGTTTGCGGCCACCAATATCGAAGACCCAGCTCCCTCCACCGCACCCGCACCCTCAGGACCAGGACGACCCTCCGCAGCTGCGCCGCCGACAGCACCCTCCGCGGTCGACGAGGATGACTTCGCGCGACAGCTGCAGGCCGGAATGGCAGACTTGCTCGGCGAGCTCGAGTCCTCACCCGAGATGCAGAAGCAGTTTGAGGAATTAGTCAAGGGGCTTGGAGAAGCAGCAGTGGCAGGCGCAGCAGGCTCGGAAACGGGACAGATACCTGAGGTCACCGCATCGGCGGCGCAAGCGCCTACGGCAGGGAAGGAGAAGGCCGGGTCAGCAGCCAAGGCAGCCGAAGACTCGTTCCAGGAGCAAATACGGAAGACGATGGACCGCATGCAGCACTCGTCCTCTACCGCGGATACCGCCGCTGCGTCGGGCGCTGATGACCCTCTGGCGCAGCTGCTGAAGGAGATGGAGGCCGGCAACTTTCCTGGTGCTGATGGCGGCGGTGACGAGGACTTCAGCAAGATGCTGTTGGGCATGATGGAGCAGTTGACGAACAAGGAGATCTTGTATGAGCCGATGAAGGAGCTGCATGATAAGTTCCCGGAGTGGTTAGAGAAGAACAAGGACAAGACAGACAAGGGTGATCTGGAGCGGTATGAGGAGCAGCAGAGGTTGGTGAACGAGATTGTGGGGAAGTTCGAGGAGAAGGGCTACAGTGATGACAATGCGGCGCATAGGGAGTATATCGTGGAGCGGATGCAGAAGGTAAGCGCTGTTCTAAGACACGAATCTATGATGTCTTCTCACTCCAGATTAGATGCAAGCTGCTGGCTCTCCGCCGCCGGATCTGGTAGGTGGTATGAATGCTGCGCAGGAAGCGCTTGGCGAGCTCGATTCAGGATGCCCGACACAATAAGCTTCAACCGTACAGTGCTATGTTGCGCCGGTTGCGAAACATGCGATATGAGAATTCTTCTCGGACGCGCATTAAACCTCCGACAACGCCTTAGCTATAAACCGCAATCTGCAATCTGACTGCGTAACTCCTGAACCCCGAAATAATACAGGTTGACGCCGCTATATGCACCTTACACCGTGGCCATTACGTGCACCCTAGTTGCATCTATCCGTTCGTGGTATCCATAGCATCGGCATCGGGCACATTGAATGCTGAGTCCGTGTCTAGTAACTGAGGTGTCGATCGAGCGCCGAGAATCTCTGAGAATATGATGTCGTAGTCTTCGTCGTCGCTCCCGAATCCGGGTGACCCTATACTGGAGGTCTGACTTGTTTGACCCTGCTCTTCCATCATGCTTATCATCGCGTCAAGCTCCTCGTTCTCTTGCTGTATCACTGCCTCAGCCTCCTCTTCTGGCTGCGATGATCGCCTCGCCTCGGTCTGTTGACTGCTCCACATTGGGAGGTCATTGTATCCTTCGCCGTATTCTGAATCCTCGGATGGTTCGTCCGGATTGGGCGCCGCACGCGCTTGTTCCGCTTCCCATCGTCTACGCTCTGCAACAAAGTCCAGCTTCATGATCTGTGGCGGCGTTAACTTTACTTCTCTATCATTTTGCACTGGCCCGGGGTATCGCTATACCTGATCACCTCGCGCCTCCCATCGCTTCTCATCTCTGTCTTGCTGGACCTTCTTTAGGAACAAGTCACGTCGCCGCTCTTGCGTTGCGGATCTGCCTTGAGGTATTGGCACCGCCTTGATGGCTCGTTTGGAGTATGGTATAGGTTTGTTCGTGTCGGAGTGAGAGGCCATGGCAGGTCTGGAGCAGGCATTGGCCGAGCGTGGGGAGAGCGGCGAAGACCTGAATGGTTGGTGCGGTAGGCTGATCGGCTGGGCCATGCAGAATGGTGCTGCTAGCATGTTTGAATGTAGTCGAATGCCTGGTAATAGGTAAAGTAAAGGACGGTTGCGGTACTCTATGATAATGGCGGAGGGGGATTTGCGCCGAAGTGCTTTCGCGTTCTCGCGCGGTGAGAGTTTGGTCGTGACGCGTTGAAGCGGATTAGATAGAGCGGAGATCTCCGTGGAGCTGCAAATCACGTGGCAACCCGGGCCAAGAGCATCAACTTCCGCTCTGCACCCGTTGATTTTGTCATCCCGCACATCACGTTCGGAAGACGTTCTGGATGAGCAGTTGGAGGGGATGAAAGCTGGTAGATGAAAGCCGCCTACATTGTCGAAATCTTGCTATATACGTACAGCGGCGTAGCTGATCTATCGTGCCCGGCAAATCTTCCATGACCTGCTCTATCAACCGCATTCGGTCGACGCCGTACGCGAGGAAGTCTCTCTCGTCCCTCGAGTCTCTCACTAAAAGTATCAAACAAAGATTTCGTGGTTTTTGATGATCCTCGAGGTTGGTATGGGAGAGCTCCTCCTTCTCCAGTGTGCGATGGGCCGGCTTGCCGTTGTCCATAATTCGCCCAGCGCTTCCGTTCGCCTCGTAGGCCATTCCGACACAGAGGTAGGGCACGGCACTTCTTCGCCCACCATCCTAATAAACCGTCGGGTTGCCAGGCGTAACCCTCTTCCGCCACTTGTCGACACGCGCCTTGCCGTCAATGGCTAGGGTCTATTCGTACCAGTAGGTGCAATTTACGTGGTTACAGCTCTTTCACGAGTTTTTTTATATCTCCGCTGCCGGCCTTGGACTCCTATTCTAGCCAGTACTGGAACGTGTGTGCGCTCGGGTGTCGAGCTTGGAGGCTATGGTTTGCTATGGTCGCTCAGCCTTTCGAACATCTCAAAGGCATGCGATTGGTTACTTTTCTTCCCTCCTTACAAGCTCACTACAGTGATCGAAAACTGGAAGAAATCCAGCGCGTGAAGCTTGACCCCTCAGCTACCGGTATCGGTAGTTCTTGAGTGATGATGGCAAGTATGTGCAGAACGAGTTTGTTGTGGGTAAATTTATGCAGTTATGGACGGTGTTCATTATTACAGCAAACCTACAATTGGCAACGGTTGTTTTAGGTTAGAGGTACCAGAAGTCTCTTTCATTGCTAGTTTATCTTGTCATGTTCTACACATCCATTTACTCAAATCTACAACACTGATGTATTGGCACGTAGCTCACCACATATATACTTCACGTGTGGTGATCCGCTTTCCACGTTTCCGCAATCTGACTGTAGGTCATGAACTCGACCTCATCCTGCCGCGACTGTACCCATCTCAAGAACCTCTCAATCATAGGCAGAACATGCGCCATTCCACTCGTATCGGGATGCAAGACCAATGGGAAGATGGTCGTCTCCCCTTCTGATCCGTCTTCCATCTCACTCTGCAAAAAGTCGAATCGGTCCATCCACATCCGCTCGATGACCCTTGAGTCGACATAGCCATGCGAGTTCTCCGTATGCGGCCAAAACTGCATGGGCGTCATGTCCTCCATGTACCAGTTACAAGGGATTTCGACCAGTGTCTTTGGCGTGGGTGGTAGGGCCGCGGGTAGCGGGTGCATCCAGTCCGCAGCACTCGCATCGGCACGGTAAACAGGCGCTTTAACGGGCGGTCGACGGGGAACGTAGTAGGGTGTGCTGTCATGGTGGGCAAGTGACGTGTCATACAAGAAGCCGTGCTCCTCGAGTAGGCCGATAGTGGACTCGCGGAGTTGATAGAGCGGTGCGCGGTAGCCCACAGGCTTCTTTCCCGTCAAGGAAGTGGCGACCTCAATGCACATTTCCAGAACCTCGCGCTCTTGTTTCTCGGTGAGCTGAGGGGCACCCTCGTGGCAATAGCCGTGCAGTCCAAGCTCGCATCCGGAATCGAGAATCTGGCGAGTTTGCTCAGGAAAGCTCTCCAGGGAATGCCCTGGGACGAACCATGTGATTTTGTCCGAGATACCAAGCTTGCTGAACAGTCTCAGCAACCTGCGAACTCCCACCTGTGCAGAGAAGAATCCACTCGACAAGTCGGAGAGGTTGTTGTCTGGGTGAGAGCCGGTGCCTAGCCATCCGCTCACAGCGTCGAAGTCGACTGAGAGTGCGATCTTGATCGTGTTCTTTGGCTTGCTTGAGACGGTTTGGGGGATCGACACCGCACCAGGCGGGTCTACCTCCTCTTTCGCTTGCTGTTTCTCAAGAACCTCGTCCTCCGACCAAACCACCCTACCCTCCATCCCTCCATCTACACTAATAACCTCCCCCGAGATGTGTCCCGCAGCCCTATGACTCGCCAGGAACGCAACCGTTCTCGCAACATCCTCCGGTTTCGCAATCTTCCTCAGCGGCACCGTCGCCTGCGCCTCCCGCCACATCTCCCTAGGATCATCCAGCCTGCCCTCAATCAGCGGCGTGTCGACCCACCCCGGGGCCACAGCATTAATCCTCGCCTTCGCGTTCAGCCGCACCATCTCGTTCTTCACGCTCCTCACAAGCCCATACTGCAGTCCCGCCTTGCCAGACGCGTACTCGACGTGCCCGGCTTGCCCGAACTTGCCGCACTCGCTGCCGGTGAGGACGATGGCGAGGTTGGGGAGCTCCGTGCCGCCTAGCTCTCCTTTTTGAGACGCCTCGGCGGCGAGTAGGAAATGCTTGATGGTGAGGAATGTCCCGCGAACGTTGATGGCGTAGGTCTTGTCCCAGAGGTCTGTTGGCATGCGCCAGATGGGGTACTCGTTGGACTCATCCGTTATGCCGGCATTAGGGCAGCAGACGTGTATGGGGCCGAAGTGGGCGCGCGCGAGGGACATGCCATCTTGGATTGAGGCTTCGTCGGATATGTCTCCTCTAATGGTGTAAAGATTGGGATTCTGTGGCAGTGGGGAGGGTCGCCGGTCGTGGGCTGTTACTTTGCAGCCGGCGGCTGAGGAGACTGTCAGTTTTCCGTGTCATTCCTTCGGAGGAACACATCTCGTTCATGAAACTGGGATAGAATGACCGGATTGCTACTACATACCCAGTAGTTCCGCGACTATTGCTTGGCCGATTCCACCTGCTGCGCCCGTAACGAAGGCATGAAGGCCTTCGAGGGCGAGAAACGACATGTCTGGAAGTGCCGCTGTAGCAGTGGTTCACTAATGCCCGAGCGTTCGGAAAGAAGTGAAGGCTCGGTGAGCCGCGGTCGCCATATCAGCTGTTGTTGTTGTTGTTGTTGTTGTTCAAAAGCAATAAACAGGCCCCTGTCTAGCCCGGCACGTCGTGCGCATACCTACAAAGCCGCAGGGACGGATACCCCGCTCTTCTTTCGTGCCTGCGGTTTTTTATGCGCACGACGTGCCCGGCGACAAACGACGTCATGGTGTTGGTAAATTGGTGTGATGTATCACTGGGAACCGGCTCAATCCTCGTGAACGTGCTTCAATGCTTCGTGCTGTTGATGCTCTTATGCAATTCCACTTCTTCCATCATGAAGTTTTCTGGATCGGACTGCTAGGGTTAAATAATATCCTTGCACCACATTCATAATCTATGTCAACCTCCGCCGTTGGACCCTTGCAGCACAAGCTCCACTCCACTTACTATCGATACCGTAAACGGAGCAAGCTCCAGCTACTCGGTTTCTCAGCTTCACCATTTCCTCTCCAAGGACTCGAATGACCCTGCCGAAGATCTCAAACAGCAGTCTCCTCAATGTCCGCCTACTCAGATCTACCGCCCCCTCAGCACCACCCTACCCCCGGCCTCCCCTCCCCTAGGCCTCTCACCTACAACTCCACACACACCCACCTCCTCCTCTGCGCAACCGGCTCCGTCGCAACAATCAAGCTCCCCTCCATCATCTCCTCCCTCTCCCATCACCCCGCTCTCTCAATCCGCCTCATCCTCACTCCCGCCGCATGCACCTTCCTAGCCGGCCAATCCACCGAACAGCCCTCCCTAGCATCCGTAGCCGCTCTTCCCAACGTCGACGGTATCTACACAGACGAAGACGAGTGGAGGACCCCTTGGACGCGCGGCGCGAAGATTCTTCATATTGAGCTCAGAAGGTGGGCGGATCTGATGGTTATCGCGCCGCTGAGCGCGAATTCGTTGGCGAAGATTGTGGGGGGTTGGGCGGAGGGGTTGGTGTGTAGTGTGGTTAGGGCGTGGGATACAACGGGGGAGATTGATCCTGTGAGGCTGCCGCCGAGGCCGGGTGCGGCTGACCGGCTCGAGAATGCGGGAAGTAGGGAACGGGAGTCAGGCAGCTGGGGAGAGGGGCTAATGGGTGGTGGGATTGAGGCAGTGGAAGGCACTCACGCCGGTTCTCGGGGGAGGGGGAAGAAGATTGTACTGGTTGCGCCGGCGATGAATACGGCGATGTGGAAGCATCCGATCACAAGGCAACACATGCGAGTTCTTGAGAAAGACTGGAATGTTAGTCAGGGCGGTTGGTTCGAAGTGCTGAGCCCAATGCAGAAAGAGCTGGCGTGCGGCGACACTGGAGACGGGGCAATGAAGGATTGGAAAGAGATTGTATCGCTCATTGAGGAGAGACTTGGTCTGACAGCGAGCACCAATGGCGCAGGCGGTTAAAGGATGACCGGTCAGTGTGGAGAACGTTGAGAGATTGAAGAGTAGTTGTGAAGAGATTGCGGGTTGCTTTGGAAAGTGTGCTCTCAGCAACCTGCGGCTTGTCACTGCTAGTAGACACGAATAAGGTGGGAGCAAGCCTACGGAAGGCCCAAGAGGAAATCGGAGGTTGATGAGAGCAAAGAGCTTGAGACAAGGCCGAGCCGGACGGAATAAAGAGGAAGCTGTCGAGCACATCGCTGCCCGCAGCTCTCAATAACTGGGCCCACCGTCATTAAGAGGGCCATTATCCCGCTAGGTTCATGCATTTAGCGAAAGAGAAGCTGCATGGGGCGGCATCACTCATAGGACCGGAAAACTGCAGTAAAGCGATCGGCGCTCCACTTTTTTTGGAGTACAATTTGAGCCGTAGTAGTAGGAACAGAGATTATTCAACGTCTAGCTCCTGCGCACTTTTGGAGCGAACAAAACTCCTTCGGACAACGCCAATAAGGAAGACCAACGGTATTCTGTTCAGAATCCAAACCAGCGGGTTAAGAGCTCGTATTTGAAACAAAGCATGATGGGCGCCTAGCATGACCGATAAAGTATTTAGGAGGCGGTATATTGCACCCTAGAGGCTATTTTCCAAAAGATTCGGATGTACGATCACCTCTGGCGCCAAGCCTATCGCGTCCAGACCTAGACGTTTCTCGATCCTGAGCCCCTTGATCCAGCTTCTATTAATCTTGGTTTGAGGTGATCTCCACACCGTTTGAGATAGTGAAGAACGGTACCACTATGGTGTTGCGGCGCATCCCCATCTGTTTTTGGGGTGCCCATCCTTGCTTTTGGAGCGCATCTTCGCCTAACGATGCCGCTTGCTGCCTCCGCCGTTTATGGTGAAGCGAACGTACCCAAGTTAGCAACGCACACCTGGCGCGACTGCCTGTTTATAACAGACGGCTTTGTGGGAACTCGATCTACTTGCGGCCGATCGCTGTAGAACGCGTCAGGAACTACGCGAATGTCCGTATACACCTGATAGCGGTCTGGTGTGATACCCGGCTTCACCCTATTGCGCTATGTACTGACGCACGCAATCTTGCAGACACCGCGCATGTACGAATGCCACTCGGGATTCTCCCATGCGATGGCGAGATCAACGCCGCGATCAAGAGTACCAAAAAGCTTAGGCTCTGCCGCTGAAGTCCAATAAGAGGGATATTGCCAGAACCCGTTCTGCTGCTGGTTCGTTAGCGCATTATACGCTCGAGCTGTTGGGCGCTTCGTGCTATCGTAAAATTTTAGCGGTATCTCGAACCTACAGTGTGTCGGTTGAGTGCCGACAACCCGTTGGAAAAAATCTACTCACAAACGTCAAGAAGAAGTCCGAGCTCTATATCTTCCCTTGCCATGAATCGCGCCAGTCCGTGATGGACTTCTCCCTCAGCTTATAGCGATTATGGCCGTACGAGCGCCCAGCCAGAATCGCCGCAATGTCTATCTTAAGAATGGTTATATTCCTGATACACCATATCATTTCTTTCGGTATGAGGCGCTCGAGGTCGCCAGCCGTACTGTCGTCGACGGAGCTAGAGTTCCCAGCGCCCCTCGAGAGGGCCTTCAACACCAGATTTCAGTGGTGGGTCATTGCTCACAACGCCTCGAGGAAGCCGATACGTCGAGCGCATCCGCAGACGCTCGCAAACCGGCGCGACTGCACGCATTGAGCCCTACCCAACGACACGCGACGCAAGATATTGCGTATTCACCAACCTCGATGGAAGTCCGCTACGCGAACTGTTGACCACCGTCGGTCTCGCGTCCTTGCAACTTGGAGGCGGTCGTTGGTCGGCTTGCCTCAGTCATTCAGCTTCAAGCGCTATCTCCAGATGGAGATGCACTTCAATAACGTGCTAGTGCCGTTCTTAATCATCACCGACGGCGTGGAGGTTCACAACATCGTTCGAGAATCGTGTCAACCTCTATAAAGGCGGCGAACGTCCTTATCAAACTGTGCTGCTAGATTTTAGATTGGGTACGGTCGCCTGTAGCGAGTTGGCGTTATCTCATAAGCGAGAACAGACTGAGTGATAAAGTTCAAAAAGTAGGATGACATCCACTTCTTCAGCGGTGATATCGCCGGATTGTGCCTTGTGCCGTTCGGAGTAGGGCTCGACCCTGCTGCTCATGGACATGATTGAGCGCCGACGGACTTGGCTGGCACGTCTGGCACTGCGAGGGGCGGAAGGTAGAAACCCATTGCCAATGTCGACGATGCGTCAATAGGTGAGAGAGTGAAAGCGAAAATTTGCACGAGAGTTTGCCTGAGACTCTGCCTGGAAATTTGTGGACAAGCTCCTCTTCGAGCATCATGAGAAATGGTTAATGGCTCTGGGTAAACGGAATTAAACTATCGTAATTCGAGATACGAGAACAGATGATGAGTGAGGTCGATCGCATCACCGTGTCATGGCCCTTGTGGCCCAGCTCAACCCGTAAACTCACCGCACCTCCACGATACACAGTCGGAGAACTGTACAGAACACATTGGAGAAGACAAATCTTTACCATACTCTCTGTACCTGACACCATACGATCCTCCTGCGCCGCAAGCCATGTCTTCCCTTCCCACCGCCAATCAAGAGTGTTTCCAGGAGAGGCTCTGGCAGGCACTCCCCGGCCTTTACAAGCTTGTAGAGAGGACACCGAGAGCTGTAACGCAAACACAGATTGCTTTGATGGGCCCGTATCCTCTAGAGACCCTAGCGGCCAAACCCCTCTTATGGATCCCAAGCGAGGTGCGAGAAATACTCGGGTTGACAGATGTCGGCTCTTCTCCAGCCGGCGGCTTCCAGTGTTTGCTCTTGCGCGGATTGACGCCCAAGACAAACATGGTGTCGATCTCTTCAAGGCTACGTCCCTACGTCTCGGGTAAGGAGAAGTACACAAGGCTGCGCCAGCAAAGCAGCAGGAGGCGAAGACGTAGCCGTAGCGGTAGTTGATCTCAGAAGTAATTCCGGGTGTCGCAAAGGCAACGTAAAAAGTGACTAGCCAGCTCGACGGCGTTATCAGGGCCATGCACATAGATCTGTAGCGGTCAGGGTATATCTCAGACGCTAAGGTGGACGAAATCGGGCCCCAAGTCATGACAAAGCCAGCAATAAATAGACAAGCAAAGACAATCATGGCTGCGCCCACGTCTGGGGTGTTCTGAGGTGCGTCTTGGTTGGGCGCAAAGGATCCGATGGAAGCGAAGACCTAGTACGGTTGCCGTCATTATCAAAGCAAAGGTTCAGGTGCTGTGTAGTCACTAACCATGAAGCACATGAACATCGACAGCCCTCCAGCGATCAGTGCAGGACCACGGCCATGTCGGTCAACAATGTATAATCCAGGAAGAGTGGTTAAAAGGTCGACTCCGCCCAATATCATAGCAGTGGTGGAGCTATTCTCGATGCCCGTCGCCTTGAAGACCTTTGCTCCGTAATAGAAGAAGAAGTTGGCGCCGGCCAGTTGTTGCAGGGCCTGAATCATGACTCCAAAGATTGTCCGGTAGGGCGTCTTCGGTCCGGTAAATATCTCATACCATGGATGTCCCCCGCCAGCTGTTGACTCGGCATCCAGCTTCTCTTGGATCTCCCGAACTTCACAGACAACCTCAGGGTGAGATTCGGGGACACCATAGCTTTTCACGATTGTCGTGCGGGCAGCATTAACGTTGTCACGGCAGATGTCCCATCGAGGGCCCTCTCGAAGGAAGAGCATATTAACAGCAAGGATGGACGGCTAGACAAATCTAATACCTATCATGATGCGCCATGACGCGGATGAGTCGATTCCTTCGGTCCCATAATTGATGCAGTAAGCAAAGAGGATGCCTAAAGTGATGAAAAGCTGATATGCGCTGACCGAAGCACCTCTGACCTGTCGCGGAGCAACTTCAGCCTAGTAGTAATGTTAGTAGTGGAGTTGGTTGTAGTAGTCGATAGGAGTTAAACCTGATAAAGGGGCACTAGCACGGAGAGGGCACCTACGCCGATGCCTCCAACCCATCGCCCCAGTGCAACCTGATATCAGTGATTGGTACTCGTAATCTGCACGACGACGCCAATCATGTACATCGCTGCCGAGAGGACAATTGTACACTTTCGACCGAAGCGGTCAGATATTGGTGCAGCGATAAAGGCTCCGAGTAAGGTTCCGATAGATAGCTGACCAACAATCGTCCCGGACCAAACATTGCTGAATGAAGGCTGGCCCGCGGCGTTGATTCTATCGGCGAAATGTGCAGGGAAATTCCTCATCGTCAGGAAACCGGATATTGGTCCTGCGTCATAGCCAAAGATCAAACCACCCATGGACACCAGCATGCCCATGTAAAGACTCGTAGTATGAGTGCTTTGACAGGGGGATAGGGCTGGATCTCCACATCTGCATCTGATTCGGCCGCTGTGCTGGCGGCGATGAGTTTGCCAGTGGGAGTGTTGTTAGAGCTATGCCAGCCCCGTATACGGTCGGAAAGAGACATGTTGAAGCTGAGGATTGATGATGGACTGAAAGTTCCCGCGGATGGGGAACTTGAGGATCCTAAAGCTATACGTTGGGGTCCGCGAGAAAGGTCACCAGACACGCTCCCCATGGCTCGTGAACACAGGCTCGGAGTTTCAGCATATCGAATGCTTGAAGGCCCATAATTTCTTGCTCGAACGTTATGATGCTGAAGCTAAGTGCCATTTTACACGGTCGATGACCACGCAAATGATCGGGTCGTACCGTCGACGCCCTGTATCCCTCTCGGATGTAAGTCGCCGGTTGTATTTCAGAACAACATTTGGAAGTAAGTGATTCCAAATTTCGTCAACCTCTTATTAACGCCAAGGAGCTCCGTCGATCGAGTCCGATCCCGCTGCTGCTTTTACGGCTTGGATACTCTTAGATATCCGGCACAGACCAAGCTCTTTCCATTGTCCCTTCCAAAGATCGAGCACCTACCTGCATGAAATTGCGCTTCGGACATCGATGACGCTACGTCCCTGCATTTCGGACGTGGAGCGTCGTTATTATGGGCCGTTAAGATAGACTCCGAATTACTCAAAGAATGCTTGATATATCAACAGCCCATATTTGAGCGGACAGCCCCCGAGCAGAGCCGGTGAGTGAAGCAAGTCGAGACACGAGGCCAACACTATGGCTGCAACGAACGAGAACAAGGATCGATTCGCAGACCGCCTTCGGCAAGCTGTATCTGAAATGCATCAGCTCCACCATGATGCCCACCAAGCCCTTATTCACAAGTGTCACCACCAGTGGGTACAGCTCGATGCAGGCACCCAGAGCAGCTCACAGCAGAGTTGCATATGTGCCTGTTAGTAAAGCGAGTCGCCGGCCTACCGAACCCGATTATTCGGCAATGCTGCCAGCCCATGGGCTGTGTACACTCTAGTAATTGGTTTGCGAAACATACAGAGTTCTCGCCATTTTCTTCGCGGTAATGTCTACTCGTGTCGATGCTTATCTTTAAGCGCGACGCCTTATCCAAGTCTCTTGCACCTCAAACATTCCGAGAAGCTTCTTGCGCTAGCGCCGTTTAGCAGTCTCATCTTTATCTTGGGAAGGACATAGTCTTGCGGCGTGCGCCGTGACCTTACCGCGCGAACCGACGCTCGAGTGAGCGTCACATTTGGCAGATAGAGCAGATGTGCGGGAGCGGCTGAGATGGAGAATTTGACGATTGCGACTCTGCAACTTGTGACGAGGAGTGCGAGACGTCGGGCTAGCTATCCGGGAATCAAACCCCATGATGGCCATGCCCTAGAACACACCGGAGGCTTGCATTTGCGCCGCAAAGGAAAGTAGAGTCCACGTATGTATGAGCGAGATCCCGATTGTGCGTCCGCTTACTCACTCGACGCTACTGAACGTCTGCATATAACGATCTTGGCGCCTGAGACGTCGTATTTCCGGCCATCTCCTAGCTCCTTCATTGAGACACCCTCGCTTTCACAACATTGCAGATAGGGTGGCTCTATGGCTATGCCATGGAGTATAGTAAGCGTTCGCCAAGGGGCGATTGCAGCCACGGTTACCAGCGTAGTCATCACTGCGGACCAGTCATGCTGTTCTGTTGGGGAGGATGCCCAACTGAAGCTTGACGTGCCGCAGATATCACTATGAGGCGAGCAGCTAGAGGATGCTGAGCGCTTCGACCTGGAGTAGCTCTTTTTCGGGCCAACTTCGCCGCGTCTACAGTCTGGTAATTGTCTGCGAAACGAGTATCTGACAGTGTAACCAGGCGGCTTAGGGTTGCCGTTTTGATGAAGAGTTACCAGCTAAGCATCTTAGGCGGCATCTGCAGAAGTTCTTGCTTCATTAACAATGACGTCATCTGTCACAGAACAATGAAGACTGTGAGAATTGAGAATCAGAAGTGCGAGGCTGTGAAGCGGAATGATACCAATCTAGCTCATGGAACAACTGCTCTTGGTGGTTTCTTGTGTCTTCCGTTCTAAAGACTTTTCCATCCGAAGACTGAAGTTTGGGAGGACAGAATTCCGCAAGCAGGCCACTAGTGGCGATCATCTGTGGTCTTGGCATGTTGTAGAAATCATGCAGACGACGAAGGGTCGGGTGACGAGCAATCTGCCAGAGAATTCCCGTCAATTTGAAATACCGAAGTGCCGCTTAGGAGCTTAGAATAGAACAGCAAGCGTTCTCAGGTTTGAACGAAGATCCGCCCGCTCGCGGTGCCGAGGGCGCGGAGACCGGGCCTTAGCTGTTCCCTGCCTGCCGGGATTCTTTCCCCTCCACCTTTTGGAGGCGGAGATCATCCGCCCAAACAGCGGAGTCGCCACCTCCGCAAATGGCGATAACTATGGTGAACATGAAACGATCTCGATGATAGAAGAAATAAAAATAGTAGCATATCATGAACAGACGACAATCGATCAAGGGATGTCCATGGCGTTGTTGCCGTAGATGGGAAATGCGCTCTGTGGAGGCATCATCCGCTCTCCGAATCAATGCTTCGTTCGGCTGAACGGTTTCCGGGAATCCTCAGTCAAGTTGTCGCGTGGATATTGACGTGGCTCAGTCGCAAGTGCTGTGGCTGGTGTTCTTACTGCGCCCATCCTGTGACAGCAGTTGACAGCGCTCCGTTGAACTTCGCGAGGAGAAGTTGAGAGTCTAGGCCCGGACATGGCCGAGGGTCTGATAGGGCTGAACAACCAAGCATTTGCACAGCCCCAAGCCACACACACAAAGCTGCAGAATCTTTCCACGCTTGGTCTCCCGTTCCGTTCCTCAGATCCCGACGACCAACGACATCGACGACCTGCGGACTCTCTTGCCCGAATGGACCATCGCTGCGGAAACTATGCATTGCGACCCTGTCCAGATCTGCAGGATGCCAAATCATGGGAGCCTCAACGCCTGATCGGCTTCAGGACTCCTCTACACACTCGGAACCAGCCGACCGCGCGACGTCGACTGGACCGAACCTCGATATGCTATTTTCCTCCACCAGTCAATGCGACGCGATGCGCATGCGGAGCAACAGACAGATCGAGCTCACGGAGGGACCGAGATACGCGCGCTAGACGTCGCTGGCGCTCTCTTGCGCACTCATCTCTCCATGCACGCGATGCTTCGCCGGCAGCTGGCGACTCGGTTTCGGCATCTTCACGATTCAGTCACGGATCACCAGATGCTGTTTTTAGAGTATCTGAGGCAAGTACCACACACATGCAAGAGCTACGTTGTGTTCATGCAGACCGGGTAGTTGAACGACATCGAGAGAGGCTACTCCGTACATGGAGTATCCAGCGGCGGCCGCAGCTGCATGTTCAGCTGTTGCCAGTCGGGATGTATGTCGTGTTTCAAGTCCCTGTAGCCAACTGTAACGAAGCCTACGTGCCACTTGAGATGCTGTTCTAATCACGAGGTCTGTTCAGCTGACGGGAGCGGTGACAATGCCACGCTGTAGATGTGTACCGCCACCGTATTCCCGGAGAGGGCATGTAACCTGTACACGACTGCCCGGCTCACCTCTCAGCGTGTTGCTCGTACACGAATGCACCGAAGCAATGCGGCTCCTGCCGTTCCTGACCACCGAACCGGCGACTTCGTCCCCCGCAAGCCGTTTGATAACGCATCCTGGGGCTCGGGCTCCGCAACGGCCACAACAGATCTGAGAGATCGCTCGGTTCGAAACATGCATATTTTTGAAGCTTGACCACGACCTACAGGCTATTGATAGAATGCTGATCGTTGCGAAGATAGGCAAAGACAGAGAGCACCGGGAGAGCGTTCCGGGGCGACAAGACAAATTGTCGAACGACTCTCCATCAACGCAGGCGTCCATCCAGGGCGCCGCGGCACCGAGCACCTTCCTGGAGCCAATGCGGTGGGTGCAATCGGCGTGCTCGGCGTGCACCGACCGCTGAGACGTGCATTAGCGCGGGCTGCACCCTGTCGGACCAAGCCACAGGGTAGGGCTTTGACAGGGCTTCCACTCGGGCTAGAAGAAACGATCTGCGCGTCTGGCAGCGAGTGTGCGAGCCGGTGACGCAACGGCGCTCATCCGCCGCGCAGGGGTGCTCGCTTTCTTTGTGCTTCTTATTCAACGCGAATGCTCTCCGTTTCACCCCGCGCAATAGTTACCGCTCTCCAGAAGTTCCAGCTCATCAATCAATTAATTACTCATCCTCAGCAGCTCTCGGCCGAGGCTCAGTCGCTTCCGCACCTTTCTCGAACCCTCCGCGCGGTTGCTGCGCCATTCCACACCCTTCCACCCGCGTTCCCAACCATCACCAAGCATACCAAGACAGCGCCTACGTACTTTGCGGAACGCTCGGGCCGACCGACGATTTTTCTCATATATCATCGTCGCCACCCGTGCCTGACCTAAGGCCCCCCCACCATGCTAGCCTATTACCCTCCGCGGCAACACATGCATCATCACTTTGCACATCCCGACTTCGACACGTCAACGTCACTGTCGCAAACTCAATTCTACGACACCATCGCGCAACAACACTACAACTCTACCACCCACGACCTCAGCAACAGATTGTTAGACGCTTGCTACGCTCAGACTCCGGCTATTGAAAATACAATTCACGACTCGGGCGCAAACCAGTTTATGTCGAGCGCTTACGATCTCCAGAACCCGGCCATCAGGATCCAGCAGTCCACACCGGCACCTCAGTATCCATCGACTTACGCACACACTTCATTTGTGCCGGACGCGAACGTGCAACAGTACTACTGGAACATGTACAATGCGAGCAGCGCGCAGATGGCTACCGAACCGACACTGCAAACACACAGCAGAAGATCGAGGAACCATCAACGAGCTCCTTCGACCTCGTCGATAGCATCAAGCAGCAGCTCAGCCTCCCAGTACTCACACAGCCACGGCTACACTCACGAACCTGAGCGCTCGCCGTCGCATCCGAAGGTCGAGTCATTAAAGGGTGCTGACGAAGCATCAAGATCGTTCTCGAACCATCTACCGACCCCTTCACACACTCCAACTCAGGACTCCTTTCTTTCCAGCCACAGACAACGACTGCAGAGCTGCAACATGGAGTCCGCTCAGTCGTCGCTACGGCATGAGGCAGCGGACGAGGACGTGCCTGCCTTCACGCCATCAGGCAAGGACTCAGTATCAAGTTACGGGCAGACATCCCCATCGACACCACACACCACACAGGGCGATGAGTATGATGACCGATTCAAGGTGCCTTCAACGGGTGAGATTATCTCCAGCTCGATCGAGACCTGGATAAGCGATTACTTACTTTTCGATGATGATGCAGACATGACCAGACAAAGCATGCCGATCAAACTTGATCGGACAATGTCCGACATCTATCAAGATGAGCTTTACAACCCGGCGAATGCTGCAGCGCTCGCGGTGCAAGTACCATCGCGGCCCATCAACGCCAACCTCTTGACACCATACCGCAACACCATGGTACACAATCGCTTGCAGGCAGCGGACGCTGCCCGCTCTCAGTCACCAGCCAGTGCGATATCACGAGAGGTTTCACCGTTCCGGTTTGGCTCTCAGCACGACCCAGGCCACGCATCTTCACCGCGACCCAGGCTAGCTACTGCCTCGCAAGCGCGAGAGCAGCAGAAGGCCGAGGCCGATGCTTATGCGGCTCGACAACTATCAGAGCCGCTACCTGAGGAGCCGCCCAAGACTATCTCACCTAAGGAAGCAATGCTCGACTACCACGAGACCGAGGAAGATGCGAAGATGCCGCTTTTCCCCGATGGTGGGTCCGGCGAGTATGGCCAGCAGTACAACGGTGGCAATAACATTAGTCATTACGACAACTCCTCCGAAGCCAGCTATGGCCATGTCGCCACCGCTCAGAACGGTACCTGGCAGGCACCACAGCGGACGAGCCCGGCCTTCCCCAACGCATCAGTTCCTCAGTCCAACTTCACCTTTGCGACACCTTCCCTACCTATGGCACTGCCATTCGACAACCCGCAATACCGTCCTGCTACTATCATCTCTTCCGGGCCTGAGCCCACGCCGGAGTTCCCCGCTCACCTGACTTCGATGGAGTCGAGCGCTAGCGAAGCTCCTGACTCCAACCCATCTAGCCAGCAGGAGGCACCGATGCAGAAGCCCGCTGGCGCCACTGCCGACTCCGGTACCTACACATGTACGTACCACGGCTGCACGCTTCGCTTCGAGACACCACAGAAGCTGCAGAAGCACAAGCGCGACGGCCATCGTCAGACCGTTCAGCCAACGCCGATCACACCAGGCATTGGCAGCGGCATGACGTCGGCGGCCCTCATGGCTCGCAACTCGCAAGCCGGGCCGCACAAGTGCGAGCGCATCAACCCAACCACCGGCAAGCCTTGCAACACCATTTTCTCCCGGCCGTACGACCTGACCCGGCATGAGGACACCATTCACAACAACCGCAAGATGAAGGTCCGGTGCGCGCTCTGCGTTGAGGAGAAGACATTCTCGCGTAACGACGCACTGACCCGTCACATGAGGGTCGTGCATCCAGAGATTGACTTTCCGGGTAAGAACCGCCGGCGGGGTGGCAGTGAACACTAGATTTTTCATTCTCAGTTTCTCTTTCCTACAGTAACTTGCATAGTTGGAAGTCTTGCTATCTAGACCAACTAGGCGGATATATGTATCGGGCTATTGGCGCGCTGGTGATGGACGGCATCATGACAGGGCATCATATGGGGTCCGGAGCATTGTCTTCGCTGGTCGAAGCAGGCGGTGTTGGTGGCTGTACCGGCGATGGGATTATAGGTTGCTTTTCTGTCCCTGCGTTAGAGCGCGATGGTGGAGTGGTACACGATATGTTGATGATGCTCGGCGCTCTGATGATATGAGTCTTGTTAGTGATTGCTTCTAAGTCGAGGGCGAGATCTCTTTGCGAGACTGTAATGTCACTGCTGGGATATATGCTGGATGGGCTCTGGCCAGAGCAACAAACCCCCTTGGGGTAAAAGAAAGTTATCTCATGACATATTCGGTTCTTTGCATTTGACTTATCGTATATCTAAGTTGTCCTGTGCGATGCCGCCTCAAGGCGTTTCTTTACGGCCTTCTCCCCGTGCTATGTCAACCATAGAATGTACCATCACTTGCCGCCTTACTATGTGCTATGGCTTGTCCAAAGAATGCACAAGCGTGCTTGGCGTCTTCTTCCACTTGCCGCTGTTTTCATACACGGGGTGTGCCCTGTAACAGTATCATGTGCTTCACATCAATGGTTCATGATTACACAGCTTTCCGACGAACTTCCATGTAAAAGTAGAGTACATCGCAAGACGATTTATATACTAGCTTCAGCACCCGCAGAATAGTAAAACAGCTTCAAAGAGGTGAACGCTTGCACGAGTGTACCCCTTCCATTACTCCTGCACATGCAGCAGTTTGTGACAAGACCCGGGAGCCCAACTCAACCGTATTAATATATTCAAAGTAAATACCTCGTCACATATACGTCCCTTTCTTTGATCGTACCCGTGCAGTATGGTCTAATAACTCGAGCTTGACAGCTACCTCTGGGAACACCCGCGTAACCTATTCCTGCTGAGCGCCTTGATCGTACAATCAGCCCCGTTACAATGCATCTGCGCAAAGAAACGGTTACGAGTTACAAGTCACACCTATACGAAGAAACACGCCAATGTGATCTTGCTAGGCAGAGTCGGAGTCACTCTCTTGCGGACAGCAGCGCCCAGTTTTGTCCATTGCTTTCCTAAACAAGGGCCTTCGCTGGCAGCAATCACGTGATAGTACACTCGGCAATGAGATCATGCTGGACCCTGAAAATCACGGCGGACGGTCCGATCCCGCAGGGAAGATGCATGACAGCTGTTGATCCCGGATTTTCTTGATGTGTGTCCATGTCTGTTGACAATCGCGAGCTCTAATATTCCTTTAGTCTTCCCGCTTCGTGCATTTTGCCTTGGGTGGCGCCCATGATGTTTTTGTACACGGTCATCATCTCCATCTTCCTTTTGGTCGTTCTTCCATTTCTCTTCCTTACAGTCGTTCTTCGTAAAGGCGGTGAACTTGCAGGATGGTACATCCGCCGCAAGACACAGGCCAGGCGAGAGTTGTTACTCTCTCGCGCTGCTGCTGAACACAAGCAGTACGCCTCAGAAGAGGAGAACTCGGGAAATCAAGAAGATGAAGAGTGGGAGAAGGCTGAGAGCAGTGCGGGCAAGACTCTTCTTGAGAAGAGCAAACGGGACGGTGATTGGGAAGGCATTATAGGTTTCTTCCATCCATTTTGGTACGTCACAAAACCTGTGAGCTTGAGCACACTGCGCGATCTTTCCTCGGTCGAGCCGCTTCTACGTGATGTATCAAGTTTTTATACGACGCTTGACAGTATGTAAAGACAACGACATAAACGTTCACGTTCCGTTTGCATCGTACCAGAATCTGTGTTTTTCTATCAACAGTGGGCGACGGCTAACGGAGCTCCTCACATTGCAGCAACGCCGGCGGAGGTGGAGAACGAGTCCTTTGGGCCGCTATCCGCGCAACTCAGAAACGCTGGCCCCGCTCCCTCTGCATCGTGTATACCGGCGACCATGACGTAGACAAAGACGCAATCCTCAGGCGGGTCAAAGACCGCTTCAACATCCACCTCCATCCTCCCACGGTTAACTTTGTCTATCTCACAACTCGTCAATATATCCTCAGTAGCACATGGCCGCACTTCACTCTTCTCGGCCAATCACTTGGCTCATTGATTGTAGCGTACGACGCTTTTAATCTCCTTGTTCCGGACATCTTTGTGGATACAATGGGTTACGCCTTCACGCTTGCATTATCTAGATTTCTCTTTCCGGATGTGCCCACTGGTGCATATGTTCATTACCCCACCATCTCAACAGACATGCTCGGCTCGCTGGACGAAAATAGTGGAGAAGCAGGAAAGGGTGTGAACGCCGGCACCGGTAGAGGTGCCAAAGGGGCGGCAAAGAAGGCGTACTGGCGCTTGTTCGCTCGACTGTACAGCTGGGTCGGCGGCCGGGTAGACGTCGTTATGACGAATAGTACATGGACCCAGAACCATATCAAGCAGCTCTGGAGCCCCAGCCGGGCAAGCAACCCTCGAGCGTCGGAAATCACGGTGGTATTTCCTCCCGTGGCAGTCGAAGAGCTAGTGGAAGAAATTGAGGTCAACGAGGCAAGCGAGAAGAGCAGAGAACCGAGTCTGCTGTACATCGCGCAGTTTCGACCAGAGAAGAACCACCCTCTCATACTCAATGCCTTCGCGGAACTCATGAACTCAAAAGACTGGCCAGACGATGAAAGGCCAAAGCTCATACTCATTGGATCAGTACGCGACGATGAAGACGCGAAAAGAGTCTACAAATTACGGTTGCTAGCAAGAGAGCTGAATATCAAGGACGAGGTTGAGTTTATCTGCGACGCATCATGGCCACAGATACGGGATTGGCTGCGCAAGGCTAGCATAGGCGTCAACGGGATGTGGAACGAGCACTTTGGAATCGGAGTTGTCGAGTATCAAGCAGCAGGATTGATCAGTGTTGTGAATGCTAGTGGGGGGCCCAAGGAGGACATTGTGGTCGACTTGGATGACGGTCCCACTGGTGGGTCTTCCTTTCCCTGCGATACGCACTCGTGTCTTATGCGTCGAAGGCATCCACATACTGACTTGTAATGTTAGGCTTCCATGCCTCCACAGCATCCGAATATGCGGCCGCTTTTGGCGAGGCACTCGAGCTCGATCATCAAGAGACGATAGCCGTGCGCTTACGGGCTCGGAAGAGCGCGCACAGGTTCACGGAGGAGTCATTCGCCACTAAATGGGTTGGCCAGGTTGAAAGACTGGTCCAGCTACGCAGAAAGCTTCATCCAGACGGCCAAAACTAGCACAGACAAGGCCTTATGCCAATTGAGATAATCTTACCCGTACGGTATCCTTGATCAATATCTCTTCAGCTGTACAGCAGCGACATTCCCCACCTCTGATACTGCAGCGTCGCTGCCCAAACCTACTTCTCCTGAAGAGCACTGCTATGCGAAAATCCTACAGAACTGCCGGTGAAGCCGTATTAAGATGAAATTCTTCCGGACGTGCTTCTGATACATGTGCAATAGTGCTGGAAGAAACCTGGGGCCGCGCGAGCAACTGTCGTTTTCAAGTGCATAGAGAAAACGCCACCGAGCGCCAACCCCTCCCCACTATTTATCTAGCAATGCCCATATAAAAACCTAAGAACGTTTATATCGCCGTGTCTATCTAGATTGAGTCTAATATCCTACCTAAAACCGTTAATTATATAGAACTCTTAGTGTTTTAGTCTAAGAGACATTATTACTATCCACTAGCTACTATCCACTAGCTACTATCTACTAGCTACTATCCACGTCTCGCAATAGCGAAGCGTAAGGAGGTTATTAAGGTTATAGCTACTAGTACTAAGAAAAAACAATTAAGAAAGATACTAGTTACTAGTGGTTTATAAGCGGCTGGTAGTTTATAAGCGGCTATACTCTTATTAGCGTCTACCTAATTCTCTCGTTCTTAATCCTCCTATCCTTAAACTTAGACCGCTTCTATATCCATAACTCTATTAGCTTCTACTTAATCCTTCTATTCTTAATCCTCCCATCCTTAGACTTAGACTACTCCTATCTCTATATCCTTATTACCGCACGCTCCTACCATCTCGCTATTATTAGAGTAAAATAACTAGGAAACTCTATTAGATACTATAGCTAGATAAGAGAAGGCTCTAGTATTCAATTATACTAGTTATCTTTAAGTTATAAATAGTAAGAAGCTGCTTAAATTGTAGACGCGTATTTATTAGGTTAATAACCTTATATCTAGTCTACTCTATCCTAATATAGAGCGCTTTAGATAGTAGGTAATAGAGCGCGCTTAACCCTAGTAGTTTAAGTAGCAAAATATCCGGGCTTATTTATCGCAAGATAGGGGTGCTAGTGTTATTTAGAATATTAATAATTAATAGAGTATTAACGAGGCTAAATAGGTGTTAGTTAACTAGTATAAGATCTACCCTAAGCGGACCTTCCGAGTTACTATTACGATTAAGGTTAAAGAGATTATTAAAGAGATTAACCTATTAGATTTAACACTAGCTACTAGCTAGCTACTATAAGGTCGCTGAACCGCAACTTCTACTTAGCTCCTTATACTCCTAAACTATATTGCTACTAAAAGGGCTGCTAGTAGCTACTCTTATAATCTTGCCTATTATTAGCGATGTGAGAATACTAGCTATCTAAACTATAGTAAAAAGAGCAACCGCATCTACTACTTAAACGGCTTGAATATACTAGATAATTACTTACCTCTTAACTCTAAGGCGCTAGAGATTTAGGACTAAGATATTAAGAATAGCCGGGCTACTCTTAACGAGCTAATAGTAGATCTAGTAATAAGGCTATTTAGTTAGAAGTACGCTAAGGAGAATAATAGACTATAAAGATAAAGAATAGATTAATTAATAGTCTAGTAAGCGCTAGTAGCTAGATACCCTTTTACACTAGTCCCTTAGCTGTTTATACTAATAGTCTAGCCACCTACCACCTTAAATAACCCTAATCCTCCACGATTGTCACTAGTTTTAGCTAAGAATAATCTAGATAGTATACTAGCGTAGTTTATAAGCTAGACGAAGAGTTAGTAGTGCTAGAAGGTACCCTTCTTATAAGCTTTTCTTAATTAGCTAAAGGATAAGCTATCTAAAGACGGTTGGAATCTTAAGGGACTTAAAAAGGATATAACTACCAAGTAGTAGAGCGAGTTTAGCTTTAAACTAGGATATCTTACGCGTATTCGTAGGGAAATTAGACTATTTAAAGATATCTAGCGTTAGATACGCTAAGCGTACTATTTCTACCTCTTCTCTATTAAGATCTTATTATTAATCGGTCTATATAGGTCTAGGGGACTTAAATCTTAGTATATTATTACTCTCTTTTTTGTTTTTTATATCTAGTATTCCTTACTAGAGCTAGTTGTCTCGTCCTGTCGACTAATTAAAACCAGGCGGTTAGTATTAAATATAAGCTAGACTAGCTCTAATAATCTTCTAGTAACTCTAATAATCCTCTAGTAACCTATTACTAGATTTAAAAAACCTTAACACTAAGTAGTATTTAGTAGCGCAATATTTTTTAATTATATATATAAGTAGTAGTAGGGTTTCGGATATATTATATCTTAGGACTATTTTTTTTTTATAAGTGTAGCTATATTATTTATAGAGTATCTAATTTAAACCGAAAACGATAATAAGTCGTATATAGATTCCTTATATTTCTATATAGAAAGCTATAGACTATACCTAGTATACTAAAAATAAGTAGTAGCGTTCTTACTGCTAGTAATAAAGATTACTAGATATAAGAACACTATAAAGTCCGTGATATTATCTATTAGCTACTACTAGTTCTTTATCTATTACTTTATATCCGCAAATAAGACTTTAATAGGGTTTATATCTAGTAAGTAGAGCGGTAGATAGTTAAAATTAATACTGAACTCCCTAAATAGCTCTAGTATCCGAGCGCTATAATGAGTAGCCATATTATTTATTATAATAACCGACCGTCCAGGCTGCTACTATAAGGCTAGTAGTAGTATCTACTAGAGCTAAGCCTTAAAGATTTCCGCGTTTATAGCTCCCTTAATAATAAGGGTAGCGGCCTCGATATAGCTGTTAATTGTTATCGCTAGTAGAACTAAGTAGATTTTAGAATACCTTATAAATATAATATTCTCGGCCTTAACACTAGCCCTAGACTAGCCGTATTACCTATAGAAAGTATACTTATTACTAGTAGTCTTATCGATAAAGATAAGCTTGCTCTTATTATATTAAAGCTACTAAGCTATCTAGCCTATCTAAAGGAGCTTATTTTATTTAACCGCGTGCTATACTATCTTCTTTTAAGTCTATTAGGCGCGCTCTAGTATTTAATAGATAGTAGAGATTAACGGTTAAATGCTAAACTACTAGTCTAACTAGGTAGCTATCTCTTTAAGATATGCGGTAGGATTTAACCGGAGCTAATCTAGAAGCGCCTACTCTACTATAGTTAGCTATCTATTACGGCCGTCTAGTAAGAGCCTAAGGTTATTTATATCTTCTTATACCACCGTAAGTAGCTTTTAAGGGCCTAAAGCTATAAATAATAGAGGATAAGATTAACTAAATAACTCTAGGCTTAATTATATCTAGTAGATAGTAGGATTTAAGGCTCTAGTAAGCTGTTTAACTTCCTTAACCGGCGCGCTATAATTTAAAAGATGGATAATAGCATTAATAATATAGCTAGCTAGTCTGCGGACCATTATAGCATTAAATAGGACGGTGGTGATGTTGAAAACCTCATTAATTAATAGTTAAGTATACCCGGTATAACCGGTGGTGGGGGGAGCCGCTCCGGTAGCGTTTTCTCTATGCACTTGAAAACGATAGAAAGGGATCAGGGGTCACACGCTGCGCGTCACCGGGGGATCAGCGCCGTGGCTCGGGAGCTTCGGGTGATTCGGGTCGCAGTCAAAAAATTACCTAGGTACCCTACAGTATTCCAGGTTGTTCCAGACATCGCCAACAACACGAATGTTGAGCTGTGGCCATGCGCTGAACCTGCCTATGTCTTTCAGTATGATGCACCGCTCGCAACCCATGCGCCGATAATGTCTCATTTGAACCTCTTCCCTTCCTTGTTGCGTAAGGCCGCGCCATGGACCTGCCGGAGCTGCCACCAACAGCAGCGCCAACAGCTGGCCTCGTGGCGAGGGTTTAGCCATACCGCAAAGTACAGGGTAAACTCGGTTTCCAAGCGCAGACGCAGGATTGTTCTCACCGCGGCGGGAGGCACCATCGCTGCCAGCGCAGTCGCTCTTAGCGATGATGCGAAGCATGCGGTAACGGCTGTCCGGCGCACCACCAGCGTGGTCTCTACGTTAGCGGTCTGCGTAAACGAGTACGTCTCAAATCCAATCCAATCCCTTGGAGGTGATCTGCTAACCTTGGAGCGTGATAGCTACCGGATAACGCTAAAACACGAGGACGACGAGGACTATCAGGCACAGCTCAGGGCATGCCACAAGCGATGCGCCGACCGGACGTTCGTTGCCATGGAAAAGAACGGCTCGATATTCATAAAGCTCGGCCAGCATCTCAGCAGTCTCAACTACCTATTACCGAGCGAGTGGTGTGAAACATTTATACCCTTACAAGACAAGTGTCCCGTGTCATCATATGGGTCTATCGAAGCGATGGTACAGCAGGACATGGGACAGTCGCTGTCTGACCTCTTCTCCGAATTTGAGCCACTACCGATAGGGGCGGCATCGCTGGCGCAGGTACACAGGGCAGTGATGAAGGAGACCGGGCAGAGGGTAGCTGTAAAGGTCCAGCACCCGTCGCTTGACGAATGGGCACCTCTCGATTTGGCCCTTACGAGGCTCACATTTGCGACGCTCAAGAGGTTCTTCCCGGAGTACGACCTTACGTGGCTGGCCGAGGAGTTGGAAGTCTCACTACCTCAGGAACTGGACTTTCATCTAGAAGCGGAGAACGCTATCCGGGCGCGCAACTATTTCAAGAGCATCAAGAACGTGCCCCTAATCATTCCCGACGTCATGTGGGCAAGGCGACGCATCCTCGTCATGGAATACCAGACCGGTGCGCGACCTGACGACCTGGCGTATCTGGACTCGCACGGTATCGACCGAGACGAGGTTTCCGCAGCGCTCGCCCGCATCTTCAACGAGATGATCTTTGGGACACACGCGCCTCTGCACTGCGACCCGCATGGCGGCAACATCGCCATACGCCACAACCCCTCGCGGCGTGGAAAGGGCAATTTCGACGTCATTCTTTATGACCATGGCCTGTATCGCGATATCCCTATCGACCTGCGGCGATCGTATGCCAAGCTTTGGCTGGCGGTTCTCGATGCGGATGAGCCGCGCATGCGTAGATATGCGTACGAAGTGGCTGGCATCGGAGACGAGCATTTCCCTTTGTTCGCGAGCGCGATCACGGGTCGGGACTACAACGTTGTGAGGCGAAGCGTAGCATCACAGAGGACACAGGAAGAGAAAGAAATGATCTCGGACGCGCTTGGCGAGGGCATGCTGGCGGAATTAGTGCAATTGCTTGCGCAGATGCCACGGGTTATGCTTCTCATCTTGAAGACGAACGACTTAAGTAAGTCACCCTTTGCTCCTTTTTTTTTTGTCTAATCATGGTCTAATAACATGCTTAATGATTTCCCAAGGATGACGAAATTGACTGACTGTTTCCGTGAATAGCACGCTCGCTAGACGAGAATCTCCACACGCGCCAAGGCCCTGTCCGAACATTCATGATTCTAGCCCGTTACGCTTCTCGCACTGTCTACGAGGAGCAAATGGAGTCTCTCCGTGGAAGCATTATTTGGCCGACTAATTTTATCCACTTCTTTCGCGCTTGGGTCACCTACATGCGGGTAGAGCTTAAGCTAAGTTTGTACGAATGGGGGCTCGAAGCAAGGAGATTGCTAGGCACGAAGCCAGTGATTTGAGTGTATATCGACTTGTCTCTTCCTGTATCAACGTATAGAGGATAAAGACTGCATAGCGAAGGCGTTGGAGAAACTGCGGCTTTGATCTGGCTGTACTTAATCCCTAATTCAGTCGGAGGGTTTCTTATACTGTAACAGTATAAGCAATTCTAAGAGTTCGAGCGGTCCAGCTATTTAAGTGTGGCGTGATGTAGTGTGCCACGCGAGTGACAGAAATCGCCGGACTCGCAAACTACCAGACTTACTACTCACTCCTAAATTACTAAAATCTGTTAGATTCACCGCGTCTCTAAAGACCTTTACTCTAGCTATATTACCTCCAGGTATAGCTTACACATGTTTATATGGCAGCATACCATGAAAGATTGCGCCTATTTATGACCTCCCTAAGCTAACTCAAGACCTTTACTCTAGCCACCTTACCTCCAGGTATAGCTTACACATGTTTATGTGGTAGTATACTATGAAGGATCACGCCCATACATGACCTCCCTAAGCTGACTGAAGATCTATCTGTTTTTCGTAGTCCGGCAATTTCTGTCACCCAGGTGTGTGCTAGTCGATTGCTCTTCGCCAGATTACAATACCTTATGATTGACTGGGCGATATCTACAGTCAACCTCGTCTGGAGGAATGCCGCCCTAGGCCTCTTTTGCTTCGCCAGGTGAGGATCAGACAGACTTATGTATCTCCGATTCAGATCCGCAACATGCGGCTTGTACGAGGTCTTGCGTCGTGAACCAATATTGAGGAGCATCAACAAAATAAACACAGCGGATATTTGGATTCGGGGTCACAAGAGCGTTTGGCCAGGCTAGATCAATCGCTCAAGCAACATATCATATTCTCTCAATACTTTACCACCGCCTTCTGACAGTGGCATGCTGTCGCTGCGTGTCGCTGTGGACGGCGCTGAGGGAAGCGCGGGGCACAACGCCGAACGCTTTGGGGGCGAACGCCTGGGCAGCGCCAACTTGGGCATAATCTCCATTACTTCAGCCACGGCTGCGGACCGCAGCAACGTACTCCGTACACATTCTCACTCCACCATACCCCCTTCCCACGCCGCATAGATGAAGCCGCGGTCCATCGCTTGACCCGCCCGACCCGCGTCCTACACGCCCTCCCCGGCCGCTTTCGCAGACGAGTGTTATTCGTGTATATCCCGCCGCGCTCGGATAGCGCAAGTAGAAGGTGGAGTCGTTGGTCTCCATATGACCTCGAGGACTTCAAGCTGTAGTCTCTGAAGACTCGTTATCAATCTCCAGCAGCTCAGCATGGAGCCGCCAGCCCAACCCAATCTGCGGGTTACCAGTACGCCGTTTCCGGGGACATGTACGACTCAGAAGCGCTGACTAGGAGTAGTTATTGCCGCGGATGGACTCTACAAGCGCGATGTCTTTAGTAGGCCTACCAAACCTCTCCGTCGTTACTCCGGTGCTTATAGCATTTGCAGGATTCCCGGATCCTTTCGCTGTCGCGACAATGAGCGGGGAGCAGACGAAGACAACCAGTGTCATTAAAAAGACGTTGAACCCATACTGGAATGAGAGCTTTGACATGTACGGGTTCCGCCTGGGCTGTGGTTGGTGCGGTTTACTGATGTTGAAGCAGGAAGGCGACGGAGGAAAGCATACTAGCGGTCCAGATATTTGATCAGAAGAAGTTCAAGAAGAAGGATCAAGGCTTCCTTGGAGTCATAAATGTCCGCATCGGTAGCGTAATCGATCTAGATGCCGGTGGTGACGGTAAGCTCCCTCCAAGGGCTATCTACCCCACATTCTGCTGACCAGGTTCCAGAAATGATTACACGAGACCTTAAAAAGTCGAATGATAACATGGTAGTACATGGCAAACTCATCTTGAATCTATCCACGAACTTGACGCAACCGATCAGCCAGCCAGGGCAGGGTGCGCCGGGGAGGCCTTCAATGTCCACTCACTCATCCGTGAACGGAGTCAACAGGCCGACGTCCACTACACCCGCTGCCGCGCAGTCATCGCATTCTCTGCTCCCCGAACAACCTTACCCAGGCCGTACCGGAGCGTCCAGCGCTGCCGTTCAACGCCAAACTCAGCCCAGCGCGCCATCAGCTACTCCTTCGTCATCAACAGGAGGGCAACCGGCGGCAGGGCAGGCTGGTGGGGCAAGAAATGCGGCATTCAGTGCTTTTGAGGATAACCAGGGGCGACTACCACCAGGCTGGGAGCGCCGCGAAGATCATCTTGGGAGAACGTACTATGTCGACCACAACACAAGGCAAACAACATGGATACGCCCTGCAGCAACGGGTTTCAACCAAAGCGAACAACGGACAGCTTTGGAGGCCCAAACGCAGGTCGAGCGTACCCGGCATCAAAACAGAATGCTGCCAGAGGATAGGACGGGTGCCAATTCTCCCACGCTCTCTGAACGACAACCCGTGCTTCCTCCTGGTCCTTCCGCAAACGCTGTCTCGATGATGGCAACGGGTGCCACGACGGCAGGCACAGGGGAACTGCCGTCGGGCTGGGAGCAGCGTCATACGCCCGAAGGACGCCCTTACTTTGTTGACCACAACACTCGCACAACCACATGGGTGGATCCGCGCCGGCAGCAGTACATCCGTATGTACGGCCAGAATGCCCAGAATGGCACGATTCAACAACAACCAGTCTCGCAACTCGGGCCTCTGCCTAGTGGATGGGAAATGCGGCTTACCAACACCGCCCGTGTGTACTTTGTGGATCACAACACTAAGACAACGACATGGGATGACCCGCGCCTGCCATCATCGCTGGATCAGAACGTTCCTCAGTACAAGCGCGACTTCAGGCGCAAGCTGATCTACTTCAGATCTCAGCCAGCCTTGAGGATCGTCTCCGGTCAATGCCATGTCAAGGTCCGGAGGAGCCACATCTTCGAGGACTCTTACCACGAGATTATGCGACAGAGCGCCGGCGACCTCAAGAAACGACTGATGATCAAGTTCGATGGTGAAGACGGTCTCGATTATGGCGGTCTATCCAGGTATGCTTGCAAGCCTCAAGCTCTGAGCGCGGATACTGACCTTTCGCAGAGAATTCTTCTTCCTGCTCTCCCACGAAATGTTTAACCCCTTCTACTGCCTGTTCGAGTACTCCGCTCATGACAACTACACTCTTCAAATCAACCCTCACTCCGGCATCAACCCCGAACATCTCAACTACTTCAAGTTCATCGGACGCGTCGTCGGCCTGGCGATCTTCCACCGTCGATTCCTCGATGCCTTCTTCATAGGGGCATTCTATAAGATGATCCTGCGCAAGAAGGTGTCGCTGCAAGATATGGAGGGTGTCGACGCCGACTTCCACCGTAATCTTACCTGGACGCTGGACAATGACATTGACGGCATTCTTGACCTTACCTTCTCTACTGATGACGAGCGGTTCGGCGAGACAGTGACGATCGATCTCAAACCCAATGGTAGGAACATTGAGGTGACCAACGAGAACAAGAAGGAGTACATCGACCTTATCACCGAGTGGCGTATTCAGAAACGGGTGGAGGAGCAGTTCAACGCTTTCATAACTGGGTTCAATGAGCTGATCCCGCCGGATCTCGTCAATGTCTTTGATGAACGCGAGTTGGAACTGCTTATTGGCGGCATTGCGGATATTGATGTCGAGGACTGGAAGAAGCACACCGATTACCGTGGCTATACTGAAAGCGATGAGGTTGTGCAGAACTTCTGGAAGGTCAGTAGTATTTATAGCCGTGGAAGCAGGACACCAGCTGACGTTGTTTGTAGTGCATTCGGAGCTGGGACGCGGAGCAGAAATCTCGGCTGCTGCAGTTCGCAACCGGTACCTCGCGTATCCCCGTCAATGGCTTCAAGGACCTCCAGGGGAGCGACGGGCCAAGGAGATTCACGATCGAAAAGGCTGGTGAAGTCACACAGCTTCCGAAGTCGCATACATGGTACGCCGTGTTTGGCTTGTCCCACTTCTAAACGCATGGCTAATATCGCATACAGCTTCAATCGTCTCGACCTTCCGCCTTACAAGACTTACGAGGCTCTCAATGGGAAGCTCACGATTGCCGTAGAAGAGACGGTAGGCTTTGGCCAGGAGTAGTTGGTGGTGGTGGTGGTGGGGGGCGGCTATTGCCAGCAGCAAGGTGGCGGTGCGGATTATGTGACATTCGCTGTCGATGCACGTGGCAGAGAAAGCTTTGCATACGTGGAGTTGGTTCCTCACGCCGCCGCCGTGGTGGGCGCCGACAGGGCAGGCGGTTGAGCTGCTGGTGGAGAGTTACGACGCTTCGAGGACAGGACCGAGGAAAGAGTGGGCGTTTAGGTGCTTGATGGCGAGCGTCGACTGTAGGACGAATCCATACATATTCATAGTACTACGAATAACAACGCAGCCATGTGCAGCGTTCTCAGCCGTTGACTTCACGTGACGGCCATAACCCTCTGCTTCTCTTTGAGATGCTGCAGTGAAGAGGCTGGTGCATCAGAGTGCAACTCACCAACTTACCTGACCCACGCTTACTCTCCCGGCGCATCGACCAGCAATTCGCTCGGCGGGTTCCCATGCAGCCACCATCAAGCCAAGAGAGGTATGCAAAGCACATCCGACCAATCGTCTTGAGTTGCGGCTGACGAGCTAGACGAGCTAGACAATCGACAAGGGTCCAGATGGGGCCCTGCGGTGTTCCATTTCCCCTTTCGGTCGACGTCCATAGATTATACCGCGCACTCGGCTTGTCGACGACGCGTTGTCCAGCTTTCGGACGAGAGTTGATACTGCCAGCTATGCTACCAATGCACAGCGAGACGCTGTTGATGCAGGTAGAGCAGCGTCTGGACTCGCCAGCTCTGTTGTTTCTCTGCATGTTCCCCGGGAGGTTGGTTGTCATACCATCTTCGGCCTAGTGGCTGGCTCGTCCGCATACGAGTTGCTTCATGTATTCACGATCAGATGCTTGACGCTTGGGGAGCACGATGGCACTGGCTGGGGATAACTTCCGAGGGTTCTTACCAAGACCTTTTTATGCGCGTGGCTTCCCCGGACTCTTATTACCGTTCCTCCTCCCCCATCCGATCTTCTTCATTCCTCATCAATCTACGTTCCTCACCTACCCATCATTCGTTCTGGGTTTACGTTGATTCTCTAGCACTCTACCAAAAGCTCTATATACACCTTCACGGAAAAGCTCACTGAGGCTCAATATACGTATTTACTGTCCCGATAATCCAAAATGCGTTCTTCCATCGCCATCCTCCTTGCCGCCGCCGGCTTTGCGATTGCACAAACAGCAACCGGCTCCGCCGTCTCGTCGATTGCCACGAGTACTACGAATGGCTGTTTACCTGGAGCCGAGACGTAAGACACCATGCGGGATACTCTCATCGCCAACTACGGCTAACGGTGTTGACAGCATCGTCGACGCCTGTCTCGCCAGCACCCAAGCCCTAGCCGACGCCTGTGTCGGCAACGACTGGGTGTGCCTGTGCACGCAATACCAGAACGTCCTGACGTACGTCGTAACCCCCTAGTTCTTCACTTTGGAGGCCTTCGAAGAGATAGGGAGGGAGATCTTGACAACTCTGGCCGACTGCAAGCTTCGGAAGAGAGACAACATAGCAGCGGCCCCATTGTGGACCTATTGGCTCACTGTGCTCACAACAGCTGCTACAACAACTGCCCCAGCCTCCCTAATCGCGCCACCGTCCAGAACCAGGTGACGTCCTTTTGCCAGGCCGCTGCTCCGTAAGGCAGCCCCCTTGCCCCCCTCCCCCTCCCCAATCACCTATCTCACAACCCCACTAATACCTTCCAGGCTTCTCTCTGCCAGCAGTGCCAGCGCTGCAACCCGTTCCTCCACCGCCTCCGCTTCCAGCTCCGCAGCCTCCACAATGGCGACCTTGGCGACGCAGGCTCAGTCTACAAGCAGCAGCTCGGCGAGTGCTTCGGCGGCTTCGGCTAGTGCCACGGGCGCGGCTGCGGGGCTTTTTGTCCCAGCTGGGGGGGTAGTGGCTGTTGCCTTGGGCGTGTTTGGTGTGTTGTAGGGTATCGGGTCGGGATGGGAGAAATGGAGAGGGAATGTGGGGGTGTTAATATATCTATTGTGTAATGGTATTGGGGTGTAGGGGGGAGAGGCGTTGAATCAAGCGGGGTCTGTGTACTCGTGTCTTATGGCCACTTGTGATCTTTTAGTGCTATCTTCATCTTAGGGGTCCACTCCCGCTTGCTGTGTTTCGAGTTTTGAAACCTTTAACATGGCGGTTTCGAGCATATGATCACATGCTCCTATGATCCATCCCACTGAGCGTGGCTTGTCCGTTTAAAGCATGCGCGGTTTTCGTTGCTGCACACCACGCCGACAAGCCTTTTTAGCTCAGCCGCCGGCGCAGTTTCAGTCGGTTCTGTGGGTGAAGAGTCCGAGCAACAAATAAGTCTCCACGCCGATTGATTCACTTTTCGCGAGCTGATGTAAGACGACGGTGGATTTTGCGGTTGCTGAGCATGCTAGATGTGCCGATTTGAGCAGCGTTACTCGTACTGGTACGCCAAAATGTCACTCGCGGCTGACGGTCGTAACGGCATTGGATCCACCATTTGATACTTGGCGCCAGGACTACAAAGATACCTCAACACTCTACCAAAAGCTCGCACAACTCATACTGGGGAAACTCAGAAGCGGTCCGGTCTCACAGCACTGCGGCCTCTCATGAGAGGAAGAACCTGATGCCGGCCATGCTTGAAGACCGTTTTACCGTCAGTAGAACATGTCGCGGGTCTCAAGAGAAACGATCAAGCGGTGCCATCGCAGCCGAGCAGGGTTCTCCGAGGATCCTTTTTCCAGGTTGATCTACCACGCTACGCCTTTTATGCACTAAGATGCTTGACGGCGCACCTCCGATGGTGAGGTTTCCGCCGCTCCTCACTGGCCGATTCGCGGCTGTGGGGCGTCGAAGCGGATATGCGGACGTTCTTTTGAGCACGAACTGCCGCACTTCTCCATCTCCCCTCACAGCATGCAAAAGTTCGAGGAAGGTGAGCGCTGTAGCAATTCTCATGCTGGTACGAGTCGCTATTCTATGCTTCCTCAGCAGCCTGGAGGTCCCTATTGGGATCCGCCGAGGTTGCAAAGAGGTCGGGTTTGGGCATGTCTGTTCCCTCCCTCGGCAGACATGCAGGCGCGCATGCTGGTGTGGATCTTCTCCCCCCACACTCTGTTCTCCGGTGCCCGCCCAATCGCAGCCACGAGCATTCCACCATTCGCTTAGGCCAGCAAAGCTCAAAGTCCCGTCATGGCCACGGCAAGAACGGGCCCAGGGTGCGCAAACCCTGGGGGGACGTCAGTTCGTTTCCGTCCTCGCGCCGCTGTCTTTGACTGGAGTGACAAGGTAGGGTCCGCCTGATCGTTTGGCTCGAGTCCTTGTCAAACCGTTCCCGCACTCTGTCTCCTTGTTCCATCACTCAAGCTTTCGCCTTACCACCGCGTCCCGCACACAGCTCTTATCTCCACACCAATATGATTATCCGAACTTGAATACTCCTACCAGCAGTTGCGCTCCGCGAGCTACGAGCCCCTCCGCGACCCTTTTACGCGGCGCTTCAAGGCGGAGCGTCGCGCTTGGGGCGTTATACCATGGTTTGGCCGGAGCTGAGGACGCTGGAATAAAATGGCAAGCACGAATGGCAACTACGAAACCCGGGGTCCGGTGGTCTTCGCCGTGACCACGGCGATGATCGTGTTGGCGTCGATATTCGTCTTCCTCCGAGTGGTATCGCGCGTTGGCATTGTCCGGCGGTTCAAACTCGATGACTACTTCATGGTAGCGGCCTGGGTAAGACTAGCAGTCGAGTTCCATGCCATGTCGCAGATACTGAGCACAATGACAGCTCCTCGCATTTGGGATATCTTTCTCGGTGTGTTACGGCGTTTCTGTGGGATTGGGGCGGCACGAGTCAGACATTCCTCCAGAATGGGATCCTCCGCTCAAGAGAGCCGAATATGCCTTCTCGGTGCTCTACGTAAGTGTCCACGCTCGTGGCTACCTGTAATCTGCTCATCCATCACAGAATCCTACCTTGATGGTAACTAAGACATCGATCCTAGCCTTTTACTTGACACTGTCCAAGGAGGAGAAGGTCTTCAGAATGTTCACATGGCTCACACTAGTTGTGGTCAACGTCGCCGGGCTTGCCTTGACGTTTCTGAACGTCTTCCAGTGCCGTCCAGTCGGCGCCGCCTTTCTCAACCCGGTGCCCGACTCAGCCCAGTGCATCGACATCGTGGCCATATACTTGTCCTCGGCGCCTGTAAATATCATCACCGACTTGGCCATTGTCTTCCTTCCGATGCCAATCTTGACTGGGATGAGGCTCCCTAAGAAGCAAAAGGTCATCCTGGTGATCACTTTTGGGTTTGGTATCTTCGTCGGCGTGGTAGACGTTATCAGAATCGCCTATCTGCAAGACGCATCTCGAGCCCGACTCAGCGCCGTCCAAGGAAACACGGACAACAGTAGTAACCCCGATCGGGAGCCCGGGGTCACGGATTTCTCATGGAATGCCTCCCTATCGTTCATGTGGTCAATTGTAGAGGTCAACGTGGGCATCATGTGCGCATGCGTTCCTGCATTGAAACCACTGGTTGTAAGGTTTCTCCCGCGCATCTTGAAAGACAGCAACGGCGGGGACGGAAATCTAGCCAGCGCGGGTGGGACCATGAACAGCGTCGATATGGCAGCCGCGCACCGCGTTCCAACTGCCCCAGCGTCTGCGCCAAACCGGCCGCCGCCATTTGCGGCCAAAGGCCCCGAGAAGGACGAGCCGATGAGCTTCCTGGACTTCTTAAGTTCGCCAGAGGACAACCCCGAAAAACCCAACGATGACGGGCCGATGGGCATGATGGATTTCCTGACCACGCCGGACATGGACAGCTCCTCGCCGCCTGTCCAACGAACCCAGACAGCTATGACGAACACGACAAGACACACTGAGCCGGCATCACAGCAGGCGTTTTTCGATTTCGTCAACATGAGGCAGCAGAAAAGTATGGTGCAGATGACTCACCGAGAATCAGTGTTCCCAATCGCCATGGTGACAATCCTGTTCTTCATCTGGGGTTTCGCATATGGTCTACTCGACACTCTAAACGGACGATTTCAAGGCGTCGCCCGTATGACGATAGCGCAATCTATTGGCATACACAGCGCATATTTCGGTGGCTATCTCGTAAGCCCGCTCACGTGCGGGCGTTGGGTCCTCAAAAACTGGGGCTTCAAGGCTTGTTACATGGTCGGCCTAGTCATTTACGCCTGCGGCACCTTGATCTTCTGGCCCTCGGCTGTTCTGACATCCTTCGGCGCATTCCTAGCCTCGAACTTCATCGTCGGCTTCGGATTGTCAATCCTCGAGATCGCCGCGAACCCCTTCATCGCTCTCTGCGGTCCACCAAAGTACATGGAGGCTCGACTGAACCTATCTCAAGGCATCCAGGCGGTCGGCAGTATCTGTTCGCCGCTGCTGGCAAGAAGAGTCCTTTTCCCCTCATCGAATAGCTCGGATTCTCTTATCGATGTGCAATGGACCTACCTCGGCATCGCACTCTTCACAATTCTCCTCGCCCTAGTCTTCTACTACGTCCCACTCCCCGAAGCCACAGACGACGAACTCGAGCACGCCGCCCGCCGCTCCGACGATGCCAACCTCGCCTCGATACGCGGCGTCCACCTTATCTGGGTCACGCTCGCCCTAGGCGTCTTCTCACAGTTCTGCTACGTGGGCGCCCAGGAAGTCGTCTCGACCACATTCGCCGAATACCTGCGCCTCCTGGCGCCGTATCTCAACGTCTCCGACTTTCAGGTCGTTGGATCCAGCGCCTTCGCCGTCGGCCGCTTCGTCGCTGTCCTGCTTAACATCTTCATCAAGCCGCGCTACCTGATGCTTTTCTTCTTTCTGGGTGCGCTGAGCTTCAGCATCGCCGCCCAGCATTCCTCGGGCGACACTGCTGTTGCTATTGTGGTCATGCTGTATTTCTTCGAGGGACCGCTATTCCCGTTCATCTTTGCGCAAGCGCTGAGGGGCTTGGGGCGCCATACCAAGACTGGGTCCGCGTTCCTCACTGCGGCGATATCGGGCGGCGCGGTATTTGTGCCGATCATGCATGGGGTAGCGGTGAAGAGGGGTCAGGTGTATGCGTATTGCGTCGTTATTGCTGCGTTTGCGTTCGGCATCCTGTTTCCGCTCTATGTGAATGCGGTGCCGAAAGCGAGGAGGCAGGTGGATCCACCGCCGAGCGAGGGAAGCAGTGGTGGCAGTGGTGGCAGTGGTGGCAGTGGAGGTGACTCGCCGAGCTCGAGTTCGTCGGGCAGAGCGAGTCGGATGAGCAAGGCGTTTGCGGGGCTTGCGAAACGGAACAAGAGGAGTGAGGAGGAGTTGCCGACTACGGAGCATAAGGAGAGGACGGCTTCGGTCTCGCTCTCCTAATGGGGTTGGTAGTGCTGCTTTTCTGAACGCTGTGATGATCAGGTATGACTATGTTAGGACGACTTGATATGGCGGTTGTATATAGTTCTCATTTTTGGCGCTTGGATATGGCCACGAAGGACATGACCTTCGCGAGTAAGGCAAGGTTAGAGGGTGGCGGTGTTGAGGCACTCTGCCTTTTACGTGTGGTAGCCTCATTGTAGAACGTTGGGTGGTTGCGTTGTATATATATTGGACTTGATGCACTGCAGATTCGAAGCTCAGACGCACCGATTCTGGCACTGTTCGCCTCTTTCCCATGCCTTTCCCCCTGAAGTCTGCACGAGGTATGCAGCGACCCCCACGCACTCTTGTCCTCAGGCCTTCACGCAATAGCCAGGTTTGGCGAATCCCTTGTGCCTCCTGAAAAGGACATCGTCGTCTTGCGCTGACATTACTATGCTAACCTGCTGCTCTGACAGCCTCTGCGAACCCACAAGCGGAGAAGAACAGCGTACGAAAGCTGCATAGATCGTCCGGTAATCGCAGATTGGTGAAAAGAGTCACATGAGAGCCGAGCCCGCAATTATTTCTGTGCGTGGTGAAGCGGTCGCAAAGTGCTGAATCTGCATTCAGTAGCTATACAGAAGCGACATAATTTATAAGAACATGTCTTAGACCTGTTTAAAGGTAGAGAGATCTCATGGGCTTTTACAGCTTTGACTTTGAACAAAATCCCACGTTGTTGTGATTTGTTGGTATTCCTTGGCAACATGACTCTTTTCACGAATCTGCGATCACACCACTAACGTATTCTTGATAGTTCCCCCACTCTCTTGGTCCACGGACTTGTGATAGTCTAAGGGCTTTTAACTAGAGAGCTGTAGTAAGCAGGAAACGAAGTGAGAGCGAAGAACTAATCGGTTTTTTGTATTAGGTGTTTATGCTGCGAGGGGAAACGTACAGAAAGATTCTTGACTTAGCACCCATGAGAAGACATGACTCTGCATTCACAGCCAAGAACTTGAGCTCTAGGAACGACCATGAGCATGCGTATTGATTGTCTTAGACTGGAAGCTCATAGAACGCCCAACGGTGAGTATAACATGCGCCCTGTTGTGGACTTACCGCTTGCCGACTGGATCTCCCTCGGAGTGTGAATTAAGACCGAAGCGGGAATAGAGATGGGGATAAACGAGTACTGAATATTATGTAGATTGATGCCGAGTAAGACATGGCGTGGGATACGGGATATATAGCGTGGTTCACAGCAAATGCTCACTATTAGAATCCTTCTCGTATACTTCAGCCTTCAACTGGATTGCGTACTGAAACTAACCAAACCGGCGTCCGGCATGAAAGTGAGAAAACCGAAGCTGGCCGTTACTCGAAGTGGAATAACGCTGCTTTGCCGCCTTACCCATGATCAGATGTCTTACTTGAACGGACCGCTTTGAAAGAAAAGCCGTTAGAAACTATCTCGCTTACCCTACATAAGCTAGCAGGCCTCGCTCCAAAGATGTGCAGAAGTTCCGACGTCAAGCGCGTAGCGATATTGAGCGGCCGGAGGATCTGTCGTGAGCTGCTCACATTCCCGCCGGCGGCGGCACCTACACCAGTTAGCCCGCTCCCGCTAGACACCACCAGATAGGATAATATACCGCATTATAACCCCCACTCGGCGGCCCACCAGGCGGCGGCGGCGGCGCAGCCCCCCCAGGCGGAGGAGGTGGCGGAGCTTCACTCGGCGGCGGCGGAGGCGGCCCAGCGCCAGCGCCAGCACCTGGGGGCGGAGACTGCATACCCCCCGGCTGCTGCTGCTGCTGATAGTACTGGTAGTACAAATTCATGTAGTTCTGATACCCACCATACGCAGCATAAGGATCTTGGCCGCCGTAATACTGCGCATATTGAGCCGCGTAGTCGCCACCGGGCGTGGCACTTGCTGGGGTGCCGGGGGTCGGGGCTGCTGGACTCATGGCCGATCCAGCAGCGTGAGGGGACTGGGCACCTCCGTAACCGCCGCTGTAGCCGCCGTTGTAGCTGTCTTGCTGCTGGCGGTCGTTGTAGCTGCCACGATGTCCGCCGTTTTGGTAGCCACCGCCGCCGCCGCCGCCGTAACCACGGTCATGGGATGGGCCCCGCTCTTTGAAGCGCTCGTATTGCTGCTTTACATTGTCGAGGAGGTCGAGACAGAGGTCGCGGGCGCGCTTGACTTCGTTCGGATCTGGCCCGCTGAGACGTATTAGGAGACTTTCTCACTGGATATCCAGTCTAGAGCTGGACTTACGCAACATGCAGATACATCGGCTCGTCGCTTTCCTGACCAGTGGCATTATCCAAGAAACCCGAACCACGACCTTTGATCTGTACACGGCAGCGAGTCTCCGCCTGGATATGCTTGACGTATGCGCCGCCGTGTCCAACAACCTGAGCCCTCAGATTGAAACCTGGGATGGGTTCTAGATCGACAGGAATGCGTTCTTCGGGCCATTTCCGCTAAGATGTGGTCAGCTGGATGACGCAGTGAATTTGGTGTACGAAATAAGTACCCTGCCAAACTCATCGCGCTCGAACTGCTCAGGCTCACGCCTGCGGAAGCGTCGCTCGTCGACCAGGTTGGGAAGCTCTTGCCTCATGAGCTCTTCGATCTTCGCTACGGCTTTCTCGAGACCTTCCTTAGTGGTGCTGGTAACGTGAAGGTAAAGCGGCGGCGCCTGCGAGAGTTTCAGCACATGCCGTCCTCTTCACGTGCGGGTCAAGATTCTTTACTAACCGCGGCGGTAGCCATGCTCTTATCCGGATAGTATTCGCCTCGGGTTGTGACATCTTCTCACTAATAAGCATGATATCCTACACGGAAGTAGTTGTGTTAGGTAAAGGTAAGCGTACCGGCGCCAGTCTCCTCTTTGATCTAGATGTCACACCGGGCAGGTCAGCAGATGCAGAATGGGTTGTGATGCTGTGCAGAGCAGCTAGATTGCACTATGAGTGAGCTTGACACATTCTCCCCACAAGGTATTGACGAAAAGACGAAGAAGTAAACCTCTGGCGGCTCCCCCGCGACTGGGAGGCCGCTCGAGACGGAAAGATGTGCTGCAGGAGTATCAGTAGGATGTGATCAAAAGTATTTACCATTTTCTGAGTCGGGCCCTTGGTCAGTGTGTAACGGTTTCGCAGGTCGTTGACCTCGATATCCTTGATATAATCGCCATCCTGCGTGTAGACTTCGCCGGAGACGGGGCCGGAGGTGGACGGGGACTTGACAGCGGCCGGACTCCCGGTCTGTTTGGGCAGTGTCAGCAGTGCAAGTAACAGGTGCGGAATAGATGCAGGCGGCCGTACGGAGCGGATTGGAGGGACATCGACGTGCTGAATGCCCTTCTTCGCCTGGATCTGGGCGTTGATGCGCGCTGCGGCGGCGGCGGCAGCGGCAGCGGGATCACTCTTGCCCGCGGGACTACCGCTACCACGGGCTATGGGACTCCGGCTGCGTCTGGAGTCGGATTTCTTCGCGGATGGGCTGCGGGAGCGGCGGTCGAATCTCGAGGGCCGCTTTGGCTCAGGCTCGGTCTGGTCGAAGCGCGACCGCTTGCGAGGCTCGTCGGCCATGTTGACGATGGTGGGGCTAGAGATGAAGCTATGCTGGAGTGTTCCCAGACTGATTGGTGATGATGCAGAGAGCGCTCGCGCCTGGGTGGGCGTGAGGGGGGATGTGTGGATGCGTGGGTGCGTGGGTGCGTGAATGTGTGGACGTTTGTGCAGAGCAGAGCCGCCTCGGAGTTTTTGCATGCCCGGCCCAGTTTGGGCACAACCAAGGGCCACCTAAAACAGAGGTTGCCGGACGTTCCGGCCCTCGGTGTGATGCTCTTGCGGCAACCTTCATTCCAGCTGGCATTGAACCCTGACAGAGGGCACAAAAGCCCAGCACAAGCCCAGCACAAGCCCGCAAATCCCCCGACGTCGCAATGCCAGGATGCGAGCTTTTGCTCTGACCACAGCTTTTTGCAGTGACCGGCCCCCCAGACCCCCCCCGTCCACAACACCATCGACACAAACTGCCATTGAGCTCACCAACTCTCCAACTCGAGCTTTGTGCCGCCGACATGGCTATCCGGCGAGCTCTCGCAGCTCTGCCCACTCGCATTCCCTCAATTCGACCCGCAACCCGAGCAGTCGCCTTGACACAGCAACGCTTCGACTCCTCCTCCTCCACCTCCGCCCTCGCCTACAAAGCGCTCCACCGCCGCATCGCCCCTCTCCCCACCTCAGACGCCCCCTCCGCCTGGTCCGCTCCTGCAGCCGTCAGCAGCATCCTCTACGAGACACCGCTCCCCTCACAAGCTCCGCCCAAACGGCACATCCTCAATTGCCTCGTGCAAAACGAGCCCGGTGTCCTCTCGCGTGTATCCGGCATCCTCGCCGCGCGCGGCTTCAACATCGACTCGCTGGTCGTCTGCAACACCGAGGTCGACGACCTGAGCCGCATGACCATCGTGCTACAGGGCCAGGACGGTGTCGTCGAGCAAGCGCGGCGGCAGCTGGAAGATCTGGTGCCCGTGTGGGCCGTGCTCGACTACACAGGTGCACCGCTAGTGCAGCGAGAGCTGTTGCTGGCGAAAGTATCCATCCTCGGCCCCGAGTATTTCGAGGAGCTGCTCGCGCATCATAGGGAGATGGTCGGAGCTCCAGAGAGCCTGGAATCCGAGGACCTCCTTGAGTCAGACGCAGCGGACGGCGATATCGCAGAAGGAGCGATGCGCAGACAGGCGTCACAGGGCGCCAGGGATGACTTCCATCCGTCGAGGTTGGCGGTCAGCCAGGCGCTGAGGCATAAGCATGAGCATTTGGAGGCTATTACGCATCTCACGCATCAGTTTGGCGGGAAGGTGCTGGATATTAGTACGAATAACTGCATTGTGGAAATCTCGGCTAAGCCGACGAGGATTGACAGCTTTTTGAAGCTTGTTGCGCCCTTTGGCATTCTGGAGAGTGCTCGGACTGGTATGAAGTGCAGCCTCTACTTTAAGATACTACTAGATGCGCTAACATGAGCTCGTAGGTTTGATGGCCCTCCCGCGGTCACCCCTGCATGGCCCCAACGAGGTCGAGGAGAAGGAGGCACAAGACGTTGTTGATGCGAGCCAGCTGCCGCCCGGTTAAGCCATCGTGCTTCGTTCGTCCTCCTACATCTGTTGCGAACGCGATACGGCCCATGTTCCAGTGTTGTCTAGATTTGTACATAACATCTGATAGGGGCGACCTTTTTGTCCGGAGTTGCTTGGCTGTTTGCACACCTTCACGTTTTGCCCAAAAGCTTCTGTTTACTCTATCTTCCCCTTGTTCACCACAAACCCCTCCAACGCACTTATAGCCGCCCACAGCCTATTCTCCGCCTCCTTGAACACAAGACTCCTCGGCGAGTAAAACACCTCATCGCTGACCTCTTCCTTGTGCCTCGGTAGACAATGCATAAACTTCCACCCCTGCTTCGCGCCCCCTCTTTCCGCCAACTCGCTCGTCACCTGGAACCCCTCGAATGCCTTAATCCGCTTCGCCTTCTCCTCCTCCTGCCCCATCGATATCCACGTGTCGGTGACTATCACATCAGCACCCTCGACCGCTTCCTCCGGCACAGTCGTCTCGGTCAACCGCCCCGCCTTCGGCGCAGACGCAGCAGCAGCATCGATGATCTCGCGCATGGAGCGAGGGATTGAGTAACCCTCCGGCGTCGCAACCGCGACATCAACACCCAGCTTCGCAGCCCCGATCGCGAGGTCAAAAAGCACGTTATTCGCGTCCCCGACCCACGCAATTTTCAGTCCCTCAAGCCCGAGCCCAGCGCCCCTGTGTGATTGTGATGAAGACGTCGACGGAAACGCCTCGTGCATGGTGAGAAAGTCCGCGATGGTCTGCAGCGGGTGATACAGGTCTGAGAGCGCGTTGATGACCGGGGCAGTGCTGTGTTTCGCGAGGTCTGCGACGTCGGAGTGAGGGCCGACGCGGGCGACGATGCAGGACACCATGCTGGAGATTACGACGGAGGTGTCGTAGAGGGACTCGTTTACCTGTAATACCACCGTAAGCGATCACACGTGGGCTGCTGAGAGGTCCAGGCGCAGGGGGCAGGGCCTTACACCAAGCTGAATATCGTCCTTCCCCAAAAACATCGGATGGCCGCCCATGGTGACAACGGCGCCCTCGGTCGATATGCGGGTCCGCGTGCTGCGTTTGCTGAAGGTCATGGCGACCGTCTTGCCTGTGAGCGCGCCTAGCAGGTTCGTAGGCATGGAACCGGACTTTATGGTGGCCTTGTGGTGGTAGGCATTGCGGACGAGGGTGGTGAGCTCGGAGGGGGTGAGGTCGGCTATTGAGAGGAGGTGGCGGGGCGCGAAGGGGGATACTGCTGGGCTTGCGGGACTTGGTGGGGAGGTGTAGGAACGGAGTTGTTGGCGCTGTAATGGCTTCGACAAGCTGCGGAGAGCTGTTGTTGCGGGACGGGGAGGAGGCATTGTGGGAGACGGGAGGTGAGCGGGGAGCAATTGGACTGGTGTAGGTTTATACCAGGACGTGAACAGCTTATATAGGTGTTTCGATGACTCTACTCGAATGACTGGCAAAGCGCAGCATTTTACACAATTTATGCGTCAGAAGACAAATGATAGTGCAAAATCCGGGGGGTAGCTCTACGCTCTCACACCATTGGACGGAGTGCAAGGCACGGACAAAGCGCCGCCTTCCCTGGCATCATCACTAGTTGTCGAAGAGCTGCATCTTCCGCGAGGCTTACTCTACCGTAGGCACTAGAATATTCGTACTGCGGCCTTCTGTTAACTACTCCGCCGAGATATCGATACATACCCTCAAAAAGACAGCGCTAAGCAGCTCCCTCAGCCTCCGACTGCTGCCCACCGTAACCGCCGTCGGCATGGCCGACACCCCCACCTGGGATTCTACACGGACTCCAAGCTCGCGGCCAGCGTCTGTACGATCCGGTAGATCAGCACGATCAGCACCATCCGATCCGTCAAGTCGAACGACCGAGGAGACACCCCTACTTCAGCGAGAGAACAGTCGGCGTAGTAGTCATCATGGCTCCGAGGACGGCCGGCCGCAGTCGCCTGCCGCCTCAGCGCTGCTACGCTCTTTGAACGACTCTCCGCGAGACCAGCCGAGCAAGTCGCGAAGATGGCCGAGCCTGGTAGCCCTCCTGTTGCTATGCGTTGTCACGGTTTTGATAATGGTGGTTGGCTTCTTTGCGCCGGAAGCGGTGGAAGAGTACGCGACGCAAGCTGTAGTCTTTGAGCCTACGAGGCTGGCTATCAACTCGTTCACGGATAGCGGGGTGCGGGCGCACATAGAAGGGGACTTCACCATGGATGCATCCAGGGTTAAGAAGAAGTCTGTCCGCAACTTCGGCCGGTTCGCGACATGGGTCGCAAAAGAGGTGGAGACCGAACCGACGGATGTTGAGGTGTACCTGCCAGAGTACGGCAACGTTGTGCTCGGAACGGCCAAAGTACCACGCATCAAGGTCGACATTCGCAACGGGCATACCACTCATGTCGGTTTCTTGACCGACCTGGCGCCTGGCGAGGTCGGCGGCATACGGAGGGTAGCGAATGACTGGATTGACGGAAGACTGGGTCAGTTGAGGGTTCGGGGAAAGGCTGAGGTTGCGATACGATCTGGGATAATCCATCTAGGAAAACAGACAGTTGAGCAGTCTCTGGTTTTCCAAGGTAAGATCCTCCGAACCACCCGCATACAAAGGGGAGTGCGGCGCTGATTGACGCTTACCACGCTAACAGTACCTTCTCACCAGGCAATGATTTACCCACCGCTCCAGCCTATAATATCTCGAAAATAAACTTCCACGAGGTCAACCTGCCGTTTGCTCGCAAGGGCATGGCCGCGGATATCTCCCTGACCGTTCAGAACAACTATCCGGTAGACTTCACAATCCCACCCTTAGGCTTCGCCATATTGGTCGACAATTGCTCGCCAACAGACCCCTATATCATGATAGCAGATGCAACAACTGAAGAGCTCCATATCGAGCCCAAGCAGGACGTCCATCTCAACGTATCCGGTATCGTTCGTCAGCTACCTGATGCTCTTATCACAGCCTGCCCAGGCTCTCACGAGTCCCCTCTCGACGCCCTTTTGGGCGACTACATTCACGGGTCCGATGCTACTGTCTACGTTCGCGGTTCCGACTCACCGTCACTTGACACGCCGAAATGGATTACCGATCTCGTGTCAGACATAACCGTTCCCGTGCCTTTTCCAGGCCGCCAGCTGGATCATCTGCTCAAAAGTTTCTCGTTGGCAGACGTCCAGTTCCACCTACCAGAACCGTTCGCCGAGCCCGATACGCCAGAGGCGCAGCCAAAGATCTCTGCAAAAGTCAAGGCCTTGGTTGGTCTGCCGGAAGAGATGAGCTTCCCAGTTAGTGTAGATCGGGTGAAGGCCGATGCGGACGTGTATTACCATGGCAAGAAGCTAGGAAACCTGGATCTGCACAAGTGGCAGAAAGCCAACTCCAGCCGCATCGAAGCGGACAAAGACGGGCAACCGGCGCTAGAAGTGGAATCACGCGTCGACAAGGCACCTCTGACCATAACGGACGATGCTCTATTTAGCGAGGTTGTGCAGGCCCTCATCTTCGGCGGAAAGCCTCTTGTTCTCGGCATCAAAGCCAAGGTTGACGTTGAGATAGAGACAGCGCTCGGCAAGTTTGCCGTGCGCAAGGTTCCGGCGGAAGGCGTCGTTCCTGTAAAACGTAGGTTGTTAGCGTAGCAAGCAATCAAGCATTCGTACTGCGGCTAAGTACACTGTCCAGCTATTGGAAACAAGGGCGGTTTCGCCTCCTTGGGCCTCCAGATCGGCGATATTGATATTGTGCATACGGGACCGAGCTCGCTTACTCTGCAGGCTGAGGTCAACTTTACCAATCCGACTGAATACTCGGCCACGGTGCCATATGTGAATGTCAATATCCTCAATAATGGCACCATCCTGGGCCAGGCTACTGCTAAGGGGGTCGTCGTCGTCCCGGGGCCAAATAAAAATATTCTCGTCGAGGTCCTCTGGGATCCGCTGGCGTCAAGCGGCAAGACGGGCGCCGCTGTTGGCAGAGAGTTGTTGTCGCAGTATATCTCTGGTGAGCATTCATGACTCGGATTGCCCAGCGTGTAAGACTGATGCTTAAGGCTGGCTACAGGTTACAATACCACTCTGACAATAAAACCACATAACGGCACTGTGCCCTCTCAGCCTGCCCTCGGCAAAGCCCTCTCAGGTCTGGAGATCGAAATGCCAACGCCCAAACTCCGCGCCCCAAAGAGCGGCGACGACGATGATGGCGACGATGACAAGGATGGCATCAGTTTCATACGAGAGGCCACAGTAACATGCTCCCTCCCCAACTCATCTCACCGCACCACTAACCAACCATAGATGCACCTCCTAACCTCGACCGCAATCTTCACTCTCTCCTCCCCCCTCCGCCACACCCCAATATACCTAACCCACATCAACGCAACCGCTTACTACCACTCCTCAGCCGTGGGCCGCATCATCTACGACCTGCCCTTTGCCGTTCCGCCCGGGGAGTCGCAGTCCCCCCGGCTGCCGGTGGACTGGAGTCTTGGGTCTGTCGGGTACGAGGCTGTGCGGAAGGCGTTGGGGGGGATTTTAAAGCTGAATGCGAGTGCGGAGGTGGGGGTTGGGATCGGGAGGTGGCGGGAGGAGGTGTGGGTCGTGGGGAGGGGTATTGGGGCTAGGGTTAGGTTGTAGGGCGATGGAGGATGTAAATATGGGGGGTCTGTGCAAGTGTCAGGGAAGACTGTCGGGGAAGATTGCTGGTCTTAAGCATAGGAGACTGTTGATATGAGGGCTCTGGATTGGAGGACAGATATGGGTTTGGTGCTCGGGCGACGGCTATCATTATTGTGTTCTTTGTTGAATTAAATATGGCAGAGCGTGTGTACGAAGATCGTGATACGTGTTTGCAGGTTGAGCAGGCAACTTGAAGTTTGAGTTGCGTAAGTAACATGGTGGCCAAAACGTTAAATCGCCATGAATCTTGAGTCAACGATTTTTCCGGAGAGCCACCGTACTTGGTTCATGGCACGGATATATCTCATCGATAGCCGCGGCATGTGCCATGAGGGTTGCTTGGAATTAGGTAACATATCTAGAATGATCAACGATGAAAGGCTGTGAGGGGAACGCAAGGGAGGTAGCAACGCCATAAGTTACCCCAATCGGTAAAATAACCCTGTGAAACCTGTCAGCAACAGCAATCGAAGATGGTGCAACTGCCTGCGTGTCACGAGAGACTCTGATCAACGTTTTCGACTGGCGGTCTACTAAAGCCTCCTGATGCAGGAACGGTCCACACTACCGACCATATCAGGTGATGATATGCAGCTTGAAACGTAGAATCTTCCACCAAGGAATGGGCTGAGTGGATTGAGTGTGGGTCTTGTGGTTGTAGGGTTCGCGCTGTTTAAGCGTGTCCGAATCGTACGTGCAAAAGTGGAGAGTCGGTAGCCCGTCTGATCGAAAGATCTCGCAGGTGGCCTAATGAACTGGTTCCGACACGAAGCGCTCTACATCGGTATGGTACTCTCACGCCAAGGTCGCGGAGCGTTCATGCGTTTCGGGACATGAGCGAGCGACTGCTGACTGAGTAGGGATAAGATAAACTCCATCATGCAACCGGAGAGCTGAAAACGCATTGGCAGAGAGGTAGCACAGTATGCTAGTGTTCTTACCTGCAGGCCTTTTGCCACTTCTCCCAGACTGTCAGAGACTGTGCGCAACCCTAATTACCTACTTAGCTTACTCTGGCATCGCAGAACGTTGTCAACAACAGTACCTCACAATGGAAACGCTGGCTGATCGTAATACAACGGAAGCAGCATGACGCATTCTTGCTATGGAAGCTAAGATAATCGTGTCGGAACGCATGAAATTTAGACGAACTAATACAATGTTCTCTCGAAATGGAGACAGATATTGATCTGTATACCTAGAGAAAGCTTACTTGCCTCTCATCCGGCTCTCGAGGATATGTTTAGCTCACGAGACATTCGCACCCGTCTTGATTAACTTTACCAGGCTGAGCGCAGGCAGACCTTATGTTCCGCTACTGTAGGCTTGATTAGATGGAGTTACAAACAACACATTATGCAGATCCTAACCACCTGACTGTCTCCGCTCTCGTAGCGGCAATTGTAAGAATCTTGGATAAGTGAAAGGCGAAGGCTATTGTCTAAGTGGTAAAATTGATCTACGAGCTTCGGCTAGAGCAGCTGCATTAAGACGATCTCAAAAGCAGGTAGAACGAGGAGGAAGTCTGGAAATACCTAACGCGAGTCCAACAAGCAACAGCCATCTGCGGGGTGAAGCTTGAGCTAACAAGCGGGACTCCACACGCTTAGGCCTTTGTGTTCTAGGCTTGGCTTCACGAGATGCGTCTGTGCGGCTTCTGGACGACGTAATGCGAGCCGCTGAGAGCGTGTTGCTCGGCTGCGGTGCGAGCGCTAATGTCGTGCTAGAGTACGGGAAAGGTGACAGAATTCCAAAAAAATCACAAGCTAGCTCTACACACGAGCACCATCAAACTGTCCTGATAACAACCTACCACAGTAGGCCAAGATGCCGCCGGAAGCGGTCCCGGCGAACTATGACAGACGCCGTCGAAACCTCCTCCAAGCATTGTGATGCCTGACTGCTGCCTACCTCCACAAGTATTGCGACAGGGTGTTCAGCTCGGGAGGCTGCTTGATCAAGCGTTGAGCATTCAGCCGCAGCCCAGCCACAGCGAGTGGTTTCACAACATTTAGCTGCAAGTCAATCTGCTTAGCCTACAAACCTACGCCTCACTTTGCAAGGGTCGCTTGAGGTGTTTAAACAAGGCAGCAGGAAAGTGTATTGAGAACATCGACTGCGCACCTGCATCAGTGCGCTTCCGCTTGTACAGAGGCGATTTCTTTCTAGGATGAGGCAACGAAGTACTGCTGAGGAAGAGTAAGGTTAGGCTTGAATTCTTACGGGATCTAGACATCGTGGAACCATGTCTTGATCTGATAGTTGTTACTGACGCCTGGTAGCTCCTCTTGCCGAGCTTGGCTATATAGGATCGTGCTTAGATACTGTGGCGCTCTATCGACTAGGCGCTGTCGTTTCACTTCGTAGAGTGAGGATACCGAGTTCATTATGAACTACAGGGAAGGGTCCCAAGGCTACAAGCGGATAAGGCAATCGGGGTCGAGAGGCCCGATCCGTTGCCGCCAAAAGCACCGATCGCTTGCCTGGGAACCAATCAATAGCAGGAGCTCAAATGGGAGCGCTGCTGATCTTACAGAACACCGGCTTCACCAGTCGACTCAAATTGCCTCGATGGTGAGTTGCAGTCCATATCTCCAGGAGTATGAGGTGTGCAGGTGCATCCTATGCTGTCCCCAGCGTCTGGCTGAGTAGCGAGATTGCATGATAATCTCAGAGGTGGGATCCCAGACGGATGCCTACCTGGCATAAACTTGAACACGTACAGTAAATGGTCCGGCAAAACGGCATCGGAGCCAGCGTGGCTCTCCGATAGCCCTCAAAAGCATTGACCACGGTTCAATGTCCGCTCGCCGGTTCAAAAGCGCGTGGGAACAGCCTTCATTTGCGGAAGACCAATGGCGTTTGCGATAACCTTTGCAAGCGTCGAGTAAAGCAGCTGTTCAGAGTGATGGAGCAGACAGATCTTCATGCAGCCACGTTGTGAGGATATTTACGTGAACTCCAAACCTGCGAATCCGCCAATTTCTCAACATCAATGTCTCTTAAATGTTATCTTTATATATAGTCCAGAGCTCCCTAACTTAGTCTAAAGGTCAACCGAGGAATTGCGCTAATAGGGGGGAAATCAACATCCTGAATAAGAGGCGGTGTTGCCGATGAAATTCATAATCGTGGGCCTTGGAGTTCATGTATTTATCATTACGACGTGGCAGCTCACGTCTGGTTCAGTCAACCTCATACCTCCGCTACACGATGTTCTGCTAATTGATAGCATTCTAGGGTCATCTCCTGGCGCACTACGCAAGAGACAGCTGACAGCTTCAAGGCTAAGACAAACCATCTGCTTGCTCGAACCAAAGCAAAGGCATGCCGTGCGACCCAAGGAGCAATCGATTAGGTAGTGATATCGGGAACCCTCCACTACTGGGGCCATGGTACTGTACCAAACGAGCTTCTGGGGGAGAGACTGTAGAAATCGGCCGGTATGGCTTGCGACCCCTCAGTCAAGTGTGAATAAGCATTGGATAGACTTGGGGTTGTTACTACTGAGAATTTGCCAGGCTACAAGATACGCTTCAAAATTCTAATCGCGGGTCTTTTGACAATAAGGTTGGCGGTGCTATTGGTGCAATCAGGTGCCGACTTCAATTCAAATCCGCATGAGCGCTACATGAGCTCATAAAGGCTTCAAGCGTCGTGACTCCAATCGGGGTGAGCCCTGAGAAAATGCCTCAATATCTAGGTCGTACGGAGCAGGCAATCATCGTGCCAGGGTGCGTTGCAGGTACGCGCAAGCTATCAGGGCTGAGGAGCAGTCTGACCTAGATGGCGCCGGTAGCGACTAATACAGCATACTCATGTACTCGAAGAGATCGCGAGAGCGACACTCGCGGACGCATTGCGGTTCGTTATCGGCAGAAGAAGTCTCATCATGCTTGGAGCCCAGGTTGAAAGACTGGCAATCGAGCACGGCAGTCCTTCGACCCACCAGTTCGCAGGGCTGAGGCATGAGGACGAGGCAGTCTGCCACGATTATCCCGACCGTTTGCAGAGTTGGTCGTTTCAGATGGAGGATGAATGTTGCGTCATGTGACACGTTGCCAGCGTTGACAGGTTTTCCGCAGTCGCGAGGAGGTTGGATGGCGGACGACGACCCCACAGTTAGTGGTCTGACGTCTGTCACAGCATGAGGAGTTTTTCTCCTCCGTCGGTTCAGCAACGACCGAACGAACCACGGTGTGTACAGCAAATCACTCGCTCCCAGCGTGTGCAACAGCTGTGAAAACGTTGGTCTGCGCCTTCAACAGATCGACGATGACTGTTGCAGAGGTTGAGCGATTGAAAACTCCAAGAATGAACGAGAACATCTCCGCCGCCGGAGAGGGTCTGATTCGTCCGCATCCATGCATGACCTCGATGGCTGTTCTTGGGAGGGTTGCAGACTCAGACAGGGTTGCGACAGCGAGTTTGGGGAGCCTGCCCTGGGATGGAGCCAGAACGGAGGGCTGCGGCGGCTACGAGGAAAAAGATTTCTCAGCACGCTGCCCTTCGACTTGGTGCGCGGCAAGCCGACTGGGGCGCTGCATTCAAGCACGAGCGCTCGGCCTCGGGCTTGGGGTGCGAGCTGCGGCGTTTCTCCTCACCCCATTATCCCACGTTTGCCGCTGGAAAAGTCCAGCAAATCTGCCGCTGGACCCGCTTCTGGTATGGTCCCGGTTGCTCCCAGAAGCGTTCACACCTGCATGCTGCACTGCGGCACACCCTCACCTGATACGTCCAGACCCTCCCAGGCACACCTGAAGTCCACAAAAATGCTGCTCCTCCATGAACGCCCTCCCCATACAAAGGCTCACGGCCGCTCGCTCGCTGCTTGCACGCATCTCGGACCCTCATGACCCTACAACGGCAGTAAGACTCATGCTCATCAGATATTCATCAATCCTCTCACCATTATCCCGCCATCGCATGCCATCATCGCATAACACACCCTCTGTTTCGTTGTAGCCCAGCATTTGTCACTGATAACGCTCCCTCTGCCGCCCCGTCTACACTCATTTCTTGGATCCTCCATTAACCTTTTACCGCTTCGCTTTGTCTCTTCCACTGCGGGATATACCTCGACATGGCGACCGCGATGGAATGGTCCCACGATTTCTGCCTCAACTGTGACAAGCAGATCGCCGAAGGAGCATATTGCTCGCAGGCATGTCGGCTCGCCGATTTGGAGAAAGCCGGGTTCTCAGAGCCCAGCTGTCCTCCGAACCTCGCATCATCCACGACATCAACGGGCACATTCTCCGGAGGTTATACTGGCTGTGGCTTCTACCTCCCGCCGGCTGTAAACTTCTCGGCCTACAGATCAACAGCAAAGACTTGTTCAGCCCCAACAAGTCCAAGAGGTTATGCTCCATATCAAACTTCTTATTTCGCAAAGCCCGCTCCGACGACGTCAGGCCCTGACTCAACTCAATCACCTACTAAAGGGCTTACTCCTTCTTCCTCGCGCTCCTCGCTCTCATCTATCGGCTCGACTACAACTGTTCAAGTGGTGTCTCCTCAAGCAGCCAATCAGCTTCGAGGATATATGAGCTCGTTCGATCAAGTACGGGACGTCAAGCGGCGCCTCACTCTTGCATGACAACCGGGTTGGCTGCGGGTACTCTTCGACTGAACGACATCGCTTGGCATTATCCAGTACCGCGCAAGTACTAAGACTGTCGCAAGCCTCTTCACTGCGTTTGCAAGTCCTCCCACGAATACCTGCACAAGACTTTCTGAACCTGAAAAGGAATTGAAAGAACACCTGGAATGGTCACTTGTGCAGCCCGGCTTCCATGGTCGGTCCTCACCAAGCAAGCTCCGCCTCTACGTCACGTCTTACCCCTCTCGTCATGTTGTTACAACCGTCGCTGGAGACCTATCTCCATACGCAAAGTCCTCATTGGCTATAAACCGTTGGCTTCTGATCTCTATGCATATCCGGCACTTTAGAGCATCTCCGCATTCTGGCTGCATTCTTGTTCTGTACTTTCCTGTATCATGCCTGTTACTTTAACTGGACATCACATTGGCGCAAAGAAAAAGTCATTCTGGTATATTTAAGGACGGATCGTTTGAGCGTGTTCCTGTTTCTAGCATTGTAGCAGAGCTCACTGCTCACGTCTTGTTGATGCTGATCCTCTGCGGTTACGATTATGGTTAAAGTTATGTTCCTTTCGTGTTTTTACCTACAGCATTGGTCGTGGCCGTTATGCGGGTCGGCTTCACACATCGCGAAATGCATGCACTGGGACGGGCGCACTATGTAGCATCGTTGACAGGCGAGGAAGCCTGGTTGCATATGTCTTTCATATTCTCAGTCTTAGATCTACCTCCTACAAGCCACGCTAGCGGTTCCGTTCGCTGAACAAGCGCCGCAAATATGTACCCGTAACTAGCAAGTCGCTCTCAATACTACTCAGAGCTCGCTCCTATAGTAGCGTCCAAACTCCGTAATTTCTTCCGTTTTACCAAGCCCTCTAGGGTAACCAGCACTACTGCATATCTGAAGTACACCTAGTCCCCTCGTTGTGATTATAAGACCCGTTCACTAGACAAGTCATTGTAAGCTCACATGTCGCTCGTGCGATAGATCGCCGGTTTAGGCGGCTGTTTATATACTAGTTTTCGACCGTTCAATTCCACACGCCGTCTCGACGAAGACCGCACCCAGAATCCCCCAGATCGTCTTTCACGAGGTCTCAGGCCGTAATTAGTACTCGCGGCAGTGGAGAACGAGCGAACTCCGAAGAAATCAATCGGAACACGTGACTGTAAACATCGCCGCGGATACCAAGGATATCCATTAAATACACCCTTCGAAGCACCTGTGCAGAAGCTGGGGGAGACTATAACAAGTTGAGCAACGCAGACACTATTCCAAATGCTTTGTCCCCTAAAACCGTACCTTTATACATCCAAGACATCTTTTGCGCACGTGCATTCACAATGTTTCGCGGTACCTCATCGCATATACGTTAGCCTCAGCGTCCCTCTACCGCTTTCTCTATCTTTCTTCTCCATCCTCCCGTATCCTCCCGTCGGCCCTATGCAAAAGCTCCAGCCTGATCTTGCTCTTTAGAGACACTGCACTAACCCTTTCTCTTTCTAACCCTCTCTCTATAAAGCTGCCTTTCTGTTCTATCTTACCTTATCTAACTTCTATCTAAACTATATATACTATCTCAAATACGTAATATAGATCTTTATTAGAAAAAGTTTAGGCGCTTATAAAACTAGTATTAGTTTAAGATATCTAAGATACTTAGAGTATACTCTAAGTATTCTAATTAATTAGAGTAGGTATAAATTATTCTAAACTAGACTCCTATTAGATAAAAAACTAATTTGTTAGCTAGAGAAGTCTAAAATTCTAGAAATCTCTATAGATTACTACTAAAAGTAGTTTAGCTTACTTATTATAAACTCTTATAGAGTAGGCTATAATTAACGCGGTCGCGATATAGTATAACTAGGTATAGTAAATAGGTATAACCTATAAGCTATATAGAGTTACCCGCAAGCGGTTATGTTAGAATAGTCTAAAATAGGCTTAGTAGATATAGAATAAAGTACTCTATTCTAGCTTACCTTAGAGAGTAGTAGTTTATACTATTTTAGAATAGAAAGTTGTATTTATTAGTATTCTTAGCCTATCTAATTCTATTTTTTTTAATATATAAACCTCTACTCTAAGGTACTATAAAGCCACTAGTAAGATAGCTATACTAGAAGTCTCTTAAGACTATTAGTTAATAATAGACTTCTAGAAAACTTCTATAAATATAAGTAGAATATTACTAGAGAAGTAAAGAGCTAGAGTATTTAATATAATTATCTTAACTCTACCTTCTAGATATTCTAAACCTAAATTAGGCTAGAAAGTAGAGGAATTAGACTATTAGATCTAGAGAGCTTAAGTAGAGATTAAGGTATAGAAGAAGAAAGTAGAGCTTAAGTGCCTATAAGAAATACTTATAGGGAGAATTCCCTTAAATATAGTGCTAGGAGAGTCTATAGCTCTATTAGAGCTATATATACCTATTCTAGCCTATACTATTCTAAATTTAGGTATACTACTATAGATAGTACTACTATAGGGGATATATATTATATAGCTACTATATCTAGAATACTTACTAAAGTTTAAGAGTAAAAGTAAATAGTAATAGAATCTCTAGATCTAAGCGTATAAACACTATATCTTATACTCTATAAGCTTTCTAATAGAGAAGACTAAAATAGTATTTATAGAGTAATATCTAGATTCCGCTTAATATAAGACCTAGAAGTATTATAAGGCTACTTTAGGCCTTTTTAGAATAATCTAGATAGTATTAAAGACCTATATACTAGATTCGATAGGTAATACCTATAAAAGAGAGTAGAGGGTAATCTTATAGATTAAGTATATAAAATAGGCCTATTAAGATCTAATAATTCTCTTAAATTACCGAAAGCTCTAATAGGCTAATTATAGTAAGAAGAATCTTACTATAGACTATAATAGAAGGTATATTAATAACTTCTTCTTAGCTTTAAACCTAGAGCTATAGGAGAGGTTAATCCTACTTAGATGCTAGTATACCTCCCTTATAGACTTAAAGGTAGATGTAAATTAATAGTATTAATAGATTAAGACCTATACTAGTATAGATTAGTCTAGAACTAACTAGAGTAAGATAGTAGAGGCTATACTAAGCGCGTCTACTTCTAGTAATCTAAAGTAGTAGAGTAAATAGAAGTAAGAAATAGAAGAGTCTAAAGACACCTAAAGGTTAAAACCGGGCTAGTAAAAGAGAGAGGGCTAGAAAAAGAACTTCTTAAAAGAAGCCTATTAGAATTATAATAAGATTAGGTATTAAAAGAAGGGCTATAGATAAAAGCTCTAAGAGTTAAAAGCCTAGGCCCTAGATAGCTAGCTTATATCTAGTAGACTAAGTCTTATATACTCTAGAGTAGTAAAGAAGGGTGGAGCTCTTAATAGCCTAAAAGGAGCTAGGTAGCCGCCTTATATTTATACTAATTTAGATATATAGTAGGTAAAGAGACTAGACTACTAGAGCCCTTATTAATAGGGGGGTAAAAGGCGATTTTATAACTTATATATTAGTAAAGAAATTGTTAGTAACCCGAGTTCCCTTAGCGGGATCTATAGGCTAGTAGGTTGATGTATCTACGTGAGTAGCTAGCAACTCAATAGTATTAAGCTAGGCAATTGCTAGTAGTAAGATATATTCTACTATAGTTAAGAAATAGTATCTAGTAGTATATATAAAGACTAAAGCCTACTATCTATTAGATAGTGGGTATCTATAGATATAGGAAGAATGCTAAGGAGGTGGGGTTATAATATCTAGCTTAGTGACAAGCTAGACGCGGTATAGCTTAATACTATACTAAGGCTCTCCTCTAGCTAGGTTATAATAGTTGCCTCCTCTCCTATAAGCTAGTCCGCTAGATCTACTATAGTAGAGTGCTATTAGCTTATAGCCGCATGTCTCTATATAGGCTACTAGGTAGCTTACAGGTAGTAGTCCCTATATAGTGGAAGGTGATAGAAGCGTTACCGTTTATAACGCTAAGTATCGTGAATATTGCGCTTACTATAGTCTTATAACTGTCGACTTCCTATATATATATATAAATAAAGTATTCTACGAAATCTTTATTCTTTATATCTCTCTCTATTCTTAATTAATAAGCTTTCGCGATAAAAGTATTACGCTATTACCTCGCCTTTTTAAACTCTTATACTTAAGCTTTATATTAAATAGCGAGATGTCTTTAGAAGACTTTTAGGTAAAAAGGTTATATTATAATATTAAGGCGGCGTGTTAATATAAGTTTTACTTATAGGGTTATAAACTTGATATCGTGCCGCGCTTACGCGGCCTACTTATCCCTCTTACTAAGCTATACTATCTTCGCTATTCGAAAGACCTAGTAGAAGTAGTATATAATAAGAAGGATAGCCCGCGTAACGCTAGCGTGTGTTACTTATAATATAATAGCTTAGGTAAAGCCTATTTTCTAGTAGGTATTCGCAATATTTACAAATGTAGTTTAATAGCTAAACGCTTCTAGATTCCACTAAAGTTTAATAAGATTCTAAATAGTTTATTTAAGATTTATAATTTGTGTGTCGCTTTTAAGAATGTAATATAGGAGCGGCTTAATACTGCCGCTTACGCAGCAGAGCGCTTCCTAGATCTTATTTATATATAGTTATTATATATAGAGCGCGAACTAAAAGAGAATGTGAAGATATATCTTACCTATTAGCCGAAAAGCGCTATAGAGCTATTACTTCTATAAATTAAGGAGAGTATTAAAGCTTAACTTGTTTAGGAGTAACTACTAGATACTATATATACAATCGTGAGTGTTTTACTAGCTTATACTCTTTAACTTTACTAATGTAAGTAGTACTATCTCCCGCCCCTTAATATCGAGAAGCCATAGTATTTAGGCTAGTTAGTAGATAAGGATATTACTATAGAGGGTAAGGCAGCTAATAGTGGTAGCGACAGCGTACCGCTAATAGATAATAAGGGTGGAGAGAATAGGAATAACGCCTTAACTTTAAAGAAAAAGAAGAAGCCTTAGCTCTAGAAGAAGGCTAGCCTAGGAACTCTAAGATAAATACGGGTCGCTAGTACTAAGAAGCCTACTACGCTAATAGCTAAGAAAACTAGTAAGATTATAGGTTCTACTAATTAAGGTGGTCGTGTTACGCGGGCTAGTAAGTGGGGCGGCACTACCCTAATAAGTAGCTAGGCTACTAGGAAAACACCTAGTTTAGATATAATTAAGAAGGCGCTTACTACCTCTACTAACTACATGCTAGATAGCGCTAAAGAGTAGGAATAGCTTAATAAAGCTGTCTATTTATTAAAGGAGACAAGTAAGATGAAAGGCGCTACGCCTACTATAAAGGTAGGTAAATCCTCTAGAGCCGGCACGCTTATAGCTTTAGAGAAGGAGTTTACTATCTATAAGGCCGCCTTAGAGTTGCCGGCTAAGTGTAAGTAGGCTTCTTTAATTAGTAAAGAAGAGAAAGATAATATTAAGATCCCCGCTTCTTGCTATTATACTAAGGCGAATAAGAAGCGTTATTAAGAGAAATATATACGGTTTCTAGCTAAGTAATCTGCTATAGAGGATGCTAAGCTTAAAGCTACTAAGAAGAGGTTAGCTGCACTATATGCTATAAAGAAGGAGAAAGTAGCGCGTAAGAAGCATAGTACTATAGAAGATCTATTTATTATACCTAAGAATAAGATTATTAATAAAGCCCTCTTACTAGATAGTAACAACCCCCTCTTCTCGCTATTAGCTAGCTATAAAGGCCCTACTATAACGCCGGCGTCTTATAGTGCTTCTTAACTATTTTCTCTATAGGTGTAGGTACTAGCTCTATCGTCTATTCTTTATACTCCTAGCGGTAGAAGGAAGGCGGCGCCTAGCGGTTCGGCGTCTAGGATACTAAGAAGTAAGGTGTAGTTTAAGGCCCCTCCTAACTCTAAGTTAGAATAGAGTATATGAAGCGCTATCTTATTAAAGGTTAATAGTTTAAAAACTATATAAAATTCTGCTTTTTTAGCTTAAGGGGCAATAGCGGAGAACTTGCTGTTTCCTTACTTCTTACTTACTTATTACTTTTAGTTTCCTTAGCTATACTATTAGAATAGAATTGAATTATACTTAGTAGTTAGTTCCTAACCCCCGAACTATAATAATACTATACTTTCTAGTAGAACCTTATTAAAACCTCTAGAAAAACCCCTATAGGGAAAATATCTAGGGAAAGAGTATTCTAGTTCTTAGAAATGCCTCTTGCGTTTTCTTTACTTAGGCCTAGCTTCTTTACGTTATTAGTTAAACTTAGCTTACAATTCTCTTATATAATCTAGTTCTTTCTCTTCTAACTACTAGTTATATGTATTAGGCTAGCCTATCCACTTCACCTTATACTTATATTAACCTCGATCCTTTCTCTTATCTAGGATCTTTTTAATCTCCTATTTAGGCTCTTAATTAACGATTTCTATAAGTGGTAGAAATAGTTCTTCGCTGTCGTTTCCCTAGCGTTAATATGGTTTAAGGTAAGAGACATGAAATACTAGATGAATCTAGTAAGTACTTAATAAGTATAGGTAATAGGCCTATTTACCTATAGGCTCCTCTACTTAAAAGGGTTCTGTGTACTTCGCCGAAAGCTTCTAGCTAGATGCTTATAGCTTAAGGTTTTTAGTAGAGAGCTTAACTAGGTCTTCTACCTTAAACCTGATAGGCTTATAGTTTTAATTATAATACTTAGCCTACGCTTTAATAGCGGTTCACTAGCGCTTCTATATTTTAGACTAGACTTAGTCTAAGATCTTAATATAGTCCTTAGTAGTAGGTATATCGCTCTCTTTACTAGCCTCCTAAAGGTTAATATTAAGGCGAGGGTGAAAACCGTATATAGTGTAGAATAGGCTTACTCTTAGTGTAGCGTGCTTACTATTATTATAAGCGAACTTAGCTATTAGTAGAAGGCTAGCCTAGTTTAACTAGTCTTCTATATAATAGGCTTAAAGATAGTATTCTAAGGTCTAGTTCTACTATTCGGTCTGCCTATTAGTCTATAGATAGAAAGTAGTACTAAGTCGACGCTTAATTGCTAGGTAGTAGTAGACTTTAGACTAAAACACTAAGGTGAATACTACTCCCCTATTAGTTATAATCCTATAAGGTAGCCTATACCTACTAAACACCTACTTAATAAGCACTTCTACTAGTTATATAGGGTTAATCTTCTTTATAGTAGGGATATAGAGGGCTGTCTTCGTAAACTAGTCTACTACTATAAGAATAGAATTATATACGCTAGCTCCACGCTT